TTATAGTTTTTATTCTATCATTAGATTGGAATTAGTTTTAGGCCCAAATAAATAAGGCCGATATAAAGTTATTTTGCTAAGAGTTTTCAAATATTTATATAATCACGACAAAATCGACTATATCATCATTTACGTTCGCGTTTTTATGATACGAACTTTAAAAAGATATAAAGATTATATAAATACAAAGCGAGGGAGTTTTATAATATATAAATAAAAAAACGAGGTTTAATCTAATATCAAAAATTCAAACCTGAATAAGTCAACTAAACAGCTAAGTAAGAAGTAAATCAAACCTTTTTTTAGTTATAAAGATATATAAACCGGTTGTTATCTTTAAATTGTTAAATTAGTTTTAAGTTTAAAAGCATTATGTCTTATATTTTAAAAGTTTATTAGGTTAAAAATAATTACTTGAGATAAAAAGCTATTGATTTAACTTATGAAACTTAAGGTAAAAGCGCATTGGTAATAAAACTTAGCTTGGTTAATAACGTAATTACTAAAAGATTAGCTATTTACAATTATATCTAACTTGTTAAAAAACAAACAAGGTAATTTATAATATAAACTTATATAGCTTCATTTATTAAAACCTTTAATAAAACCTTTGATTAATATTAAAAGTTACGATATTTGAAACAATTTCATTTTATTAGCGTTATTTTAAAAATCTGGGATGTTTTGAAATAAATATTATTAATATAGTTTACATTATGACGGTATAAATCTTTTCACAATTAATAGTTATAAAGAAGTAATATATAAAGTTATACATTAAAACGTACATAAAGTATATTAAGAAAATAAACTCTTGGTTTTTTTTAAAGCACGTAAATTGTTTACCTACCAATTTTCATAATAAGGTTAAACATATTAGAAAACAAAAACAAATTTTCATAAATTAAGGTATACAAATTATATATTTATATAAAAAAGCCTAATAGATTAATAAATCTAGCGTTAAAATTATAAGCTAGTAACAAATAGTAGAAATTTGATAAGATTTAAACTTATAACTTTAAGCAAATTCTTATATTTTAATTAACGTAAGGGATAAGGTAGCTGACTGCTGAAGCGAGGTGATGGCGCTGATTTCAAGAAGTAAGTGTATTAAAATACTTCAATCTAGCCTGGTATGTCTGTAGGAATTAGGGGTTTTTAAGGGATGTAGTAGTGGAGCCTCAGGGCTCCGATCGGTGACTAGTCGGCCTGACATTCCGGTGCGAAGCCGTTTTTTTAGAGATATAATTATTACTTATTACTATTATTATTATTATTATTATTATTATTATTATTATTATTATTATTATTATTATTATTATTATTATTATTATTATTATTATTATTATTATTATTATTATTATTATTATTATTATTATTATTATTATTATTATTATTATTATTATTATTATTATTATTATTATTATTATTATTATTATTATTATTATTATTATTATTATTATTATTATTATTATTATTAAAACTTCGGTATTTAGTATTACTTTTAGCTTTTAAGCCTTTTTATTATAATATTTCTGTTAAAGTACGGGTATTTTACGATAGTGATTACCGGTAAGTATTAATTATAAGTTTATAGCTTATTAATATTTCGAAACCGTATCGTTAACGTTTTAATCGATTTTAACCACTTCATCGTTTAAATTTTTTAATACCGGCTAGCTTGAAAAGAAAACGCGTTTACTTTTCGACATTAGTAATAACGTTAGTGTCACGATTCCGTAAATGTATTAGAAGGATATAGGGACCCTTATTGACTATTAACGTATAACGAACTCTGGTTGAAGGAAAAGAAAGATCTGGAGATGCACCCGAATTGGTGGGCAGCTAGATGTGGGCAGTCTCCCCCCACCAGACCCACCAGGGCATGGATCAACCTATCGTCCGATCAGTTACGTGCTCAGTCACGTGACCCGGGGACCATAGAGACCATCGCTAGACCTGATGGGTGGTAGAACCATCACAGTTAGCTAACGATACGACGTACGTAACTATTTACAAGCTGGTGTTTTTATTATATATAAAGTTTCTAGCTTTATTTTCTTTAAAAAAAGAAAAGGCTTAAGTAATAATAGCCGTTATATCGTTAATATCACCTTTCATTAATTAAGTGGCTTTAATATTATATCGTTTATAATTTACAGGTTAAACTTTTTCAGTAAAAATACACTAAAGTATATTTAATATGGTTTTTAGCGTATTTATTATGTGAGATTAACAGTATTTTTATAAAGCCGTAGTTTATTATTAATACTTTTAAAGTAAAAATTTTGGGTTTCTACTGCGTTAACAATATTATATAAGTATTTTATATGAGAATAACCCGGGGCGTAACGAGACGTCAAGACGAAACGGGCCAGCTAAAAATAAGGTATTATAATTAATTTAATTAGTTATTAATATATAATCGGGTGCGCAATAATAAAGAAAAGAGAACTAAAGATATAAAGCTTTAAATAAGCTAATTTAATTATCAATTTATAGCAATTTATAGTTCTTAATTTTAAGAACTAAAAATATTATAATATATACGCAAATAATTAATATATAAGCATTAAAAGCGGTAAAACGAGTTAAAATCGCCTTAAGCAACCCCTGGTATCCGCACCGCTCCGGCCTCGTACTAACCGCTTCAAGCACCAATTTCATTGCTATAATTATGGTTAATTACGGTTAAAAAAAGATATTATTGCGGTATTAAATATCAACCTTATAGCTTTACGGGCTAACCTTTATATATACTTACTTTCATCTCTTTGTTAGTTTTATAGTTTTCTTTTTTTCTTTACGTATATTAACAGAGTTATTTATATACTCACTTGTAGCCGAATTATAACAACCTACGTCTGCTCGAACATTCTTGGAAGACATGATGGTGTCGCAGATACGACTATTGCAGCGAAGTTCCTATACTCGGAAGCCCGTAATGCTTAAGAGCTTCAAGTTCTATACCCAGCTTCCCAGGGCCACACTTACGAAACAACGGGCCTCCTCCATTTGGACTCCTAAGTTGCTAGAACAGGAGCATCCCCCACCTCCGATATCTTCTCCTCCCACTCAATGTCCGCACTGACTACTGGAAGTACCTCTTCCTTATATCAAGTGCTGGAAGCCGCTCACATCGCAACTCCCCGACGGTCATGCCTGGTTTGCAGATCGACGAATTGGATTTCTGCACCGCATCCAGCTTCACCGGACACGAGCCTTTGGCAGCTTGTGAAGTGACCTCCATAAGGTATTTGCCCAACCCAGCACCCTCTCACGCGCTGTTACGAACCAACAATACCACGGGCCCGTTGGCAGGCCTGAAGGGAAAAGGATGATCTATGAGGGAACCCAATTAGAACGGGGACACACTACAGAACAGCGCAGGGCATCCAGGCACATGATCCAGGGAGCCAAGATCACGTGACTAGAGTTGCTCACGCGAGCAACAGTGAGCACACCTCATCAGTGAGGGAGAGATTGGATATATAAGGATGAATATTTCCTGGCTAGACAGATAGACAGTCTTTACCTCAGTGATCAATCTAAGCATCTTAGCCAACCCTAAGGTGGGAGAAATCTCCTGACAACTCGATATTCAGTGATCCCCTGGATCAGACCAAGCCCCAACATCTGAGTGTCTTCTAGTTGACAGAAGCCTCTATCGTCCTTTGTGTTGACTTACCTCAGAACATAAACCCTATAGAACCCTTTAGCCTTATAGGTTAGACGGCTCGTCACACGTGTTACGGTATTACGTAATACCTCCACATATTCATGTACATATATACCCCTAGCTTCCCCGTTCTCTTCCGACCTTGCCTCTTCTTCCTTAGATATTGTTGAATCTAGATATTTCATACCATCAGCCCTGACCAGCGCAGCTGCAGGCCTGATTGTCACAACACGCGCCACCTCCCTCGATCCATCTCGACTGAAATATCCTTTCCCAGGTTTCCTTTCTATCTTTATCCTACTATTCTCTTCTCACGGTAGAGATTTATGTTTTCTCTCCTCTTAGTCCTTTTTCCATACCATCGGTGGAGGGTTTTCCTCGCCTCCCAATCACTCTGCACCTCGTTTAACCCTACATTCCCTTTCGTCAGCATCACAAAACTGAACTTAAATTATCCCTCTTTTCACCTCACCATACACAGCTACATCACTTCACTCTCAGGCCAACCGGCGAGGATTCTGCTCGCCTGCCTTCCCGGATCTCGTCCGCGTCGGCGCACCATTCAATCAAAACGTATCTGTCCGGCCATACGCTGACATCACCAGCCCAGATTCGACGACTTCCATCTCGTTGGAGATATCGGCCTGCCAAGTTGTGCGCACCTTCTTCTCGTCGGGTAGCACATCTCGATCTCACCTCTCTTGGTCAATCCTCACCACTCTCCCCAGACGGCTCAATCTCGTCGTCCTCCAATCCCGGTATTTAACCTGAGTTCAAGCTTCAATCGATATACCATAAAGGCACGGGACATACCCTGACATCCCTGGTAAGTATCGCTTCCACTCACTCGTCACTTCCATCTGCAGTGCATTGTTCATTCAACCTCAAGTCCGATACCAGATGGATGACCCCAAGGTCATACCGCCGCAACAACGGGGATGGGCCCGTGAGCGGGACTGACTGTACTTATTATCTTGAGACCTCCACAACCCTGCGATACAGAGGCTCTGGGAGGCGTGGTTTGCACTACTGAGGAGCTACCCCCCACGTTAAATACAAAACAAACAAACAAACAAACAAACAAACCTCAAGTCCGCCCTCAGGGTACTCCGCACCTTCGATATATCTGCCTGATATGTACATGCTTCCTTTGGCATCCACGAGTAGCTGCACCCACTCAACATTCAGGAATCTACGGCCCACAGTAGCATATGAGATGCGTCCTCAAACTACCATCCTTTCTTGCAAAAGTCTAATCAAAGAACGAATAGCTTACCGTCCACTCGACTCCCATTTTCATTCGTCAGTCAGCACGAAGATGGATTCCAACCAACTTGGGGGCACAGGTGCATCTGCACCCGACAATGTGGCAGGCACGCAGCGTAAGGTCACGGGTGCCGGGCCTTCTAAGCAGCGACGACGCGGTTCTGGCAAACCCCCTGGTGTTCCTCGCACCAGTAAAGGAAAATCCACTTCGTCGACCAAGCGCAAGTCAACTGCATCCACTGCTAAGCCGAGAAAGAAGCGAAATAGCAACTATACTATATCGATGAACAAGCTCACACTCCGAAAGAGCGCCCATGACAAGCTAGCATCTGTCTTCCAATTGAACAACTCTATGGAGGCGAGTTTGACACAGGAATCCACTCCTGAAACTCGCGAGTTGGACGAGAAGGCATTGGGAGTGGCTTTCATGGTTAGGATCGAGAGAACACTCAGGAAGCTCGAGGCAACACCTGAAGATCCTGAAGCAACGCAACAAAGAAGCATTGGCGGCATAGTTGCTGATGAGATGGGGATAGAAAAGACTCTTCAATCATTGGGTTGCATGATGCTTGTTAAGCCAACGAAAAAGGAGATCGCGACGGGCAAGAGAACAACTCTGATTGTCGTCCCTGCTGGAGTGCTAAGCCAGTGGAAAACGGAGATGGCGACGCACACGAACATTGACCCTGATGGTATCGCGACCTACAACAACAACAACAACAATATGAACCTCAACAGCATAAAAGCTCAGGAGGTCATGTAAGTCTCCACCAATGCCTCCCCCCCTGAAATGCTAACCGTCAGGTAGATTTGCCTCCTATGACCAAGTCATGACGGACTGGAAACAGGAAAAGAAGGGAAACTTGTTTCACCTTGAGTTCTTCCGAATCATCTCGATGAGGGTGAGAAGATCAAAAACAACACCACGCAGAGTACGATATAACTAATATGCCGAGGAACTACAAAGCTTGGTTGCTAACCATTTTCTTTTGGACCATCTAGCATACAAGGCTTGTAAAGCACTCAAAGCGAAGCACAAGTTCATTCTGTCGGGGACTCCTTTCCAAAACAGTCCCAAAGGCAAGCATCCCATGAGTGAAGTGGACGCAACTGCTAACTGCCTGCAGAGGCCCCTGCCTACCTCGCTTTTCTAGGGATCGATCTCACAGAGGACTTGGAGATCTTCAAGAGCAAGTTTGGCGAGCTTGGTGAGGTATTCTATACATGTTGGTATGACTTGACGCTCAGATGCTAAGGTTACCGCAGAAAGATACCCACCACGCACGGGTCATGAAGGTCCTTCAGAGACAAATGATCAGGCGGTAAGCACCTGATCCTTTCACTAAATCATGAGTATACTGATTCCCGGTTTGTCCCGCAGAGACAAAGGAGAGTTCTTCATGGGCCGACGATGATGCGATCTGCCCAAGTCACATATCAGGCGTATCGAGCTCGAGATGACCCAGGAAGAACAGGTGATTTACAAGTAAGCCTGCCTGGAAAACCTTGAAATGCGCAACTCTATACTAACACCGTCACAGCTTCATCGAGGAGGTGATGAAACGCCGGTTCCTGCAGGCTGAAGAAGACCTGAAGGAGGCGGGCACGACTGGCAGCATGCGCTACCTCGCCCAGTATCACGTTCTCCTCATAAGACTGCGACAAGCTGTGGAACACCCCTTACTCCTAGACCCATGCATCAAAGGGCTCAGCGCATCCGAGATTCGTGAACTAAAAGAGAAGCTCTCCAGTATCGAAGACCGGACGCCGGTATATGAGCAAATCAAAGGCTGGTGCGAGACATCGCCTGGGGTGGAGGCAGGTCCCCGCGAAGCCCCCTTGTTTGGGGACATCTTCGAAATCGGACTGCAACTGGACAGTGCGATCTCAGCGGTGAGCTGCTGTCGATGCTCTGGAACTACAGATCTTCGCACGCTCAGCGTAAGTCATGATCCAGATCCAGGACGTACGGCCTCTATGTTAACAAATTTGTAGTGCGAACATGGCATCTGTGAGAGCTGCATTGACCGCCTCGTCAAACAAGGTACTCAGGCCGTCAAAATAGAGACATCATGTGCGACTTGCACGACTTTCATGGCGCGTGCTCAGAGACGCTTCGACGACATCAATGCCGGTGTTGATCTAGAATCCGCTGTCGATGAGCTCGGATCAGAGTCTGCCGATGAAGATTCGGCATCGGGCGTGACCAAGAAGCCTGGGTATGATGCCAACGGCATCCAGCCAAAGAGCAAAGTTCGCAAGGACGGACGGGCTTGGAGTGCAGATCTGACTGTCATGCAAAACGGTAGAACAGTATCCAGTGCCAAGGTTGCGGCCGCGATGAGTGTTTTGACAAACACGCAAACCGATGCGCCTGACGACAAGACCATTGTCTTCGGCATGTTCCTCGGAACGGCTCACATCATGGCGCAGATGCTTGACGCTGAAGGCATCGAGTATCTGTACTATTGGGGAAGTATGAGCAAGGAGGCCAGAGCCAAAGCCTTGAAGGACTTCCACGAGAAACCTGGCATTAAAGTGCTCGTGTGTACTTTCTTCTCCCTCCCCCACTAGCTTGGCATGGAAACTAACTATAAGAATCTTGCAGCTAGTGAGCATGAAAGCCGGCAGCCTCGGACTCAACCTCACTATCGCCAACCGAGCGAATATCATGACTCTCTGGTGGAACGTTGCTACCGAACTGCAAGCATGGAGCCGCGTGAAGCGCCACTTACAAACGAAGGAGACTTACTTGACTAGCATCGTCGTCCGAGGCAGCGTAGATGAACGACTGCTAGAGCTGCAAGCCAAGAAATTCGCGGAAACTAAGGATCCGCTGGATGCTGGCAGGAGCCAGAAGCTTCTTTCCCCGGAGGAACGACTTTACCTCTTCGGCTTCGAGGACAAGGCGAACAAACCGAGCAAAGAATCCGATGAGACCGATTCCGACAACGCATCCGAATCGGATGCTTGAATAGGCAGCCGAGTTCTCCGAAGTTTGGTGTCTGTCGATCTGACTCCTCCGCCCATCGCTCAGTTCCTGAATTGCAGGGTTCTGGAGTAAGCACCGGGTGATAGACGTGAACTGCATGGGGCCTTCCAGGAAGGTCACTCACCAAGCCAGTCTGGGACGTTAAATGGGGGATATTTGCTATCATGGGGCCCTTATTCAGCACTGGCACGTTTGCTTGCGCATGCCGAAGCCACACGGGATACTATGGCATTTGTGGATGCGAATGGGAAATCGGTGGTGGTCTTTAGCCTGGGCATACCCGACGACATACCGGGTCACAAACATTTAGCTTCAGGTTAGCCTTATGAATACATTTTGTTACAACGAGATGGGCGACAACGCTGGGATATGTTGGGAGACCAAGCAATCCATATCACGATATGACGGTGACATCGGCATTATAAATCTGGATTCAAGTCGGAGAGAAAGTCGCATGGCTTCGCAAACCATGTGACATGACTCGGTGCTCTATGGTGCATATGCAGATGTGCACCTTGGTGTGGACAGCTCACACCATAGGCTAGATAAACCTGGACACACAGAAGTCCAATGACAGAACCATCCGTGTGATCAGATCGTCTGCGGCGTCACATCGAATACCCCCTCGGCATCTCTACCACTTTAGCAAAGGGTCAGAAGGGACACGAATTCGGCAATGGCTGAGGGGCTGAGTTGCTCGTGACTACTGCTGCTTCCTCGGCCTATTGACAGGAGACAAACTTCTGTTATCGCCGGCTGTATCACCCTCCATAGTCATTCTATAGTGAGCAAAGCGAGGCGTTACCCTCTATTCGGACAATTTTGACGAGAAACATTGGACAAGAGAAAGAGGCGCCGCTTATCCAATCTCTCGCCCGAATCAACCCATACGTGAACTTGTACAAAAAGACCCTCTCGTACTCACGGAATCAAATGGCATCAAGGGGCCGAACTCACGGCCGAGGACGACTGTTCCTCCAGCCGATGACCCACTCCTCATAGCCCGGTTGTTTCCAGATTATAAACGACTTAAAACCAGCCTTCCTCAAGACGTTCTGGCTAGCAAAGTTGTCCAACGTAGTCCAAGCATACAGTTGTTCAACCGCCACGGCCTTGCTGCACGCGCCGTTGCCGCCGCCGGCTGCGGCGATGGACCGGGGATGAACGGAGATCTGAACGCCCACGGCAACACCAGCACCACCGCCGCTCCTATCAATCGACCGTCTAGGTAAACCCCACCACCACTTCAGATACGCAGTTAAGAATTCGGTGCACAGGCCACGCCCCCAATACTCGCGCTTGAGCTTATACCCCAGCTCGGGCCATCCGCACGCCTGCGAGCTCAGCGTGTGCACGCCGCCGTCACCGATCAGCTCGCCCGTCTCGGCCAGGAAGATGCCGAAGTAGAAACAGCGTGGCTGCGCCGCTGCGATGATACTGTCCAGCTTCACAGATGATTCCTCGAGGTTTGCGTCGGGACGCCGGTAGGTTGAGTGAGCCATCGCTTCGGGTTGCAGGCGCAGGACGTGGTAGGCATGGAGATCGGAGCGTGCGAGGGGCCGCATCCTGAGGCGTTTTGTGTGGATCGAGGAGTGGTTATCGGAGCTGCCAGGGGTGTTCAATGGTAGCGTGGTCATAACGGGGCGCCAGTGTTGAGACATGGTGAGCAGCTCCGGAACGTAAGACATTGATCGCCTTTTTGTCCCACCTTGCCGAGCCAAGAAGAAGACAAAGAAGAAGAGGTGGTTTATGTCGCCGAGTTGGCGGTGGTGGACAGTTGGGAGTCGCTACGGAGTTCGAGTCTGAACGCCCACTCCAAGCATCGAGTCAGTCCCAGTGGCTTGAAGCTAGAACCCGAAGACGGAAGGCGGAAGGCAAAAAAAGAAAACCCCCAGTAGTGGCCAACGGTGTCAACCAGGATAAGCCGCCGTGAGCTTGGGATTGGCGGCAGACCGGAACGTGATATGTGATATCATGCTTGTCATATCCGCGTATCGCCGACACGTCAAATATTACGGATCGTGTTCTTCCTTGATGAGATATTGCTCTGCAGGCGCAGTCCGAGTAGTCATCATTCCTGCTGATCTCTCACAAGCCATCAGGAACCGAGAGGCGTGCCGTATGGCCCGCTAGCATTGATCAATGCGACCATGGCTGTCCCTAGAGTCAGCCATTTCGTATGTGCGCCTGAATAGCTCCAATAGACTGACTTGCGTCGACCAAGTAGGATATCCTGGAGACGAGGGACCCGGATGTGGTCTAGAAAGCTCAATAGACTGTCAAAGGCCAACATTTATCCAGCCTAGTTGTTGGTTCTAACGCCAGTCATGTCTCAGTCCATTACAAATACCAGTGGCTAGCTCGGGTAGGTCAGAGAGCAATGAAGACGCAGAGCGAGGTGTATCTTAGTATACCTTATTCTGTTGTCTCTATCAGAGGGGAGGGGTGCGCTTGTCCACTCCAGCGGCAGTGGGAAACGAAAGTCCTGTTTAATGCTCTCGGTAGACTTGACGATGATCCAGTGTACCAGATGTGACGCCTCATCCTGAGAATGCCGTGAAAGTCGAAGCCAGTTTACCATATGTTTCTACTACATAGTTGCTTTGAGCACAAGCGCGTTTCTATATACTCGCTGCATGGAAAAGTAGGGTTGACCTCTAGGGAGAGATTGTGATATCCGGCGAATGGGAAAATTCCTGGATACCGAGCTTCCGGTTTTCATGACCAGGAGTCGGGGTACTGAGTAGCACATCGGCGTCGGTAGAAGAACAGAGGAACAGAAAAGCATATTGTGTATTCGTTCGTCATCACAGATCATTAGGTCAAAGCGGTACTATATGTGAGCAGAGTACTTCCTGATGAACTTATCAAAGACCGACGGACCAACCGGCTTGACCAGATACTCGTCGGCGCCCGCTCTTTGCGAATCGGACTTGTCTTTCTCCGAGTCCTGTCCCGTTACCATGAAGATCGCCGACCTACAGCGATTGTGCTCCTGTTCGTACACCCGTATGGCAGAGGTGGCTTGTATACCATCGCAATGTGGCATTTGGAGATCCATCAGGACGACCGTAATTGCTTCTTCGTCCTTATCTTCAGCAGCTTTCACGAAACGCTCGACCGCCTCGTGCCCGTTCATGGCAGTGATGTAGGGTATTTTGCGCTTTTGGCAGAACATCTGGAGTATACGAAGGTTGACGAGGTTATCATCGACCAGGAGGGCCCTGGGTGACCGGTTTCGATAGTCTCCATCCCCCACGAGGCTGAGTGCGGCAATGTCGGGTGCTGGTGCCGACATGGTTTCTCCAGCGTCGGCTTCAGGCTCAGCACACTCCTTGGTAGTCGTTTGCTGCTGTATCAAATTGTCCAACAGATCTTTACGTAACCTGTTTGCCTGGAGCAACATCTGACCAAGCCTTTGAGTGTGCAGGGGGCCTGATATTGTGACTGTACCAGGTATATCTGGCACAAACCCATAGTCGTCCACCACATGCCTGACTACTACAGCTTTGTGGTGAGAGAAGATCCTGATCTGTGATGCGGCATCCGCAGGGTAGAGGTTGGTAAGGACGATCCCGACATCCAAGTTGTCGTCGCTTTCGCGCTGGAAGCCATTCCTTTCCAGATATCTTGCAGTATGGTCGATGAAGTGGTTGGATCCGGCATCACTGCGGATAGCTTTGAAAGTGCGAGGTAGATATTCCAAGTCCATCGCCTTGGTAGAAGCTGAAGCATTCGATCCACTAAGGATGGGATCTCTGAATGCGATCTCGAAGTTGGTGCCGGTTCCAGGCGTCGACGACACCAGCTCGACTGATCCGTTCAGTGCGCGAGCGATTTGACTTGCAAGTGTAAGGCCAAGACCTGCTCCAGGCTTATTATGGTCAGTTTTCTCATATGGTCGAAAAATTAGGTCGTGGTGTGCTGGGTCGATTCCGCAGCCATTGTCGACCACATCAAATAGCAGCTCTGTGAAATCGGGGATGGAGCGGACGGTCACTGTGACAGAACCAGCGTCGGACCCTGAAACCGATTGAACAGCGTTCAGCACAACCGCCTGGAGACAGTCTTTCAACAGCTGAACATCTGTTTGCAATATGCAGTGCGCGCTGTCCAGCTCGTTACGAAACTCGATCGACAGGCTCCTCAGGTGCTCTGGGTGGACAAGCGACAGGATGCCCGGCATCACATCGTTTTCCAGGTCGTTCAGGTCGTATGGGCTTGGTTGGGATTGCCGCAGTCCGTCAACCCAGTGATTGTGCTTGAGAATGTTGTTCACAGTTCCAATGAGTTCTTGTCCCGATGTCTTTATGGTTGCGAGGCACGCAAATGGCGAAGTCGAGATCATGCCCCTATCAACCGGTGCATCGGGCGCGTCTGGGGACCGCCCCGCGGCAATCTCCTCGGCAAGCAACTCGGCGGCTCCAAGGATACCGTGGATGGGTGTCCGAAGTTGGTGCGTAATACCACGTAGGAAGTTCTCCCTGGCGTCTAGAGCCCGCTGCAGTGCCCTTTTCTGAAGCGTGTCGGCGATGATTGATGCAGCCTCTGAGATAAACCATGAATCGAAGTCGTCGAGAACATGTTGAATATCGCGCGATGCAACGACCACGAACGTATCAGAGCTTCTACATCGAGCCACAATAGCGCGGACAGTCTGGTCCGATCGAAGCCTTTCGAAGTTGGAGGTGGTGATGATCTGTTCGATGAGTGCGGTGTCTTCCCACAAACCATGGTGTACTGCCGACAATGAGATGCCAGGGCGGTCTTGGACCGATAGCTGGTTATCTGTCGCGACCTGAATAGAGATATGAGCATCAGGATAAGCCTGTTGGATGAATCCTATCGCGGATGCTTCGTAGTCTTCGTCTCCTACCATGTGCTGTAGTTCTGACAGCATATCTGACATGCGTTGCCGTTCTTTCAGGCGCCTCTGTCGCGCATAGCTCGAAATTAAGGAGCTGATCAACTCGGCGAATCGAACGAGAAAGTCTCTCTGGTCCTGAGACAGTGGTGGTTGTGGACTGGTGGATGCAACGCATAATGCCCCCAAGGCGACCTCGTTGCCGTCATCCGCCTTGAGACGCAGCTGCGTGCCAGCATAGGCCTTTATACCACCCACCTCAACGGGTGGGGACCGCTGGAAACGCCAGTCCTTGGACATGTCAGTCACCATGAGGACACTATTGGGAGCCTGATTGATGGTGTGTGAACAAGTACTTTCTCTCCGGGGCAGGATGGCCAAGGGTAGGTTCGCGGTTGCCAGTCTCGTGTAGGTGTGTTCACTCATAATGCCGGCCATAGCATATTCCCAGCCAATCGCCTGTTGCAGGCCTTTGACGAGGGCGTCGATCTTGGCTACAAACTGGTCGTCCTGTTCGATCCCTCTCGTGTGGTACCAGAACATGGTCAACCTCAAACGCTCATTTTGGGTTAGGTAGGGAAAGAGATATCCCTCTTCAAAGTGAGCTGGGCGGCAAGGCTCGATGGCCTCTCCCTCATCCGAAAGGCCGCCAAAGCTTTGCGTATGCACACTCTCATCGAACGAGGGGAGGGGTACTTTCGAGTGTGCGGCGTCGCATACTGGACCGATAGAGGTCGGTCTCTCTGGCAGCGTTTGTGTGAGGATATTGACGTTGTCCTTCGACCCGCTCCGGGGGAAATACGGAACGGGGGCGTGCCCATCCATCTCTGCAGCAGGCGGGACGAGTCTGGTCCCCACGAGAGAGGGTTGTCAATCCAGCAGGTCGATGGCGGTCAATCTTTCGACTCCTTTCGAGCATCTTTCATCCCGTGTGTCGTGGGCAAGTGATGCATTGCGATCTGAAATCTGCGGCACTGCGGCGGAAGAGAGAGCCAAGTTGCGTCCCGGGGAGCTGGACGGAGCCATGAACGACATTCTCTCGGATTGTCTATTGTGTTTACCTACCACAAGTACCAAAGCCTGCAGCCTCTGCCTGTACACAAGCGCAAAATGCTTGTTCCATAGACATTTAACTCTCCCGCGAACCGTGCCTCCACTGGCTAGATGAGAAGGCCTTTCAAACTGAACGCAATTTTGCCACCGGCGGTCATGTTCTAGCCCGGGCTATAGTCAGCCCCGTCAGCACACTAGTAACGGCGAGTGGGAAGCACGCATCCGTTGGCATCTCGGCTCAGGCACACTAAAACCAGCAGCATGCCTTGCACCTTCGTATCTGCCAGCCTTGGTCCGATAGAAGGCAAGGGATAACAGACTGAGCGGTGTTGATGATCCGGATTTAGGTGTGATGACAGAGTCAGTCTAGATTACCTCGTACCATGGTGACGGTTGACGTGCCACCTCCCTGCCGTGTGGCATCAAGGTGTCCGGTAGTAGCACACGTAACTGTAGCACACGTAGCTAGAACCCACGTAGCTGTAGCACACGGAGATAGAATATACGTAGCTGTAGCACACGCAGCTGTAGCACACACAGCCGTATCACACGCAGCTGTATCATACGTAGCTGAAGCCCACGTAGCTGAAGCCAAATTTAGGGCTCTCTCGTCCCAACAAGCCTCGCAGCTGTCTGGTTGGCCGGTCTTGAGGATGGAATGTTGAGCGTAAATCATACGGACAGCTATCGTCTATTCCTTATTATTGGACAACACCTCCCTGCCGTGTACTGGCGGCGACAGGGTGACCTCGTGTAAGTTATCGTTTCATTTCTGCCGGACTTGATGACCGTGGTGGTCTGAATCTCGGTGTGATGACAGTGTGAAGTCAGATATCTCGTCGCATGGTGATGGTATCGACGTGGCTAGAACGGGCTTGGTCTGGTCGGAGGGAAGGAAGCAGTGTGCCGAATGTTTGCCGAAGAGATTCGTTTGATCTGCCGCTCTAGATGGCAGTGACGACCAAATATTGGGAGCGAGCGCCACCCAAGTCTGGATTGATATCCCCCTTCATATGGGAACGCAGCCATCTGAAAGTGCATCGTTTAATCGATCAAAACGGGCGAATGCTGCGCTAGGATAGCTATAACGATCTACTTTCGTATGAGGGCTATAGAGGCCGGCAGCAATCATAAAACGGGAAGATGTCGCTGATGATTTGTTTTATTAGGTTCGCTCGCTCTTATTGCCAATTCCGTTCATGTTTTGATCTTCAAGTGAGCTCTGAAAGGTTAGCATTGCAGTGGAAGATGATCATCTACTCGAAACCCCAAAACAACGCAGGTAATCGTCACATATTCTTCCGCACTAAAGAACTATCTACTCGGAAAATCATACCCGGGGAACGGATTGGAGTTGAGCCACATTGCGCAAGGTCTGGTATCTCGCGGCACCCGTTTATACTCAGTCCATAGCAGTTGATTAGCAGTCGAATGCCGAAGTGCGTTGTCAAGGAGTTCTAGCACCAGACCACTGAGGACCGGAAAATCTCTTGGCCGCTTGCAGTCAGGGGACGGACCTATGTGGAAGACCTCACAGGAGCAGGAATTATGGTATGAAGCCCCTTCCGACCCCCCTGGCATGGCTCTCTGGGTCAAAAGCAGCAGAGGTCAATCTTCTGTCACTCCTCAATGGGGCATAGTCTGATGAATCAGACCGTGACACCAGTACCACTATGAATATTAACAGCGATGGTGTGTTCAACGAGCACCACGAGTAGCAGCTGCAGCTTCCGCCCCGCGCGCAGCCCCTTAAGCGGCCCCGAGGCAACATGCACCCGAACATCGAGTGCAATCCCGCCGATGCTCCCGCGGTAGCAGTGACAGAGGCGGTGGTCGACATGGGCACGATTACCTTGGCGAAGCCAATCATCGTCAGGCCTGGAAACTTGGACCGCGTGGGCCGTCCGTGTGGGTTGGCATGGGGCATCACATACGCCCGGAGACGCGCAATCCATTGGTCGGAGAGGTGTGTACAGAATCCCCCTCGACGCCTGTTCACGTAGACCAATTTGAGTAGCCTGGGCTAGACGACAACTACCGCTTTCTATGGCATAGCTGCAAGGACCCACGGATAGGATGACCCTACGCCGCGACTTGGCCCTCGTCAGCCCTCGCCCCATAAGCTCATTTCGTAATACATCATTCTTCGGTAAACTGGGTGGACAAAAGTCTCCGCCCGACCCACCACAATCTCCTTCAGATCAAAACAACGCGTCAATCACCCTTCGACTTCACCACTCTCTCAACACCGCAATTGATAATGGATTTACGATCTTTTGGGGACGAATTAAGCGGTAATCGCGTCGCTAACGGCGAATTCACTTCAGAAGCTCGCTCGGCAATCGTGGCGGCGCGAATCGACGACAGAACGCGTAGGGATGTTGCAACCGCGTTTAAAACGAAGCGCCTGAAAACCATCTCCGATATTACCACCAACTTTGAGGCCACTTCTACACCGAAATCTGCCCCAAGGAGCGGTCGCCCACCCGTTTTGAATACTCACGAACGCGCTCATGTGATCGAAAAGGTGAGAGAGCTCCCCAGGGCGACGTGGCAAAAGATTCGAAACGAAGCCTGCGTTTCGTGCTCTCCCAAGACTATCAAGAGGATATGTCACGCACACGGCCTCCAGAAGTGGCGCGCAGCGAAGCGAATCAAGCTCACAGATAAGGACGCTCAGAAGAGGCTCGCTTTTGCCAATTATTATAGCATACCAGAGCGCCTGGAGGAGTTGTTGTGAGCTATGTTCTCAGACGAATATACGGTCCAAAACTCATCCGATAATCCAGGCGATTGGGCCATCCGATTCTCTTCAGAGCGGTATTGTTATGATCTCGTGAACGAGACGGATCACAGCAAATCTCGTATTTCAATAATGGTGTGGTCTATGATCTGGCTACGCAGCGGAGAAGGAGGACTAGGCAAGTTGGTCTTCTGCCCACTCGATCCGGATGCTCCGCGCGGAGGAGTATCCGCAGAGTCATACAAATGGGTTCTTGAGGAAGGCCTGCTTCTGTTCTACGAGGCTGGAGATCCTTTTGTTCAAAATAACGCGAAAATTCACCTCACTGGCGGTGTTCCGGAGTGGATGGAAGAGCACGGCATCCACTGTATCGACTGGCCTCCTCACAGCCCCGATATGAACCCAATCGAGCACGTTTGGCGACTTCTGAAGAAGAACATACGTGAAGTCGAGCCTGAATTTTCTGAATTGAAGGATAATATCCCCCATTATCGCTACGCACACGAGTTAATTGAGCAGGCGTGGTCAGAGATTGATCCGGAGCAGGTTCGGGCCTTGATGGAGTCACTGGAGGACCGAATAGCTGTAGTGAGGCGCGCCGGTGGTTGGTATACACACTATTGACTTAGTTATTAAATACAATTTATTTGAGAATTCTATCACCAGAATTGGATGCGTTATGGTTCAATTGGGTTGGAGGGTATAGTAGATGGAAGGGGTAAAATTGGGGATCGGGCGGAGACTTTTGTCCACGCATTGTATCAATATGTGAGTGTCGGTGCCGTGGAGAAGGTAACGCCATCGAGGTGATTTAGGGGCTACTTCATTTGCTGCGCCAACTATTTCGAGAATGGTGCGTATTTGTACAGCATGTGAGCCATGTCAAAACACATGTCTCAGCATAGGGAGGCCGTCCAAATTTAGGACGTCGGTCTCGTGGAAATTCTTCACGACTCTCATCCAAAGACTCCTCGCAAGACCTCGCCGTAAGCAGTACATGACAAACTCACCATCTCGATATCAAATTCGCCGCTGCCCAGCTAGCTTTGTGCCTCTAAAGCTGCGGAGTTAGGCCTTGCCTACGCAGTCTTGGTCCACTTTTTGCGGCTTCAAGTCGTACAACCGCATTTTAAAGTGCACTGAATGCTGATAACTCAGGGGCTCAGGGGCTCAGGGGCTCCTAGACTCCAGCTGCAACCACTGTGTTTAGTCCCCACACTATGCGCGACTCCCGAATAGGTGCGAGGAAACAGACGATAACGATAGACCTTCAGTTGCAGGTAGCTTTTGCTCTCCACCATCCGCCAGGGGAAATACATTTGCCGCATGCACGCTATCCACCCTCCCTCGGCCTCAAGGTAGGGCAGCCGAGGCAGAAAGCAGCACTATCACCACCTGCGACGCATGATCAGGTTTGAAGCTTCCAATGTGTTCAATTGACCTGCTCGGCTCGAATTCTGGCCCCGCATGTCCGTTCGGGAGTCTGTCAACCCCGTGCGCAGGCAGATATCTAGGTATATCTAAAAGCCATCTACCAGCCTAGAGCTTGCAAGCCTTGATGTACGTATCCGTCTCACCCCCGTCTCACCACCGACACAGCAACCTCCGAAGTGATACAACACGCGCCGCTTACTCAGTCATTTGGATATTGATCTTGGAATCAACCCACGTCCAGATGTAATCCCCGAATATCGTGTTGACTTCGGCCATGATTCCCAGCGAAGCAGCCCAGGCAAAGACGTTCATGTACCACCGCACAGGTTGCAACGTAGTGTACCATTCATCAAATATGCCCTGATCACGCTCCTCCATCATAGCCTCGTATGCTGCATCTTCAGCGGCCCTGAATCCTAGGATGTAATCGAGTTCCTCAATGCCGTTGGTCATTGGGACCTCGTCATCGAAGTATGAATCCGTGTCGCTCGACCATGGCGAGGTTAGGCTGGAGAAGGGGGGGAAATTCGTGGTCGTCATCAGAGTCCATCTTGGTCGATGGCGGTCGAGGTGGTGCGAATGGTAGCCGGGAAGGGGAGGGTTCGAGAGGGAGACGACGCTTGTGGAGGTTGAAACTTGTGGTGGTTGGTGCCTCTCTCGGGTTCCCCGTGCTGACCCTAAGGCTGTCTTTGTGGCCTATACCGTGGATTCGGCGCTGATTCAATCTGTCGCTGGTGTTGGGCGGACACGAGAGCATACAGGAACTGGACATACAGCTGGAGGAGCATACTACCAGAAAATACATACCAAGCAGGAGCAAAGCTAAGGTACCACGCACCTGCCCTCTCTCTGCAGGTGGTAAAGGTGGCAACTTATGCGAAGGCGCTCTTGCCAATCTGCGTGCACATAATGTGACCCATCTGACCCAGGTGTTTTCCTTGCGTTTGACTCTGTCTGAGAGTCCAGTGTCCACTATCCCGTCTCTTGGACTCAGATGATCTGGACGGCAAGCTTCATTCTTAGAGTGATACATCATCTTCCTTCAACTCTACTAAAATCTCTCTTTCCCCCTGATGTGCTCTCTTAGATGCAAGTTGAAGGTATGGGTAGGAAGGTCCACTACTACAGGTATGAAGCCTGTGATGGACCAAGTTGGGATGCCTTTCCATATCTCCGCTATCTCCTCTGTACCCCCGATATCTCCGCTGTATTTACCCCCGCTAATCTCCTTGGCCTGGCGACGCATTGACGCATTGACACAGTGACACGTGAGACGCGAGATCGGATGCGACTTTCAAATTGGACTACGCTTCACTCCTCTCAATATTCCATGTCAAGCACTCCACCTCGATTTCCCTTTCTTCGTTGCCCCGCCAGGTCAGCTCCCGCCGACCGGAAGCGACCTCGATTCCAAGTGGCAATGATCAATGGGGCAGCATAGTCGTGCCCACAACATCTCACTGCGCTGTACAGAGGCTGTGGCTGACAGGCATCGTGGATGCTCCATCAATTATCAAATGGCGCACAGGCAGACACGAAACCAAGGGCAACGAGATATGGACTCGACCCCGCGCAAAAGAGGTCCTGGCCGCCCTCGCAAACACGCCAGCTCTGCATCGAAGCCAAAGGATGAGGATGACCAACGCCCACGCAAGTCCGTTCCCATCTCTCAGACGAATCCTAGTGGTGAGCCTACTCGGCCCCGTCGCCAGGCCGCGGTCATGCGCCGTGCTAGTCCCGAGACCGACACAGCGATATCACACAAACCCAAAAGAACCACGCGTGCTACAAATGCGGATCGAGGAACAGCAGCTCATCCTATGTACGACCCTGATCAACGTCAGGCACCACCAACTGTGCCATTCCGGAGGTCAGACTTTGTCATCGAGATACCAACACGCAGAGTCTATATGGAAAGCCTCGCTGGTCATGTACTCGACAGCATCAAGACAGCCAATGCTTCCTCTGGAGGTGGTATCGGGACGGCCAGACCGAATGCTGGCCTCCCCCTACACTCTGCAGCGGAGAACGCCAATCAGCCCATTCTGGTCTCGGCCTCGCCGCTTGAGAAGCACGTAGCCCGCCAAGACAGGGGCTTCAGTGATGAGGTATTGGGTAAGGTGCCCATCGGCCTCAATCGCATTCCCAGTGAATTCGAGTTCTCCGACATCGATTAGCTGGCAGACTGAATGCCTGCAGGAGACGGTGACTGCCCGTCGAGGCACTCAGCTTGTGCGCTTTGATGGCTCAGGCAATCCTATTGTTCGGATCCATATGTCTTGCAATGTCCTCCTCTGCATCACACTGAAAAGAAGGCTCGCTGTTGCATTCCGTCGCCCAAGGGATCAGAGAATGAGCGTCTCGTCCTGGGTGATTTGGCGAATCGACCAGTTGCGGCATCGACACTCCTACCCAACACGAAGTAAGCAACGCCCACAGGTAGACTGACGGAGCCATTGGCATGTCTTGACGTGAAAGATGTTCCTGACAAGAGATGCAGTGTCGATGCAGCATTGACTACTGCTTGGAGCTAGCTCCACGGGCTGCGAACCCCCACTGGACCAGCCTCCATGTGGTCTATACCTACGGTACGTAAGTCGCTACATCGTGGTCAGCACAGGTAGTCTATCACCTTGGACTCATACTGAACAGGAAATGGCGGGAACACTAATTCACCCGTTCGCGAAGTTGCCGGGGTTGTCATTTCCAGACATCTTGGCAGTTGGTTGGTGAGTGTAGTGTTGGGTGTGGAAGATGTTATGAGATTTAAGATGAAGTTGCTGTGTTGGTCCGAAGTCAATCAGATCAGAGATGTGGAAGATGGATGTGGATTGGGTGGAAGGTTGGCTGGTTGTTGTTGTGGGTTGGAGGTTGATATTCATACCTGGGAGGTAGTGCGTGCGAAGGTTCGTGACTTGAGGCTGGTTACAATTGAAACAACCTGCTGCCCAAACCAAGTGGAGGCAACCACCCGCAAAATAACCTATTTAGTATGTCATTTCACTTCACAGGTCATGTACACAGAAAGCCTCGCTCGTAAGGCTGCAGGCGCCCTTGGAAATGACCTCATTCATCATGTGGATATGATGGAAAAGCGTCTTTTTAACAACTGAACCTTTCTCATGGGACCGGAGATCCCTCCGTCTTGGTGGTATGGGCACGGGTGACGGCTTTCGCGGCTCCCTGTCTTCCATTCTCACACATGTTCTGGGAAGAGTACCTCCGTCAAGCAAACGGCCGAGGACCAACGGACACAGGAACAGGGTGATCACCGGAGGAGGCTCCGGCATTAGGAACGTTTCTGGCCCAGGTGAATAGGTATCCAAGTGATTACATCTTGCTGTCTGTCAATGGAGTTGGCAGGCACTTCGGCGTCGAATCTGTGCAAGGTCAACATTGCTGCCCTCCGGCGGACTCGAACTTTTCCAGCTCAAGTGCAGTAGGAACATGTAGCTGTATCGGGCTCGTCGCCCAAGCTCATAATCAAGCCTGCGACGATCAGTCCACACATAGCATTGTCCGGCTCCGATGCGACGCAGACTGAGTAATGGGTGTTGGCTCGGCTTCGGTCGGGCTGCCTAGAGAAAATCAGGGGCATTCCGGGACGAGGGCCTCAGTCTCAGCTGTGCCGTCCTACGTCCAGCCAGCAGAGAACTTGCCCTCGGACAGGGCCACAAACCCCCCAGGGAGTAGTCAGGCCTCGAACGATTGGATCCCTAGGCCGAGGAAGCTGCATTTCTGGGGGTATGCTCTGAGCTGCACTCAAAGCTGCCTGGGAAACAGGTTCCAAATGGTGTCAACATTTCATCTTGTGCTACGGACTTGCCTAGTCTGCTGGCGAGCATGGTGGAAAGCCATGGTTGGAATCAACGCGTGCATTGGGTGGGCTAGTGAGTTGGCCGTGGGCTTCGGATTGAGGAAGCCCACGGCCAATCACACCGCTTTCACGGACAGATAGACCACCCTGCCCTTGCATGACTCCTATCGTAGGAGTGCACTGACGCCTGAGCCCAGGTCCAATGGCAGGATGCGCGGTCGACGACCATCAACGAACACTTTCATGGCCACACACCAACGTGTAATCAACGTTGAGAAAGAAGTTTTCGGACCTATGTGGAAGGCCAGGATCAAATGGCAAGGGGCGTACGGGCGAAGCGACAACCATGCTAGCTTTGCTATAAGGGCATATCCGACCGAACGCTTACTCTATGCCCTCCTTACATCCGGCTACCTGAGCTGCACTACATTATTACCTCTCATTCAATGTTGAGCAACCGCAGTGTGGTCGATTGAGAAAAGGGGCAAGGGGGCTTGCCCACTCCTCCCCCGTTACCGACCCGACAGTAACCATGGCTCGGCATCAGCGTAATATAACGAGGAACTTCTCGGGCAAGCCCAACACTGTCTATTGGGGGAGATCGCAATACGTCAACTCCAGAGACATAACCGGGCAAGTGATGGTCGGCCTCGCCGCTCTCTAACAGCGTGTAACAGTCCGCATCATTCGAGCAGTGCTTCTGAGATATCTTTACCATCGCTATGTATGAACTGGGAGAGATCCCGATGGGCAGCTATTCATGGCCAGGCGTCCCAGTTCCGGGCACGTCGCAACTAAATTCGTCTACAAATAGACCATCTTGCAGACAGTAGACCATGCCAATAGACATACCACCTTCCACCGTGCCACATCCTTCTGATCCCACACGAAAATGCTGCCACACAGCCCTTGTCGAGGCCTCTGACCAAGGGGAAACGTACCCATACGCAATACTGTGCAAGGGGTAGTAAACACCTAATTTGGGTTAACACGTGCCGCTGTGCCGTTCCTCCTCTCGATGTGCCGTCCATCGTCGCTTGCCAACGAGGGTCACACCTAGGCGGAGGTTCCCTATTTAATCGTGGACTCTCCCCGTCCCGAAGTGGCTGTAAGTCGGCCAGCGGTCTACATACTCTAATTTTCTGCGTACCAAACTCATACACCCGCCTCGAGTCTATCAACTATATAGATCCATTCATATGCAATTCATTGCCATCGCCGCCCTCGCGGTGACAGCTCTGGCATCAGCTGTCTCATCCTCTGGCCGGAAGAGCTCTGCGTCTCTCGGCGTCCGCTACCACGTCGACTGTCCTAGTACATCCGACTACGACGCCTTCATGGAGTGCTACAACAACCAAGCAGGGCGCTGCGACCAATATACCGACGAGATCGGCTGCCTGTAAGTGAACCAGCGGACTTGCAGTGAGCACCTTTCTGGCTACATACAAGTCGGAAGCACAGTCAGTCATGGAGCTTAGCTGACAAGTCAATAGCGGAGTGGAGTACTTGCACGTTGAGTTGATCCTCCCGAAACTCGAAGTCAAGGCACACACAAGCTCATGGTGTCACGCCTTACGAATTGGTGACTTGGAGGAGTGGCCTGCTGGATCCGTGCCTTGTCAGGTCCTGGCGTAGGATACTCTGTAATATCGACATAAGGCAGAAAGGGGGGATGGCTGTGGTATGGAGCTTATTACTGTTAATAATCGCGAACGATGTTCAGAGACTGGGGCCCGTTCGATTTCATCTACAGACCTTTAGCGGTAATTTCATGTCCATTGCATTCCGGCTCTTTCCCCAGAGTGACATGCGCTCGTCTGCGCACTATCCCAAGGCCATCTTCAGGCAGAACAAAGCCTACGGTATGAGCATTATACCACTGGAACCAAGGGACAATTCTCGTCTCACTGTTTCTCTGGGCACATTAATACTTGGGAGCAAGAGCTTATACTCTCTCACCGAGAAGGGAATCCTCAGTCTCGGCCACTAACTCAATACCTCCCTACCCACAGTCGACACCCATCTCCTCAGCAAGCTCCTCGCGCCAACCCTGATAGCCACCGCTGACCCCAATTCCGTGTTCGCTGTCCGGGTTTCCTCCTCAGCAGCCGAGGCCCCGTTCGCGCCCAAGTGCGGCGTCCCGATGGTTAATCTCGACCGGGGCGCAGGCTACCGCGCGCGTCCTAGCAACTTTGCCTGTTACTGTATTAGCAAGGGAGGCAATTACTTGTAGATCGCCGGTGTGCGCGGCGGTACGGGAGAAGGGCGTCGTAAGCGTGCCGCCACATCCTGGGAATCTGGACTCGGAGATATGGCGCAAGCAGGGGCCTGTTGCAAGGTGGTTGATCCATGGGGCGTATACGGAGCTGTGGACTGGGCTGTCGCCGGATATACGATTGGGAGGTCTGGGGAATGGGGTGAGTCTCTTCCATTTGCGGGCCCCTTTTTAAAACACCCGTTGGTCCATGCGCATCCTCTGAAGGAAGTTAACACGTGCCGCTCAGTTATATGTTGGGGCATTTGGGTTTGGCTCTTCCATTGCGGTCGAAGCGCTTGACAGTAGTGATAATGATAATGATAAATCGAAAAATGAATTCCTTAGGGCCGGTTCAGAAACGTCAGGGCAGACCTCAAGGAGGCGACGCTGTCGAAGGCCAAGGGCGGGTCAGGTGTAGCATCTAAGTCTTGGGAGTGGAATGAGGCCCAAGCAGCCAGGTCAGGTCATATTTATAAATATATACCCGAACGTCATGCGACCTAAATAAACATCCCAAGAAGGATTTGGAAGAATCGGTTGCGGGTGGGGGTGGAGACCGATGTGCCTCCTTATTACTGTGTACAACTTCAACTTGTCAGCCTGCCTAGGTAGTTCTATTGTTATATCTTTTCTGTGGGCACACGATCGCTGATGGGATGCGGCTGGGTCCTGCCGAGCCTGCCAAGCCGTTCTATACCTGGTCCTAGGATGGACAATGAAAGAGGAAATGCTACCTCTTGTAGGCCACCAAGAAAAGGCTAGAATACTCGACCTAGCCTTATGTGTCACACACATCGACTGCTGATTCGTATATCATGAACCAATGAGACCATTTTTCTTGTCGCTAGGGTTATTATTATCGTGGCGAGATTTATTTTTACGAGAGAGTTGGCATTACCAACGCCCGACCACCGCACGTCCATCGTCTCGCTTTTCGTCATGCTTCCTGTACGAAAACTCTCTGCATATGTACATAAATAGGAGCTTCCCTCCAGTAAGTCACCGGTCGTCACTGCAGTACTCGACATTACCAAACTCTCACCACGCCCAACACACACTGTCCCATATAGAACGCTAGACCAATACCTACATTTGGGAGCACCTTTACCACCATGAAGCTATCCGTGGCATATGGTCTTCTTGTTGTGTACATCACAATGGCCATGGGCGAACACCTGAAGATCCCCGGAAGATGAAAGACGGCAAAGGACATGACCGGCGTGGAGGCCCCCGTGGACCCGCCAGCGTACAACGACGACGGCCTGCCGGACTATGGAGACTTGTCGTCCGCAGTGCCCTCGCTCTCATCTGGTGACGACAACGACTTTGCGGATGTGGGCAAGAGGGCTCTCACATGGGCCAACGGCGCCTGCGTCCTGGACAGGGTCGTCCGTGGCCGGCCGCTTTGGCTGAATATCAAGCACGCGTTAAAATTCGGGGCCAGGCCGAAGCTCCCCTGCCTTCCGCAATATCAGTGCCGGAACTCGGGGGACAAGTGTGCACACATCTACGACACGGAGGCTGGGACATCGCAGGTTCAATGCGCTGGCCTTTAAATAGAGGATAACTAACGGGGTATTCATGCGATTCTGATCCGAGCCCGCATTAGGACGTGTCGATGAGAGCCTAAAGTGGACGTCACTCAGATGGAGGCCACTGACGAATTTGGATTCTCATGTTTTGCTGGGGGCTTCTTGACGTATCGTCCCCGGTGCAGCCAGTCGACACAAGGGGCGGTGGTTCTGGGCGCACTGTACACGTGCCGCGGGGTCTCCTCCCTCAAGGGACTGTAAGAGAAAAATATGTCGTATTTGTTGTTCAAGACTCTTGGCTTCTGGGAAGAACGGTGTGCCAGCTTCACTTGGGCTTGAGAACTTTGAGAAGTGGAAGAAGAGGCTTGGCTTCATGAATTCCCAATAGAGTAGCTAGTGAGTGGTGAGAATTTACATGTAGACGAGTGTCAATCCCGTGCCTAGGTCTGGACGTCGAAGGTCGCATATGGCCCTTTCAAGATATCACGACGTCAGGTCATGTTCGCTGCCTCGAATGTGGGGGTGATTCCACCAACATGGTTACGTCCTCGGAGAGATCTGTCCTTAGAACCTAAGTGCCCTTGCGGGTTAACACTGCTATTTATGTCATCTTACAAGAGGTAACTCAAGGGTTTAATGGGCATTGATCTGTCATGTCAGGTGCATAGAATGGGAAGATCAATCAAACTCTCTTGGGATGGTGACTACATGCCTGGACCCGACGTGCTAACAGATAGATGATGAAGACGCTGGACATGTGCAGGTTGGTCCTCCGTCACGCTTCTTACATGCATTCAGAACCCTTGAAGAGGCTTAGGTAAGTAGGAACTGATTGACACCAACCTTGACCTCTCTTACTGTCGTGAGTAATACTGTCCCGTACAATGAACATTTATATTATTTTGACTCAGGAGATGTCCTACGGCACGACGTTCTCCTGAGCTGGCTAGTGGTCAGTAAGCCATGCAGTGTCCGGTAACACTACAAATCGAGGTAACCTCGTGCTCCTCCCGCTCCTCCCCCGTTCTGCTTGGCTTCGCAATTTCGAGATGAGGTAGTCAGCGATGTGATTATTGAAACGCTCCCGTAATCATCGGGTTCTCGGCCAGTGTTCCACACGTGCAGGTGAAGAGACCAAGGGCGGTTCCTTGCTTTGGAAACCTAAAGAGTCAATATGTTGAGAGGTGAAGAAGGCTGAGCCCGACGGAGTTGCACACTGTGATGCCGGTACACAGCAGCACCAGACGGGCTGGCCGAGAACCAGCAGCCTGGGAGAGGACATATGCCCAGCACGTCGGTCGGGCCTGATCGGACGTTTCAAAAAGGCCAAACGAACATCGGCTGGAATGGACAGGGACAGCATCACGTCATGCGAGGAGATGATAGATGTCATGATTGAATTATGTCATTCTCTCTACTCTTGTCATCAGGCGGTATGCTATCCCTGGCCTGCTAAACCCCCCCGTGCGAGGCCCAGCGGTGGCACCACCAGCTCGGCCGTTTCGTCCGAAGTTTGCTCTGTACTGTTCGCACCCCGAAGCGGTATCTACGCAGGATGAGGGATATGGGTACATAATCTCAGTGCGGAGGCGACACTGCGGGTCGTAGGGGGTAATCAATCCTGCACGCCGCGCTGGTTTCAGAGCGTCGTCCTCCAAGCAGGCAGACCCGCGGTATGATCCCTATGTTCCCATGCCCCGCAGCTGACAGATAACTTGTGGTAAGTAGTGGGAATTCCCAAGAAATCACGGACGGGCGATAAGTATGCGTCCGGAGGCATACGTCCAGTGTCTTCGGGTGTCGAGCGACCCGTTTAAAGGGGACCGGGCTTCACTGGGGAACCCTCAGTTTACCAGGCCGCCAGCGTCTAGTGCTGGCCGCGCCGTCGGCTGAGTAGATGTTAGATAGACCAGTGCTCTAGCCTGTCTGTCCACCTGTGCTTCCCGTACTGGCTGGTCGCGGCGGGGGTACCGGCATGACCGACATACTGCTTCCGTCGCGCTCCATGGCGACACCGCCCACTATGCCGGAAAGAGAATGCGGTTCGACGCCGTCGCCCTCGGAATCCTCGCTCTGCTGACTGCTGGCACTACCCACACCAGCCAGAGCTTGTTCGGCTACCTTGCGCTCGACCTCCTTCAGCCTCTCCTTCTCGACGGGATCGACGAGGTCGTCATCGTCGCTCCAATATCCCTCCTCGGTATCGGCGAGCTCGGGCATGGCCATGCGCTTCCAGAACCGCAGCTCCTGCTTCCTGGCCTTCTCGTCGACCCGTTTCTGCCAGCGCGCCTCGTTCTCGTCGTACTTCTTGCGGAATTCGCGCAGGGTCTGATTTGCATGGCTCGCATGTTCCTGCACATCCCACATCTGCTCGCGCAGGCGGGAGTTCTCGGCACGGGCCTCGGCCAGCTGGGATCGGTAGGAGCGGTGCCAGGCGGAGACGTCGGCGATGTGCTTCTGTTTGTAGGCGTGGAACTGCATGATGATGCTCTCAAAGACCTTGGCGTAGCTGGCGATCAGGGAGAAGTTGGCGTCTCGGGACAGTTTGGCGCGGTCGAGTGATTCGGACAAGATGGAGAGCATGGCTTCGAGGTTGGGTTCTTGGGCTGCGGGAGTAGCTGTGGTCAGCTCTGCTTCACACCCAGTGTCGCATGAGGGAGGTTAAGGGAGATTAAGGGAGGTGACGTACCGAACAGCTCGTCGGCAGCCTCTCCAAGCACGTCATCATTGCCCAGGCCTCTCTCGCGTGCTCGGTTGCGTACCCTTCCCAGGCCCGACACGATGTCCTCGGTGACCCGTCTGTTCTCGGACAGCTGGCGCGACAGCTCCTCCACCATGCCGTATATGATGTTCAGCTCGGCCTGGTGGCCGGCGGGCGCAGGGCCGATCTGCATGGCACCAGGCGCAGGACCGGCTCCATTGGCCTGCATGGCGCCTCCACCGTTCATCAGTTGGATCTGCTGCTGCTGCTGCTGTTGGAGCAAGTGGTTGTTTGTGATGGTGTTCGTGTTGTCGTTGGTGGGCGGCGGTCGTAGAGGATGTTGCGCGGGCTGTCGTTGCGGGAAGCGTTGTTTCTGCTGTCGGTATTGCGATGGTGTACTCCCAGCCAGACATTGAAGTTGAGAGGACGTAGATGGGAGGTCCATGATATGATGGGCAGGGGATTCCAGCTTTGCCAAGGCATCAGATGGGGAATCGGGATGGATAACGATGGAGACAAACACACCCTGGCTAAGGTGGTACAGTACTGCCGGGTACTGCACTACTGCACTACTGCACTAGACCAGGGTACCCTTTCCTCCACCAGTTGTCGCAGCCCGTCAGCCTGTCAGCTAGCCTGTCACATCTGGGGTGCTGGGTGCCGATGCAGGCCCTGGGAGCTTGGGCCACCCACGGCTTTAAGGCCGCCCCTTTCCACCTCATGTACATAAGGTACATATGTACTTATCAGGTACCTATACAAAGGGGGTAGGGACATGATGGCCTTACCGTACGACATGGGTTACTGCTTCGTTCAGGTGTCAGCATGTCATACCAGAACGCCTCGGTGTCTCCCGTCCTCTCGTCTCCACCATCGTCGTCAATGTTGACAGCTTAAGATTGCACCCAACAACAGAAACATTGCAAGCGCCGAGATGGAAGAGATGGAAGCCCCCAGTACCCCCGACACTTTCTCCATCTGCCGCAAACTGAACAGCGGAGCGAAACAAGCTCTGCAGCTGCCGACACAGGACGACGACACGGACCTTGCCATGACTTTGGTAGTAGGAAACGACCACGCGTACAGTCGCATGACACCGCGGAATGCTCTAGAGGGTTATCACGCCTGGGCCATGAGTATCGGGGTGCCACCTACAGCCGACTTGGTGAGTAAGGGTTTCGATCGCCTGGAACAGTCTCGTGAGTAGGTACGTGCAGGCTTTGACCAATGCATGCTTCAATCGATCTCTGTTCTCCACAGCAGGCGGCCGCCTGGGTCTTGGGCCAAAGACCGTCGAAGCCAGCGATTTAGTCGTGGTCCCGTGGGGATGCCACTTGCCGGTTATACTGCGACCTCTGTCGAGAAAGGGTGAGTACTCGGTCGTAGGCGTGTCAAACGTTCACGGTATCATGGACGGCGAGGCTGTAGAGCAGCATGAAGCTGCTGGAAAGAGCGAGGAAGTGTTCTACTTGCGGTAGCCGGTATGCCGCCACGAGGAGGCGGCCTAGTTGATAGCGCGAGCTCCTAGGAAACTCGCTTCCTCCAAGTGTATCGAAGCCGTGGAACAGAAGGCAGAAGTTTTACGTGTGCCGCTCGGTTCTTGAAGCGGAATCCGTGCAGAGATTCTTGTGGGCCACCGAGCATCGCTTCAGCATGTAACGTATGCGACTATATTTGAGCAGTTCGTGAAAATTATGATGTCACCTAGTCGCCCGTAGGAGGTTCACATGTTAAGCCGTGTTCGATAGCGCAGACTTGCCAGCATCGGGAGCGGAACGCTGGCATGTAATGGTTCGGCCTGAGTGCTCCGTCACTTTCGACATGTCCATCGGAAGGCTGGCGATGCTATTAGAAGCATTCGCATCGCATCGAAATCTCTGCCACAAGAACCATGCCCGCCTCTCGGCTGTAGCACTGTGCCATCTCTCCAATGCCAAATCAGCGAGGCGGAGGAAGAGAAGCATCAAGACTGGAGTGATCCTCTGCGCTCCAGCAGAACGGTATATCCCTTCTCAAGTGCAAGGCTCCATGTCATTCAGCCTGGGGGTATGATGTCCAACCGCGGTTAAATCTCAGGCTTGCCCGCCAACCTCCAGGGCTTCGACTCGCAGTCGTCTGATCAAGGGTGTCTTCGCCGTACAAGGATCTTGGGTTTGGTTCGGGAAGCTCTTTCAATTCGCATTCCTTTCAATTTGTGCACGGTATGCAACCCATACATTCGGTACCAGATCGGGCGAGCCGTCAACCTGCCTCGCACTCAGATGGGCAAGGGCCAGTGCTGTCTACCTCCTGTTGAACACACATTGTTCCAGGCACCTGGACCTGACACCTGCTCACTCGACCTAGGCCGTGGCGTGGCGTCAAACAGAGTGCGCCTAGGTGCTATCTAGCCGATATCATGCGCCTGTCATCTTAAGCCGGGGCTGGCTCCCGCAACTCAAATGGAATCTCCAGTACTCCCTAGAGAAATAATACAAGCTAAGAAGCAGCACTGAACATAACCCGGGTATATAACATGGAAAGTTGTTGTTTGAGCTGTGAACATGTGCGCACAGGGCTTCCAGACCGTACCCTTGATGGCCATGGATACCCTGTGGATTTATCCCAGTGCCTTCGTTCAACCTTTATGACCAGATCTGAAATCAAGAACTTCCGGCGGCTTGGGTGTTCTCCTTTTGAACGTATTGACCGTGTCCCCTCAAGGATTTGATTGCTGGTCAACGATATGGCAGGAACCATATCCGTACGGATCTGATGTGATTACGTGAAGCCACGTTGAGGACACATAAGGGAACAACAGTGCAAGCAAATGGCATTCTCAGGCTCCTTCGCTTAAACAGGTCGGCAACAGCCACTCACAGCGAGTCTGGCTATCTGGAATCTGGGGTTGTCGCGTGTAAGTTGCTCGCGTGACAGGTAGAGGAGTATTTAGACTTCAAGCCGCGGCAGCCCCTTTCATAATCCGCTCACCTTTACCCAGCAAGCAGCCAAACAGCTTCGAGCTTTGGTCTTTTATCTATCCAGAAAGGTTCCTAGTACAACGGGGGTTGCACCCCGTTATCTTTTTCTTATGTATGGCGTTTCATCTCGTTACCTATTTCCCTCTCGTCTCGAGAAATCAACCCCCTCAGCTTTTAGTCCAACTCTGCCGTCTTGCCCTTCTGTCTTTTTCTTTTCTGTCTCCATGCCTCCTTCTCTTAAAGCTCTTCATAGCAGCCATAGTGATACATGTAGGAAGTCTTCTACGATTTTCTCCTTAACAACACCAGAGGAAAGCAGATTTCCATTGTCGGGCCTATCATTCAACAACTGCCATCAAGCAATCATCCGAGTCAACCGCCTGCATACAGCTCCCATGGCATCAGTCAAAACAGCTCCCATGGCGCCCACCGATTCTCCGGCTCACGTTGAGCACCCCGGTTCGACAGGCTCCCTCAAGAAGGTCATTACGACACGACAGTTCATCTTTATGGCCCTCAGCTCTTCCATCGGGGCCGGCCTCCTCCTCTCCACCGGCCAAGCCCTCGCCGTCGGCGGTCCTGCGCCGCTCTTTATAGGTTTCGCCGTCGTCGGGCTCGCCGTCTGGATTACCATGTGCAGCCTGGGCGAGCTGTCGACCAACTTCCCCGTCAAGGGGTCCTTCTACGAGTACTCAGTATGGTTCATTTCGCCGTCGTGGGGCTTCAGCATGGGTTGGAACTACGTCATGAACTTCATCTGCATCGTACCTTTCGAGGTCATCGTCATGGTCCTCGTCGCCCATTTTATCAACCCCGGCTTGCCGGCCGAGTATCTGATTCCCGGCTTCCTGGTGGCGCTCATGCTCATCTACGTCTTCGGCGCGCGCTGGTACGCCGAGGCCGAGAATGTCTTCGGCGTGCTCAAGATGCTGGTTTTCACCATTTTCATCATGACAGCTTTCTTCATTGTCGCCGATGCCGTTCCAACGGACCCCCGCCCAGCCTCCGAGCTCGGCTGGCACATCTGGAAGAACGAGGCCTTCAAGAACGGCTGGGCTGGCTTTCTGTTCGTCTTCATGTCGGCCGGCATGGCGTATGGCGGCACCGAGATGCTGGGGTTCACGGCCGCCGAGTGCGTCAATCCTCGAAAGGTCATGGGCCTCGCGAGTAGGCTCGTCGCGGGCCGCGTCGTCGGTCTCTACCTCCTCCCCATTCTCATGGTCGGCCTCGTCCTCAGCATCCCCCTCGAAGACACCGCCAAGGAGCATACCGACACCAAGACGAGCCCCTTCGTGCTCGCCGTTGCCCGCGCCGGCATCCCCGTGCTCCCGCAAATTATGAACGGCATCATCCTGGTGGCCATCTTCAGCATGGCCAACGCCTCGGTCTTCGCCTCGTCGCGCGCCCTCCGCGCCATCTCCTCGCAGGGCATGGGTCCCAAGTTCTGCGGTCTGGTCAAGTGGGATCGTCCCGTCGGCGCCCTCATCGTCGTCTTTCTCTTCTCCCTTCTCGCCTTCGCCAAGGTCTCACCCGACGGCGACAACGTCTTCACCTGGCTGCTGGCCCTCGCCTCCGCGTCCAACTACTTCACCTGGATGTCCATCTGCCTGTGCCAGATCCGGTGTCGGCTCGCGATCCGGAAGCGGGGGTTGGATCAACACACCGTGCTCCCGAGCTACCGCTCGCCTTTCGGCATCTACGGTAGCGTGTTTGCGATGCTGGTGTTCGTGTTCGGCCTTGTGGCCCAGATCGCCGCCGCGGTGAAGAGCCCCCTGCCCAGCCCGCCGCCTGTCTTTGCAAGTATGTTGGGCATTGTCGTCGTGGCAGTCTTTTGGGTCGGCTATATGTGTTGGAAGCGCGACTGGACGCTGTTGGTGCCGCTGAAGGACATAGACCTGGAGACGAAGGACGCGCCGGAATCGCACGAGTTCGAGAGTGTTTAGAACGGCGTCCGCATGGATGAATGTAGAGTAGGGAACTGCGTTGGTTCAATTTCTTGTATGCAGACTTTTCTTCTTGTATTTACCTAGGCTAGGTAGTCTTTCAGTGATAGGTATCTCTAATTCAAGAAGTACAAAATACCCTTTCTGCTGCGATTTTGACCAGCAGCCGCAAAGCTGAAAAGCCTGCACATACAGAAGACGCCATATTCAAACATCTCCACGTCCTTGCTAGATGTCATCGAGTCTGAATCTTGTCGCTGACATGACTGGCGTACAGAGGTACGGATCGCTGTATATGGCCAGTCCTGGACAGCTGAAGATGTTGTGGCCTCGTGGTTGTGACGAAACAGGATTGACAAAGAACAAGATGACTTTCAAAGTCCATGGTATTTTGAAACAATGGCAAAACTACTAACCAGACACCCCTTATCCATATCGTCGTCCCAGAGATCAAAACCAGCATCAATATCAACATCATGCAGGACTCCAGCCTGACACCCACATCGCATCCCTACCATCATACCGACCGTCTCGCTTATGACGGTCCATTATACAAACACACACACAACATAGTCCAGTCCCAGCCAAGGCAATTTACCTACACTCTAAGCACCCACAGCAGTAGTCCTCCGCTGCGATTGTGTCCCGCCCCTCTTGGACACACGAGCCCCGGGTCGGGCCAGCGTGTATTTGGCGAACGCCCGCGCAAGTGCCTTCTTGCAGCTGACCTTCTGGCTGCCAACGAAGCTGTCGACGGTGACGGCGATGGCACGGTCAATGTCCTGTGCTGAGCAGTACTCTGAAAGTCGCATGCGGCAGAAAGATTCCGAGATGCGGATGATGGCTTCCAAGTGACGGACCTGTGCTGGAAGTCAGTACGAGTACGAGTCAAATCGACATGAGGGGTGTTGTGCACTGACAGTGATAGGGTATGCACCAGTAGCCAGGGACTCTCGTCGCATATCAGCGAAGAGTCGCGCAACTTTGTCTTCGTCCATATGCAGCAGCTTCGGCGAGCAGTGATCGCGAGCATAGAGGATGTATTTGCGGAGGAGCTCCTGGGGGATCTGTCCCTCCTTTTTGATCGCATCTTGGCTCTCGCGCGCAGTCTTGGTGTCCTGCTCAGTCTCCATTGTCTCTTTAACCTCCTGGGTAGATGGATGGCTGCGACTGTGGGATCCTACAATGAAGCGAGCAAGTCGCTCATCTTCTGCGGGATCGACAGTATCTCGGACAACGCAAAGGATGTCGAAACGTGACAAAATAGGCTCCGTCAACTCGACGTTGGCTGAGAAGGGTATCGTAGAGTTGTAACGGCCACCGATGGGATTGGCAGCAGCGATAATACCGCATCGGGCTTGTAGAGTGGTGACAATACCAGCTTTGGAGATGGAGATGGTCTGCTGCTCCATAGCTTCGTGGATCGAGGTTCGATCCTGGTCGTTCATCTTGTCGAACTCGTCAATCAGACACGTACCCCTATCAGCGAGCACCAATGCACCCCCTTCTAGAGTCCACTCGCTAGTCAAGGGATCTCGACGGACACTAGCCGTGAGACCGACGGCGGAAGCTCCCTGGCCGGTGGCAAAGACAGCTCGGTGCGCCGTCTTCTCGACGTACTTGAGTACTTGTGACTTGGCTGTACCGGGATCACCCAGCAGTAGCACATTGATATCGCCACGAACGTGATGTGACCCCTTGGCTACCTTGGCTACACCACCGAAAAGGGACAAGGCAACAGCGGTCTTTATATCGGCGTGGCCGTAGATACTGGGCGCCATTGAGTTGATAACCTTGTCGATGATCTGGGGATCACGCGATAGTTTGCGAATCTTTTGCTCGTCTTCTTCGGTCAGCCTGAATCCGGCCAGCTGGTCGTGAGACTTGACAACATTGTTTGCCTCGAGAATGGTGGCAAATACAGGGAAGCCATTCCGGTTGTTAAGCTGAGCGTCGTAGTTATTTCGGTATATACCTGTAACTTCGATCTCCTCGCCAGGCTTCACCCTGTCAATCAAGTCCCAGAGCAGGATAACCTCGCGGTGGCGAGGCAGACGCCCAGCGGGCACAGTGCCAGGGGATTCCTGGAGACTGAGTTTCTGGTAGTTGCGGTAGACTGTCTTTTCTGAGTTGATGGTGAAAGGACCTCGCGATTGGCAATTCTGGCAGAAGGTGATCTTGACTTCGACATTGGACTCCTGTTGGAAAGGGCCGAGAGTCACACCGCACTTGGTGCAATCGAACTTGACGTACTTCAGTTGGGGGAAGACGCCAGATCGGCGAGTGACGACACCGCTGACTCTGACAAGGCAGTTCAGATGGGATTGTCGAAGCTGTCGGAGGGTGTAATGAACCGGCAGGTCAAAGATACGAACGTGAATATCGGAGTGAATGCGCTCGTAGTCGGGGTAGTGAAGAAGCACAACGTCCATAGCAACTTCGTCAAAGAGGTTGAGCATCTCAACCGGTGCGTTGGCGAGGAAGTAGGCCAGGATAGCCTTGGACGACGACAGATGGTCGTACGATACCTCCAAAGACTCGGCGTTGATCTCTCCGAGAGTCCGAATACGACTGCCGTACACTGAGGAGCCGTTCTCGTCGGTGTACTCGGTCAGGAAAGCCTTGAACTCTCGCTTGATGGTGCGCTGAACAGCAGGCTGGGCCACCCAGTCGGTCAAGCTCGAGGCCTTGACATCTTGTAGGGCTTCCAGGGACAGCTCCTCGTCCATAATGTCCTGGTCCATCATGTCATCGGGGTCTTCGTCGTAGTGGTGGCGGCGTCTACGAGGTTGGGCGGTGAGGTCAATATCGCCATCCTCGTCTTCGTCGGGGAGGAAGGCGGCAGGGGCTCTTCTGCGGGCAACCTCCCGGTCTCTGCGGTTCAACTGAGCTTCTAGTCTTCGCCGGTCGCCGAGGTTCAGGTCATCGTAGTCTCCCTCGTCGTCAATGTCGAGCCCCTCATATGTGTCATTGTCATCCTTCTCTCTGTAGTCTCGCTCGAAGCCTTCGCGGAAGAGATCGACCTCGTCCTCAGCCATCTCGTCCAAGTCGTCAAGGTCATCTTGGATCTCGGCCTCCTCCTCAATGTCGTCGTCGTCATCGCCGCCGTGAGAGACATTGAAGGCTGGTGGGGACGAGGGCATGGGGCTTGAAGCTGCGACGGATGATGAGGCATCGCCATTAGTGCGGGATCGTTTGCGATTCGATCGCGGGGCGGCACCGCGATTCGCCGAGTCCATGTTGCTTCGTAAAGGGGAACTGTAGATATGATTGTCAGCGAGTGTTGCTGGACACTCGCATGTCGCAAACGGGCATGCGCAGCTGTGGGTGAGGCCAGGGACACATGTTTACACGAGTGGTGCTAGCGCAAGGGGAGAAGACATACCTCATGATGACTGACTATCGAACCTCTTGTGAGCCGTGACGAGAGATCAAGATGTCGTCAAGGGTGAATTGGTCATCTACTGTGGGAGACAAGAGGGAGATGGGTGCGTCAATGATAATGGCAGTGGGAAAGGGGAGCACCGATCGAGGGGGGGCTTGTGGAAAAGTGGTGGGACCCGGTAATGATTCTCCAGACCACACTCGGCGCGTGATTTCCGTGTTTCGGGTTTCGCGACGGCGCGTTAAGTGGCGCTAGACCAAGTCGAGCAACTCTGTCAGCGCCTGTAAAGTGGCTGGACCCACAGCGCTTGGCAGTGGGCGTCTCTGGCGTGTTACCGTACGGTACCTCCACTCATTACCTTAGGTACATCATTGCTCGATGTCGGCGCATTTACAATTTACACGGTGTTGTACAGCTTCACCTCACGATTCGCCTATCTCGTCCCCGTGTCGTGTCTGTCTTTAGCCAAACGCGAACACCGTCGAGTTATCCCCTTCCTCCTTATAGTCCCTTCGCCTACCTGCCTGCCTCTGGTCACATTCTGCCCCTCGCCACCAAAAGACACCGCGCATCCCTCCTCCTCCGCCTCTTGCGACACCCCGCCTACAACACCACCTAGCATCGACAGAATATACGACGATGGACTCTCCGCCGGCACCGGCTGTCTCGCACAGCGCGACGGAGCCTGAGGTCGACGCTAACGTCTCGCGCCCTCGAAGAGAAAGTCTTTCCCAGAAGTCCGAAGACTCCCAGACTGCAGCCGACTTTATTAGAGATCAGATGCAGCTGGAAGCGGATGCGCGCGAAGCTCTGCCTTACGTATGTCGAGCATGCTCGCTACCTCTATTTGGCCACTGTGCTAACCAACGAAACTGACAGAGCATCGAGAATTGCACCAGGCCACTCGGCTCGTTGCGACAAAACGTCTTCGCTTGCCTCACCTGCAACCCTGCTCCCACCGGCCCGGACGACACCTACAACCCGGCCGGCGTCTGCTATTCGTGCTCTGTCCAGTGCCACGGCAAACACGAACTGGTAGAGATCTTCCAGAAGCGGAACTTCACCTGCGATTGCGGCACCACGCGATTCACTCCTGACCAGCAGTGCACGCTGCGCATCGACCCCGAGACCAATACGAAGGGCGGCGTCCACTCCGAGCCGGCAGACCCCAACAACAAGTACAACCAGAACTTTCGGAACAACTTCTGTTCGTGCTCCATCGATTACAAGCCTCGGGAGCAGAAGGGTACCATGTTCCAATGCTTGGGTCTAGGCACACACGAGACTGGCGGGTGCGGAGAGGACTGGTTTCATCCTGGCTGTCTTGTCGGCATGGGCCCAAGGTGGTACGAGAAGATGCCTCAGAAGAGCCAGTCGAACAGTACTCCCCATGGCAGCGCACTTGCTCCCATTTCCGAGGACGCGCCACAGAACAACAGTGGTGACCAGCAAAACAACGAGAGCACCACAGTTGAAGTTGAGGAAGAAGATGCGCCTCTACCCGACGGTTTCCCTGGTGAGGATGATTTCGACCATTTCCTCTGCTACAAGTGTGTCGAGGCGTACCCCTGGATCCAGAGGTATGCTGGTACTACCGAGTTCCTACCGGCTGTCTTCTACAAGAAGGAAGATGGGACACCACACGCCAAAAAGCGTAAGCTGGAAGATGATGGCGAAGCTGAAGATGGCGAACCCATCAAGCGCGTCAAGCGCGAGTCCGAAGGAACAGGTGCTGTGGCTTTAGCTGATGAGCCCATTCCAGACGATGTCCCCATAAAGGTCAAGGAAGAAGAAGTGAAGGGAGCAGAAGTGACTTCAGCCGAGAAATGCAAGTGGGCATCGTTGCCACCTGCACCGGCCGGACAGTTTTCTCTCTTCATACACTCGGACTTTCGCGACCAGTTCTGCCGGTGCGCTTCATGCTTCCCGAATCTCAAATCCCATCCACAGCTGCTGGAAGAGGAAGAGGCATACGAACCACCTCTTTCCGCCTCGGGATCAGATCATGGCTCCGCGCACGGCAGTGGATCGTTGTACGAGCGTGGTGAATCCGCCCTGAAGAACGTAGACCGTGTTCGGGCGATTGAGGGTGTCATGGCGTACAACCACCTCAAGGAGAAACTCCAGCCTTTCTTCCAGAAATTCGCCAAGAGCGGAAAGGCCATCGGCGCTGAGGATATCAATGAGTACTTCGCCAAGCTGAGAGGTGATGAGCAGGCGATCAAGGATGCTGGCGAAGGTGCCAAGGCGGACAATAGGAAGGAACAAAGTGGTTACTAGATGAGTACTGGAAAACACCACGACTTCACGATAATGCCACTGTGGTCTGCTACGAGGATTGCAAACGTCATGGCACCGACCCATGGGTCTGCTTCGGCTCTCGGGTTTGGATGCACGACTCTTCTGTACATCAATGTAATACTATTGTACCAACCTCAGGGTTTGGCTCCTGTGGAACGGATTTCGGATATTCAAAACCTTGTCCATCAACCATGCGTATGTGTAGCTGCCGGCTGCGGCCATGCCCCTTTCCCCATTGGAATTGTCGGGTCTGATGTCTGACGTATACTAGCAGCAACTAATAATGCCATGAATGGATGCTATAGTCTAGTCGCCAGTAACGATGACTCGGGGCCCGGTCAACGGCAGGTTGACAGCGATGATACAAGACAAGGCATTATAGAATGGTAGGCAGTCGACAGAATTGATATCTAGGAGTGACATAAACACCATGCTTGTTCTTTGTACAGATCAGCACTACTTATACAGCCCACACCTTCGCCACCATAGCACTGGGCAATTTCTCGGCCTCCTGGGGTGCATGTTGCAAAGCCAGCCGCACCAAGTTCAGCGCCTGCGTACCCAGAAACACAGGAGCCTTCAGCCGTTGAGCCTCTAACACAGCATCCTGGAGCTTTTGGGCGGCGTCTCTGAGGTTCTCGCCAACAGTCGACGGCTTCTCTCCACGGCAAAGCTTCATGATCTCCGGCCCGACGGTCTCAAACATCTTGCTTCCTCCTGCGGCGTTCATACACAGCTCGTAGACCTGGTCCAGATCCAGATTACAGCGTTTGGCGAAGGCGATGGATTCTGCGGCCGAGCACAGGTATATCCCTTTAAGTAGGGCCAACACCAGTGCCAGTTTTGCCTCATCGTCGACAGCTAGCCCCTTGACCGGGCCTATCTTCCCCTTGCCTTCCGTGTACAGTCTGATAAGACTACTGTCGTCGTCCGGGCCGTATCCTCGGCCGAGTCCCGAAAAGTAGACCTGCTCGGCCGTACTCGTCATCGGCGTAGGGAACCCGGTACGTCCCGCCTCCGAGGTGATAATGCCAGAGTCCTTCAGGATGATGGTCAAGGCGCTGGCGATGGGCTGGAAGTCCGGCGTCAGCATCCTCGGAACTCTATGCTCGAACATCCACGCCCACGCGTCCGACTTGAGGATCCTGTCTCGCGCCAACCCGAGGTCGAGTCCGAGGTGGCTCGCGAACCCCATCCCCTCGCTCGCAGCGAGGATCTGCACGGCGGCGAGGACTTGATGGCACATCTTCATGTTGCTGCCGGCTCCGATCCCTCCCTTGACGATGTACAGCTTCTGCGGATCTGACATCTCTTGCAAGAGGAACTTGCCCTGTTCAATGGCAGCATCGGAACCTCCTGCCATGATGGAGAGTGTACCATCCGCCGCCCTTCCAGCACCGCCAGAGACGGGACAGTCAATCAGCTTGATGTCGTCTCGGCCTGCCTCTGCCAGCTGCTTCTCTAGACTCTGAACATATGCACACGGCACCGTCGAAGCAAGTAATAACGATGCACCCTTGGGCAGCGCCGGGACAGCCGGGTTCTCCCCTTCGAACAACACTGCCTGGGCCTGCTGGGCCGTTGCCACCATGCACACGCAGTAGTCCCTGTCCTTGACCGTCTCCGCGGGTGTTGAGGCAACGCTCCCTCCCGCCGCCTTGAATTTCTCGAGGGTCGGCGGCCAGACATCGAAGCCGGTTACTTTGTAGCCCTGCTTGACCAGGTTGGTGGCCATGCCGAAGCCCATGGCTCCGAGGCCGATAAAGGCAATTTCCGATTTCGCCGTCGTCGTCGCCATCTTGACTGCCTCAAGGGTGATAAAGGAAGGCTTCAAGCTGTGGTATTTCCCGGTCCTTTGTGGGTCTGCCTAGCTAGAGCTGGGTCACGATGTAGGTAGTCCGACGTAATGATTAGCGCATCAGTCGAACCCGACGCCTGAACACGAACACCGGAGAGAAACCCGATTACCCGACGATGGCTATGCTCGAATAGCAGGAGTTTCGGGTCCGCGATGAACCGAGGGCGATCTCGGGGCGTGACTACTCGCCAAATGTCACACTCCCCGCCCTCCTTCTCCGGCAGAGTTCGCGCTTCTGTCCATCGCTCTGCTCTCCGATATCTTGAGCTACCCCACGTCGCTTCCCCACTGAATTATGGAGGCTGTTGTTAGACGGCTTGGTGGTGTGATGATGTAGCCAGGGAGTAGCTGTAGCTCCAATGGTGTAGAGTAGAGCCAGCGACGTAAAGTGAGGTCTCCAAGGTCAACAACTGAACATTCTATCTCATCTTCGGATTTCAAGGACTATAAGCAATCAAACTCTGTGGAGTGGTGTCACTGGTCACAACATCCCACGACCTCGTTACCTAGCCAGGCCCATCCTCGACAACTTTCCTTCTCCATCATCACCAGATTATCGCCTCGAAGAAGCCAAATCGCCACAATGTCCCGACCAGCCCTCTCCGAGAACCGCTCCATGGCGATCCTCAACGCGGCGCGCGACGGCGGCTACGCAGTCCCCGGCATGTGCTGCTACAATATCGAGTCCATCATCGCGACGGTGCGCGCCGCCGAGGCCGCACGCTCGCCCGCCATGGTGCTGCTCTTCCCGTGGGCCATCGAGTACGCGGGCGCATCGCTCGTGCGCGCCGCCGCCGACGCCGCCCACAGCGCCAAGGTGCCCATCAGCCTGCACCTGGACCACGCGCAGAAGCCGGATCTCGTGCGGCGCGCCGCCGACATCGAGGGTGGCTTCGACAGCATCATGTGCGACATGAGCCACTACGAGAAGGAAGAGAACCTGACGCTGACGAAGGAGCTGGTGGCGTACTGCCACGAGCGCGGCATCGCGGCCGAGGCGGAGCCGGGCCGCATTGAGGGCGGCGAGGACGGCGTCGCCGAGACGGTCGACCTCGAGGCGGTTCTGACGACGCCCGAGCAGGCCGAGGAGTTCGTGGCGACGGGCATCGAGATGCTGGCCCCGGCGTTCGGCAACGTGCACGGCGAGTACGGGCCGCGCGGCATCCAGCTCGAGTACGACAGGCTGGAGTCGATCAACAAGGCCGTCGGCGACCGGGTGAGGCTGGTGCTGCACGGGGCGGACCCGTTCACCGAGGAGATCTTCGCGCGGTGCATCAAGGCCGGCGTGTCCAAGGTGAACATCAACAAGGGCATGAATAACCATTATGCGGCTGTGCAGAAGGAGATGCAGGGCAAGCCGCTGACGAGCGTCATCGAGGCCGGCACCGAAGCCATGCAGAAGGCTATCGAGCAGTATATGCATCAGCTTGGGAGCGCTGGCAAGGCTTAGATGGACGCTTCACTTGCTCTCGTGTATGTAGCTTAACATACAGCCGTGGATCAGTTCACTTATTCTTCATCATTGTGACACGAGCTCACATGCTTTCAGAGACGGCACGTCGGCCTTCTCGCCATGCTACATTCGCTCGTACTGAATCCTTGGTTTCCTGGTTATTGATTACCCCTATCAGGAAACGATACAATTAGAGACATTATTACTACCGACGCCCGCCGCAGAAAACTTGAACTTTGCTTACGACAGTCAGTCCTACTATGACATACCAGACTGCAACCCCTTAATAGCCACCATAGCACCCCAAGCACCCGGGTCAGGAGGCAGGCCTTTGCTGGCATCCTCACCAGCCGCGACATACGTAGCCCTGCCCAATTTCGGCTTGAGCGTCCTCGTCGACTCTGCTCCCTTGACCGCAGCCTTCACCCCGTCCTCGAAATTCCCCGTCTTCAGCCCCTCCGCGAACGGGATCAGGGTATCCATGACCGTGCGGTCTCCAACCTTCGCCGGAGTGTAGCGGCCTAGATTATCCAACGCGATTTTCACAGCCTTGGCCCAGAGCTCGGGGACGCCCTCGCTACTAGCGAGGTCGACGTTATCCTCCAGGGCATTCCGCATGGACACGAAGAAGATGCCGAGGATCCCTCCGAGTGTGCCGCCCATCTTGCCTTCTAGAATCTCCTCAAGTTCCTGGAGCACTGTACCGACCGAGCCCTTGTCGGCAATGTGTTTCGAGTCCAAGGCGGCTATCAAGCAGGTTGCGCCAGTCTTGAGAGTCTCTCCGCAGTCGCCATCACCCATCTCCGTATCCCATCTGGTCAGATCTGATTCAGCCTCTATCAGATTTTGACAAGCTCCGCGCAGCATCTGCTCAAGGAGAACCGGGTCGACCTTCAGATCTTTGCCATCGTCTAAAGCCACTCGAGGCTCCTGTGGCAGCTGCACGAACTGGTCTGCTCGGGACCGTCTCTGCGCCCGGGAGCCTGCCATGGACTCCCAGTGGGTATTGGTCCTGGCATCGAAGAAGGCCTTGATCTCCTCGGCCGAGTACGAGCAATTGCGGGCGGCCGTGGTGACGTTGATGACAGAGATGGAAAAGGCGGGAGCGTTGAGCGATGTCTCGAGGAAGCCAGAGCACACGCGCACGGGGTCGATCTTCCAATTTGTTGCTAGCTGTTCGAGGAGTTCATCGGATAGGGCGCCCATCTCGAGGTGAGACATACCACCAAAGTTGCTCACAAGAAGCATGACCTCGTCGCCGTCGTTGAACTTGACATAACCCCTTTCCGCGTCATTCTCATCCAGGAGATACGTCAAGAGCTGCTTCACCAGATCCTGTGGCGAAGGCACGGGCGATAGCTTCCAGTAGCCGGGCTCGTTGTGAGGACCAGTTCCGATCTCCAACGCGTCATTTGCCAGGGCACCATGTTCCGCTCGTCCGGGGACGTGGCAGTGGTCGAGAGTGGCGGCAATGGAGACAACCTGCTGCGAGAAGGCGACTCCGAGGTCGTATACCTGGTCAAGAGTTCCGCCGGCGCCCGAAGCACCGCCCATGACCTTCAAGACGCCCAGCTGTCCCGCCAAACCACGTCTTCCAACCAGGCTTCCCTTTCGCCCGACTGACACGTCGTCACCGCAGATGATCATCCTGCACTTGTGACCTTTGGCAACGGCTTTCTCGTTTGCGAGGCCAAAGTGCAGGCAGTCGCCCGTGTAGTTTGTGACGACCAAGATGGTCCCCTTTTCCGAGGGAACAGCATCGATGGCAGCTAGGATCTGCTTGGTACTCGGGGATGCGAATATGTCACCGGCGACGGAGGCAGCAAGGAGATTCTCACCAACGTAGCCCGACCATGCCGGTTCGTGGCCAGAACCTCCGCCACTGATGATAGAGACGTTGGCTTTGCTGTAGGTGGTGTCGTATACTACCCGGTTGGCCTCGTCTAGGGCAAGAGAGGGGTTATAGGCGATGAGGCCCCGGAGACACTTGTTGACGAGTCCGTCCAGGGACTCGAAGAGATGGCGGTTGGACATGGCTAGGCTAGATAGAGTTGACGTAGAGTACGAAGGGATGTATAAAAAAAAAGGATTTGGAATGGGTTATATAGAAGAATAAGTACGTCGTGAGTCGCTGAGCTCTGAACAGTGGGTATGTATCGTGAAAAATAATGGAATTTATCAGCCCCCAACTGACTTTGGGTGATATTATTCATGAAACGGGATGATACGACAGGCAGTCACAGTGGTTTTATTATTAGGGGCTTGCGCAACGAGATGCTGAATGGCGAAGCAGACCACGACCCATTCTCCAAGCCGCGAAGTACGGGTCATGGAGTGATCAGTGACTGTATTGAGCCTTGGGAGGGGAGGAGTAGGTAGGACCCGGTTATTCACAAGCTGTTATAGTCGAGGCACGTACATACCTGCATACACACCCATCACATGCAGTCCATGCCTATCCACCTAAGGGATCTAGACCGGCTCGGTGAACGTCAAAATGGTTCATTGGAAAGTCGGGACCGATTTGACCAGTTCGAAGCCAAGGCTCCATCCACCCCCATAGACTGACTAGTGACATACTGACAGTATAGGCCGGCCATAATGCCGGGGAACGACAGTAAATTTGGGGTGCATCGGAAGATGGGAGGGGGTGGAATTGTGGAGGGGTAACTCCAGTCTCGCCCCCCCTTTTGCCATCGGATTACCCGAATAGGCAATCCGCATACATTGTCAATAATGGTTCACACCCCCACCAACCCAATCATTCACCCGTCACCAGTTACCGGTCACCATACACCTGTCCAGGTATGGTGAGCTGTCGGTGGAAGCAGTTGGGGGAATGGTGATCAGCCTGCGAAATGATTGTGTATTGAGAATCCGTGGAATGTCCAATACAGACTCGCAACACGAATGATTCCACAATAAGTTGAGACGCCCTCGTTACCACATATACGAGCAATATCTGAGTCGAAACAGAGCAAGACCCAAGCAAAGACCTAAGCAATACTTCCCCAAACCCCTCAACCTGAGCCAGACACAAGCTACGGAAATGTCCTCGCCAAAGTGGAAGATCGCAATGGGCTGCGATGTCAGTGTACCCCGAGACTTGCTTCTCTTCGAGCTCCTACCTATACTCAGATTTATCTGCTCGAATACCTACTGACGGCTACCACGATATTTAGGAAGCCGGTGTCTCGTACAAAGACAAGATCAAGGCCGACTTCGAAGCCGACCCGCGAGTCGAATCCGTAACCGACGTCGGCAGCTTCGCCCAAGATGACAAGACGGCCTATCCCCACCGAGCAGCCGAGGCAGCACAACTGGTCGCCGACGGCAAGGTCGATAGAGCGCTGTTAATCTGTGGAACGGGATTAGGTGTCGCCATCTCGGCCAACAAGGTCAAGGGAGTCCGGGCCGTCACGGCGCACGACAGCTTCTCGGTAGAGCGGGCGGTGCTCAGCAATAACGCACAGGTTCTCTGCATGGGCGAGAGAGTGGTTGGACTTGAGCTTGCGCGGCGGCTGGCGAAGGAGTGGTTGGGTTATGTGTTTGATATCACGAGTGCGAGTGCGGCCAAGGTGGACGCCATCACGGAGCTGGAGAAGAAGATGTAGCCACCATGTAATCCCGATGATAAACATGGTGGAAAGCTAGCATACTCAAGCACCCAAATGCCTTTACTCATGCTCGCAACGCGGCTCTCTCGCAGTCTATGGTTTTGACCGTTCTCAGTGAAGTCTATTCCTGAATATATATTTGCCTCCCTCTACAGATCAGACAGTCCTGATACAGTTAAAACTGGGTGGACAAAAGTCTCCGTACACCCCACCACTAATCTCCGACCATTAAAACAACGCATTAACCACCCTTCAACTTCAACACTCTCTTAACCACGTAAATCACGATGGTATTTCGATCTTTTGGAGACGAATTGAGCGGCAGTCGCGCGCCGAACGGGGAGTTCACTCGCGATGCTCACTCTGCGATTGTGGCGGCGAGAGTGCTGGGGCAGAGCCGCAAGGAGGTTGCCGCCGCGTTCAAAACCACGCGCCCTGCCACCATCACTGAGACTGTCAAGCGCTTTGAGACTACCACCACCACGAAATCTGCTCCCAGAAGTGGTCGACCAAGTGCTCTGAACACTCGTAAATACGCCCGTGCTATTCAGGCAGCGAGGGACTTCCCCAGGGCCTTGTGACAAAAGATCTGAAATAAAGCCCGTGTTTTCTGCTGCGTGAAGACTATTAAGCGCCTCTGCCACGCCAAAGGACTTAAGAAATAGCAAATAGCCAAGAAGATCGAGCTGAACAAAGAGACGGCTCGGATAAGGCTCGAATTTGCCGAATATTATGACCATCCGGAGCGTATTCTCGAGCTCTTAAAGGCACTGTCCTCTGACAAGTGTACGGTCTAAAATGAATCGGATAATCCAGGCGATTAGGTTATCCGGTACTCGTCAGAGCGGTACCGTTATAATCTCGTGAATCCTACGAGTCATGGAAAGCCTCGTATTTCGATAATAATATGGTCTTAGATCTGGCTACGCGATGGAGAAGGAGGACTAGGCAAGTTGACCTTCTGCCTACTCGATCCGGATGCTCCGCGCGGAGGAGTATCTGTAGAATTATATAAATAGGTCCTTGAGAACGGCCTCCTTTCCTTCTATGAAGCTGGAGATCCTTTTGTTCAAGATAACACGAAAATTTACTTCTCAGGAGGTGTTCTAAAATTGCTAAAAGAGCACAGGATTCACTGTATTGACTGGCTTCCTCATAGCCCTAATCTCAACCCCATCGAGCACGTCTGGCGACTTCTGAAGAGGCAGATACGTGCTATTGAGCCTGAATTCTCAAAATTAAAAGACAATATCCCTCATTACCAGTACGCATACGACTTGATTAAGAGGGCGTGGTCCGAGATCGATCCTGAGCAGGTACGCGTGCTGATCGAGTCTGTTCGCGATCGCATCGCCGCATACAGGCGCGCTGGTGGATGATACACGCGTTACTGAACGGGCTATTGAATACAGTTTATTTGAGAATTTTCTGACCAGAATTGAGTGTGTTGTGGTTCAATTGAGTTGTGAGGTGTAGCAGGTCAGGGGTCCAGAAATGGGGCTGTACGGAGACTTTTGTCCCCCGATTGTACCCATGACACCACGTATAAGTGGCCGGTCCATGACGACCCATCGCGGAAGGAGGCACAACTTCGGTCTACAACTCTGATACTGACGAGGGGAATCCATCTAAAGATCCGACCCGACACCTTGGCTACCTAGACATGTTCTAACCCTTCAAGGCAGTTCCGCGAGCCGAAAGAACATAGTGAATCCACAGCTATAGGGCGCTATGTTCGGCTAGGGACCTCCGGACCTGCACTCGGTGACGATCCCCCGGTGACCGATCAACAGTCAGGACCTATGATGACAAGGATCGTCCAGGGAGTTGAGCACTTCTTAGGCACTAATTGCAACGACGCCAACTCGAAGTTCTAAATTACCTAGGTCAGGCAGAGTTTGACAGTGTTCTCTAAATCATGCACTCGCGGAGTTACCGGCTTATCATCACAGCGAGATAGACAACAGCTATACCTACCTACGGTGTGGAGAGCCAGGAACTCTACTCCCCATTGTCCAACACCACCAAGCGTTGCCTCACTCGCTTGCATTAACGGCCTCGACATCTCACAGCTACTACCTAGGACCTCACCAACCACTATCCAAGGAAACACAACACCACTCCCACCACACCTTCTCACCATGGCATCTCCGCCCCGCCGTCGCCTCGTAGGCGTATCCACCAAGATGTTCTTCTCCGCCGCCCGAACGCGGACATACATCAACGACCTCCTCCACATCCTCTCCAACCCCCCATCCCCCGACCTCCTGCAAGAAATAGACATCTTCCTAATCCCCGACCACCTCACCCTCGCAACCTCCATAACCCAACTCCGCACCTCCCCCGTCCCCATCCTCCCGGGCGCCCAGGACACCCACCACGCCGACAGCGGCGCCTACACCGGCGCCGTCTCGCCCGCCGTGCTGGCCGAGCTAGGCTGCCGCATCGTAGAACTAGGCCATGCCGAGCGCCGCCGCCTCTTCGGCGAGACGGACGAGACGACAGCGCTCAAGGCCGCGGCTGTGGCGCGCAACGGTATGACACCACTTGTATGCATCGGCGAGCGCACGCGCGGCGAGATCGGCGTCGCGGTGGACGAGTGCGTCGTCCAGGTCGAGGCCGTCGTGGCCGCCGTGCCGGCGGACAGCGAGCTGATACTGGCGTACGAGCCGGTGTGGGCGATCGGGGCGGCGCAGCCGGCGGGCGCTGAACATGTCGTCGGCGTGGCAAGGGCGATCAGGGGGCTGGCTTGCGTGCAGGGCAGGAAGGGGACGACGCGGATTCTGTACGGTGGAAGTGCGGGGCCGGGGTTGTTTGAGAATCTGAAGGAGGGCGTGGATGGGCTTTTCCTGGGACGCTTCGCGCATGTTCCCGAGCAGTTCTACAAGACCATCGTCGAGATTGCTGCCGCTTGAATGTGGGCATCTGGCGTGACATGTCGATGCTCACTTGCGGGCCGCTGTGCTCTACTGCAGACTCAGTATCGTTGGAATCAACAGAACATCACAAGCAACAAGTAGTCACAGAACCATCACCATCCCCAACACATCTCAGCAATGCCAGTTCCAGACGGATCTGTAGATTTTCGTATATACAGCCATCAATCTAGCAAGCAGTAGAGCCCACCAGGCCTCTGCCTCCCGCTATCCACCGGATATCAAGTACTGGGTATCGGGCCAGATGGTAGTAAACTATTTTACAGCTGAACAAAGTGTGGTATCTCATATTGGCAAGGTCAAATTTCCCAGCCAGAAGCTCTCATCTCTATGCCGTTGATAAAAAAAGAAAGATGTAAGCGAAGGTTTGTTGTGGTATCATGTCGTGTTAACGTCGTCTAGATCGCTGTCGTATCGCCTCGACGCACCCAAATGATGGGGTGCTGGCTCCAACTAGTCGTGAGCATCCAGGCCCTCAAGTCTTCACGATAAGGGCGACACTCTGTTTCGATGGTGCTATGAAGACTGGGAAACGTCGTCTGCATTGCAAATCATGTGTGAGCGCTCAAGACCTTCAGTTGAGCACCCATTCGCTACCCCGTTTGACGAACTTGTCAAGGAGCATCCCCAGGTCCGCCAACACGAAGCGGCAAATGTAGAAGCCGAAGAACTCGGCAGCATGTCTCGTACAAAGCTCGAGTCCGACCTGGGTCTTGTCGGCGTGACGTAGGCCGGGGTCCTCGACTTGCCGCGCGATTTGATCTGCAAAGTGATTTGTTAGTCGCCGACCTACACCACCAGAATATGTGAATAGAAGAGATAAACATACCAACTGTTTGTGCAGCGTCAAACAATCGCGCCAGGCTAGCCATGTAGTTCCCGTAAGGTCCATCAAACCTGACCGATGCCACATCCCTCTTCGCAGGCCTACTACTCGGATGGGCGGTCATCGGCAGACTTGGTATGGAACCTCCTGAGCTCATCGTATCTCTGTCGTACGCGTTCGGACCGCTACTCGCATTGCTGCTGCTCTTCGCACCGTATGCACTGGTCATGTTGGCATTTGAGTTCTTGTTCCTCAACCGACGCCAGCTGAACGCTCCACCTTTTCCACTTATGCTGTTGTTTCGTGGAACTACTGGTGCTGGCTCGCCGTCCTTCTCATCTCGATATGAGCTGATCCCTTGAAGGCCAACTTCAGCCCCGAGCCTTCGCGTGAGGGTCGCCTGGACCACCTCTAAAACGGTTTCGAGAGCCTGCATCTCCTCCAGGACAGCATCTGCATCATTGCTGTCCACCCTTGCAAGCTTCAGGAGTGCGGCGCTGAGTAAGTCGCACTGCGAGATCTTGTCGTCCAGAAACCTCAGCTTCACCCCCTTGACTTTCCATGCATCCCGCGGAACAAAAAGCTTATTGCTGATGTATCCGCCGCGCGGGTGGGCCAGGGTCTGGTATATAGCACGCATGAGCCAAAATGGCCGCAGCATGGCATCGGAAGGGCAGGGCTCCAGAGGGTGGGGTACGTCAGGGTTCTGCTGATGGTGTAACGAGCTCGGGGAATGGGATGTTGGCGAGTGAAAGTCTGAGTCGAAAAGATGCAGCCCACCAAACCCGCCCGTCACCTTGTCCGCAAAAGCAGCAGCTATTGGTGTTGGTAGTGCGGGCATTGCAGGATGTCGGTACATCGACGTGTTGGATAGTTGGTGGCTCAACGGAGTATTCGGAGACATGTCAGAATCGTCCACCTGGGATACGGAAGCCTGCCGTGACTTCAGTGACTTTAGACTAGATGAAGAGAAATTCTTGCGCATGCCAGCCGGGACAGATGATGGGGACCCAGTCCGAGCTTCGTCGCCATCATGACCACCACCTACTTGATGATTAGGTGGACTCGAGGGGCCCATGGCGTCCGCCGGACTGTAGCCTCTGCCAGGCGACGAAGGAACACGCATGGAGAACGGTCCACGTGTCGATGTCGCGGATTGTGCTTGTCTCTGCTGGGCAATGAACCCACCAGAAGGTTTTGAAGGCACAGCAGAGGTTGAGATCGGCGGAAGGGGTAAAGATGGTGGTTGGCCAAGCTTGGCCGTCTCGATCTTGAGCTGCTTCGGGTTTTGACCCGAGAGGCGACGATTCCGAACGCCCGACCCGGATGGTGGACGAGGCGGTAGAGCTTGCGTTGGGGGAAGCATGGAAGGTGGTGACGTCTTGGACAAAGAGCCTTTGGGTAGCGTCTCGCTCACGGTTGACAATAACGTTGTGGCTGTGGGCGGATTGGAGCCTACTGAACTATGCCACGTTCGACTTGTCAGACCACTGGAATCGGATTCTCGCGGTACGGTGGACTGTTTGGAATGTGATCTGGAGTGTCGGCCGAGGGCGAAGTCTTCCATCACGTATCCTCTTGTCATCTCTTCCAGCATCCTCTCCTCCTCCTCCTCCGAATCGTTCGCGTCGAAGAAGTCACCACCGAAGGTTTGCGATCCCTGGCTGAGCGACAGCTGTCTCTGCCGTTCTCGTTCTCGCGCCAATTCTACCATGGCCTCACGTTCGGTTTCTCGAACGTGTTCCCGCGCGATTTGCACCTTGCGCATAGAATTGGCCAGCCTATGATCGCCGTCATTGTCTCTGCCGTCGTCATATCCCATGTCGAATGAATCCATGGGCTCGTAACCATCATCATATGCTGCCTCCACCGCAGCATCTAAAGCAGCATCGAACTCGGCCTCTGTACCGCCACTGACATTGCGTATATGCTTCCTTCTAACCCCCAACGAGGAAGATCTCGAGTGTACCGAAGACGAGGCTGAGCCACCCGATTCGTCGATAGGGTCTAACCACGATGCTGATTCGTGACTAAGGTTTCGCCGGTGACTTTTCAATTCCCGAGTCACCGAAAGTCGTTCAGAAGAAATGGAGAAGTCGTGGCGCACAATGGGTTCCGGACTCGGCGCTGTGCCAGGGGAGACGGGCCTTCGAGGAGACAACGGTGCCGGTATGAACCCATTCTCGGCTCGAGGGATCGAAAGCGCACCACCCTCGAAGTTTCTGCGCATTGGAGACCTTGGAGACCTCGAAGGTGATTGTATGAACGACTGTGATGGGTATGCGTCTGCACCTCTGTTGGATGTGTTCGGCGGGTTCGACGAGGGACCAAATCGTGACGCTTCTGTAGGCGTTTTCGAGTCAATGGATCGGCCAGGCGGGTGCGGCTCATCTCTGATGATTCTCGTGCGTGTCATGCCGTCCGCTTGAGTGTCGGCGCCAGCCAATTCAACCTGTACTCCGTGGTAGTCGAAGCTATCCGGTCTGGATGGCAGTGCTTTGTTGCCCTGGGCTCTCGCAGGAACCAAGCCGTCCAATTCCTCTATGCGGCTCGTGTAAGTTTGTCGCTGAAAGGGAATTAGTTAAACAGTCCCGTATCAACAGGTCCTCGAGCACTTACGATAGCCTCCAACTTCTTCCTGTCCTCTTCGCCATTTGTCCTGGCTAGGACCTGCTGCAAGAGGTCGCATGCTTCGAGATATGATTCCCTGGCAAACACGTAATTTTGCGCATTGTCGAGTTGGACAGCAGCATTCGCTTTCGACAAGGCCTTGGATAGCATAGCCTTCTGCGAAGGTTTGTTCGCACGATCCCTCGCCTTTGTAGAGTCGCCGCTGCTCTTGTTCGCCGCAGACCGACTCCGCGTGTGGCCCTTCTTCTCGGGCATGTTGTCGCGTGTGACGGATGCGGCTGGTAGGAGTTGGGGATACCCTCGATTTGCGACAGGAGAGTTTGTGCGGCTGGGGTTCGAGATATCATTCCAGAAGTAATCTAGAGGCTCGCCGTTATGTTGACTCGAAAATACCGAGTTCGGTGTGCTAAGAGGCGGGCTGGCGCGATTCATGACGCCTCGAGGGTCGTTCTGGAGGATGGACTCGGGGTCGGTGTTCAAGGGAGGTAGGGATATAATGGGAGGTAGGTTTGGCACATCGGCAGGTGTGCCCGATCCAACTCTCACTCCAGCTCCGATACGAGTTTTGGGGGAGACGCTCGTAGTACCGGTCGAAGGTCGCTTCTTGTGCAGCTTCCGGGGAGAGGAATGGCTGGGCGAGGATTGGCCGTGGAAGATGGGATCGGCGAGCTGGGCGATGAGTGCGCCGGAGTCAAGACTCATGCGCCTTGAGAAACTACTCAGAGACCTCTGCTGCTGAGGCGTTCCCTGGTTCAGCGGCGGTTGATAGAGATGTTGATCCCAGTTGGATACTCGGCTCGACGCGGTGGAGGAAGACCACCGGTTCAGGTTTCGGAACCCCTCGCTGACGGCGCCTATGCTGCTCGCCCGCGAATGAGGTCGTCGTGGGCCAAAGCCAGGGGTATTTAGTGGGTCGAGGAAGAAGGCCGCGGAGTCGGCCGTTGTCTGTGTCTGGGGCCGAGGCGGTGTCGTGCCCTGTTCGACATTGGATGCCGAAGTCGACGCCGATCGCTGCTGTCCGATTCCCACGGTCGGGGGCTGAGTCGGTGGTGGGATAGGAATAGGAGTAGCGGTGGCACCAGTCGTGGTCGTGATGCTTGTTTTGGTGCGAGCTTGAGGATTGCGGGGTGGGGGTAGCAGCGACGAGGTCCTGGGCCTGAGCGGCGCAGAGGAGGCCGAGTAGAAGGCCGAAGACGACGCGGCACGAGGATGTGGATGTGGATGCGAAAGGACGTGCGATTGGGAATTGGCGAACTGGAATTGATTCGAGACGGAATTGGGTTGTAAATGAGGCAGAGGGTGCGGGTGGTGGTGGTGGATGCTGTAATTGGTGAGAGACGATGAATGGGATGATGGAATTGGAGGTTCGGACGGCTCGAACCTAGGGCGATATGCAGCAGCCGCCCGGCCAGCGCTATTGCCGCTATTGTGGCTAGCCGTTTTAGCGGTGTCAGCACTGTAAATATTAGCCGCACCTCCCCGGCCAGCTACACTTGCGCATCCAGCTGTTATAATAACATCCCCACCAGCACCAGCACCAGCACCAGCACCCTCACCTTCACTGTTGTCATATAATCTTCTGTCCGCTCCAAGTCCATACGCACCACCATTGTGAGTCGAATGTGTACCTTGGGACGACTTTCGTCCGCCTTCCCTTCCAGAAAACTGCCGACCTTTCAGGTTATAATGGAAGTTATTGTTGTTGATATTGCTGTTATTGTTGTTGTTGAGGGGATAACCAGCGCTGGCGTCACCATCGTACTCTGACCTCGACCCTGCTCGCATTCGATTGTAGGTGTACGTCTGGGTGTATGGGTCACCGCTGCTTGCCGGCGGCTGTCTTGTTGGAGAGATAGAGGTATAGTAACTCGACTGAGAGGGAGTCGGACGATGAGATTGCGCCTGCGAGTGCGATTGCGAGTGTGACAGTGGTTGGTACTGGCGCTGTTGGAGCTGGTAATGCGAAGACCCGGCTGATGACGACGTCGATGCACTAGGTTGGTGCTGACGATGGATCGTGGCATGCGGTTGTGATTGTGGCATCATGGTCTCTTCGGCTGGCCTGGTCCTGTGGGGGATCGTATAGGTACTCTGCCCTATGCCCTATGCCACTGTCCTCTCCTTTCCTGTCCTTTCCCGTCCCGTCCCCAAGGGAGCGGGCCACCAAAGCAAGTGCTCACACGCGTACGGTACACGTCTACGTACGACGTAGTCCACGATGGCCGGGCCCTGGCACGCCCAAGGTACTCGTCACTGTCGATCCCACGATGTAATGGCAAGGTCAATGCGATGTGGCGGGCGGAGACGGTTGGTGATAGTGCCGGTGTGATATCAACGCGGTCGAGCATTGGAGAAGGCCCTTGGATAAGTGGGCTAGTGGCTCGAATTGTTCTTTTCTTCCGCTTTCGAGACACGGTCTCGTAGATCCGTGATTCGACGGTTTCAACGGCTTCGGTTCGCTTCGCGTGCGAGGGAAAGAAGATAGAAAATCAGCTTCGCATCCGGGGGTCTTGAGGATGATGGAGAATTTCGGCCCGCCACTGGCGAGGACAAAAAGCAAAGGCAGACCGTTGAGATGGAACCCTGCTACCCAATCTTCTCAAGTTCTCCTGTCCGCCTGTCTGGGACCTGGCAATTTTCCGACTGACCTGCAGGTGCATATGCAGGTGGAAGGGGAATGCGAGATATGGAGTCCAGATCCATGCTATGTAGGCGTGGTAGGGTCGCAGCAGCGGCGTCGCGATGGGTCGCATTTGTCTGATTGCTGAATCCCTGAACAGGCACGACAGACCCCTTGCAGGATTCGCAGGAGGGCGGGCTGGCAGGATACTAGCACACAACTTCTATCTGCTACAAAGCCACTCACTCCTTCGTGGCTCCTTTTCCCCTCTGTGCCAGTCACGATGTTCACTTTAGCATACTGATAAGGCAGGGCGTTGGTGTAGGTAAGGTATGACGCAAAACTCGGCTACTCTCAAAGATTGCTCTTCCAAGTTGCAGGCCGGCGTGCTCCCATCAACTCATACAATGCAGCCCTACGAGACCGCACGGGTGTGGTTACCTACCACTGTATACTCGTACGAATCACGTCCCTCTCACAAGTCGGCCCGTACGTTTGTCGAACGCCCGAAATCCAAACAACCACCGGATGATGGTTCCCCTTTCGAGCATCTGCAGGTCAGCCCCCTATCATGACTGGCGTTCCAGAGACACCTATGACGGGAGCATCAATCACTTATTCAGCTTCGAGGTCCGTTTCTCCCGCGGACCTCGCTGCCCTCCCGACTTTCGAAAAGCAGCGGTCGATAAATGATTAGAAAACTGACCATGATAATAACCAGCTACGGTGTACCTCACTAATAAGGATGTCGGGTTAAGCCTCGGCGGGAATATGGCAAGTGCACCTTGTTCTTGCTGGGTTAGCCCAGTCAGATGGGCTTCTCTAAGGGGTCAAGCTCAGGGGTAACGTTGATCTTCAGGACGCTATCCAGGGATGTGCCACTTTAAGGTCTGCCCTTGAGCTGCAGGAACCCCCTGTTCCTGCATCTTCACCGTTGGACCCGTTCTGCCATTATCATCTTTCCGTCCAGCCGTTTTCTGTCATTCGATGGCATGTCTATCTGTGCACATATCAAATCAGCAATTCTTGTAGGTACTTGACTCTTATCTCAGGAGCTAACTCGGCTGTATCGCTTCGGCTTCAGTCACGAAGGAATGCGGGCTCGGCGTTCGCGCGTAGAACGAGAGTGGGCTCGTACACCCATTCCTGGCAGCAACTCTCACCGATGGCTGCGATGGATGGCAGACCATTGGCAAACAAATAGACGATCAACAGATGCACATGCGGAAAGAGTCATTCTGGATGTCGTCATTATAAGTATCACACTGTCAGGCAAAAGACGGCCTGTCTGGAGGTATGAACATTGATAATATGAAATACGAGCTTCGGTCAGCTTCAACTTCTGACAGAAGGCTATTTCTGCCATCTGCTATTGACTTCATCTCCAAGTCAATCCGGCCACAATATTCCCAAGCAATGAGCACCATGTACCTTGCTTGATCAGTCGCCAAGGAACGCACCACGTGGTCGGATTCGCTGTGCGACACAAGATGCGATCTTCCCATCCAAAGGGCTGAATGGATGGTGATTCAGAGATAAACTCCGATTCGGGCGAGCAGATGCGGTCGGTGTCTCGCTGTCTCTGATGCACCCGACATAACGAGCAAACGGTACTAGAGCCTAGCTAGTCTTTACACGACACATCGGTTCCGAGGCTGTCATTCACGTCAGTTGAGGTCGGAAACAGTTTCCTGTCCGCCAAGGGGCTACTTTCGGTTACCAGAACCCGAACGTTCGAACATGATCTGTTTCACAGTTGTCCAACACCACTCACCCCATACGACGCCCGCCTGGAGGAACACACATCTCTTCTCAACCTCAAAAACTCCGATCAATCGCGTGTACAAGTCAGCCATTCCCCAGCTCTGAGCTCAGGTTCGCCGATAGACAACAGACCAGGTGTTCTGCTCCTCCTGCACTTTACCCTCACCCTGGCTGCATCATAACATGCCTCAGGTGGATAAATCCAACGAGCTTGGTGTGGGTGCTACTGAGTGAGTTCAGCATTCACACCTTACATCATGCAGCCCAGCATGCCTCGTTGATCGTCATGGCACTATGAGGATGGCATGTTTCGACGAGCTATGCGTACCAAATGTCGTTCACCCGTGGTCGAGCGGTACAGCAACCGGTAGATCTGACCCGGTCCAGACTGCACAAGGCCACTTGCATACCCATACTACCATACCACCGAGGCGGGACTCACACAGGCTAGAGACTATGGTCCGTCACGACGTTTTTTCACGACGTTTCATGTGTCATAGCGTCGAGTTGTGCTATCGGATCGTCATGGATTCTGAAGTTGCCATGACCAGATCCGGAAACACCAGTTCGGCTCCTTACCGAAGCTTGTCGTCCCCCAAGAAACCAAGGCACGATGACACACCTTGACAGCTTGAACTTCGCCCTGGTCAGGTTGAGCATGGCGTGTCTGATTCTTTACGTTCCTTCCCGGTTTGTTGATACTGTCGTCGAGGCAATGATCGCGAGGCGTGGCCGTCAAGATGGATACTGGTCTGCATCTTGTCAAAATCTCTACATCTCAACACATCGATAAGGACGACTCAGGAGACCAGTTCATTGTTCATTCCTATTATCACTGATCGGGCGGTTCGTCCCACCCGCATCATCAGTCTAAATCTACTAGCCGCCGTGGCCTGTTATTGTCTCGTTGACTGCTCTCGGAGGAATTTGGCCATATGAGGCGCCATTACTTTGTGAGTGTGCGAAGTCCTATATAACCAAGTCAGCCGAAGCGAACATAACATGTTCTCTCGTCGTCACTTACATGTGCCCAGAGTTATACCAGAAGTACTGATCCAACGGCAGGCAGTCGAACTTCGCAGGATTGGTCTGGACCTCAGGGTCATCGTATGACGCGCAGTAAGCCGTCGTGTTTGTGATGCCGTAGTTCTGTGGTTCGTCCAGAACACCGTTCAAGAAGGTGTTGGCGTCATATACCATTGTCTTCGCGGCCGGGTTCTCGGCCGCAAAGCCACGGCTGTGCCTGACGAGAGCGTCGTCCCACAACCCGATCATCGCCTTGCTCGGTAGTGGCTCCTCCGCCACTACGTTGGCTGCAGTTCTATCGAGGGGCGGCAGGTTCACGAACAGAAAGCTGCTGTACCCAGCATCGTGTAATGGCTGGACGCTCTGCATGAAGACCGTACTGATCAGCTGGTCATAGAACTCAGCAAACGTCACATTGGTGAATTTGGCCGAGTCGCTGATGTCGTTGATACCGATCCAGATGGCGACGAGCGCCTTGGACTTGTCCATCTTCTTCCCGATCACCGGCTCGGCCCAGGTCAAGTACTGCTGCGTCTGGTTGACCAACGGCGTCGTGAAGTTGTGGTGTAAGGCGAGAAACTCCTCGGAAACATCTGCGCCGGCGAAAGCAAAGTCCCACAACTGCATCTCACAGTCCTGTGGCGAAGTTACGCCCGGCTCAAGCCCGCATCCGGTCAAGTATTCCACCCAGTTAGGCCCGCCTTCCGCCGTGCCCGTGAAGTTCTGTACGATCTTGTTGGAGAGCAGCGTCTCAGGAGTGAAGCTGAAGTCATCAGGTAGGTAGTTGCCGATGAAGGAGTATTCTGGGTAGCCTGCTGTTCCCTGGACGAACGAGTATGAGTCTCCGAAGGCGATGCTGCTCTTGTGTTAGCTGCCATCACAGCATCTTTCCTGTTGGTCACTGACAGATGTTTGGTCTCATCCCAGTTGAAGTAGGGTTTCGGAATGCGGCCGGCGCGGACACGCGCGGCGAGCGCTACCACGGCGAGCGCGGCCAACGAAGATCTAGTCATTGCTGATGTACTTATCTAACCCTCGCCCAAGTGTTGCAGACATAGCGATCACAAGTCAACGTCTGATAGGAAGCAGCAGCATCATCATCGCAATATCTCACATCCAGGGAGTCTCGTCAGCCCTACCTTATACTCTCCCCGACCACGTGGGGTTACTTCAACGGTTTGTACTATTATTGGTGGAAATAGTCTTGGCCCTTTGACGACGGGAGACGGCACCCAGTGACACAGCTGCGGTTCTACTCCGCAGATCTTCTATAGACCGACGCCTTCCCCGCCTTTACCCCGCCTTACAGGCGATGTCTTGGACTCGCGGCGGCCATTCCGTTTTCACGTCGAGTTTTGAATATTGATCAGAGGCAAAGGGTGAACGATAACTCTCTGGCTATCCGTCAGTCCCGCGGTGTAGCTCATCCAGGCCTCGAGCGCAATCAGGGGCTCACACTCGGTTGAGAGGCGAGGCAGTTGAATGCTGGCCTGTGGTCGACTGTTCGGACTCATTTTCCACACGACTGACACCCAGGTTCTGGCTACCTTGGGTGTTCGTGGTGGACGCCGAGGCGGGAGGTTGCTAGCGCCAGCGATTGTGTTGGAGGCCACGACGGTAAGCCTCATATTTGTCTTCCTCGTCGAATGAGCCGAGGTCGATGATGTTAGACTGGGTGCCGGTCAGGATCGCAGTGAAGCATTGCTTTACACGCAGCAAAGCAGCTCTTCTGCGTGGATGACCTCAGCAAACTGCACCTCGACGAACGTATGATCTTGCCCTGATTATGGGGTATTGTGAAGCCATATCGGATGATGCAGACCATAGTTTGTGGTAAGCAGGTAACTTAGTTTGTCCATGGGTCTTCTCGTCAAGAGGTTGACTGTACTGTGTAGGTAAGATCGGAACGTTCAACAAAGCTCGGCCACGTGTCCCTCGCATTCGCCTATCTGCTTATATAGTAGGTACGTCAAATAGTAGTGCATGATCTAGCGAGGACAAAGCCAATAGGGAAGGGGGGCTGGGTCCAGCGCCTCACTGCGCTAGGCTACCGGCAGATCCTCGAGCAGCTTCGGGGGCTAGGCCAGGATCTATGAATCATGATTCTACCAGACATCTTCAGAACACGACCGAATTTGATGTCTGCGAACCCAAAGTAGAACCCAAAGTAGAACCCAAACTAGAACCCAAATCAAAAGCAAAACTTCATCGGTAAGCGCAAATCTCACGCACTGTTCACTGTACGACTCTCTTTCGACTTTCCGGCGACATTGACGACTTCCGTGTCTTGCCGGGCTTCCCGAACACACGTTCCCCACCTGCACCGACCCGGGATCCGCACACTCTAGAATAAATCCAAAGCCACTCCCGGCGCCGATTCATCTCCAACCGAGCCGTGGCCCAAAGCGGCTCCCATAAGCGAAGCTGCATTACCCACGCAGTCGACTGCAAATCATCGTGGGCGGTACCGGGGTTGTCAAGCTGCACATCAGACCTTGCATGATATGACCTCTCCTGGCGCGAACTGAACTGCAGAAGCGCGTCCACCACCTCCGTTACACGACAGGAACAACGTCCCGCTGGCTTCTTGCATGACAGGCGGAGCTTTAATCGAGCAGATCCGAGACTCACTCGCATTCGGTTGCTGGGACGCGACCTGGTGCATATCTAACTGATGGTCTAAGCTGCCGGTCCCACATGCTCTCTTTGTGCTTCTGCCACTCGCTCATTGGCCAGCGCTGACCTGGAACTGTGTTGCTGCGGTGAGCTGTGCTCGTGACTCGGAGGGAGTCAAGGCGCTGCGCAACCTCGATTGCCTAGCTACCTCATTGTCTAAGTACCTGAGGCACCTTATTGCCTATGTCGGCAGTCATCTGAGTGACCACTCTTCCACCTTCCAGCAAACACTACCCTCCATCTCCCCACCATCGTCGACTTACTTCAACATCTCCGTCAGCCTCCCCTCTCCACCATCGTCTCTTCAGCGGGACAACCAACAAAGTACGCTCATCATGGCTACCGAACCATTTCCGCAGAACGGCAACGATGGTCTTGCTGGAGCAGGCCATGCCGAAGAGGATTTTGAGCGCGTAGTTCATAACATGCGGAAGGCCGCTTTCGACGAATGGCCAAATGAGGCAGGGGTAAGTATACAAGTACCACTTGCTGCAAGAACATGCTGACCATGTGATACAGTTTGAGGGCTTGACTGAGGTCCGTGGCCCCGTCGGACTGAAGGTCAAGGGCTCGATACCTGCCTGGGCTGCCGGTACACTCTATCGCACCGGTCCTGGACAATACAACGTCGAGGACACGCCGAAGGGAACCTTCCGCACTACGCACTGGTTCGATGGCTTCGGTCATTCGCACAAGTTTGAAATTACCGCAGACCCTCACAGCACTGAGAATCCCATCAGAGTCGAGTATACTTCGCGACGTCAGACCCAGGACTACGTTGCGGCGATCAAGAAAACTGGACGACTTCCCGACGTCAGCTTTGGTCAACGCCAGGACCCGTGCGTCGGCATATTCGCGAAGGTCATGAGCGTGTGGAGGCAAGGGCCTAGAATCGAGCGAACCCCCACGTCACAGAACGTATGCGTCGTGGTGAACGCAAACGTCCCCGGTGTAGCTCCACAGTCCACCGTCGCCCAGTCCTCGGGCCATCGGAGTGGTAGCAAGAGCTTGTATCTCACTACCGATGCCCGCATTATGAAGGAGATCAGTGCAGATACTCTGGAACCAGTGGGAATGGCCACACAACAAGCATTAGACCCCCTCCTCAAGGGCCCTCTTAGCTGTGCCCACGCCCAGCGCGATCCCGAGACCGGCGATTTCTTCAACTACAACCTCGACCTCAGCCTCTATGCAACGTATCGGATATTCCGAACCAACGCATCGAGCGGCACAACCGACATACTCGCCACCATCAGCCAGGGCGACATAAAGCCCGCCTACATCCACTCCATGTTCCTGTCCCCTTCCTTCGTCATTCTCTGCGTGCCATCAACACATCTGGGTATGCTGGGAATCAAGGTCCCTTGGAACGGGTGCATCACGGATGCCCTCGAGCCCTTTGACGAGTCCAAACGTCGCAGATGGTTCATCGTCGACCGCCTCGGCGACCGTGGGGTCGTAGCAGCATACGACAGCCCAGCAGGGTTCCACTTCCACAGCATCAACTCGTTCGAGGAGCATGACGACTCGACTGGAGACACAAACATCTTTTGTGACGTCGTCGAGTATCCTACACTAGACATCATTCGCGCCTTTGAGATGGATGTCCTTCTGAATCGAGACGGGGCCACGGAGAAGTTCTGGCGTGATGGTAACCGGGCCGAGGATGGCCTTCCACGACTGGCCAGGCACAAGTTCCGAGTGCCAGCGAAGGGGTCTCAGGAGACTGCACAAGGCACCGCGGAGAAAGTATTCGAGATCAAGTCCCCTCACGTAGGAGAACTGCCCACCATCAATCCAGCCTACGCTACGAAGAAGTACCGCTACTGCTACAGTCTCCCGACGCGCGGCTACAGCACCCTGCTCGATACCATCGTCAAGACAGATGTGGAGACGCGCCAGACCTTGTTCTGGGACAACCCGAAGGGTCACTCGCCCGGAGAGGCCATATTCGTATCGCGTCCGAGAACAGCCGAGGACGGTGAGAAGGAGCTTGACGAGGACGACGGCGTCCTGATGAGTGTGGTATTGGATGGGTTCGGCAAGACGAGTTACCTACTTTGCTTGGATGCGAAGACGATGAAGGAGCTGGGTCGGGCGGAGTGCGAGTGGGCGGTTGCTTTGGGATTTCACGGTCTTCACGCGCCTTCAGATGTGCCTCCACACCCGTGACGGCGATCACAAGTGCTCCTTGATGGCATGTGCGCGGGACACGAGGCTATGTAGATAGGGACAGGCGGTGCGGTTAGCTGTGTACAGAGTATCACCAACGGATGCTGCATCGGACGCTGGATGGTTTGCCTAGAGTGAATGACACATGTGTTATCCCGGGTATGTATGATACGATCGTTGTCGCCGTGTCTTTCCGCCATTGTATGCCATGACTTGTTACGCATTCTCCCTACCAGCTATATGAAGTGGATATACCACTGGAAGAGTGGTCTCAAGAGTACTCCCGCCTCCTGCCTCTTGCCCAAACCGCTCGTTCTACGTTTTGATTCCTCCTCAAACATTTCCTAGGCGTTCTCAATTATGGTAAGTTGACTTGAGCACGTTCCAGTGATGAAATCGGCAGCCCTTGAGCTTCTCTAGGGCGCTGTTGTACGCCACGAAGACAGCCTTGCTAAGTATTATGCGCCCTCACAGGGGTCCGAGTCCCAAGACACCCAGACATTACCCCATGGCTCTCGTTTTTCAGCCGAAAGCATCAACTCTACCGGTATCTGTTGAACTCGTGCTCGTTGTGCGATGCGACACCATTTCCACGCGTTCTGTGCCTGGTTATGGTACGATAAAAATTGGTACTTTAAAATTCTTCGCGTTAGTAATTTTGCGACCTTTGCAACCTGGTCTAGTTCAGAGGTGGAATGTTTTTTTCTTGGAAGAAGCCGCAGTAAATAAGGGTCTCTCCGTCGGTAGCAATGTTTCTCCTCTTCTTATTCTAGCATCAAGTGCTCATTGTCAGTCCCGGCCTGCATCTCCAGCCAGAAGCCTCAAGCACCAGCAAAAGGAAAGGAGAGAAAAACAGCTCCGAAGAATGCTGATCCCGGTTCATCCCGAACTGTCCGTCGAACGCGTGCCCACAACCGTATGCTTTCCGAGAACGATGGTAGGAGAGTTCATGTAATTGGGGAAATGAGGATGCCGATCGTGTTCGCCTTTATCATCGCCGGTCCCAATCAATGCTTTCGCGAGTGAAAGAAATATGCTTATTTAATATGTACACACGCTCGCGAGGTTCTAGAGGAAATCTCGGATTTGCTGTATGGCGCATTCCGTATTTTCTAGCGAACGGAGCGTGAGTGATGTGGCATTTGGTTCAAGAGGCAGCAATGGCGCATGGTAAGGAAAAATAAAAAGGTGGTGGAAAGGAAAGCATAATGGAGCCGCCATTTGCTATGGTAAGTGATGCCTAGAGCGCAGGATAACATACCTGAGGTGTGTAGGAAGAAAGGTCGACCGGCGATGTGTGGGTGTATATAGCAACACAAGATCACTGTTTTCTTCGGTGAGAGTCTGCTAGATTAGAAACCCCAGTACAAGCTTTGTAGAATAGAGGGAAGTTTTAGGGAAAATTGGCATTAATGATGTGAACACGTACACAGCCACATGGTGGAAGAATCGATTTCATTCGTGTCCCACGCTGAATTGCTACATATCATGACCTTAGACTCCTCGTGTTTGATGACGGATCGCCTCCTGAGGTCCTCGGTAGCCTACTTAGGATCGCGATCTTGCGCTGTAGTAATCCTCACCGGAAGCGCCGCGGAGTCACGACTCGGTGACCTTATCCATACAACACAGGAATGAGCATGGTGGTAGTTCTCCATGGTGATACCTGGCGGAAGGCGAAGTGTCGATGGGTGAACGAGATCCGGAGAGTGAAGGCAATGAAGGTCCTTCGTATCCAGGGAAGGTTGAAGAAGAGACTGCGACTGGGGAGCGGCTATCCCCTATGATAGTCTCGGCACAGCATGGCTGCAAGAGGGACGAAACCCACCCCCGACAGAAAGACCACTGAATGCTGTAATCCGTGTCCCTACATGATAGTGGAAATGTCTTCGTGATGCCCTTGAAAGTGGTAAGTCAGTATGCAATTTGCTCCTGGCTCGTAATGCTAGGTCTGACCTGCTTGTTCGTGCGAAGTGTTTGGTATGAGGTTAGTCATCATGGTGTTCCCAGACCCCCGTCTGGCCAGATAGCGCTCTCGCGCCTCTGGAAGATCTTTGACATCTCTTTTCCATGATCATAATTCCCACTGGCTTCGTAAGACGATGAGAACCTTGACCAGTCTCAGGCGCACGGGTCTGCGCCCCATGCAACCCATACTCCCTTCCATTGCTGCTCTTCTTCAGCCGAAAGCACCAAGTCCGCCGCTACACGTTGGGCTCGTGCTCGCTGTGCCTTGCGGCACCATTTCCAGGCGTTTTGCGCCTGGTTTCGATAAGAAGAGAAGTGGTACTCCAGAATCTTCCGGTTTGGAAATTCCGTAACGGTCACCACTTTGTCTAGTTCAAAGGTGAACTTCTTTTGGAAGAAGCTTGTGAGATACTCCTCGTTGACAACTCCCGCCGGTCCCGCAACCACCAACACGCGAGAGGCGGCAGAAGGTGGGTGGGCAGCTACCTTCACCCTGTTCGGGCGGAGGCTAGGTAGGAGCCCTCCAACTTTCCATTCACCGCGCAGCCACTGGCTGCCTGGCAAACAGGCTGCTCACGCGTGACATACATTACGGTTAGCCAAGCAAGACCCGCAGAGTACGATGCGTAAATGAGATGCAAGTAAAGGTTTCAGTTACTAGGGATTTTGGTATGATATGGAGAGTGTCTACATTCAACATTATTATAAGGTCTAGCATGTAGGTTGTCTATGTTTATGTCCATTTTATTCCGTAGAACTCCGCCTCGAGTTACTCTCCGTTCGGGATGAAATACACACTCTTCCCCGGACCACTTTCCAAAGCAGCAACCTCGAACGCTTTCTCCCAATTTTCGAGCTGTAATTTTCCCATGACCTTCATACCCGCCCTAGAACCAATCTTCAGCACACCTCTCTCCACAGTCTTGATCAACTCCGTCGCCTGCTGAGTCGTGCTCACGAAGGTCCCTTTGATCGTGAGGCCCTTGTGTGTGATCTGCGAGTAAGGGACTCGATGTCACCAGGCAGTCCACCCATCAAGCTTATCCACCCTCCTGGCTTCAAAGATGCGACTCCTGCCTTGATATGTGAGCTTTTGGCCGCCTTGGCCGGAGATATGTCGAAGAATACGTCCAGGGGGCCAAACTTTGCCAGTGCCTTGACGTCTTCCTGTGCATCGCCGTTGATCCTGACGGTTTCCACCCTACCGGGCTCGGCGAGCTTCTTCAGCCCCTCAAGAGAGGTCTCGTTTCTTCCCATGACGATGACGCGTGCTCCCATCGAAAGAGCGACATGCACTGCTGCACTGCCGAACGAGCCCGTAGCGGGGGCAATCAAGACAGTCTCGCCATACTTCAAGCCGATGTCCAACAGTCCACCAAACGGTACGATCAGCTGGCTGAGCGTTCCTAGTTCTCTAAGCTTGTACCCCAATTTCCCAACCAGGACATCCTCGTCAAGAGCATGAACACTCTCAATTGCTACTGTAGACAGCGTAGCCCAGACCCCGTTCCGAAAATCTGCAGCCATCAGCTGTCTGCTGCCCTCCGTGCTACCCTCGTGGAATCCCCGCAGGACTTTGAGGTTGGGGTCATCGCGCGCTCGTAGTGACAGCTCAACGAATACCAGCTGCCCCGGTTTCAGGCTCGTAGCATCAGAGGGCACGGCAGCGACACGGGCAATGCACGCGCCGGCGGGTACGAAGGGGTAAGTGTCAGACGGCCAACCATAAGGGGGGGGTAAATAGTATGTTGTTCTGCAGAGAGGTACAGTACTAATCACGCGCGGAGGTCATGTATATGTACACGAATGGTTCCTTTGTTCACGGGATGCTTCCTGACAGTAAGGGATATTTGTAGCCTCTGGGGTTTCCATTTGTGAAGATCTTGTTGGCATACTGAAAAATGATGGAGTACAGTGGCTTGACGATAACTGTACCAGCGGTGGGAATCAGAGTGGGCAGGGCTGTGACGACGGGAGGTTCGGACGGCGAGTGTAGCAGCAGGCCGCTGTACCTTTCTGGAAGGGAATAAACTGCGTGGGCGCCAATTTCGTGCTTAGAAACGAGTGAAATGAAGTATTTCAGAGTTGCTGAATACAATACTTACAGCTAACTGAGAAATACCAAGTCTTTATAGTCCTTCAAGCTGCTGCTGACCACAGGGCGCCGCGACTAGGAAGCCAACGTAGTGATGTGCGTTTACTCGAGCTCGGATATAATAGCCCCTATGTTTCGTATGGCCGAGCCGAGTCCACAACGTCCATGATTATGATGCGCATCTAGCCAGTCGCAGAGGGACGTTGTTATTCCTTTCGATGGCCACTTGCTAGGTGTAGTTTAGACCAAGCGCATCGAAACGCCGTCAACAAATGGCTATATCCCACATAGGTCGCCGTCCCGGCAAGAACGGACTTGAGCTGAGATAGGTCCACTAGGGTGCTGTAGCAGAAACACGCTGGGTGACAAGTTAGATTATTCATTTAGGTATGTCTTTGGATTGTCGGAATACTTGATACATGAAATAGTATCCTGTACCCGTTCAATCAATGAACAGGTTCAAATAGTTACAATATAGAGCAAGCCCAAAGTGATACCCCCTAGGTTCTAGGACCGCACGAGTCTAGTACCTAGACCGTATGGCCTACATCGCTGTGATGAGTAGTCGCGCCATCCTTCTCCCCAACGCCCCCAGATACGCTCTGCCGTTGCGCGAAGCTCCTGCTAGGCACCCAGTCCTTACTCTTCCGGGCACTCTTGACCTCGGTGTAGAGCTCGTCAACCTCCTCCAGCGACAACCCTTTGGTCTCATATATGTAAAAGTAGACAAAGGCGATGCAGATGAAGCAGCAGCCGAACCAGATGAAGAAGATCTTGCTCTGCAGGTTCGCGTAGCCGGGTCCGTAGTTCACGAGATAGGGGGTCGCATACGCGATGGCCCAGTTGAGCAGCCACTGCAGTCAGGTCATTAGTCGCAAGCATCTCAGGTGGTGGCAGATTGCTCGAAAGGACTTACGTTGGTAGCGGTCGCCATACCCAAACTCTTGGCTCTAGTCTTGAGCGGGAAGATTTCACCCGTGACCACCCAAGCGAGCGGACCCCAGGTGGAAGCGAAGAAGAAGATGTAGATGCACACAAAGGCAATACCCGCCTTCTGAGCAGCGACGTTGTAGACCAAAATGTTACCGCTTGCGTCTTGACCCGTCGTGGTCGTGCCCAGTACGGCTACCAGGAACTGACTGACGCACATGCCGATGGCACCCCAGAGGAGAAGTGGACGACGTCCGAATTTGTCGACAGCCCAAAGTCCAGGGAGGGTTGAGACAACATTGACGACGGAGGTGATGATCTGAATGGTAAACGAGTTTGAAATTCCCGAATTCTTGAAGTACTGGGTGCCGTAGTAGAAGATGAAATTGATTCCTAGGGTTAGAGTTAGCCAGGGCAGCTTGTGCTTATGGGCAACCTGTGTGTTGGAGTTGACTCACCCGTAAGCTGCTGTAGAGCTTGCAGACCCATTCCGGTAAGTTGGCGTTTGAGCATAGGCCCTCGGAAACAGTCGAGATAGCTTGCCTTGCCAAGGGTCATCTCGAAATCGTGATTAGCCTGGATCTCGGCAAGCTCAGCTAGAACAGCTGGATGGTCCGCCGGAATCCTCCTGATTTGGCCGAGAGCCCTTGCCGCCTTTGCATGGTCGCCCTTCTTAATGAGAAATCGGGGTGTCTCGGGTAGGATGAGCATTCCACCGATGAGGATGATAGCCCATGCGAACTGGACGGCTATTGGGATACGGTATGAACCGGTATCCTGTCGATTTTGAGTCGAGTTGTCCACGATGTTGGCTAGAAGCAGACCTATTGTGATGGCAAACTGGTACGCGCCTACGATGGCGCCCCGAATCCACTTGGGAGCTGTCTCGCTTTGGTAGAGGGGAACTGCGCAACATCAGCAATCTTGATAAATGCGGTAAGATTCGACCAGGCGACGTACTAAGAGCTGAGATCAGACCAACGCCGAAGCCGGCGAAGAACCTGCCAGCCAGGAAAAGAGGCAAGGCCGTGGCGGCAGTCTGGAGGATGACTCCGAGGACGAAGACCAAGGACGACATAATTAACGCGAGCCGGCGACCAATGCTGTCGGCAAGTAAGGGGGAGCTGAGCGAGCCAAAAAAGGTTCCCGCCGACAGAATTGACACAATGGCGGAGGACTGGGAGGGCGAGACATCCAGGTGACCTTTGGTGTTGACATAGCCCGTCGAAAACAGGTTTTGCCAGTAGTCCATGGCAAGAATACCGCTGATGGTACCAGTGTCATATCTATTCAGTGAGTCGTCTGTTAGTGGTGAATACCTCGCAGTTGATGGTGGTAGACTCACCCAAACAGCACACCACCAAAGGCTACGAATAAGCCAATGACAATGGCAGGCCAGGCCTTGCCTGCATCCTGCTCAGGCTTCTTGAGAGCTAAAAGGCCCATCGTGGACACCACTGGCTGGGCTGGACGTTGGAGGATGTTGACTCGGAACAGTTATAAGAGATGCTGACTGGTTGATGATGGTTGAGTGCCGTGTATGGTACGAGAGACGGGCAATGCTGCCAGGATGGAAAGTCTGGGGCTCAACTTATATACTTATTTATTTGCATGGCCAGCAACGGATAGACCGACGAATGCTTTACGCATAGCGTGACATGCGGTACGACACAACCAGAGAACGCCGGGCCAATGCACCACGCTACCTTAGAAAGAAGCGACAAATCGGAGAGAATGAGAGGGAGTCGCAGAGCAACCGGTGTGACAACCCCTGGCCCGTCCTAAGTTGGACGGACTCCAAGCATTCCAAAGCGTTGGGAATAACGGCATTGGTCCAGACCCTGGCCGCGGGCTGGCGGTGGTGCTCCGCGTGATGGAAATGGAGGATTAGAAACGTCATTGAGGCTCTGGTCATTGGGAAGACCCCCAGACGGTGTGGAGGATCGCCACTCCATATTCTGATCAAGGTAGGCGTCTCAAGCACCGGCCTACCTTGGCTACTGAAGAAGGGCCGATTCGACCAGTCAACCCGACTCAACCGCGCAGAAATGCGGCGACGAACAGTAATGAGAATCAGCTCAAGATGCTGCAAGCGCGGGCGGATATGCAATGGATAGAGCCCGGTCGTCTGCTAGGACGAGTCGACTGCGACGGAGCCAGTGCTGGGGGAGTCGAGACCATTTCTAGCGGCTTAGCGAGGTCGACTTTGGGGATCTCGGGAGATCAGCCTGGGGCCGCCGTCTGGGGCCGTCTGGGGTAGCGCCCAATAACCCCAGATACTATGCGCACCAGTGACCACGTGAGTGCGCGGGCACCGACGGAGGAGTGAAGCTGAGAAAAGGGGGATCACCTGGCTAGAAGAGAACTGCTATGGCGGAAGAAGCGGTTGTTCCCATCCCGAGTCCTTGGAGTGCTTCGCCAACGGACCCGAGATGTGCGTGCGGGGAAACCGAAATGGCATCTTCCCCAGGTCACCCACCTACATGTATATGATACCCCGGTCGAGCTGCCAACATGAACGGCTATTAGGAATTAAGACAGTCCACTAGACTGTCTTCATGTACCTAGATATTTAGTAGTGTCCTATAGCTCACGCAATTCACTAGAATAGCTGAACCAATTGGCCTGGCCGCGGAGCAAGTGTCATGTGGGTTGACTAGGAGGGAGGAGGGAGGCGGGCGGAGGGCCGGCTTTGCTCGGTGGCTCATCATCTGACGGGACGATTTCTGTTTTCTGTTTACGAATTCCAATTCCTCCAGGTCACAGTCTGGATTTGGTTCCCCAATCTTCTCCGCAGCTGGAGCTTACCCCGAATCGGGCATCTTCATTCTTCTCACCTCCTTCGGTGAAGCCGCCGCTACTAGAACCAACAGACCTTGTGATCACTGATCAGCGACCTGGACGCTAAGATCGCGGATGTTGATATTTGGCAAGTTACTGGATATAGTATCGACGGTAGGCAAGACGGTGTAGATTGTCAGTCCAGTCACCGTAGTCCAGACTGCAAAACGTGTCTTCGGGCCTTCTAGGAAAAGTGCAGAAGGGCCGTGGAGTGCAGTTTACCCCGAGCCACCTGCCTGTGCTGGCAATGAACATTTCCCTCACTCATCATCATTTCCTAAGGCCCTCGCTCGATTGTCTGACTAAGCCGGCGAGTATATGCACCCATGTTCCGGAGGTGACGGCGTTTTCGAGATGACAACGTGGCTGAGCTGACTGATGAATCCACGCAGATGTCAAACATTGAAACATCGCATGGCGGCGTACAGAAGCGGGCTGTTCCGTGTCGGCTGCTTGGGCTTCGTCAACTTGCCCTGGTTCCGGCCTCGCCCGTCTGTGACCGCGTCCCGGCTGTGACCGCCTTACGTGTCTCGCGGACGACTTCAGAGTCCACCGAAGTCTCCCCTGCTGGTTATTGCAGTCACCTTGACTTCTCTGAGATCTGTAGGTTCGCCATCACTTTCCATTGACTTACTCATACCATATTGTCCAGCAACAGAACTTGGTAGTGCTTAGTTGAGACTCGGTCCGAGCTGCCCGGTGCTATGCAGTTCTGAGCTTCGAGCCTCGCGGCTGAGCTTAGAAGGACCAGGGATATGCGGTGCCATTGGTCTGACATGCTCAAGGATCGACATGATTTGAGATATTCTGGCTACTCAAGGAAGACTTCTTTTGCAAACCAGGGTCTTAGCGAGCCTTGTGTGGCTTGTTGGGGCCCGGGTATGCAAGGGACTGCACGCCCACACGTGGCATTCAGGCGATCCTATGTGGTCTTCGTTTGCCCGTTCAGGACTGGTTCTGATGGGCCCAGTCCTCGGGAAGATCGAGTACAGGCTTGTTAACAGGCATCAGAGACATGTTCTTTTGGACTTCCGCCTGCCCTAGCCGTGATAGTCGATATGTGGCTGCTGGGTAGGATCATGCAGTTATCATGCAGAGCAGGGGCACCACGCGAGATATGTCAACAGAACCCCGAACACCACGCGGCCGCCATGCCACCCCCCTGACAGAGGCTCACATGCAGCAGATCAGCCGCGTGGTTGAGCTGAGATGGAATTCGGGAGTATAAATGGGAAGCTTTGCCCAGCGTTACCCTTGGAAAAGCAGTTCGTTATCAACATCGATAGAGACAACATTCTCTTGGATTAACCGTCTTGCGGCTCCACGTTCTTTCTTCCAGAGCCATCCCTCGCTGCACCATGAGTTTCGGTCTGAAAGCTGTGTCTTTGACAGCTCTGGCGGCCGGTGCTGTGTTCGGAACGCCTATAGACTCCCCCAAGCTCCAGGCCCGGAGACTATTAGGTTCCTCGTTCGGTGTTGCGGGAGACGACGCAACATTCGACTATGTCATCGTGGGCGGCGGGACTGCAGGTCTGACTCTGGCTACCAGACTGGTAGAGCAACAAGCCGGTAGCGTCGCTGTAGTCGAAGCCGGTACCTTTTACGAGATTGGTAATGGGAATCTCAGCCAAGTGCCCGGCAATGACGGGGCGTTTACGGGAAAGGGCGTGACCGACTGGCAACCCTTGATCGACTGGGGCTATCTGACGACGCCACAAGCTGTAAGCATTGATAACGGGAGTTCTCCCACTGAAAGGTCCGTACTTACTAGCATTACAGGGAGCATATAATGCCACACTCCACTACACGCAAGGCAAGACGCTCGGCGGATCTTCAGCTCGCAACTTCATGGTTTATCAACGAGGAACTGGTACGTACGAGAACCACCATTCTTAAGATCGTAGGCCTTGTTTCTGCAAATGGGCTTTGTCGGCCCATTTCCTTCGGGAAATAGGGTACTCGGATCCGAAGACGAGCTAACAAACATGCAGAGGGATCGTATCAGATGTGGGCAGATCAGGTTGGCGACGACAGCTATGAGTGGGCGAATTTCCTTCCCTGGTTCGAGAAGAGCGTCAACTTCAGTGAACCCAACATGGAGAAGAGGCCTGCAAATTCGACACCAGTATACGACGCCGCTGTCCTCGGCAACCGAGGGCCGCTCTCTGTTTCATACACCAACTATCCTCAAGTACTTGCGACCTGGGCTGTGAAGGGGTTAGAGAAAATCGGACTCTCGATCATAGACGGGCTCAACAGCGGCAAACTGATAGGACAGTCGTATGGCACCTTCACCATCGATGGCGACACTATGATCAGAAGCTCTTCAGAGACAGCTTTCCTTCGACAAGGACTCGACAATCCTGATTTGACGGTATACCAGCTGGCTCTCGCCAAGAAGATTCTCTTCGATGATGACAAGAAGGCCACCGGTGTGGTCGTCGATACCGAGGGGCTTGAATACACGTTGTCCGCGAGGAAGGAGGTTATCGTGTCAGCGGGGACCTTTGGATCGCCGCAACTGCTTCTCGTCTCCGGAGTAGGCCCTGCAGAAACATTGACACAGTACGATATCCCGGTCATCGCCGATAGGCCTGGTGTAGGGCAAGGCATGCAGGACCACATCTACTTCGGGATATCGTACCGAGTCATCGCGCCGACCTTCTCTTCCCTGTTGATTCCATCGTACGTCGCTGAGCAGGCCGAGCTGTTCAATACCAACGCCACTGGAATATTTACGAATCCAACAGCGGACGTGCTGGCCTGGGAGAAGATCCCCGAGCCCCTCCGCAGTGGAATGTCGAGTTCTACCCTGGCGGCTCTGGCAGAGTACCCTGACGACTGGCCTGAGGCCGAATACATATCGCTAGGGTCCTACTTGGGCACCGACGTGGACTCACGACGCGGCGACCCCGGTGACGGATACAACTACGGCACTTTAGTCGTTGCAGTCGTAGCTCCACGATCCCGAGGCTTCGTCTCCATCTCCTCGGCAGACACGTCCGTCCACCCGATCATCAACCCGAACCACTTCACCGACCAGACGGACGTCGACGTCGGCGTTGCGGCCTTCAAGCGTGCTCGCGAGTTCTGGGCCACCGACGTGATGCAGGAGTTCGTCATAGGCGGAGAGTCGTATCCCGGGGCCAACTTCACGACAGATGCTCAGATAGAGGATGTGATCCGGAGGAGCTACAATGCCATCTACCATGCCTCCTGCACAAATGCGATGGGCAAGGAGGACAACCCGATGGCTGTAGTAGACACCCAGGGCAGGGTGTACGGTGTGGAGAGCTTGAGAGTTGTGGACGCTTCTGCTCTGCCGCTGTTGCCTCCTGGACATCCGCAGTCGACTATATGTATGTCCCCATTGCCACCGACCCTTGAAGGAATGCTAACGTGATCCTAGATGCGATGACTGAGAAGATCGCATGTGATATGTCGGGTAATTGTTGAAGTCCCTTGACTTTCGGTGGACGGGTGGTATACCTCTTCTTGGAGATATTGAAAAAGCAAGGAGGTGCAGACAAAAGTCGCATTTCACTACTTGGATAGATCGAGGGAGCAATCCTTGGTTCGCGAGAGCGCTTGGTGGTTGTATGTTGATAGAGACTCAGGGGCCATTACGCCCTACTAGAGCCGGAAGAGAGACCAAGACAAGGGTAAATAGACGACTTAGAATTGAACATGAACAGGCCATTCATGAATATGAATTCTCCTGTGCTTCACACTTGTTGTTCGTACATGTCACACATAGTACACGTACCTTTGGGCGGTTTGCACGAGGCTCGCTCAGTGAGGTGGTGACCAAGCTGAGAGTCCGCCCAGTCCCACCTGGGATTTAGGGCTGACCCGCCAGTTTCAGGGGTCCCCAGCCCACTACCTAAGACGACAACGGCCCTGAAAGGACAGCTCCAAGCTCCAGCTTCACGCCTATGGTATGCCGCGGCCACGCACCCGAGTCGCTCGTCAACTCACGATCCGATCCAAGTCTCCTCCCATCGACCCAATGCGCCGCAACCATGAGCCAAAACCCACCGTCCGAGCCCGAGGGCAATAATGACACGACGTCGAAGTCGAGTCCAGCAGCAGCTAGAGACGAAGCCCAGAAAACCGGCTCCGCCGTCCGAGGAGCCTCCCTGCTGATCATCCTGCAAATCGTATCGCGCGCCATAACCTTCGTCGCCAACCAGCTGCTGCTGCGTTTCCTGACCGCCCAGCTGCTCGGCGTGTCGACCCAGCTGGAAGTCTACTACCTATCCGTCATGTTCTTCGCCCGCGAGAGCCTGCGCGTGGCCATCCAGCGGCAGGGCAGTGGTGCCCCGTCTACCGCTTCCGCTTCTTCGTCTAAGAGGTCCGATTGTGTCGCGGGGGCGAGCGCGCGGGACAGCCAGTCGGTGGTGAATATTGCGCATCTGTCGCTTGGGCTGGGGCTGGGGTTCTCGGTGGGACTTGGCTGGGCGTATCTTCACTACGTGGATGCGGCTACGGCTTCGACTCCCTACCTGAGTACTGCTTTGCGGATATACGGTCTCGCTGCCCTGGTCGAGCTGCTCTCCGAACCGGCCTTCGTCGTGCTGCAGCACCGACTGCGCTTTGGGCCTCGCGCTGCTGCCGAGTCTATAGCTACCTTCTTGCGGTGTGTCGTCACTTTCGGTGCGGCAAACTGGGCATGGAAGAAGGGGCTGGAGTCTGGTGTGCTGCCCTTTGCGCTTGGGCAGCTGGCATACGGTACTGGTCTACTCGGCGTCTACGCCTGGTATGGCTTTAGGCTGGCATCAACAGAGAGTTTCTCCCTATTTCCCAGAACGGCAGCCATGGATAGAAATAGTAAGGGACAGTTACTGCTGTCCAACGACTACGCACTCGGCTATTTCTTCAAGCCCACCCTACAGCTCGCCTCGAGCCTCATGTCCCAATCGTTCGTCAAGCACATCCTCACCCAGGGTGACACCTTCCTGGTGTCTGTCCTTTCCGACCCGGACTCTCAGGGCGTTTATGCACTGGCCAACAACTACGGAAGTTTGGTAGCCCGTCTCGTCTTCCAGCCCATCGAGGAGAGCAGCCGAAACTACTTCAGCAAGCTCCTATCCTCCGGCAGTCCAGGCACTCGACCTGCCAAAGAGGTAACGGACAAGGCCAAGGCGGACCTGCAGGCGTTGCTGAAGTTCTACGTTCTCCTAAGCATCGTGGTCATCACTATCGGCCCCTTCGCGGCGCCACTACTCGTGCAAATCGTCGCCGGAGCGCGGTGGTCTGCGAGCGGAGCCGGTGGCGTACTGGCGCAATACTGCCTGTTCATTCCTCTCCTGGCCATCAATGGCGTGGCCGAAGCCTTTGTCTCGTCCGTGGCCACCGAGTCCGAGGTGCATCGGCAGTCGCTCTGGATGGGTGCTTTCAGCCTCGCTTTTGGGATCGCAGGGTTTGTCTCTCTGCGCGTGATGGACTTGGGTGCTGTTGGGCTCGTGTATGCCAATGGCATCAATATGCTTTGCCGCATCATCTGGAGTGGCTCTTTCATATCCCGGTATTTCAAGAGCAACGACATCGACTTTAGCTGGAGTGGCATTGTGCCTGATGGGTCGGCCCTCTACGTTGTGGGCACCGCTACGCTCTGGGCTGCTATGGCGAAGGCTGGTATATCTGTGGGCAGTATTTCGCCGCACGTATTCCAGGATCTCGTCACGGTGGGAGCAGTTGCAGTGCCATTCGTTGGTCTAATGTGAGTCTCGAACATGCTTTTCTCTATCTGCTGCTAACTCGCACATTCTCGAGACGTCCAAGCTGATCACTATTTAGGGCCTGCGCCGAACGCCGGTATCTCATAGACTGCTACCGCTCTATATGTGGTAGTCGAGGCGCATCGTGAAGTTCTGACCTAGTGAACTTCATCTAACAAAGTAGAGCAACGCATGGACCTATATCCGTTCTCATTGACATCAATCATCAAATGTGATCTTGGTACCCTTCTTCGACATGTCCACGTCCTTGAAGAATGCTCCATAGGTACCGTGGGCCTTCTTCTTGACAGTGGTACCAAACTTCATGAGCTCTTCCGGAACTGGCTGTCCAGCGGCTTTGAGAATGTTGATCAACCTAAATCAGATCGGTTAGTGTTTCTTGTCAAATCGAAGGAATAATACATGCTGAACGTACTCTCCAGAGTGTGGCTTGTCAAGTTCGGTGAACAAAGTGATGGCGTGGCCAACCTTGCCCGCTCGACCGGTACGACCGATACGGTGAACATAGTCTTCAATGGTGAGAGGGAACTGTATGTCCAAGATTAGCATGGGTGGGTCGAGACTGGTTCTCTGAGGGTGCATCATCAGGGGGCTTCGCAAGGAAGGGAATAAACTTACAGTCAGATTGATCACAAGCTTCACTTCGGGAATATCCAATCCTCGAGCTGCCACATCAGTTGCAACCAAGACAAGTGTTTCTCCCTTCTTGAATGCTTCCAGACTCCGGGTGCGTTGCTCCTGTCTCAGATCGCCGTGAATGGCTGCGACCTTGATACCACGTTGGTTCAGGAAACCTTCTACTCGCGTGGCCTCTTTCTTGTACAGGCAGAATACCAGGACACGTTCGTTCTTGGGTTGAGCTCTGAGCAATTCTAATAATCTGCCCTCCTTCGCCCACTGGTCCACGACCTCGACCTTCTGCTCGATCCTCGTGTTCGCTTGGAGATCGCCGCTTTCGTTGCCACCAATCTGAATCTTGACGGGCGACACCATGAATGTCGACGCGAGAGCCTGCACGCTCTGGGGCCAGGTCGCGGTGAACATGAGCGTCTGACGGTCTCCTTTATTGGGTGTGCAGCCGAGGATTCTCTTGATGTCGTCTTCGAACCCCTTGTCCAGCATGCGATCTGCCTCATCCAGGACCACGAATTTGGCCCCATCTAGCTTGAGAGCGCCCTCCTCCAAGAAATCCTTTAAGCGTCCAGGAGTTGCGACAATGATGTCGCCCTTGCGTAGGAGATTCCGCTGGTCGTCCTTGGATGCTCCGCCGTAAACACAGACAGTCCTCAGGCCAACAGTGTCGCCAAGCTTGGACAGTTGCTCGTTGGTTTGCATCGCCAGTTCACGGGTTGGTGATACCACAACAGCGCGTATCCTCCCGCTCCCCTTGGCTTTTGGCATGCCCAGCACAGCGTTGACCAGAGGCAGGCCGAACGCGATGGTCTTGCCCGATCCTGTCTCTGCCACTCCGACGATATCTCGACCCGACAGTCCAAATGGCCAAGACGCGGCTTGGATCGGTGTAGGGGCCTTGAAGGCGGCGAATGGCTTCTTCGCAATGAGCGACGAGGACGGCAGGTGGGAGAATTGCATGATGGGTCGGAGAGTCTTCTCGGAGAGAGGGTCGGTTATGACGATCTCATGGGTGGTCAGGAACATCGCGATCTCGGTTTCCGGTACTGTCGCAAGCTCGGTTGTCTGCTCGTAGATCTGTGGCGAGGTGGTAAGAGACGAAGGGGCGGCAGCGCCATTCGTGCAATTCGTGACCTGATCTTTGGTGTGACCATTGGTCGTGCCAGTCATGTCGACATCTTCGCCTGCATCTGCCTCTGCATCTTCCGGCTTGCGCTTCTTCTTCTTGTCCTTCTTATCCTTCTTGTCTTTCTTGGGCTTGCTGTCTGCCTCAACCATTACCTCCTCTTCGTCGCCGGCTTTGACCTTGTCCTTCTTTTCTTTCTTGTCTTTCTTATCCTTCTTGGACTTTTTCACCTTCGGCGCTTCCTCCGCCTCGGGCACTGCTGCTTCCTCGGTCTCTACTGCCGGCAATACTTCGGACTCGTTTTCGCGCAACTTGTCTTTCTTTTCCTTCTTCTCTTTTTTGTCCTTCTTGGACTTCTTGCGAGGGGTTGTCGCCTCTACCTCGACTTCGGTATCTTCGAGTCGGTGTTTGGACATGTTGACGGTAGTCAAGGATCGTGTTGTACTGAATTCGCAGGGCAATACAAGCACTGGCTTCGTGGTGATGGCTGCAAAGAAAATAATGGGTAGAAAAAAAGACGAGTTGCTGATAAGATAAGAGATCCCACCAAACTGTGGCTGCATGTGGCTTGCTTGCAAACTTGGTAGCGAGCCAGCATTGAACAGAGGCATGATAAGATCGACTACTCCCAACACCTCCCTCGGTACCTTGTAGAGCTGCGACTTGATATGAGATGTCATTTTCGCATAGTACGACAATTGTTTACGGGAGTAGCACCGGCTCGGGCGAGGGATTTCGCGTGTACAGGTATATAGCGATTTGAGCGATCCAGGCTGAGCATATGACAGAATGCCGAAGGCAAAGGACCCTGTGACCGAGCAGGAGAGCATACAGCCATGTCGAGTCCAGTCAGAATGGCACAGCCTGGGGTTTCCAATATCGATAGTATCCGAGAAAGTCGTGTACACATGTGAAGTTGGGACAAGTGACGTTAAACTTTCAGAAACATAAGGTACTTTACGTAGGGTATCTTATTTTATTCCTATGATACAGTGGCGGACTGCATGTGCAGGTGAAGGACAATAGAACAGCGCAACGTCCTCCCCATCCTTTCAGACCCCGACACCCGTAATCTCAAGGTCAACGAGTGTGCCTATGGAATACGAAGAGATTCTTAAGCAGAGCGGCATTCTTAGCTGCGGCCCGTAGAATTTCATCGAAGTGCGTCCTGTGACAGTCGTGCGATAGTGTCAAGGGGTAATCGACCCGGTACTTTTCACCTTCACAAACGGACCAGCCAAAAACCATCCGTGGCGAAGATTCGCCAATATGTATCGATGATGAGATCATGCAGTTGCAGAGACTGTCTCGCCCGCACCAGGCATCTTCATCTCGGTTCCAGCAAGGTTCGTCAACTTGGCAGTTGGGTTCTTCGTGTAGTAGTTGGAGATGGCGGACTTGATGGCATCTTCGGCCAACATAGAGCAGTGTACTAGATGAACTATTAGCATTTGACTATCATGGTTCAAAGAGTTGGGAAGACTTACGCTTGACTGGGGGCAGGCACAGCTCCTTGGCGATCTCGGTGTTCTTGATTCTTCCCGCCTCCTCCAACGTCATGCCCCGAACCAGCTCTGTCAGATAGCTCGAGCTGGCAATAGCGCTGCCACAACCGAAGGTCTTGAACTTGACGTCGGAGATGGTATTGTTGTCCGGGTCGACTCGGATCTGCAGCTTCATGACATCGCCACACGCCGGTGCGCCGACCAGACCTGTGCCAACGTCGACATCCGTCTTCACCATGGACCCGACATTCCGCGGCTTGCTGTAGTGGTCAAGAACCTTTTCGTGGTATGAGCGGCGCGCGACGTTGGCGGCTGGGTTGAGGGTTCGAGGGGTGGCGAATCGGGGTGCCGATGATGTAGCCACTCGGCGCGCGGTGTTGGCGAGTGTTCTGGACAGCATCTTGAGGGACGGTTGTGTGTACGTGATTCTTCTTCGGTCGGTTCAGGATATCAGTAGGAAGCTGATGTGATTTGGTTGCTTTGGTGGTTGAAGTCGATCTGCACGTATGGTACGATGTAGGTGGAATAGTTGCGAATGATGAGGTAGGACGGGATGGATAGGTAAGGAACTTGATAAAGTCCCAGAAGCGTAGAATTTCGTAGGTACTAGGTGCGGCCTTTGTGTTGGTTCGGCCGCGGCGATCTCGGTCGCAAGAACTCAGTAGATGCGCCAAGTGGCGAATCAGAGAGCTCCAAACGTCGCTATGAAATCATCGGCTCGGAGTTGACGTCCACACTGTGTATATAGCTCGCCATTGACACATGGTGTCGCACTGTCACACACAGACACAGTCGGGGTGCTTTCTATTTTCCCTGCGATAGCCCGCATGTCAGCCATTATCTGCACTGTGCCCCGCCGCTTGCCATGACGGCACTAGTAACATTTTCTTATCAGATCAATCCATCCCGTCACAATGGATCCCGCTTTCCACCAAACCCACTCGGCGCCGAAGCCTGTAATGTCCGATGTTAGGTAGCTTGCGATCTGTGCACTGTACGAAGGCGGAAGGACAGGGGACGCGGGGCAAAGCTGCTACCCCTCTGCATTTGCCTCTGCCCCTCCAACCTTCACCGTGTCAGCGTGTCTGCATGTCCAGCTTCAAACCTGAGGTGCGGCGCATAGCAGCTTGACAATTACATTAGCGTCCCGCCCTCTTCAATTGCCCCTCGTTCATCTGGTGTTTTCTGTTTTCTGTGGTTGCCTGCGCAAGATATCTCTAACCCTCCTTCAGCCTTGCCTCACTCAGCGTCGACCTGCTCTCTCTTTACAATACCCGTAAATTCAGCGACATCCTACTTGACCTATTCAAGATGGCCTGCTCCCATCTGGACGTATTGTGTGGGTGAACCCGAACTTCCTGCATCTCTCTCACCTTTCCGTTGTTCGACGCTTATACACCATCTTCGCAGCTCTAAGCCCGCCGACTCCGGCCCAGTCCGTGTACCGGGAAGACTGCACGCAGTGCTTTGATTCTATCGTAAGTTGTCTTCGTCTCTGCTGACCTCCATCCTGTCTTCCGGCCCCAGACAGTTCGCCCAGGGCATTCCGGAGGCTGGGCGTCGGGTGCAATGCTCACCAAGTTGTAGGACGATCCCGACGGTCTCGACGTTTGCCTACAATGTTTCAATGGCGGGTGCACAGGCCTGCAAACCCATTCACACCTTCACTCTGCCCTCCGAAACCACCCTCTAGCCTTGAACGTTCGTCGGACTCGGAAGAAGGTCGTCAAGGATGAACCTCCCGCCAAGATGACCAAGCTCGCCATTGCCGCTGAGACGGAATCCGATCGATACGACATCACGAGCAGTGTCAAGTGCTTGAGCTGTGCCAAAGAGCTCGACAAGTCCGATCCGAAGCTCGCCCCCGTTGTGGATGGTATACTGAAAGCAAACACCTTTTCGCGTCAAGAGGAAGTTAAGGCGTGGGAGCAGGAGCAGACTTCATGCGAGCACATTTTGACTCTGCAGCAGACGGAGAGTCGGAAGATCCAGAGTGGTGACTTGGGGCACTGCTCCAAGTGTGACCTGAAAGAGAACCTTTGGCTGTGTCTGGAATGCGGCAATCTTGGCTGTGGTCGATCCCAGTTCGGCGGTGTGGGAGGAAACTCGCATGGCCTTGCGCATGCTACCGAGGCGAACCACGGCGTTGCCGTGAAGCTGGGCTCCATTACGCCGGAAGGGACGGCAGATGTCTATTGCTACCAGTGCGACGAGGAGAGAGTCGATAGTGATCTTGCGGCTCACCTGGCGCATTGGGGCATTATCCTATCGGACCAGGTCAAGACAGAGAAGAGCTTGACTGAGATGCAGATTGAGCAAAACCTACGATGGGAGTTCTCTATGACGACCGAGGACGGACGTGAGCTGCAGCCTCTGCTTGGACCTGGTTTGACCGGACTAAAGAACCTGGGCAACAGTTGCTACCTCGCCAGCATCCTGCAGTGTCTCTTCGATCTGCCTGCTTTCCAGGCCCGATATAATGTCCCCGAACGTGACCTCCCAAACGTCGATGACCCGGCCCAGGATTTAGAGACGCAACTACGAAAACTCGCGGATGGTCTTTTGTCTGGCCGATACTCCAAGGCCGACACCGATGTCGTAGCCTCGGAAGACTCTCCCGAGATCCCGTATCAAAAAGGGCTTGCACCTAGCATGTTGAAGCATCTGATCGGTCGTGGTCATCCGGAGTTTTCCTCCATGCGTCAACAGGACTCCTTCGAGCTTCTTCAGCACCTGATCAAGCTTATCACTCGCGACCAACATAACGTGCAACTTGGCGATCCCACGCAGCATTTCCGATTTGTAATGGAGCAGCGATTGCAGTGTCTGAGCTGTAAGAAGGTCCGATATAGCTCGACCGAGCAGGATAGCATCTTCATCGACGTCCCTTTGGAGAAGTTACCTCCGGTCGAGGGCCAAGGAGAAGCATACAAACCTGTGACGCTGAAGCAGTGTCTCGACAACTTGAAGACTCAAGAGGTCGTCGAGTTGACCTGTGCAGGCTGTGGGAGCAAAGACGGATTCATGAAGCGCTCTTTATTCAAGACCTTCCCAACCACTCTTGTCGTCAATGCCCGGAAGATGACGGTCGAGAACTGGGTGCCTCGTAAAGTCGATGTTCCTGTCATCGTGGGAGACGAGCCCTTCCAGCTGGACGAGTACCTGTCTCCCGGTCACCAAGCCTCGGAGGAGTTGTTGCCGGAAGAGGAGGCAGCTGCCGCCCCAGCATTCGTCCCGAACGAGGGAGCATTAGACGGGCTGATGGGGATGGGCTTTCCTCGCAACCGTTGTGAGAAGGCGCTTTATGCGACGGGTAACACCGACGCCAATACTGCAATGGAGTGGCTGTTCGGACACATGGAGGACCCCGATATTGATGAGCCGCTCGTCGTAGCGACCGCTGGTAGTGGTGACAGCGCTGCAGCTGATCCCGAAAAGATCGACATGCTTGTCGCCATGGGCTTCAGTACGTTGCAAGCCCGCAAGGCGCTCAAGGAGACCAGCGGAGATATCGAACGTGCGATCGAGTGGGTGTTCAGTCACCCGGATGACCAGGGCGACATCGACGTGGGTAATGAGGCCGGAGAGAATAAGGCTCCAGCGGGGAGTGCCGAGCTGCCTGCCAACTTCCAGCTACACAGCATTGTATGCCACAAGGGTACTAGCATACACGCTGGGTAAGTCCGCACATGCACACAAGGGCTGACGCAATGCTGATCCGTATAGACACTACGTGGCGTTCATCCGCAAGATAGTAGACACCCAGGTGCCGAAGTGGGTGCTTTTCAACGACGAGAAGGTGGTTGAGGCTGGCGATGTCGAGGAAATGAAGAAGACGGCTTACGTCTACTTCTTCAATCGTGTCATTTCCACATGAGAGTTCACAGCGAGTCGGCCTGGGCTGCTGGGTCAGCCCCAGATGCATATGCGGAGAACGGAGTTGCGTAACAAGATGACCCTTCTCACGGAAGTCTTGTGCCTATTATAGAGCGAGAAGCGCGTTTATGCTATGGACGGGCACATACATGGATCTGATGCGCTGAGGCGCAGGAAAAGCATAAGAGATGTTACGCGGAGTTACACAGCCAGCCGATTGGTTTGCATCTAGGTATTTACCTAGATAGTCACACAATGGTTGCGACCTACCAGATCAAAGATGGTGTTTATTGTGCAAGAGTGATTATGTAATAGCCCATAGACCCTGATCTTATCGCGAGTTCCGAGGAAATTCATGGTATTTTACACGCAATTCATCATTCGCCCACACAGGAGACCCGAACGCCAGAATATCCACATCGCCTTCCCAACCAAGACTCGAACTTCATTCATACAACGCAGCAGCCACCAAAACCCCCCCTGAGAAGGTTATACGCCCTGTACTACTCGCCCAGGCGGTAGCTAACAAGCGTTTCGACCCGATGGCTGCTGGTACTGAAGCCTCGCAATTGTACTCTCTCGCCATTCACAATCTCCTTGGCATCACTGTCACCCCATTCCACCGGCACGTCGCTGTCAGCATCGGCATACACCAGCACGTTGAAGGTACAGTCACCAGCCAGCTGCGGCAGAAAAGTGACCGAGGCCGTGATCTGTCGGAAGAGCGCCGCAATCTCGGCCTGGATCTCGGGCTCGGTCTTGGACGGGTCGGGCGAGGCCGTGTTGGACGCAGAGGGCGTGTTGTTCTCCTGATCGGCGGCGGCGGTGGATTTCGACTTCTTGGACTTGGGGTTGTTGAAGATCTGGACGTCGAACTGCCACCGCTCGACGTGCTCGCCCGTGTCCTTGTCGGTGACGACGATGACGAGCTTGCTGATCTTGCCGTGCTGCATCCACTTGTCCAGCTGCGACATGATCTTCTTGATGTAGGCTTTCACCTGGTCGTCGGAGGATACGAGCATGTTGAGGCCATATTTCTTGACTCTGTGGGAGCAATGCTTTGGTTAGTCGAGGCTGGCTGGCTGGCTGGCTGCTTGGGGTGCTCTTGGACATGGAGGAAAGTGACTCGGAATACGCACGCTGTAAAGTCCTCGGCCGGGTATACACCTCGTTGGAATCTGGCCACATGTCAGTCTGACATCAGTGAGTCTGTGGCGTCGTGAATCGCTCGTACAGGATTGTGTGAATCGAGTATTGGAACTGCAGACGGTAATGTTGTCAGTCGCATAATTCAAGGGCCCACGATGCTCGGATTCAACATACGAACTCCGCGACCAGCTTGGCGCTTCCTTTCAGAGACAGCTTGTGGACCTTGGACTTGTCCTTTTCCTTTTCCGCTGCTGCAGGTGCCATTGCGACTGTCAAATTACTCGTCAGTCCTTAGTGATCGATCCTGTGAAGGAAGGTTGATAGGAGCTTTGTTTACTTTGCGACAGTCGTTCTGGCGGGGTGATGGACCCTGACCATCAGTTGTACTTGGCATACAGCCAGCCGATAAGATAAGAACATCGTTATCTTATCTGCCTCCAAACTTTCTACGGATGCGCGCCTTCTCTGAATAGCTTCATCCCTGCATCTCTAAAGCCCATATCACGACACTGTTGTAAGTCACAGCAAATCTGCATGGATGGGTGGCGGTATCAACCTGGCATCTGTCTGCAGGCGACCATGTCTACACACATTTACACGCTCTGCAGCTTATAGCAGTAGCATACGCCCAGCATGGCGCTCTGTCAAGCCCTCTCTGCCAGCTCGGGTGCCTTCACCATCCTCCCCTTTTCGCCATACGCAGTCCATTCGATACAACAGCTCGAAGAATACCGTCGGTGACCTCGAACGCCGTATAGCCGCCATTCCCCTCTCGCGCTTTCGAAACTTCTGCATCGTTGCGCATATCGATCATGGCAAATCCACCCTTTCCGACCGTCTTCTCGAAATTACCGGCACCATCACCTCCTCCAAATCCAACAAACAGATTCTCGACACCCTCGAAGTCGAGCGGGAACGTGGCATCACTGTCAAGGCACAGACCTGTACTATGATCTACAACCACAACGGTGTCGACTATCTTCTCCATCTGGTCGATACCCCTGGCCATGTCGACTTTCGCGCCGAGGTCACGCGATCGTACGCGAGTTGTGGTGGAGCTATACTGTTGGTCGATGCAAGTCAGGGTGTGCAAGCGCAGACTGTCGCCAATTTCTACCTTGCGTTTGCCGAGGGACTCAAGATCCTACCGGTCATCAACAAGATCGACATGGGCGCTGCCGATGTACCTCGGGTCCTGGAGCAGCTCGAATCGACCTTCGAGTTGGACGTGAGTAACGCGATCGGCGTGAGTGCAAAGACGGGTCTGAACGTCAAGAACCTCTTGCCGGCTGTCGTCGACGCTATCCCAGCCCCTACAGGGGAGGAGACCAAGCCATTGAGGATGTTGTTGGTGGATTCATGGTACGATAGCTTTCGAGGCGTCGTTTGCCTGGTCCGGCTCTTCGACGGTACCGTCAAAGCTGGAGATTGCCTCGTGAGTTTCGCAACGGGTCAGAAGTACACGGTCGGAGAGGTCGGTATCAGATACCCTACCGAGGTACCGCAAACAGTGCTACGCGCTGGCCAGGTCGGGTATATCTTCTTCAACCCCGGCATGAAGAAGATTCAGGATGCCAAGATCGGAGACACCTTCACCACAGTCGGGTCGGAGGACGTTGTTGACCCATACCCTGGATTTGAAGAACCAAAACCCATGGTGTTCGTCGCTGCGTTCCCAACAGATCCGACCGATTACAGTCGCCTCGCAGATAGCATTGGCCAGCTTGTTCTCAACGACCGCAGTGTTAGTCTGTACAAAGATCACTCCGAAGCGCTTGGTGCGGGCTGGCGCCTGGGTTTCCTGGGCAGTTTACATTGCTCCGTCTTCCAAGATCGTCTGCGACAGGAACACGGCGCGAGTATCATCATCACCGAGCCCGCTGTACAGACCAAGGTTATATGGCGCGACGGCAAAGAGAGCGTGCTCCAAAGTCCAGCCGACTTCCCCGAGCCCGAAGACCTAAAGTTGCGTGGAGCTGCCTGCTACGAGCCATACGTCCTTGCCACCTTGACCCTCCCAGAGGAATATCTCGGGCGGGCTATAGAGCTATGCGAGGCAAACCGCGGCGAACAAGTGAGCATCGAGTTCTTCCACGGCAAGCAAGTCATTCTCAAATACCGTATACCTACAGCTCAGCTTGTCGATGATTTATTTGGCAAGCTGAAAGGAGCTACAAAGGGTTACGCGACTCTTGATTACGAGGACGCAGGCTGGCAGCAGAGCAGTCTCGTGAAGCTGCAACTTCTCGTCAACAAGCAACCGGTAGACGCCATCTCGCGTGTCGTCCATCTATCGCAGGTCGACAGACTTGGCAGACAGTGGGTTACCAAGTTCAAGGAACACGTGCAACGACAGATGTTCGAGGTGGTCATCCAAGCGGCCGTGGGCAAAAAGGTCGTTGCCAGAGAAACCATAAAACCCTTCCGCAAAGATGTGCTCGCGAAACTACACGCCAGTGATATCACAAGACGGAAGAAGCTGCTGGAGAAACAGAAGGCGGGTCGAAAGAAGCTCCGCGCTGTCGGCAATGTCATTATCGAGCAGGAAGCGTTCCAGCGCTTCTTGACCAAGTAGCGACGTCGACCATTGTCCTTTGTTTGGACAGCTCATGTATATAAATGTAACACTACGATATTTAAACACGTGCCCAAGAGGTCTTTCGAGTTTCGATCAGCGAGAAACTCGTTCTCCGACAGATCGAGTTTGATGCTCCTCGGTCACATGGCCTGGAACAGGGGGTCTTCTAAGCGGTTTTCTGAAGAACTCCAAGCTCACGGACCACCCTTCCGCACAAACACCTCCGTGATGCGTCTCAGCCGCCAGTTCGTCTCATGTCCCGCCCACTCAAAACTGTCAACGATATGCGATGGCACATTTCACGTCGCCACTACCCAGGACCCCGGCACGTTTTCGAGAGCGAAGTGTTGGAGCCTACCATTTGGCCTTGACAATCCGACCCTCGCAGATCCTCACATACCTTCAATCTCTTCAGCGCGTCTCCTGTCCTGGCTTATGCTCGTTTCGCAGCTTCTTCTAGAGGGTGTCTGCGATTTTCATCGCCCTCAAATGAGCTAGACTGGTGGGTTCCTTCTTCGTGAGACTAGGACTGTGTTTTGATAGCCTGCTGCGAGACTGTTTGGCGGCGGTGTCCCTAGGTCTCCGCCAGGCTCCCATCAAAAGTAGGGCCGGTTGAGGTTTGAAGTTACTCAGGTCTGACGATGTCCCAGCGGCTAGCGGTCTCCTCGATATCATGAATGTAATATAAGGTGATGTGATCCAGCAATTGGAAACCTTCCATTCACTCATCCATTCATCCGATCATACATTCATCCTTCGTTTCTGTTTCACTGGCTGATATCTGTTCTAATCATACGACTTCTTGTTTCATACACTCTTTCAGACTTACTGTCACTTCTGTCTGTTATTCGGCTTTGGGCTCAGATCTCCAATCATGCATTTCTCTGCTTCCACTCTTACCTCGCTGCTGGTCGGCTTTGCGCTGTCTTCGACGGCAATCGCCCACCCTGTCTTGGCCCGAGCCACGGATACTCTCACCGAGAAGCCGTACAGCGAATTTCAGGTCTCAGACGGAGTCGCTGGAAATGCGTTGGCTGAAGTCAATGCCCAGTTTCCCGTGAGCCTCTATCTGCTTTCCAATGAGACCAAGACCACAAAGCTGATATCACTCCCTTCAGGTCGACCAGAACAACCTCGCCGGCGTCTCGGATAACGATCTCCAAATCATCGCTAAAGCAGCCCAGCTGGGCGAATCTGCCGAGACTGCAAGCGGCGTAGGTTTCGACGACGCTATTGATGCCGCCGGTGGCCAGGAGACCACGGCCGGCCAGGCCCTGCAGAATGGAAAGATCAAGAACAAGATCTTGAAGCTGCAAACCGATATTCTCCGCATCCAGATTGAGACTGCGCAAGGGAACACTGAATCGACGAGCGACTTGGCTGGGCAGCAGTCCAAGTTGGCGGAGGATGTTGCAACTGATGAGGCAGCGGCGGGAGAGGCCTCTACGAGCGTCAATTTCACTGGAACCGATTAAAGAGCGAGGCCCCGGGGAAGATGATGATTTAAATGGCATGGGAGGAGCCTGGGGGGTGACAAGGTCGGCATGAGCTGATAATGGTGCATTCGTGCATAAAGCTGAATCCAGCACCGAATGTCTGATTCTAATCAAAACACAACCATCATGCGCTTAACCATTCGTTCTTTTCTTCATGACAAGTCGCCAATAGTGATTGTCACCACTCACCAATGTGTTTTTTATCTCATCCATCACGTGGCGGTCCGATCCTACGTTCAGTGCGTAGGACGCGGCCGAGAGCACTGGGATGCTACCAAAACTCCCTCGTATTCTCATAAGATTTCCACCTTTCCAGTTCCTAACTTCCTTGCATACCGATGAATGTACCAGGATGTGATGCGCACGTTCAGCTCTAACCTGCGATATCTGTCGAGTTTTACACAAAGTATGCGAGGCGAGCACCTTGCTCTCTTCAATGAGCACACCCGTTGCCCAGGTGGTCGGTAAGCCTCATCCGACTAGGTCAGCATGAACGGCGTGAGTAATACAGGCCGTGACAAGGCCATCCATCCTTCTCTGTCCTATTACACGTCGACACCTGCTTCTCGGCGCAAAGCCAGATAACACAAGTCTGACGACGCCTGACGGCGCAGCAGATGCCTCCGAGGACCAACGTACGCGATAACGGCGGCACGATTACGAGCGGCCTGGCACAGCAGTGTAACCCACTACCGAGGCGGTGAAGACTGACCTTGCAATCATTTCAGATAATGGACGAGCTCATCATTCACTGGTACCACCAAAGCCCGCCGGTCCCACGCGTGTCATACGACAGTGGGTAGACCGCGGCCACGAGACTCGCTACTACTTGAAGGTATGTAACACTCGATGGCTGCATACGATATCGCGAGTCGAGCCGTTCGTCCCCGCCAGCTCATGCACGAATCCGCGGACCGTCCCCGCGACGGACCCGGCGTGGGGTTTTACTGGGGGCGAACCAGAACCTCCCATTACCCCGATGCTAGGAGCTGGACGGGTCAGGATTCTTATCCGACGAGGGCGGGCTTGAGCTCGTGCTTGGGGAGCTGCGTCGATGCTTGGTTCGATTCGTAGATGCGGTGTCGCATTGTTTACGGTTCCAGTTTGATATCTTGGTTCGAAGTGATACTGACTCTCTTTTCAAACAAACATCACTTATCCTGTTTTTGCATTCTACATTTGGTACATCACGCTCCAAGATGCCGAAGATCGCGAACGTCGAGCACTTCCGGGTGAAGCCCCGCTGGTTGATGGTCAAGATCACCGACGAGAATGGCGAGTTCGGCTGGGGCGAAGCGACCTTGGAAGGCCATGATCTGGCTGTCGAGGGATGTCTAGAGGAGATGATTCCCAGACTGGTAGGCCGAGAAGCAATGTGTGTGCTCCCCGTCGGCCTTGACCTTTTATGTCTTGCTGACATTGATACCAGTGAGATTGAGAATATCTGGCAGACGTTCTGGCGTCATAGTTTCTACCGCGGGGGCCCTGTCTTCATGAGTGCCCTGTCAGGCATCGACATCGCACTCTGGGATCTGAAAGGTTGGTCTGCGTACACCATATGGAAGGAACATCACTAAATCTGGTGGCAGGCAAGATCTTGAAGGTACCAATCTACGAGCTGCTCGGCGGAAAGGTTCGGAATGAGGTCCAGGTGTACTGCTGGATCGGCGGTGACAGACCGGCAGACGTAGAGAATGCAGCGTATGTCTCCTTCTAACCCACCAGCCCACTTCGACACGATACTGACGTGTGAAAAGTAAGGCCCGCATCGCACAAGGCCTCAAGTGCGTCAAGATGAACGCGACAGAAGATCTGAACTGGGTCGACTCGCCATCTGTGCTAGACTCGACAATCGAGAGACTGAAGATCGTCAAGTCTCTCGGTCTCGACGTCGGTCTGGACTTCCACGGACGCCTGCACAAGGCCATGGCCAAGCAGCTCGCCAAGGCCCTGGAGCCGCACCACCCCCTCTTCATCGAGGAGCCTCTGCTCAGCGAGCACCCCGAGGCCATCAAGCAGTTGACGAACCAGACCACAATCCCTGTTGCTCTCGGTGAGCGGTTATACACCCGCTGGGACGTCAAGCGCTTCCTCGAGGACGCTAGCGTGGATATCCTGCAGCCGGATATCGCACACGCCGGCGGTATCAGCGAGACCAAGAGGATCGCCAACATGGCGGAGGCTTACGATGTCGCGATCGCGCCGCATTGCCCCTTGGGGCCAGTGGCGTTTGCTGCGTGCATGCACGTTGCGCTGAACTGCCCTAACTTCGCTATCCTTGAGATGAGTCTGGGGATGCACTACAATACCGAGGCTGGCGACATCGACTTGTTGACGTACGTGAAGGACCCCACGGTGTTCGATATTGGCAAGGGCGGCTACGTGAAGGCACCGACTGGCTATGGGCTTGGAATCGAGATCGATGAGGAGCTGGTCAGAAAGATCTCGAAGGAGACTGAGCCGTGGCAGTGTAAGGTGTTCCATGGTCCGGATGGTAGCATTCGGGAGTGGTAGACAGCCACATGGCTTGTCAGGATGATGAATAGAATGTGAATCTGTATCATCACGAGACTTCGAATACTAAGACACTTTCGGCCGAGTGATGTACGCATGAGTTATTGGCCCCCGTGAGATGCCTTCAGGGCGTTTAAACTCTGCAGCCAGCGTGCATGATATTGCCTCTTAGGGGAGAAGTCTAAACCAAAGACTCGATGTCAGAGCACTTGCCAGCAGATTTCAGAATGCTCCAGAATGACACTGTAACATGCAATAGTGACCGAAGTCTCCTTATATACATATCTAAGTGTTCAATACGGTCTAACTATGTCTCTATGACAACCTTCAACACCAGCTTGCCCTCGTCATCCACCGGCTTCCCAGCCATCTGGAAGGCATCCACAACCCTATCCAACCCACCAAACCTATGCGTAGCCAGCTTGGAAATATCCGGCAGCCCACTCTTCTCCCTATCCGCCAGCAGCTCAAGGCCATACTGGTAAGTACTGGCATACCGGAAGACGCCCCGAATGTCAATCTCCCTCAACGCAGCTGCTGACATAGGCAGCGTCTGGATTGGCGTTCCCATGCCGATTAGCATGATTGCGCCGCCCGGTGCCGTTGCGTAGATGGAAGCTTGTACGCAGGCTTCGACTCCCGTGCACTCGAAGACGACGTCGAAGGCGGGAGGAATGGCCGCACTCGCCGTGTTCCCAAACGCACCCTCTGTCAAGACCTTTGCCGTCTCCTGCGCGAGTGCCAGTTTGTCTTCAATCGCGTCGGACTTCGGCCGGGTCCTCGGGACCGTAACACCAACGTCGGCAAAGCCGTTCTGCTTCGCGAACTCGACCCGTCGGCCCTCGATATCGGCAATCGTGATCTTGCCGGCCTTCTCAACGCGCAGCATCGCCGCAGTCAGCAATCCCACCGCGCCCGCCCCCAGGACAAGCGAATTCACGCCCGGCTGGACCTTGGCGCGCCGCACGGCGTGGATAGCCACGCTCAGGGGCTCCAGCAGCGCGCCCTCGTCCAGAGTGACGGGGTCCGGCAGCTTGTGGCACCACTTGGCCGGATGGTTGATGCGTTCCTGAAGTGTGCCCTGGAAGTGCGGAAACGCCTTCGCCGAGCTACGGAACTGCATCTGGCGGCAGATGTTATAGCGGCCGGCCTTGCACAGGTCGCACTCCTCGCACGGCAGGCCGACCTCGAGGGCCACGCGGTCGCCGGCCTTGAAGCTGCCCGTGTGGTTGGACCCGACGGCTTCGACCACGCCGGCGGACTCGTGGCCCAGCGCCATGGGCTCGCGGACTTGGATGTCGCCGTTGCGGAAGTGGTTGAAGTAGTGCTGGTCTGAGCCGCAGATGCCGGTGCTTTTGACTGCGATTTGCAGTTCATCAGCGCCTGGAGCGGCGATTCTGCGTGTTTCCTGGTCTTTGTTAGGATGTGTCATTCCCAAGTATTTCAAAGGGTTCACTCACGGTTCTCAGGTCGCGAACTCCATGGAGCACGGAGGCCTGAACTTCTGTTTCGGACATATTGGCGAGTGTGCGTTATGTTGCCAGCAAGAGGAGATATGGTCTATAAGGTTTGACGTTTAAGGGGTGATATATGTGTATCTTGAGCCACCTGAACTTTGAATAGACGCCGACCTTGACTCCAACCCTCTTGATCAGGATGAAGTGGCTAGCGTCCTGCAGGCAGCTTTCTAAGCTTCTCCACTGAATCTGAAATGGCTGAATGGTCAAGGGAGTTCGAAGACCATGCATAGCCTCCCCACTCATAGTCAATAGTCCGAGGGGGCTCTACCTCCCACTGCCACCCCCGCGTCTTTGGTGAGCTGGTATGGAGACAGTGACCCCCAACTCGAGCTGAAATTGGCAGACATTGGGCACCGTAGCACGACAGTCCTGGAGGCTCATGGACGGGTTTGTCTGGAGAATAGGGGCTCGGGGACCCCTATACTGCAATTCCAGGGGTGACCATATCGGGCATAAGCTTCGGTATGGCAACTCTAGTCACCATTCTTCGCACATGTTACCGACGTGGTTATTATACCCCAACAGTAGAGGGTAGAGATCCAGAGTACTGGTCTAGATACAGCGAGACTCGTTGCTTTGCATGGCTCTTGTTCACAGGGTGGATACAGAATCATCGTCCCATCCATCCCCCATCAACGGTCAAGATCTCCCCACTGACATATCTGCACCCCAACCCAGCCAGGAATACCGTCGCGCCCTCAAAGTCCTGCGGTGTCCCCCATCGTCCAGTAGGGATACGCTCAAGGATGCTCGCCGCGCGCTTCTCATCGTTGATGAGCGCCTCATTCATGTCCGTAAAAATGTAGCCAGGCGCGATGGCGTTGACGTTGACACCTTCGCCGGACCATTGGTTGGACAGGGACTTTGTCAGCTGTGCGACACCGCCCTTGGCAGAGGCATATGCGGGCACGTTCAGGCCACCCTGGAAGGACAGTAGCGAGGCCACATTGATGATGGCACCACGACGGCCTGTTGAGTCCCGTTTCCGTGACAGGAAGTACGCTCCAAGATCTCTGCAGAGGGTCCAGACTGTCTTTAGGTTTACTTGGAGTACCTGTCAGGTGTCAATGCAAGCTCAGAACAGAAAAACACAGAGAAGAGGAATATTACATCGTCCCAATCGCTCATGGGGAACTGGTGTGCTGCGTGCCGTCTCTGGATGCCAGCAGCTGTAACCAGGATGTCTGGATCATGCTTGTCATCCAGGATCCGCTTCGTAATGCCTTCGACAGCTTCTTGAGATCCCAAATCAGCTGTGTACACGAAGAACTTGCGACCTAGCGCCTCGACCTTCTTCTTGGTCTCGAGATTGCTCTCGTCTCTTTGAATTAGTATGATGTCCGAGCCTGCGCCAGCCAGGGCGAGGGCCATTGCCTGGCCGATACCTCGGGTCCCGCCTGTGACGACGGCCAGATGGCCCTCCAGTGAGAAGAGCTTCTCGAGATATGATGCCATGGTGTAGGTAATTCGAGGTGAGCCGTGATTGAGGCGAAGGTATGCTGTGATTCGTCCTGATTTGTCAGACTCTGATAGAATACACAAGGTTTGCTGGCCCTGAGGTCTGAGACATCGCCAGGATGCTTGTTCAATCACTGTCGCTGAGGTTCACCCCGCACCCAAGGGGCTCCACGATATCGGAGCTTCTTACAGATGGAGCCACACTACAACCTCCGTAACTCCCCTCACCATCAGGGGCTGGCCTAACGAATTGACTTGGGGGTCACTTCGTGTCTGCCTGTAGGTTCTGCCCTCTCATTATGAATATGACGAAGTATAAAGTCGGCTGTCTCATGCGGCGACGGACTGGAATGAGGGGAAGTCGAGGCGGGGAATTACCTTTCAACCCTACCTACCTGAAGGGTCCAGTACAAGTAACAAGGATCTATCAATATCGGCATGGATCCCGATGAATTTCAAATAGTTGTAGCTCGTGACTCGGGACAGCTCGGCTCGCTGCACGAAATCATATGCAATTCAAAGGTACCGAGCGGCTGCTTTCCGACCACGCAGACATCCTGCCGCGGGATTCCCGCGTGACAAGTCGTGGCCCCGTGGGAACGAACTGCGGGGGCAAGGGGGGCTCCTAGCTAGCCCCCAATTGGCTCACCTACCCCTGTCGGTGCCCAAAGGGGATGCCCCCATCGCGAACCCTCTTACGTGGGGGTCCATGCCTGTGTTAGCAGTGTACATTGGTACGACAAGTGCCGAGGCCATGGACTTCTAAATATATGATCTGGGATCCGAAACAGAGCTGGGCTTGTCATACAGAGTTGAAAAAGCAAGCCCCCTTATCGGACGAGAAATTGTGGATATAGTACATGTTTATCTGATGTGTTGGAACGTCCATCACCGAACATACATGTCAGTACCAGTCGGGATGGGGTATCCTCGTGGCATAATGAACTACGGTAGGGACAAGCTTCACTTCGGTATGACCATCGAGAAAGCGAGAGCCAAGGATTGAAAAGTCTAGCTGCTGGCCGTTGGTGACGATATGGGTGTTGGCCGGTCACGGAGTGGAAGGGTTGGACGGAGAGGGTTGGCTGCTAAGGGGTAAGTTCGCTCTATTCTTGTCCGTCAACCCGAAACATAACGTCTAACTGCGTGCGACGTCCAGCGCATCTATGGGTGAGGTGTACAAGACAGCTTATCTCGTGGCATCCAACGTCGCCACAGTTGGCGCGTCCCTTGCTCATGATCGCGATCCAGCGCGGCGGCTCGGTCGCCCCGATGATGAACAACCTGCGCGGAATCGGCCAGCTGGAGATGGGAGCCGTGACTCTGGAGCGTCAACCAGCTGACTGAGACCTATGGGATCACACCAGTTCGCGTACTAAGTGGGACGTACATGGGCAGCCTGAACGATCTCGGATTCAGTGCGACTCTTCTCAAGATCGTCGACCTCCTCGACATGTCGGCCGCAACGAGCGGGTGGCTCCCATCTGTGCCAGCCAAGAACTGTCGCAACAGTCGCGAGGGCGTCCCATCAACTCGGATGGGGGCGAGCTCGGCACACAGGAAGTAACCAGCAATCTCAAAGGTGCGTCGCACTGAGAGATAACATTATCATGAGCGAAACGTATGATTTGATTGCCTAGGTGCTGGTCGTTCCACAGTCAATGACGCAAAAGTCCGGGCCAGCCTTACCAAAGGCCTGATGAGTCTGGTGAAGGCAGTGCGCGAAGTCACAAAATGCGACACCCTGGGTGGCGACGGTGATTGTGGACTGTGTCTCAAGACCCGCTGCTGAGGCGGAGTTGTCACACATCCAATCATTGTCCACTGACGACGCAGTCCCACTTGTCGTGGACACTCTCCAGCCGTTCGTCGAGGTCTTCAAATCCACGGGGGATCTGAAGAAAACAGTACCTAGAGGCAGCGCAAGAGGAATGTGATAGCACAAGGGGATGGAGGTCAGCCTGAGTCGATCGGTGTATATTGGAAGGGAACAGGGGAGGAACTGCCCGGATCCAGGCGCGTATGGTCTGCTGAGACTCATTAAGGGTTTCGCAGGGCAGTACATGCATATATGAACGTGTACCATATAATGGACCTGAAAATATGACGTCCTGTCTGTACGACGATGCGTCGCCGTCTATCAAATTCCGGGCGTAATGCTTGAGATACCAGATCAAGGTGAACCCCAGAGGGATTTTGTGCCTGTGCGAGTGACGCCGTCTCTCATGTAGAAACTCGAAGTATAAAAAGCTGAAGCTTGAACTTCAAAAATCCCCCCAATGGTGCTACATGCGTCATACCAATAATCAGTCGTGGGGCGACAAGATCGACGTCTGATATAGAAATTAACAAGGGACGTGTTCACCCTTCTCATTGCAAGATGCGATCATGTTAACATCGAAAGTTGGTAATTGAAGTCCTAAAAACGTTGGTGTCTAACGCACGGTTTTCTACGATATCTACGCGTCTTCCCTCTACTTGCCCAGCTTGTCCTCCTCAGCCATCAGCTCGGCGAAGCCCTCTTCTTGTTCCGTCAACTTCGGGCCTTCCGGCAGCACGCAAGGCTTTCTCGGCTCTCCTCCATAGCCTCTGTACTTCTGCAGACCAACCTTGACGGCAACGAATCCGCCCTGGATAGCTGTCCAGTCACCCCTCGCAACGATCTTCTGAAGCTCGCGCGCCTGGTCATGTTTGCCTGATTGCCACAGGCTCATGACCTCCAAGCAGGCCTTGGGTGCGAGATTGCCTAGTCCTCCGATGATTCCATGTCCACCGACAGCCAAGGTCTGAATGATGAAGTCCGCGCTGCCACCGTATGTGCGGAATCCGGTATTCTCCGTACCGGCAACCACACGTGCAAGCTTTCCTGTGTTGCCACAGGTCAACTTGACACCGCAGATGTTGGGGTGTTGAGCCAGTGCTATGATGACATCGGAGCTGAGATCCAGGCCACTGCACGCGCCGGGGAAGTTGTAGATTATAACGGGCAGCGGTGACGCATCAGCGACAGCTTTGAAGTGGTTCATGATCAGGTCATTCGTGAGGAGGCTGCCGTAGTAGGCTGGCGGCAGAACGAGAACGTACGAACCACCAGACTCTTTAGCTTCTTGGCAAAGTTGGATGGTCTCGCGTGTGCTCTGAGCGCCACATCCGACTATGACTGGGATGTCGGTGAGGCCGGCATTGTCCAAGGCCTTTCGTGATATCATGGTGATGAGCATACGCTCCTGGTGATCTAGATGGACAGCTTCGCCATTCGAGCCGTGCGTCACAAGTCCAGTGACGCCAGCCTTGGCTAGTTCTGTCGCGTGTTTCGTAGTTGCGGCTTCGTCGATGGTATCCTCAGGGGTGAAGAAGGCGACAGTCGGGACGTAGAATCCGGGCTGGAGCGGGGAATACGAGGAGGACGCGGTGCCGCTACCCCCGGTACTTTCTTCTGCCGATGGAGACATGATGTGGTCGTGATGTAATGTGATGGATCTGGGTTGTAATGAAGGTGTTGCTGATGGGCTGGAAGGCTGTCTGAGATGTGTCTGGCACGATGGTAGAAGTGCGTGGAGGTGAATATGGAGTTCCAAGTTGCAGTTGATGGTCTTTGCAGTCTGTTTATGTTGAGCACGAGATCAGAAGTGTTTGGGGCTGCCCTTCCCTTTCTGCCTTGGGTAACTCGAGGCAGGAGTGACTGACCTCGATGGTTGCTGTAAACCTTACTTGTAACCGAGAAGCTTCGACTCGCACGCACTCGTGGACACCAGGGTGACCCTGCCATCTCGGCATGGTACCCCCACGGTCTGCCACGCTCGTCTGAACCCAGGGCAGCCTCGTGAAGCTTACCCCCACGCATCTCGATGATCATCGCTTTTGGTATGCACGAGCCCAAACTAGGGAGCTTTGCCACGTGCCTCTGAATATGGAACCGACTCCACCATCTTCCTTCGGTCGAAATCCCGACACCGAATACGGACTTTGGAGGCACGCAATGAGTAAGTTACGGGGTAACGGGAAAGGGCCGCACTGTCCTTGAGAGATCCAGAACCTACTCGAGTAACCATCGTGGGGTGATACTCAAGCTCACGATTCCCGAGACATGAGTCCTTCAATGACTTCATCCACTGCCGAGGTCACTTACGCACGAGACTTGGATAAACCGGCGTACAGCTGGATACACGGCCAGGAGTTCAACTTGGTTGAACCATGGCGGTGACTGGTAGCGGTGCTAAGGATTATACACAGATTCTGCTCAGGTGAAAGCGGCTACAAGTCACTTGATATCCTAGAGTGGCAGGTTTTGGAGATGTCCTCCTCGCAGCCAATGGAAAATACCTTATGGATCTGCTATGAGGCTCTATCGGGTCATCTACCTGCACAGCAGAGTATCATACCTGCAGGAGGTTGATCCTGCATATGTACGGAGAACATGCTGTGCATCTGCAGCTCGACGTCTAGTGATTGGTGTCAACTAGGACCCCGTGGGGGTTCCTCTCCCTCGAGAATGTTAGAAACGGCCCAAGGACCTCCGATCACCTGCCTATCGTCGTATTGGCCTCGGACTGGAATGCAGGGCGCCGTATCCCATAATGGTCTGGGTGTTGACCATGCCATTTTACTGGGTGGCAGCGTAGTAGCCCCCACGAAGTACTGTTGCTACAAAGCGACCTTGACGGTGTCTTCTGAACAGGTACAAACCCCCAGACGACTATGTAAATCGACTGGAATTCGAAACAGAGGCCCCCATATTACTAGAAAACCCATCATCTCGTTAGGGCCTATACTTCTCGCTTGCTGAATTTGGAGTCTGGCCGTGACATATAAGCTTGGGACTCCTAACCCAGTTTGGCCTCATGCTGCGGTTCATTGTTCATTGTCTTCCGTCTATTGTTGAGAAAACAGAATGCTTTGTGAAGCATTCACGGATGAAGCCCATATGAAGGAGCAAAGAGACAAGTGATTGAACAATGCTAGCTGTTGTTGAACAATGGCAATGTGCATAGACAATGGTCCTATTTTCAAGGCACGGGGATGGATATAAGAACCACTTGCAATCCTCCTTCATGGCATATTTTCTCCATCAAACTTCCCAACTACCAACCCAAAATCAGCAACTGACTCCAGCTTCCACTCACAAATTACTTCACTTTTACCAAACCACAAGACGACAAGCAAAATGTCCAACATGAACAGCCAGGTCATTGCTTCCAACGGGGAGTTCATTGCTCCCAACACCGAGATCACTGCTCCCAGCAGCGACTATGTGCCCCCGCAGCGCATCATTGCAGCACCTCACCCACAGATCGACATCGCCATTGAGGAAGTCATGGAGCACCACGTGCCCTACCTGACAGAACTCATCCCAGCGTGGCGTAGGAGAGAGGGATCGCAGGCGCCCGGCATGCCGCAGTCGTATCACACGAACGTCCGCAACAGCTACTCGCACTGATGGAGTATGGCGAATGCTGTGGGGTCGGTCGAGGACGAGAGCACGACCACTTTCATAGCACGATTTCGCCCGGCTGGCTTGCGTGAGCCGTGGGGCGTGGTCGAGCTGGACCCCCGGGGGCGTGTGAACGGCTTCCAGCTCCCTGCTCTTCCTCTTGAAACTTCTGCCGGGGATGCGGAGACTGATATCATCGGTGTCCCCGAGCACTGGGCCAGGCTCCAAAAGCTGCTGGTCGACCCTAAATGGCTCCATGGCGGAATCGGACGCGCACTCGTCGAGGCCGTCGTCGAGCGAGCACGAGCCATGGGGTTCCGAGGCCTCTGGCTGACCGTGGAAGAGTGGAACTTGCCGGCCCAGCAACTGTTTAGCTACACTGACCCGCCATAAGTCTCCGAGCATCCCCGCATTTACACCAAAATGCCCTACCTTTACGCTTTTATAACTAAAGACTTAAAGCTTTTTAAAATAAGATATTATAAGAAACTAATATTTGAAAATGCTGAAGTTTTCGTCACTAATTTCTAAATACTTATTTTCTTAGCGACTAAAGTATTAAGAAATAGATATATCAAAATAAAGTTTAAAATCTTAAATGTTAAATCTTAATAAAGCTATAAGAAATGTTTAAAAAATTGTATAAGTCATAATAAAGTTATATAATATTAAATGACATGTAATACACGTATAAGACGAAAAACCTTATGTGATAGATTTTTAAAAAATTAGATATGTTAAAAAGTTATTTTTTTCGAAAATTCAACCTTTAATAAAGTAACATTTACGACCTTTATCTTTGAGATGTCAAAGTTTTTAAATAAATAATTTTAATATTCCAGTAAATTTAACTATATGTACTATAAGTACTTAAGTTGTATATATTTTACTCGATTTATCACGATCGCGTAAAGTTGGGGTGTTTTGGTGTAAAACAGGGATGCTCGGAGACTTATGGCCGGGGAGTGTAGCGGGGCTTCGTCGAGGTACACAAGGGTGACTTTGGAGACAAGGGCGTGACCAGCTTGCTCATGGTCAAGGAGCTTTGAGCTACTTGAAAAAAAAAAAAGAAGAGAAATCCCGTACCATAGTACGTAGATGTGACATTGGTCCGAATGGAATGTACGATATTCTTGAGTCTTCTTACCTTCCCAGAATCCTCGAACAATGACAATCTGATGAGATCAACGCAAAGTGATGTGACTGAATGATTTGTGTACTTGACAATGAGATACCCGGCAGTTTTCTTTACCCGCCTGACTCAGACGCAACCCCTAGATGGATGCAGATGGGTTATACGGCGTTTGACTCCTCAAGTACTTGCTGATAGGCTCAGTCATATGGAAGGCAAGCAGAGCAGAGAATTCTGCCAAACGTGGCTCCAAACGATTTTACATGGTGTTAAAGCACAGCATATAGCGTCCGTACCCAAAATGGGGCCTGACTGGAAATATGCCACTCCTCAACGAAAGCTGTGTGCGGATTCCAGCAACAGCAAGCATTGGGGTCATTACATAAGGCGGTTGTCGAAATAACATCTTCTGTGCGTATAGTTAGCGGACCATTGGGAGAGGAGACAGTCCAAAGCCGGCGGTGAGGGATTTGGCGAGGGAGGTCTGCTCAGGCAACTAGTCATCAGGACTTTTGGACACGTTCGATTGTCATGGCTTGGAAATCGAGTTTTATTATTATTAAACTCTTCGACCGCAAGGGAAGAGCCAAACCCAAGCCCTAAAATACAACAAAAAGCAAAGCCCCCATCCTGTACGTTAAGTCTAACAGAATAAAACGCCGCAAAGACTCCACAGAAAGTCGCAGAGGCCTGTATATATCCTATTTTTCTGGTCACAACGAAGTCACTGGCTTTTCCCAACCAGGCCCACAAAATCAGATGGATGTTCTCCCTGGCAACGACAAAACACCACGCAAGAAACCAACCACCACCATCCATCACCCAGGCATATCCATCTGCATACGTCCGTCAAAGCTTCACAGACCAACGAATGGTGCCCTTTCGGGACATCTCAGTCTTTTCCTTACAACCAATTCCTCGCCAGTCACCAACCGCTGCAACGCTTTCCGCTTCATTTTCTTCTCTCCGCCAACCCATGGTACGCCTTCAGTCTGCCTGCCAGCCCAGACTTTCCATTGTGCAGACCTCGCTTAGCCAGCTCAGACTCTGGCACAGATCGTTCGTCTCAGCCCAAACCCTTACTTTCCGACGACACAACACAATTCCAGTGGTATGCATGAATATGTTACCCTCCAGTGCGGCAGCAACTGACTGGTTTAGACAATGTATTCTTACCGTATGCTCACGACGGAGGAGAGACCGAGGAACTACGACTTCACGTTCCCGTTGCAGTTCGTGCGATCACCAAACCGGACGGACCATGATATCCCAAGCAGCAACCAGCCAAATACCAACCATGCATCAGAGGGTTATGAGGACGATACTCTCCCTGCAGTCAACGGCGCAGCACGAACTGGAGACCATATCAATGAGCCTGTCGTGAACGACGAGACCCTTCCTGCAGTCAACGACGCAGCACGAAATGCATACCATATCAATGAGCCTGTCACGAACGATGAGACCGACTCTGTGCAGCACTTGGATGCTAAATTCGCAATGGCAACTCGACACCAGCCTCACCAGACAAGATACCGTGGGGATCCGGGTAACCCAAGAAACCAGTGCGCTATGATTCCGATTGAAGAGAGCACATGCATTTGGATCGAGAACCTTCCCACAGAATGCACGGAGGCAGTGTTGCTTGACAGCATCAGAAACTGCGGAAAGATATACTCTCTCAACATCGTTCCGCCTGGCTATAATCATCATACGCCGGCCGCCAAGCTGACGTTCTGGGCGCGTGAAGGGGTCGACCGTCTCATGGAACAGTACCGTCAGGGCCTCTTCACCGTGAACGTGAATGTCCCTTGGGGACCAGACCCGTGCGAATAGGAAGTTGGCAAGATGGGCTCAGAAGCCAGAGCGACCGATCAGATGGACTCGGAGACAACTTCTCCTCCGCTGGTCATCAAGGGGGTCCTTTCGAGGATGCTCTACTTCCGTACGACACGGCGCTCAGCGCGTTGTGCTGTCGTTCCATGGTGGAAAATCGCTTGACTCGGCACAATCTCTTCTGCTTACTCTCCGGGAGATTCGTAATCATACCACATCTACTTTCGCATGCTGTCCGCGAAAAGTTCCTCGACGGCGGTATGCGCATGGGGGCTGACCTTCTGACAGCACTCGCGCTGGGGGCCTCTGCTTTCGGCATTGGGCGGCTTTTCTTGTGTGCGCCTACTGCTGAGTACGGAAAAGCTGGCGTCCGACGGCTGGTGCAGATGCTGAGGTTGAGATTGAGAAGAGCATGGCTTTCGTGGGCGCGTCTTGCGTCGGGGAGCTGGTCAGAGTGTGAAGCTGTGGAAGTAGGCGGTGTGTACGTACTGTAGGCTATACCAAATTCCATATATCTCCTACCATATCCTGTGTCATGCGAGTAATATTTGAAGTAGCAACATGAGTGTGATGACCATTTGAGCGCTTGAAGTCACGAAGGTCGTCACAGTCTGCTCGATAGAGGGTAGGACAATATGATCAGGTGCTCAAGTGCCTGCCATGAAGTGCTGCGAACTCAATACGTTCAGTAGTCTCTGATTAAAATCCCTTAAAACAGCCTATTGTTACGAACCAACAAATATCATGGCCTTTTGGAGGGCCAAGGGGAGTACACCAAAAACCAATGGAATCAGAAGCCAGGAACAGAACAATGGGTATTACGGATTACATAACAAAGGTCACATGACGGATCACTGATTACGAAGTGAGCCTGCGAGGATCACTGGATCAGGGAGTGAGCCAGTGAGCATCACTCTGGGACAAGGTGGTCCTACTCCATCAGTGAGGGAGAGATTAGATATATAAGGACAGACATTTCCCAACTAGATAGATAGACAGTCTCTACCTCAGTGATCAATCTAAGCATCTTAGCCAACCCTAAGGTGGGAGAAATCTCCTGACGACTGGACTACGCAGTGAACCCAGTTCAGACCAAGCCCCAGCATCTGAGTGTCTTCTAGTTGACAGAAGCCTCTATCGTCTTTTGTGTTGACTTATCTCATAACATAAACCCTATAGAACCCTTTAGCCTTATAGGTTAGACAGCTCGTCACACCTATATCGTCTCTATCGTAGCCCATATAGCAGCACGTCAATGTGATCAGGGGTAGTCATGGCGGTATGTGTTGCCTCAAGTCGCCCAAGTATATTCCTGGATAAAGCCGTGTCGGTGCGAAAGGGTGGTCGCTACTAACACTCAGATATCAAGTTCTGTGCGAGGCAATGCATTTTCTTCCGATGGCAAGGATCCGACGTCGGAGACAGTGGTTACCTCTCACGGATGACCCCCAACCTTAGACCAGAACCGAGACGGGCGCCAAGATGTAAAAGCGAGAACGTGATGGGACCGATCACCAGGGTCGGACGCGGAGCAGCGTGGTGTATCCGCTGGGCATCCCGTCGCTGTTGACAGCTCACAGCTCAGGGCGACTACCAATCTCTCCTGATTACAGTCAATGGCTGACACCTCCTTCTCAGCACGGATACACAGTGAGAGACTCCATCTTGTCTGTTGGAGTCGAGTACACGGATAGCTGTTACGGCTCGGTGACCTGTCCCAGACCCAACACGGCGGAAGCTTGTCGATGCCGATAGCCAGGCGAAAGTCGAGTTAATGCTTCCATCAGCCGAACCGCGGGAAGGGAGGCCATCAGAACTATGAAACTACCATTTCTTGTCCACATTGAAAAGAGGAAGAAAAAGGCATTAGGAAACGGAAGCACCTAGGCACATCATTTGTGATCAAAACTATGAAGAAGTACCTAGGTATGCTCTACGCAATGGACATTATCACATCGACGATATAGCTTGCTACGGAAAATGAACTGAAGTTGGCGAATGATTCAAGGCGTGGGCGTGCCTCCTCCGTGAGCCTGAAGACGTAGAAGTAATCTCATGTATCATACTCATGGCTTACAGAGTGTTCGGCGCGCGTCCTGGTAAGAATCTCATGAGGTGAGTGATGGAACTTGCTTAAAAGGGAAGGATTCTGACCATGTACATTGCAACACTGGCGAGAGCAGAGGAGACCATTTCAATGCACCACAAATGCACGATAACTGATCCTTTCAGAGGAACAGGGAGACTATGTCTATGTCTAATTTCAAGGAGCTGGTACTAATTGGGATATGATATTAGAGGCCACGAGCCCAGAAGAACAGGAAAGCGCGGCAAGTACAATGAGCGAGATAGCTAACCATCGAGATGACCGACATGAATGTTGTCAACTGAGGAACATCAGAGTCAGACCATGATTTCCCGACCGTGTCATTGTGGGGGTCCCTTACAACAGACACGGTAAACACACGCCGAGCGGAAACTAGATTGAGGTAAAGAGACTCCGCGCACGGCACTCCCTACCCACAATCGGGACGCCTGGAGAAATTCTCAGTACAGTTTAACTAGATATCACCTTCGATCCGACGTTACTTCAGCGTCTGTGGTACCAATGGGACTTCAGGACGAAAGGCATCGAAGCAGGTTGGTACCAAAGCAGGCTGTTAGAACGGGTTAAGACCATGTGCACGCTGGTTATGGGAATGCTTCCACTCGTCATAACGGCGTTGAGCCTTCTGGCTGCTGTCTGGGAACTGGTCCAACATGTGTTTCCAGACCGATCAGAGGCGGTTTACAAGGTCGGCGGCTGTGGCAACCCGAGTTTCAATGTCTGCGACCTCACTCGGGTAAACGGTACGAGTCGGATCGTTCAGGCTTCGTACTTCGTCCCGAAGGGCAACAAGATGGTCTTCTGCTTTTCTCCACTGTCGGTAAGCCGTCTTGTGGAACCGGAGAGATCCATCCTTCTTGCCAGATCCAAGCGTCTTGCGAGATCCAGCCGTCCTGCGAGGTCCAGCCTTCTTGTGACGTGTCATGGTGAGCGACCACGGCGGAAGTTCCGATTAGAGTCAGAAGAGACTACAGTTTCAGGCAATGTGGCGACGAAAAGTGGACGCAGATGGTCGATGATCTGAGCGCCTCCCGCAGTCTAGTGCATGCACCTGTCGGGTGGCTTGGAAGATGTGAGGCCGTTAATAGACCGGAAGATTGGACCCTAAAGTGAGAGGATGTCAGCGTCGGTGACTGATACGAGACAGTAAAGGGACGAAGTGCGACGTGAGCGTGGCTCATCAGCCTAGAGGGAACGGAAGGTGTGACGAATATGGAATCAAATACCTGGTACAGAACGAGACGATGTCGATTGATGCTGTCATGCAGTTCGACGATACGCCGGCTGATGTTGTACTGGTACAGCGGAGCAGAGTCGTGAGGTCGATTGGAGTGATGGGATAGGCTCGGGACCCCGGTGTTCGCGGAAGAGAAACGTGTTCCTATGGCAAGACAGGGATGGCAAAGGCCGCCGATGTTGAATTACAGGCGACTACAGACTGGACTAGCCAGGACCATGTTGGTAATGGGCTGTGGGTAGTCACGAATGAAATGGGTGTTGGCGTGATCGTGGTCGTCGTGATGACTGAGGAGGAGGAGGAGTCCAGAGACAACCTAGAAGAGATAGAGAGATGAAGTGAGGGGAGCAAAATCTGGCGGGGCCAGGTGTCAGATGGCAGCAAGCCGCAATCATGCTTCTCGAGTGCACGAGGGAAGTCGCGGGTTGCGTATGGGGCCGAACTGGTACCTGCCAACTCTAGATTACCTGCCTAGGTACTCACCCAACCTTGGGAGACCACCACGAAAAGGGGGCAGCAAATGTCAACGGCGAGTTCAGCCGAATTAGATCACACAAGTCCATGATTATTGGTACTTACATGCAGACAGAGCCTGCACATGTTCTTGTGGCTCATGACTGTTTGCATCGCATATGGATGGTCAACCTGAGTTCCTTGAAAGGGAACCCCGTCCCATAACTAGAAGTGTCGCTTCATGCACCCCATTAGCTGGAAGGCAGCATAGCTGTCATCTCGCGGGACGTAGGCCATGGTGATCTCCTCACCCTTCCGGATGTCCCTGGTAGCGCGGAGGAGGATCAGGTCGCCCATGAAGCTGCGGATTGTATCTCCGTTGCAGGCGTGGTTTACCATTGAGGCTTGAGGAAAGAGACCGGCATTGTCGGTTTCGAGGTCAGGGTCGGATTCGTGTTGTCGGAGTAAGCTTAAGTTGGTGTCGCCAGTAGTGAGAGCCGGCAAACTGAACCCGTTGACCTCGATTGCGCGTTGGCCTTTGAGACTGTAAAGGACACTTCGTCCGTCAACATCTTCGGCGCTGTGGGCTCCCTCGACACCCGGAGTCCAGAGTTGCGTGATGGCGTCAGCAACGCAAGGATTATGCAAGGCCTTAATGGAGCACCATGGGGAGAAGCCGGGCAGTAGCATCGCAGAAGCCCTGTTTGGTAAGAGAGCTGTGAACCCAATTGGTATGGAGCGGCTCGGGAGTGTCATGGAGGAAGGAAGCGCAAAAGGCCTTCTCGCACAAGACGAGTCTGCCTATAGCAATATCCTTGGTAGCGATCAGGCTGCGTCCTTTGCCATTATCTAGATCCTGGACCTCGGTGTTGGCCACGAAGCTGGCCACGTCGACTCGCGCACTGCCCCGTTGGATAAATTCGCCGATGGCATCAAAGTCATAGTCTCCGGTCTGTGTTTGATACAATCGAGCCTGGTTTAGCTCGAGTTCTCCCGTGACTACTTGATCGGGCTGAGATCCGCCCAGAGCCAAAGCCTTCTGCATAAATTCTTGTACCTTGTTGTACTGCTGCAGCTCGACGGAGGCCAGTGCAGCTCGATGCAAAGCTTTAATGTTTGCGCTCTTCATTGTGTCGTTGCCTGGTACAAAACAGGCGAGGGCATCATCGCGAGATTGCTGGAAGCGGCCGAGCTTGAAGTTTGCCGACGCACGATTGCGCAAGAGTTGCCGGCGAACCTCGATTTCGTCAGGACCGCAGATTGAGACCCCCATGGTATAGCATCGAGCTGCCGTCATGAAGTCACGCTGCACCAGAGCGCCGTTTCCGTGGGTCTTCCAAAGAACAGCATTGGGACGCGAGGACAAGAGATCCTGCTTCCACTTCGGGGGCATCAAAGGAGATGCAAGGTCAAGCTCAATGAGATCAGAAGGGTTCTCTACCATGATGCCGTGCTTTCCGTTAGGAAAGGTAGTGTAGAAAGGAGCCTTTACTGCGACGACAAGACCTTGAGGCAAGATTTGCTGGATCGTGAGGAAAGGGTCCGTGTTGAACAGCACGATAAAGTCGACTCCGCCTTCAGCATCTTCAACTCCGGCGCAGAGGTAGCGGTTAAAGTCCGGCGGGGTGAACGTTCTTAGGACTGCGACGTGTTGGAAGTGGTTCTTGCTGATACCTAAGTCGTTGAGCCTGATGGGCTCTAAGTCTTGCAAGGGGCTTGTCGACGGTGGAAACGGCGACATGGGAGCTAGCCAGGGACGTAGAACGTTCTCCTGGGAGTAGTCGGCTTCGTCAATGACCTTTAGCTGGCTGAAGACTCTCTTCATCTAAATATCAGCCATTATAGTTCAGAAAGGTTGTAGAGGAATGAGTGCAAGCTTGACTTACTGAAGAGGCAATAGCTTCTTCGATGGCTTGGCGTGACAGTCTTTCGCTGTTCTCCCACATTCCAAGACGTTGGTAATGTTCAGTCAAGTCGTTGAATCCGCTTGCAAGTGCATATTCTGCTCGGTGTCGTGAAGCCATTGCCTCTGCTCGGTGTTGTGAAGCCATTGTGCTGGACGTGTGCAAGCTTGGACGTGTGCAAATGGCGGGTGGTGAGGATGGTATGTGCAAGAGGTAAAGCCAGTGCGCCTTTGACAGGCACTTCCAGAAATTTGATGTGTGAGTGTGTGCTGAGGCGGGAACCTTCTGCGTCCTAGGAAGCATACAATCGCCCGAGGCATAATCCCATGCGAGAATTTCTTATCGTGGGGCTGATAGGAACTTTCACTGTTGCTCGGCAGCTCGCCCAACAAGGCATTGCAATAGCGGCACAAACAGCTGTAGCTTATGGTGGGGAGTTGAAGAATTTGTGAATTTGTGACTTGCTCATCAGAATCCAAGAAATTCAATGTGGCGTTTTAAGGTCCATATCCACATAAGCTCGATCAAGAGGCGCTTCCAATGCATGTTGCATAAACAACAGCGCGAAGCTTGAAATTGAGCCTCTTTATGAGGTGAGGCAGCAAGAATTCAGTTTCTCTGTTCGCCTTTGTCGGAAACGGAAGAATGTGACAAAAGGAGGACCTGCAGGGAAAGTCGACTTTTCTGCTTCATTCTGGCAATAATTCGAAGTAGCATCGCGTTGCCTCATGTCTTGAGGTTAGAAGTTCTCCCCTGGGATTTTGTCCTCTCTACTTAGGGTTGGGGCAGAGCCTGGTGCCATGATGATATCGATGTCACGTCTCAATCTGCTGGGTTGGGAGCCACGAAGTATCGCTGGATGCTACCAGCCACTTGGGATTTGACGTCCTCGAGTTTGAGGTTTCGTCCAAAGCTGGGGTGGACTCCTGAAAGTCCAAAAGACAGCAATGCGGATAAGATCCAGTGTTGAGGCGACAGAGTAATGGCGCGGTACCACAACTGTGACAATGATAGTGACCTCAGTTAACGCCTAAATGTGACCACATGGCGGTCATCAGTAGCTGTGATGGATGCACATGGAGGGAAGAGGTCGCACAAAGGCAATATTGATATAGATATGGGGGAGTCGCACGCACGCACCATGCCTGACTCTCCCGAAGGTTATCAGGGTATCAGGGTATCAGGGTACTGCTCCTGCAAGAGAGAGGCGCATGGCCAGAGCATGGCGTAGGGGAAGTGTCTGCATAGACTGGTTGTCGCATTCACTGACCTGGATGCTGGTGGAGCTCAAAAGGGGCAAAAGTGATGTGTGTGTCTAAGTGTGATCAGACCAAATGGTCTGCCGAGATGGTTGATATCTGCGTGGAGCACTAGGGCACGCTAGCCCTACTAGCCCTCAAGGGCCCCAAGGCCTTAAATTTAAGGCTTTTGTATAACTTTATAATTATACAATGTGAGAATCGTAGTGCCTGCAAGGTGTAGCTACAGTGGGGCTGCAGCCGGCAGCAGGTGAAAGGGCTGAAAGGGGCTGAAAGGAGTGAAAGGGGGAATATTCGGGTTTTGCTTGGCAGAATTATTGTCTGGTGTTAGGCTGTCGGGGATTAAAGGGCTCCCATAGCTGTATTTAGGTGGGAGTCTCCCGTATGGAACCATAGATGAGACAGGCCAATCATCATCCCATTCCTGACCACTTGACCCCTGGACTTCCACATGGTAGCATCTCCGATTTCGATCGGGCTCAGGGGCACAGACAGGTGGTGACAGGTGACGGTGACGGGCTCTAGGCGTGATACGCGCTGGCTGGAAGGGTCCCTTGGGAGCGCGTTTACCTTGCGAGAGTGACGGCCCTGAAGGGGATATTAATAGTAGCAGCAGCAGATGGCTGGCTGGATGGATGCAGTCCCCTTGCACACGGCGCGTCATCTGGGTTCGAGAAGTGACAGCGACCTAGAAGGAGACTCCATCAGCAACACACACACCGAGGTCGGTTGCCGTTGAGGGACGCGCTCGAGACGAGTCCTCAAGCGACCATTCGACCTGGCGAAGAAGAAGTCCTCCCATCGGGTTGAGGCAGAGGATACGATGTCTCTGACGCAACGCGTAAAGAAGGCGCGTACACGATTAGGTGAATCCTGCTGGAGTGACGTAGCCTTAGGACAGGCGTTGAAGCAGGTCCTAGAGTCGGTACGGCGCTGCGAAGGAAACGACTCGTGGCGTAATGTAGCTGTGGCCACAGCAGGCGTTGAGCGACGTTCCAGCTTTCGTGATCACAGCGTGTGTGAAGAAGACGTACGCGAGTCTGGCGTATTGGTGTTCCTGGTACGGCATCCCCTGAATAGCACGGAGCAGAGCGAGCGGCGGGCAGGCTCCCACGGCGAGAGAACATCAACATCAACATCAACACCACAAGGAGAGTAGTCCACCACACACACGGGAGTTCTTAAGTGAGAGAGGCACAGTGGAAGGAGTCATCCGTGGATGAGGGCGCCAGCGAGCGGCGAGGTCCTGAGATCCTGAGAGATGACGAGAGACGGCGACAAAGCGTGATGAAGGCGTGATCGATGGAGATAGCAAGTCTGGTTCGATCGATGGTGACGAGGTCTGGTTCGATGCGCTGCGGATGAAGGATGTTACTCGAGGTGCCTTGGTAGCCGGCCGCGGTGAGGTAGCGAGATCCATTCCGTGTTCACGAAGGAAGCAGCAGGTCTTCCGATCGACTATTGAGAGATGGATGCGTTCGCGTACGAAAGCATCAGGTCCTCAATCGACTGAAAGATCATTAAAAACAGTGCGTTGGCAAAGGAAAAGGAGCGAAAGGCAGCCTCGTTAGCTGGCAGCGTGGAGGCGAAGGCGGTGGAGGAAGGATTCTGTCACGGTGGCACGGCTCACCGCCTACCTGGTTGAGTGATGCTATCACTCGTTCGATTCTGAATTGTATTGCGTTTTGAGCGTTTCAAAGCTCCTGGCGTTGTTGTGGCAGTTGGCTGGTTTGGAGCCATGTTGCGTGGAGAGACTACCTCGCCATGAAGGTATGTGGTGAGCCCCAGCGAGGTGGAACGTGGTGCATGGCACGGGGTAGATGACACACAGACCAACCATCATCCCATTCCTGAACCATCTTGACCCCTGATTTCCACATAATGCGTAAGATTGGCATGTAGGCGTTCTTGTAATGCTGGTACCGGTTTCTTTATACTTATTAGTATTACGACTTCGTGTTCCCAACCCAGCAGATTGGGATGGTATCGATGATGTGGAATCAATTCAGGCTCTGCCGCAACCTTGAGCAAATTAACGGTGTCCTTTTTTCCCTCTTTCTTTTTTGGTAGCTCATGGCTGAACTCTGTTCGTCTTTTCTCTCAACCTCAACGCCAACATGGCACCAGCGAAACCTTCGTCTTCGCCGCACTGACGGCCATGGCGAAAGGACAGATCAGACTGAACCGTAGTCCGTATGCCATGAGGTTATCCAATGAGAAATTAATAAATCAATGGTGTCAACGCATATTCAACGTCCCCGGCGGGACGATGTACCAGTATGGTGCTTGCGTAGTCTTGATGGCTCCCTTTCTATTCGTGTACCACATTAGGTGCCATCATAGTCTAAATCTATGATGAAAGACGCAACTCATGCTCTATGTAGGTATCTGTCTATCTATCGCGAAGTCACTGCTCGCTGCCATGATCATCACTCCGCTTTAATCTACAATTAATCCTTCGCCTCGGGAACTCGTACATTATTTCTTACAGCAGTTGATAATTAGTCCTCTCATTCCACTCTCGCTCTCTTCTTGGATGATCCGTTACTCACAGTTCCGTTCGCGGCCTTCTCCTTCTGGGCTTCGAAGAACTCCAGCTTTCCCTTGGGGTCGGCCTTCATGCCCTTGCTGCCGTTCTGCCAGCCGGCGGGGCAGACCTCGCCGTGCTCATCGGTGAACTGGAAGGCCTGGACGAGGCGAATGGTCTCCTCGACGTCACGGCCGACGGGCAGGTCGTTGATGGTGATCTGTCGCAGCACACCCTTGGGGTCGATGATGAAAAGACCGCGCAGCGCGACACCCTCCTCCTCAAGCAGCACACCGTAGCTGCGGGCAATCTTCTGCGACTTGTCGGCCACGAGGGGCAGCTCCAAGTCAGGGCCCAGACCGCCCTGCTTGCGGGGCTGGGAGACCCAGGCCAGGTGGGAGAAGTGCGAGTCGGTCGAGAGGCCGAGGACGGTGGTGTTGATCTCCTTGAAGCGCGGGATAGCGTCGTTGTACTGGATGATCTCGGTCGGGCAGACGAAGGTGAAGTCTAGCGGGTAGAAGAGGAGGACGACCCTGCGATGACGAATGTGTGAGCTATGATACGGTCTTTGGCTTGTCCTCGAGCGCTGCCATTATGGCACCCCAATGGCAGGAATCACTTACCATTGGCCAAGGTAGTCGGACAGGGAGATGTCCTTGAACTCGCCGCCGGGGAAGACGGTGGTGGCATTGAAGGCCGGAGCCGGCTTCTGAACGAATGCGGTGGACATTGTGATGGTCGTGGAGGTCTTGAAGCGTGGACTGTTGACTGTTGACGGTTGGCGATGGTGGACAGAGTGGGAGTGTCGTTTGCAGGTGACGAGTGAAGTAGGAGAGGAAATTTATTATCTACCCGCTCGGCTTCTAATCGGAAGCATGCGACGGGAAGGTACCCATGGTATCCATGGTATCCACAGGCAGGCCCATAATCTCATCTCGCTAAGCCAGACGAGGCAGCGAGGCCGTAGCTATCATGGCGCGATGCGCCATCGATAGCACTCAACGCGGTTGCCCGCTCTGCGTGTCTGGCGTCAATTGACAAGCGCTACTTCAGAATATCAGCGAATTGAGTCACCAAGACAATTGAGAGACGAGAATACTTCATCCTGCAACGAGGTATTTGCTTGACCACGGTGTCAGGCACGGGGTGTTTGCAACTCGAGCTGTGCCCCTATCTGATGGTTATCGTTGTGGTGCAGAATCTCCCACAATGGCTCGAGCGCCGAGGCGATAGATGAGTCAGCAGATGCGGTCGTAATCCCCACCGTGCCGCATCGTGAGCCGCATCATGCCATCATCAACCCTTCCCATGTCCACAGCACACAATTCCACAACATGAGTATTTTCAAGTGGGCTCGGCGTTTATTTATGATATGTTGGTGCCCAGCGTGCTCAAGGTTTCGCCAGAAGTTTACTTGACGTGGCTACGCGTCGCGCCCTCATCGGTCTAGCCCATCTCGTTGGTCATTGATCATGAGAAGAGAGCGCTGAGGCCCGCGAAAGCCTCACGCTAACTTCGACTCCAGAAGCACCCGTTTGCTTGGACACGTCAGCCCAAGCTCTCGTTGGTTCATCAGCCGACATCGCGTATGCAATTGTGCCCGGCAGCCGGGTCACATACCATACCCCTTCATGCGATGCTGAGGTTCGCGTCGGATGAACCAAGTGTAGGTTCATCAAACCGAACTTGAGCATTGGTCTGAGAGGCAGGGGTTGCCCCGAAGTGGCCGGGTTATATTGAGACTTGTTCGATATCATAGCTCGTCCCAAGTGACACGCTTCACAACGGAAAGGCGTTGGAGGGCAACTATCGGTGGCGATGAGGATGTCGACCGCGTCAATGACTTAGATACCCCAGGATGGCCCTCAACTGGATCGTTGCGACCAGTATGAAAAGCTGACCGACGAAGGGAATACCGACCCATCCGGGTATCTGTGGCCCGGCTGGCTATCTGGTACTCGTTTGAATGGACGGGTGAAGCATCCATTCTCGGTCTGGAAGACATGTCCATCATGGCCTTGACGAAGAGAAATGTCGTTGACTGTAGCCCCTGTCCAAACTAGCCGATGCCAGTCACCACCCTCATTCGAAAACGTTGGCCCTCTACCTCGCCTTGTAGTTCAACTCAGCGCGTGGAAAGGCGGCATGCGGCTCACGCACGAGCGTTTCATGATGGATTGTTCATTTTCTCACCTACCATCTAAACTGCACTCCCCGTCGCTCAAACTTCATCACGCTCTCGATGACAACAACTCGCACTTCCCGTGCTACTTCCTCATTTCCTCCAACCTCTGCAGTTGGATCCCGTGCTCATCAAAATTCGCCGGGTTCAACCAGGCCTCCAGCGCCCGCTTGACTTCGGGCCACTCGTCATCGACCATGGCATACCAAGCGGTATCCCGATTCCGGCCCTTGACCACCATGTGCTTCCGGAAGATGCCCTCAAACGTGAACCCCAGCCGCAGCGCCGCCCTCCGGCTCGGCGCATTGAGCGCGTTGCACTTCCACTCGTACCGCCGGTACCCCAGATCCTCGAACGCATGCTTTGCCAGCAGGTACATGGCCTCCGTCGCTGCGTGCGTCCGTTGAAGCTGCGGGGAGAACATGATGGTGCCCACCTCGATGCAGCGGTTATTCGTATCAATGCGCATAAGGCTTGCCGCACCCACGATATTGTCGCTGCCGTTCGCGCTCAAGGGCTGATCGCTCGGTATTATGGCCCAGAACACGGGATCCTTACTCACGGCCTTGGCCTCGACGTTGGCGCGGAAGTCTGCGATATCGTAGAACGGTCCGTCGCCCATGTAGTCCCAGAGATGCGCATTCTCGTGCCCCGAGAGGTGCGGGTAGAACGCTTCCACATGCTTGGGGGACAGGCCGACCATGGTGATGTACCGGCCCGTCAGCTTCGTGGCTGGCGATGGACGACGAGCCGTACTGCCGCCCACGATGGGGCCTAGAGGGTTGGAGGCGCCAGTAGCCATTGCAGTGCGAGCGCAAGGCAATATGAGAAGAATCGCCAGGCCTTAGTCACTCGTAGATATCGGTGGCTGGTTTGAGAGCCATTCATTGGGAACCTCGATTGAGTCCATGGTGAGTCAACCCATAGCCTCGTAAGACTGCGCATTGTGGCCGCCAGCTGAGCTTACTTATATTATTACTCGGCAGGCCTAAAATCGACTTTTGCCCCTAAACCATCGCTAGGCAAAAGCCGATGTTAGGCTCGCCGTCAAGTCTGCTGACTGTTGCGAGTTGCCGTAACCCGGCTTGGCACCTGTAAGCGATATCTGACTGTGAACATCTACCTCCTCCCGGCACGCTATCCGAGATATGAGCTTCATGTTTGGTGAGTAGCAAACATACATCCACTCATACGAATGCAGCAGGCTATAGATAAGGTATGATCTGATTGCTGGTTGTCTGCTTCGCCTGGTACGCCCAAGACGCCCTACCTGGTTACGACTAGCCGCGGCTCACAATCCAGCGCACATGCCTCGTCGCCTTCTGACAGTTCGGTAGTCAGTCAATTTCGAGGATATACACTTACATTCGTCAATTCGGGGCAGTATTGGCTCTGGTTGATTGCCTGGTAGGATCAAGATTACCATCATGGTGCGATGTGATTGATTCCTGAAGCAACAAGTCCTAGGTAGATGACAAAGCCAGCGGGAAGCAGCTGGCATAGGACGGGAACTTGGAAGCCCCTTTCCCCTATCCAGATCTTGGTATCCGTCCTGGCCTACATCGAATGATGGCCATATGGTCAATGCATGACAGCCACCCGTCGCCGACCCAAGTTGATGGGGTATGTGATTCCATTTCAATTGGTCTTCGGGCAACCCAAAAGACCAGCAAGTTTCGTAGGAACTCGGAAGTCCCAATTGCCATCTTTTCGCACGCCTGGAGAAGTCTGAATGCGTTCGGTTACGTCCTTCCTGTGACGTCAGAATGCTACAATCGTGTGTACCTCCCGGAGCTTCCAATCCCTCTCGACATGAGTATCTACCTACCTAGGTACGGGCTTATTTCACATGCGTGACGTAGTTTATCGTCAGATTTGGGGTCCCTCCTGGGCGACAGCAGAAACACACTGCAGGTGAACACAGCGCAGACTGCTGTCGTCTTTCCCAACCCAGTTCAAACACCACCAGTCCTCGATTCGCAGCCTCGCACAGAACACATCATTCCTATCACACTTCCTAAAAGAACGCACTACCTACCAGATCACAGTTCAGTCAAGATGTCGAGTTCCAACGGGAAAGGTCAGGCCGGCAGCACTGCGGCCAAGGCCTTCGATGAGGGCGCAGCGGATGCCATGCCCAACGTAGACTTCTCCGATGATAGCATCTCCGAGGCAGGCAGCAATGCTACTGTGAGTTGTACAGCCCGACACGAACGAACGAACATGCTTACTCCTAGGTGGTAGACTGATGGCGGAAGCTCTGCGAAGACCACTCAACCGGCGTCTCTTGATGGCGAGCCTATCGACGAGCGAGACACGGTAATCCGGTGCTGTACCCGGATTGTGATTTAGATATCGCTGACTCCTGATCCAGGATACAGGCGGCACGGCTGGAAAGGGCCAGGAGGCTCTGGGTGGAACGCCAGGCGAGACTGTGGATGAGGCCAAAACCCAGGACACTGCGGGTGTGGGCGCTATGGTTCTATAGGCGGGGAATTGCGCGTGATGTCACTGTGGCGACTGCAGCATTGGAAATGCTGGCTTGCAAAATCGGTAGTTCGAAGCAAGGCTGTGATGATCTGTATACTCTGCTCTCGGTCGTCGGGGGCGATGGTAGGTTCGGTTCAATGCAGTCATAGAGATAACTTATGGGGAAGCCATACGATCTTCGCCGCTTTGGAGAAGCGAGATTTCACACTTTAAAGTTTCGAAGCATTATTCTACATCATGAACTCACACTCCTCCTGGAGCCAATAAACCACGCTCGATAGAGGCACCCGTTCGACGGGGTCGTCTACCTGCTCCTGGGAAACGTGCAGACGTGGGAGTTGGAGGTGATGCCCGGGGTGTGCGAGGCATGTGGAGCGTAGGGGTGGTTGGAGCTCGGCGTTGGGGAGGCTGAGGGCTTGGTTCGGTCGTGACAGCGGTGGTGGGCTAGGCTCGAGCTATGAGATAGGGTTGGAGGAACTTGATATGGGAGATCCGGCGTGTTGTGAGGCGTCCTATATCCAGCTAATGGCTATCTGGTCGGAGATGTGTCCCACTGTTGAGGCATGCGCTCCTTTGTTCCTCAGGGTACACAATCCAGAGACATGGGTGAACCTCAGGGGTTTGTGGGACTTTGAGTCGTATCCCCCACCGAATTCAGTAGAGGTTTTTTCTATGTAGTGACAAGCTTGGCACGCATTCTCTTTAGTCGTTCCCTGGACGCCAGTGAAAGGGCAGCACTCCCCTCATTTGTCGATTTTATACTGAGACTGTCGCTCTGAACAGCCGGTACTCTTGTAGCAGGTGTTCTTAGGATCCTCACTAGCTCCATGTATGGCAAACTAGTATTGGCACCAATCTTTGCTGAACACTCGAAGTATAGGCATCTCAGCCTCCTTGCAAGAGCATGGCCCTCCGTTTCAGATACGGATCGAGATCCCGACAGGTCAGATTTTGTGGCGACAATGACTATTGGCATTGCGCCAGCCTCTGACCATCCTTTTCTGCTGGCGACAAGGTCGTGAAAGCGGCTGACTTTTCGAAAGGAGTCATAGTTTGTCGTGGAGTACAGGATGATGAAGCCTTCAGCATCATCGATTGCATCCTCGACTACGGACCCGTACTCGCTCATCCCAGGCGTATCAGTGATGTCAACTCGATAGGGTAACCTGTCAATCAGTATCGATGCCGAACGTGTGTCCGCTATAGTGACTTGTGTCTTATTTTCAAAGACATCGTTGCAAAACTAGAAGGCCGTTAGGTCATGATGCAAAGGATTTCTGCGCACGTACTTTTGTCATGAGTGAGAACTTTCCGACTTGGTTATCTCCGAGGACAGCAAATTTTTTTGCACATGGGACCAGAACACATATAGGGTGCCGTTGGGACCTTGCTGGGATGGTACCAGGACTGGTTCATAATCTCATGCCAGGCTATGGGCAAGCCGACGACGGATATGCTGGAGACTTGGCTCAGACTCAGGCTAGAGAGCATGCTCCAGAATCCACTCAACCCTTGGCTTGTGGTGAGTGAGATATCGGATCCGTTGCCTCTAATTCGTGTGTATACCCAAGACCGCGCCAGTATTGTTTCGAATGGCTTGGTGTATTTTGAGTTGTCGTTGGCAGAATCTCCTTCAGCTATGTTCCCCGTCCATGACATGGGGCGCGAAGGGGCAACTTCACTAGGAAATGGCCACGAAGTACTGAATTGTAGAGACGTTTCTTCCACCTCCATGATGCTGTCATTCAGGCGCGCTTGGGTCGTTGATGCCGCATCCTTGCTTTCTTTGACCACTTCTCGGATGGTGGATTGGGAGCCCACGGTAGCGTTCGAGGGTCCCGCAACCGCAGACCTGCGCACCGAATGCGCAGTGCTACGCACAATGGACCCAAGCCGATCAAGCCGGTTTCGAAGCTCTTTATTCTCTTCCATTATCCCTTGCATCATAGTGTGAAGCGATTCTCTCGATCTCTGAGCTTCAGTATCGGATTCGCTGTGAACGAAGAAACAGCCAGACGTTAGAAAGAATATCCACAGATCACCAAGCTGGATACGTACCATTGAAGGATGTTCAAAAATAAGCTGATGGAGGGAGGCCTTGTTCTCTTGTAGCCTTGCTTTCAGTCTTGATATGTTGTGGTCCTGCCCAGCAAAGCGCCACCTCTGCCATCGCGACGACTGCACCCTTTCAGGCCAAGTATCGACGAGTCTCTCCAGGTCTGAGAAAGTGACCACTGACTGAGTGAGACAGATGACAAGGTGGTCTAGTTGAACCATCGCTCGTCGTTTTACCGGGTACTTCAAGAAGGAGTCGATGAGCTCTGACACGGAAGTGAGTGCGAGCCGCATTTCCGCAACACTGAGGAGAAGAGAATAGGCCGGCTGGGGGGCATCTCCTTGCAGATTGATACAAAGCTTTATAATCTGGTAGAGTTTTCCGGACAGCGTAAGTGGACCAGCAACAGAAGCTGCAATGCTCAATGGGTCCGCCATGGCGCGAATGAATTGAAGACATCCGCTGCATCTGCTCTGACGGATGATCTGGGTAAGCGAGAAAAGAGTACGAATTGCGATTTGGGGCAAGCGGATTGACAGTGGTTCATTGCCCGGTGCATAGCCCGATTTTGTATGCTTTGTGGCGTTTGACCGAACCTATGAGATGTCATTTGGACCACCTGACCACGGAGGGCAGACCGCCTAGGCTGACAACCTGTGACATGCTGTTATGATGCGTCCCAGAAAGACTGTCGGAGGTAATACTCGACTGCAGTCTTAGGCATTCTGGCCATGGAGTAGACTCTAGAAACATGCCTCTAACCGAGCGCTGATGGTTCATGGTCTTTCTCTATACAGTAGCTACAACGCTCCGCCCAAACGCATGGTAACATCTATTATTTGTCCATGATCATTCCTCAATGTCGGTGACGCAGCTATTCCAGTACCAGCCGGACATTCAGCTGACATTACATGTAGCTCCCCACAGCATTGTGGTCTGCAATCAGAATGAGAGAAGAGCCCCTGAAGCTTGGCCAAGGAACAAAGATTGTCATGAACCGTACCAGTTGATGTACGCAGAAAGAGCCTACCTAAGGCAAGTATATAATTTACTGCTTAACTAAATGGTTCTCGGTCTCTCCTGATTTCCTACATCACTTACAAACACATGGCCACCTCTATCACAACCCCGCGGACGTCCCGTCACAGGTGGGATTCGACTAGTAGGTATATAATGCAGGTTCTTTAATGATACATCCATCGCTGGTCAACATTGGAGTAACTGGCTCGAACACGAGAGATAGGTGAACCGTGATACCTACGGTACCTTAGGTAGACTCAAGAGAGGAGTGAAAACGGTAGTTGCAGTAACAGTCTCTTACAATACCTTACAGTGGTCAGGTACGCTAGCGCCAAAGTCTTTTAGGCCTCTCTCGCCAATGTTAGCGTCGGGTAGGCCGCTTGGACCGTGCACGCAGGGACGTGGCCGTTGCTGGGCGAACGGCGCCAGCGCGAGGGCGCTAACCACCTCCCAAAGAAATTGGTTTGAAGGTTGCTTTTTATGACGAACTTCACCCAGCTGCTGGTTCGCTGCCTTCATTGCTGCAACACCTCCAAGACAATCAGTCGAGCCTACACTGGGCTCTAACGTGCTTGCCCTTCCAACTGTTACGCTTTCATCACGACGCGCCTCTGGCCATGATGTCTTCGCCACTATCACCCTCCAACAGCGCCGCATTGAATGTCGCAACTCCTCCTACAACCCGACGCCTCGAAAACACTGAGGTCCAATCCTACTTTCCCACTCCCCAATTGAACGACAACCCCCATGACGAGATCATGGAGGACACGCCCAATAGCTCCCCGTTCGTTCCCCAGACCACTGTGGAGGGAGACACCAATACCCAGAACCAAGAGAATGCTTCACCTTCCAAGTCACGCCACCAGCGCATACTATCTGGAAATGCGCCCTCGCCTCTGAAGATCCTCAGCGCAAGGAGCGAGACTGATGACTCTGACACACGGTCACCCGAGAAATCAACATCGCCTCCCAAGAGCCCCAGAAAGCTGTTCCCCGACAAGCGATTCCCAGTCAAGATTCACACTGCCCCGTCACCCGAAAAGACCGCCGCACCTGGAATGCCGGTCGCGCAAGACCACGAGATTACCCTTGAAGACGCCATGCGCCAGAACGAGGGACTGGCGAAAGCGATTGAGATATTCGAGGACGAGGACACCATGACGGACAACGCAGACGAGGTTGGCAATGTCTCATCCATGCCTGTGGACGAGGGACACATGGAAGATGAAGCTGCTGGTCCTGACGACACCATGGTCAGCACTTTCAGCGACTTCTCTGCTATACCCAACATGACCATGTTCGCACAAATTGGACACACTCCCACCCGATTTGCGAATGGCGGTATGGCTCCAAACTCCGTCCGTGGTCGACCTGAGCGCTCGCCCCAGAGAACCCCCAGACCGCCCGTGATGCACGAATCTGGCAACACGACCAATCTCCTGATGGACTTCACCGAGCAGATCCAGAACTTCTCGTCATCCCACACCTCCCAAATGTCGCCAAGCCGAAGAGGACGATTCTCCCCCGACAAGCGATACGGCAACACTATTGCCTCTACCCCGCAGCGAGGGCAGTCCAACCTTCTCGACTTTGATATCCCCCCTCTCCCCACACCCAGCAGCATTCCCACAGTCACGCCTCGTGAGCTGGAATCTCTCAAGTCGGCCTTTCTGTCTGAGATCAGCAGCCTCAAGGCCTCCCTCAGCGGCAAGGAAGCCGAGGTCACCTCCCTCAAGGCAGCTGTCGGAGATGCTGAGAAGCGTGTTGGTGAAAGCTTGGAGATGCTCCGCGAGGTTAGAGGCCACAAGGATGCTCTGGCAGAGGAGAAGGAAAACTGGGAGCGAAGAGGCGTTGAGATGGAGAACGTCTTGCGCAAACTCAGACAAGAGATTGTTCTCAGCCACCGAGAACGTGAAGAGCTCGAGTCTAAGCTTGATGAGAGCGAGAAGCGTCGCGAGGCTGCTGAGATCATGGCCCAAGAAGCTGAGAGCAAGATGGCTGGCATGCGTGCTGGTAAGGCCACTGCAGATGCCGACAACAGCAACAAGTCACCCCAGAAGGCCAAGAACCCTGGATCCCGGGAAGTCGAGATTGCTGTCGAACGTGTCGCCCGCGAGCTTCATGCACTATACAAGAGCAAGCATGAGACCAAGGTCACCGCACTGAAGAAGAGCTACGAGGCCCGCTGGGAGAAGAGAGTCCGAGAGCTTGAGGACAAGCTGGAGCATTTGCTCGACGAAAACGAGAAGCTTCGACTGGGTCGTGACGCCACCATGACCAGAGTCGACCCCAACCAGTCTGTCATCGATGAGGAGCGCAAGGAACAGGCCGTCAAGGACTCCACCCAGATCAGGGAGCTGAATGCCGAGATGAAGAAGCTAGAGGCTGTTGTGAAGAGCGTCAAGATTGACAACAACGAGCTACGCCATCTCCTTGAACGCGAGCGAGTAGAGAAGGGAGAGCTAGTCCAGCTGGCGGAAGAGATGATGTCCATGCAGCAGAGCTTCATCCAGACTGAGAAGCGTCCGCTCCCTCCTACTCCAGTCCGAAAGGCTCCGGCAGCTCCGGAAACGGTCCGAAGCAGCGTCGGACGCGCCTCAGGTCTGCGAGCACCTGGCTCTGTCAAGAAGCCCAAGGACAGCATCAGCAGAATCGGCGGCATTGGACACGAACGTGCCAAGCACGGTGGATCTCAAGGTGGTCTCCCTCGCCCTGGTAGTGGCACGGGCTCGCGGAGTGGCATTCTGAGTTCGATCGAGAGGATGGGCAGCTATCGCGGACGCGCCGAGTAAGGTGCTTTCCTCGCTGGGCTTGAAGCTGGGCGCTGTTGATCGGTGTTCAGCGATTGATGCTTGATGATTTATGGCTCGTACCAACCGTATGATGCATGTTGGCGAGGCGTTACGAATTCTGGTGCATGCATATCACGAGCGAGCATGATGGTGTTGTCTTGTACATAATACTCTTGTTATAGCTGCACGTTGTTGGAGTTATGGGGTCTGGATTGAGAGACGCTTCCGAATTCACGAATGTTAATGAACCTGTACTAAAATCTTGTGCTGTTGGATTCAGTGTTGTGAATGTCTTCGTGCTAACCAGCTTTTAGACACTTGTTGGGATGGTATGGATTAGACCATGCTGAACAGGCCATGACTTTGCCCTTTATCTGATGTTGCATCATGTCACATAATGATCAGTGTGGTACATGCCTTCACCGTTCTATTCCCATAAGGGGTACCGCTCTCTCGAGCTCTCTTTCTCGACCCCCTTTCGTATCGGAAGCACCATCACTCCATACCGACTTTCGAACAGCAACCTCAGTACACCTTGATCTCCATTTGCCATGGGTAGACTAGTAGACCTTTTCGGAGGACTTGTTTATATGGCCCAAGCCAATGATTAGGTGCCTTCCTAGGAGAGACCGTGGTTATCCCCTCGTTGCCCGTGACCACCTATTGAATAGACCATTTTTTGCTGGCCCTTCCTCCGGCTGCATATTGTTCGACGAAGAACAGATCTGCCCATCGGAATTCTGTATGTTCCGAGAGTAGATTGTAGGGCCCTCCTCGTTCCACGTATCCGGGACTCCTACCCCCGCCACGCTGCAAGGTGAGACAGGGGGATGGAGAAAAAGCAACGACGCAACTTGACCACAGGGGATATAGTCACACCAGGACATACCTCAACCTTCTCTCCTCAGTCGTCCTTCCTCGACGCATGAAAAACATGGCGGGACGGGTGAACGGGTATGGCTTCGTCGCATTCAGGGGGAGCCAGGCGGCCACGCTTCGTCAATTCAGCAGGCCGGGTCATCTTTTAAATGCACTGTCACCTACATATAGGCACCGCTCAGCCACAGTCGCGCGGAGTCGGTACAAGACGACTTGGACGCATCTTGACGAATACAGACTCCACGACCGGCCCTACGAAGAACTAAGCCTACACGACAACAAACGGCTCCGCAAACGAGTCGTCCGAACCTTCTTTGGCATCTGTCTCGCCGTCTATTCATTCGGGGTGTACTCCTTAAGTTTTCCTATGATTGACAGCAATCGCGTAGGAAAGGAGGAAGGAGGCGAAGAAGGGGAGGGAGAATGGTGGGACCGCCTGTACGAGCGCATGCGATATGTGAGAGTGTTGAAGCGCCATTTCGCATTCTGTATCGACAACCTGCTGGCTGGGCGCCTTCACGTACTTCTCACGTCGGCGGTGACTCACTCGAGCTTCGAGAATCTGGCCAGTGGCATGATCGGGTTCATGGTCACCGCGCGATACGCAATCAACGCTGGCTATCGTGCGCCGACCATCATGGCCATATCCGTGGGGTCCGAGATCGCGGGTAATGCTGGCTATGCCTTGCGAAGTTACAGTAATGAGCGAATGGATCGAGGCACAGTTGGCTCTAGTGGTCTGATTGCGGGCATGGCCACGGCGGCCATGTGTACCAATCCCCGCGCGAGGGTCTTGAAGATCATCCCGGTCTGGCTGCCCGTCGGCCTTATCCTCATAGGAGACTTTGTGGGACTTGCGGGGGAAAGAACAGACCCGACAAACCCCAAAGGGCGGGTTTCCCACTCTGCCCACGTCGGAGGAGCAGTCTTTGGTGCTGCCTATTATTTCGCTATGCGTCGAGGACCCAACCGGGCTATAGACTGGGCCACAACCTTCGTATCAAAAGTTCTCCGGGCTGGCAGAGGGAAAAGGGGAAGCCCCAGTGTCGGAAAACAGAGCCAGCAAGTGCACAAACCTAATATTCAGCCCCTTTCCTCGAACAAGCCGAGCAAAGCCAAGCAATGGAGTAGCGTCGCGCCCGTCGCAGGGAACGTCCAAAGAAGGATATGAATGAGAATACAGAGCCATGTACAGATCAATGGAGATGACGAGCGAGCTTTGGACCATACTCAGAGGGTGTTCTCTGATGCGCTCGATACATTCTAGCCCAGACAACCTTTTCCACCCCCAATACAATACTTCAATATCCCAAATGACAGATAAATGGACTATAGCAAGGCACTCACACGAGGCAGCACAGCCCCAGTCCTCCGGTCCTCCTTGATGAAGTCAGCCGCCCGCTCTGCAACGGCATACACGACCGTCTGGATATTGCCCAGCGGCTCCAGCGGAAACACGCTCGCATCCACCACACGCAGATTCGTCGTCCCGTGCACGAGCAGCCGCTCATCGACGACGCCGCCCAGCTCCCGCGGCAGCATGCGACAGCTGCCCGCGATGTGGAAGCACGACACAGTCCGCGAGCGCACGATCTCGCGCGCGCGGTCGAGGTCGTCGGCCGCAATGTCGGGGACGCGCTTGGCCGTCGGGTCGATCAGGTCGCAGAAGGGCGCCGTCTCGACGATCTTCTCGACGAACTGGACGTTGCGCGCCAGGATCTCGACGTCGAGCGGGTGCGAGCAGTAGTTGGGGTCCCAGGTCGGCTGCACCGCGGAGTCGGCCGAGGATATGTGCACGGATCCGCGCGAGAACGGGTGATTGAGCAGGGCCATAATGCCGATGCAGTCGTATGGGGCCGTAGGCGTGAACATGTCGGTGAGCGTGTCCGGGTGGGTCGTTACGGTGAGGGAGCCCGGAAAACACATGTATTGAATTGCAGGCTCCTCTTCGATTTCTAATAGTTCCCGGATCAGTTTGAACTCGCGCTTCCGCGCTGGACTGACGGCAGGACCGCTGGAGAGGTGCTTGTCAAAGAGCTCTTTGCGGTCGCTTCGGGGCATGACGCCTGCTCTGTTGGCCATGGGCACGTAGGCGACGCTGGTGCCCATACCGGCTAGGAGGCCTCCGTTCGTCTTGGCGTACTCGTCTGCGATCTTCTGGAACAGAGCTGGATCCCGTAACGCGTCTGTTGAGGGTATGCCTTTGCGGACGGGAAATTGTTGCGACGTCATGAGGTGGTCTTGCATGTGCTCGCCGACGTTTGGATTGTCGATCACGCTCTGGATTCCCAGGCTCTCTAGTAACACTCGATCACCTATACCAGACAGCTCCAACATTTGAGGTGTTCGTAATGCCCCTGCGGCAAGTATCACTTCTCTCTTGGCTGATATTGTGCTTGACCGGCCGTTCTTGTCGATAATCTGAACGCCCGTTGCGGAGACCTCCCCGTCGCGCACCACCGTGACTATTTTCTGCACATTCGTTTCCATCAATACCTCCAGATTTGGTCGGTTCGCGACAGTCTCGGTGTAGTAGGCTGTGACGGATGAACTGCGCACATTCTTCTTGTACTCAATGGTCGACGCGTTCTGAAATGCCCCAACCGCCTTGCCCGTCCTGGGGTCTGCCTTCATCTCCAATCCCAGATCGACAAACGTCTTGAACCAGCTTGCATTCACGATGGAGTAGTCGTCATCGAAAGAAAGCTGGATGGGGCCGGTACCTGACAACTCAGACTGATAATACCCCAGGCCGCCTAGCTTTTCGCGGATTGCTGCAGTAGGCGAGTGTGACGTCGAGAATTTCCTGAAATAGGGGGCAAGATCTTTAAATGACCATCCCTGGTTCCCCATCCTCTCCCAACTGTCAATGTTCTGCTGAGACGGAAACATGGCCATCAAGAAGTTCGTAAGAGAGCTGCCACCAAGCACTTTCCCTGTGTCCTGTCTCAAGTGGCGGTTGTTGAGTTGCCCCTGAACGTGACAGCAACGTTAGCGGGTACCATTCCCTGTCTACAAGTCTCGATGGGATCATGGCGTAGTCACCTGCGGCACTGACTTGAATGGCCAGATGAAACCATCATGTGTATATGCACTAGAGATCAATCCCGGGGTTGAGAGTGAAGGGCTGGCTCTCTGATCAGAGCCTGCCTCAATGACTAAGACACGAACGTCGGTATCTTCGCTCAGACGAGACGCGACCACCAGGCCCGCAGTACCACCACCAACAACAATGTAGTCGAACGAACCACTCATGACATGGGTTGACACGCAAGCTGATGTTTTGTCGCAAGATTCATGGAAGCAGGACGAGGGGACCAGGCTGGAAGACCAACGTCTTGTAATCAAGGGATGGACATTCCTGCAGCGGTCAGGCCCCTCGAGTTGACCTGCCTGATTTGATCCCACCGACAGTGATTGGTGAGCAGCTACCACAGTCCATGGGTGTCTGGTCTTGTGTTACAGGTAAAGGAGGTAAGAGACGGCATGCAGGTGCAGCTTATGGCCTCACCACATGCATGTAGGAATGCATATGAACAGCACGAAGACCGGGAGAACCGGCTGAGCGAAAGCTTTGGCTCAGCCAATATGGGAGCGTCTGCGATACCTAAAGATAGAACATGTTACAGCTGTTGGTAGCCTCGGGCCGCTCAGTATTGGCCAGGCCAAGTGATGAGCGTAACACTACCGGCAGAAAACTGACCAACATCTGCACGATGCATATTGTCCAGGGGTCAGAGACTCTCAGCGCTCTTGAGGCTTATTGTGCAGTGGGTTTCAATGCGTCAAACCTCGATGGATCTTCGGAGAAAACAGCCCATGGTAGCTCGTCGTTGATAGATATCTCGGGATGTAACTCCTGCCAGGGGTGATTCCCGCTCCCCTCGGCCAGCTCGGCCCGAACTCGTGGCAAGAATTGGAATACCCTCTTGTGAGCTAAGGGGGGCTGGCACATACAAACCACTTTGAACCACTGTGAATCCAGCTTCACTTTCTCTGGGGTACTGTCATTCTGGCGGGAAAAAGCCGACGAAAGTCTGAAACGATGGCTTGGCCATCGATGGAAGTTGTGGTCGGTCAAACCCGAATATGACAGGTGGGAGCTGAGTGTCCAGCTCAGCCCAGCAACGACCATTAAGCTACCTCGCTCGCAGATGGGAGGCATGATCTTGATGGCCAAGTTCGCATGCAGCCCTGGAGCATCGCGGCTGGACCGAAGCCTGCCCGCTGACTCATTGCCGACCGCAGAATAGGCTTGTTGTGGCCGTTCGTCACTGAGAAGAAGCACGGCCAAACCTTGAGAGCGGAATACGAGGTCCGGTTCGTCCACTCAAGGCTGACTCAATCCAGGCTCGTGACCTCATCAGGGCTGACATGGATAGTTTTCTAGAAGAACTCTAGAAGGGCACTAGAAGTATTCTAGACGGACAATCCAAAGCCTTAAGGGGTCGGCCCACATAAGGAAATGAAATGAAAGATCGTGGTGACGCTGGTCACAACTGGCAAGGAAGCCGCTGAACCTTGGCAGATATCAGCTCCATGTGTTCTCTGACTACGCAATGAATCAGTTCGCGCGCCTATTGAGCAGGAGCGCTGGATACGTCCCATCATGGCACTAGCCTGACGGAGAGTCACGCAGGAAAGGGGTTCAAGTAAACAAAGACTACGATCAGGAAGCCAGGAACGCGCCACGCAGATCGACCCCAATTCGTATGGCTTGCTTTATCACAATGCAGTCCAAGAAGACTTACCACAGAGACGGCATAGCTGCTGCTTGGTACATGCAAAGGATGGCAAAACTCTGGTATCGTCGCCGGCCTGTGCTGTGTTCCACCACCTTTGATGGCATCGAAGAATCTCGGAAGAATCCCGATGTTTTCTGGTTGATTCTGCGCAGAAGGGTGTCGACTTGTCGATATCTGTGCACACGTTGTCCATAATGATGGCTCCCTTCTTCGACACTGGTCTCCCTCAGCTGCCAATGGACTCAATCAAACACAATGGGTAGAAACAAGTTGTACATGGTACATGAGAGATAGGAGAGAGACCTGCCTCCGAGCTGGAGATAGAGTCGAAAGATGCCCGTGGGAAAGCCCGACCTGGCCTCACCATTCCCTTCCCGTCCCCTCCCGTCCCCTCCCGTCGGCTGGGCTTGGACGGGATCAGCTCGGGGCCGGGAAATACTTAAAGCCGAGCTCCACCTGAGCTGTCTGAAATTGGTTGGAAGGCGCGGGGTCCATCGACCTGAACCTTAGCTGACCTACAGGCTGCAGCTGCCACCGGTTGCATCACTGTGCAGCTCCACTCCGGAGCTCCCAATTTCTTTCGCCGTGACTTCCATTGTAAGCTCATCATCATGTCATGGTGAGCAGCCCGACGAGAACACTCAACCGCCGTGATACCAACTTAACCACGGCACAGTACGACTGGCGATGCTTGTGTCTGTATAGTCTTTACGCATCTCGACACAACTCTTTGTCCGACGGTTGGGAGCTATCATTTACCGTGATTAGCAGGTCAAAGGGAGCCGACATCTAAAGCTTCTCGATTTGCAATCTACCTTGCCCTGTTACCAGCGACATCACAGCGAGCGGCCGCAAACGACCATAACCCTAAACTAGCACCTCGGGCGCGAGTTCTTCAATATGTTCGAGACTTACCTACGCACATTCCGGCTCCTAGCGCAATCTTCTGGCCGTGGTCTCTACCGACAGACAGCGCTAGTCCCAGGGAGCCAGACATTCACGCGGAATTTCGCTTCTCGATCGCAACAGGGCCTAGGACTACCAGCTTCGAGAACAGCGAAACATGCAACGCCTCGGCCGAGAATAGCCAACGCTGTAGCTCAATCCAAGAAACTCCCGTCGCGAACCACCCGAAGATCATTCCACAATACATCACGCTTGCGAGACTCCAAGCCCACTCCGAGCAATTCGGGTAATCCAACCGCCCAAGAACCACAAGGCCTGTCCGCAAGGCTCAAGAAATTGTCAAGGGAGTACGGCTGGTCAGCTTTGGGCGTATACCTCGGTCTGAGTGTACTGGACTTCCCATTCTGCTTCTTGCTCGTTCGCATAGTCGGTACGGATAGAATAGGTCAGTATCCGCCCATCTCTGGGTCGAGCCTGATGTTGACCATGACCAGGTCAATTCGAACACTGGATCGTCTCGAACGCGAAGAAGTTGATACCGGACTCAGTCCAGGACAAATGGCATGAATATCGGGACGCCTTGAAACAGGCCGAGGTCAAGGAGTTCGGCAATGATGATATCAGCGAGCATGTCGAGATGGCCGGCTGGGGCGTCCAAGAGGCCGAGGAGAGGAACAAAACGGAAGCCAGTCAGTTGCCCCATGCTGCCTGTTCCGAGTCGCTACTAATGAAGTCAACAGGCCTCGGCACTCAGTTAGCCCTCGCTTACGCCATACACAAGAGCTTCATATTCATTCGGGTGCCCTTAACCGCCGCAATAACGCCCAAGGTTGTGAAAGTCCTCAGATCGTGGGGCTGGGACATTGGAAAGCGACGAGCCAAGCGGTGAGTGGTGGTCACCTGAAACGGGCCCATTACAACCTCGCAGCACGAGTCATGGAGGGTACTGGCGTGTCACAAGAACCGGCGAGTCGGTGTACGATGTAAGATGTGTAGGAAACTGTACGAAGGGTTGATACTCGTTAGATGCACTCCACCTATAGATTAATCATGGATAGTCACGTTCAAGTTCTGGCTTGATCCACCAACTCCAGGCGAGGTCCAAGAAGAGGAAGGCAGAAAGGGCCCGAAGGGTAACATATTATAGCGAGTGTGGAGACCATCCAGGAACCAAGGCTGCCACCGGGAATAACAACCTGTGTAATGGCACCATCGACTATTGGGAAGCAAGCTACCTAGTACAGGCTGTGGAGCCGGATAAACGGCAGGCTGGTCGAGCCGTTAGACGCAATGACGATAGTGGGAACGAAGAAATGCTCGATGATGGAAGCGGTATACTCGAGCGCCATCTTGCACATGGCACGGCGCTAATACGATCCTTCAGGCTTCTAACATTGTTCGAAACATGGATGGTCGTTCACCGGGTCTGTGGCTACCGTACAAGCGTCGTTGGCATGTTCAATACGCGATGGAATATCCCGATCTTGGTCTGTTGGGAATGCTGAACCCACTCGATCCAGGACGGAGATATCTCCAAATTCGGAACGGGATGGAGCTGACTTTCGATGTCAAGCTTCCACCAAGTGGAATTCACAGCAGAAAGGGACAACAGACTGCATCAAATCCAGTTCGCACGCTATCATAAGGTTTCCTTTGCTGATCATGGGCATCACCCAGCCGATGTCTGCTTCTTGCGTCGATTCTCAAGGTCGAGTAGGGACGGATACGTTCGACCCGTACAAGACGCATTGGTAGGGAGGGTCCTTGGTGCTTGCCTACTACCCAGCGTTCGGGAAGCTCGTCTCACCGCCATCTCTCGTCACGGACTACGCCAATTAGAAGTTCAAAGCACCATTGATGGCTCAAGACATGCCGGGGGCCGTCGTGGGGTAATTTGGTACGACAGCATCACATGCATAGTCCCTTGGTTCAGGGGTGGGTTGACAGGACAAGCATCTCTTATCAGGCTCATCTGTCAGGTCACACCCATATCACTTGGCGGTTCGGACATGAGGTTAGCCACGTTGGTACGATGGATGCTAGGACACGGTTCTATATCGCCCAATATGAGTACACTGACTGGCTGACGGACTGACGGACTGACGGACTGATGACTGTTGACTGTTGACTGTTGACGTGCCTACTAATAAGTAATAACCGCTTTCCCAAGTGAGAAATAAGGTTTGACTGGAACCCCTTGGCATGCAACATCCCGGTCCCTGACCGGCGACCCCCCCACACCAGATTGGCGACCCTCCGATCTACTGGGCTACCTACTACGGTATACTATTACTACCACTACCACTACTACCTACTACTCTGACAAGCCCGCGAGCCTCGTGACGAGGATCAGCAAAGAATGCCATTCTTTCCGTCGTGGCCACGGGTGGGTAACGACACCAGACCACGACCAGCGTCAGTCACCGGCTTGATGCAAGTCGTCAGCGTTTCACAGGACCACGAACCCCCAGGCTCCCCTCCGCTGAGCTCTTCGAGCTCAAGTTGGTATCGTCTTCTATTATAATGGGATGACGATGTTGCTGCCCCGGCGTCATCGCCCTGGTCGCCGTTTAAGTTTGTCGCAAGAGTTGCCATGTTGGGTTTAATTCGACGGTGATAAGCGTCAACTTTGTTTTTGGTTGGCTCAGGAGAGGATTCCGAGAGCACACGCAGTCATTGGAAATTCCAAGTGGCCGCCCTTTTCAGCTGACTCCACGGCCGATATAATTGTTCATTTCTTCCAGACCCAGACCTGACTCGCCCGCCCTGGCCGCTGATACACCGGCCTGAATAGAGTTGATACGTTAAATGGAACTGACACGCTGCGACTGCGAATCTGGCAGCTGCCTGGCTGCAGGTCGATTCATGCTAGGCGGGATTCTGTCCCAGGAGTTTGGAATGGGAGGGTGGGAAACTTACAGAAGAGTTTATTAATCGGTCCAAAGCAAGGTTTCCTCTCGTCCAATGAGATGCCTGCCGTTCGTACGTGCCGTTCGCACAGCCTCACCTTGCCGTCGTTTCACGGTGTGGGTGTCAACTGTTGTTTGCTAACTCTAAAGGGGCGGTGTATGGCTGGCAGAGTTTAGGGAACCGGATGACTGTCTGTATTCTGACTCCGTCTGGTTGTGTCATCTGACGGACCTAGAGCACACTAAGAAACAGATAATAAGATTACTTTTGCTAACGCGAAGCCTGATATTCGACACGCACAATTCGACTCAAATTCACCCAGGGAGCCAACAGGCGCTCCAGGCTCTAGGCTCCTGGCTCCAGGCCCCAGCCCGTTATCGCTCTCTATCCGACAGCAAGTTCTGGGTCAATAATGTAGTCCAGCCCGCGAGAAACGTTATTCCCGGCTAACCTAGTGGCTGACGACGGCGAGGATGAAACCTCCAGGTGGGGGCGCCTGGGTCGCTGGTGTCTACTTGTACGAATCGGGCAAAGGTCCCGTGACACTAGGCCTGGGAATCTGCAACTGACTTGCGCGAGTCTAGATGGCTTCAGGGACCACAATAGAGACTTTTGAGTTGCTCATCGGTCAAGCAGGCGATGGTAGCGACGTCGAAGTAGCAGAGGGGCGGTGTACGTGACTACTCGATACTTTCACCTAGCGACGACTGGTCACACGGTGAATTGTCGGAATGTTGCCTCTCCGAGAGTCTATATTATGTCACTGGGCTTCGACCATGGGGATCGTGAAGCATCAGAAGGTGGTATTAAAGCTGCCGTCGATCCCTCCAGTCAACGTCAGTCTCACCCTGCAATACAAAGCTCTCCACCCACTCGACATCCACGTACCCCAGCAAAGATTCCGGACGTTGCCAATTATAGGCAATCAAGCACTAGTACGGTTGTCGTTTCACAAACCCCTGCACGCTCCCTGGTGTCGCACACGTCGTCACTCGTCGAGAGGCCTGTACTCTGATCACGGTAACCACCCTTGCTCTTCTCGTCAGGCTTATAGTCTACACCATCCCGACCCCGAAGCATACCCATTACAATGTTTCTCGCCAATCTCCACGAATATCAACCCCAAGACTTCTACATCCCATACCGGATAGGAAGCTCAAACCCAGCGCCGCCAATGCTCAACTTCCTCAGCATGGCACCTTATCGCCAAGAGCAGCACATCATGCCCGCTCAGAACCCTGCCAGCAACAGCGAGGTCATACAAGCCCTAGAGATCGCCCGGGAGAGCCCGGACGGGGCTAAAGACCCCATTGTCAGCAGCATCCTGGAGAAGGCCCTGTCGCAGATCTGGGAAAGAGTCCAGGCGCACCCCGACAGCTATGTCATGTCTCGCGATGAGTTTGCCGTCTTCAACTTCTTCCAACACCGCTTCCAGGGCAACAAGATGGCCACCGCCGCTCGCAGTCGGTACTGGGACAACACCACTGGCAGCTCATGATCCGCCGCCACACGTCTTTTATCCTCGATCCTCGATTCCCACATAGCGCGCTCGTCTCTCAACAGGAGAGATGCAGTACTTACTGTGTTGCCGCCTTTTGCACTATCAATATCAGCGTACCGAATCACACCAATAGCACCACCCTCATCCGGAACGAGAGCATGAAAAACGAAACTCTACCTCTGCTCATTGGGCGCCCTCTGTGTTACTACGTGATGGTCCCGGTGACTGTTTCACTTTGCAGCACAGCGTACCCCAAAGGAGTACGCCCCCGTAATCAAGAGCCCCTGCGGTCCTACCCAGCCGATCCCAACATCGTGGCACCTTCTCTACAGGTGCCATAGGAGGCTCCCAGCTTTTCTGGCTGCCGACGTCTCGCATCTCACCAAGCCCAAGCTGCGACTGTACTGGGCCAAGCCAGGCAACGCATATGCGGGGGCGCTCCTACCCTCAGACTTTGAACTTGCCTTGCCAACTGCCATCGGCGTGGCTTGGTCAGTCATTGCGCCTCTACAACTTTATCTATAACTTTAAAGCTTCCTTAGGCTCCGACGGTGGATATAGGTCTTCGACCATTCTTCAGACCTGCTCGGCAAAGCCGCATCTATTGGCTCCTTCTGGGCAGCGCATCCAGGCATCAACTGCTCGCCCACTCCTTGCGAAGTGTCATCCATTGCCTGGACCCCTTGGCTGAGGTCACCTGCATGCGATATCGACCATCGCCCAGACTCGCCTCCCACTCATATATGGTCTAGACTACTCGATGCGCGTCGAAACGAGCACTGTCTGTTTAGAATCTCTTCCACTAGTGGTCTGCATTTGGCGGACCTTCGTTATGTTTTACAGTTCTCGGCCTTTCTTAATCACGACTCGGGAAAGACTTTGAGATGGCGCTGCCACCAAACCTTGGCTACGCCGCTCATCATGATCGACGTCGATGCCACGGCTCTCGGAGCTCGGTGGAATTTGCGGCAACCCAGTCTCCTCAACGACTTTGCACGAACTTGTGGTGGTGGAAGATGAGTTCGCTTATGATTATGGCAAGCCTGTTGTTGATATGCCATGAAGAGAATAGAGAAGAGATCCGGGTAGCGGTGATCTCTGAGTTTTGATAGGAATTATACCCCCCTTAGCTGTGCTTCAATTCAGATTATCATGAACTACACTGCACATGACCTTCTGGCCCAGGTGTATTATGGTGACATCTAGGTTGGCACACATCGCTGCCAAGCAGACATCGTACTTGAGAATGGGAGTCGCAGAGACAGTGTAGTAGAGTCTGTTGGATCGAGTTGCCCCCCGTCAAAGACGAGTGCCTGTGGAGACCGCCAGTAATACAGACAATGTGTCACATTCTCTGCGAGTAAGTCGAATCAGCGCCGCGTGGTGGAGTGTGCAAAAGCGTGATAGGACTACATCAGGTGAAGTTGACTTCCAATGTCATTAAGAACAGTCAGTCCGTACTGCTTTTTGAAGCATGCATGAGTACCATCGGCCACCCATAGAGCGACATGGCCCCTTTTGCTTGCCTGGATATAACATAGCAGTATCGACAGCAGTATCGACAGCACCCACCCCCCTTTGGCCATATTGAAGAGGCCCTTGGTCTCCAGTCCTTCGTCGAGTTGACTCAAAGTTCTAGGCGAGGCACTCCAACATCGCCCATTGGCACACTTGTCAACCAGCTCCCTACTACATCGCCATGGTAACCACCTCGTCCGCGATATGCCTTCCAAGTCGCTCAATACCACGACCCTCTCTCGAGATCCAAACAGAGTTCAGTCCTGGGGGTGCCTGGTAACCCCCAACTGCCGCGCAGATCCGGGAGCGAACAGATAGCTTGACCATCAGGGTAGCCAATCGAGTCCCTCGACATGGCAAGAAGCTCTTCCAGCGGAAGATTGGACGGCGCGAAGAGGTAAACACGACGACCAAGCCGCCGAGGCTTCAGAGGCGCGCGCGTGCGCGAGTCAAAAATCGTCGGCGCTCTAGCCGGATCAGGGCCTCGACGTCGTCGGCGCTGCCAAGGCGGATGTATAAGGCTCCGGGTCGTGGGCTTGTGACTATTGCGTACGGCCAGGCCAGCTGTAGTACATTATAGGGGTAAGCGAGGTAAGGTAGGTCCACACTCTCGTGAACCTACTAATAATAGTGTCGGGGTCGGCTCCGACGTCTGTCCCAGCCCAAAAGCCACGCCGGCGAAACTCTATTTCGACCTAAGCTAAAGCTTGGTGGTGCTGAAGGACTACCGCCAACTTACTGCTGGCCCCTGGGATCTAGCAGGGCTTTCTGGCGGGTATATATAGTAGGCGAAGGGGCTTGGGACGACGGGAGCCGCCTGCCAGATCTGCCGCTTCTCCCGTTCTTTCTGGAAGGGAGAGGACATAACGTGGATTTGGTGGGAGGGCATGACGATCTCTACCTTGATGGTCCTGGCCGTCCATGGCGTAAAGTTGGTTTGCGACTACACATAACACGCCCAATACGCACGATCAGCAGGGCTGGTATCCAGGACCCAACCGCACGCACCGTGGCTTGCGCGCTGCGCGCCATACACTGGATAGATCGGACGTTTTACGCGCCAACTGCCGAGCGGCGGTGAATGGCGACGATGCGGCCGACGCGGAAGGTTTTTCTTCTATTCTTTTTCCTTCGGTGGCTGGGGCCGGGGCGGCCCTCTCGCGATGAGCTTGCGGTTTCGAAAAGCCACCATTCAAAATCTACTTCTCTGGGCTGAATGGTCACCTTTCAGGTCTGGTCGTGTTGTTGTCACAGCCCAAAGCTGGGAGGATGCCAACAGCCACATTAAGCTTTCTCGTGGTCGCCGACCTGTCGGGGAAGCGGACGGGCGGAGGGAACGGCCACAGGGACGTCAGCACGCGCGCGAAGCTCAACAGGGACGTTGCGGGCAGCTTCTCTGACATGTCTCTGCGCAGGGGGCGATGAACACATCTGCGGGACGGGTGATAAGGTGTGGTAGGTGCAGATGCAACTTCGGGCGACGCCGTCTGCCTCGCATGATGATTTGCATTTGGAGAGATCGGACGGCAGACCGGGGTAGATAGTCGGAGCCGCTGGATTGGTTCATCGTGGCAGCTGGACCGGGGACATCCTTCGAGGCATGCCTTGTTGCTTCATGCCATGTCGCTTCGAGGCATTCCTGTTGGCGACACCTTGTCTGGCTTACGTGGTGATAGACTTCACAGGCCGTTACACGAATATCGAAGCCATACAGCCGCTTCATTCAATCCGCCTCCAATGCTACCTCGTCCTTAGCTGTCGCGACGGGACCGTAGGTAGCCGGGGAACACACTCATGGACGCCATATGCAAGCAGAAGCATTCGGATTCATTACAGTCATCATTCATTGCCCGAATCCCAACTCCAACCATCCCTGAATACCTATCGTTAAAGCCCAGGCCCATATCCAAGACGCCTCATTTTCATGTGCTCATACCCAACATGCTGATCGCGCGCGATCTGACAACTCAAGAGTCGCCATCATCCGGGATACCGGCCACAGCCTGAGCCTGGACCAGAAAACCCTTACTATCCGCCTGCTGGATCCCAGCGTACCAGATATTCGCCATCTTCTTGTACCCGGCGTCGTCGGGATGGGTGCCGTCAACGAGCTCGTCCAGCGTCGGTCCAGCAGACGACTGCATGTCGACCAGCACAATGCGCTTCCCAGCGCCCTGTAATGAGTTGGCAAGGCTGCTCATCTGCGGGTTGAAGCTATTGACGATGCGCGTCTGCGTGGCCGCGTCGGCGTTCACGAGCAGCGTGGATAAGATAACCGTCGCTTGCGGCGAGTCCGTGTAGATGTCGTTGATCATGCTCTTCATGCGGTCACCGGCGCCGGCCACGTCGTCGTCCTGTAAGCAGTCGTTGGTGCCGGCATTGATGAGCACCAGATTCGGCTTCTCGGCGGGCACTGCCGTGTCCGCCTTGTCGTGCACCTGATCGATGACATATCCGGGCCAGCCCTCGTTCTGGTTGTCCTGCATCGTGCCGTTGGGGTGCGTGCCGACCATGTTGACCTCGTTGCCGTGGGCCGTGATCGAGTCGCGCAGCGCCAAGCGGTAGCCGTTGCCGTCTGACGATTTCAGGCCGTAGGTGATGGAGGCGCCGAGGGGCATGATGCGAAGGGGTATGCCGTTGGCGAAGCCGGCCCGTGGTGATACGGGCCTTTCATCTCTCCCGGCCGGGGCGGGCAGGGCATAGCCTGTATCGTGTCAGAACGGGCAACGTGAGATAGGGGAAGGACTCGTGGAGCTTACCCTTGGTGAGCCACAGTGATGCGTAGGCTACGAAGCACCATAGCTCGTACTTTGTCGCAAGCATCGTGAGTAGCCGGGGTATTTATTCAAGAAGAAGAGCTGGATGAGGCACCAAGACAGTTCGTCGAAGTCGTATGAGTCGAGTCAGTACTTCTTGGCATCATTGTGGCGAGGGACGAGGCCATTGATGACTATAAGTATTGGAATTGTGAACACATATAATCGACGACTTCGGTAGTCCCAGGGCGCCGGACGAATCGGCAAGGTTAGATTTACCAGTCAAGGAGGACCCTCCCGATTGCTACCATCCTACCTGTGCCTACGTGGGTTTCGTTTCGAGGAATTCCCGTAGAGGATCGGCTACAGCTTCCAGAATTAGACGGGATGGTGCAGGGTCTGGAAGTCTGGACCGAGTATAGGAAATTCTAACAGGTCGGGCGGAACGTACGCGGCGGGTGCTGGGATGGGATCTCAAAGGGACGGATGCAGGGTTGTCAAAGGGGACCGATCCTGGGAACCAAGATCTTCCCAGCGCTCATCATTCTGCTGGCAATGCCACGTAGATCAGCCTCAAGCCATGTGCAATCTGGACGTCAATGCTTGGCTGGCAACCAATCGCCGATACTAGTTTCCCATCTCCGTCGTCATGGTCAATAAACAGCCAGGTAAGGTCCTGGAAGGAAGGAAGCTTACATCCTTGCCTGGAGCTATATTGGACGACGCATGGCGTCACACACCCCATCCGTTATCGACCGGGCTGTAGTTGATACAGATCTGGTATATTTAAGTAAGTATAGCTGCAGGGCGGACCAGGTCCAATTGGCCAACGGCGGCAGTTAAGGTTACTATACCCCTCCGCCGTGCCCCACGGCGCAGGTGCTTAATCTACAACATCATGACATGAGCATATGAGGTGCTTTGTCCTCTGTGTCTGGTTTCATGTTCACAACTCAGGAGTCACTGTTTTTCTCGCGTGTTCAAAGGCTCATCGATACGTGAATCACCCGGCTGACACATTTCAACCTATCAATAGGACTCGAGTCTTACCTTCGTCATTCGACTCCTTCCCATTGCAGAGGATGATGCCGAGAGCGAGAGACGCTTATCAAAGGCTGATCCTTGTCCTATTATTAGCATTTGTCGTCCCGCAACCCCCACAACTACCCGTTGACCCCAGTGCTTTATCGATGTGCGACAGCAGTGGTGCGTTGACGGGATTACGGGATTGGTGGTCGGACTCGCATCGCATTCGCGACTGGGATTCGAGTTGGAGTACCGAAGAGACGGACGCCAAGTCAGGGGTGCAGTCAGGGGTGCGGGCGAGGTCCGGGCGTTCCACGGGTAGATAGACGCTGCAGAAGCATGATGCACCATGTGGCTGCAGAAGCATGATATTGATAACCATGTGGCTGCCTTTGATTTGTGCGACTATTCAGGTGTGAATCGTATGATAGTATCTTACTCCAACAACTTACTCCAACAACACCTTTTTTCCATCAAGGATGGCCAGTCCACCATTAATATGGTCTCGGAAGCAACTCCTCTGTTCAGTATGCGCATCATGCATCTTTCAGCAGCAGCAGCCGCGCGCATGGATTCTCAACTTGGTGGCATGAGTGACACGTTGTGTAATGACGTGATTGCAAATAGGTAGGGACACAGACCCTGCGACTATGAGGATGTCTGGGTGCAGGTTTGGGGTTGCATTATACGGTGCCGAGTAGGATTACCTTACGGCGGGCTTGTAGGGGTATCCGGATGGACTTTGGGGTTATATTAATCTAAGCAGGATTATCACAGGGCTGTAGGGGTATATGGAATGTATGGACTTTGGAGTTATATTAATCCAAGCAGGATTGTCGCTGGCTGGTGGGATGCCTGGGTGAATTTTGGGACTATATCAACCCGAGCACGATTTACCATAACGCGAGCATGTAAGGATGTCTGGGTGGACTTTGGTCTTATTTCAAACCGGGCAGGATTATTAGGGTCTTCCAAGGTTGTGGATCATCAACAACCAAGCATCAGCAGACGTCCAACACACGGATCACGACCCTTAGTAGACTAGACTCTTCGACGAAACAATAGTATTTCGATGCTATCTACCCTGCTATTGACTCGGGACCGACTAGAAGGTCATTCGATAACCATCCTACTTCTTATGATCGCCCAGCGTATTCTGGATAGACCCCCCGATGGATCCCTTGTCGGTGAACTGCTTGCTTATCATACCCCCTTCACCGAGCGGCCCGCCAATCTTCTGGCCCACGCCTCCAAGCATTCCTGAGGTCTGTTCAAACTGTCAGCATAGAAGGAACCGAAAGCGTGGAAGAGATGACGACCTACCGCGAACTGCTTGCCGATGGCACCGCTGGAATCGAAGGCCGAGGCGGTGCCGCTTGTCTTGTCTCCTCCGGGTAACTGCTTGGGATCAGCGGGCGATACAGACCGAAGAAATGACAAGGCGCGATACCTTTGGGCTCGCTACCCTTGGGTTTGCATTCTTCTCGGGAACACCAGTGGCCAAGTCGGTATGGGGCATACCGGCAGTGGCACCCTCGTCGAGAGCTTTTGCCGCCTCTGTTGACATTTTGAGAATCGGATAGGTAGGTGGCTGGGTGTTGAGGGTGGTTGAAAGGACGTAGTCCGTGGTACCTAAGCAGGCAAAGAGATCCATGCCATGTCGGAGGAGCTCCAAGGAAGTGCACTTCTTATACCCATATAAATGGTATTTCCCGCCCTTACGAATTAAGCCGTCATCTTCACAGCTGTAAGATGCAATTATCCCTTCTTCAAAACGTCATGAACTTTGAAGTGGCTGCGGGGGACGGATGAAGTCAAAAGTGCCATCCTCTACGTCAACGATGTCGACAAGCAGTATCCCGCGCGGGCGCTCCCGCGATTAGAGGCAATATATTGTGCCAGTTCAAGTCGAACACATGTAATAGACATATAGTCATGATTACAGATCGTCTGGCTCATAATGGCTTTGGATCTCGGATCATCACCGATAGATGACCGTCATGCAGCTTATCCACGACGCGAAACCCCAGCTTCTCATAGACCGGTCTGCCACTCGCCGTGCTCTCCAGGTACGACTTCAGCTCCAGCGCATCAGCGATAGCCAGCATGGGCAACATCAGAGCCGTGGCTGCGCCTCTGCGATGATATCTCGACGCCGTGGCGAGGAGTGAGAGACCTGCCGTCGATTTCGTTCAGCTCTGTTACAGGAGGACTTGGGATCAAACGTGGGCGCGCAACTTACCCAGCATGTCCTTCGTGTACCATTTCGCAGAGGCCTTGGCTATGGCGTCCCAGTATTGGTGGCAGAGAACAGGGTCCGAACCATCAGGGAAGTCAATCACAGCCCGCGGCCCCTCAATAGGCGCGCTGGTGACGGGCTTCTCTACACCCGCCCCTATTTCAGCGCCTGCAATCCCATCGCTCTCCACGAACTTGGAGACGTCGATCTCGCCGCCCATCTCGTCACCGATCCAGTCTCCGAAGCTGGCCTCATAGTGCTGGGGGACGTCCCACCTGGCGAAGGCGACAAGATGGCCGGTCGCGGCATCGATGATCTTGAAGTGGCGCACGCCGCGGTCGTTCATCTTGCCTGTCACGCGCCGCTTCAACCACTCGAGCATGGCGGTCTTGTCGGCCGGCCACCAGAACGAGTTCCCATGGTCGGGCTTGAATGTCTCGTAATAGAGCTCGGAGATGGTGTCAATGTCGTCGGTTGTAGCTCGCGACATGGTGAAGCCTGGAGATAGGGACGTGGGCGATGGGAATGGGAGCGCCATTATGATGAAGCAAAACGGTAAAGAAGTAAGCTCAACGCCGTTGAAGCTATGGTAAAAGCTTGTCCCTGTCGCCGGATCGTGTCTACGAGATAGACCTAAACTATTTGGACTAGGTGCTAACCTGGTCTTATAAGTTGTCGTTTATTAGGGTTTCGACATCTACTAGGTCCTTGATCAGTAATGCCCTCCTGGAGTAAACGAATCAAACCATCTCGGCGACCCGAACGGGACATGCCAAGACCTCACCCGCATATTCGTGGCCGGTGACTCCTCCGGGGAAAACGCTCCTGGTTTCCTCGGCATGCAGAGATCTCCAGGGCTGATATATGCACGTGGGCGGGTAGCAACATGCAGGTCTGGCATCTGAAAGGCATCGATCGGATCTGACGTCACCTTGACAGCTACCACCCCAGGGACTTACACCGAAGATGTAGCTTTCTCGCGCACACAAGACAGCTTCACCTTAGGAAAACACTCTCGTTCATTATCCAAGTCAGCCAAGAAGCTCCAACTCACTGACTCTCTGGGGATCGATCTCCTGATCTCATCTTACAACAACACGCAACATGAGCACCTCAACGCCCAACATGATCACCAAGAACATCCTGATATCGGGTGGCGCCCGGGGCATCGGCCGCGCTCTCTCCCGCTACTTGCTCGAGGCCGGCCACAGTGTCTACATCTTCGACATCGACGCCGACGAGCTCAAGCACACAACCACTTCCCACCTGGCCTCCTACCACAACACGGGCAAGGTCCAATCCGCCGTCTGCAACCTCCGCGACGTCAACGACATCCGCTCTCGCGTCAAGGAAGCAGCAGACTGGTTCGACGGCCACCGCATCGACGTGCTGATCAACAACGGCGGTATCGCCCACCCCTACTGGAAGGACGGCAAGTCGATGGAAGACCCGGCCACCTTTGAGCAGTGGCAGGCCTACATCGAGACGAACCTGACGGCGCCGTTTGCCGTGTCCCAGGCCTGCATCTCCTACATGAAGACCGAGAACCCGGACGATGGCGACTCGGGCGCACAGAAACTGCATGGTGCGGGCCCGTGTATCATCCACATCGGCTCGTTCCGCGCGCACCAGAGCGACCCCAACCAGGAGGGTTACGCGTCCAGCAAGGCGGGCCAGCTGGGCCTGATGCATTCGATGGCCATTAGCCTCGGACCTCTGGGCATCCGAGTGAACTTGATTGCGCCCGGACGCATCAAGGTCGCCCATGAGAGTAAGGAGGGCGATGAGCAGGGAACGAGCTGGCAGGGCCAGGTCAGCGAGAAGGACGTCGACGACCACCCTACCAATCGAGCTGGTCGACCGAAGGACATCGCGGATGCAGCCATGTATCTGATGGAGGCTGGATTCGTCACCGGAGTAAGTCGACTGCCTGGGCCTGTGGATTGGAATGTACGTGCTAACTACATTTGCAGCAAGATATTACCGTCGATGGCGGTGCGCTGCGGAAGAAGTAAAACATGCGGCAGATGGACTGTATGTGCTTGGAGCTTGCTTTACGAACAAGACTTTACGACACTCATGAGCACATATACGAAGCCAGTGAAATCCTTTATGAGGGGTGAAGACAAGTGTTCGCACGAAGGCAAAACCCGCATGCTAAGGGCATACTTGTGAGACACTCTTATCAACTTTTGGGTCACTCTATGAGGGAACGAGATGATTCGCAGTCTGAATTGCCTGATGGCAAGGTACATGACCGCTGATGTGGACTATAGGCCACTCTGGGCAACTCGGACATTTCCAATAGGATGTTCTGCACCTGTTCTAGACAACATGGACGAGCTGAGCAATAGACATATTCAAAGAGATCATTCGTCTCGCTTTCTCACATAATCCGTACAGAAATCCAGTCCGGAATCCTGTCGTACAATGCCGTACAAGGAAGACGAGTCAAGCGCCCGCTGCCCATTCGCCTCGGAATACGCTTTCGCCCTTTTCAGATGCTCAAGCGCAGTACCCGCAGCTTTGAGGCTGACCCCGGCTTTCTGCGCGCTATCAACGCCGTGCCCTACATCTTTTAGAGCAAGGTTTAGATCCGACCACGGCGCCTCTCCCTTTCCCGGTATATAAACTCCCGTCGTCATCCTCACGGAATCCGAGTGCGCGACGGTGCCGAAGACGAGCTCTAGCAGTTTTTCTAAAACGTTGGCGTCAAGGCCTGTCTTCTCGGCGAAGACGTGCGCTTCGGCTATTATCTCCATTAGGCTGGCCATCATGAAATTCCTGGAGCCGTATACATTTGTCAGCTGACGATGCTTGTGACCGGTATTTAGGTACGGACTCCGGCTTGGCTTGGCTTACCCTGCCGTCTTCAGCAATGTAGCTTTCTCAGGCTCTTCCCCAACCCTCAGAACCTCCCGCGCAATCACGCCTTTGAGGAACGGCGCGACAGCCTCGTAGACCGGTAGTGGTCCCGCGAAAGCTACTAGCAACCTTCCCTGTTCCGCCACTGGCGTCGCACCGAAGACGGGCATGGCAGCAAAGAGAACACCCCGCTCCCGCAGTCTCTCGGCAACGGCTTTTGTCGTGTCTGGGTGAATCGTCGTTGTATCGACAATGATCTTTCCCGCTCAAGTTCGATATCCCACCGCCATGCAAGATCTGTTCTATAATCGCCTCGATGGCTGCGTCATCGCTGGCCGAGATGAAGATGACTTCGCTCTCTTCGACCACCTCTGAGACAGAGGCGCATCGCTTGCCGCCCGCCGCTTCGAGGAAATCTCCGCGGGATGCAGTCCGGTTGAAAAAGCGCAGAGGCGTGCTCGTCGCTTTCGCAGCTAGATGCCCGCGTATCTTCTTGGCCATTGCTGCGCCCATGCTGCCTAGGCCGATCCATCCTAGTCTTGTCGCGGCCGGGGCGGAGGTGGAAGGTGACGATGATGAAGTTGCCATGTTGTTTGGTTTGTTTGAAAGCGATGTACGAAATCTGTTCGTTTCCTTTATGGATAAAATACTGAAACTCCTGAATACCTACTTCTAGGTAGTTGGTTGGAATAACACATGTTGATCATGACTGGCCGGAGCCTGACCGGAGCTACGATGCTTAGTCTCGGGAGTCATCCCTTGCTGGACTCCACTTCGCCCGGTCTCGGCCGGCTTCTTCTTATACACAACAACATACTACATACAGTAAGGCTTTTCTCTCTCTATCGATTTCAAACTCTGAATCGGTCGTACTGGTCTAGATGATCAAATACCGACAAGAGTATTCAGATGCATTGGCATAATGTCAGGAGAGCTCGGCACCAGTTACCCGTCGCGAATTGGTGGTTCAGGGCTCCCTGGCCAGACTCGCACTTTAAACAATACATCACTTTTCGTCCCTTGAGCTCACAGCAGCAAACAGGTCAGTGTGTGCGCCACAGTACCCTTATTCGGTCAGATATAGGGCACGGGGAGGAAGATGCCGCGACCTCGATCCGGTCCACCTACAGCCAATGGATAGCCACCAATGGATAGCCACCAATGGAAGCACATAAAGTATTAATTCATTGTCACATGGCCAAGATGCGGAGGGTCAAGGCCTCTTCCTCGATGATTGAAAAAGCCCGAAGAGGTCGAATGTTTCTCGGGCTTATGGAACAAGCCATCTGAGGATGATTAATCGCCAATTATAACCCGGCATGCAGGGATCCATCGGGATGGCCCCAGGTTTCGGGGACTATCTACCGGTACTACCTAACCTGGTACTGAACATGATACTTCACAACCAGGTTATTCGAGATTTTAAGCGGAGAGCAAACGTCCGCGCAGCCAACTCATTAATTCGACCCTGATGAATTTACCCAGAGAGGGTCCTTCCGTTGGACCGTTGCCAAGAACCTTGCTCTGAACGGCCTTGAGACCATATAACTGGAGTGTACCACCCTCCATCCTCTATTCCATTGTCTCTTACACCCACCGCAGACATGATGTTCTTCTCACCACTCCTCGTCGTCGCCGTCGCCCTGTCCGGTGCCCTCGCGGCACCGACGCCGAACGCGGATCCCGCCCCCAACGAGAGAGGGGTGAGCGTCAACAAGAAGAGATCCAACTTCTGGTTCGCCGGTGTGAACGAGTCCGGCGCCGAGTTCGGTACCGGAAGCATCCCGGGGACCAAGGGGACCGACTATACATGGCCTCTTACTTCCAGCGTCGATGTAAGACCCTGTGTCGAGACCCCATGACGCGGAATATTAATCTTCTGACCGTGATAAAGACGTTGATGGGAAAGGGGTTTAACATTTTCCGGATTCCCTTCCTCATGTGAGAGCCTTAGATGAAGCCCCATGATGACACGGCAGTGTTGACGATGCTAGGGAGCGAATGGTGCCTGGCAGTCTGACCAGTGGTGTCAACGCTGCATACCTTGCCGATATGCAGACTGTAAGTTAATTATACCCTTCACGTCTCCCATGTTTTTGTCATCCATCTAACAGATTACCAGCTCGTCAGCCACATCACCAGCAAGTGAGTGATGGAGATGATGTGACCATGTGCGGTATCTAACGGTCATAGGGGTGGTTACGCGGCAATCTGTGCCCAAAACTTCGGTATGTCAGGTTGTCCACTCAGGCGCTGGTTCCAGTTTAACATTGAGCAGGTCGATACTACGGCAACGTGATCACCGACACATCTGGCTTCCAGTCCTTCTGGCAAACCGTAGCAACACAGTTCAAGTCCAACGGGAACGTCATCTTCGACACCAACAACGAGTACCACGACATGGACAACACGCTCGTCGGCAATCTCAACCAAGCAGCCATCAACGGCATCCGTGCCGCGGGCGCAACCTCGCAGACCATCTTCGTCGAGGGCAACTCGTACACCGGAGCCTGGACGTGGGTGTCGTCAGGAACCAGTACCGCCATGGCCGCGCTTACCGATCCTAACGACAATGTCATCTACGAGATGCACCAGTACCTCGACAGCGATGGCTCGGGCACTTCGTCAACCTGTGTCAGCAGCACCATTGGTTCACAGAGACTGGCCGCTGCTACGGCGTGGCTCCAGTCCAATGGCAAGAACGGCATCCTGGGCGAGACTGCTGCTGGCAGCAACAGTGTCTGCATCAGCGCCCTTCAGGATATGCTCAGCTACATGAAGACTAACAACAGTGTTTGGAGGGGGTGGCTTCTCTGGGGTGGTGGACCATGGTGGGGGTAAGTTTTCTGCCAGCGCAGCGCATCAGATCAGATCAGACACAGCTAACTGTTTCCAGTGACTACATGTTTTCCATGGAACCATCTTCAGGAACGCAGTATGTTGGGGTGATGCCGTCCGTCCTTCAGTATATCTGAGAGATACTCGGTCAGGGCTAAGGGGGACTACGTGGAATTCTTTTCGTGAAACAATATGCGACCGTCTTGTTTATATCAACGGTAGCATATCCATTTTAAACCTACTTGCATGTAAGACCTTGAAGTTGTCGACAATTTCTGCTTAGATTTACTGAGGGTGCCGCACCAGAGGGATCATCCCAGACAGTGAGTGATGTTCAGTTTGCAAACGTGTACATGCGCGAGTTGTCAGGTACTCGCACTTTCTGGCCCATCTGGCCTCCTTTATACCTCCAACAGCAGTCTCGGATGCTTCACGTCCGAGACGTCCGAGACGTCCAGGAGCGCGAGGTTGGTGACAACTTTCGTAACGGGCACGGCCTCGTCGCCACGCGTCCACCTGCCGATGCCCAGCTCCTCGTGAGCGAGCCGCTGCAACTGTAACGTGCCGTTGTGATCCACGCCAGGTGTGTGTAGGGGTCGAGACGGGCCCGCTTCTATATGAAATGAGCAACCGTCTCGATGAGAAGGGACAGGACGATGACGCAGAACCCGCCCAGCAGGATGACGGACAGTCCGAACGTGCCGAAGGAGATGTGTGCGGTGCTGATGACTTACTGGGGAGAGGGAATCAGGAGACGGCTTCGGAAGTATTGAAAGCGAGGGTGCATGTACCTGGTTGTTGCACAGCTTGGTCTGCTCTGGGGTTGTTGGACGCGCGACCCATTCCTCGGGATACGAGGAGGGCGGGCCAGCCGCAACTTCGCCCAAAGACTTCTGGTAAATGGTCGACTCGACATTGAACCAATGTTCCACGTCTGTCTGCCACTGGCTATCCGGCAACGGCTCCTGACGGCCATAGAAGAGGCCCCTCCTCGAGAGCAGGGCTTGTGCGCCTAACACCTCGACGGCCGAGTCTATACCGCCACTGACGCTGGTTTGCGATGACATGGTCCATAGTAAGCGGTCTTGGTTCTCGACCGCAACACTCTGAAGGGCCTCGTCGAACACCTCGTAAGGAGTAGCCAATTGTGTGCAGCGAGGTTCTCCCGAGGTGGTGGAAATACATATCTGGTGCTTCTTGGAGCAGGCCAAGGGGGTGGCTGGATAGTCTTGGCTGTACACATCGGCGCCCCCACCCATTTCCGAAGAGTTTTGACGTGAGCGTGATGATCTGGTCGGGGAGTTTGCATGTTTCTCGATACCATGGGTCCGCTGTTTTCTCTGCGAATATTATTCCATTTGCTGATAGAGAACAGAACGACATCCCCATCACTCCTTGCGAGGTCTGGCATGGAGTCAAAAGAGCTGTCTGTAGTGAGTGTTCCGTTATACAGCGTTGCCCTGTATGATCCAGACGGCTCTGAGTTAGCCAGCGTCTTACTGAGACGCGATCCAAGATGGGGTGGTGTCTTACCCCACACTGTAATCACCTATGCCACCAACATAGTCGGTAGATATCATCTCGTAGATCCTGTCATTCGAAGACAGCTATGTAAGGTTGGTAGTTGGCGCGTTGCCGTAGTACCATCGTGTGTAGGAGCGATCCCTGGACGTGTTGAACATGTCGTTATGTCCCTCTGTCTTGAGAGGCGCGCAGTGCGAAAGCCGTCCCGTCCAAGACCTCTCGTTCCTAGGTGTGTTTACTCCAAAATCTTCATGTGAGTCTAGGAAGACGGTGTCAAGTAACAGGTTCCCGCTCTCATTCAGACATGATACTCCAAAGGGACAAGACGCGTTTCGGTCAATGTCGGGGTTAATCCAGGGCTGATATAGACACCGCAACCAGCCTTCGCTCTCGTCGTTTTCGACGACACTGTAGTATAGCATCCTACTGCTTGTGTAGCCGCTGCCGTGATAAAACCCTGCTATGTAAGGCTCGTAGTCCCCAAACTCAACAGAATCGTTGACAAAGGCAGGACTCAGGGGTATTCCGCAATGAGTTCCGAGGATGAGGACCTCGTTTCCGGTTGCGACTTTCGAAGAAAACCCGGAAAGGGCGAGAAAGATGCCTAGGAGCAAGGTGAGGGCGATCAAAGGCAGGAGCCGCCATGCTATCGGCAGCTTGCGCCATGCCCAGCCGAGCTCGATCAAGGCGAAGGCGCTTGAAACCGCACCGGAGCTGTTTCGAAGCAGAGCCTGCTGCTGGTGATATATGAAATCGCGGGCCTTGGCGGTGGAGTAATAAGCATGTATTCCGAAGCACAGTATTCGCCACATGTGTCCGGCGACCAGAGCTGCAAACAAGGCGACGAAAGCGATGAGCAGGTTAGCGTCGTTTTGCCTCAACGTGAGAGTCGCACCCAGGACCCTCCCGTGGGAGCAATTCGTCCAGAAGCCGGTGTGGACTGGATATGGAAAGCTCGCGGTGGTTGAGCTGGCCAGGACACTGTCCATGATGTCGTCTGATAACATCTTGCGGAAGCCACCTCTATTCGCCTGATCGAATAGGAGGCTTTAACAAACGATAGCCAGAACCAGGCTGCGTGTCGGAAAGTGATAACAAGGATCGTTACTTTCGCCTCAGCTTCGGACTGCAGAAATACGCCCAGATAAAGGTTTATAAGTTCGATCAGGGATGCTCAGACGTGACAGAGATGGCTCCCAATGCGGTTGCGTTACTGCTCCTGGCTGCCAACATTCTGCCTCGCAAGACTTGGCGCTTTGTATAATCTCTTCGCTGACCTTTGTGATCTCCCTCAGATAAAGCGGCCACGTTAGGCATGACACAGGTTTCAAACAGGTCAAGCGCAGATGCGGCGCACAACTGTAACCTTGGGATCGTAGACAGTCAATCTGCGCATCAGCATAAAGGCTGTGTTTCCCCTGCTGCCTCACGCCGCTTGTATGATTCTCCATCTGAGCATTGTGCCAACATGTCTGAACTGCGTATCAGTATACACGAGACGTCCAGGGTTTGGGGCCAGCCCCCATTCACCTCTGGATATGGGGTCGAGCTCGAACATTGGGATGGTACCGGCTCTTGCAGCTCCTCGAAGACATGCGACATGGTACTGAACCCTCGTAAGTCTCCGTACACCGCCGTCCAGCAACTAGCGGTATGTTCATCGAATCGGGATAAGCACAATGGAATAAGCATTAGAAGTGGCATACCAAACCAGAGCTGCTTATTCCTGTCTGCTTATTCCAGTATTTCCAAATTTCCAAATTTCCACGTATACTCTGGATTCCTCCCAACATGGTGCGCACGGAGACTTACAAGGGCTGAGTGCATCGGACTGCCGACCTGGGGCGCACACTGATAATGTCGTCAGCGATGATTCACTGACTTCCAGCCCGTCTAAGCCCGTCCAAAACGATGGTATAATACAGATCTCATACAGAAGCTATCGAACAGTTCGGGTTTCAGGGCTGAAACCATCCTACACCCTCTCACTGGCCCATATGGCACCTCGGCACCCAGCCCGGATGAAATTGGTCAACAACCAATGCGGTTCTGCCTTCTTGGCATCGTGCTCAACGGCATGGTCCAGGTGCTCCAGTTCCTCATCTCGTATTCTTCTCAGGGTGCTAATGAGCTCTCGAAACTCGGCTCCCACTTCGTAGCCCTCGGTCTCCCATTGTTCAAACATCTCGAGCAGGGCCCGTATTTGGTTGTTGTAATGCTCCCCGATCTCCGTCTCTACAGCTTCGGTACACGCCATGGCAGCCTCGCGTCCCAGCAGCGCTGTCGACCAGCCCAGTCCGGTTGCCATGACCGACCAAACTGGGTAGAAGGCAGTGGGGCGGACTCGGTGCTTCGCTATCAGGGAGTTGAACGTCTTGAGATGACCGGCTTCCTGTTCGTACATGTGGCACATCAACGGTCGGAGGTGGGGGTGCGCATTCACCAGCAGGGGCGTCTGGGCAGTATATATGAGAGTGGCGGCTAATTCGCCAGCCTGGTTCACTCGAAGCTAGAGCAGGTCTCAGTACAATGTCGACACCCCAAAGGACTGGCTCGAGCTTACAGCCGAGGAGAGATACTCGCGCTGCTCCTTGGTCAAAGGTTTGCGTTTCGACTTCGCAACGCTGGGCGCGGAGGACGGGTCTGGCGAGGTCGCGGCATTGTGCTTCGGAGTTGACGACATGCACCTTTGACTCGGTTGGAAGAAGGCAGGGACTAAGAAATCATGTACAGGCAGCTGGACATTGCGGCGCATAACGCGCGCGAGTATCCGAAATGAAGACATCGATGGCGGTCTTTTTGAGCGTCCGTACAAGGAGTCGATCACGGCTTCTTAAGGAGGAAGAGTAGAGCGGTTTGTCCACGGGTGTATTCAGTTGATGATGCTGGGATCCGCCAGGATGATCGACTAATTTCACCTGCACCCTTGGAAAAGATACCGAGGTACATGCTCGATGCCTTGCAGCTGCAGCCTGCAGGTCGGTGTTCGGCGGACCAGCCCCACTACCAGTGAATACAGAATAGGCTAACCGTATTCGTCAGTGCCAGCTGCTAGCGGAAGGCTGATAGTCCGAGCCCGATGCCCCCCTGCATGCTTAGCGGAGCATCGGAGATAATGAACCAATAGAACAGCGAGTAGAGGACACACATTGAATCGATCGAGACCCACCGGGCTTGAGGCTGTGAACGTGAACCTCTCGAGGCTCTTGAACTTCAACGTTCGTCTATCTCCGATTGAATAGGAGAGCCGCCTATCAAGCAGTTACCTTCTTTCCCCATCTTTGTTCTTCAGGATAACCTCGTCGCGATCTGCTCTGTGTACAGGATTGCCGCTCTCCCCACTGCATCCATCATCGCATAGCTATCTGCTGTCTTACTCAATACCTTAACTATCCGCAGTCTGGCGCCTTTCCTTACGCGACGACCAAGCCGGCCCGAACAACCTCTTGACCACGCCCATTCCTCGCAACCCAGTCGCCACTATTCACCATGGCTGATGTGGACGACGAACTGCTTGCTCTGGTGGGGGGCGACGAATCCTCCGATGAGGAGGCAGGAGAGGCGTTGAGCAGCAGCCGCCCAGCATCCGAGTCTCCGGATCCCGAGGCAAAAAAACAGACAACGACAAAGGCAAAGAATACAACACCAGCGCCAAAGTCGAGAAAGAGAAGGCAAGACGATTCAGACGAGGAGGAAGAGGGCGAAGCGTAAGTCAAAAGAGTCTTGTATGGAATATGGTTGTGTTGAGCCATTGGGTCTTGATTCACCCTTGAGTCGCCAACCTTGCTGGCGTTGGCTTCGAATTACTGCCTGATTAGCTCTCGAATGCCCCGCACCTCTTTGTGCCTCTTTCAATACACCACTATGCACAGCTTCTCTTGATGCCTCAGATTCACTCGCCCATCACCCAGCTATCACTCAGCTGATCGCATGTGTGCACACCACAGATCCTCTGTCGCCGCCTCACCTGCTTCTCAACAATCTGCACCGATGGACGAGTCCGACTCCGAAACCGAAGCACTCCAGACTGCCAATACCAACGCCAAGATGGAAGACGACGAAGATATGAAGTATCCCATCGAGGGCATCTACGCGAGCGAAGCCGAGAAGGAGGAGATCCTGGCTATGCCAGAACTCGTGCGAGAACAACTCATCGCTAGGCGCCAAGAAGATTCCGATCGACAACGCCAGAACACCTTGCTACGCCGACTTCTGAAGAGCCAGAACCGCGAGGACGATAGCCAGTCTGCCAAGAAGCGCAAAGCCAGCTCAGCCGACCTTGACGACGCCCAGCGAAAGGGTTCGCGACAACGTACAAGAGTAGGTGGCTCCAAGGTTGGCGAGACCAGCGCAGGTATCGAGTCGCTTCGTCGTGCTCGGGCGGAGAAGAGCGATCGCATTCGCCGCAGAGAGGAAGACCGTGAGCGCAACCGAGGCCAATCACACAATCATTCCCGAGACCACGACGACGATGGTGCCAATAGTGACAGCGATGTTGAGTGGTCCCGCGATTCCCGATGCAGGCCTTCTAGATCACGGACACCCGAGGTCAGAGAAGTTCCCCTGGCAGATCAACGCGACATGGACCACATTCGACTTGGCCGAAGCCAACTCACAAGAATCTGCTTCTATCCCGGCCTGGAGAAGGCAATCACCGGCTGCTATGTTCGGGTTTCTATTGGTCCCGACCGTGAGATTGGAGAGAATGTCTACCGTGCGGCCGTGATCAGAGGTATGTGTCAGCCCACACGCATATCGCATACTTCGTCTCACACAGCGTCACAGGTCTCACAGAAGGCAAACCATATGCTATGCACAAGCAGAACGGACAAAGCTTTGTGACGGACCAATATGTCAAGGTAGCCCATGGCAAGGCTGAGCGAGAGTGGCCCATGATCCTTTTCTCTGACTCTTCCTTTACCGAGGTATGCATTGCCTGTTGCTGCCGCATTCATCACTACTTTGAGACTCATATATCACAGGCCGAATTCAATCGCCTCCAGAAGACCTGCCAAGAGGAAGGGGTACCCCTCCCGAAAAGACCGCAGCTAGTCGCCAAGCTCGATGAGATGAACGCTCTCATGAATCGCTCATGGACCGATGCAGAAGTCAATGAAAAGCTCGAGCGAGAGAAACGCCTGACGAGAAAATATGACTCATGGGAGAAATCTCGGCTGCAGAACAAACTCGAGGAGGCCAAGCGTTGGGGTGATGCGGCGCGGACGTCTGAACTTCAGGCTCAACTAGAGCAACTCGAAGCTCTGCCGCGCCTTGCCTACAAGACTAGTCTGTCCCAGACCAAGATCGCGAGTCCGGCGGTACCGTCTCAGCAAGACCGGCTTGCCCTGCTGAACGCCGAGAACCGACGGCGTAATACTGAGGCAGTTCGCAAGGCTCAGATGATGGAGCGACACAAAGCCCGCCAGAGCCAAATGGAGGATGCCAACGAGTCTCGCGAGCGGAAGTCGACGCCCACCGGCGGCAGTGGTGCCTCGACGCCGGCCAATGGCACACCGAAGCTCGGAGCCTCCAGCAAGGCGCCGTTCCTTCCCCATATTCAAAAGTTGCAGCTACAGAATCACCAGGCCGTTAAAGACAAGAAGGGCGTCCCTCAGATCCACAAGCCTCTGGTTGATGATGACATCATTGCTGCTATGGACCTCGATATTGATATCGATATCGACTAAACGACCAGAACAGACGGTGGAGGTCAATGTGGCACCGCAATGCACAGTATTACAGGATTCATGTTGCCCTGCAGTTGGGGTTTCGCGTTCGGACTTCTCCCTAGGCGTAGAGCGGCATTGATCACAATTGATCAGTGGCAATGATCGGTCTTGATAATCGGACTCCGACACAGCCAAGTGTTGGTCTGTCTGGGGCGTTTCTGCATGGATATATCGGTCTAGAGTAGACTAAACATAGCAAGGCGTTTCACTGCAGATAGGATCCCATAGCGATTATGATTCCGTAAATAACACCCCTGGACAATGACTCGATGCAAACAGTGACCTCTGCTTCCCACGGCGCTTCCTGTTCTAGTCCCCTTCAAGGGCCATGCCATGCGCCGCCGGGCCACATCTTCACCATTCGACATGAGTGGTCAGTCGCCTAATGAAGTGCCAGATGACTGATGGATCTGCCTCAAAGCGCAAGATGTTGGTAACTCCGACACGGGCTGCCTTATGAAGTCAACTGGTTGGTAGGGTGCTATCCAGTATGTACGCAGGGAAAGGCGGGTCTACCGCCGCGGACTTCCACGGCAAGGGTACGGCGGTACAAGGAACATCGCCCACCATACAAATTGCAGTTTTGCTTGGTAATATCACTGTGACGTTCTCTTCAGCCCGTTACCTATTTCGGGGAGAACTTCAAGGAATAACAAGGATCACACGCGAACGGCTAGAAGTACTATGTCGAGAGGGTGCTGTCGGAGAGATTCTTGCGCTGCTGACGAAGGTGCCGCCTTGCGAAAGCCCCCACGTCTCCGCGGCATTCGTCCCAGGGCGTTGAGCGGGCGCTTTGCTGTGTGTGATTTGCGATCAGTGTGGGCTGGCTCTACATGTGGGATGTCTACATAGTAGTAATTCAACATCTCTACGCCACATAGGCACATAAAGCTCCTACAGAGGTTACCCACATAGAACTAGAGTGGGGTGCGGTCCTTACAAATGCACCAGGCGTAGTGGAATGGGCAGATTCTATTCACCTTGCGCAGCGGAAAAGGCAAATTATATATATACTATGCTCGATTCTAGTCTTCACTGTCTGTCTTCTCACGGCACCAGCTATACAACTCATCGGGACGTAGTAAGCTTCTTCGTGCCTCTTTCAAGTACACCATACCGTCTCAAACACCATCATTCGAAAAAAATCCATCTTCAGCCGTATACATCATGCCTGTAGCGCGCTTCGAATCCGCGCCGGTCGATGTCTCGCCGCTCGGCCAGCCCATGAAGTTCGAGTTCTCGGGCAAGGTCGCCAAGAACCGGTTCCTCAAGGCAGCCATGGCCGAGGATCTGGCGACTTGGAGTGCCACGAACCTTGAGGAGCGCGGTGCCCCGACCAAGGAGCTGATCGAGCTGTATCGAAGGCATGTAGCTGCCGTCCAGACCAAGGAGGTACTTGATTAACACTAAGAAACAGATGGGGCGAGGGGGAATGGGGGGTCATCAGCACCGGCAACATTGACATCAACTTCGACATGCTCAGCGCCGTGGGCGACATGATTATCACACCGGAGTGCGGATCCAGCGGTCCTCGCTTCGAGGCCTTCCAAGAGCTGGCCAAAGGAGCCAAGGCTCATGGTAGTTTGCTTGTGGCCCAGATGGTACGTATCGAATATCCTAATTTCAAGAAACTAAGCCTCGTTTCTTCGAAATGACTGCAGTCTCTCTCTTTCACCACATCCTCGACACGGTTCCCTTTCAGTTTGCGAGCAAGACTTTTATCTCTAATACGCACGCAGACACATCCGGGCCGTCAGCTGCTAGCAAAAATCCGGAAGGACACCATCTCAGCGTCCGCGATCCAGCACGGTGAGCCTACCTCCTATTATGTCATGCAACGAATTAGTAGAGCCCGAGGAGGTTATCGTAAGGCTGACAGACCCTCCAACCCGCAGCACCGAGTCCCGGATTTGGAGCCTACGCCGTGCCAAGGGAGGCGACAAAGGCTGAAATTGCGTCGGTGGTCGAGGGTTTTGCCTACGCGGCCGAGTACCTCCAGAAGGCCGGATTCGACGGCGTCAAGCTTCATGGCGCGCACGGCTACCTGATCTCGCAGTTCTTGTCCGAGCAGTCCAACAAGCGCACCGATGAGTACGGCGGCACGCTGGCGAACCGCATGCGCATCGTGGTGGAGATTGCGGAGGCGATCAAGGCACGCGTGCAGCCAGGTTTTATACTGGCTATCAAGATGAACTCTGTCGAGGTTAGTATTCGTACTTATTACTTACTTACTCCAACGTGCACGGCACGCTTTCGGAAACTCCTCGCTCATACTCGCTCAGATAGAGCAATGGCTAATTCGTTTGTGCATTAGTTTCAAGAGAAGGGCCTCGACCCCGAGGAGGTAAAGATTATCTGCGAGATGCTGCAGACTCTCGGCTTCGACTTCGTCGACCTGAGCGGAGGCAACCACGCCGACATCGGGTACGGCGGCGAGCGCGAGTCCACACGTAAGCGCGAGGCGTACTTCATCGATTTCGTCAAGGACATCGTGCCGCACCTGACCACAACAAAGAAGTTCCTGGTCGGTGGATTCCGCAGCGCGGCATCTATGGTCGAGGCCCTCGACTCGCTTGACGGCATCGCACTGGGCCGCCCGGCTGCGCAGGAGCCTCGCTTCCCAGTGGACCTTCTTGCCGGCAAGATCACAGGCGCTATCAAGTCTCCCAAGGAATTCGGCGATGACCTCTGGCTCAGCCTAGCGGCCGCCGGGTGCCAGATGCGCCAGGTCGGCCAGGGGCGGGAGCCGTTTGACAGTAGCAACGAGAAGGCCGCTGCGGCTTTCAAGGTGAAGTTGGACGAACATATCGCTAAGCTCATGGCCGATGGTGATAAACTGGAAATGAATGGCTTTCCGGATTTAACTGCTCCGGAAACGTCGGCGCGGGCTTACGGTGACGCATACTGATGATGGTCGCGAATCGCCTGCCGTGTGCAGGTGTTCGGAGGACACCGATAGACTTCGATGTTCCAGAGCGGTTGGGAATGCATTGCGAATAGATTGGAGTACTATACTTATAGTAGAAGGCGTTGAGATAGGAGGTAGTCATGTCAGAGCATTAGAAGAGACCTCGCCGTTATTATGCTACTAGGGGAGTAAATGTTTCCTCGAGAAAGTCTCAGGCTGCCAGGCTGATATATTCCAGGACAGTGGGCTACAAACAGCTGGTCGCAGCTGCCAAAGCTCCGCCTGGCCTCGGAGTCATTTGTAAGCAATGCCTTGGAACCCACTCTGACTTCAGCTGACGCCCCGTCTTGGCTGCCCACTGCTGCCTGCTGCCAACTGGCACTTCACCTCAACGACCCATCGGATAGACTGACGGCCAGCCGCTTTCTCGCTATCATTAGTACTGATCGGTAGTCATATTGCGAGCTGTTGCCTACGGTATTTCTGCCTGAAGTCGTGGCAAGGGTGCATGAACACTACCAGTACCCACCAACATGGAAACGAGTTCACGTCGTAAAGTAGGTGAAGATCGAGCCATCTGTCCCACGGCATTCAACGCAAGGCTAATGAGCCTGCAGGCTTGCGATCTCTGCTTCAAGAAGAAGATTAGATGTGACTCTCTGAAGCCTTCGTGCTCGAATTGTCTGCTGTATAAGGTGCCATGTGGCACCACCACCATACGAAGGCGAGCTGGCCAGGGCCAACCTCGGAAAGCGACTCCCGCAAATCCACCTGAGGAGGATAGCGACAAGTGAGCACATGCGATGTTTGCAGTCAGAGGATGTGAATAATGACCATCTTGTACTAGTAGTAGCCCCAAGCAAGACGACACTGTTCAAGATCGTCTGGCGCGCATTGAGGCCAAGGTGGACGACCTGAGGACTCGCAGTAGCGAGGGATCCGTCGCTCAGAGTCTCGCACATGAAGCAGCACACGATTGTGAGATCAACTTCTCTCTGGACGACGCACCGTTCGACACACCGTTCGATGCAGCGCTTGACACATCGAACTGGTCCGGGCCTAGGCGCCGCAATGAGCTCGCCGTCCCGCCCATGACCGAGGTCCTTCCCATAGTTGACCTCTACTTCCAATCCTATAACACGGCGATTCCATTGTACCACCAGCCTTCGTTCATGCGAATGCTGAATGAATACTACTCTGAAGCAGGAGAGAAATCGAGGGCCATCGGCGCTACCATCAATATTGTACTTGCCATGGGCTATCGCGCCCAGTTTGCCTTCCGCGAAGCTGCAGTCAACCAGTTCACCGACGCAAAAATCAAGCAGTGCATTGATAATGCACAGCTGGTGCTGGATGAGCTCATGGTGAGGGAGGAAGATACCCTTGGCCTCCAAGTCATATTGGGTCTTGTTAGTATGTCGTTAAGATTCACTTCTATGCTAATCTTTCTCTTTGAACGGCCATTTCCTCCCTCTGGTGTCGCTTAATATGGGATACTTCCCTGTTACCCGCGTTCCTCAGGGTATGTTCTCAAGATGTGATAACTGATCCCATTGCGAAGCTCTGTTCCAGACGCATGCAGACCAGAAAGCATCCGCTGTGCTCATCACCACCGCCGTGCGACTTGCTCATAGATTACAACTCGAATCGAAGTCTACCCTGGTAGACTTCCCGCCAGACGAAGCGCGTCAAAGGTCGAACGTCTTTTGGATATGCTATTGGCTGGACAAGGCAAGCAGCAATGCTGTCACTCCGTTACCATGGCCTGCCAGCTAACCTACACCAGGATGTAAGCCTTCGCACGGCGACTCCCTCGATGCAGCTCGACTGCGATATCGACTTGGACCTCCCCGGAACGGAATTCAGTGACGCCACCAGCTATCTGCAAAGTAACGATGGGCTTTCCCACCTCCACTACCTCCGTGCTAGGGTTCACCTTGCTCATATCGAGGGGAGAATATATGACACTCTTTTCAGCAACAGGTCGAGGAAGCAAACCCCAGAAGTTCGTCAGCAAACTGTCATATACCTCGACGGACTCCTGAACGGCTGGCTTCAGACGATCCCAGCACCACTGCAGCTGGGGCACATTACAAAGAATCTCAAAGAGGCCCCGCTCCTTCACATGACGGCCCTGTATCAGACGTACCTCATATGTCTTGTGATGACGCATGGCCTATACTCGCTTCAAGCCCCCTGGCTGAAGACCCTCGGCGGACTTGGAAACTATCTGCTTCGCAAATTCAACACTCAGACGCAGCTTACTCTGGATCTTCACCCACCGCCCATGCCACAGCCATGGCAACGCTGCGTGACGACTAGTCGAGAAAGCCTTCAGGTACTGGACAGTCAGAGCTATGGTGGCTGCAATGTTTGGTAGGCACCCCGTCAAGCCTCAATCCCTCCGCGCTGGCCCCTGCTAATATTGAGCTGCTCAGGCTTAGCTCTTGCGCCTACTTCTCGGCACTGGTATTCTTGATGGCCAACCTGTCGTACTTCCCGGCGCACGAGTTGGCTGAGCAGGACCGGAAACTCGCCAAATCCTCGTTGGCCCAGCTGGAAAAGTACTTCGATCGAAAGGGCTTCGAGTCTTACAGACACCTGAAAACCGTGCTCCACGGCTTGGAGAGCATGGCGACAGCAGGCGCCAACCGTGCTACCAACTTCACGCCTTGGCAATATCCAGAGCCAACTATGTCAGTGGATTTTGCTGCCTATGCACCGGCACAAGCTGAAATATTTGACACCGTCCTTGGGCCTAGCTCTGTAAGTCAAAGACTGCTATCCGATGTCTGGTATGAATGTGAACACCAACCCAATTATTTCACATCTAGGATCATCAACCCGTGACCTCGGCCTTTGAGCCTACATGGCTTCAAGGCTCCTTCGATATTGATTTTGCGGATTTCGACTTCTCAGACAACCCTGGGAATCCACCGTTTGGTGGAACATTCGGCCGGTACTGATTCAGATAGGCCATTGACTTAATGGTATTGCTGTGACAGTGCACGCTGCTTCCGAGAGCGTCACTCAGCGGGGGATGGATCAGAGGTCGAGAAGTGCCCCTGGCTTGAATGCTGATTTTCTGCCACCTGGGACTGCTGGACTACCCCCGAGCGCGGAACATCTGGAGAGGGTTTGGCCGCCTGTCCACTATAAGGCAAACTAACAGGCGAAGCAAGCATATACGACCATAGAATCAGGAGAACTTGGCATCCCGTCCGCTCTGCCTTAGATAAGCCTCATACCGGAGGTTCGTCTGCTGGGGTGGAGCGGACAGCGGTCGACATCGCTGACTAAGATCCACGTGACTCACGTGACTGACGTGCCTGCCAGAAAAGGCTGCTCGACCCGATTCTGGAAACCGCATTTCATTTGGGCGTCGGGTTCGCTCACAGCCAGTCTGCTCCCACCTTCGCGCAATCCGTTTTGCTTCCATGTGAGTTATTCAGTGCCCGTACCCTCCAGCCACACACCCCCTTCATATTGTATACACACTGCACCGGTGATGTTGGCTCGCCGTGCATTAGGCGAAGCAGGCCTCCATGCAGGCAGGTCTCGATGCCAGTCACCGTCGCGTACATTTATTTCCAGCTCGCGGGCGCTCTTCCCTTGCGCTCTTCCTCATTCACTTCCTCATTGACTTCCTCATTCACTTTCCTCATTCACTTCCTCATTCACTTCCTCATTCACTTCCTCATTCACTTCCTCATTGACTTCCTCATTCACTTCCTCATTCACTTCCTCATTCACTTCCTCATTCACTTCCTCATTCACTTCCTCATTCACTTCCTCATTCACTTCCTCATTCACTTCCTCATTCACTTCCTCATTCACTTCCTCATTCACTTCCTCATTCACTTCCTCATTCACTTTTCTCCATCACACTCGACGAGACAACGTGGTAACGATGACTACCAGTGATAGCGGCCGGGCAGCGCCCCTCGGGCCTTTCGCAACGGGCGACCCAGTTGCCCGCTTGCTCGCGAAGAACTTGGAGTCCCAGAAGAAAGAAAGCCTCCAGAATATGGCAAGTTTCCGGGCGAAGCCCTTGACCGATATGCGAACCGTTGCAGCGAAGACCGAATCAGAGCGAGTTCGGTTGCGCGATGCTTGGACACTGTATGCTACTCTTACCCGCGGTCGCACAAGAGAAGCGCACTAATCATCTATGCAGGTATTTCGCAGAGGTCCACCAGCTCAATGCCAACGAAATCTGGATCTAGATCTGCAAAGGCGTCGATATTTCGTGGTACATTCGGGACTTCTTCCTATCCTATGTCAACAACTCCGTGCGCGACCGACCATGCCTCGGCCCCGACGAATCTCTCCAGGTGTGAGCCATCAACTCAGCCATCACTATCGACGGGATGTGGAGATCCCTGATTGGGATGGCTGAGGCTGGCATCCTGCAGGACAGAAGGCATGCAGACCCGACCAATGAGAACAAGTGGACACTGCGTCAATATCGCTATGGGCGCGGACACGGGCCTATCTACAAGATAAGCAAGGTGAGTGCCATACCCGGCCCAGATGCGATGCCCCGCCCCCCAGAAGTTGGATCACCTCACTGACGCGCCATCTCATAGTGGATCGAGGAGGAGCTGCCGGACCTCGTGGACCTGAACTGCAAACAGTCTTTCGAGAAGAAAGAGATGACGCCCGAAGACATCATGGTGCTGCTCGGCACATTCTGGACGCAGGCAAGGCATATCCCTTGCCTCCCACAGACACGAGTAACCTTCCACTGTGCCATTCTCATCGCAGGGATTGACGGATTCCGACCCGGCGAGGTCATGAATCTAAAGTACCGCCAGGTCGCCTTTGAGCTTGTGCGGGATCCGCGGGACCCTTTGAAGCAAAGGTTGGTTGCGACTATTACTATTTGGCATAATAAACAATTAAAGAAGACCATCAAGCGAAGCCAGTATAAAGTGTAAATTTTGCTGTTATGAGCGTGTCTTAACTCCGTAACTGACCTCTACAGGTTTTCGTTCTGTGTTACTACTATCCCTTATAAACCGATCTGCCTGGTCAGCTTGCTACTGGCTCAGGCGATCGCTAATCAGGCCTTCAAAGCAGATTTCAAATCTCTCGCTGATATCTTGGAACGGCCTAACCTTGGCCAGATAGATTCCCTCCCTTTATCCTGGCCCGTTGGTATAGAAGATAAGGAAATTGTACCCATTCACTATTCGACTTATCTGGACCTCTGGCATCGCACGCTACTTGTTGCCGGGCTGTGCGACGATACATAACGTCCCTACTCGCTCCGTGTTGGCGCTGGAGGTCGATTATCTGGTAAGCCATCCCAGTTCTTGCCGCTGGCCCAGCTAACCCGGGCACCGCAGGTAGTCTCGAGGAGCCGGTACAGAACTACGTGATGGGCAACACGAAAGACGTATTCCTTAGAAGCTACCAGCACGGGCGCGTCACCCACGACTTGGTCGCGACAGCTTTTGGCAGAAGCATAGCCGGAGATGTCGCCGACCTCTTTAAGTCTCTGTGGCGCTTATTTCTATAGTGCGACCCCGATGCTCCCCTTTATCTTACAGAAGCAGATATCGAAGCGTTCGAGAGCCGCCAGGATCTTACCGATCTCTGTGCCGCGTATCGCGATGCCGTGGCACGTACTCCGTCCGATGACAAGGATGCTAAGTGCATAGCGGGCAAGATTACATGGATCAGGAAGACCCTGGCCAAGGAACAGCTGCGCAAGATGAGAAACGACTATTTCGAAAGGACTGACAGGGTTCGGGCGCTGGCGAAGTAACTACACGCGCTGCGGCCCACGGCACCAACCCGTTCAAGACTTTCGATCCCAAGGGCGCCTTGGTCGCTGAAGCAATCGGTCAATTCGTACAGCAGTTGGATACCACTGGGTATGAAGAAGGTGCTGTCAAACTTGTTCAGTCATATCTGGCCCACCTTCAGCGACGTCCTGCCGAGGTTACTGCACTGCTCAATTCAGCAGTAAGCAACGCAGAGACGAATCATCACAATAAGGCCCCTCGTATAATACTAATAGACAGCAAGCACCCGCATAGGTGTCTCTTCGGTTGTGGTACGTTCAGAAACCGCGGAAAATTTTACCAAGCACAACACCGGGCACTTCAACAAGGGGGCTTTCGATCGACCTTATCCCCTGTCCAGAATGCCGCCGCCTAGGAGATGGAGAGCACACCGTCAATGGACCGATGCAGTGGAGCAGCCACGTCGAAACAATCCACGGACGAGAGCATGCCCCCAACCTGCCTGCCGGCCTAACTACCAGGGCTGACGCGTGGTGGATGAGAGACGTGCGTCAAGACGTGCTTGGCGACAACTCTACATCCACTGGTCAGACGGGGTGCTGTCTCATTCGTGGCGACGTGTTCAAGAACGCGGGGCCTTTGCAAAACATTTCAAAGTATTGTATGTGGCGAAAGAAAAACCGTTCGACACCCCGTTCAAATGTCCCGAGTGCGTACGTCAACAAGTCGAGCCTAGGTGCTTTGAAAATGCCAACCCTAAGGTGGGAGAAATCTCCTGATGACTCGACTATTCAGTGAACCCCGGTTCAGACCAAGCCCCAGCATCTGAGTGTCTTCTAGTTGACAGAAGCCTCTATCGTCCTTTGTGTTGACTTACCTCAGACATGAACCCTATAGAACCCTTTAGCCTTATGTGTTAGACGGCTCGTCACACAGATGCCCCAGCACCGATGGGTCATCATGCTGCCTTGGCCTTCTGTATATATTTTTCTGTGGCCCCGTTCCACAACATGCGGGCCTTTGTGCCATCTGGCGCCGTGCGCTCCCAACTGCCCTTGTTGGACCGCAGGTACTCTCGAAGGCTGTTGACGAGCTTCCCATCGCTTGTGTCGAAGGGGACTTCGCGGCGTGAGAGGAGGTTGGCTATCTCTCCGGCGACCAGGGGCGTGGCTGAGAAGGTTAGCCACATGTGCGGTGATAGGCAGACCATGGTTTTGGGGTTTGATGGTTGCGCGAGCAGTTGCGTTATGACGATCTGATGGGGGCATACTTACAAAAAGATGTGCCACTTTCCTTCTCTAGTATTGAGCCGTCTTTCGAGTAGCACGATATATCCTTGCCGGTGGCATAAAGCCAAAGGTGGTCGCCTCTTTGCGACCCTGGCATTATGATACCATTGGCATCCGCATTACCTGCATTGATAATAGGTAGATTGGTCCCTTCAAGGACCTGCGGCACCACGTCGATGTTGTGGCGGCCCTCCTTCAAGGCATGATTCCCGGCCGCGGCGACAAAGGGCACGTCCATATCAATGATCTTTTTGATCCATTATCTTAGAAGTTGCTCCCACATCATGTTTGGCCGTTTTGGATCCACTCCCATAGCCAAAACGACCACGCTTTTCTTGCGACGTTCGGAGTTTTTCAGTAAATCGTTGATGACTTCGATTACCGCTTGTAAAATATCACTTAGGGTAAGGGGGTCACCCATCCTCACTGCGACCAGGGTAGCTTTTTTGGCAACACCGAATCTCGTGCCCACCGCCTTCCCCGCAACGCAGGTAGAATGTGAGTGAGCATCTGGATCGTGATGGGCAGCCACGTGTTGTGCATTTGCTCTTGGAGTCAATATGGGGATAACTTTGGTAAATTCCTGTAGGTCGTTAGCTTGTTCTTTCTAAGAGTGTGCAGGTCGCGGTGGGCGACGAGAACAAGTGGGTTCGAATCCTGCTATGGCCCCCTTCTGACCCGGCTTGTGCCAGTCGACAACCAGCACACGACAGTGGAGAGGCCCCTTATCGCAGAGCCCGATAGCCACACAGCTTGTCTCCATAATACCCACTCCTGCGAGGTTTTTCCCCTTGTGGTTTCCCTCGCCAGCAGATAACAAATACTTATTTCACCCACCAATGCGACATATATCGAACGGCTACTGGAACGATGTGTGTACCAGAGGACTGAGGTTCACTGGGTCGCTTTGTCACTGGATAGGAGGTTTTTCTGACGGAATCGTGCTTGGGTATTGACTAAAACCATCTGGTCACTCCAGGTTGGTACCGCTACAGCGAGGATAGGCTCGTGCGCGGATCTAAATGTATCTAGACTGACACCTCTACAACCTTGCGATGCAATGGCTCTGGGAGGCGTGGTTTGCCCTATGGAGGGACTGCACCCACGATAAATACATACAAACATACATACAAACAGTGTGCAGGTCCATGACAGGTCGAGTGTACGAATGAGGATATGTTTGTTTGTTTTGTATTTAACGTGGCGGGTAGCTCCTCAGTAGTGCAGACCACGCCTCCCAGAGCCTCTGCATCGCAGGGTTGTGGAGGGCCTCAAGAAAATAAGTACAATCAGTCCCGTTCACAGGCCCATCCCCGTTGTTGCGGCGGTATGACCTTGGGGTCATCCATCTGGTCCTTCAGGAACAGCTATCTATCGGAGACAGATTGTTGAAAAGACCCTGCTCTTCTCCACGAATTTTGCCCAAACTATGCTCCTCTTTCTCGAGTATTATAAACAGGCTGTTCTAGGCGAGTACCTAGGCAATAACCGGTTTTTCCCCAGCCTCTTACAAAAAAAAATGTGTTATGGTGTTTTTTTTTACCATAGCTGCAGTGGTTATTCGAGTCTGTATGCCCAAAATATTCGTGGTATCTGGCAAAGTCGCTATGTCTAGATCTGCCGCTAGAAGTCTGTGTAGAGTGCTCCACTCAAAAGATATAAGGCCTCTTTCAGTTACTATATGTGAGTATACTTCTTGATATCTAGGTTCTGATTGGTCTTTCTACCATTAATTGAACTCTTTCTTGCTCTTTTTTTTGAGATCTCTCTTGACCCATGAGATTATGGGAAGGTTTGTTATGTCTGTTTCTTGCATGGTACCCTCTTTTGCTAGTGTGTCAGCAGCTTCGTTGCCATCAATATCTCTGTGTCCAGGAATCCACTTGACGGTCATTCCAGGAGTGTGTGCTGTGGCAAGTTCTTGAAATCGTAGAAAAATGTTCTGTGATGTCTCGGGTGGAGTCCCATTGAGCCCATCTACTACTGACGTGTTGTCCAGGCAGACATATAGCTGTTTTCCTGCACGGAAAGGAAGTCGTGCTCATCGAAGCGCGTGACACACTCTTGGGCGAGCCGTATGGCGCAATGGTCAAATGCGCCTGGTTGTGTTCTCGTTTGTGCGGTGGGCGACGAGAATAAGTGGGTTCGAATCTTGCTACGGCCCCCTTCTGACCCGGCTTGTGCGAGTCGACAACCAGCACACGGCAGTGGAGAGGGCTTCTTATCGCAGAGCCCGATAGCCAAAGGCTTGTCTCTATAACACCCACTCCTGCGAGGTTTTTCCCCTTGTGGTTTCCCTCATCAGCAGATAACAAACACCTATTCTACCTATCAATGCGACATATATCGAACGGCTACTGGGACGATATGTACACCAGAGGACTGAGGTCCACTGGGTCGCTTTGTCACTAGACAGGAGGTTTTTCTGACGGAATCGTGCTTGGGTATTGACTAAAACTATCTGGACACTCCAGGTTGGTACCGCTACAGCGAGGATGGGCTCGTGCGCGGATCTGAATGTATCTAGACTGACACCTCTACAACCTTGTGATGCAATGGCTCTGCGAGGCGTGGTTTGCCCTGTTGAGGGACTGCACCCACGATAAACTCAATCAATCAATCAATCAATAATGAAATGGAACCCAAGTCTATTGAAATGTAACTCCCCAGCCACACGAGCTGCCACATTTGATGTACCTCCCCTTAACTATGTACGAAACAACTATTAAGTATTCCTTTCACCAAGGCCTATTAGGATACTTCTTGTGTAACCTCTGGAACCCCCGCACAATTCTTTGCAGCTTTGGAAGCACAACCTTTCCTTCGTAGTAGCCTAGGTCTCTGAACTCCCATATGGGTACCGCCCGCTTGGTGTTGATCGCATACTCGAGCCGTGGGCCAAAACCGCCGATGTGGCTTCCTTGGAGCTTGTCGAATTTAGTCAAGGCATCAGGCTTCTTCAACTCCTCCATACTCTCGACCCACTCCTTCACATTCAGTGTTTCGACTTGTGTGAAGGTTTCAACGCTATACTCAGCCGTCTCCAGTATCATGTCTTTCACATCGTCCTCTAAATCTTCGATCTTCTTCTCGGGGAACCGCTTCGAGAATTCCTTGAGATACGATTGGTACTTTAGTTCTACCTTGTCGTCTCGTTTCGTGGTCTCTGGGTTGACATGCATCTGCCAAAACTGGGACTCCAGTTTCCTGTTTGGCACCGGATCAGACTCGCTGCCAGAGCAGTACTCTTTGTCCTGCCTGGCACCAGTATAAGTCGACAGCCTAGAGTAGGCTCAGGGTGTGTTCCACTTACTCGACTCCTTTGATTCGATCCTCTCCCTCACCACTGTTTTTGTAGCACGCGAGATGGTTGATGAGATCCCAAAGACCTCCTGGAATCCTCTCCTTGACCTGCTCGTAAATCGTGGACCAGTCAGTCCGCGGCATGACAGCTAATAGCGCTTTCGCGCCTAGGTTACCTGCGTCGCCTAGCAAGGGCTGTGCCGACTTTGCGTTGGATAGAACAATCGATAGAAACCCCAGAACATCTTGCGTGACCCATGCAAGTGGGTCGTCGCGGGCAGTTGATGCACCAGACAGTCTTTGGAGATAATCGGACTTGAGGAACCAGTCCTTTGTGACAAGGACGTGGTACTTCCGCCAGTAATCGCCCTTTCCCCAAACTACCAGGGCGTCTCGCTCGCCGGCAACCGTGTCTGCGAGTATATCTTGGATGCCCTCTAGCATCATCGGACCTGTGGCTTGTGCTTCCCATGTCCACACGTCGCGTTGCACATACTTCTTCCACGGGTTGCACGGAGAATCTTCAAGCTCGAAGTCGGACTTGATATAATCAGCCGCTGCCCAGGCACGCCAATGGAGAACTCAACTTGCCGAATCTGATTGTATGCGTTCCATATCAGACAGTATCTGCTTCATGGGCTTGTCGAGGAGGTCTGCGTCCGGCTTGGAGATCAGGAGGTCGTATTCAAATTGTATGAAGGCGCCTTCGAGCGGAGTAGTGTCGACGCCAAGAAACCATCCGTCGCCCGAATGATCTTTGATTTTGTGGCCCTTCAGCAGCTCCTTTTGCTTCGGGGAGCACTTGGTGTTGATGAGCAAGGCACCGGGACTTTCCAGCTCGAACCCGATCTTCGGCATGAGATCAACATCGACTGCAGTCGTGACTGCAACGCCAGACGCAATGAGAATGAACGCGAAGAGAGACGGAGCCATGTTCCAAGAGGAACCACTTCTCGGAGATTTGTGTCGAGAAGTCGGGAATGTCGGGCACTGGGGGACAACAAGATGCAAATGCGATGAAGTAGTTTTGGAAGGCTTCCGCTATTTATGCATCACAAAGAGTGATGTCGCCGAAGCGTTCCAACGTGGCCTGTTAATATACCATGTTGTAGTCTATAAGAGGGGTATTTGTTTTTACTTCTGAACTTGGCTTCACATTATAATTATTTACCATGCTTAGACCTTAGCGCCCCGGGGTTGGCGAAGGGAATTGTGGAACTATACTGTTGGGGCGACCGTGGCCACAAGGGCCGATGTCCGTCTGCTCCATTGTAATTCCCCCCAAGATAATAGTCACGGATGAGCCGAGCTCCGTCAAGCTCTACAAGTATCCAGGATGGTAATGATTAGCGGCTCCGCATGTATCTGCAATGGTAATAGGTAGAACTTTACGCGATAGGAACTTTTTCATAATAAGAACGGGTATGTATAAGCATGGGAATTACCGGCATCATATTGGATTCAGACCCTCGAACCGCTAACCATTACCATCCTTACTATGTACCTCTATTTGTGACAGCAGGAGGCAAATCCTCTTGGCCCACCAGGTCCACTGCTCGATATAGAACAGGAACTACACTGGGCCACCCGGGCAGATTCAACTTGGACAATACATCCTTTTGCACGTTTACTTCGGGCAAACAGATCAGGATTCGAGGGTACAAGGGAACTGCACCACTTGTGCCTTCGTGGTAACGCTTCCACAAAAGTGGCAAGTCACATGGGTGGTTGGCGGTTGGTCTGTCTTCTGGGAGGTGCTTGGATTCAGTCAGGATGGGAGCGGAGCCCATCCATGGAGTCACTACTATATTGAACTAAAACATCCCAGTGTATTGATCCAAACACGGGCCCAGGATAACACATAAGTTAATTTTGGATATGCTCATACGTCAGACTAGACAACCAAGGTATGGAATATGGGCGCCAGGAACTCGGTGAGTCTGTACTTGTCATAGTGAGCTCAGGCTGCCATGTTAAACCCGGTCAAAGGTCCTGCTTTAGGACTTAGAGCCTTCTGACTGGTATTCATTATCTTGGTATCTCGTTGTCTTGTAATACCGGTCGGGGATTCCGTTCTAAAATTGTAGATCTATTATAAAATATCCCTGCATTGTTAAACTAGGTAAAAGTTCCCAATCCACAGATGGACTGCGCTGGACGAAACAGGGCTCTTGTACGCAATTAGGTTCGAATCCTTTCACCGGTGGCCAGTGGGGCTTGCGCACTTCCACCATCTGGAACTTGCTGGCCCACACTGACATGTTTATATCTAGCTACCTTAACGAACCAAGTTGAGGCTTCTAATTAGGGATTCTAACCTTGCTACAGGTAACAAGGATGGTAATAGGTAGCGCGACGCTATATAGGTCCGTACTCTTTCTGCTAGAATATCAGGGGATATACATGAAGGGGGACTTCTATCATGATCAACAACATGATCAACAACATAATCAACAGTACTGAAGCATAAAAATAGGCTTTATCCAGTACGGACCTAAAGATCCCTGGGTAGTCGCGCTATCTATTAACCTCCTTGTTACCTGTACATGTTTCGATCCTTCTCGAGCCCGAGTCGAGGTTCCCGATCCGGGACTCAGAACCTGCTATCAACTACTGAAACCTTGACCGAGAAAACGTGTATATTCGCCACAGCAAATAGCGGGGACACTGCGAAGTCCATAAGAGTGACGCCCGCCGCCGGACTTGTGCAATACCAACATAAACATCGACCATTTTCCCTTTACATATTCCGGTCCCATCCGGTCTTCATCTCAACCACATCATACCAATACTACTTTCAACCTTCAACCTTCAACCTTCAACCTTCAACCATCTGACACTGTCATATCGCGCCTCACCGCCGCAACCATGAAGGGCATCGTTCTCGTCACACTGCTTAGCGCCGCTTCGGCTGCTGTCTTGTCGCATGACTCGAAGCAGAAGGTGCGTTAGATCGGAGTCGCAGTACTACTCTGTCGGCGCTATCCCCGTACCCTGTGCGTTCATGAATTATATGAAACTCCCAGCTAACGCAACGTTATAGCGACACCCCGCAGTGTCGTCTGCGTCACCCCTTGTCGTACCCCGAGAAGGCGGCGATGGCGACGGCGGCGGCGACGGCGGCGGTGACGGGGGTTCGAGCAGGGGCGGAAGCTCAAGCTACGCCGGCACATTAACAGGCTCAGAGGGACCAGCCGATAATTTGAAATGTAGTGCAGACAAACAGGAGTGTGATCACCATGACAAATGTACCGAGGAGTGCGGAGCGGACTGGGTCTGCGGTGACGACGACAAATGCATGTGGGATCCGAATGTACAAACCTCTGGTGCTAGCCGAGGCCACAATATTCTTGGGTTCACTTGGAAGAGAGATGATTCCGATGTTAAGGAATAAGAAGATGGAGCTTCTTCCCCATGCTCTACTCCCAACCACGCTCGCTTTTTGAACTTGGAGCTGTACATTAGACATAGAATTGGACCGGATCGCGACACTCATTCATAGATGGACTTGCATATTATACACTCATTCAGAATATGCGCCGTTCGGGGAAGGAACAGATGGGGTTGATTAGATGAACGAGTATGCTTCTCCGCCACATGTACTCTTTCTTTTGGACTATATTGAGCTTTCTATGATTTGTTACTGATGTCTTGGTTGGTATACTCACCATAGCCATGGCTGATAAATGTGTGACTATCATGCCATCTAGAAACTGCTTCAGAGTTGTGCTAGAGAAGTTGCGTTCGGATATATTCCTGCAGTTTGTGCAAAGTATTACACAGGACAGCCCGACGACCCGAACAGCTACATTTACCCCACATCTTCTCTTATTGATGGGCAAAATTCGTGGAGAAGAGCAAGTTCTTTTCAACAATCTGCCCCCGATAGATAGCCTTCCTTGAAGGACCAGATGGATGACCCCAAGGTCATACCGCCGCAACAACGGGGATGGGCCCGTGAGCGGGACTGACTGTACTTATTATCTTGAGACCTCCACAACCCTGCGATGCAGAGGCTCTGGGAGGCGTGGTTTGCACTACTGAGGAGCTACCCCCACGTTAAATACAAAACAAACAAACATCTTCTCTTATTGTGATCATCCAACCACTCTTACAACCTTCCGCGACCACTCGTTTGTCATAATACAGAGCACTTGCACTACTCACGTGGCCTATGTCAATCCGTGCAATAGTTATCAGACAATTGCGTCCATCATGCGACAAGGAACCAAACCTGGGCCATTTTGCAGATTGGTTATAAGAGTAAACGTAAACCAATAACGGCAGTCCAAAATCAGTTGATAAATCGCGAGGTACGGCAGGATGCACAATGTATACCTCGTGAACAGACATGGCGTACCGTCGTTGATGGTACCTCTGAACTGGGAATGGCGGTGGTTGTTGATGATTAGGTTAGCCTTGGCTGTGGGCAGGGACAAGGCGACTCGTGCCCCGCACCAAGATCCCAGTCACGGATCAGGCGGGAGCTTTGACGATCCCGCACTGCCCACTTATACCCGTACTTGCTCTTTCGCCTAATGTGCTGGGGCACGCTAGATTAGGATTCTGCGGCCGGAACCTTTCTTGTGGCTGATTGATCTGCGGCCAACGCTGATTTCTTGAGCAACGGCCTTGTGTTCCCAATCACGCCATGGTCTCGCCAGGTCGGTAAAGACTACCTCGTCTGGTCCCCATATGTAGGAAAGGACCGCGACGAAGGAAGCTCGTCGGAGGGGAGGTCAAATGAGCCGAGAATATCTCCTATATCCCCACGCTCGGTTGTTAGTAATGCGGCCCGAACTCGACACATACCATTTTGTTCCTATTTCCGCGGCCAAAAGGGACCTGCTAATATACAGCAGAAATGGCGTCCGAAGCTCCGACCTCCGATCCAGATCGCCATTCACCATGTGCGACAAGGGCGGTCCCCATCTTGCTCTAGGCGTACTGTGTTATGTAACGTATGTTTGAATTTGACAACATCTAACACCGATGTATTGTTCTTCCCTTTCCTCTTTTTTTCCCAGAGGACAGGATTCTATGATGTCGGTCCTCTGGGTAGGTCAGATGCCCTGTGCGTTTCCGCCCACCTGGAGATTATTCCCGGTGTCTATCTCCGGCCCCTATCTAACAGGCACGTACCTAACAACAACCGCCCAGCTCCGCTGCCTTGCAATTGACGTAAACAATGTTTCCGATAAACCTGACAAAATGTCACCCGGCCGAAAAGAAACTTTGGAAATATACATCTGAGCAAGACCAGCGTGGGCCGATGGGGGTTGGCATGTCGAGCAAGTGGCTGCTACTATCTGCAGCCTGCTCTCACGCAGAAGAGCCTGATTGGGAAGGCCTGCAGATCTCGTGACCGTCGTAGCCTCGTCAAGGACGGCTAAAATGAGGGGCAGTGCCGCCTTTTCCGGGGTGGAATCACCACCAAAGACTTCCCAGGAACAGATACACACTAGACATACCTAGACGGACAGCCCCCCGAGCACTACATCGATTGTCTTGTATCACACATTATCTACCAACTTGGAACGATGTTATCTCGCTATCAACCCTCGCTTCTCGGCCTCGCCACCTAACGGACCTGACCCTTCTGCATATTGGCAACAGCGTAATCACTGTCTTCCAAATATCTCTCGTCTCTTCATCACGGCATAACTTCTTCACCGTGCGTTTACTTAAACTCGAAAATGACGGAAGCATTCGCCTTACTAAAGACCTGGTGAACAGCATACCTCCATATGCCATATTTTCGCACACCTGGGGCGACGACGAGGACGAGGTTACTTTTCATGACATCAGAGAAGGAACGGGAAGGAGCAAACGCGGGTATCAGATGGTCGAGTTTTGCTGCAAACAGGCTGCCCAGGACAACTGGGATTACTCCTGGGTGGATACTTGCTGTATCGACAAATCCAACAGCACCGAACTCAATGAAGCTATCAACTCCATGTTCCGCTATTACCAAGATGCGACAAAATGCTACATTTATCTGTCCGATGTCTCCAAGACTGTCAGTCTACAAGTCGATGAACTGTCACGGCCAGTGTGGAAGTCGGGTTTCCGAAATAGCCGATGGTTTACATGGGGCTGGACACTGCAAGAGCTAATCGCACCGTCGTCAGTGGAGTTCTTCGGATCAGACAATCAGCGACTAGGCGACAAGGCAATTTATCGAGCTCCAAGGCCGGCTTGAAGGCGGTGAATTCTGTATTCAGACAGAAGATCAAGCAATCTACCTGCCTCCAGGCTACATTCATAGTACTTACACTCTCCGGGGTGGCTTCACTCCGGGCATCGAATTTAGCACAGTCGAGTGCTTGGAGTCAGGAGCGGCGATTTTGGATCTGAACTCGCAGGGGTTCAGGCTTTGTGGGAATAATTATCATCCTTTTATTGAGGCTATTACTATAAGAATCCGCTCTGAAAACCTAGACCGGCAAGAAAAAGCCCTGGAGCTCTTATGCCCAAGGTACAAGAAAGTCGTAAGCTCAAGCCGAGAATTCTGTTCAAGGTCCTAAAGGAGCTGTCGAAGTCCTGTTCGAAATTCGCCAAGGTATAGGCGAAGCATTAATGTACTTCTCGAGTAGTTCGCTAGTCGAAGGGGTTATTAAGGGGTGTGATTGAATCTGCAGACTGCTTTTTCTGGAGGCGGAACCATAGGGTTGCCCTTAGGTGGCGTCAGTGTGCGGTGCGTTTAAGCAAATTGTTGACTTGTATCCGATGTCCTAAAGGAGGGACATTGCTACTTTGGAAGCTAAATTCGCAGGTCTCATATTCGGCGAGGTCAGGATCGAGACGGAGAATATCGTAGCCTTGGTGGCCTACACGTCTAGAATAATTCCTACTCTGGTGCTGATTTCGATCGATAGATCTGTCTCTTATACTCACCAGTTGTGGCCAGAGCCTTTGCCTTCCCAGTCCGAGAGAATGAGGCGGTTGGTTTCCGATCTTGTGGATTATGGCGCTTGGGAAGGATGAATCGCCATTGGTATCGGTTGGCACATCCCGTCGTTTCTTGCGAGCTGGTTTGTCTATAGCGGCAGTCACAGAAGGCCGGTCGTCGTGAGCAGGTACATCGGAGTATCGCAATCCTGGACCGTTGTACTTCCGGCTGCGTTGGTAGAAATGGCTGAGGGCATACCTGAACGTCGCTTTGTGATTGACATTCCCCATACCGAGTACCTCAAACAGCTCTTTCTCGTGGGAGGTGACGAGGGGGTGGCCGTTGACATCTTATTCGCGTAGACGAGTCTCGACTTATGGGGGAAGATTAAACGAGGCTGCGTGCCTCCTCTAGCCTCGCTTTTGGAAGTAGAGCCTCTTATTGAAACAAGCAAGTGCACACATATCCAGATTAAAAGCCCCTATTGTGATAGGTAAACCTGCAATAAGTTAAGAGATGAGTGCACAGTAAAATCGTAATAGGGGTTGAGGATGAATCGGGAGTAGTGAATTGTAAGTCACAACAGTTCATTGGATGCTATCTACGCGACCGTTACGAATAACATATAGTCCCTTTCTTTTGCGAAACCATCAGCACGCCTCCCACTTAGAGAAGCTAGATCCCACGTGGATATTGCAATTCCTTCCCATTCTAGCAACGACTAGTCGATCAGCCGTATGAAGTATAAAGCCGTGTCTTGCCACCATATCCGAGACCACATATGTAATGAGTGCTTCGTTGACCCCACCCCATATCCTAACGAGTGCAGTTAGGGCAAGTGACTCTCTCCTACATGGACTTCCAGTCCTGGATGAAGTCAACCAGAGTTTCCAGCGCCCGCCGTTGTATGTCAGTCCACTCGCTGCCAGTGGGAGAGGATTCGTCGTGTGGCATCCACCAGCGCTGGCGCGTTGCCAACGGTTGGCTGACGGTATTGGTATACAAGCGCGAGACCATCCAGCTTGCCTCGTCACATCCACGGCCGTTTAGCTCAGGCATGATCTGATCAAATGACTGCTGCTGCTTTTCACAGGCGAGAAGAAGGGAGGCAAGGACTTGGTATTTCTTCGTAACAGGTTCGATCGAGGCATGGAACTGTTCGATAACAGCCCTGATGTTCTGCATCATCGTATTGATATTGAAGTCTTTGTCGCCCAGGGTGTCTCAAGTGATATCGAGCCAGTTAATCAAAGCTTTATAGTTTTGGAATTGACGCTTCAGATTGTAGGGTTGAAGAAGGCCGACACACTCGCATATACCGCATTTGCCAAAGTCCTGAACGTTAGATTAATGTTAGAATGCTATCGTTGTCGCAAGTACCATGGATGTCGCCTTGCCTCAAGGCAACAATCACAAGGCTTTCCTAGAGCCATCGCGGATTGGATTGCTTCACCCATATGGCATATTGAGAGATGTTGGTCTTTGGGCATCGATTGCAGCTCTGTAACGTGGCGACCCGCATAGCAGCCGGACGGAAGTCGGTTGACGATTGGAAGCTTGCCATTGTCAGGGTGTTGGAGTGTATACGTTGTAATAGATTGGGGCCTGTAGGACTGGAAGTTCAATCCAAAGTGAAGGTCTGATTGATGGGCGCCCGTATGATGTGCTGGTTGTTGGCTTGATGAGGTCAAGTGGATGAAGCTGCGCCAGCTATGTGGATACAGGGATCCCGGTACCTGCCCATAGCACCCAGCAACAGGTGCCTGGGGATGTAGGTACCAACCCCCTGTGTTCATTTAGATAAGTACCTCCTCACATGAACCCACAGACTAGGGTGGTGGCGTCGCCACGGCAAGCCACACACTGCCACAATAATTGATGCACTCATGTGCTAGCCAGTAAATCCAGTATGTGGGGCAGGGGTCCTGCCTCCCCACGTCAGGCAGATCCCTCAGCCTTGCCGACGCCTATTTTTCCCCACCCACACCCACGCCCAGTCACGTACATTGAACACTGCGCCAATACAATGACCAATCAAGCTACCGCAAGTTGTGGCTGTGTGTGCGTCCTACCCTACCATGCAGAAGCGCCCCCAAGGACCGGTCAGCCGAGACTGCGGAATTACCAAAGGTTGTTGGATAACAGGGGTCATGAAGATGAGCCGAGTCCGACCGGAAAACCCACGGTACGGCGGAGATGGCAAACACCAAACTGGAAACGGATCAGGGCACCTGAACAGACAGAACAGAAACAACACTCTGCGATGCAATACACCAATAATCACCCTCTATTCACTGAACTCGCTTGAATCTGACAAAGGTAAAAGAACCATAAATGGCTCATCAGTTCGCTGGAACGCCTGTTCGTAACAAGCTCGCTCTTTCTGCGCCGCGGCATCTGCAATGCAATGTTTGCTCGATTGTTGAAGTATATTTTCTCTAATCTTTCCAGACCAGGCAGACCGTTACTAAGGAAGCTGCGGGGCTGGCCATCGGAGTGGCGGGCCTTGCTGGTTTGGTAAGCACCGCCCGCGACATTACCGACACAAGAGGCACCTATAAAAGTTACGGCTTGGAGTTCTCGGGCCCGTCTCGCACAACGTGACGCCCTTGCAGCCCTAGTTCAGCAATGGTGCATCAGCGTCGGATACATCCGTACAATCAATGGCGACAGAAAGACCATCCCGCCAAGCACATCAGCAACGTCTGAGGCAGCAGCCTCCTGGCCCCAGCACTCTCGTACTCAGCCAAACGAGCGGAGGCAGCTCGGGCAGCCTCAAGGGCTAGCGCTACAAAAGAACAAGTTGAAGTGGGCTTCCAAGGGCAAGAAGAATGTCTCTGAACAGAACCAGTTCATAGAAAGCCTACTCAATACCCTGGACAAATTAGTTTCTCCTCAACCGGGCGATCAAGACCATGCGCAATCAGCACTAGGTACGTGTCGTTTAACCATTCCAATATTACTTCTCAGCCCTTCATTAACTCGAGTCTAAATACACATGCGCCAAACATACTGTTTCTTACCGTTCAGGAATTCAAAACGGCTATTGAAAACCTCCAGGAAAGGGATGAAAAACATAAATATGGTAAGCCGAGCTCTTCTTTCCGGGCCGACGAAAGCTGACCAACCAAGACGAGTTCAAACGAAGCCTGAGCTCTTGGTTAGGGACCACCCGGTCACCCGCAACGCTTGACAACTACGTCCAGAGGCGCTTGGATGGCACCTGCGATTGGATTTTCCAACGCTCTGAAATCCGTGATTGGGAGTCATCAATAGGTTCGGCACAACCTATGGTTTTGTGGACCCATAGCCCTGCTGGATACGACAAAACAATCCTCTGTACAAGGGTGATTGAGCATCTGGCATCATCCATGAATTTGCCGTTGGCATACTGCTTTTTCTCGTCTGGGCTGGAGGGCCGCGCGGACCCCTTTATCGTCATTTGGTCTTGGGTCTTCCAGATTATTAAGCAAAACCAGCAGGCCTATGAGCTGGCCAGGGAACATTGAGAAGCCGCCCCCGACCATTATCTATCACAGAATGAGATTAAAGACCTTTTTAAGGTGATCGCGCAGAACATACGAGATTGCACCTTTGTTGTCGATGGCCTAGACGAATATGCTGGCACGGTGTCAGACCGCAGGACAGATTACCGACAGCCACTCGTGGACCTCTTTAGGTTTTTAAAAGAGGCTACCTTTACCACCGAGGCGCGACTGCTTATAGTAAGTCGTAAAGAGCAAGAGATTCGCGACGGACTGTACGCTGCAGGTAAGCCCTGGTGACTGAGTATCAGATACGTCCCGATGATGTTAAGCTTGACGCCATGCTGTATTCTCAAAGTAACGTTACGGAGCAGTTAATGAACAAGACCCCAGCGCAACGGGAACAGTTGGCGCATCAGATGGTGGAACGCTTTGATTCCATGTTTCTCTGCATCAAATTGGTAGAAGGACAGCTCAAGGGTGGGGAAAGCCTGGTCAAGTTGCAGAAGGCGATTGACCAAGCTCCAACCCGTTTGACTGATCTTTACGATCAAACTTGGAAGAGGATATTTGATCCATTGAATGCCGACCAAAAGCGCGCAATAGCGATTCTGTGGTGGGCCATGTTTGCTCTGCGTCCAATGACGATCCTAGTAGAGATTACCGAAGCCTTGCTCCTCATGAATAACGACTTTGATGATTTATTAATCAAGGAGATTCCTGACGCTATTGACGAGATCTATATCGGAAACCAGATACTAGATCTCTGCGGGTTGCTCATCGAAACGAGAGGTACAGAGTCAGATCTCAGATCCCTGACTGTTCACCTCACTCATTTTTGTGTCAGGCAGTATATCCTGTGTCATCCATCAACTAACCCTAAGAAACCAACTTATAGTAGAAGAGAGATTGAGATCTCAGAATGAGACAGAACAGAATAACACCCTGGCCAAAGTGTGCCTGCGCTACCTAAACTGCAACCAAACTTGGGACAAAGCACAGCCACAAGGAAGGCGTTAATAGATACAAGTATTCCAAGAATACGCAACCAATTCGTGGTACAAGCATGTGAAGCTTAATGCAGCCAACTCAAAGGGGATGATGGAATCTATCAGCACGTTTTTCCACTGCGACAGCATGAACTAGGAGTTGTGGAGAAAGCAAGCCGAGCCTAAGCTGCAAGATACAATGCTGGGATATGATGGCAGTATCGAATCTGGAAGCCTGTTATTCTATGCATCCTGACTTCGGCTCATAGAGACTATGTCGTCGCTGATAAGAATATTGGGATACCAGTGAACTCCGTATATTCATCCAGCAGGACGGCATTGCTCGCTGCAGCATCACAGGGGTGGATTTTAGGAGTTAGATTTCTTTTAGAAAATGCAACAGATATGGATATTTCAAGCAACCAGAACAGGAGTCCAGTATATGTTGCTGCAGGTGATGATCACGTTGAAGTACTCAAGATGTTACTCGAGAAAGGCGCCGATCTCGGTGTAGCCAACAACGACGGGTGGACACCACTCTACACAGCTTCATTCAAGGGTCACGTCGAGGTAGTGAAGCTGCTACTCAAAAAAGGGGCAGATCTCAGCGTAGCCAACAACAACGGGTGGGCACCACTTCTTGCAGCTTTATCAGACGGTCACGTCAAGGCGGTAAAGCTGTTACTCAAGAAAGGGGAAGATGTCATTGTGGCCGGCAACAGTAGGGTGGCATTATCACACCTAGCTTCAATTATTGACGTGGCCAAGATTCGACTACTACTAGAATATAGCAATCCAAACTTGCGTGATAACACGGGCTGCATAGCATTGTCCTGGGCATCTGGTCAAGGCCATGACGATGTGATAGAATCGCTCTTTCAAACCAAGAGAATGGATCGAGATTTAGAGGACAGGCAGGGGTTGACACCCTTATTCTGGTCTTTAAGAAAATGTCACACGAGTTCATGGAGGTTGTTTTTCTGATTCGGCTATCTTGTGTCTATTGTTCAAGAAGACTTGCTATTATTTGAAGCGGTCATGTGTTTGACGAACACAGTTTTTAACGACCTGGTAGAGGTGGCAGAACTATCTGAATTTGAGGGTCTATTCGGCTTGCAAGTTTTGTTTGTGGAGTCTTAGGGCATTTGTTAGTATTAGACATTTTTACAAGGGTTTATTTGCCGTCCTCTAGACATCATTTTGTGCTTTAAGGATCTTGATACCGAGTTAACCGCGCAGCAAGAAGTGAAGTATAATGAGAAAGTTTTATATATTGTTGTAGGTTATCAAGAGCGATAGCACGCGCATTAATACAAAGTAAGAAGCCGTCACGTTTAAAAGATAAGCTATTAAAATCAACATTTATAATCTGCAAACAATTTCACCAATGCTTTTCTACTTCTGGCTTAAGAGATAGAGAGGAATCTAGAAAGCAAAAGAACTAGAGTCATGAAAGGTCTGGCTATGATGTTTGGAGGTCTAGAGACCTGGCTTTTCAGTGGAAGACTCTTTATTACACGGCCGATAACCTCTGTGAGCAAAAATACGGTTACTTGTAGTAAAGGGGGCAGATAAACATCTGCGGAATGGAAGGAATTTGGGTCAATGTTGAGGGAAGAGCGGCATCAGATAGGATGCACGGTTTATGTCACTTTTAACTGACAGGTTTATGTGAGAGATGTTCTTATTGAGGTCCGTATGCCAATAAAAGTGTTTCCAGAGAAATATAACCAGGGCGCAATGCCTCTTGAGCGAAACACTTCACTAAGAAGTTGCCAGCACCTACAATACAATGCCAACTTGGCCATGGAACACATCTTGTGAGCTGAGCATCCTCCTCACATCCCATAGGGCCACGACGGGCAGTCTCACGGCACCCATATCGGCCCTTGGTGCTCAGCGTAATTCGGTACACGCTCGGTACAGGAGGCGCAGGTCAGGCAATCCAGAACTTCCGGCCTCATCCGGCCAGGAGAGGAAGGTACCCGACAAGTCGTTCCCACTGCTCAGTAACAGACGAGGTGAGACCTTCCGTGCTGTGCTCAATTCCCTATCTCGAGCGTCGTAAACCAGGATGTTGACAGTCAACCTGGACTGCCCATGCCGCTTCATCGCGGTGCCGGGCGGCTATTCCGGGCATGGTCATGTTCATTGCGCGATTCTAGTACACAATGGCCAAGAGAAGCTTGCCTAATCCGTAAAAACAGTGTCAGGTGGAAGCTGGTTTCGAAACTGCATAGATGATGCGCGGATTGCGACCAAGGTGCGGCTCATAGAGAGATCGCCCTCTGAGCGATAAACATGCAACTGTTGGATGTCGACATTGCCCCCAGCATTGCAGATTTCGCGAGTGATTTGGTACAGAGGAGGCGTATGTTGAAAATATCGCAGATACCGTTGATGTCCAAGAGTTGGGGGCTGCAAGGCCAGTTACAATTGGGGGACAAAAGTCTCCGTACAGACCCCATTTCTGGACCCCTGATCTGCTACACCTCACAACTCAATTGAACCACAACACACTCAATTTCAGTCAGAAAATTCTCAAATAAATTGCATTCGATAGCCCGTTCAGTAATGCGTGTACTATCCACCAGCGCGCCTGCATGCGGCAATGCGGTTGCGAACAGACTCAATCAGCACGCGTACTTGCTCAGGATCGATCTCGGACCACGCCCTCTCAATTAACTCGTGTGCGTACTGGTAATGAGGGATATTGTCCTTCAATTCAGAGAATTCAGGCTCGATAATACGTATCTGCCTCTTCAGAAGTCGTCAGACGTGCTCAATGGGGTTGAGATCGGGGCTGTGAGGAGGCCAGTCGATACAGTGAATCCCGTGCTCTTCTAGCCACTCCGGAACACCTCCTGAGAGGTGAATTTTTGCGTTATCTTGAACAAAAGGATCTCCAGCCTTATAGAAAAGAAGGAGGCCATTCTCAAGGACCTGTTTATATAACTCTGCGGATACTCCTCCGCGCGGAGCATCCGGATCGAGTGGGCAGAAGATCAACTTGCCCAGTCCTCCTTCTCCATCGCGTAGCCAGATCTGAGACCACACCATTATCAAAATACGAGGCTTTCCGTGACTCGTGGGGTTCACGAGATTGTAACGGTACCGCTCTGACGAGTATCGGATGACCCAATCGCCTGGATTATCTGATTCATTTTGGACCGTACACTTGTCAGAGAACAGTGCCTTTAAGAGCTCGAGAATACGCTCCGGATGGTCATAATATTCGGCAAATTCGCGCCTTATCCGAGCCGTCTTCTCGTTCAGCTCGATCCTCTTGGCTGCTCGCCACTTCTCAAGCCCTCTGGCGTGGTAGAGGCGCTTGATAGTCTTTGCGCAGCAGAGAACCCGGGCCTTATTTCGGATCTCTTGCCACGAGGCCCTAGGGAAGTCCCTTGCTGCCTGAATAACACGGGCACGTTCGCGAGTGTTCAGAGCACTTGGTCGACCACTTCTGGGAGCAGATTTCGTGGTGGTGGTGGTCTCAAAGCGCTTGACAGTCTCAGTGATGGTGGCAGGACGCATGGTTTTGAACGCGTCAGCAACCTCCTTGCGGCTCTACCTCAGCACTCTTGCCGCCGCAATCGCAGAGCGAGAATTGCAAGTAAACTCCCCGTTCGGCGCGCGACTGCCGCTCAATTCGTCTCCAAAAGATCAAAATACCATTGTGATTTGCGTTGTTGAGAGAGTATTGAAGTTGAAGGGTGGTTGACGCGTTGTTATGATGGTTGGAGATTAGTGGTGGGGTGTACGGAGACTTTTGTCCACCCAGTTTAGCTAAATACCAACCCCCAATAGCGAGACTCCACTCACGACAGTGACTTCATGTAAAGCTCAACTAGAGCTTCTCCTGACTAGGACACCCCAACCCAGACCGTATGCCCGGGTACAATCCGGTCCTTACTGCAGGCAGGGCAGTGGGCGATCGCAACAATGTGAATGTACGCAACCTGGGAATTTGGCGAGTCCATAATGTCAAATATAGCTGCATTGGTGGGCCGGGAGCAGCAGCGCCGATGTCCGACGGGCCAAGCGGGAGCGAGAGAAAGCAGCAGTCAGGCATGACCCTTCTGAGCCTTTTAGTTGATTAGGGGTTAGCAAGTTCTAATGGCACGCTCTTTCGGCTCTTCTTCGGAGCTTGGTGAAGTGACCGGAGAAAGTTAAAGCCGCTGGATGCTGTGTGCACTGGCATCACGGGCATGCCCATCACAGACAAACAAGACTCGCAGGCGAACCGACAGCTCAGCGCCCTTCCTGTTTGCCTAGGCACCTGAGACGAATTCTTATGCGTGCCAAGCAGCTCTTGTTTCATGCCTGGATATCGGCGTTTAAGGTAGATAGCTGATTGGATTCTCACCTATGCCCTGTCATATCCTTGTCATGTCAGTGCTTCAGTTAGGCAGTTAATAAGACACTCACTTATTCCACATGTCATATCCTTGTCTGTATTTGATCAACCGACTGGATACGATCGAAACGGGATACAAACGTGAAAGATGTGAGGTGTGTCTGTTTCTCTCTCGGTATAGCCGCCCGTATGCAGTTGGCTTGAGGTCCGTGCTGTGTGCTCTGCTGGAGGCAACCGGTTCCCAACTCAATACCACCATAGATGAACGGTCATGATTCCCACAGACATGTCCTAATACCGCCGGATTAGTAGTTGGGTCGGTGACGACCAGCGAATCCCCGGTCTAGTACGTTCTACTTTTTGGGGTTTCCTCACATTTTTCTTGCCCTCATCTCCTCATTGGCGTTGCTATATGTTAGCCAATTGGAAAGCAGGTCGTATCAGTCCGCCGCTGAAGGTGTGTTGTGTTCTCGCAAACCTATGGAGGCACCTACCAAGCAACTGGCAACATGAGCATTTACATATGTTGAGAATATGGCCAGACTGTCAATTTCTCTGCTTCGTGGTTGCGCGTCTCCCAACATCGAGCCATTCCACAAGGAATATGCAAAAGAGGGCGACACGCTCCTCAACCACGAGACTGACAAGGGTCTGTTTGCCTTACACCACCATGTCGTACGATGTATTCCCCAGTCACATTTAAGGCCTCTATGCCCTGAAAGGTGACACCGACTGGTACAGGAGAGAATGAGCCTCGGAGTAGGCAAGCAAAGGAAAAAGGGGCTTGTAGGTGAACCGGTTTGGCCTATGGTAAAAACAAGGAGGGCGTTGGCGAACTCGATCTCGAATCGGAGCCTGTAGCGGGACATCCAATGTTTCAGTACCCCGCAATCCCCGGCCCCCCTGTTCCCTCGGGAGCACAGTGGACCCGACTTCCAGTGATGTCACGAACCGGGATGCCGCGAGCTCTGGCCATTCAGGAGCTTCGGATTACAGCTCGAACATCCCACCTGCACTGAACACTGAAATGTATGACAGCAAGAGACACCATCGTCGGCCTATCGCGACCTACACTTCTGCCCTATCCCGTGCGTGCCTGATTGCGTTTGTGTCGTCTCCTCTTTCGCACACACACCCTCCCTCACTCACCCAACACCTCGTCCTCTTTCATGAATCCCGCAAGAGCTCTCGTCCTTCGACCTGCTATAGCCCGTGCTTTCGTTCAGCCGAAACCCCTCGCTTCCTACACCAGATCATTCGCCGTGTCGGCTACCATTAGAGCCATGTCCGAGTTCAAGCTGAAGGGCCTCAGTTCGGTGTCGCTGCAGCCCGGCGACAAGCAGGAAGTCGAAGTCGACGGTATCGAGGGCGCCAAGGTGCTGCTTGCCAATGTCGCAGGCAAGATTACAGCTTTGGGCCCCAACTGCACCCATTATGGAGCTCCGTTAGTCAAGGGCGTGTTGACAAAGTCGGGACGACTGACTTGCCCGTGGCATGGAGGTGTGTCCAATTGGCTAGCTCGGTCTTCGATGCGACGTTCCTGATAGACATGAACTGACACTTCCCCCTCAAACAGCATGCTTCAACGGCACGACGGGTGACATCGAGAACGCACCAGCGCTAGACTCCCTGGCCACATTCAAGGTCGTCGAGAAGGATGGTGCAGTCTACGTACAGGGCGAGGAAGCAACCATCAAGGCCGGCCGACGAAAGCCCAACTTCAAATGCAGTACGAACGGCTCATCTCAGACAGACAAGGTTGTCGTGGTTGGTGGCGGCAGCGGAGCCCTCGGCGCCATCGAAGCCTTGAGAGAAAAGGGATACACCGGACCCATCACCATGATCTCGGACGAAGGCTACCTACCCATCGACCGAACCAAGCTGTCAAAAGCCCTCATGACCGACCCCTCCAAACTCCAATGGAGAGACGCCAACTGGTTCAAGTCTGGCTCCGTCGAGATTGTGCAGGACAAGGTCGTGGATGTCGACCTCAACAACAAGACCGTTACCACGGAAAGCAAGGAGAAATACCAATACAATAAGCTCATTCTTGCTACCGGCGGCTCGCCTCGCAGCCTGCCGCTCCCGGGCTTCAAGGTTCTGGAAAACATCTTCTTGCTCAGAAACATTCATCACGCCAAGAAGATTGTGGATGCCATCGGGGATAAGGGCAAGAAGATCGTCATCATTGGTAGCAGTTTCATCGGAATGGAAGTTGCCAATGCCACGGTCGCGGACAACGACGTCACTGTTGTTGGTATGGAAAGTGTCCCGCTGGAGAGAGTGATGGGTAAGGAGGTCGGTGCCGGCCTACAGAAGGCCCTGGAGGGTAAGGGTATCAAGTTCAAGATGTCGGCAGGCGTGGACGAGGCCGAGCCCTCTGGTTCAGACCCGGCCAAGGTGGGAGCGGTAGTCCTGAAAGACGGCACCAAGCTGGAGGCCGACCTGGTCATCTTGGGCGTCGGTGTCGCGCCTGCTACTGAGTACCTGAAGGAGAACAAGGTGATTCGCCTGGAGGAGGACGGGTCTTTAAAGACGGACGAGAACTTCCTGGTGACGGGTCTCAAAGACGTCTATGCTATCGGAGACATCGCTTCATACCCATACCACGGCCCAGGCGGCAACGGCAACTACACCAGAATCGAGCACTGGAACGTTGCTCAGAACCAGGGCCGCACCGCTGCGAACCACATCGTCAACCCAGCGTTGAAGCCCGTCTTCTTCACGCCAGTCTTCTGGTCGGCACTGACGGGACAGCTGCGGTATTGTGGAAACACGATGAACGGATGGGACGATATGGTGCTCCAGGGGAATGTGGAAGAGGGCAAGTTCGCGGCCTACTACTGCAAGGGCGAGACAGTTGTCGCGATGACCAGCATGGGGTGGGACCCGGCCATGTCCAAGACGGCCGAGCTGATGAAGATGGGTGCCATGCCGTCCAAGAAGGAACTGAGGGATGGCCTGGACATTCTGGATGTTGCGCTTCCGAATTGACTAGAGGATGGCGAGCAGGCGGGCGGCGCTGTCATGGCTCACTTGTAACGAGATCACGGTTCACTCTCACTGTTTCTCTCATGGTTGCATCTCACGGGAGTCATCTCACGGTTTTCCATTCGACAGCCAAGCACTAGCCACTTCAGCTCCTGTGGCCGAAGTATGTGTCGGTGCTTGCTATCCGTGATGTTCTTGCTGATGCATGATCAACATATATTACGGTGATGGATGAACTCAGCCGTAACATCCCTGACCTTGTCTTGGGCACCGGGAACGTCTTCGATACAGGAATAGGTCAGCCGTACTTCTAGAAAGGTACATATCTATAGTAAAGTAAGTCTAAACTTGTGGTACTGAGTGATCAGATAGATTTGTTTGGCCTGCTATGGGTTTAGAGCAGGTCTATGCCTGTCAGGAACATGAGACGGGAAGCCCGAGACATGCGGCCTGGTGACACAACAGCAGCCAAATACAGGTGGCTGGAATGGCATTGTATGCAGGTTACCAGCACCGCGGCCATGACCGTGACCGTGAACAGTGATCTGGTGCGCCTATGGACAAGGGGTATTCACTATGGGATTGTCGTCATGCCGCAGAAATCAGGGGCGTTATCCAATCCCAAACCCGGTCGAGGGTCGCGAACTCACCACCCCCCCAACCACCAGTCGATCATCCCTGCACACTCCTAGTGTCTGATAAGCGACAGGAACGCGAACGCCCTGTTTTCACATGGCCAAGCCAAGAGTCGAGACCTTAGGACCCGTGGACGTGCATCGGTTCATATGACTGGCCGAGAATCGATCGCCAACTCATACACACGACGTTGACCAACCTCTCCCAATATCGATACCCGTCTACTCTTCCCATGTTTCTGGCGCAACGGGGTATCTCTTGTTTTGACGCTTTGATACAAACATGTCTAATGCCTAAGACATAGTAGTCTGGCGTCTAGCTTTCAGCTTCCACCGAGAACAACAACAGAAAGGAAATGAACCCCACCGGCACCACCGAATCTTTGCGACTCCACCGCCGGCCGACGCGATAACACCCAGTGATACTTCACCCATCGCTTGTATTTTACTTTCGACAACACCAAGAAAGTGGGAGAGGGGAGAAGAAGTGTACAGAGGACTTGGACGCACCCCACGTCATCGAGACGTCTCGAACCTCACGACCTCACAACCTCTCAAACCTTCTCTCGCGGCCCGAGCAACGCCTAATGCCCAGCAACCCCGGGCCATCAGTGATTACGTCAAGTCGACAGCTTCTTTTCCTTTCCCCTCCCGTCTCGCCCTCGTGCGCGAACCACATCCAGCCAGCATGATCATCGTCCAACCGCCTGACTGCGCCGACGAACCGAACACACCCTCCTTTTCCTCACCACAGTCGCCGACATGGCCGACCCGCACGACGACGCCACGGGAGCTCCGGCTGCGACATCCCACGAGACATCTCCCATGACATGCTGCTGCGGTTCCCCTGAGTGTGTGTTCCTGAGACACAACTGTTCCGTGCTCGATAGTGTCGAGAAGGACGTCCATCAGGCTGCGCGGATGGGACAGGTACGTCTGGTCTCCTTTATTACCACACTATAATGATTATATTACATACCTGCATGAGGTCTATCCGTCCGTCTTCACTAAGGTAGTCTGTCTAAAGAGAGGTGCACGTCAAGACGTCAAGAACGAGTCATGTCCAGGCTAGAGAAGTCTGCCCGCATTTCCTGTCCAACCCCCACCATATTTCATATTTCCCATGCTGTCGAATTTATACTGCCGGGGAACGCACGCTGTCTTGCATGTGTAGCCCGCGTACTGCGCAGTCCCACGTCCCTCGGCGATCCAACAGCAGCTGCGCAACATCACATTGACTCCGTCTGTTCGTCATGGGTGTCTCCAAGTCTCTAACCTTCGCGCTACAGGCTCTGCTGGCTCGACATGAAGCCTACATGGCCGATGCCGAACGCGACCGCAACGAGCTGACGGCTCGCATCGAGCACCTGGAGGTGGACAACAAGGAGCTGGAGGCCAGGAATGCGAGGTCCATCGAGGAGAACAGGGCCCTGCTGGACCAACTCGAGGCAATGAACACGAGCGTCAACGATTCCGAGGGCCGCATCAAGTCGTTGGAGGCCACCCTACTCTCCTCACAGCAGACCATTCGCCGGTTGGAGAGAGAGACATTACGAGCTGAGGCGTTGGAGCGACAGCTGATAGCCCTGGAGCAAGAACAAGCAGACCTGCAGAACACCCTGATCATGTCTCGCGAGGAGGCCCGGTCTGCCATGTGGAGGTGGAAGCAGGCTGAGAGGGGTATCAACGACTTGCAAGAACAATTGGAGCGCATGGAGAATGAGGCAAGAGAGGAGAGGGAACACCACGTCGAGATGATGAGTCGCATAGAGAAGCAGCGCGAGATGGAGAAGGAGCTGAACACGGCAGCCGGACGACTGAAGGGTGCTGCTGCCGCCAAGTCGCTCAAGCAGGGGAACGGAGGAAGCAGTGTCGTTGGCCACTTTGTCCGGGATCTGCTTCAGGATAATGCCAACCTTCAACATAGCATGGCCGAGTTGCGCGAGATGCTCATGAACTCCAACGACGAGATCCAAGCTCTGCGGGAACAGCTAGCCTACCACCAACCCGTGGAAGACGGCGAATCCAGTGCGACGCCGACGTTGAGGGCAGAGCTCGAAACGAAGGAGTCTCCCAGTGATGATAGGGAAACGTCACCCAAGTTCTCGCAGGAGCTCCATATTCACCACCACTACCACGTCTCCACGCCGAAGCAGGAGGCCAAGAAACCAAGGAAGAAGCGTTCGGGACTTACTGCTGGCATTTTTATTCCGCCTGCGACTTCGTTACCATCCACTCCGCCCAACAGGCTGATGCGGCAGCAGCAAGCACCACACTCGCGGACCGACTCTCTGCCCTCCAACCGCTGGTCTGTGTACTCGGAACAACCGTCCGAATTCGCAACCTCTTCGGTACCGAGCTCGCCCCAGTCGAATAACAGGCATTCGGTATTCGACCCCATCCCAGATTCGTCCCCCGGATCACCTACGACAAGCGTTGATCCCATGTCGCCCACATGGCGCGCGACGCACAGGAAACAACCATCCAACATGTCTTCACCGAGCGTTCAGCTACCGGCCAGCTTCTCACTCAACCCTGCCACTCCAAGACACTCTCACGCGATCATCGAAGAGTCCGATGATGGCGAAGGTCTTCCTGAGCTGGCCGAGACAACAGACGAGTCCACCGGGGATGATGAGGCATCTTCGAGGGGACTTGGAACCCTACATGACGACATATCCATTACCCTCACAGATACCGATTCCGATGGAACACCGCCCGTGCGGTTACGACGAGCCATGTCCCACGAATCCATCATGTCACTCTCGGGCGGTCTCGACATTCACACGCTGAAGTCGAGGCCCAGTCAGCTCACCATAGGCCATCTTGGGTCGGCCACGTCCGTAACGGGCAGTAGTGCCGTCACGGCCAGGCCGATGATGTCGTGCGACAGTGCCAAGCGGAGCAGTGCCATCCTCCACGACAGCTACGGGTCATCCCCCATAGACAGCCTGCGGTCCGTCTCCAACCCCGCCGCTCAGAACGAATCATCGAAACTTGGGAAATGGGTTGGCTGGCGACCTTGGGGTGGTGGGGGCGGAACGGCCGGTGGCGGTGGGACACCTTCCAAGGCCATCAGGGAGAAAGAGACCCAGAGGCATATGAGCCGTCCTCCCGGTATCAACCAGGCGGGCGCAATACCTGGCTTCTCGGAGTACCTTGCCGCGGCCCAGAAGAAGGGACCTCCAGTCAAGACCAGTCCTGATGCCGTCGACCGAGATGCGTTGAGGGAGGGTCTTGGCGAGTGAAACATATGTTGACGCTGGCAATCTCACCAATGCCATCAAGAGCTCAACATAATTCCGTATCGACAACCACTGATACTACAAGACACGCTCATTACTGCTCGACTTCGACACCCTTTCACCAAGTCTACTGTACATTTACAACACCTACCTGTCCAACCTCGGACACAATGTTTCGCATTTCCAAAGAAACGCGCTTACGCGCAGAGGAGTTCGCCAATCTACATAATTGAGAGACCTGAGGGTTTAACTGCAAATACCATGGACAGAACACACCGTCCACACACAGGCACATACGGAGTCCAGGGGAGGAGGAAGCGAGAGGAGGAGGGAAAATGCGACCAGATGATACCCGCCACTGCTCATCCCAGTAGGCCCCGTCGTTTTATTTTCATTTGTTTATATCGGCCATGCTGCCGCCACTGCATCATTTTGGGCTCATGGGCGTTCCTCGGTTGGGTACCTAGATATGAAAGCATGTGGTGTTTCACATTGGCGTAAGCAGGGCAAGCACATCCCAGGTTGGGGGCTGGATCACTGCATGCAAGATTGATGCATCACGACACAGCTTGCCGTCGTCGTCTTTTATGTTGATTTGTACTGTAAGGGGCATTTGAGCTGCATAAGCGAGCGGCTGGACATGACGTATATGTCTTGCATACCAATGAATAATTTCTATTGCTTTGTGTTTTCTTGTGTGTTCTGGGCCGGCGGTGATGATGCATGAAATTGACGACGGGAAGTTATCGCGTACAGCTGATCGGAGGAGACATAGAAGGAAGTGTTGTTCATTCTAGGATCTATGAAATGGAGCTGGGAAGCTCTCCCTTATATATGGAGAGCTGGCTAGAGACGAACCCCTGTGCCTAGCCACGTGGATACCACTCACGTGGATACCTCCTTGCGACAGAAGTTGAGTTGCAAGAGGTCGCTAGCTTTAGCAACCGTACCGGGCTCCTTGGGCATACCCATCTAGGCTGACGAACCTATCTCACCAAGATATACTGATTATGCTTACCCACAACACAAGCCCACCCGTCCGCTCGCCTGCCCGCCTAAAGACTAGTCCATTTAGAGGAGGCAAGACGCGCGATGGAGGTGACCACATGAGTTCGATGGTTCCGGCACCGGTGCCGGTTCCGGTGCCAATACCGGTGTCGATGCTCTATATAGACCAGTAAAGATAAAGGGTTACGTGAGTATATATATATATATCGAGTCAAGCAAATCATGAGGTACTGTGAGTAAGACAGAGTAGAAACCCACCACGGATGGAGGAAGGGAGTAGTACAACAATGATTGAGGAAGAAACGGGTAAATCCCTCCAAGGTGGTCCATGACAATACCGGCGGAAGATAGCAGAAGTAGGTTGCATTTCTCGCCGCCTCTCCATCGTGGTAAGTCAAGTATCGATGACAGTTCTGTTTCTTGATTACAATCCCAGCTCTTCGAATTAAGTATGTAAACAATCTAATATGACACATAACAAACAACAGTATGCAGATAGAACGGGCAGCCTCTGTAAACTCCAAGCGGTGAGCAAGCACCGATATCAGTACAACGCATGCCGACTTCAAAAGGACGCACATGTGTATATACGATGCAATGACCGATGCAAGAAGAAACTCCACCAGATGCAGTGCCGCCTCAAACAGAGGAGCAAAAGACAACAATATGTATATATCTGCAAGCATCTTCCCTTGCCCAGAGTGCCTTCATTCCAACGCCAGGCAATGCGAGGTTTGCTGGCAGCTATAAATTTACAAAAGGGAAGACGGGATAACCAATTAGTCACTGTTCATTGTTAGTCACTGATGCTCTTTCAACGTGCTATGGTACTAGCAAGACGGGAATAACTCACTAAATTTCCTTCGGCGCCAACATGTCGGCCTGATAGAGCCAATGGTTGTCCTTTTCCTCGGCCTCTAGCCAGTCGTAAGGGAACTGGACGAGGTGGCCTTGAATCGCGCCGCAGACCTCCTCCGCCTGATCGCGGCTCAGCACCTCGTCCGAGACGACAGGCCCGCCGCGTCGACTGCCTTTAGTAGTTGCACGTCGGCGACGTTTAGTCGAGTTGTGGTTGTATGGGTTGCTTGTACTATTCGATCCCGGTGCTGACTTTTCACTATTCGAAAAGGTTGCCCTCCGATCCTGGTTCTTCTCGCTGTCGGGATCTAGGTGGGTGCTGGCTACTTGACTGTCAAATGCTGGGAATGGTGTGTCTCCGGTCGGCTGAACTGGCGAAGGCTCCTCGACAGAGTGATTAGTAGTGACCTTTTCTGTTTCCAAGCTGAGATCAGCCTTTTCTGTCTCTTTGCGTGCGTTAGACTCGGGAACCGGGGTCTTCTTATTCAAGCCTTCGGCATCGTCGTTCGACACGACAACTTTCGGGGTGCTCTCGCTTTGCCCAGCTTGAATCTTCTCAGACACAACGGGCGCCCCTGGCGTAACAGCTGGTACAGCGACGCCCATTGCTGCGCCGCCGATGTGATTCATGTGTGATTCTGCCACCGTATCCTCGTTCTTGGAGCCCGCCATACTCTTGGAGAACTTTGTGGCATACGCCTCGAAGTCCTGGTAGTCTTTCCAGGTAATAACCTCGCTATCGGGCATGCATCGGAAGACACGACGGTATAGCTTCGTGTTGTTCGATGCCACTCGTGTCCATATGTCGTCCCAGAAAGCCGGATTGACTGGGTCAAGCATGCAGTCTTTGTCAATACTTGCAGGCAGGATGTCTGCGAGCAAAGGGTTCGTAGGCTCATTCGTGGGTCGCCCAGACGCGTCAAAGCGTACTGGGGGTCCTCCAATATCCGTGTCATCAAGCACTGGCAGGGTCGGTAGCTGCGCGGCGCGGGGCATCTCGGCTGTGCCAGAGTGGTGTGCTGGAGGAAGTTTGTCGTTGCCTTTGCCAGTATCTCGATCCAGTGACGTCTTCGAAGACACTCCTGGCAACGACCCATTGGACTTGCTGGGATGATGCTTTGCGATTTTAGAATTCCGATTTAAAAGCACCTCATGGCCGTTGATGACGGCCGTATCGCTCCCGAGATCGATGCCCTCTGCTTGCGCTTGTTTCCAGTTATCCAGACCAAAGCCCTCCACGTCCTTATCGTGTACGCTATTGCCGACAATTCCAGGGTCGAGTTCTGGAGATTTGCGTTTGGAGGAAGTAGGCGAATGAGAGGAGGATGAGGACGAAGTGAAGCCATGGTCTTCTTCAGCAGTCGTGTCGTGGTTGAAACTTCTTACGCCGCGAACCTTTGGTCGCCCAAGATATGTACTTGGTCCTGCTTGCGACGAACTTTCTGCAACAGGGCCTTCGTCCTCTTCATCGTAGATGTGACTCATATCGGCTTCATATTGCGCGTCAGCTTGTCTTTCCTGTTCAGTGAGCTCATCGACATCCAAGCCCAGATGTTCTCTCATGAGTCTCATCCGAAGGGTATGCGCGAACCGGCCAACCCGGTAGGGTTCGCCAGCCATCGTAGACCACATCATGTCAGTATCACGAACGATGCAGGCCGTCTCCGAGTCTCGGTTGCCCAACATAGAGCGCTCATTGATGTTCGCCGAACCGATCAGGGCAACTCGGTCGTCCGCGATGATGGTCTTGGCGTGGATGTAGAGCTGCTCCGTCACGATTTGGTTGTTTGTACCAATGCGTCCCCAGTTTCTAAGGCTGAAGAATGAGATGTAGGCTTCGGGATCGATACCCGCCGCCTCTAGCCTACCAAAAATCGAGTTCGGGCCCCTGCATATACTTCGGTACTGGAATTGCATGATCAGGCGCACGCTGCTTCCCTCGGCCTGATCCACGGTGTTTTGAAAGCCGGGCATCAGGGGAATCAGGATGCAACACCGCCACTCCTCGTCATGCTCGTGGGCTCGGAGGATACGCTCGACGAGCGCGTCTCCGATACGATTCACGACCTTTGTGTTCATAGTCTCCGTGCTCGTGATGAAGAACTGGTTCTCCATGTAGACAAAATGCTCCGACTCCTCGATGATCTTGATATAAGCCGTTTGAATGCTATGCTCTCTGACATCCTTGGGAAATCCCAAGGACCAGTCACCGGCCGAGCGTAGCATCTGCACTTCGCATGTTCCAGATAAACCCAGACCTTTGATATCCGCCGGATTGGCATCAGGGGGAGGCAGCAGGAACGGTGTCGGTCGGGTTGGCTTGCGCTCGCGGCGTAGATAATTCCACCGCTGTACAAAATGACGAGTAAGGTCCCTTGCAGGTTGGCCAACAACCTGCATGGCGATGTCGTGCCAAGGCATCCTGGGGGTCTTACTCCTATCGTACATCTCCTCATACGGCTCGTTGAGCTTGAAGAAGTCGAGTACACGAGGGTTCGAATAGTCCTTGCCAGGGAAGAGTTGACAGTGCTCGGCATCTCTAGGGCTATCGCGGTCTGGTTCCATACCAGTTGGTCGATCGTCCGTGATCGGGTGCTGCGGGTTGTCCCAGCGACCAAAGCAGAGGTCGACTCCTCCTAGGAAAGCCACGTCATGGTCCACGATGCATACTTTCTCGTGGTGGGCGTAGAAGAATTGGTTCTTCTTCAACTGGTTGGGTGACCTCAGCACCATGATGTTGTCGTGTAGGTTGAGAAGGGAGAATTTGGTATACTCCGAGTCTATCGGGATCGCTTGCTCGACGTTGCGGTACACGATGACGAATACCTTCACCCCTTCTCTGGCCTTCCTCTGCAGCAGCCGGTCGAGACGCCATTTCTGGCTGATGCAGGCAGGTCGGCGCATATACAGTTCCGGGCTCAACCACCAATCATGGATATAAATGACGTCTTGGGCCATACTAATAGCGCGTGAGACATTCCACATGTAGTCTCGTCCATCCACCAGCCATTGAGCGAATGCATTCTGCCGTACCGGAGCAAAACTGTCAAATCTGTGAGGTTCATGCCACTGGGTCTGCTTCAGCATGCTTGTCACCGATTGGTCGAATTGTTGCAGAATGGTCGGGTTGCGCGAGAACAGCTTGATCTTTCGTTCTGCAGTATATATCTTGAGCGAGTGATGTTTACCTGGAGTCTCATCGTCGGCAAGGTGATCAACTTCTTTTCCTTTATCCTTGCCGGCGTCTCCCTTGAACTTTGTGCCGAGTCGTTTCCGCTTGCTCTTCTTGGACTCGATTCGGAAGAGCGGGTCCACCAGGTAGACATCGTAGATGTTCATGGTAGCTGGAGACTCGACGACGGCGATGTAATTCTGCCTGACCAGGAACCATTTGCGAGAGTGTGTTGCTATCACTTTCTGTGGCGTAAGCACACGTCGGAAATCGATGCCCTTGGTGGCTTGAATGTGTAAGTAACATTCCTTGCCGTGAAAACTACCCTCGGCAGCAAGCCGCACTCCCAGAGCCGAAAGTTCTAGGAATTTGCAGAGCCGGTTGCTATCGGGGCGGAACATCAGCCAGTGGATCATTTCCTGCAGGTACTTCTCCAACGTCTTTCGTTGCGTCTCGATGTATCTCTTCCTCTGCAGAGCGGAATTTTGAGCAGACAAGGCCCCGTCCCCTAAATCACCCATCCCCGAGGATTGCCGCCTAGGCAAGAATGTGGTGATGCGAGATTTCTTTCGATTGGGGTTCGGCCGCCTGTCGTTATCACTGGCCGAGCGTTCAACAGCAGTCCCCTCCTCAGCAGTTGCTTCTGCAATGGTATCGTCGCCTCTCGTACCAGGGGGTATCTCGTCTTCGTCAGACTCATCGCGGTTTTGATAGTTTCTCAAATACGGGAACGCCTTTCTTGGGAATTTAGGTTGCTTTGGGCCCCTGCGTAGGCTGGTAGACTGGAGCGGCATGTCCTTCTTGAGGGAAAGTCTGTACTTCCAGTGGATATTCCAGATCTCTCGGACGCTGCGGGTGACGGTCCATGTCATCCGACTGAGCCCGCTGCCGTATTCCAGGGCAATGGTGAACATGGAGTGTCGCTCGCTGGTGCTATCTTCGGGGTAGCTATCGGTCACTCGTATGTTGAGCTGCTCGAGGAGAACTGGTATCCGCTTGTTCCCGTGTTCGTCTCGTTGCAACATACTGGCAAGGATCACCACAGCTGGTGTCACAGCTCGCAACTCAGCCATAAGCTCTGCAGACTTGTAAAAATCAAACTGATCCGCCTTTCTCTTGCCGCCGAACATCTTTAGCGTGTGCTTCACCTGTCTCCATCTCTGGGCGCTAAACGTCGCAGCTCGTTCTGAGCCCAAGAACGGCCTTTTTGGCGCGGTTAGTGCATCGCCATCTGATACTGCACCTGCGCTGAACATGTCGGATATGCGGCGCCGATGACCAGGCGTGCGAGGAGGCTGGAGGCTGTCGACTTCTGCCCCAGTTGCACTGTCTTCTCTTTGGGCCCCTACCCACGAGTTGCCACGCCTCCAACCGGGTCGGCGGCGGCCAGCCAGCTGATCGCGGCCTTCCCCTTCTGACAAGCCACCACGATGTTCCGCAGTGTCCGGCATAGTGGATCTTCTGACCATGGTCTGGAAGCGGCCCGACCTGGTTGGAGAATCGGTATCCTCGCCTGGCCGTGGAGTGTTTGGAGCTGTAAAGACATCTAACTGTCTCAGGCGACGCTTCATCCTTTTCCTCTTTTTCGTCTTGGGCGCTTCCCTTGGTTGGTTTTCGTCGCCGCTCTCTTCCACGTCGGCATCGCTCCCTTCCTCTTCATTGAGAGTATCAGGGAGGCGATTAGTCCTGCTCACGACGGGCGAATTTCCGGCGGAGGCGACCGCACGCTCAGACAGCCCGGATGGCTTTGTTGGTTGGAGGCTCCCTGCGTTGCCCAAGCTCGACTTCAACCTGGACATCCATCTCTCGCTACGGGAACGAGCTCCCGCATCTGCACCGTCCCATGACCCTGACCTGGTATGATACGCTGGGGGATCCAGCACAGTGTCCGCCCGGGCGAATTGCACACTCTGTCGGCGAGGTGAGACTGGATCTCCTGGTGTGGACTCGCCTGTGTCCGGTACGCGTACAGCGAGGTTTGTTCTTGGTGAGGATGATCGGACAGGTGAGCGCAGACCTGGAGTGCCTGGTGCTGACGTACTCTGAGGGGTGTGGTGCTCGTGAGGCAGCCCACCATTCAGGTAGTCTGGCGCCTCTTCTTCTATCGCAGGTGATTCTTGTAGTGTGGGATCGGGCAGTGGTAGTTCGTGTACGGGTATGTGGGAAAGGGGCGATGGGTTATTGGCAGCGTGGGGTACGACGGATCGTTGGTTGAGGCGATTTTGTGCCGGGGACGAGGAGCGAGGACTTCTTGACAGGGATGACAGAGAGTCACTGCGTGTAGGGAAGGACATGTTGCCGAGGGAGGCTGTTGTCGTTTCTGTGTGGCCCAGGTATCACAATCCGACAGCATAGATCACACGACTTCTTCAGATTCGAGATGTTTACGCCCTAGCATAGTAAATTGTGAGCTCTTCGTTCGTATCGATATCCTAGCTGTCCTTTCAGTGTATCATGTGGTTTGCGCCGCGCGCTTCGTGCGGTAGTCCCGTAGGTATGTCGACAGGACGTCAGGGGCGTCAGGTTTCGCGACTGCACTGGGTGACGAAGAAAGCTGCTGGGAAAATAGCGCGTCGAGCGTTGCAGTGCCTGAAAGGATACCACGGCGTCAAGGTTCTCTCCTGTATCATATGCCAACGCTTGGTAGTGTCGAGATGCAATGGAGACGGGTCGCAATGTTGTCAATTGCTGGTGCTCTTTGAGAGTCGAGAAGGAGTGCGCAATATTCAATAAAGTTGGTTCCCTGCCTCTTACGACGGCTGCCGGCACTGAGATTGGCTGGGGCCCGTTGCTATCTACAGCCACCAATAGCACTCCTCCCCAGCGGATGGGGCCCTGTAAATGTAATAAGTGAGGCACGCTAGCATCGCTACATCCTAGCCCACTGCACGCGGTGTGGTCCATGCAGTCGGGTAGATCTCTATCTTCCAAGGTTGTTCTTCCTTTCAACTCTTTTCAAGGTTTCGTCTCGTGATGACATTGTTGTGCCACGGGCTAAGATCTGCTTGACAATTCACTGTAAGTGACATATTGGAGTAAGAAACCCAAGTTGCTCGGTCGTCATGGTGTCTTGATGCAATACATGAGTCACTGAAAGGCAAAGTTATAAGGGGGATGTACTTTTCAAAATCACCATGCTGTTGGCTGCATGCTGCTTGTCATGTTGCGTTCCAACTCCAACCCCACAACAGGTCGGCCGCAGGACAAAGAGCCTGGAAACCAGCCTTGACAGCTGGCTCCCCATAGTACCTATGGTACCTAGGTATATTATGATTGCAGATCGGTGTTGTCATGCTTGCTATTGGACCGTGCAGAGAAGTGAATGCCGTCGTTCTTCCAACCCTATAGCTCTACTCCGGCTAGCGACTTGTGATAGACAGTCATAAAGATCTTGATCTGGCAACCATGGTGGTCATCAATCAACTAGGCCGGATAGCCTCTTGAGCATGAGGATTTCGTGCTTGGTTACAAACACATCACCAAAGCCATTGTTGCCATCTTTGTGTCCATCACAAGAGCCCGTCCCCGAGAGCTGATCATACATGTCTCGAACCTTTGCAGTCTCCCATTGTCCCTTGCTGTTGGTCCAATAGACGCGCCTCACCCCGGCCGAGTGCATGTACAATATACAACGATAGCAGGGGTGAGATTCGAGGATGCGATTTTGATCGAACAAGGAATCCGACGTCTTGGCTGGAGAGGCCTCTCGCGATACTGCTTTTAGCTTCTGACATCTAAGTTCATCGTGTAATGAGTTCGCTAAAGATGTGTCAGACGTGACGGAAAGCGTAGAATATATCGGTAGTTCCGAATCCTGTGTGGTGTCTCGGAACTCGGCCGGACTTGCTTTGTTGCTTGCCTCCTTCGCGGGCTGCCACATGCTCTGAACTCCACCCAAACGAGTTACGTATACGTCGGCTCCACGTAGTTTGGGATGTTTGGTACGATCCCTCACATGTTGCTGCGAATTCGATTCGATTCCGAAATGGTTGCTGTTTGGTGAGTCATTTGCCTTCTTATTTCCCTTGCCACATGTTAGCTCACACCAAACGAGCTTCATACTGTGGACCCCTACCACTGTTCGGTCATTGGTCCTCGTACCCCTGCTCGCCTTCTCGAGGGGAGTATCATTGTCGTTTGGCCCTCCAGGGAATGACTTGTTCGGTGCAGACTTTCCAGTTTGTGGCTGGGCTTGCTTTGATGGCTTATACGTTTTGCGGTACTTGTACTGGTCCTTGTTGTACTTGGTGTACGTATGCTGCTGCACCTGCTGCACCTTCTGCCTGTGCGCATGCTGCTGCAAGGGAGGAGGTGCCTTGTAGTTCATCTTGTAGTTGTCCTTCTTCTTCTCGTGATTCTGGTGGTGGTGGTGGCTGTGACCCTGTTTCGCCTGTTGTTGTAGTTGTGTTGCATCGATGTGTGTTGGGTTCAAAACGCCACTCGGCGTTCTGAGCCTTGCCGGCACCTTGTTGAACCTGCGTCCCGAAAGCAGGACCGTAGCAGACGCGCTCCGCGAAGGCGTCGAGCACGTCTCGCCGCTGCCGTCGTTTGCGTTTAGAGTCACAGAGCGGCGCTGTCGGCGGTTTAAAATGCGACAGCGTCGTGGCGGCCAGCGTGCTTGACGATGCCAGGGCCGAGTTGATGGCCATCATCTCAGAATGCATACTGAGCGAGTTATTGGCATGATGGTGGCCGCCAGCCAGCAGGCCGACAGTGTTCTCGAAAGGCTTGAACCCCTTCTTCTGACCATGCTTGGCGTGCTTCGCCTCCATACCCCCCTCTTTCTTCGCCTTGTCCACGGCGGACGACTTCGTGGGCAAGAGGCCAGTCTTCAAGGCGCCTCCATCATAGCCAGGGCGATAATCATTGAAGCCCTTGCCAATGACCTTTCCACCCTTGACAACAATACAGCCGTGACGATGGTGGAGAGGGGACAGCTCGGCCTGCTCCAAGCACAAGTTGAGATAGTAATCAGTCTTCATTTTGACGGTTGAGTCTTCGAGGCGAATGCTTTGGAAGCTGGGGTAGTAATTTGGTGTGGAATGTGGAAGTCACAGGCTTCAGTTGAGGCGAGTAAGGCGGATGAGGATCACGAAACTTGTTTTTTATATGCGATAGAACTTGCGCGGTTGGGAACAGCTGTTGATGTAGAAGTTTCTCAGAACTGGCTTGTGAAGGATCATGTGTTGACGTGGACGTTAGACAAAGGATGTCTCCCTCGATGTTGGAAAACAAGATGACTCGGCATGGTGGCTGTAAGATCCAACCTTATGTGGCTTAATGGTTGTGGCTGAGCACCATGAGGGTCCAAAGTGGGGACACTCACGCTTGGGGTCCTTGGTTCCACCCTTGAGCCCACGGTTAACAGGGCAAGAGTGACTCAACTTCAAGGCCACCAGGCAAGAATCTGTACAAGTCAAACCGCTGCCATTGAGCATGCCCTTCACAAGGTAAAATAAGGTAGGGATTCAGATATCGCGTACGAGCTCAACATCCAGGTGTATGAAGCTGTCTGCACCAAAAGGACTTAATTCAAGTTGAATCCTGCTTGATCACGCTTACCCCTTTGCCTGAATATCATCAACGAGCCATCACATCCAGGCTCAGTCACCATCATTAAAAGACTATTTCCGCAATGACCACCGTCACTCACGCTAACGGCAGCCAACCCAGCTCGCAAGCTACCTTTACGTGCTTTCCTCAACTGCCCCCTGAGCTCCGGGATCTGATCTGGGAAGCTGCTCTGCCAATCTGGTCCATCTCACTCAACATCGAGTCGCGCCACCACCGGTACGTTCATATCTGCCAGCGGATAGGCCGCGGTCGACTCGCCATCTCGCAGGCGTGCCACGGCGCTCGGTGTGCAGGTTTGGAGACCCTTGCCAAGATGGAAAAGTACTACAGCGCACATCATCGCAAGGAACTCGGCCCAACAGACATCGACTACAGCCGCCTCATCTCCTGCAATACTGGCTTCGCGGGCCTAGCCATCAAGCCGGAAGCGTCGGAACTGCAGCACATGTTCCTATGTCTCCGTCCCGGGGAAGCAAAGCAAATGCGCGCGCCGCAGGTGACCGTCCTTGCCGCCAATCTGCTCGCGGCGACGCCCTCTCTCCGGTCGATCTGCGTCGTCAGGATCCCGTCACGACACCTGAGGAACGAGGAGGTGATCGGAGGGTTCATTATGGACTATATCCGGGTCATTAAGGAGGGCTACAAGTACTACAATCCCAAACGGCATGTGTAAGGTATTGAATCTGAGGGGCAATCCTACGATGCCGATGGTTCTTATGCGGTTGAAGGGCACCAATCATCGTCACCAATCTAGGTGGAATGCACTCTCTTTTGATATCAGATGATCCCTCTTCGTCTGGCTCTTGGCCATGGTGATTATCTCGGCCGTGATTGTCTTGGGTGTCTCGTGAGCGGGCAGAAACCTAGCGATGACAAAATAGTTGTTACCAGAGCAGCGATTTGCGGGTTGTTTTAATTGCTTTGTCAAATAGGTACTCTATATAATTATGCGAATCAGTTCCAACCCATCCAGAACCTCATCATTGCAAGCCACTCACAAAGACCACCCCGCCTTTGTGAGAACCATCCCTTGATGAAGCACAATGCCCCTTTATCCCCAAATCCAGGGGAAGGCCGCCCGTCCAACCCGTTCCTTGAGCGTACAACGCATTGTCGAAATAAGTACCGGCAAAGAAGGCCAGAACATAATGCCCTCTCCCCTATAAACACATTGTTGGCACCGCAAGCCACCTCAGATCTCACATCTCACATCTCACATCTCACTAAACAACTTTCTATCACAAATCAACTTCCAACCACGACTTGACATTTGAACAAGCGAAAAATCTCCATTTCACCCCACTCAAAACAGAAAATAAACCCCAAAAAGAGGAAATATGTGCGAATACACCATTAGAGCATTCGTCTGCGGCTGCAGGGCGACCGGCGCGAAGCTCGACCGCATGTGCCCCTGTCCACACGACGGCTGCGCCAAGGACCCCAATATCCTGATCCTGCCGAGGCGGTGCGACGACGCGAGGAATCACCGTGAAAGCGACAGTAGGTTCCCGGAGCGGTGCTACTAGGCTCAGGCTTATGGATAATGGCGGGCGTAAACCTGTTTTTGCCCGAGATCAATCATCGGTATCTGTGAGGGATCAGCTTTGGACTGTAGGACAACTACTATCGTTATTTCTCTTTTAATTTCATTGTGATCTAGCGAATTCATCCCAATTTCGTATCCTAGAAGATCTGTCTAGAAGAATATAGATCTTTCCAGCTCTAAATGCTCTACCCCTAGGCCATTTGGACGTGTCTTTGTGTGCGACATGAATCTCAAACCATGATCCTAAACGTGTATCGTGCTTCATTCACTCATTGCAAACCCAACCGCACCGAAGCACACTTTTCGTGCCTCGTTCCCCCTATTACTCCTCCTCGTCACCCTCCAACCAGATCTCATGTCCGTTCCCCTCCCTTACCCAAAAGCTCACCACAATCCCACCCACTGCTACACCCGCCAACCCCCAGAACACGCCGCCCACAAGTCCACGACTCAGACCCACGCCGTACAGGTACCCGCACAATATCGGCCCAATCGTGCGCGCAAAGCTACTCGCGCTCATCCCCAGCCCGTGCACCGTACCCAACACACTCGGGTGCGGCGTACAGTTGTTGACCAGAATCGTCTGCGCGGGCAGCGCAAACGTCCGCCCTGTGACCTGGATGAACAGCACGCCCGCAATGACAGCCCAGACCGCGAGGCCCGTCTTCTGGCCCGGCGGGGTTGTTGTGCTCGGCACGATCGAGAGAAAGGGCATGAGCGTGTAGGCGAGTGGGAAGAGGAAGAGGGACACGCGCCAGGAGCGCACAGTGCCGAGGCGAGAGGATAGGCGCGGGTATAAGAAGAGCTGCATTGTAATGCCCATGACACCGAGGACCGCCATGGCTAGACCTACGGACCGTGGGGGCAGTCCCAGACCGCCTGTGAACCGGAAGGGGAGCTCAGGGGAGAACCCTGGTGGGTCGGCCTTCGCTGGGTTGTAGACTGGTGTGGAGAGGAAGACGAACCAGAGTGAGTTGAAGGTCCCCACGTGGAAGGCCAGGAAGAAGTGAGCTATCAGCGTGAACGTCACATTCCGCGTGAAGATCTGTCTAAAAGGTAATGTGCGGGTGTAACGCCGGCCGTTGTTGGCTTTCTTGGGTGGTGGTGTGCGTGGGCTGTCGTCGGAGTATCGGGGCGTCACGGGCGACATCTCTGTGTCGGTACTCACGCTCGTGTCTCTGGAGTGTAGAGGCGTGTATGCTATCGATGACTTGTTCCTTCGGAATAAGGCGCCGACTTTTCTGCCCAGGATGATCCCCAGATCACGTTGGTCTCGGCAGGCGTCCAGGGTCTTCGGTGAGTGAGCGAGTTGTTCATACTAGCGAAGGGGTGTTAGACGTACCTCTTCCAAGTTCATCCAGCACATGACCATGGAGATGAACAAAAACACCGCGCTGAGGAGATTTGGCGGGGCATAGGGGTACTTCAAGAAGAAGTCCACCTTTCCAAACGTATCAGGATATGAGCCTGCTGGATCGGACAGTAAGCCGCCCAGGACGGGGCCAATAATGACTCCGATATTGAAGGTCATGGGAAGGATCAGGAATGCTCGCGACTGATATCTGGGATATGGTCAGATTTAATCTCCACCAGGAAAAGGGTAGGTATCATACTTCTTCTCGCGGACAATCTCGCTAATCCTGAAACGCCGCTGTGTCAGAACTCCTGCTCAGTCTCAGGAACAGCGAAGCTTACATCGTCCTCAGGACCCCGATATTGCCGTTCGTCGCGCCACCAAGGCATCTGAAGAACAGAGCCTGATGGAATGTTTTCGAAAAGCCAAACCCGAGACATGAGACCACTGTAGATGTATGAGCGATGTACCCACAGAAACGGGCGCAAAACTCACGAGTGCCCATCAGTCCGATCAGGATAACGCTTTTGCGACCAGCCCACTTGGAGTCGGCTACCCGACCCCATATCATCGCAGTAAAGAACTGAGCGGCGGTGAAGCTCGCATGCAGGATACCAGCCTGGCTTGAGATGACGGCGTCAGGCAGACTAGGATCGAACCACCGTAGCTGGTAGAACATATAAGCCTACATGAAGCATTAGCTATCTGGACGTGCATTGTCTCTGTATCGGTTACTCCGCAGATGTCCATACCTGCAAGGAGGTCTGGACCAGAGGCTCGCTAAGCCGGGCCAGCGTGATGACGACGAGCTGCCGTTTCTTGGGCAAATCTCTCCACGCGACCACTTTCTTGGACGGGTTGCTCAACTTCTGTCTGCGTTCACGGGCTTGTACCGAGCCTGCACCGGTCTCTATCTCAAGATTCCCGCCCCCGGACCTTCTCAATGCAGCGGTTTGGCCATTCTCATCTCGAAGCCCGAGGCCAAGCTCGAGGCTGGCAGCTTCCGTAGGCTCATTCTCTGGGTCATATCTGACCTCGCTCAAAGTGTTGTCGTCATCCTCGATTGTCTCATCCTTGCGTCCCTTCATCTGGTGGAAAAGTGATGCAGCGGGTGTGGTCCGAAGTTCGGAGGTCGCGTGACAGTTACTGGACAATGCGGGGTGAACTTCAGTGGCTGGTATGTGCAGATTGGGGTATGTATACTCCTATAGTCGAAGGGTCAGCAGTTCAGTAAGTGCAGATATAAGCAACAGAGGCCAGGCTTTTCCTTATCAAAATTGGTACTGGCAGCAATAAAATAGTTGGCTTTGAATTGCAAGCCCATCACGACTACACTTATTATTTGCCCGAGACTGCCTCTCCATCGCAGCGTAGCCGCCCGGCGGGAGTCGGCGGAAGAGGGCGAGAAGTTCCAATTAGAACACCCACAATTCAGAGGCAAAAGCCCCAATGAAGTGGCTGAGATCGGCACAGCGATCGCCAGGCCCACAGACGGTACAACATGCTCCAGCTGCAAACCCCGCCCCCTAATTGTTTCCAACGACAGCGCCTGATTCGCCCAAGCTCCAGCCGAAGTGGAGCTGCGGCAGCTGTTGGGCCACCGCTAAAAGGGGGTGCCCTGACCAATCGTAGCAGGGGCTCAGCGCTGCTGAGGCTTTCTTCCAACGACACATCTTCGTGGTGGCCTGCTCTGTTCGTCAAAGGCTTTACTGGCTTGTAGCGCCGAGTATTGGGGTATGGCGTTAGGCAGATTCGGTGGAGGCTGCGAGGCCTCCAGGTGATGATCACATCGTCCCCCTGTCGGCTCTGAAGCCCGGTAAATCAGACATCTAGTAGGGAGTTGACGACACCACTAAGATAACACGGACCGCCAAGCTCGCTTCTCACACCAGTTGTTGAATAATGTTCGCATCGTTGGATTCATTCCATCCGCTGGCGAAGGTTTCCCGCGAAGACCACGCGAGCCTGTCTGAGGTTCTACGGGGTTGGAGACCATGCGCCGACTGGGTATCGGAGTGCGAATGCCATCAGCGACACCAATCTGCCGAGTGCCCATGTCAGAGGGCCAAGAGGCTTGAAGCTTTTTACTGCTTCTACAGAGAGATCACTGCTTGCTGTGTACCGGAACTCACCCACGGTTCTCCTCCAGCTGCGAGAACACAAGGCGACCTCTTAGCCATCAACATATGCATAAAAAGGAAACCCGATATGCCTCGCTTGCAACTGACTACGGTCCATTTTGGCGTCCACCCTTAGCCCGGCTCCCACAGTTTGCCTACCAACGACCGGAACAGGGTTTTCAGTCTTGCCGCTCGTGTGATGACTATGCTTTCGTGCTCTGTCGAAGGCCGATCTGACGGATTACTGGAAGCAGGCTCGCAACCTGCTGTCTGGCGGAGCGACATGTCCTTCAACAACTTCGTCAAGTCGCAAGGCCAAGGCAAGACCCACTGGCGTTCGGAACAGCCAATGTTGCCTCTCCGATCCCAAGCCTACCTCAAGGGTGCGTCACTGTGAAACGGCTGAGGAAAGTTGCGAAGCTGAGGATCGTACCGACTAGCGACCTTAGGAATCACCTACTTCTGAACGAGAAGGACGGAACTGTAGCCGTGTATCATTACACAAGTGTACTCAAAGAGAACCTGAGGGGAAACCAAGGCCTCCACACTGAAGATAATGAAACACAATCGTCTGAGCTGTAAGTCCTGACCGTGACAAGTCGTCCTGACACAAGGAACGCGACACTAAACCGTACCAGTTTTTGCAGCCTGCCCCGGTCACTGGCCCTCGAAACTCTGAATACGTTGCGCTATGTGTTGTTTCCCGTTAATCCGGAATCTCGATCTATTCTCCGGACCCTAGTGTCGAGAGACGGGTTCGACGCAGACAACTGCCGCTTGGAATCTTCGCAACCTCCTGAAGGTGATACTATCAAGTATGAGTACTGGGGCACCCAGCTAATGAGCTTGTACGATGAGATTGAGAATCCAACTCCACGAGGATACCTCGAGATGTGGATGGAACGCAAAAGTGGTGCAAGATATGTCATGATGGCTACAGTAACTGGAGTGTTCATAGCCGTACTGCTTGGGGCTGCTGGCCTTGCGGTGAGCATATTCCAGGCTTGGGTGGGATGGCAGCAATGGCAGCACCCGATAAAGTAGTATATGGTACGAAAGAAATGATTGCCGAGCGGCTGACCGAGGCAATTGGATATGCAAAGGAAGCACTGGCAAGAATCGAACCCTGTTGCTACCTAATCCCCAACCGAACTTTCAGGCTTGCAAGAGACCATCATCAACGAAGCTGCTAAGGATCTCGAACTTAAACTTGCAGTTTTGCAAAAAGGTTCGTACTCCCCCGGTGGGAGCCTACATCCTTATAACCCAAGCCTGAAAGCTGGTATGCCTATCCTCGGATTAAATCTTTCCGGACTGATTCCCGATCCTTTGTCGGGGCCCTTATTGTTTCCCCTGTATATATGGCCTACTCTTTCTATATGCCATTGCGCCTAAGGAGGCCTGGTACGAGTACCCGCAATGGCATCTTGTGACTAGAGACAGGGTCAGAGTGGAATTCCATGCTTTTGGATTAGTTAATGTTCGCGAGAAACAGGGGTACCTAACCAAATAGACCAAATGTGCTGTATCGCGAAGCAGGTTATCGGTCAGTGGTTGTTGGGGTCGGGCGGGTTTTCTTTGGACATTATATGTCCTTTGCCATGCCCTCACCTCCCTCAGGCAACAAATTGTTTACTCACTGTACATGGTACTCCGCCATCACCACTTCATTCCTCCCAACTCCAGTCGCCCTACCCATCGCATGCACCTCGTGCACGTCCGCCCTGCCTGGTGCCCTCACTTACCTGCCACGCTACAGCACATCGTCGGATCGAATTGATATCGAAAGCTTTAGGTGTACCCAACCTTCACTTCCGTCTGACGAATGCCACTACTGTCAAACAGAGCGTGGGGGCTTTTAGATGGGTGAAAACGTATATTCTGGTGTAATCCGTGTTCTTGTTGTATCTGTGTGAAAATCCTTCTGTGGGCTAAGTGGCCCAAAAATGCCCTATTGGCCTTGTTAGTGCACTGCCACCTCGCTGAACGCCACCACGGTGGCTTGCGCGCCATTCAACAACTAGAGGCGGCCACACCGTTGCCATGTCATCTTGAGGATGAATAACAACTTCGTGTCCTGCTCTTTCAATGCGGCAATCTTAATAACCAACCAGCTACTACGAGCCTATGCAACACTCCCTCACGCCTGTGGTATGATGGGTTTTAGACACAATGTCCCGCAAATGCATACCAGAAGAGAAACCGTGCAGCCTTCTAATGACTGACGCAGGAGCATCGCCATGAACACAGGAGGGAAAATCCTCGCGATTTCGTATCAGCGGCTCTCACATCTACCCCTTTCCGAGCGAGGGTCCTGGGTTCTGGTACTTTCCCCAAGCAATGCGAGAGTTCGAGTTCTCCGAGTCGACTCACTATTCATCTGTCTGGCTTCCCAAGTCGAATTCATATCATACTACACACCAGCAAACTTCAGAGATGGCATATTCAAACAAGCCGTTAGCGATGTCGTGGATTTTGCAGGTGGCAACTGTTACCATCAACTAGGTCGGCGAGATCGACTTCCTTGGCTTGGCCCTTGGATATATCAGGCAGCAGAAGATCCTACCATAGGCACGAGAAGCATGGTTACATCAATGACCGAGCTCTCATTGAAGACGAGTGGAACTGGAGGATCTCGCGTTTGGCGAGGATAGTAAAATATGCAGCGAGTTGTCGCTGAAACGGTGACAATCCTGCAGTTCTACAAGTCTTCGGTAATCTAGACAGTGGTAGTGTTCAACGTTCTCGTGCGATTCATTCACTGGTGAAGTGCACTCTCACCGGCCGGTCACTGCTCAACCACCGCATGAATGACCATTCTTCTAGACAATGGTCTCCTTGAGCTTCAGTCAGGCAAGCTTCGGTCCACGATCTAAGGAGGTTGTGGAGGGGAAGGGCGTTGTGACTTCCAGTCTGGAGCACGTGCACTGGTTCCCATGGCTACAGTGCATTCGTAGAAGAATACCAGCAGCAGGTGTGAAAATACATCGTTCAATCAATTTGCTCTTTCAATCTAATCACCACCTATGCGCTTGGACCCAGCGCATTGCCCAACAACATCGACAATAAGCAAGCTACCCAGTACCTCCCAAAACGTAGCTACCAAACATCACCAGCCACGCCCACGAGCTGAACAAGCGCTTGACCGACAGCACCCGCAATGGCGACCCAGAACCATGAAAACCCCAAGGATTTGCTTGAAAAGGTCCACGCATTTCACGACATCCGCAAATCAATTCGAGAGGTAGCTTCGCGCGAAGAATACCGAGAGCGCTTATTGAATGCCATCTTGGCCGAAACACACCACCTCCGCAGCAAGGAGGCCAAGAACCAGACTGCTCGAAGAACCGTGATCGACTTTCTGTATCGCGTCTTCAAGCGAGTTTGGGACAAGTCTCGTGAGTCCATCCGACACTGCTGTTCAGGTAGTATTGAAGCTGACAGCCTCCTTCCTACCTAGGCAAGGAACCATTCACAGCAACCCCCCAGGGAGACAAGAAGCCTCACCATGATAGCCCGCTGTGGATTACCTACGATGATCTCAAGCCCTTTCTCGACCTCACGACGGAAGACTCGGTCACGGACAAGCTCCTGTCCCTCGTTAAGACCAAGATAGGAGAGGACGGCAAGAGACTGCTGCAGGACGCCAATGCACCGCCAGTCCCCGAGCACAAAGGTCATCAATCAAGACCGTCCAACTCAGGAGCTTCTACGCACCAACCTGCTCGCCGCCCAAAGGATAAAGAAGACCACTCCAAACCTGACCCGAAGCAAGACCAAGCCGTTCTAACAGCCGAAGAAGCCATCAACGAAGGCTTCTACGAGGACCAAGGCCACGTATTCCATCGCTCTGCTCTCCCGCCCTGGAAGCTGCCCCTACCCATCGGCATCGATGTCGCCAAGGACATCATGGCCGAAGCCAGCATCTCGGAGCTGATCCTCGGAACGGGCATTGAGGCAGACCAGAAAATGCTGTGGATCGGACCGCGGCTCACGCGGCGCATGACGGGCAACTCGGAGCACTTTAAGAACCGAGACACGCACGACGTTGCGCTGATGCAATTCTGGTTGAGCTTCAACATGCTACAGCAGTGGACGCAGGCCATGGAGCGGGAGGGTGAGATCATCCCGCTCGTCATGTTCCTTAGGACGTTCATGGGCACCACCATTGGCGAGTTGAGGGCCGAGTCGGCGAAGAAGGCAAACCTTGGGTTGAGGGTGGAGAAGCATGCCTCGAGGTTGGATCCCTCGGGGTATGAACCTGGCGAGTCGAGCGAGGGCGAGAAGCATGGGAGATGAGGATTCTTGGCACCAGGGTTGGTTACGATGATCTAGAGGCGAAGACTGTCCTGGATTTGCCAGCATGTGATGTTGTTCATCTCATGGAATGCACTTGTAGTGGAATCTACGTGTTGTCTTCCATCATCCACGGGGACTACCAGCTCTATAAGCGGCACTTTGTGTTGGGACTACTTCCTCACCACGTAGATTGATAGCAAAACCATGTCAGTGACCCTCAATACTGAGACTTTCCGCCAACATTCTTTTCAATGTAATTGCAACCCCTGAAGCCCCCGACACCCCTGGAGCCCCTGAATACGTGACCGTGTATAATCAACTCCGCCTTTCACTATAACCAAACGCTCACAAGACATCCACATGTGCTCCAAACACGTAATGCAAGTTTCTAAGCACTTCCACCACGACGTTCTCATGGACGACAGACGTGTGTCATCCCGTATCCATATTGCTCCCCACCCAAAATAACACCTCCACACAAGCGAGTGATCCCACAATTCATCTACATTGCTTCCGAAGCATCGCCGACAGCCACGTTTGAGCACGGAAGATACAGAGGAAGCCGTAGGCCAGAAGATTGTAACCGCATTGGAGACCGGACCACAAAACCCGCGACTTTGGGGCAGGTTTTACCCTCGCTGCCGTGTCGCGTGCTTGTGAATCATCTTTGGAGCTGATGCACTCCTCGTGATCTTGGTTCATGAAACCCTTCTACATAGCTGTGCGCCTGATTCTGGAGTTCATACAGGGTCTGTTTGGGGCTTCTTCTCTGTCCAGTGTAAATACATCGCTGGTGGGCTTACACCCCACAAGAGCCCAAGTGCTGTGACTGCGGCCGCAAGCAACACGAGATGCCCAAGGGCGCTATCAGAACTGCCCTCGCGCAACCTTGGCGAAACACCCTTGGCAGAGGCCTGTCCGATAATCTACTCGGCATCTCCAGGGGTGGCGGTGGTTCTATCTCTGTTTAGCCAGATGACGGAACACGGCATGGGTTGGCACCAGGAGATGCTAGGCCAAGAGAAAGGCAATGCAAGTGTCAGTATAGCAGCCTGGATGGGCAATTCAATAGCTTAGACATAAGCATGGCTGTTGATATTACACTTGAAAGTTGTCTGAAAAATGCATAGGGCTTGGACTCGGACATCCTTGGAGTAAATATTTGGGGAGTCAAAAATACTACGAAAAGGGGTAATGGTCACAATAGAACAGATTCCAGCGCCACTGCTCTTTTATCTCTGTCTGCATGGTAGATCAAAAACACATGTCATGCTGTCCAGCTGGCAGCGAAATGAATGCCTTAGGCTGTCCCTGCAGGTGTTTTAGTTCTCCACCCCTTATCTCTGTCCCATCTTCTACCTCACTGGCACACGTTCTGTTATGATTATCCTGTTTCCCAGGGCAACTATCGACGACTAGGTATTTCAGTACCCTGCCAATCATGCATCAGTACGTTTCCCGCTGGAATGCAGCATAATCATTCCTGTCGAAGTCCGTGTGGCCAATATTCTGGCAGTATTGGAAATTCTTCCCATTTTCCCTTCCCAATTCCCAATTCCCATGTCCAGCTCCTAACTCCCCATCTGCAAACCTGACCCGATAGATTAATTCATTAGGAATTCGCCTCAGGCATCAAATTCAAGCTGCATTCCATCAATGTCCCATAGAAATGTACGCACCCACACCTGCACCCACAAACCCTGCCTGTATGTAAACAAACAGGTGCACATTCCCCTACCTCATTTGATTTTACCCTTGACGCGTTTATCCCCAAGGGCAAGATTGAACACGTCTATCGCACAGCTTGCAAAGTATGCTTTTTACCCACTTGACAGCATTAATCTCAACTGCCCACGCACAGTCAGCTTCCAGGTGTACTGACTATCCAGATCAGGACCTGAGGTAACATTTCCATGCCTTCCATCACTGATTCTTCACCAAGCTCTAATGACAGCAGGCTCTCTGAACCCCACAAGCAAACCGAACCAAGCCCCTTCCATGTGGTGCTGTTCCCAGACTGAGCAAAGCTGACGTCTTATAGAAACCTGCCTGTCCGACAATCCTTCCTCCTCCCTGGGTCCGGTGACCCCTCGAGACCGACAGCCCTCCTCCCTCCTTAGGTCCACGGACCCGCCGAAATCGACATTCCTCATCCGACAATTCTCCTGCCTACCGCTTGGTCCACGGACCCGCCGAACCGACATTCCTCCTCCGACAAGTATCCTGCCCACCGCTTGCCACGGACCCGCCGAGACCTACCAATTCCGACCAGGGCGTGTGTGCTCTGGGTAATGCACACGCGTCAAGAAACATGCCTGACCCCAACTGACCAACACACATCCCCAGAAGCGAACAGACACCCGGGACCCGGGCCCAATGTCACACTGCCCATAGCAGAGGTATTGACGCCCGACCCGGGTCCCTCGACTCTCAAGTACATACCGGTGGTCTCGCGCCCCGATGTAGAAAACGCAGAGGCTACGCTGAGTGAGAAGCGCACTGGCTCCATCAGAACGCATTGCACACTAGGCTGCGACGCCGGACCCCAGTCCCCGCGAGGCCGGAGCCCTTCGGGAACCTACCTCAACGGGGCGAGGACGGGACCGGGCTCGTGCTGACCCCGCGCACCTGATGGGGTCGGGGCTCACCAGTGGGCGAGTCCCGTCGGTGAACGCGGCAGAAGGCTACTGACGCTTGGGTCTTTCGGTAGCTTTGGCTGTCCTGGATGTAATTGGTATAGTTGGGCCCCCCCCGCACCCCCGCCCCCCCTTCCCTTTACTCGACCCGCTGCATGTTATACTCCTCTGTCACTTCAACCCCCTTACACAGCCTCGACCGCGGTGCTCGTGTTCACCTAGCGATGGCTTAGGCCCCGGGGTGCTAACTGTTTGGTAGGGTGGATGACGAACTCGGATCCTGTGCCTCCCCGTGGTGTCATCTGGTAACGCTACATCTCGTCTGTATACTGTAGGAGAGACGGTGCGGCTAGAGCAGGAACGTTGCGCTAAGTTACTGGGCGTGCTCATAGAGCGATTTATTATTCCCGGTACGCGTTGCCACGCGGTTGCAAACACGTACTAAATGATGGAGGACTGGAGATGTGGAGTTCGCGGAATTCGTGATTCTCACTAGACACCAAAAGATAAAGAGACACGAAAAAGTAAAAAGTTGATTCCGATTGATCTCCAGCCTTGGTATTGGTCACCTTCGTGATGGACGTGTGGTTGCCCGTACCCGACAGTAGTGCCGACGTCCTGGCAACTCCACTTGAGAGGTAGGTATCCAACACCTCGGCATCGAGCCGAGGTTCTCGGTGTAATCGGGGATTCGGAGGTTTGAGGATGAAGGGTTTGAGGATGTACGATCGATCCAAGACGATCGGGTGTGAGTGGGAAGTGAGGTTGTAGTGGGAGCGGTCGCTGTACAACGGCCCGAAGAGGAGAACTCGCTCCGGGCTGTGTGTACGTATTGTGGGAGGGGTGGGGTCTGCCGACCTCGGTGACGGTGACGTTGACATCTCACAACTGGCTGAGCTTCTTCCCGACTCCTTCTTCCGAAAGAGCGGGGACTCGCAAACCGTTCCTGGATCTGAACTCAATCTGTAGAGTGAAAATCAACTACACTAATACATCACAAACACGGCTGAATTAACTTCAGCCATTCTCAAAACACCATAGCGACTATAAGGACAGCCCATCCCGCCCGAAAGCCGATCAAGAATGGCTCCCATTGGAATTGCGATCATTGGTGGAGGCATCTTCGTCAAAGAGCAGCATGTGGTGAGTGCGGGCACCCAGCAACGTTCTGGACATATGTCAAGTGTTCATTGACTAGAGATAATGGGATTTGGTCCATGCCCGACAGTCCATCGGAACCAGGCAGCCAGGAATATATGATTTGATCGATGGGACCCTAGGCCTCTAGACAAGATCCACTAGCTAACGCCGTCTCCATAGCCCGCGGCCCTGGCCAGCCCGTTGATCTCCATCAAGGCGCTCTGGTCCCGTTCGCTCAAGTCTGCGGAAGAAACCGCCAAACTCGTGACCGGCGATGCAGCCTCCTCGCTAGAGCTCTACTCGGCTGATTCTGGGGCTGGCAAGTCCTACGAAGACATACTAAAGCGCTCTGATGTTGACGGGGTCATCCTGGCCCTGCCAATCGTGGACCAGCCCGCCTATATCGAGAAGGCCTTGGCTGCCGGCAAACATGTCCTAGCTGAGAAGCCGATCGCCAAGGATGTCGCCACGGCCGTCAAGCTTATCGACTACTACAAGAAAGTGTCGGCAGAGAACAAGGCCACTCTAGCCATTGCGGAAAACTTCCGCTTCACCGATGGGTACACCTACGGTGCAGAGGAGATCAAGAAGCTCGGCAAGGTGACGGGCTTCGTCGTGAAGCTGAACTCTATGATGGAGAAGAGCAACAAGTACTACAACACGCCGTGGCGCACGACGCCGCAGCACCAGGGAGGCTTCCTCCTCGACGGCGGCGTGCACTTTACGGCTGCTATCAGGAAATTGTTGGGCGCCGAGAACGCCATCGAAAGCGTAATCGCGCAGACGGCCCTGGTGTCCAGCCACCTGCCTCCTGTAGACTCCATCAACGCCGTCTGCATGACCAAGTCCGGAGTCGTGGGTTCGTACATCCATTCCGTGGGAACGACATTGCAGGCGTTCGATTTCGAGGTGGCCTGCGAGCAGGGCTCCGTGAAGGCCGAGGGCGCCAAGGTGGTCACCGTTCGAGGGACCGGCGATAGCGCCTCGACTGAGGAGAAGACGTTCGAGCGGACTAGCGGGGTGAAGGAAGAGGTCCAGGCCTGGGCGGAGGCGATCGAGTCCGGGGTCCCCAGCCCCGAACAGACCCCGGAGCTGGCACTCGGGGACCTAGAACTAATGGAGGCCATGTTGACGAGCGGGGACCGCGATGGGGAGCGCCAGAAGTTGCAGTACCAATAGTCCTCGGTATCATAGTCTCTGTGTAGAATGCAAGCAAAGTGCGGGTGCATATAGCCTAGAAGTCCAGGCCTTGCTTTGCTAACGTGGTGAAGCTGAAGGCTAGTATCACATGAGCCTCTGCTATCGGAGTCACCCAACAGCATGGAGAAGTACTGTAAAATGAAGACAAAGGATATCCGAAATGCGAATCACCTCCTTCAGTTCAACGTACACTATTGGGATTAGCGCATTCCAAGTCCCTCGAGCGTAGCGACACAACGCTCCAATGGATCGATCATGTCGAAGCTGAGCGAGCTCTGGGGCCTACTTGTCGGGGTGTAATGGCCACCATCAGACCAATTGGTCCGGGGCGGGGACGCCCGTTGTTTATTCTGGAGCGGGCATTAGACCCAGACGAGTAACCCTAGTCGTGGCCGCTCTGACTGCCGGCGTAGATGCCGGCCGTAGCCCAGCGCCGCCGTGGTCCAGCGGACCCCTCATGACGTCCGGTTGCGAATAATCGACAGGACCGGAACAGCGATACGGTATGTAGGTGTCAGCTGGCCGGCTATCTAGAGCCGACGGTCCCGGGAGGACCGCAGTATCAGTCCCTTACCCACGATCAGGGGCTGGGGATGAACGCGATCCTGCTGACGTGGGAGACCGAGATGGACCAAATATTCGATATGATCTGATAGATTGGGGGAAGCTACTACACCAGCTCTGGGATCATGATTCGACGAGCGGTGGAGGCTGCTGACGCATGACTGGTCTGCGTTTAAAAGATCCTGCTGACGTACGTACATCATCGGCTGAAGCCGCTGGTCGAAGCGACCCTATCTTCGCTGCCGACGGTGCACCGACCCCTAGAGCCTTATGTTGCTGCCCACGTAAGGGGGTTGGATCTGAAAGTGACAACACGGCTTTCTCGTTTGTGGTGTGGCCCACGCTCCTATGTATCGCTTGTCTTTGGGCTACGCAGAGTCGGATGTAAGGATGTAAACGGTGTTTCGACCCAGCGGCCGTGTTCAACGTCTTCGTATTCACGATAGATGGGGGCATAGACTGGTGACAGAAAGTCATAGTTTGGAAGCCATATCAACCACCAGCCTCTCCAGTCCCTGTCGCAGCTGAGGATTCATCCCGTTGGCATTCGGCCTCTGAGTTATGCGGTCAACAAACACATGAACAAACTCGCCGACGCATTTGACTTGCCCGACATCCTTCTCGAACAGGGCGACTTCGTAGATGACGCTAGACTTGCCAAGCTTGTTGACGCGTAGGCAGAGCTCGGCGATCTTGGGGTATGAGATGGCGGAGAAGTAGTCGCAATGCGCGTGAGCCATCAGGGGATGCTGGTCCGAAGTGGGTGGGTGAAGCCCGCAGTACTCCATTAGATATGAGTTGATAATGGAATCGAAACTGGTTGATAGAGACTACGAGTTAGGCATAGGGCGCTGCTCGGAGAGGGCATTCTCACTGACAGGAAGTTATAGACCGAGTTGTTCATGTGGTCGTACATGTCGTTGTCATTCCTAGCGTCGCATGAGTCCATAGAAGTGCTTCGCCAAGCCAGTTCACCGAGAATAGCCTCACCATCGTGTCCGATATTCTAGGAGGAAAGGATAATCCTTCCGGCTTCTGTCCTTCAAATGCTTCTTGGACGCCATGTAGGGTAATGTTGTGAAGTGATTTTCGACTCAATGGTGAGTGAGGACGGACTATCTCCACGGGCATAGGGGAGTAGAAGAGTGAAATAGCATAAGTATTAAAGAGAAAGAACGGCAAACCCGACCAGACGCTCACGATGATCACCGCGAGCCGAGGTTCGCGACGTTTGAAGTGCTGCCAACTGGTGGCAGGTGCGCTCGAGCTGGCGGTGCAATCCGGTCCGGCAGGAGTGGTAGGGGTGGCAGGTATTGTCAGGCGAGGGGTGATTCTGCCCATATCCACCGCCAATATTTTCTAGTCAGTCAGTGAGAGTGAGGCACAGCGAGAGCCTTGCACAGCGACGACTTCAGCAAGACTACCACCACCTGCGAATGACGAATGACGATCATCTCCCGCAGGAAGCAACAGCAGTGGCGAACCAATCCTCGATATGCGCTGCACTCGCCCAAGCGCGAAATATCCTTCGGCCCATCATGGCCCAACTCACAGAGACACTTGACCATTCAGCAACGTCTGCTGCCATCTCGATACCCGAAGTCGGAAGCTTGTCCCTGGAGGACTCGAAGACAAGCAATCGAGACACACCACCACCTGCGGCTCCCGCCGGCGATGTGTTTCTAAAACCATATTATCTGGAGAATGGCTTGCGACGCGTTGCTCCCTACCACTACACATACAATACCTGGTGCAAAGAACGTTGGCGAGGAAGGGAGCTCCTGGACGTCTTCGAGAGCGAGTTTAGGGACCGCCCAGTAGCATACTACAAGAATGCCATGGAGACTGGAAAGATATGTATCAACGGGAAACCTGCGCTTCCAAACCACGTCCTCAAGAATGGGCAGTTGGTATCGCACAAAATACATCGACATGAGCCGCCTGTCTCCGCGACGCCCATAGGAATTATCTATGAAGATCAGGACATGATCGTGATCAACAAGCCGTCCGGGATACCTGTTCATCCTGCGGGGCGATACAACTTCAACTCCGTCGTGGAGATTATGAAAGCCGAGAGGCATTCTGAATGGATCGCCTACCCCTGCAACAGGCTGGACAGGTTGACCAGCGGTATCATGTTTGTTGCCAAGCATCCCAAAGCAGCAGAAAAACTTAGTGTTCAGATCGCACAGCGAACCGTTCGGAAGGAGTATCTAGCCAGAGTCATCGGTGAGTTTCCTGAAGGCGAGGTCGTCTGCAACGACCCTGTCCTCCAGATATCACCGAAACTTGGATTGAACCGAATACGAGCGAATGGCAAAACTGCGAGAACGGTATTCAAGAGGCTTGCCTATTATCCTCCGCGTGAAGCGCGGCAGCACACGTCTGAAGAGTCCGATGGCTGCCTCGAGGCACCGAGTCAGAGTTCTGAGGGGAGCGCACGGCCCTGGATGCGCAAGGAAGGATACTCAATTGTCCGATGTTTGCCAGTGACTGGGAGGACCCATCAGATCAGGGTTCATCTCCAGCACTTAGGTCACCCCATCCAGAATGATCCCATATATGCCAACCAAAGAGTCTGGGGAATACAACTCGGTTATAATGACCCCGATGCCCTCGAGAATACTGACGAGGACATCATTTCACGGCTAAACCGAATGGGAAAAGAAGAAGTAGCCGATGCAGTGGCCTATCAAGACGAGATGGTTGACGAGTATAACAAGAAAAAGGCGGAAAAGATGTCGGGCGAGCTCTGTGAAGTGTGCGATACGCCACTCTACACAGACCCCGGAGAGCAAGAGCTATCCCTATGGCTACATAGCCTACGTTACGAAGATGCTGGAGGCAGTTGGTGCTATGTGAGCCCTCTCCCTGACTGGGCCCTGCCACCCACCGGTATGAGTGGGCCTACCGAAGTTGGCGGGATGGGAGAGCTGGTCGACGCAGTTCGGGACCTGAATCCTGAAATTTCATGAGCACCTTTGTAAATTCGATGTGCCCTGAAAAGCTCTGTTGCACCAAGGAAAAACAAAAGGGTCTAGGTTGCTTGTCCAGGTTGAAACACGATCCACCTGAACTGGCGTAAAGTCAAATAACTGGGTTCAGCACGCGGCTACAACCCACAACGTGGTTGCGTGCCGGCTATAATCCACAACGTTGACCGTTGTTGCGTGCCGTGCTCGGCCCAACCTTCTACTAGCGGTGGAAAAGCTCATACCCCATGCCCCGTGCCCACCTCAAGCTCCTACAACAGCCTCTTTCTAGCCGGCAAACAGAGTTTGAACTTGCAGTTATAGATCCCGGTAACGACATCATGCTACATCACGACCTCCAACTTGCTCACCTTGGATCTTGAACACCGATTTTCATATGCTATTCCCGGGAATGCCACACAAGCAAGCATAGCTCCTTCTCGAACGCACGTGGCGAGGATCTGGCAAAGATCCCGTTCCGACTGGGATCCGGGCACGTCACGGGGCAACGATTGATGTATCTACGCGACAGCCTCACATGACCACAGCTCCCTCCTTGGGAGTGGCTTGTTACGGATGGCCTGACCCCAAGCGGATGCTACCTGGTCGTAACGGCTTATGTGATATGTGTGACGCGTGCGCCGTGGATCTATTACCGAAGTTGCTGTTCTTCGTGATGTGACGAGGAGTATCCGAGTGTCCACGCCGTTTTCTCGAATCGTGGACTGGCCAAGCGATGTCGCACTCATCGTCCACACTCCGAGTCTGCCCGTATCAACAAGTCAATCCAACTCTGCAACTAATACTGAACACTGTCATCAAGAGGTGAATCAGGGAGGACCAACCTGTGCACCACCCCTGTACGTTAAGGTGCATATGTAGCTTCTAATGCTCTAGAGCTACTGTACGCATTGCAGAATAGTGGACTTTCTCGGAATATTCCTTAGAAGTCATCGAAAGCCGCTGCTCATCGTCAGCAAGCACTACAGGTAGTCACGTCTTGGCTCTTGGACCAAGGCACTTATGACATTAGGCCTATACGATAGAGCAGAACCATGCCGTCTGTGCACGGTTACTATCTACTTTCTCTTTCAAGGAGAGAATGTCAATGTGCAATGCACCTTGTCGATGCAGAAGGCAAACAGATCTGTCCACATTCATTGTGGCATCCGATTCTACGAGACCCAGACCCGGTCTACCTGGTTATCATGATTGTTCCAGGCCGCCGACGAACACCGACCAGCGATGGCTAGGATGGAATCCCCGTCGCTGGCGGCCCAGCCATCCCATCTGGCCCTCCAATACCCTGCTTCCCACGCTTTCGAAAGCGTTGTGGGCTATCGTCCGGCCTTCGATGGACGCTGCGCCGTCTGTCATAGCGTAAAGTCTATTTAGGACCCCCGCCCCTGCGGTCACCACTTTGAAGCCAGATTGAGGGATCAACGCTACTTGCCGTCGTCTGGCACTCTTGCCCAAGGTATCTCTGGCACCGCCTGGCTCAAGCATCTGCTTGGGGTTGTGCCTACTCTGCTGGAGGGTGTACTCTGCTTCAACGTTGAGGGGTGGCCTAGAAACGTGGCACTGCTCGTGCTGGCAGCTGTCCGAGATGCCTTAGCGTCTGGTCGCCAACAATGCCATCGGGTACCGTATACACCGCCGACATACGTGTAGTGCCAGCAGGCTCCCGAAGACATGTCCGTGCTCGGAGTACTGGTGAACACCAGGGGGCTACAGGGGTTCCTTCTTCATGCCCCTGGAGTGGCCATCTGGATCGTGGTGGGTCTATGCGAACTACCCTCAAGAGCTGGATGCATGCACGCACGCGCTTCGAGCTGCCGGCCAGGTGTAGCGTCGCCCCATCCTGTGTTCGTCGTATATATCTGTCTCCTCATGACGCCAATGTGACCCTGACGAGTTCTGTCTTCCAACCTGACAGTCTTATATTCCACACGTCTTCCCTCTCTACAGCAGCTTCTATTGCTCCCGGGCAGCCCTCATATCGCTATTAGGCATGGCTTATACTGCCCATATCGTACCTTCATCCTCCCGGACCGCCTCTCCGGCGGCCTCGAGCCCAGAGCCCAGCAGCAACATGACCAAGGCCACGACAGATTCCACCAAAGGTGGCAAACGTAAGGGTATGCTCCAAACTGTGGTAAGTGGCGGGTGGAGAGTTGACTCAGCTATCTAGGTACCAGGAGTGTATCTACACTGACCCCTTCACAACTTGCCCGGAAGCGCGCCAATGATCGGGAGGCTCAGCGAGCCATTCGAGCACGTACGAAGGAGCACATCGAAAGCCTCGAGAGGGAATTAGATGAGCTTCGAAGTCGACACAACCGAGATCATGCTATTCAGGACCTACTCCGGAGAAACAAGGCACTCGAAGACGAAGTCCACCGTTTGAGGAACGGTCTGGGGATGCGCACCACCGGTACAAGTGGGCCGTACCAAGCTCGTATGTTAACGGCGCACCAACATGCCAACATTGCGGACAGTCGAGCTGACTGGTCTGTAGAATACAAGGGCTGCGACTCGGGAGCATCCTCTTTCGGGCAGTCGACACCAGAGTACTCCATGATGTCGGACATTCCGCCCCCCTACCACGGCATTTCTGCCACCACCGATGGCTGGCCATCGGCTGTGCCCTGCTCTGTACCTTCCAACGTCTCTAGCCCCTCCTCCTCTTCAGGGGCGAATGAAGACTTTGTATACTACCCAACGAGTGCCCCCTCTGCTGTCTTTGAGAGAACCAGCATACCGGCAACTTTGAACTCTCCTGCTGCCTCCTGCATTGGTAGTGATGCCGGCTTTGATGATGTCAAATCCGGTAAGTCTAGCGTTGAATTTTGATGATCACCACAGCTTATTCCTAACCAGCCTTCTTCTAGAGTTTGGATGCCCATCCGTCAACATCATGCCCCTAACTCCCAGCTATCACCATCAGCCGTGGAACGTGTACCCCGTGTACTACCAAGCGTCCCCAGCAGCCTTATAACTGGGCACCCACGACTGTGATGCGCCGAGTCTCGATCGGTCTATTATACAAAGATACAGTTTGACACTGGTCTGTCGGACTCACGAGGGCGCTATCAGCTGAACATCCTATCGGTGCGCATGCCACTGGTGGCTTGCGGAACTTGTATCCATTTGAAAAATTGGGCATTTTACTAAAACATGACGCGGCGTTACACCGAGTTGGGGGCTATGGTCACAGTAGAGAGACAACACTACTAGACCATTCTGGGCGGCGTTCCGGGGGTTTGAATTTTGGGCTTTGGACAGGGACTGGCTGGCGGACAATTGGGCACAGGAAGGAAAGGGCTTGGAAAGCATCGGCCGACAGGGAATTATACCATGGGAATTACGGAGTTCATGCATCCTTGCCACAGGGCGGTGTTTACTTGGCATATGGACTGGATACCATGAAGAGCTACTGGGCATCTTCCCGATAGGCTCGATGACAGATGAATAAAGATGAAACAAAACCGTACTCACATTTGGTCCATTACTTGCGTTTGTGCCATGTCACTCGCCTCCAACATTATTTTGATATCTTGACTTGAGTTAACGCAACATTCAAACGGACAATGGGTATAACGTACATCTCGCTTTGCCTGTCGGTCTCTACACTCGGCACCTGATACTCTACAAGGCTTCACCCGTCGGGATCTACACTCGGCAGTTGATGCTACTCTACAAGGCTTCACATGATCCACGATGCCGCCGGTCGATCTGCGTAGGACCCTGTAGGAAAACCCGGGGTATCAACCCCAGCTCACAACGTCTTGATCTGTGATGGACCACAACGCTGCCCCCTCACCTGGGCATCCGCTCCACAGGGGCTGGTTCGCGGTCGGGCTGTCGTCTAGACCTGCAGACGGAACAAGTTCCCCGGCTGAACACGGCCAGTCCAGTCCGTCTCACGAACCGTCGGCACTTCCGGGGCCATCAGAAGACGGATCGGGCTTGTCATTGGCGTGGCCGATCTACTAGAGATCTGGGCAGCTCGCTACTGATCGCCCTAATGTGCGCTTGAGCCTCGCAGCTGGTGCCCGTATGAGCAGACCTATGAGAGCCACGGAGGCCAGGCTCACCATGGCAGTGGTATATGCGCTAGCAAGCAGCTGGCGATTTGTCGAGAACCAGCTGGAGGTTGGTTCAGTCGATCGGAACTCGGCATGTCTCCGAGCTCTACGAGACAAAGGGATCTACCCGGCGGACCACGATCACCCACGCCCATGACCCAGCGCACATCAGATAACCCACCACAATCCAATCACCACAATACATCGATAGAGGACTGTCACGACTATGATTGCAGGTCTTGCTACGAGAGTTCGGATATAATCGATGGAAGCCCACCCCACGACCGTCCACAGTGGGATTAGGATGGGAAGAATAACCGAACGCCTACTCCTTTTAGCGAACGAACCGCGTCTCGCGATCCCCATTTTTGGTTTGACGACCACTGTACTGACCCGCCAGTTCGTCTGATGTCGTCTCGGGTGAAGGCGCCACTAGAGGAATCCCGAATACGCAAGAAGATGCGTTGCTTGCATCCTGTACCTATGTCATACTGACCCCCCACACGATCGCTCTCCTCTTCTACACTACAATCCCTCTTATTAACCTTATCTCCTTCTTCTCGCTACTGCATTAGCATCCATCTGACAAGGCTTCATGGCAGACGTCCATCAATATCCCCTCTCTTAGGTGGCTTTTGGCCAGGCTCATTTCTGGCTGACATTGCCACGCAGCATACACACATTCACGATAAGTGGATTGATGCCCTCATTCCACCTGCACCATCTGCATCGTCTATCGCGCATACTTACCGCACATAGCGGAAGGTAGCTTGAGGAGAGGCGGAAGAAACCTGGTGCATCTCACGAGAGTTCCTGCCTGCATACCAACTCAAAGCTTATGAATCCCATCACGCGCCCCATCACATTCGAGATCAGGATCCCATCACGCTCCTGTCACCCGGCACGTGAACGCGGCAACTCTATCATGGTGCTAAACTCTATCTAACTACTTCCAAGGTAGTATATAATATACGCGAAGCGTGACCGATCGACTGCATGCAATTCACAGGGTTGACCCTAGGGTACGGGCCCGGGACAGCGCCTACTCTACATCTACCTACGTCCTTTCTAGTCCACACGCATCTCACTATCTCCCAGACAGTTATCAGACATGGATATCCCTCCTTCACCCAGGTCACAAGTATAGCTGCTTTGCTTTGACACCTGTCCACTATATCGTTCTTGATGAGTCTCGGACATGCCTGCTCACCGAACCCAGCTGCCTTGTGTCTCGTTTGAGTTTACCTGTCGTCAGTCTTGAATCGGTTTTGCCTCATTCGTTGCCTCTTTCGACCACATTTCGTTCTTGAAACCAGGATGGGATGAGTGAATAGACACGTTCTAGAACCGCGTGGCCACCAGGAGACCCGTTCCGTCCTGGCCGGCCGCGATAAACGCTCCTGTGCCTGTCGAGGCCACGATGTCCGGGGTCGCCTACGGATATATGCAGAGCAAATAAACCTCGAGGTTCAACTCACCTACCAAGCATTTTTCTAAGCTACAGTGACAGGTGTGTCCTGTGTATCTCGTCGCATAAACCACAAGTCACCCCCGCCGGCCTTTGAAACTGCCGCCCAACCAGCGCCAATAGAGCACCACAGCACCCGGACCCTTTGGCAACGGATCAGACGCCAGCGTGCCGCATTGCGGTATTGCCGGCCCGGTCACTGAGAAGTTTGACTTATCTCAGCACAGCCCAACTGGCTCAGTCATTTGGTGCGAGTGTGGCTGGTGGTCTGGATATTGGGGACCAACTTTATGACACGCGACAATGATGGGGGGAAAAAGTATAAGTTTGACTGCCTTTCCTGCGGCTATAGCCGTACGCGACCAACGAACAACCGAGGTGTTCAGCAGCTAACCACCACCTATCCATCGATTGCGCTACATGTGATTACGTTCTCCCAGCAAGCAAGCGGGTGAACGGAGCACCCGACACCAGCTGAATCTGCAGGGTCCTGCCCTACCACTCTGCAAATAGAGTTTGGGCCGTTTACGCGTGACGGATGGGAACGAGAATGCTGGAAGCCAGAACGTTGCAACTCCCGTCCAAAAAGTTTAGATATCGCCATTTTGAGTTTGATCATTCCTTTCCCCATGGACTCGGCAAGCCATTTCCATGATCACTAACCCTCCCTCAACGGGCCCCCCCCTACGCGTTGCGTGGTGAGCACTGTTCACTTCACCTTAGCATCTGGCCTAGAAAGTTTCCTATCTGGGAACGGCGGCATGACACTCGCTGAGTCTACCCTGAAACCCATGGAGGGAGCTAGCATCAATCTCGTGGAAGTCTTCCAGAAGCCTCCTTTGCGCTAGGCATGACACACGACGCACGCGCGCAGCAACGGGTGTTTCGACAGATCCGTGAGTCCTTGCAGCTCTATCTAGGTCCCTTGCTGGACTTTCCACATGCTCTCAGGGCTCTTTACTGCCATGTCAACGCCCTGAGGATGCTCGATTGCCGACGCGCCAGCTTTTTGGCATCGCATGTCGTCTTCACAAACCGAGCGAACGACAGAACTGCAGACGGGCGCAGGTGTTCCCCGCCCAGAGCGACCAACGGACTAGAAGACCGGCTTCGAAAACCGTATGTTAAAAAGGCTACGACATATTGACTATGTCTTACAGCTAACGTTACTAGCTTCGTTATCATGCACGCCTTGAGCTTTGCCAAATTATACACGTACCACCAGCTGCGACGGAGACCTCCAGACGTGATCCAAGATTACGATACCTAACCGGCCGCCGCGGGTAGGGGGGAGTCCCGGGATGTCATTTTGGTAGAATGTTCTGTCATGCTATCATGTTGGAAAGTGATATCCCTGTCAGCATCGCCGCCCTGCTCAAAACGTGGCCACAGGGATTCGTGCTTTTGCTACCCACAACCCGCCCACGTAGACGATACTTCACAAGTACCATGGACTTTCACGCATCCTGCCCTTCAGTGCGCCGCGTAAACCCGTTCTGTACGGGAAGCTATTTAGGGTTTTCGCTAGGCGGCACGCGATGAACTACCAAGGACCTTCGGTTGCCATGTGGAGTGCCAACTCTGAGAGCTGTAGGCTGGCAATATAAGGTTCGTTCACCAGCTTCTAGTCCTGCTTCACCTTCCTTCTAGACTTGCTTCCTCGCCTTCTTCCCTAGCGGGGCGCTCGATCGTCAACGGGAACGTCATACCAGGAAGGCTTCAAGAATATTGCTAGAGCAAACCTTCTGGTGCTGGCTAGGACTCCTCAGCCCAACGTGTGGTTGGTTACCGGTAGGCCAGTCTGTGGAATGCCGAGAGGTCCGAGTCCTCCGGTTGCTGCTCCGCACCACCACACCGAGGTAAGCCGGACGCCCGGACGCCCGGAACGGACACCTGTATCCGACAATTCCTGGGTTACCTAATAAGCCATTTCTTCGTCTTCCACTGGACGGAGTTTCACCCGTCTTGTCCACACCTTCCATTGGAGGGTTATCTGCTCCGAGAGTAACTTATAGACTCTCTCTGGTTAACATCTGGGTTCGTCGAACTCGTGGCCTCGCAAAGAAGCGCATCGCACGTGAAGCCGTTGCCGATATACTTCTGTAAACAGTAACACGCCCGAGCTGCGGGAGCTGACTGATGTGGCTGGGGCGTCTCCCCTCTCATGGCGGAAGCTGGCGCGTACTATATCGCACTGACCGGGCCACCGAGGTGAGACTTACCTTAGAGGCTTTTCTCTAGTCCAGCCACTCCCATCTCAACGGCCGGCATACACCACGTGGTACAGATATCTCGGCTCACCACCCATCTTACCGATCATATACCTAACCTGCAGCCACCATCCCACATCTCACATCCCGTGACCGCGTCAGCAGTTGCCGCCGCTTTCGCGTTCTGGACTGGCAGGCAGCCAGCTCTGGGCTGTCCAGCAAGGCCTGCCTATAAGCTTGGCCGCTTGATAATATGATGCTATTCCAACACGCGACCAGATCACGGTAAAACCCAAATCGATGCTCACTCGGTCAATGTCAGGGTGCGGGCATTTTTATCCATTACGTGGGAAGTACTGCAGATTTCCCGAAAAAAGTGTGCGTAGGTAACATCGCAGAGTCCTATAGCCTCTCGGCAAATAGAACACCCCTTTTCCGCCTCTAACTCATTAGGTAGGCATTTTGATAGGCCACCGACTACGGCTTCGACCCCTAGTCCCCGATCTTTCTGTCTACTGCAGGGCCGCGCTGGCTCCGCGAGAGACGGCTGCCCCGTGAGCGAGCCTGAAGCTTTAATTATGTCTGCAGTAGGTGCAGACGTGTGCCAAGTCGTTGGACATTGAGACGGCTTCGTGGTAAGCTTTTGCTCGGTGGATGTAAGATGCAGGTCGATCCACGTTGCGGCGAGCTGGGCGGCGGGCGGGCGGTGTTCATCAAGTGCGAGGGATGGGGGAATGTTCTCTTGAGTACCCATGCCATTGGGTAGTACGACCTGGATGTACGTCTCTGTATCAGCGTCAAAAGATAATTGTTTGTTTTGTATTTAACGTGGGGGGTTGCTCCTCAGTAGTGCAAACCACGCCTCCCAGAGCCTCTGCATCGCAGGGTTGTAGAGGTCTCAAGATAATAAGTACAGTCAGTCCCGCTCACGGGCCCATCCCCGTTGTTGCGGCGGTATAACCTTGGGGTCATCCATCTGTTCCTTCAAGAACAGCTATCTATCGGGGACAGATTGTTAAAAAGAACTTGCTCTTCTCCACGAATTTTGCCCATTCTGTGCTCCTCTCCCCTAAGTATTGTAAACAAGCTGTCTTAGACGAGTACCTAGGCAGCAGCCGATTTTTCCCCAGTCTCTTACAAAAAAAAAATTTATTGTGGTGTTTTCTTCTCACCACAGCTGCAGTGATCATTCGAGTCTGTATGCCCAAAATATTCGTAATATCTAGCAAAGTCGCCATGTCCAGATCTGGCCGCTAGAAGTCTATATAAAGTACTCCTTTTAAAAGATATAAGGTCTTTTTTAGTTATTATATGTAAGTATACTTCTTGATACTTAGGTTCTGATCAGTCTTTTTACCATTAGTTGAACTCTTTCTTGCCCTTTCTTTTGAGATCTCTCTTGACCTAAGAGATTGTAGGAAGGTTTATCGTGTCTGTTTCTAGCATGGCACCCTCTTTTGTTAGTGTGTCGGTAGCTTCGTTGCCATCAATATCTCTGTGTCCAGGAATCCACTTGACGGTCATTCCAGGAGTGTGTGCTGTGGCAAATTATTAAAATCGTAGAAAAATGTTCTGTGATGTCTCGGGTGGAGTCCCATTGAACCCATCTACCACTGACGTGTTGTCCAGGCAGACATATAACTGTTTTCCGTGTCCAATTGCCCTGGCTGCTGCAAGACCTTGGAGAGCACCATGGACTTTAGCATCTATTACTTCTGCTTGAAGAAGTCTGCCCTTTCCCCGGTATACTTCTTGTGTAGTGCCGCCTTTCCTGATGGTATAACCCCATCTAGTGCGGGTTGTGCCTTGGTCGTCCAACTGTGATCCATCTGAATAAATGACAAGGTCAGTATTCACGTTTCTCTCCTGTAACTATTACTTAAAGAGCTCTATTTCTTTGTTTTTGTCTTTACGGATTGGGGGCTTCTTCCATAATGGCCTGGTAAGTATTGGTCTCTGGAAGTCAGGGACTAGCTGGAAGCTCCTTTGTAGCCTTGTTGGATTCTTGCGAGCTTGTATTTGGAGCCTGCCAATAAGAGGGTGTCTCTGGTCTATTCGTCCTAGTCAGAGGCTGTGACGTCGTCTTATTGACTCTGAAAGAACTCCTGCTGGGGGAATCTGCGATTTAAAGTGTAGGATATGTCCAGGGTGTGTTTTCCAGACTGGCAAGATAACCCTGATCGCCGTTCGTAGTACGGCAGCTATCGTTCTAAGAAGCCCCTTAATGCGATATGCTAATGTCCCACCTAAGCTCCCAACTTTCTTGATTCCTGGGTACCAGGCCTCCAGGCCGTGTGTAAGAATAGAAATAACACAAGCTTTCACAGCCCTCTTGGTTGACTTTACTGGAAGTTCTTTGACTGTGTTGCATAGTCCTCAAAGATGATTTGCTACCTTATTGGCTTTCTTAGCCCAGTAGGAAATATGATTTTTGAAGTTTAGTTTTCTATCCAGGAAGAAACCCAGCCATCGCATGGAGTCCTTTGTTATTTTGTTTATTGTCCCGTAGCGGACTGGAGGATTGTCTGAGTTCTTTTTCCTTGAGAAGTGCATGATCTCAGTTTTGTCAGGGTCAAATTCAATGATTGATTGATTGATTGTATTTATCGTGGGTGCAGTCCCTCTATAGGGCAAACCACGCCTCTCAAAGCCATTGCATCGCAAGGTTGTAGAGGTGTCAGTCTAGATACATTCAGATCCGCGCACGAGCCTATCCTCGCTGTAGCGATACCAACCTGGAGTGACCAGATGGTTTTAGTCAATACCCAAGCACGATTCCGTCAGAAAAACCTCCTGTCCAGTGACAAAGCGACCCAGTGAACCTCAGTCCTCTGGTATACACATCGTTCCAGTAGCCGTTTGATATATGTCGCATTGGTGGGTGAAATAGGTGTTTGTTATCTGCTAGCAAGGGAAACCACAAGGGGAAAAACCTCGTAGGAGTGGGTATTGTGGAGACAAGCTGCTTGGCTATCGGGCTCTGCGATAAGGGGCCTCTCCACTGTCGTGTGCTGGTTGTCGACTCGCACATGCCGGGTCAGAAGGGGGCCATAGCAGGATTTGAACCCACTTGTTCTCGTCGCCCACCGCACAAACGAAAACACAACCAGGCGCATTTGACCCTTGCGCCATACGGCCAAGGGTCAAATTCAATAGCGTTGTTATGTCCCCATTGACTGAGCAAATAAAGATTTTCAGAAGCCTCTATAGCTGTTTCCTTAAGGTTCTTTCTAATGCAGAGAGTCGCTAGGTCGTCTGCATATCCAAAGCGTCTCTTTTTTATACCAAGTCGGGCACAGATTGGCTCTGTATACAGCATGTAAAGGATTGGAGAGGCTGGTGAGCCTTGTGGTAGCCCACAAGTGAGAGCTTTAATATTGGTCACAATACCTTCAAACTGAACCCTTGCGGACCGCTCGGACATGAATGACTGGACCCATCTTATGAGAAAGCCCGGCCAGCCCTGTTCTCTCATACGAACCACCAGCCGTCCCATTAGGGCAGCATCAAAGGCCCCTTTCACGTCTGACATGACTACTGTTGTAACGAGGTCTTGGTCAAGGGCCTGCTCAATATCGTGTATGAGTGCAGCTACCAGGTCAGTGGCAGAGCGCTTTGGTAGAGCTCCAAAATGTTGTGGAGCTAGAATTCCAAGTTTGACAACAAACCAGGTAATTCTTTTTGCGATGAGTCGTTTTAGGCCTTTGCCAAGACACGACAATAGCGATATTGGTCTGTAGGCCCTGGGATTGGAGTAGTCTTTCTTGCCTGGTTTTGGGATCATCACCACCTCAGCTACTTTGAATGATTTAGGGTGGTGTCTGATCTGTGGATAGGTCTGGAACAGGGCTCTAACATGTTCCTTAATGACTGGCTAGCAAGCTTTCAGAATCCGTACTGTGAGGATGTCTACTCCCGGGGAATTGCTCTTGGTCCTTATAGTGCACCCTTCAGTCTCTTCTAGTCCGACATGGTATTCAAGGGGGATGTGTGGCTTGGGTTGTGTGATCTGAGCGGACCAGGGGTCAATGATATCGTTGTCTGGGGTACTTCGTTCAAGTATGGCTGAGCATAGCGTATTTGTCTTGCTCTTTTGTGACTCAGATATTTGGTCTCCTATAATGATTGGGGGGAACGCAATCCTACAAATAGCTTGTGCCAGAAAACGATTCTGTACAGGTCCTTTGGTTCAATCGCTGAATCAATTAGAGTTTGCCAGTACTCTCTCCTAACTTTCTGAACCACGCGGCGAAATTCCCGTCGGGCTGAATTCCGCCCTTTTTGGCTTATAGTCTGTTTAGAAAGGGCCCTGTATGTCTGAACAGCTGCTTTGTAGTCATCATTCCACCAAGCAGTGGGCCTAGATTGACGGGGCTTCTTGCCCACTGTCCTGATACAGCCTTGGATCATGTTGATCAAGTTTTGTGTAAAGGCATCTATCTGGCCAGGGGATACACCCAGCCGGGGGAGTTTATGAATCCTGGTTTAGACATTATCTGCCAGCTCTTGTAGTTTATCGTCCGGTACTATCTAATGATTGGCCTTGGAGACTCGGTCTAGATCTCCCTGAATTATAATGACTATTCGTAATGTCTTATGATCTAAGGTGCACTGAAGTGTATCATTGACTGAGGCTTCAGCCATGGGGACATTTGAGAACACCAGATCTAGTACATTTCCGTCATCATGTGTTGGGACATCTGGTTCAGAAATCAGATCCAGTCCGTGATCTGCCATAGTCTGTGCAAGTATGACACCACCATGATATCCTGGATTGCTCGAGTCCCAGGATGTGTTGCCAGCATTGAAATCTCCAGCTATAACACAGCCAAAAGGTGGAGTCCATACTTCCAGAATATCATCCACTTCCTGTGGGTTGTCACATAGCCGGTAGACACTGGCAAATGTAATGCTTTGTACCTTGACCCAGGTGATGTCTTGTGTAGCATAGGGCCAAAGTTGATCCGTTTAAAGGTATTTTCTTATATAGATGAGAGATCTGGGCCGTGTACTGTCGCTGTCCCAGGAATCCACTGGGGAGTATATATCGTAATTAGGGTGTGTCTTTACTCCCATTCTCCTGCCTGGTGGTATGCCAACCTAGGGCTCTTGCATCAGAATGATGTCTGCTTGTTCTCCTTTGTAGTCAGCTAGGTTAATGGCTAACTCTGTAGGGCCTGCACTCTTTTGTCCTCCTGCTGTATTCACAGAATGGATGACTAGATGCCTGTATCAATGTGTTTTGTTTGATATACCTAACATTGACTGACAATAATGGTATCGGCATCTCTGGGATGAGTTGTACCTGTTGTGTCGATTTGCATTGTGATGTCTTCGTTATTATTGCTGGGTATTGACCCAGCTTGGTTTCTGCCTGTTTCATTGAAGGCCTTAGATCTGGCTCTTTTTCCAGCCAGCCTTATTTCCTGGATTTGCTCCCATGTGTGCTTGTGGATGATGCCTTTCACAACCTTGGGGCGTGCAGGGCATTTGTCGAAGTTGGCAGCATGAGGTCCTTTGCAGTTGATACACTTTGGGATTGGTTTTTCGCACTCCTCCTGGTGTACTGTACTGGCGCAACGTACACATACTTGCTTTTCACATCGGTAGTTCCTATCATAGTATCTGAAGCAGCTCGCACACTGGTGAACCTTAGGGGAGTATTGAATGTGTCTTGACGTCATTAAGTGAGCAAAAAGCGTGAATGGTTTCTTTGCTGCACGGGGCAGAGAGATCACCCATGTGGTCTCCGGATCAGAATCAACTGTGTTCCTTAAGAGTATGCACCTTAAAGGTCTGTCACCTGTTTGGGCTTCAACTTCATCAGTAACAGCAATGTCGGTAATGTCGATTGTTAACCCTTCCGCACTGATGACCTTTCTTGGGCATCCATTGACCTTGTAGTGATATCAGACCGTATAGGTCTCGATCTTTTCTGCCTTAAGAATATTGGTGATTTCTTCTTGGAAGGCCAGGAGCTTAGCCTGAGTTGGCTTGTCTCTTAAGTGTAAGGTAAATCCGGAGGGGCACCGGGTCACTTCTCTAAGCTCTTAAGGGTGGAGCTTAAGTCTTCTGTTCAGTGTAGACCTTATTCTGTAAGGCTCTAGGTGGCTATTATCCATGCGGACAAAGACCCAGAGATTATCCTGCTTCTTCTTCAGTTGGTTGGCAGTGATACGGGCGCCAGGCTGTGTTTTTTTTATGGTAGTATTGACTGTCTGTGGATGCTGTTGTTGGCTAGAGGAGACAGCTTGGGCGAAGGTTATGGTGGGCTTTACTATCTCTATCCCCCCAGGGATGGTCTTCCTTTTTGGCGGATCTCGGGTTTCTAGCCACTCGCTCAGACATTTAGAGAAGAAAGCGTTGAACTCCTTGGCATGAGAGTATAGTTCGGTTCCAGCTTTCTCAAGTGTCTTATCAACTGCTGTAGCACACTCTTGAAACATTGTTATCCTGGCTTCATAAAGGTGCTTGTCTTTAGCCAGTATTATGGCAACTTGGTCCTCGCACTCTAAAGAGGAGGTTTTATTCCTTATATCGCGTGTAATGGCTTGGTCTGTCGAGATTTCGTTCAATTAAGGTCGTTTCATTCCAGTGGTACTGCTGTCATTGATATTTCGGGATTTTCCTTTCAGAGGGGAAATAACGGTGAAGTCAGCCTCAGAGACCTATGACGGGCTGCTGCTGATATCGTCAAGCAGCGCCTGGCGGAGCCTGCTCGGAGTTGCCGGGCCGTATGTCTTTCTAGGGGCCGGGGATTTGAACATGCCGCCGGTGGTCGTCTTTGGGACGGCCACGGGCGTGTTTGGGGGCCCGTTGTGGAAGGGTGCCATCCGGCTTGTAAGAAAAATTCTCTTGTGCCTTGGCAAAGATAATCAGTTACTGAGAGAAGTGCCTACTTTAGCGAAGATATCGAGGTTGCGCCCTAACAGCGGGGCGCCAAGAAAAATAGTTGTTTTCACGTGGATGATGCGTCAAAAGATAATGTCTCTGAGTTGAGGATCATTATCAAATCGATAATGGGTTATTTACGTTCTATAGACCTACGGATGAGTTCCGGTAACACTAGTATGGGGCGTGCCCTGAGTGTACCGTCGATCATCCTAGAAGTTATGGTCACAGGAAAGGGAGATTATCAATTGAACTGTGATTCTAGTTGTACTGAAATTTAGCAACATCAGCGCGCTCCTTGAGAGACAACGTCTTTGGACCGGCACGAAGTCACCAGCAGACTGCAATTACCAATTACTTGCATTGCTAGCATAGATCAGGCCTGTGCACCTCCTGGGGATTACTTCGTGGTCTTCCTCTTGACTACTTTTATACGAATGAGCTTGTGTAAGAGGGGTTCTGGACTGACTGACGAATCCGGACCATATGAGCGATGATCTTCTGCTAAGGTTCTGCTATGTGTGCTTCACAATGGGTCGGATCGAAGCGGCGACACAATGAGTTGTATGAAAACGCTAAAGTTATGTGACTACTCCTGGGTGAAAGACTGATGGAACAAGCACCCGTTGCCTTCTAGCAATACCCTTCTCTCCTCCCCTGCAATCTGTCTCTTTCATGAAACTCGTCTCATCCATAACAGGATGTTTCCCGTTCCAACGTCTAAGTACCTGAAGTAGAAACTCCGACCCTGTGGAAGAAGCTTGAGCGACTGCATTACTCGGTTGCTCCGCAGCAGCGGTTCTCTGAGCCTCGCAACCCGCCTCGAATTTTTCGATTATCCGGCTTTGGGATTCGACAATAAACTTCCATTGTTTCAGGAAGTTTGGTGGCACATTGCCTACCATGTCGCGAACTGCTGCATCAATGTCCAGTGGGAGAGGTTTCCATACAAGCTTTTTCAGAGCTGTGAACGCGTACTCGCGTCGACCAAGAAAAAAAACAATGGTAGAAGTAGTCGGTAATAAGATGGAGGCCTTCCCAAGTGGCTATGGTATCGATGTTTTCCCACGAGAATTGTTCCTCTGAGTTTTCCTTGGCGTGAGCGAATCGAACTTGGCATTCAATCTCCTCCGACCCGCCCCATCGGACATCGCGGATCTGATCATACTCCCATAGCAACAGGCCATCTAGACCGTACTTAGGATTCTCCTGTCTGACAATTGTTTGATGTGCTGTCACACTGTCTCCTGCCCTGGTTCGTGCTCTTGTTGGGCGGGAGATGGCCCGCGACACACGATTCTCTCCGTCAAGGTGGAGGCCTGCAGCCTTGGTTGCCTTTCGAACCTGTCCTTCGGTGGGAGCGTTCGCGGGTAATCCACCACTTTCTGCCAGACGCTTTTCGCGAGCACTCAAAGCTACTTCCAGTACCATCAAGAGCCCGTGCGTGTTGTCATCCACGCCACCAGTCAATTTCATTTTCGGTACATTTGGATTGAGAGGGTGATGGTTGATTTGGATTACCGCAAGTCCGAAACGTACATCCTGTTTGAAATCGCACAGCATGACTCTGAAGCCAGGTACGTGCCAGAACGAGGGCCGGGTGATTGGCCGGGTGATTGGCCGGCCGGCAATCTCGATCATTTCCAATAAAGCCGTTCTTTTGAAAAGGCCACTGTCGTAGTCTTTCTCCTCCCAGGATCTCTGTCTGAAAAAATCCAACTCCCGAAATCTAGTGCAGCCAGACAGCAAAGCCATGATACGTTGGCTGCACAACTAATTCATCCGGCTGCCTGTGTGGGTTTTAGACCAAGAAGGTGTGGTAGCAGTGGATGGCATATCGTCCGGGTCGGATAGCACCTTGATTGATCGAATGAAAGACCGTCGCAAGGGAGTGATCGCGGCGAGGAAGACATGCATATGGACTGGCTCGAAGAATATGAACGTGCTGACCTCGTAGAAGATGGGATATGTGGCGAGATCGACGTGTATTTCACGGCAGGTGCGTTGTAGCTCGGTCACCATCAGAGGGGCTTCGGCGGGCACCAGAACATCTGCGTCGTTGCTCGGGGTCTGCGCGCTGCGGTCGACGTTGTAACGCCCCCAACCGAATTTGCATGATCCTGCCTTGACCTGCCTTGGGAAAACATGTGCGGGCGTCGTTGGGGTATGCACATAAACAACAACGTACTTATAGATCTTCAGGCGGATCTGAAGACAGCATTAGCAGGCGCAATGAGTAGGACACAAACCCGAATGGGGTGTTTCCAGCAGTTAAGAGAGCCGCTGTATGTCGGCTCTGAAAGCCGGTCTGAGGGTTGATCTCACAGCGAAGCAAAGATTGGAAGCTGCCTTACCTCTAGGGGCAACCTGAAGAAATTGCCCCGTCTGGTTTTCCTGTAAGCTTCCAGGGCCCTTGGGCATGGAGGCTCCATCGGGATTGGGGCCGCGCCGTCATTCATGTTGGCCACAGTTGGTGAGCGCGGGACTGTGGAGCATAATCGATGCTTGAGCTGAAAGTGCAATGTGGCTGAGAGTTGATGATGAAGCTGTAGCAGAATAACGAGATAGTAGCTTATGTATGGATGTAGTACTGCACTTGATGGGCAATGGGATGATGTCGACAAGTCGTGGTCCCAAGGGCCAAGGCAGATGTCAAGTCATAGTTAATCGGAGATGTCATGTGCGCAGCTTCCTATGCTCAACCAACTACATCTTGCAGGTGGGAAGGCAGGCACTGGACACATGCATGATGCATTTGGACAGCACATGGACAGGAAATGCAGGAGCATGTTCATGTAAGGAGGAAGCAGCCGTCCCTACCACGCCCACCAACTTCATGTCAGCATGCAGCAGGTTCAATGTGTGAATGCACCAAGGAGCCTCCGAATACTCTGACTACCAAGACCTTAGACAGCGTGACTGATCTGGCTTGGAGGTGCTCAAGGCTCAAAGGTTGACTCGATAAAAAATGAAAGTCATGATGCCGGTTCTCCCCTTTTCATGGTGTTTCGACTGGGAGAGCGAGCAATGGCAGAATGGCACAACGGGCGCTAAGGTTAGTGGCTGTGTGGGAGCAGGTGGTCATGTGACCGAGTGACCCTGGAAGTGGCTTGCGCCTCGACTTTGACAGTGGCGCCACCAGCTGCTCATACGAGACAACCACATAAACTCACATCCAGTCCATTCTGATGTTCATGTGTCTGAAAACACTGTAGGTGAAGCTGTTGGTCAACGTTGGAAAGTTCGATACGCTAAGGTGAGCGAACCATCCTGACTCCTGAGGTCGCTGATGCTACTAAAAGTACACGTGTAGGTACCTAGTCATCAGGAGTCAGGATCGCTTGGCTGATGATTGATGTGCAAGCACTGGCTATAATTATCGGCCGCTACGTTTCACGGCCTGTTTCTAGGAACTTACCATCTTTACTTAGTAATTATACTGGATCACAGCGGGGTCGTTCCTTGTGATCGCCGCACAAGCCTTACCACCACAGCACATGATGCCCGTGGTCCTCATCAATCAATACGACGAAACCCTGTTCTGCGCTCTTGGTCTTCTCAAGTTCTCAATGTCATGTGGTCGCCGCGATACATCTCGCATGTATCGCCTGCCGCAAAGGGCAAGATGCTCCCCCGCGCGAAAGGTCCCTCGGCGGCAAGCTGGGGTTGCAATGCAGGGGTCTGGTTCCGCATCGTGGGCCTTGTTGACCATCTCATTGATCCAGCCATCCCATCTGCCCAGCAAGCATGACCTGGCGGTCCGATTGCCCGCCGTTGCTCCTCGGCCACTTGAACACACACGGCGCAAATGCTGACTGTCGCATGGCCTATTTCAGGAAGGCCGCCGCAGTGACGCACATGTATGATGTTGCTGGCCCATGATAGGATTCGTCCATCTGGGGACGCTGGGACCAATCGTGTGCCTGGTCCATGGTAGACCCCTGATGTCTGGTGATCCTATCCGTTGGCAGATCGCATCATTTATGCCACGGTATGCCTCGATACTTATAAAGACTCCCGCTGGACCACCCATCCCCGGCCGGCCTGGGAGGCGCACACGCTCTGGAAGACAGCGAGATAACTGGCAGGTGAACAGGAAATCGTGTTGCGTCCCCATTCTCCATTTACGACTTCACTACATTCGCTGTTCGTTCGTCTCGCTGAAGCTCTGGGCAATTCTATCACCACTAATAGATTGATATCCTGGCCATTAAATCAATACACGAATGCGAGCGGTCTGATCCAGCGCAGCTACATTTTCGAGTATCAACAGCTCTTCGGAGCCACCGCAAGATGCGTACTGCCATCATCTCGGTTCTCGCGCTTGCCGCGGGCTCATTCGCACTCGACTGCAACGGCAACTCAGCACTCTGTGATCGTGCATACAGCCATGTCACCTTCGTCGGCTCCCACAATGCTCCATTTCATGTCGACATACCCGGGTTCCCGAACCAACACACCAACGTGACAGCTCAGTTGAATCAAGGGGTTCGGTTCTTGCAGGCCGCGACCAAGAACAAGGATGGTGTCGCCGAGATGTGTCACACGTCGTGTGATACCCTGGACGCTGGGACCCTCGAGAAATACCTAGAAGAGATAAAGTCTTGGGTGGATGCGAATGCTAATGAGGTCGTCACGCTGCTCCTCACGAATGGTGACGCTATCAATATCACCAAATTCGACGACGCTTTTAAGGCGGCCGGATTGTACCAGTATGTCTTCACGCCAAAGGCCCAGCTCGGGTTGGACGACTGGCCGACTCTGGGCAAACTCATTAATGATGGCACAAGAGTCATTGTGTTAATGGGTAAGTCTCCGTTCCCACTCACTTCTCCGTGTGTTGGAGTAACACGGGTGGTATGCGACTAACACAAGGGACAGATTACCACGCAGACACTTCGGAGGTGCCGTACATTCTTGATGAGTTCAATACCTACTACTTCGAGACGCCTTTCGACCCGATTCAAGACCAATTATCGTCATGTGGTATTGATAGGCCTCCAGACGCATCAGCAGACGGGCGGATGATCCTCGCGAATCATAACCTCAATTACAAACTTCCATTGACTGACGACACTTTAATTCCCGAGAAACTCAGTGCGATCGACACCAACTCTGTCAAATCGATCATGGCACAAGTCGATACCTGCGTGGGCAGCTATAAACGATATCCCAACGTCGTACTGGTAAGAACCCTTCAGTTTGGAGCCCCGAAAGTCAATGGTAAACAAGATGTGCTTGAGCATGTGCTAATACCCTCTCGTAGCTTGACTGGATTAGTGTGGGCGACGCGATGAAAGCTCAGAACCAGCTTAACGGGATATAGATAGCCGCGGAACTGTTACGGTTTGAAGCCGTGGGGTGTTAATGATCTATCTTACTACATAATGAATGAATCTAAGTTTATTTCCTGTTAATGGATTTCCCAATAACAGGGGATCATGCCTGATGCCCTCTCAATGGAAGTGCATGGTATGAGTCCTGATAAGAGGGCTGACCACCAAGTTACCGCTGCTAGGGATATGATGATTCAAGATTATATGGCGTCTACACACAATCGCCAATGATGGTAGCTATCTAGCTCGGCTAAGCTGTCTATTTAACTGCAATCAATGTAACCAGCAGACATGTGGCGCTAGCCTCTTGGCCATCGGTGAAAGGAATCGAACCTGATAGCGACCAAACGTCCGTTTCGTCTCGCCCCGTCCCTTGCCAGCTATGAGGGACATAATGATCTAGAACCATATAGCATCTCCATACAAAAAACCTGATCGTAATAGCCATTTCACGTAACAAGTCAAACCAAGGTTATTAATGCAGTTATTCGTGCAGTTGTCGGTATAGTTATCGGTGCAGTTGTAGGTGCAGTTAGTTGCACTGCAGCTGGCTGGCAGGTGCGGGATGGAAACAAAGCACAAACAAGGAGTCTTAACAAGGTGCAAATAGCAGGACTCTTAATCAACACAGGCGTTGCTATTTATTGCTATTCAATCTCCTCTTTTTTTGTCCAGCTTGCATCGAGTAGTGAACCCAACTCTGTATGCATATGCCAGCCTTGAAGTCAGACCAAGCGACCAGACCCGAACGCCATGTCATGCCATCTCATTCATTCATGTCTACGTCCAAATCGTGCTTCCATCGTATCACACATATTCCCTAGCGTTCTGCTGAGGTCCCAAGTCCGCTGCCCCCGTGCTTCGTGGCTGATAAGCAGGAGCAGGCACACCAAGGGTTTCTACAGCTCTTCCACCGTGTATGTGAATAGTCTGTCCCTGTCCCTGTCCCTGTCCCTGTCCTTCTCCTCCTTGCCACGGCTGCATATTATATCCATTCGGTTCATCCGATACCGAAGACTCCTTACTCTTCTTCCAGCGCTTCTGGATGAACTTCTTGGTGATGATGAGGATGACCATGATGGGGAAGACGACAAGCACCAGCCCGGCTAGCACGTAGTCGTAGCCCGTCGAGAGAGCGAGTGGAAAGCCACTTTAGGGTGTTAGTATAGCGTCCAAGATAGGAGGGGTAGGGCAGATGGAAGCTTACGTGAACCCATTCACCACACCCAGCACGATGATAAGCCGCCCGAGCCAAACATGGATCGGTGCCATCTTCGTCTTCTTCTGCGTCTTCTTGAAGGCGCGGTGGTTCAGGAATCCCAGCGCGAATTGCGCAAAGATGGCGATGAAGATCAGGATGCCGATGACCTGGTGGGCAGTATTGAACTTCTTCGACTGTGGTTATGTCAGTTTCGCTCGACCTATCATGCCTCATAAGGTCTAGATCGCTAGATCAAATCGATGAACGATGGTGGCATACCCGATTATAACTCCCACTAATCTTGAACCCAAGACCCGCGCCCACGATGAACAGCACAACCGCAACACCCTGGTTAACAGCATGCCAGCGCACCCAGTCCCCCAGCCGCAGCACCAGGATGCCAAGCGGATATATCCCGACAAACACCGGAACCATGATGACCGCATGAGCCACCGCCGCGCTATCCCTCTTGCCCGTCTTCGACAGGCCCTGCACAGCGGCCACGGACCGCGTGTCCTCATCCGCCGTGATAGTCGGCACGCCACCCGGGCCCGTCGCGTGGACCAGGTCCATGGTGAAGGTCCCGTAGCTCCAGTGCATGCGCAGAGGTGCGGCGGCATCGTAGCTCTTCATGTCCCCCTGGTCACCCGTGGCGTAGAGCATGTTCTGCGCCGTACTGCTCACATCGATCTGCCCGTTAGTCCAGGTGCGGCAGTTGCCGCAACGGCCGTTGAAGACGTACGTGGTCTCGTTGACGAGGCCGGTGCCCGGGAGGGCTTCGATGTCGATCTCAGGGGCGTGGACGGGCTCCGAGTGGCCGTGGGCTAGACGCGGTGATATGGTTACGTTCTGGCCGGACGAGGAGGCGTACGCCATGAGGATGAGAGACCCGGCCATCTTGTTGGAGCCCAGGCCGATGGCGCCCCATGAGATGTGGATGGGGAATACGAGGGAGAAGAAGAGGTCTGTGGACGAGTTGCTCGGGACGTTTATGGCGAATGCGAGGTCCTGTTGGGGTGTTACGAAGACTGAGGATGATGTTGTGGTCGTGTTGTCGTTGCTCGTGTCTTGTGCAAGTGATGGTGATGTGAAGAATGATGCTGGAGTTCGTCAGTACAGACTCAACATGGCGCCGCATCACATAAAACTAGATATAAATCTTTGACAGAAGCACCCTCATCAACGTAAAGGACGTACCTGCAACGCCAGCCAGTGCCAGCCGGGCCAAATGAGAAATCCACCACATTCTCAGCTATTAGTCAGGTGTACCACGGCTTCAAGCCTGTGTTCAGTCTATCAGGACGCCACTACAGGTCAGACAAGAGCAAAAGGAGAAATGAAATGAAAAACAATGGAGTTAAATACCGATACCGAGCATGGCCTTCCCAGGCTCGGGTCTGGTAGCACTTAAGAACCACTCTCAATCAACCACCGACTAGGGTTCTCCATATTCCCATGTCTATTTCGATATTTCTGCATCACGCATGCAGCCTTAAAAGAGGCATCACGGCGGCCCGAGCTGCATAGGCGGCAAATGGGCGCCCATCAGCGACCTGTGGAGTGGGTGATTGGCCAGTCAGAATATGCGCTCGAGAATAGCGACGTTCATTGGTTCTCGTGGCGTGTCGTGATGCTCGCCAACCGCCGACGACCCCTGTAACCCCAGGCCATTGGCTTCAGGTTGCATCCCACTTCCCGGCGGGTAGGTTGAGATGGATGATCAGACACTGGACAATCATATCATTCGGTGCTTACAAGTAGGCCATGCCTCTGACGAGAATTCAAACCATGCCCATACGCTGATGAGACCCCTTCGTATGATAGCTTTGCGGGAGTCCCTGTTAAGACCTCTGTTGAAGCTTCCAGAGCTTAGAAGGCAGTGCAGAGGAGGTTCGTTGGTAAGCGTCCACGAGACCAGACTCTACCTACCATGTCTCAATCATTGACCACTTGTGAGTAAGTTAGTCCCATTGATCAACGCGTAGCAGTGGTAGATCTCAGAAGTACGGAGCCAGTAGTCTCTGCTATTGCCCATCGTCGTCACGCCATGCCTCGACTCCATCCACATTTTCCGAGGCCCGACATCCTCTCATTGCGACAGCATTCATTATCTCGCGACTGGAAATGTCGCTGGAAAGTGACGCAAAACTGTGTAAAGCCTTGGTTGATGCGAAGTTGAATTTGTTGGCGGCGAGGATTTGTCAGACGCCGTGCTCTGGTTTCATTCCGTCGTCACTTGGGGGCACCTGGTTATCACCAGTCTCCCACAGGTTCGTGCCTACTGATGCCGCGTGGCCCAAAAGAGCATGAAGTGAGAATGAGGAAATGTACTCTGTTTGCCGCCGCCTCTCCATCTTTGGTAGATGGATCCTCCCGGACAAGGGTGCTCTTAACAAACAAGTCTCCGAGCCTCGTAGTATGGCTAGCCAATTCGCCGTAAACGTCGAGGTCTAGTTGATGTCTGAGAGGGCTAGAGTATTGCAAGAGGCGCATCATATCAGATTCTGTGGACGAAACTGGGTAGAGACCGAAGGCGATCGTTTGTTTATTGAAAGCCAGGATGATGCAGAAAGATGAATAGGGGGGGTTACTACACTGCACAGTGAACCTCGTAAAGTGGTGGCGCTCTACCTTGAAGATACGAGGTTTAAACTGCATACAGCCGTATTGGGTAGACCAGACTACGTCGGCATCTCGCCGAAGCAGATGAGGGCGCTGGGCTGCGTGGAGGAACAGGAAGGGTCTGGGGCTCAGTATATCACCCAAACTAGAGACGCAGGAGGATTCTATCTTCACGACACTGTAGCCGTACCGGGCGGCGCTGCCCCCGTACTGGTCGGGGCTGCGCACCAAATTCCGGTCGGCCGATCGACAGACGCTCAGGTCCAAGGGGAGATCCTGTAGATGTATGCCGCCCAGTCCGAAGCGGTCCAGTTCCAACTGAGAAGGCTTTGTGGACACGTATATAGCCTCGCTTTTCGCGTTCATTCTCTCGACCAAATCATTCCCTTTCAGAGTCGTGAAGTTGAGATCAGGAGTGGCTAGTCTCGTATATCTGTTCTTGGAGAGCCGATGCCGTTCAGAAATCTGGGGCGCTCGAACCAGTATAATCAAGACCACGGTATTACCTGAGTCGTCTGACGTGGTGGCTGCAGCATTCAACGAAGCGTGGAATACTATACACTCGGGATTCCCGCTATACAAGTGGGATCCCAGACCGAAGTTCTGTTGCGAGATATGCAGGTTGATCTGAAGCCCTCTGTTGGTGACCGCCGAGGGCGCGCCAGAGTCGAAGTAATTTCCTTCGATATGCCCGGAATGGGCGAAGTCCGCGGGAGACCTCGCAAATGCACCTTCCAGTGTCCATGCCCTGGGACTTTCCCTTGGCACCGTCCATGCTAGTAGTGACTGGTTGTCGGTCTCATTGAGGATCTCTGCCTGTAAGCGTGTGAATGCTGTTTGGCCCTCTCCGTACATAAGCGGTAGGTTGATACCAAACAGGCCAAGCATCGAGTACGCCACATCCTCAATACGCGTGCAGGACCGGAATGCCGCCCAGGACATCTTCTGCGCAGCGCTATAGGCGGATATGGGCTTTTCTCCTTCTAAAAGCTCTTGGGGGATCGCAGTGATCCCTTGGATATCTGCGCTTACCGAGTCGCCCTTGGCTTGGCCCCATCTCTTGCGTGTTCCAATGAAGGTCCATCGATGCCCATAGAGCTTGACACGCTTTGGGGCGATCAACTCCTGGAGAGTCCAACCGCGCATGAACCATCTTGACGCTCGTAGCGATGCCTCGCTTGTGTTCTCTTCATCGTCGAGATACGCATAACACTCTTGCGATCGGCCATACCACTGGTACATGGAGTTGATTGCCTCGCTCAACTCCGCGCTGCTCGTCTTGTCAATGCAGCAAGTGTCGATCCATGCCCACTCCAGCCCGTCGCGCTTTGCTTGCTGGCAAGTAAGTGTGATCTTCTCGTAGCCTAACCTGTCTCCAGCGTTTCCAGATCGCATGTCTTGTAGCGTGACCTCATCTACACCCCACGTATGGGAGAGGATGGCGTACTTGGGAATATCATGCCCTATGAACTCATGGAGCTCCAAAGTGTAGACATGAAGGAGACGCATCGTGGTTGATGGATTGATGGGGAGGTGATTCGACGCATGAATGCATGGAGCATCGAAGTGTGTCGCGCGTGGGTTGGTGAGGGGAAGGACAAATGCGGCCCCCTGAGGCTGACCTACATATCGTGAGCTCTCGTGCTCCGATTGGCTGCCAGGTAGTGCTGCCAACTGCCTAGCAGGTGTGGAGGTAGAAACAAGGTGCAATCAAGGAATTCTAACAAGGTGCGACTTATTTTATTATTAAGCTCTTCGACCGCAAGGAAAGAGCTAAACCAAATACCCTAAAATACATCGAAAAGCAGAGCCCCCGTGCTGTACGCTAAGTACGAATAGCATGACTCTATATAAAACCCCGAGAAACAGTATAGCTACACGGTTACCCCCTCAACCTCCATGGTCATCACAAGCCCGAATCAGTCTTCCGGTAAGAGTCGGTCGCAAACCAGTCCTCCCACGCAGCACAGTCCGGCTCAAGTCTCTCCAAGTCCATGAGCGCAGGGATCTCACTTCGGCGCTCAAGAAACTGCACGCTGAGGCCCTGCGAGACGTGCCATGCGATGTGGCAGTGGAATAACCACGCGCCCGGGTTGTCAGTGACCCAGGCGAGCACCATCCACCCGTTGGAAGGAAGCATGGCGACATCGCGGCGCGTGGGGTTGACGAAGTTGAGGCGGGCGAAGTCGGCGACGGGGTCGAAGGTGACGGGCTCTCCGGCTGAGTTGGCGACGTCGTTGGTTCCTAATATCAGGAAGTCGTGTCCGTGTAGGTGGATGGGATCTAAACCGATTAGCCACTGCCGTACGGGTTGGCGAGACATATGGTACTCACGCGGCACGACGTTCTCGTTCTGCACTACCCAGAAGGTCCACTGTAAGGATTTCGCGTCAGCGTCAACGCAGGCAATCTCATCAGGTGAGATTTGGATAGGATTGAAGCGGTCACCTACCACGTTCGGGTCGTCGACTACTATCACATTTGCATCCTTGGGATACGAGGTGTTCCTCTCCCTCACGTATTGTAACGTAGGTTTGTCCCACGCGATGTTGATGTCCTGCGAGTTGACCTGCCACCTGAAGACTGTTGCATTGTCGACGGTGGGTGTGGTCAAAGTGATATCCAGAATGCCATCACCCGAGAAGTCGGCAGAGGGTGCCGTGCGGCTTACAACGGGAGTGAACCCAGTGTTGTCAACACAGGATACGTTGGTCAGGGGCACCCCGGGTTCTTCCGGGATACCTGCTGGAGCTCCTTGGTAGGAGAATACGGCAGCAGGAGCCAAGTTCTCGGACGTCCCACAGAGACCGCCTAATGCAAGGGTGGCGTTGAACCAGTAGTTATCAACAGCCTGGTCGGCTTCTATGATGACGTCGTAACGCTGGCCAACGGCGACGAATAGTGACTCGACGACCAGGGGCGCGACGGGTACAAAATCAGTTGAGATGACGGTGAGATTATGCCCGACCATGGAGGCAGAGAAGTGGTTCTCGGCGGAGGTATTGATGATTCTGAGTCGATGTCTTCTTCCAGGAGTCAAGGTAACGCGGTCATATGCACCGCCACCAACGTCCGGATCGGAGTTGATGTTGGTCCCATTGAACAAAACGTTCGAGCTAACTGGAGGACCATTCGAAGCCAGTTGAGACGATCTCTCGAGCTCGAATGCGTGCTGGCGGTACCAATCTGAGATTACGTACGGTCCTAGGTCGATGTCGTAATTGGCCGATGCAGGACCGTTGATCTGGATGGCGCCGACTACTCCTGCGGCATACTGAGTGGAAAAATGGGAATGGTACCTGAGGTGAATTAGAGAAATGACACTCTCGTAATAGGGGTGGTACGTACCACGACGTCCCGTACTGGGCAGCTTGAAAAGTGTACGTCTTGGAACCTCCATCGCCTGGGATCGGACACTCTGTCAGGCCATTGACGCCATCCTGCATGTTCGATCCCATCTGCCGCATACCATGCCAATGAATGGAAGTCCCGTTGTCGGATAGGTTATTATGAACATTGATGATGAATGTGTCACCCCAGTCTGTTGGTACGTAAACGGACTGAAAGGTTAGGTAGTTGTGTGGGTGGGCTGGGAGACTTACCACCGATGATAGTTGGTCCTGGAAAAACACCGTTTATCAACATGGCCCCCCTATTAAAGCCGTCGGGGCTGAAAGAGGTGACATTGGTGATGAACAGGTCGTACTAGAATAGTCCTAAGGTCAGCTTTTCTGCCAGTGCCAGTATCTCATCTCTTTGCCAAGCTCGTCAATTCGTTTGTTAGGGTATTCATACAACACGAGTTATCCCACGAGGGGTGATCCTCTCATAGTCAGTGTGGATATCGAAGCCATGTTGCCAACAGCCCCTGTCATCGGGTGTGTTGCAAGTTGGACCGGACTGGCGAGGGACCAAATCGTTCGTGGCATGGATAGAAGTCGCAAGCGTTGCAAGCACCAAGCCCGACACAAGGTCTGACACAAGAGTCTGGCTAAACTTCATGGTTGACAACGAGATGAGGAGAGAAGGTATATCGGAAGAATCAAGTGCTCGCTGTACGTCTCAAGACGGCTTATACCAAGAATGGCAGGCGGCCTTCCGGTGGTTTATAGACGACGAGGGACACTTCGGGACACATCTCCATACGTCTTGTTCCCTTCACCATCGGCATGTGTTCAATAGTCCCAAAACACTTGCAGGGGATAGCCCGAATGGCCCAACGTGACCAATGCCAACCCGAACAGAGGCAAATCTCTGGTGCAAAGCCGTATACCAGCTTGGTAGTAGTTCGCGACGTGGGCCGAGAACTTGGGTTTGTGGAGGGGTACGAAGGAGAAGGTCAAGCAACAACGAAGAGGGCGTGTGTCACTTTACTTTAAAGACCTCAAAGGGCGTCAGGCGAGGCAGAAACCATGTGCTATCTCCGTCATAATCAAGTTTCTGATCATCATGGTTTTATCGGTGGCTTCTTGGGCGATAACTGGGGCCAGGAGACTCCCTCCACCAAAACTGTTTCACGTATAGGAAAAGGCATGACTCTCAAGTGCCAACTCGATCTTGTCAACTTGTTCGAAAAAAAAGGCTCGGCCCGGCGTGCGAACGTGTTCAATGGTATTTGGGTATGGCTCTTCCCTTGCGGTCGAAGAGCTTAATGATAAAATTAATCGTGGTGGGTTAGCAAGTGATAGGGCAGCATTTGGAGACAGCTGAGCCGCGCAACTTGAAACCAGTGCCGCCCACGCTGCCATGATACAATGTTATGACCTGCTGCTTTCTGCTGGTTGATGCGCGCGCCGGGGGCTGCCGTCCGTGAGATGGGCAGTGCCGATGTTGAGATCCTTCCGCTTTGGGCAAAGCCGAACCCTACAATTTCGCCACATATAGCATCGCCTGAAGATTTGGATGCGAGGTTTGATGTCCCGGGTGAAGCTTACAGCATATCAGGAGTCTCAGCTGCACCAAACATTGGACAGTTCGTATTGCTTGACCCCTTTCATCTTCGGCCTTCAACCTAACCCCTTGAATGTTCAAGGCTTTGACTTCGTCGAATACCAATTCCAAAGCCAATTCATTCATCATCCAACCAAATTGTGGGAACACTAGCTGCAACTTACACATTCCTATTGCTTGTTGTTATACTTTGATTCGACATCGGGGAAGAAAAGAATGCTGGTCTTTGTGAGCATGAGAATAGTGTCCTTGCGCTAGGGCTTGCGCAGCGATCAATGTAGCTTGCAAATCGCAGCTTCACGACGGTCACACGTCCCAGGTTACCCGACTGCGTTCTTGAGTTCGGCAACAAAGTGTTGCCCGTCTGAAATGCATCTGGATAGGAGACCCGCCTGTTGGAGCAGCATCGCAGCCCAATGCTATCATTGTGCTCCCAATAAAGCGCCACAGACTAGACGTCACCCTCGTCTTAGATCATGCTATCAATGACTGTCTCGATTCTTCTTTACCGGGTCGTGCCGTCAAGCTATGTCACGAACTGCATGGACTTACCCTTGAGGCAACTTTGGATGCCACCATTACAGAAGCCACTCCGAAAATGCACATGATCGGTCCTTTCAATCTCTTTAGGTTGTTTGATAGGCTCTGTTACTGTATCGCCCAAGGTCACGATGGTACCCAACTATCTACTCGCGAATCCTTATGCCCGCGGTGCTGGTTAGGTGTGCTGAATGGTATCGGTCCCGAGATGCGCTCCCGAAATTGTCTCTGGGCATTTCGTGGGTATCAACGTCACACACAACTACGTTCCCATCCAATGGACTGATTCGGCCTTCCATATCTCGATAGCAGAGTAATGTCTGTCTTGACTCGTTGGTGACACGACGTACTTAGCGAGGTCAAGTTTATTCAAAATTACAATTTCCCTGTATATCTGAACCCAGCCAGTCAACGTCGTTCCCGACTCTCGGAATCAGGATATTAATCTGCTGTGTCACTTGTAAGTCAAGTTCGCTGACAGTTAAGCCACATTTACTTCCACATGTACTGCTATTCCGTCGTAGGTCCTCATCATCGTCGATGGTAGACTGTGACTAGACGATAACTTAGCAGCTTGGCTAATACTTCCCAGGGGTTGGCCCGGCTTCTGGAGGGAAAGAGACACCATCTCCTCTGCTATTCATTGGAGTTGTGTGCTACGTACATCGAGTCGGCACCAGTCTACCACACGATAACGGCCACAGTGTAAGTCGGTTCTCAAAACATACTTCTGGCCCTGGCTCTACCTAGTCTTCGTGAAACCCTTTAAGACAACGTGGTCATGATCAGGCTGGGCGCCACTTCACGACCCCCACTCCATCTACTGTCTGCAACGGTGGTAAGCCTGGTGCGACTATCACGATCACGAGACCGTACGCCACTGTCACACAGACGCCATATTCTACTCGAAAAATCACGCGACAAGCACTGTCGTGGTCTTGTACGTCCTTTTCCTACGCGAGCTCTGTGTCTTGTTTGGTCACTGTCTGCATTCGAGGAATCCAGGATGCAATGTGGCATTATTGTGTTCCCCAGTCTGCGCCATGATGCCCAAACTGGCGGCTGTCATCTTCCTGCCTTGTGTATGCTGTGACAGTTTCCCTTGCTCAATCAATTTCCATCGTGTTTCCCAGGGCATACGCACCTGCTCCAACTTTGTCAGCTCATGTCGGCGAATCAACTCGAAGGGCATGGAGGTTACTAATATAACGTGTCACTCCTTAGATAAGAGACAAATCATACTGTATTAACGAATTCAGCGAGCGCAACAGCGTGCTGGAGTAGTGGAGGGTGGATGGGTGCCTGAGCGAGCATACACGAACGCTACATGTATTGCTCATGGACGGGTGTCGCACTTAGGCTTTCATACACCCATTTTGCCCTATCTTCAAGCATGGCTCCTTCCCGGGTGCCATGATTATCAACAAGATCGCCCCTACGCTGGTCGTAGATTGCTCCGTCGTCATCAGGCCCCTGAGTAAGAACCCCTTCACCTACCTCGCACAGGCCAAACCTGCGTCTGGTGAGTCACAGCACCCCTCTTTCTCATTCTCATCCTATTACTGACCGCGTCGATAGCGCCAATCGTCTGCATATACAGAAGGACATGGCAAAGGGCTTCACCGGCAAACTGGTTCAGAAGGTCAACGCGCTCGACATGGGCAACGGTCTTGGGCCGTTGACGACCCGGGGCCCGCTTGACAACGATGTGGCGTCAATAGGGCAAGATTTAGCGCGGCTGAGGCGCCGTTTGGATTTGTCAAGGAGAGCGTTTACGGCAAGGAGGGCAGTCTGTACGGCCTGGCTGAGTACCAGAGCATCAAGTCTATCACTATCGATAACCTGGATTCATGAATCTGGTAGGGTAATTTTGACACGTCGGCCTCGCGGCAATTTATACGATGATACTGTTTCGCGTGTTGTCTTGTAGACCTACCTTGTAGCTTCGGGGTGTTTACATTTACGTGTCAAAGAAGTGAGGATCTACGACGCATACAGTTCAACTATGCTCACTGTTGTAGAGTAACACGTCGATTTCGGGCAAACTCATACAAGAATCCACGCACATGTATCGATAAAACCAAAATGCCAAAAAAAAGCAGTGCCGTGTTTCATGTACTAGCTACTGATATATAAATGAAATCATGGGGCGCTCAGTCTGCCCTCTACGTACACCGATCCCCTTCCTATGCTTGACCTCACAGTCAATGTCGTCCCCACGCGCGTCTGCAGTGTTTAGAGCAGAATCCATCCTCCGTGGGAAGAGCCCAATAGTCGTCCGCTATATTGTTACAGTCTGTATGATTAACTCACAGTACTATGCGGAATTCATTCCTACATTCACAGTAGTCTCATCTTTCTGACCAGTTTCCCTGACTTTTACCAGATGTATTCTATTGTGACCATTAGTATTCTACTGACTCAGCTCCATGGCCATGGGAGGACTTGCTCGTGTCTGAATCCAATATTAGAGAACATACCCCTGAATACCACCCGAGCCCTTGCTCGAGGCTGTAGAAGTCGGCATTACCAGTCCCATCAAAAAGGGGCATGCAGCACGTCACTTGGAGTGGACGTACAGTGTCAGTTCCATATCAGTACTTTCATCTCTATCTGTTGTTCTCGGAAAAATAAAACGACACTGACGGTCAACGACAGTATCAGGAAACTCGATGATGCATTCTCGTGAACTCTCAAGTTCACTGCCATAAGCGAGCTTGAATGAGACCACTGTCATAAACGAAATCCTGATTAATATCATCGTCTCTTCCTATCTCGATACCATATGTATTTTTTTGATGTAAGCGCTCCCTTTAGACGAAGTCAAGCCGGACGATATCATCAACTCAGAGCAGAGCAGAGCAAAGGCTATTCACGATAAGTTCCCCCTCTACCAGCGGCTCGTCTTGAACGAGCTCAGCTGGGATGTATAAGTCCACCCCCATCCTTCCGGGGTCTCAAGTAAATGGTTTAGACCACGTGGAGAGCCCCCGTAGAACTCAAACAGAAGAATGAGCCTCGGCCATCCCCGTGTCACGGCAGGTCACTATGCCAGGGCCCACCACAGACGGGCCAGCATTGGTCGATGGCAGCAGCAGCGGCGGCGATGGGCGGCGAGTCTGTATCATGCAACCAGACGAGTGAAGTGCACGGCCTGGGGTGACCTTTCGAAGTGTGATGAGTGTTAACATTACTCCTAATCTCTCGAGAGCCGCGCCGATGTCTGATTCTGGGTCACACATATTGTGGGTGAGGACGAGCCGTGGTGACGGGTACGGGTGCTGGAGACTCGGAAGGATATAAACCGGTAGCGGTAATATCGGCAAAATCGAACATGCCTGAATTCGCAGCGCCGACGGGCAGGCTGGGTGATATTGGGATTGATGGTCCTCGCTGTAGCCGGCCGAGTGGTGATGGTTGCTGGTGCTGCTCGTGCTCTATAACGTGGTGAAGACCCCTTTCGAGATACGCAGATGGCTCCTTCTCCTTTCTTTTGGAGGAGAGAGTCGGTTCGGAAAATTGAAAGAGTTGAATCAAGGAAGAAGAACAAGAAGACTGATAGATAAGGTAGGTGGAGCTGTTACATCCCCATAAATCTAACGCCAGAACAACCTTGATGGGCACCCGGATGGCCAGTTTCCTATTCGGACCGCACCTCGCCAATCACATCATGTACCAAGACCCCCTGACCTCGAACATAGCCCCATTCCCGTCCTTCCCGTATCTTACCTACCTAGATAGGGCTGGATTAGGCGTTCGGGTGCCTGGTTCACATGCATGCTTCTGGGCTTGGCTTCCACGTGGGTGGGCTAGTTTCCGGGGTTGAGAGCCGCAAGTTTGACGACATGTGTCGTCTATTATACGGTGATCTTGTCTGGCCTTGGGAATATAAGTTTATTCAATGGCTGTTCAGTCAAAGAACACCGGTATCATGTTCGGTGTATTGCATTAGGTATGCCTTCAAGTGCCTAATACGTGCTCTACGACTTGCTACGTCAGTCACAGAGTGGCAAACAGCACCAGATCGAACCAAGTACGCGGTGATTGGGAGTTGTGAAGTGAACTTGTATCACCGGGAACTGGAGACTCTTCATGTATGGGAACTTGTTACTAGGGTAGGTTCTGTTTTGGCTTTTCGAGCTTCTATATATTGACAATCCCAAATCCAGTATATCCCTCTCCACTGTGCTATCTCGAGCCATTGATATGGAATGTTTAGTGGCCGGGCATGTGCTCGAAAGCCTTCTCGAGGTGCTCGGCGCAGAAGGGCAGCTTGCTGGCGGTCCAGATCTCGGTGTCCTGTTGGAAAGATATGGTCAGCTGAGGAACATGGAGCTAATCGAGAATCGAGGTTCCTCTCGGGGTATCACGTACGGGCTTCAGGGCCTTCTTGTCCTCCACACTGAGGGTACCGGCCTTGAGGGCGATGATCGGAGGGGCGGCCTCGGGATCGTGGTAGATCGGGGAGCCGCACTCGCCGCAGAAGACGCGGTGGACAGCCTTGCCAGAGGAGCCGGTGCCGGCCCAGCTCTTGGTGGGGCCGGAGATGTCTAGCTTGTCCTTGGGGACAACGGCGACCAGGGCTGTCTTGTTAGCCATGGTTCCCGGTTGGACGAAGAGACTCCTCGGGGAACGTCGACATACAGTAGGTGGAACCGGTCTGGCGCTGGCAGTCATCGCAGTGGTCGTAGGCGACGGTGTAGGGGGCCGAGTCGACGGTGTACTTGACCGCGCCGCAGAGACAGTGACCAGAGAGACCCATGGTGTCTGATTCGAAGTATAGTGTGTCGGGAGTAGGGTAGGTGCTTTGGTTGATGTTATTGAGTAGATGGCTTCGTGTGTGACTAGTGAAGAGAGGGAGGAGGCTACAAAGAGAGGGGATAGCTCGGCTTAAATAAAGGTCTCAGGTCAACGATATGGCCAGGAAGGGATAGAAGCAGGCGACTAGGTTAGCATTCCCTGCATAGATAGCTCCTATGGAATTCAAATCGGAAATCAAGGGACCAAGATAGGTACACGGAACTTGCCGGGCCGGGCGAAGGCTGCCCACCAGAGGCGAGGCACATCCATGAATGCTGCGTCGGTAGGAGACAGCTCCCACTTGATGTTGCCAACTACATGTGATTGTCTGGCCCCGTCTGACATGCATACATGTAGTACATTCTTTCGACCGCGTAAGCAGGCAGAGCATTCAATCAATGGGCGGTGCACAGTCAGCGTAGCTCTCGAATGTACAGCACAGTACATGCCACAAAATGTTTCGGACGACTATAGCAAGCCGAGCATGCCGAGCTCCTATGACGGGCAGCGGCGGGGTTGTGAAGCTGAAGGATGGAGGGGTTGAGGTACACCCTGCCACCACGACGTCAGGTTGAAGCTACGGTGCGACCTAGGTTAGCCTAGACGCAAAGCTCTAGCGATTTGGATTCCGCAGCTGCATGGATACAAGTAGCGAGTGGGTGGTGATGTTGGTGGCCCCTCGTCCGCATTGGCCTGCTATTCAGGTACTTCGCGGCAGCGGCTGTAAGGGCACGCCCACATCCCCACACACACAAATGCAGACATGATGCTGATGCAGGGTCGAGATTCGATATTGGCGGTCGAACCATCCACTCATATTGCCTCGCTTCGGTCAGCGCGGCGATGGTATCGTGGAGGCGACACTGCTCAAGCCAGATATGCAGATCAAACAAGGGCCATCGGACAGGGCTGGCGTGGCTGGGACGCTCTTGCTGTAAGACGTGACACGGGAGGATCAAGCACAGGGTGCTGTTGTTGGACGCCAACAATTTGTCAACGATCCTGGTAGCCAGCCACCGAGCAGCGAGCTGTTCCGGCTGTGTGATCGGTCTAGCTTCCGCGGTGGATGCCGTGGAGCCGTGGATGTGTCGGTATTGGCTCTGGCGGTGCTTATTGGTTCGTCGTATTTGGAATTCCTTCAGATAACAGCTGTACATTTTGGAAGCGCTACGATTGTGTATGCTGTGCTTCTTGCAACAGTATCATTCACCAACAGCGCAATCTCACGAGCCAACAGCCGCAATCTGTGCGCCTTGTCGCCCCCACCTTCATCAGGAATTCCATATACGCACGGGGCTTTGGTGTGCATCTGATTGCTGCTTGGTTCGGCCTCTGTACCGTTGAAACAAGCTCCGCATGTGACCTTATGAGAAAAGTTGATTGCCTTGTGTCACTTGTCTTGTTCTCGTCACAATATCTGATCGCGAGCTTGGTATGTTGTTGGGGCCAGTGGAGATTGACTGCTCATCTCTGGGAGACCAAAGGCTGAGAACTAGGGGGCCAGGGTTCCGAGGACTGACGTCCGACAGTAGCCCTGATTGGATGAATGATCCAGCTGAGCGGGTTGGTACTTGATATGGCACATATGCCTTCGTGTAACAATCCATCGCCTTCAAAAGGGCAACCTTGCCTATAGAAGTCGCCGGCAGTTCGGCATGGGGTACTCATCCTCCAACAGATGTTGACAAATCCCGATATTTGATCTGGCCAGGTGAGGATGACTAATACTTCCCTGTCTATATGTTGACTTCAGGGTAGAGCGACCCAGGCCAACAATATCCTAAGGAGGAGTCCCTCCACCCAGAGGACGTCCACACTTCCAAATGCGATCCTGTCAGCGACGAATAGTCTCAAAATCAAATGTCTGTACAGTTGCCGCGTCTCATCGTCCTCATTTGACAAGACATAACCGTCCATGGACGAAAGCCGGAAGCCTCGAATGTCCTTCTGAGCGGATGTAGTCGTCGGCTGGCTCGAGGTGACGGGTCGTTCGATTCTTTCCGGTCTCTGTCGCAGATTCTTGATAGCTGAGAAGTAACCGTAGTCCAAGTAGTTTGCAATCTGAAGGGGTGGTGGTGGCTTCTTGAAGACAAGCTTTGGAAGTGATTTCGGGTTCGACACCCACACGGTGCAGTTCTCATTCATCTCGCAGAAGAGCGCCTCGAGGTCATGGGCATAACAGACAAATCTCGAGTAGAAGGCGGGAGTCAGGACTTTGAATTCCAAATGTTCCGCAAAATCGAGGCCTTTCTCAGCCGCGGCTGACAGCATATCCTCAGGCCTCGCGTCTGCTACACCACTAGGGATATATCGCAGAGCCAACGGCGCAGACGACTGCTCGACCAGGTGTCTAAGATACCTCCTGAAGATTGGCTCGAGTTGGCGCTCGGTCGCATCAGCACGCCTGCCCATGCTCTCCTTGAGTGGCTCTGGTCGATACCAAACGTGGAGTTTGCGTTGGAAGAATAGAGATGCTGCTTCTTTGGCAATTCGTGGAAAAGTGACGAAACCCACCCACCACCAAGAAGTCAGGAACTGGACTTTCTCGAGGACTGACATCCCTGTGGGATCGAGAGCTTCGCCCTTTGAAAAGACGCGAGCAACCAATTTCACATGATCCTTGGACGACTTCAGGTTGATCGTAGTGTTGATCGGACCTCTTCCAGTCATGTCGGAGGCCAGCGGGTCGTGAGCAATAAGAGAATATCCCCCCTTTCTTGAGTTGAAAGGAGATACATGGAAATCCTTGGCCCATGATTGTCTCAGTGGCTTCGATGCATTGGCATTTGACGACGGAATGGCATCTGCAGCTGCGTTCTCATCATTGATACCTTCAATCTGTCCATCGGCTTGATCATTGGGCGTCAAAAAGTATAATCGCCTCTCATCGAACGTATTGTTCACCTCGACGATTACTGCCGTCAAATGCTTATCAGCGGAATACAGATACCAAAATGAGGCTGGATTGAAATGATAGCCCAAGAACTTGGCTGCGGTGACCAAATAGGCGTGCGGATATTTGGGAACATCAGCGCCCTGAAACTGTCAGTCTGCTTCCGTCAACATTCCTATGGTTGGACTCACTTGGGACTTGAGGTACGCATCCAGCTTGCCCCTCAGACCAAGGTGGCCGTTGCCTCGCTCGAGATAATCGGCAGCATCGACTCTGTACCAGCCTTTCCCGCCCTGTCCGTTACCGCCGGCAGATATCATGTCGCCCGCGACACCACTCCAACCAACCGGGATCCCGACGAGTAGATAGGAATAAGAGAATGAGTGTTTCTTTGGGAACAGTCTGGTATGCGCCGTGTGGCATGGGAAAAGCAAAGGCCGACCTGGGCCTTTCCACGCCGACGCATTGTCGCTCTTCTTCCCGCGCCCAGAATAACTGACAATAGCAAAGGCAACTGCAGTGATCCCAAGTACAGATATCAGCGTCTGGACGTTACTGCTCAACAGGTGGAGTCCATGGGAGCCTCTCTTCCAGAAGTAGCAAGCCGCGAGTATGACAACATCGCCAAGGGTCCCGAAGACACCGTAGTACAACAAGGCGGCTGATAGTAGGACGGGGGAATGCACGTGCATCCCAAGCACGACGGCCATCAACTCTCAATTCTTCAGAGACTCAGCCCGGAATACTAAGGCCTGCGTAGAAACTCGAAATCAGCTTGTACTCTGGGGTCTTAAGTCTGTAAGACTGAGCAGGTGTGTGTCATTCGGCATGGCAATGAAGAAAACGGACACGTATGTTAGGAAGTTGAATCATTCACATCAGGCCATCCTGCGCACTGCGCCACCAGCCTCATCGGACTTAAGGCAGCCTCATGTGCTTAGCGTCCTGAGCCTCGCCCTCCCCCGCCGATTGAGTCAGCGACCGAGAGGCAAGTCCCCGCCATCGTTCCTTGGGCTTCTACCGCCAGAGGCCAGTGTCTACATCATCAACTCGACTTCCAACCACTGAACAACTTTTCCCGATCATCACGACGCACAACGAGCACTGCAACACGTCACGAAGATCACGCATAACGCCACATATCCTCACAATACAAATATACCTATTATCACAATGTCTGACGACTGGAACTCCGTCACCAAGATCGGCAAGAATGTGCGCAGCGGCGGCGGCGCCGATCGCGAGACCGTCGTGCGAGGCAACTCGGCCCTGAACGCCGCGAAGCGCAGCGGAGGCGCCATCAACACCGAGAAGAAGTTCGCCGTAGGAAATGCTGTAAGTACTGCTTTGCTCGCATTTTCTGGGGTTGTGGCTGCACATGCGTCACTTAACACCCTACCTCTAACTTGCACCCTACCTCTAACTGCATCTGCAACACTCAACTACCACCCCTCTTCAGCATCGCACGCGCCATCTGCCGATGCTTCGTTCTTCTACTTACTAATGCACTCCCCCATCTCAAACCATCCCATGAGCCTTCCAACCTTCCCCAGACCCTCCCAACACCAACACCAACACCAACACGGCATCAAAAACCCCAAACTAACACCCCCTCCCCCATCTAGGTCGGCAAAGGCCCCGAAGGCCAGCGCCTAACGAAAGTCGACCGGTCTGACGACATCATCAAGCCGAACACGGTGGGCAAGGACGTCGGGACGGTAATCAGCGGCGCGCGGCAGAAGATGGAGCCCAAGATGACGCAGAAGGACCTGGCCACCAAGTGCAACACGACGCCGACCGTCGTTGCCGACTTTGAGCGCGGCACCGCCACCCCGGACCAGAAGGTCCTGGGCTCCATGGAGAAGGTCCTCAACGTCAAGCTGCGCGGCACCGGCATCGGGGAGCCCAAGTTCAAGCCCAAGGGGAAGTAGGCCTTACAACGAGGCTCGGTGGGAAAAACTTGTTCGTCGTTCCGAGCTGGTGGGAGGCACGGGTTAACGATGGCGAGGTCGTATGTCATTAGTACCTAGACTACACAAAAAAGCCTGGGTTGTGAAAAGGGTTTGAGGCCGAGACGAGATATCATCCGTCTCTATCCATCCCTACAGCCTGATTGCGGGTGGCTTAGCATTCATTGGTTTTACGTCTACACGGAGAAACCGTTGACGAGGTGCTCTGGTGCACCGTAGAGGAATAGACAAAGTTCATCACAACACATCAATACAAGAGAAGAGCATTGCTTTCGTCACAAGGTTACGGTTTTGATCCACGTTGCTCTTACACATTGGATCAGTGAGTTTGAGTTTCGCGGAATTTTGATCATTATTCGACGTCTGGACTCTCTGCAAGTGAGTCTCTTATGTGCAATGCATATGCCAACAGCAATGCTCCTCCATCCAACAACAAAAACAACAACAGACAGTGGTATCCAACAGCAACGCCAATAGCAAAACACCTGGTCACCTAGTGACCAGTCCGAGACTCCAGATCAAATGCTTCTCAGCTATTCCATCCATATTTCTCCTTCCACTCCTATACTCTCGCAAGCACCGCTTGCACCCGATTCGCAATCTCGACTTTGCTCAGCTGGCAATCCGTCTCGATGACCACGTTCTCCCTCTGGCCAATGGTGACGACGCGGATCCATTCTGGCGCGACCTCGCTGCCGAGCAGGCGCACACACACCGCGCCCTCCTCTTTCGATATGCCCATACGGAACGAGTCCTTGAGCTTTTCCAGCATGGCCACCATGGTGAACGAGATGCGCCCCTGGCCGGCCGACGTCGCGCGGCTGAGCATGCCGATCATTGCCGCGACATCGTCGATACGCTGCAGGGCGGCGCGGCGCTCGAGCCGGGCTGGTGTGAGACCTGCAGGCATCGCTGATTTTTGGAGTGACTTGTAGCGGATGCGGTCGAGGAGGCTCATCTTGGACCCGTCGGCGTTGGTCATGGGCACGTTGCCTTGCGGCTTGGTCTCCTTCTCCTGCTTCTTGACTGCGATTCCATGTTTCAGGTCTTCCAGGCGCCTCTGGCCCTTCAGCAGGATGGGCGACGCCTTGACGACAGACTCGCAGACGGTGACCGGTGCTTTAGGGAGGCTGGTCATGAAAGCCGCCGCATCGGGCTTGCCATTGGCGGTAAATAGGGACCAGAGAGCCTCCAGGTTGTCGCGGAAGAGGTCATTCAGCTTCTTCTCGTTCAGGGGCCCGGAGCCGTGGGCTGGGTCGATCTCGATGCAGATCTTGCCGCGTCCGTAGTTCGAAAGGGATAAGAGATTGTTGGATCGCGACGCATTGCTCTGCGAAGACGAATGACTGTTCAGAACTCCTATGCAAACGCGGATCTCGGCGTCTGTGACTCTCTTCTTTCCCCACGCGCGGGCGACGTTCGGGCACAGGATGCGCAGGTCGGCGGGAATGTTGGAGCCATTGTGGGCGTAGTGAAGAGTCAATGTCTTCAGGAACGCAGTATGGAGGTCGATCAGAGAGAGGACCTCTGAAGGAAGCTGATCAGGTTTCGAGAATTCGATATCCGCGTCGATGTCTGAATCGGCAACGGAAGTGTTGGCAGTCAGGGGTGACGAGCATCGAGATGGTGATGACTCTAAGCGGAGCTTCTTGAAGAGAGAGCCGGCATCGATGGCTGATACGTCAGAGTCGGAGACGCTAGGACTCCGGGCTCGCTTTCGTGGTGTTGGTTCAGGGCGGGCCTTCTTGGGGCGGCCACGGCCTCGCTTTGCGGGTTGGACGGCTGCCAATGATGGGATGGAAGGAAGGGCTAGCTTGCTAGGTCGCTCATCTGCCGAAGAATCGTCTTCGATAGTCGCAATGGCTTTGCGCTTTCGCGACGCGAGTGTGATTGCCTCGATCTTGATGTCCTTCTTGGGGGTCAAGGAGACGAGGTCCTTCTTGACAATGGAGCTGCCAACGGTCTTGGACACACGGGTGAAGCTGCTGATGCTCGACGAGGCATGTTGTTGGGTAGTGGTGACCTCGGGCTTGGCCAATGCCTTGCGGCGTTGCTGCTTCGTGGCAGGCATGATGGTATCGGGAAAGAACTCGTGGATGTGTGCAAATAGAGTACAGAAGGCACAGATTGGGTATGTACAACTGGCGATTGCTTCCAAGACGGCAAGAACTCTGGGAAAAGTAAGGTGCAGACGTCAAGTCTGAATTGCAGTGATGAGGAAGGCAAAGGTCAGAAGTCAAAACATAAGCAGGAACACGCGTCGAAGTGTAGAAGAGGTAGGTGAGCCCATGCACCCAGGCACCCGAGCTTGGGCGGGTATGGCTTTATTCGGAGGGGGCTACGCCTAAAAGTCGCGATCCGCTTATCGTGGAAGACGCGAAAACCCACTACGGCGGACGCGACGTTTCGCAGTGGGGGACGCCAGAGCGTATAAATCGGCTGTGTTTGATTGGAGGTGGGTCCGAAGAAGGACTAGCATAACCAACGTTTATGCACGCCAAGACATTTGTGAAGAAAATATAAAGAGACTAACAGCTGCCACCTGCATTCCATTGCATCTGTCGGATGTGGTGGTGGCTCAGGGTGTGTCCCCAGGTGGTCTGTGCGCTGTGGGTGGGATGGTTGCCCCACAGCTCCGTTACCACCGCGGATAGACGCGCTGCACCCGTATTTAGGTGTGAATCTGTCCGTACCAGGTAGACTTAGAACAACCAACGAACACGCACGTATGAACCGAATATTCCGCACGACGAATTCTCACAGCATCACTTAAATACTGCAACTCCAGCGAGGAACGTTTTGTTTCCTCAACTGCCTCCGTCGTGGTTGACTGACACCTCGTCAGCTCGCATTCCATTTGGATGCGGAAGTCCAAGTTGCGCCCGCATACTCCCTTGGAGTATCTTGCAGCGTTCAATATTGATTTTGATTCTGAACTGAACTCTTGCTTCACCGTCGCACGTCCTGCGATCTGCGGAACAAGGCTTCCGACACTTGGATCAACACGAGGTTCAATACCTGAGGTAGTCAAGGCGGCATCTTCTATGCTGAGACTGTTTCAGGTCACTTCCGAAAATCCATGCGGACTTGAAAGTTGTAGCTGCCCCAAGAAATTGGTGGTCAATATGAAGCCCGTCGACCTTTCTAGTGAGGGATTACCGACCATCTTGTCGGGGGTGTGAATGAATACGATTACAATGCGGTTGTCCATATCGTGTATCAACCGCCCTGGAACCTCATACTCCCAAGTCTCAAGCGATGGATCCCTTTGCATCGAACTGCAACCCATTCTAGCTCAAACAACACGCCATGCTCCACCGACTTTTTTGTAGACCTGATATCTTTGTGCCGTTTGTGCCAATGCTGTTTTCACACCTGTAACTCCCGATAAATGACAGGAACACGCTCGCTCCCAATACCAATACAAGTACATGCAGACCAATTCTTTCCCTGGTGCTGGACACCGCGACCCGAGCGCTGCGCCATCAACGTTGGACAATGGGCATGTTCGGTGATCAGTGGCGCAGGCTTCGTTGCCAGTGATCCGGGTGGAAGCTCACGGGACTCGGCGGCGGGGGAGCAGGGACATCCCAATCTCGTTCTTGGATGGAGCGGATCGGAGCACTTCGTTGGCTGCTCTTGGATGCAAGTGTGGCGTTCAAGCTGCTGAATAGGTCCGATGGATTTGTCAGGCGCATGTTCTTGCGCGGCGGTGTGATCGGGATGGGTGCGACGATTTGGCTAGGCATGTTGGCTGAAGCGTGGTATGTCTGATCACGATAGTCAGCTTGTTGGTCCATTCGAGGAGGCTTCTCCGGCGGAGGGGCAGACTTACAGGTTCGGGTCTCCTGGTATTGCTTGATCCCAAAGCTGCGATGTTTTCCGTATAGCTCCTGGAGCAAATAATGATGATGACGGTAGGCCTTGTTTGGCGAGAGGCTTGTGTGGTGAAGTCTGAGTAAGTAAGCTTCGTGTGCAGAAACGAAAAGTGTGGAGGATGGGGAAGAATCTGGGAAGAGATGACGAGAGGATCCGAGGTTGTTCAAATAAGTATCGAGGTTTGTGTAAGTCTATGACGGAAAGAGCGGTGGATGGATTGATGGATGGATGTATGTATGCGTGTAAGTCAAGTCAGGGTACAGGCAGACAGGCAGACAGGCAGGTACGTAGGTAGATGGAAGGGAGTTGCGAGGGTGGGTGTAAGTCACCTCACATCTCACACCTCACACCTTACCAATGAGATCTTGACTTGCAAGCACTTGCAGGGCAACCCCACGGAGGCAGGTCTTACCAAAGCTGATGGGCGGTCACTTTGATGATAAGCCCTTTTCCCTCTTTCAGAGTGCCGTTTAAGATGTCGGTTTCCGAAGCTGACGGGTAGTCGACAAGGTTCAGGGGCTCAAATAGGCAGGTGAATCAATCACAAGAACAAAGATGCGATGTTGGCTGGCTCAAGTATGGGAGGCAGGCTAGATAGATGTGACTTGAATCGGAAAATGTCAAGTCGGTAGGGCGCGTGGTCGGTGTGTGGACGGATGCAAGTGTCTCGGCAGGGGAAAGGGCTGGAAGGCTCCCGAGGCATGAAGGGGCATCTGGGTATTTATTTGAGCACATGGGAAAGGGGATTGATCGCCGGGAGAATATCAAGGAAAGGTTCACTTGGATAGCATGTCAGACATCTGGGGAAGTTAGACACAAACAGTGCAGGAATGCTTTGGCCCCCGGCGTGCCCGTGCTGCAGTGTCCCGAATCTGGGGCTTCTCGTGGACACATGGATTATCAGATGAGACGACACTAATTTGGTATCAAGGGAGGACCGGGGCGTCGGGAAGTCGGGGCACAGTACCCCGGAAACATCCCGTCAACCAAGACATGGGGTGGGACGCCTCACACGCCAGCTTGGTTGCTTGGCCAGGAGGGATGGCATTGGAATTCAGGCAAGGCTTACCCTGCGTGCCCCAGGAAGAGCCGGATTCGGTCGTATGATCCAGTGGCACAGTCAGACAGTATGTTGCCGGCCATGACCATGAGCAGGCCGACATTGCCTTGAAACCCTACAGCATCCAGCAGGATGCCGAAAGATGCCGAAAGATAACACTCGGCCTGGGGCCAAATAGATCAGAGCCAGTCGTGTCTAAAAACAACCGCTTGGGGGCTGTTGCCGCAGACTGCATGCCCAAGGATCCTATTTTCTTCAGGGCTGAGAAAATCATATGAGCTGGCAGCAGAGTGGATGGATGGTGGTGCTTCTTCCACGTGTAATAGCAAGTCCCGACGGGAGGCTTTCCCCTTTTGTGCTAGGCACAGACAGGTACGGGGCATGGCCATCTCCATCTTGATACATGTAGATTGACTGTGTCAGGAATGAGCCTGCAGGCGATCCAGATCATGTTTCCAGGCACACCGAATGTTGCACATATTTGATGGCGGTAATTATCAGTCCACGGTCGCAAGATCGGGAATAAGCCAGGTCTAAGCGGTAATGGTTGTCTCCTCTCGGTTACGTGTCTCGGTTATTCGTTTCCTGTCAGTGAAATACCCAAGGTACTGCAATCCATATGAATGTATGAAAGGCCGGTCAAGCTACATGTACCTCCTAATGTATGGGTAATAGCAACGAATATCGTAACCAAGATTGGGGGGCACTCGGCTGACAAGTTGTCAGCTTGTACGTAACGGTGAGACCGAACAGACGGTGAGTGAGAGTGGAAAAATGACAACACTCCCAATAAATGATAAATGATGATAATCACAAAACTCAGAACCCATTCTCAGACGATCCGAGCGATCAATACAATGCGGCGTCCCAGACTGGCGAGACATGGAACTTTTCAACTTCCCCGTGCTGTCCGGCGTGGCATTGAGTGGGGAGTGGGGTATTCATGGGGGGCCATATGTGGGGTTACTGGAATGGAAGCCCGATAGAAGCCCATGTGGAGACACGGGCAGAGATAGCCGTCCTTCAGTGGACACCCTCAGGGCAATCAGGCCTGCAATGTTTCCAACGTTGCGAGGCGGGCCGGGATGTCACAGGACTTTCCCGGGGCTGTTCCAGGGGTCATGGGCAGCAGCTTTCCCCTTTTACAGCGACGACGTTGGCGATCAACACCTAAACAACGTTCCCGCACGCGACGCACCGTCAACTGACAACTGCAGGTAACCGTCGTGCTTGTTCAGTACAGCGCAGTCGTGGTCTGTCCCATGAAGCATCATGCCCATCGTCAAGTCCGGTCTCGATATGATCATGACTGTCGGCCGGTAGGGGCGAGAGATAGCAGTGGTGCAGCGCTGACCACCCACAGTAAGCTTCCCTTCAGCTTTCTTGATTCCTTCCTAGATGGTGCCAGAAGACGGGCCTGTGGCTGTTTCCGAGCGAACGTACAAGGTGAACTTCTACTGGTGTCGACTGTATCTTCCCGTCTCTTGAGTCTTTGGGGCTTCGCTGTTATCACTTCAAATCCTTGGCCCCTCGTCGGGGGGAGGGCTTACTACAAAGCCTCATCAGTTCATACCGGCTCTATTGGCACGCACACCATCCTCGGAAGCTTACTCCGAGCTCCAAACCACGAAACATGATGGGTTTCAATCTCTTGTGTTTCCCAATCTTCTTCATTCGGGCATTGAGAACCGACGTGGCGGTGGACTGTGGGGGTCCCGTCATCGGCGCCCGAGACCTCATGCGGTCCAACATATCTGACAGGGCTTACAAAGTTGTTCAGCTCCTGCTGATTGTCCAGCTCGCTTTCCGTCCATTCACACATGGCTGCGTGGCCACCAGGCGAGACAGCAGCCTTAATTCTCAGTCATTGGACGGGGAAGTATTACGTCCTCGGCACCCCTAGGAAACCAAGAGAACACCTACCCAGCTTCACTTCGCCACACGGCTACACTCGTCACAGAGTTGGAGTTGCATGTACGGTATAGATCTAATAAGTCTGCAGATCTCGGAAGTCGTGCACACGAACCTACTCAGCCGTACCGTATAAATCCTACCTCCTCGAAATCAGACGTCTCCAGGAATCGTGGGGGGACACGCCTCCTGGTCATACCAGGACAGCCTTGGTTCTGAAGAACACGAATTTCCACCCCAACTCAACTTACCGTGGCCGGGGAAGTTTCCTAGTTTCCTATCCCGAAACCTGCATTGGGGTACACTCAACCACCCGCTTCTTTGTTCGAAGCTGTAGCGGCCCAAGTCTTTCCATTGGCGGTTTTAGTTTGGAAGCCGAAGTTGCGGTGAACTCTTCACGGCTGCACCTAAGCAAGTTTCTTTTGCAATAGGCAGGTTTCCAACCCGAGCTGCGACTGTGCTCATCTACCGGATTGGTGTGTGTTTCTGGATTTTGCTTATGCTACTGAAACGGGATTGTTCAATATCCGAACGTTGTGACTGCGGTTGGGTCACATCCGTCACAGATCGTCAGGGTCCAGGTCTTGTCGACGATTGCAAGCTGACTTATTCATTTTTCCGCAGCTCATACATACTTTTGCATCAAGGTCGTCTTTCTGCACATACAGTGCTGCCTTTACACCGGTGTTTCCTTGCTAATTAGACCACGGGCTCTTCAATCTGCAGATAGTACCTCGTACTTCAAGGAGCATGAGTGACCATATCTCACTGCCATCAGCCAACGTATTCGGGGGTATCAGCAACTCCTCATATGGATAGTCACAGATCTTTACCGCCTTCCTCTTGTGGTCCTATCATGAAACGATATCTGATTGCCGCTATCCGATAGACGAAGCTACATCCCCCACCCTATGGATGCTGCATGATCAATGTGTACCGCAACAGTTTCCTGCTTCAGGAGGAGACATGTGAGGCTGGACACGTGCTCTGACTCTGTCGGCTTATCAGATGACGGAGGTATCGTGGCAAGGACCCCTATCTGGATGTCGATGATGCTCCCGCGCAGATTCGGCTCGCCCCAACCGAATATGCATGCTGCACAGATGATGCGGTTGCAAGATAGCAGCCGCCGCCCTGCCAAGCCCGCGATGCTTTGTTACATGACCTCGAGCTTCCCCATTTCTCCAGTCTGAAATAACAAGGCAGTCCAGGAAGGATAGCTCTTTGGTCTGATGACCGTCATCATCACCGGAGTATAATCGACCTGCTATTATTATACCTGCTTGCCCATCTGACAGCTGGCTAAGAGCCGGATGGAGTTCTGCCGGTTCCGGAGGAGAAGAGCAAGCCAGGTTCGACTTGCGGCTTGCCAGGACCATAGGCCTCTTCGGAACTGTCCCTGGCAAGGTTTGAGCTATCTCTTAGAGCTTCGACCCACCTTGTAAGCCCCTCAGACCAGGATGATGAACATATCGACGAAGTCATATTCGAGTTCCGACTATTGCTGAAGGTGAGTGAAAGTATATGGAAGAGCCAACTTAGACTAGATCAAGGACGCCACGCAAAGAACATAGCCCCAGGCGTTCCATCGCGGCAGTCTTCGGTATTGCGACTGGAGGCGGCTCTGAAGCTATGCGATCCTGTGGAACTCCGCGCGGAGTGAAAATTGTGAATCCATACCATGGCCAAGCTATTTCACCATGATGGTTCGAAGCAAGGTGAACCCTCTGTCGCCTTCATAGCGTGTATCGCACCTGATTAAACCTTACGTCAACCAACATTCGTTCCAATACCAGAGCAGAGGCCAGGGCAGCGAGCCATCTTCCAGCCGTTATGTAGGTATCAGCTGCGACCCATCAATCAACTCTGGGGGAGACAAGCGCTGAAGAAGCGCTGAAGAAGCGCTGATCACGACAGTCATAGAACGTGCGATGAGTAACAGCATCAAGTGAGCGAGGAACATACCAAGTGATGACACCCTTCTAGTGACGAACGTGGCTGGGGTCACCAAACCATATGGATGAGTCTAGCCACGGAGTATATTCAAGCTGCGACTCCACGGCCATGCCCACAGCTGAGGGAAATCCGCTTTGACAGGCCCTTGAACCAGATGCCTTTGCACCTAGTGGTATAAACAGCCTTCGGTGAAGTTAACCCAATCAACTACCCCCAGCATAACTACTGATGCCAGGGGATCATGCAGATCATCAAATCAACCACTTGGGACACCACGGGCTCAGTCTCATTGTATCTGTGAGATTTCAAACCGTTCTGGTATTGAAAGGAAAAGAGAAGAAGATCTCTGGGGGAGAAGCCCCCATATATATGTACAGGTGTGCCATCAGAGTGACCAGATCATCATACGATAATGGTGCCAGAATCCTGGTGGCCTGAGGGTCGGCTGACTGCCCTCAAACCAAACCCATTAGCGCATTCAGCCCCGAAGGCCTCGTCTGGACCTGCTATGATATCCAACAGTATCGCTACTGGGTGTGGCATACCACCCAGTATATACTGTGAGCTTCAGGCAGTATAGCAGAAGACCACCAAGCCACTCAAGGCCTCCCATCATGAATCCAAAGTGCCAACCCATTCAGTACTTGTGTTTTGACAATGTAGCTGTCCTGAAGGGACCAAGAGCCTCACCGTTCATCGCATCCGAGGACCGATCCGCTGCCCGTCGCTATAACGGTTCAGATGGCCGAAGCAGGTACTGAGGCAGTCATGGAGCCAGGAAATAACGGCTTCTCTTGAGGCTGACGGCAACGTCGCGTGAGACCGCGTGAGATGCGTTTGGTAATGGTGAGGGTTGATTACCAACAGTCTTTGAGCGGCGTGGGCCAATTGATAATACCCAAGAGCATTATGAGTACCGCGCTTCAAGTCCCAGACGCGAACAGAAGGGGAAACGCGTGCTTATTGGGAGGTAGTTCGTCGACCTTCAATACCGGTATTCAGGGGTATGGGGGAGACGCTAAAGGCAGGACCTCAATCAGGACTGAGCCGAGGCTCAATGGTGGGGATCGTCAACGCCCTTGCCTTTGCTCATGGTAAGGTTATGTATTGAAACCAAGACGTGTGTGGAGACTGGCAAGTGCGGGGACTTCATTCACGACCCAGACGCAACATATTCCCTGGGTTGCTATCGACTGTGTCCCTCGTCTTAACTTCGTGGCTCAAACACACATGAGAGATCTCGGCATCGGGTGAAGATCAGAAACGACGCTCGTTTAACTGGATGTGAAGCACGTCGAATAATCGCTTAGCACCTTATCCCTGAAAAACCACCACAATCGAATGATGGCGGCGGCTTCGGATCTCCCGATCGTGCTCTACCGGTACGATAGGTCGCCTTACGCCCGGCGGCTCGTGTGGTATTTGGAACTACGCAAGATCCCATACTCGGAATGCGTACGTGGCACCTATCCATCCTCTCACGACTATAAATATGCCTTGTGGCTCACCACGTTTCATCACATCTCGTTATATCGCGAAGCTTGCAAGATCTACTATGTAAGATAAGAAGGAACATCGACTAACCTACCCACAGATCCAACCCCCCATGCTCCCCCGCCCTGACGTCGCCGCGCTCGGTGTAGCCTACCGGCGCATCCCCCTCCTCACCATCGGGCGGGACGTCTACCTAGACACGCGTCTCATCATCCAAAAACTAGAGACCCTCTTCCCGCCCAGCACCGCGCACCCGGGCCTCAGCTCGCCCGACCCAGAGCACCAAGCGCTGGCGCAGCTCCTGTCGCAGCGCACCGTCTCCGGCGGGCTCTTCTTTGCCGCCGCGCAGTGCATCCCGGCCGGGATGATCAGCGACCCGGCTTTTATTAAAGACCGCGCCGAGCTGTCCGGCGTGGACATGAAGCGCCGCGGGGCCGTGAGCCCGTTTTCGTCCGAGGCGATGCGCGGACAGCGGCCGGGGGCGCTGGCGGTGATCAGGGAGGCGGTGCGGTTCTTGGAGGAGGGGCTGCTGAGGGATGGGCGGGAGTGGGTGCTTGGATCGGCCCGTGAGGGGCCGAGTCTGGTGGATCTCGAGGCCGTTTGGGTGCTGCACTGGCTGCGCGGGATGCCGGGGGCGCTGCCGGCCGAGGTCCTGGGCAAGGAGAGCACGCCGCGGGTGTGGGCGTGGATCGAGCGGTTTGATGGCGTGGTAAAGGGGCTCGGGGGAAAGCCGGGGACGGTGGAGGGGGATGAGGCAGCGAAGATGGTGGCTGGGGCGCGGTTTGCGGAGGAGGGAGAGGGAGAGGTGGACGCCTCGGATCCGGTGGTCGTTGCCGAGGGCTTTGAGAAGGGGCAGAGCGTGCGGATGTGGCCGACGGATTATGGGTCTTTGCATCGAGATGCGGGAAAGCTTTTGGCTATGACACGAGGAGAGTATGTGATTGAGACGCAGGGCAAGTATGGGAGTGTCAGGGTGCACGCGCCGAGGTCTGGGTTCAAGATAGAGAAGGGTAACAGCACGGCTTCGAAGATGTGATGGAAGAGTCGCGAGAGCACGGATGATGCTGAAGCCCGTTTAGACGCAGAGGCTTCGATCAAAGCATCACGGTATGATAATCCGTCAAACCGATCAGGTAAGCCATACATTCCGACAATACACAGTATTATGTGGTCAACACCTCACTCAGACTAAGCACCTGTATAAGCTATTTGCAATGATTCTTCCCTGGGGCTTATGCCACTTATGAGAATAATACCTTGATCTTAAAGTATACAGAGACTTATAAGACCACCTTTCGCCCATCAAAGTCAAGGGTCAACTGCGGCCATGTTTTAAGTTTTCCTATTATTAGCATTGACGAAGCACAAGACGATGTATGGATGATCCTGTTGTTCGAATTCTTCTAGAAAGGGTGGCTTGACTCGCGCGGGAACTTAGAAATGGTGCGCCGGTCTGGCTCCTGAGGACGGACAAGACCCTCCTATTCGGGGGGCTCCCTGGTTTTCCGTAAACCCGATTGGTCGTCGGCCTTAACCCCGCCAAACTTGAAGATTAGGTCCAGCAGTTTTCTGCTCGTTGATTCTTCTTCTCCCGGGCCATATTGCCGGCGCAAATGGATGACGACCGTGTTTCTGAGGTGGTACAACCATGTCAACAAAGTGAGGCGAACACAATAATCCTGTCCGACAGACCCCCGACAGCGCTGAGGTCGGCAGGATTGTCGAAGAATAAACATAAGAGCGAAATGGATTCGCGAACAAGACTGAGCGATTCCAGAAGGAATTAATCGAGCTATTCTTAAAACAATTGAACCCTGAAGGATTCTGAAAGTCAAGCTGAAAGTCTAGCGGGCGACACGGACAAGCGCCACCATCTATGAACTAACTTACCTTAGCTCGAGCCTCCGGACCGTTGCTTGAACTTTGAAGGTGTGCGTCATCACGGATGACAGACGTGTTTTCCATTCGTCTTTGGCGCGACGGACTGCGAAGAAGGGACGAAGACCCCCAATCGCCGACGAGATGGTTAGGTAGCCAGAACAGACCTGGGGTAGGGCGAACGTCGCAGCCGATTCGGATCTCGCGACAGGTCGGTCACAATCTGAACTTCGACTGAAGGAACGGGGATCGATGAGATGTTGCGATGGGTGATGGATACAGTTTGCGACAGGCAGTCTCACACTGGGCGAGGACTTGAGCATGCGCCTTATGTAGGAATGACGTAAGTTTGTCGCGAGACACTGGGCGTGGACAACCTGAAGCCGGTCTTGCGATCCGACCAATGATGTTTCGACCTTCGGGCCTCGATGCACTTGCGGAGATCCCAGACGAAGGCGTCGCCCGTTCTTTTCCAAACGAGCCAGATATGACTGCCGGATAACCATCGCCTCGTTTCCTCCAGTTCAATGTTTTTTGGTTGAACGAGAAGATTATCATTCAGACAGGCCAACACAGGATCGTACGCTGGACCCCCCTGAGACACACTTTTTCTCGCGTGCCGGCTTCTCATTTGTCAGACGCGGGTTCACCGTTCTTGTAGAGGACCAATCGCAGGGTTCACACGTTTCTTCTGAGCATTTGATTCGAGCAAGTGATTGCAAGCTTTTGCCACCTCGGACCAAAGAAACAGGTCGTCTTTTATTATTAATACAAAGGAGGACTCTGTCTGATGTCGTGGAGGACTGGATCTCCTGCCGCTTTGCGCCTAGTGCAGTCCCATTCTGTCCTAGACCTGTCCTTTCATCGGCTCGCACCTCGAATGGACTCGTTTCTCTCCTTGGTGCCGGGTGTTTTTGATCTCATGAAGGCAAAAGAGTGAAACGAGACCTTCGTCAGGTCTTTGTAGCCTCCAACAACTCGCACCTCCGGTTGTGGCTTCGGGGTGTATTCCGTACTCACTGTCATTGGCTTCATCAACAAGTCCATCTATGATGTGAGAACATACAGTCCGCTGTCCAGGAACTAGCGGAGCATTTTTTGCTAGGCGTTGGCTAAATGCAGCTAGATAAACTCCAATGGTATACCGTATCGTAGCCGATATTGGAGTTTGATGATGCCACAGTTCAGTAATCGTGAGGTTCGACGCGTTTATTGTTTACCTGCTCTCTATAGCCATCTCTAAAGAGCTGAGAAGAGACTCTGCCCTCGATGTTAAGAACATTTCATTTGGGTGTCTCGTTTCCACGAGGATGAATTGAAGGACATTAGTCGTAGGACTGGGGTGGCATGAATGAGAATTATTAATCAGACACACACTGTACGGGTACTTAGGGATCAACGATCACGTCTTGGGATAACCTCATTGGGCGGGCATGGCTGCACCGGGTCCACCACTCGGCTCCTGAGCGTGGGCATGGCAGGCATGGGTGTGGCAGCAGGTGGCAGCATTGAGGCGAGTGAAGCCAAGCACGACCGTGGGTTTTCGGGGGGTTTTTATGTCTGCCGTGCCTGCCTCTCGTCCCCAAAACCACCCCTTATGTCACTTCTTCCCTCATGACCTCATCGCGACAACTATCGCACACTTTCATTCGGACAACCGTTGAACCAGCAATCTCTCGCAACAACCACCCAGTCACCCTGCCTGCCTATCATATTACGCTCCGAACTAAGGCAGCCAGCCAGCCAGATTTTGCAATTGACTTATTTAGCAATTGTCGCCACAAGCCCCAAGCCCTGTAGCACCTGATCCCCAAGAGGTGGTTTGTGATTTGCCCTCGGCCCTTGGTTCTGCAGACTGCCTCCCAAGAAAGAAGACTGTGCGTCGGGCCTCGTTACATCATACTTCTTCCCCAAACCACACTTCGACAAGGCCAACTCCGTCATCGTCGTCACCACCATGGCCCCTACTACCGAGACCAAGTCGTCAGATAACCCATCGCCAGGTAAGCTCTATCTTCTTCCGTAACGAACCGCACCGTACCGTACCGTACTGCGCCCGTGCCCGTGCCCGTGCCCGTCTTGCTTTGTCCCATCACCATCCCGTCGCTGCCAATGCCCGCCGTTGCGACATGCGCCTGCTCTAACTACCCAATCTAATTAATCGCCATTGTCGCTGACATTCGTTGTCACATGCAGAGACCAATGGTGAGGAGAAGCCATCCGAAGTCAAGCCCGAGGCCAATCCCAACAGCAACGAACCCGGCCAACCGTTGGCGCCTCCCCCAAAACCCAGCGAGGCAGCCGACTACTTCTCAAGCCAGTTGAGCCTCGAGCCGAATCCCTTTGAGCAGTCCTTTGGTACAGGATCAGGCACAGTGGAAACTCCCGGCGGGACCAAACTGCCCAGCGTGGCTGCCTTAACATCTCCGTCGGACGTACTGCGAGGGACTGCGGGTACACCATTCAACTGGGGAGGCGGCTCTCTTAGGACGGGACCGCTCAGTCCAGCTATGCTTTCCGGCCCGGCGAATGATTACTTCGGCGACACGTCACATACGCTGCGCGGTGGCTTTACACCGAACGAAAGCTCTCTCCGAACTGGCTTAACACCCGGCGGAAGTGGTTCCATGTTCCCTGCGCCGAGTCCCAACTCGCAGGCTCTCTTTGCTCAATTAGCCAGTGGCGGTGCAACACCGAGTACTCTTGATTTCCATCGGACCGCAATGAACGCCGCCGCGGCCAAGGCCAACCGTGTCGACAAGCCCCAAAACGACCAGAGTACGGCAAGGTCTCAGCCGCAAGAAACGAACGGCGTATCAGTCAAGACGGAAGCGAAGCCGACATCAGGGGTTTTTGACCCCCATGATAACGACGCCGCCAACGGTCTGTTCATGTTGGCTCAAGGTGCACAAGGACGAAAGGGTACACAGCAGACTCAATACCCTGTTGGTGGTAATCAACCGGTTCACGCCCATCCGGCACCATCACCAGCAAACCAAATCAACAATGGTTCACCTCAGATGAATGGTAACGGCGCACCTCCTGCCGCAGCGGCACGTGGAGTTAGCGAAGCTGCGAGTGGCGGTTCGGAGGAGAGCGAGCAAGCCAAACCGAGCACTCGAGGAAAGGGGAAGCGAGGTGGTCCTCCAGCTACAAACGGACGCCGAAAGGCAGAAGAGCCGCCCGCAAAGCAGCCAGCTAACAAGAAAGCCAAGACGGCGCCATCGTCGATTGGTACAGACGATCATTCCTCGGAAGAAGAGGATTTGGACCACAAGGTGAACCCTGATGGCACAAAGACCAAGATGACAGACGAGGAGAAGCGAAAGAACTTTCTCGAGCGCAATAGGTAAGATCCACCATGTCGCTCTACAAATCATCCGAGACTAATTCACAAATAGGGTGGCTGCCCTCAAATGTCGCCAGCGCAAGAAGCAGTGGCTGGCTAACCTACAAAATAAGGTTGAGATGTTTAGCAGCGAGAATGATGCGCTTACTGCTCAAATATCTCAATTGAGAGAGGAAGTTGTCAACTTGAAGACTCTTCTTCTCGCACACAAAGACTGCCCTGTTACTCAACAACAGGGAATCCACGGCGCTTTCATGCAACAGTCAATGGAGACATACAACCCTCAAATCAACCCCTACGGCATGGCAGCATCTCTCCCCAACCAGCCGGTCATGGCGGGACAGGGAGTTCAGAGGCGCTTCTCATAGGATGATGGCGGTGCCGACTCCTATCATGCCGACGTTCATAGAGGTGCCGGCTCCTGCGTTGCCGACGCTCTGGAGACAACTGAACTACCGCCGACGGGTACTTGATAATGTGATTACCACTGGACAATGGGTTTGTCCATGCTCCGGCCAGACCAGCGGTGTTCGGCTTTACTTCCGACAACAACGACATTCTGGTGTAGGGTGGGAGACTAATAGTGTCGAGCCTTCCCATGGTTTGGGGGTTATCGCCGGCCATTCTCTCGTGGAGCTTGCTCTTGCTCTCCCTGTTTGTAATGACATTCAAGCTTATGAGGGTTTGATGAGGCGTTCCGGCTATGGCTGCATTGTGGCACTTATAGCCATTCGGTAGTAGAGGCATTGTGTCGAATGCCCTCACCGGCTTGATCTCGCAATGCTTCTCATTGTATGTAAATGACGGCTGGGCATACAAAAGTGGTGTTCTGGCGGGTGGAACTTGAGCTGGTTGACTTCAACTGGGCGTTCGATGGATTATGGGAGGCGAACATAGGCCTGGTATTACCTTATCCTTCTCGAACGAATCTGGCCTTCATTTCAGACGTTTATACTAGGTAGCTGGTAAAAGTAAGCTGTCCGCACCATCAAGAGCAAACCAGGTGTGATCACATCAATTGCTCGCATGTGCTTGAGAGGTTGGCGTTACTACCACCTAGAGTCCTGTATCTGTGGGATACTGCCATTTCGAAGAACCTCATTATAATACAGAAGATCATATCCATATCTGTCTTGTAGCAACAGGAATGATGAAGGGGAATGACCCTCTCTGCTTGACGAGTTGAGGGTTGAGAACCGTGTTGTAAGTGGGACTTGGCTTTGCCCCACAGCGAGTTCATACCTAGTAGCTGGGTGCAGGTGCATGTGCAGGTGCAGGTGGTCTGTGCACCGACACGCATGTAAACATTGGAGGGAAGGACCATTCGCGCCTCACCACCACACTTTAACCCGGCGAACCGCAATCGATCACGGCAGAAACAACATCCCTATTACGTACGACCGCCGGCTCCATGCTGCTCGAAGAGCCTGGCAGTACCGTGGAACGACCGATGTTTAATTGACGCGTTTTACGCCACCGTCTACGCCCAATTGTCGCCCGCCCGAATACCCATCGCGAGTCGCGCGACACCCTCGTACCCGGCACAACCTCGGCTTCCAGATTCATGCGCAACGAACGCCAGCGTCCATGACTACCCTCGTGCAAATACGTCAGCCGCTACAAGTACTGAGCATGAGCAATCAGCCCAAGCGTCGCAGAAGCGAGCGCCTGGCCGGTACGTCGAAACTGTCCAGTCGCGGGGGATCGGCTTTGCAATTGAAGATGCAGATAAGGAACAACTACTAACTGCTACGCGACTACTAGCATACGATGAGCAAGACGGTGATTTTGTCTTCACCCGCGGGTCGAAGCGGGTGAAGACGGCGCAACCCGACCCTATACCAGAAGACGAACCAGCACCAGCTCCCGCGCCCGCGCCAGCACCGAGGAAGGGCAGGCCGCCCAAGAAGAATAAGGATCGCGAAGTGCCCCCGCCTGCGCCCGCACCCCCAGCACAGAAGAGAGTATCGAAGCGGAAATCGAGTCAGATATCTGTACATCAAGATGAACCACCTCCGCCACCACCGCAAAGAACCACGCGACGGACGCGTTCTTCCATTGAAGCGCCAGAGCCCGAGCCCGAGCCGCCCAAAGCTGCGCCGCCCAAAGCTACGAATGGTGTGAAAAAGAGCAACCGGATAAAGGAGCCTCCACAAGAGCCTCCGCAAGAACCCCCACTAGAGCCTCCGGAAGAGCCACTGGATGAGCCTCCTGAGCTCGAGGTTCAGCTGACGCCTATGGATGTGGACAAGACGAGAGGACGGGACATGTCATCAGGGCCCAAGAAGATCGCCCTCCCTTTTAGCGACACGCCCGTCATAAACCGCAACAAGGAGATGCGAAGGAAGACAGGCGGTCGGCGGAGTAGTCTAGGAATGCGTGGACGAAGAGCGAGCTCCCTGATTGACAACGGCCACAATGCAATACCGCATCGGGAGGTGGCCTCTGCTGAATTCTATAAGCATATTGAAGCCACGGGCCCCAGTGAACCGCGGCGGATGAAACAACTTCTGACGTGGTGCGGCGAGAGATCGCTGGCGGAAAAACCGCCGCTGGGCTCACTGAATTCTAATGCGGTCCTGGGAGGTAAGAACAACTCCTTGAAGCCGGATCATCTATATCGTATCCGAGGCTAATCTTGTTCCCGCAGCCCGAGCGATCCAAGACCAGTTACTAAAAGACTTCGCTTCGCGTTCGGAATTCTCGGACTGGTTTGCGCGTGAGGAAGTACCAAGACCGCCGGCAATAGAGAAACCGAATCCACGGAATATCGAGCATGAGGAGAAGATTGTTGAATTGGAGGAGAGGATGAAACGGTACGACAGAGTTCAAAAGCTGCGAGGTTCAATTTGCTAATGATGATCCAGGTTAACAGCCGAAAGGGACACATGGCGGTCCCTCAAAGGACAACAACTGCCGGAAATACCACCGCTCTTCTCGCTATCCGAAGCGAAAACGGATCAGTCATTACCAGATGCAACTCTCCTCGACTCAGAAGAGGCACAGATACTTGCCTCTCTGACGAATTCGTCTGGCTCGACAATCACCTCTCTCATACCGAAAACGCAAGCTCGACTTCAAGCCTTACAGAAATCTCTTGAATTCAAGGTCGACCATCTTGCAGACAGCGTACACAAGGTGGAGCAGCGCATGACAACAGCAAGCCGGCAAGCTGATATGGTGCTTGGTCTCAGTGCAGCAAGGCTAAAGGAGCGGGAAGAAAGAGAGAGAGCCAGCGCCGGCACAAGGGACATGCCAGTAATGGAGGTTCTGCGCAGTCTAGGCAGGATATTACCCGAGGGCGGAGGGTGATAGAGTAGCAGGGAGAAATGATAATGAGGAGACGGCAGAGAAACTGCACCATAACACCATCTGTCATTCGTTTGGGACTGCGTCAGGGGTTCTGGAAGATACCACGTTCGAATACCTGAGGCTGAGGAGAAAGCAGCACCAGGAAATCGATATTCTACATGATTTTACGACCGGGAACGAGACGGCGGGACTTGGCTTGGCGTGGTTTGGTGACCCTCTGGCATCCATCACACACGGGGTTGTTTGGCGTATAGGAGCTTTTGTTTTGTGTTTGCGTGGTGTTGAGGTCCCGCCGGAGACTTGCCCTTTCCATTACCTTCACACTTTTCTTCTGCCACCTCACCTGCAGATCCTCCTCTTTGCGAGGATATCCCCAGTTCTCGTGGTATTGTCTCTGGAGAAGCAGTCACTCTGTGCTTTGGAGAGCTCAAAGCAGGAGGGAGACGCAAAGGCGGTGCCACCGTTCGGAGTTGGAAGATCGATCTTATTGAGATACAACAAACCCCACCGATCAGCCTCGCTAATATGGGCATCACCAGATGCCTCATGCACAATAGCTTCCTTCTCAATACAACATCGATCACCCCAATATGCTGCTGCTCAACAGTTCTACCGGTATTTGACGATTTCGAAAGAAGGGGAAGGACATCCATCCACAATGCATCGACGATAGGCGAGTGAGCGGACAGGAAGCGGATTCTCCATAGCCACAAACGTATCGATTGCCATCATTAAATACCACACGCTGTAACTCAAAGTGAGTTTCCGACGTTTTATCTTGCAAGCGCGCTCGCAGCGTCTCGCCGTCGGACCAGTACAGACATTGCAACTGAGAGGTTGGGCTGTATTTTACACGTACAGAGCCTGAAGGCTGAGCAGTACCCCATAAGTCTTCGCGGATAGGGGGGAGCGGCGAGAATCGAGGTGCGGGTGGCAAGTAATCAAGCGGGACTGGACGGTTTCAAGCCCGTCGACCAACCAGTGGAGCAGGCTATCAATGTCTGCTGCTGGCGTCCTGGATCCTCCCGGAGCTTGTTGGGATAGACTTCAGGAATCGTTATCAACGACGGCGACGAAGGACATGTGGGACATGTGGGACAACGTCAACAGCGGATTCTTTCCATGGAGAGAGATCCAGCAGTCCCATACATAACCCTATCGGAGATGACCATTCATCGGCGCTGTGCCCAACCCCTTCGTAGCTTTGTCTCGTCGCCTTCTCTCGAGGCTCAATACGCTCTAAGCGAGTGCGGACGGGAAGAGAACAGCGTATCTTTCTGCTTCGGGTGGATATAATTCTTTTCCGGCGGCATAGCAAAGGAATCGACTATCTTGGGCCTTCGCCAAGACATAGAAAGCGCAGCTTCGTCCTGTTTCCGAGCGGAAAGCTTGAGGATGCTATGAGCATCACCAAGAGGGGGCACAGCGATCAGTCGGCACTGCCAGGCAGAGATGGCAATACAGGGCATCTGTTCATATAAGCCCCGAGGAGGAGGAGGAGCGTAAAGACGCCTGTTCCAAACATCACGTCGACGGGTTCCACGTGTCCTCCTCGCTACGACTACAGCCCCGCCAGCACGCACGGTGGTGAACGCATGGCACCCTGCGCAGCGCGTACGCACAGCGTGACTGGTAATAACGGCCTTCCGAAGCCGTCCACGCTGGGTCGGATCCTTCGGAGCATGTCTCCATTTGACATAGCTCTACACGCGCGAGCCGCTCGCCGTACGAGCCGGTTTGCCAAAGACCTCGTCACTAGAAGACTTTCTCTCCTTTTGGTGCTGGTGTTAGTACCCCCTGCCTGATCTCGTCACTCTGTCTGGCCGGCAAGCACGACGATGTAAATGTATATGTGCTGTTATACGTGCAGAAGGTTCTCGAGCAATGCACCCACGGTTCGGCACCGGCGGACAGACGTTCGGACCTCTATTCGACCGGAACGAGGAGGAGATGAGGTGGTATGGCTATGCGAGTTCTAGCTGCAGAAACAGAAGCGCCAGCGGCCTATGGTCTCGATCACCAGGGAGGATTCTGGCATGGGCATCAAGTGCTTCGGCCTTGGTGATATCAACAATGCCAACGGTTCATCAAAGCCACATAGCACTCCTACCAAGTCGTACTGATGGCGGCTGTCCTAATACATGGTCCATGATGTGGGTGTCTTGTTTTGTACGGGCCTATTGTAGCCATCTACTATGTACATACTTCGTTCTAAATATACAACAGAAGTCGTGGCTATGGTGCTCGGCTGATGTCTTACAACTCCTGTACCAACCCCTTATCTGTGCCGTGAGTATCGCACAACCGTCCATGGATGGCTTTCTAGCTGTTGTACAGTATAGCCTTGTGATGAGCTTGACACTCTATATGCATCCCTATGCTCAACTGTCATCTCACACAGCCCCATATCATGAACATACAGCCATAGCCCCTTCTTCCATAAGCCGACTATTACATGTACTCTCACACTTCCCCACCCAGCCCCCTTTCTCCTTCCCCACACCCTACGACAGACACTACGACAGACACTACGACTGCAGCGCAGGCATAAAAGCCATCCCCCCTTCCTGGCTAGCCCGCCTCTTGACATGCTCCCGCAGCAGCGCCAGCACCTCGCTGTCGCGCCACCGCACCGGCACCGGCCGGTACGCCGGCTTGAACGTCCCCACCGTCTGCGCCCACTCGCCCTCGCCCGGCTTGCGGTACGGCTCCTCGGACGCAGCGGCCGCGGCCGCCACGGCGTTAGCGCCCGGGTTGGCTTTGGTGTCGTTGTAGTCGGCTTCGCGCGCCTGGCCGCCCGTCGAGGTAGCGGCCGTGGAGTGGTGGGATTCGGCGGTCGCGGCTTCAGCGCCGCTGCCGTAGGTGGGTGAGGAGGTGTCTGTTGTGGTTGTTGGTTGTGTTTGTGTTGAGGTTGAGGATGAAGAAATGGAGGAAGTGTTGTTGTTACTGCTGACGGCGTCGGCGACGGGCGACGGCGCCTCCTGCGTCGCCCAGTAGTAGATGTCCCAGTCGTTCTCGTCGAGGAACATGTCGTACTGCGCCATCCGCTCGCGGCTCATGGTCGGCAGGTAGGTGTCGGCGAAGGTGGACAGCAGCAGGTCGGACTCGAGGGTTCCGCGCTTGCGGGACTGGTCTGTTGGTAGGTCATGCATTAGTAACGTTTGATCGAAAAAGGGAGGGGAGGTAAGTTGGGAACAGTGTATAGCATAGAGTGCAGATGGGCTATGCAGAAGAAGAGAAGAGATCGTCGGCACATACACACCAACCGCGCGCGCATCGTCCGGTCGTCCTCGCCCACCCGGCGCATGGGCTGGATGCGGAAGTCGGCGCCCTCGATCTCGCCCACGCCCATCTCGGCGTTGGAGGGGCGCTGCTTGTGCGGCTCCATGGGCGGCGCATTGCCGACGGTGGCTCGCAGCGCTGTGGTGGTGCTGAGAGGCCGCAGGAGAGGAAGAAGACTCGCTCGGGATGACGACGACGAGAGCGCCCGCTGCGCTGGGCCGCGCAGGAGCATGGTGCGGGTTAATGAGGCCATTTTGGGCTAATTCGGATCAATTTGGCAGTTGTAGTCTATCGAGGTAACAATTCGACTTTTGGTTTCCTCCCAGGGTCCTTGGGGTGTCGAGTTGTTGGTGGTTTTTGTCTGTATTGTGTCGTTGACGTAGTCGAATGCTAGGAAGTTTGGGAGCTTTGACGAAGTCAAGTCAGGGTCCACTTGCCCCGGGCTGCCGGGTATGCATGCCCGGCCGGCAAGATGCGGCCGAAGGGGTCGCTCCCGTCTTGCGTCTTGTTCGCATGCTCCCTGGATCTTCATCTCAAGTCAATATTGACAATCACTAGCTGCTGAGCTTCTGGCAGTACGCAAGTTGCGAGAAACTTCCCTCGACCGAAAGTTACTGGCAATAGCTACGTATAATCCCCACGGCAAGAGTGATATGCTCCTGCGGTATTCAAACAGTGCTGTGTTCCGTTATTCGATTCCTCTCTTGACTCCGGGCACGCATCACTAGACGCCTATACAGATTATGTGTACAAGCACGAACCATTATGTTCCGTGTCTAGCCTCCCATTTTGCCCTCCCAAGTATAGGTCCCGTACGGTTCGTCTCGTGTCATGGCCTTCGTGACATCTATGCTGTATCAAGGCGGCTTGCCGAGCACCAATGGGACGTATCGTATTGCGGTAGTCCACGCTTCCTCAAAACAACATGATTGTAGAGCCCTCTAAATTAAATGCTTCGATCGGAAGTATGCCCGCAGGTACATGATCTGCCATCCCCACAGGGCAACAAGCAGCATGGTAGTACCAATGCCGAACCACTTGACGCGCGTGTTGGTGCTCTCGTTGGTGTCGCGCAGCTTCTGCTCGCGCGTGCGCAGGTAGTCCATCTCGCTCACAATCTCGGCGATCATCTCCTCGATGCGGCGCAGGTCCGTCTCGACGGGTCGCAGCTTCTCGTTCGCCTGGATGGCTGACCAGTCCTTGGCGTCGGCGCCGATGTCGATGTCGAGCTCGATGTGTCGGCTAGGATTGTTGACGCGGCCTGGTTTGAACGAGTTAAGAGCTGGGCACCCCCTTAGCCCCGCGCTTGCACCGTTGACGGTTTGACAAGGAGAGGACTTCTAGAGAATAGGGGCGCGTGACTTACCACCAACTAGGAGATTCTCAAAACACACGTCGAAGGCGGCGTCGGCGTGCGAGGTGAAGACGGTTCGCTGCTCACCAGCTACGTCTCTCGGGCGGCCGTACTCGTTTCCTACTGCATCTTTGATCTGCCTCGTGGTCAGTTAACCACCAACAGACTGCGTATTTGGACCAATCGACATACGCTCATGTTGACGACCATGCCATCGCCCTTGCTACCGCTGACAATGGCCGTAACTACGACCAATGTCTCCTTGGCGACGAAATTCCGTATACATCGGTCCTGCTTCTCGTCGTGCTTTGGGTGTGCTGTGAGGTCGAACTTGAGGGCGTGTACGGAAGAGATGAAGAGCACCAAGCTACAGACGTACTGCAGCAATGCTCGTGGCAAAGCCATTGTGAGGTGGGCGGTGACAAGATGGTTGGAAACAGCCTACTGTGGTGGTCTGGTACCGGTAGACTTGGGAAAGGAGTAGCAGCGGCAGCAGCAGCGTGGAAGACACCGATCGACGAGCTAGCAATTGGGAGTTTACCTAGCTGGGAGTTTGGCATCCCCGGCCCTCCAAATACGTGTCCAAGTATTTGAGCCAATCATGGAGCTCGCATTCAGCACCTCGGCAGCCTTGCAGAGTCCAGATAAGATAAGGTATCACGTGCATAGGTAGCCGCAAGCCGCAGCCTTGCCAATTGCAGTTCAGTCTCCATTGTTTCTTTGCCCAAGCTCCATCTCCTCTACAATACAATATCGCATCGCATCGCAAGCATCCGTATTTCCAGGCAAGCAACACTCACTGCCTGCGCCCACGACGACTTCCACCCGCTTGAGGCCTGACATCGATACTCGTTCAAGATGCCGAAGTGTAAGCTCAAGTCTCCATTCCGCACAACCCTCTCGAACGTATGCGTGGGTTACTAACACGCGCTTCTCTCCCCAGTCTTCTGCGACTACTGCGACGTCTACCTGACGCACGACTCGATGAGCGTGCGGAAGGCCCACAACAGCGGTCGCAACCACCTCCGCAACGTCGTCGACTACTACCAGCAAATCGGCCACGAGAAGGCCCAGTCCGTCATCGACAGCATCACCTCCTCGTACGCCGCCGAGGGCCAGGCCCACGCGAACCCCATGCTGCCGCAGAACCAGCCCGGAATGGGAGGTGGAATGGGAGGCGGAATGCCTGGTGGCTTCGGTCCTCCGCCCGGCATGTCATTTCCTTTCCCCGGCGGCATGCCGCCTCCGCCCTTCCCTGGCATGCCTGCGATTGGAGGAGCTGGCGGGCCACCGCCGCTGCCAGGCGGTGTTGGATTTTCGCAGGGTCTACCTCGTAAGTATTCCACCGCCGCCGACGTGACTATCGCAAAGGTCCCAACTCTAACACTTATCCGCCTTTCACAGCGCCTCCAGGTCAAGGTGGTCGTGGAGGCATGCCTCTCCCACCCTTCCCGCCCGGACCCGGTGGTCTACCCGCGATGCCCCCAGGTGGTCTACCGTTCCCTCCGCCCGGCGGTTTACCGTTCCCACCTCCTGGCGCCGCTGGCGCTCCGCCTTTCCCTCCATTCCCTGGTATGCCAATGCCTGGCGGACAGGGCTTCCCCGGAGGACCGACACCGCCTGGTATGGGTGGTTTCCCGCCGCCTGGGCACGGTCCTCCTGGACGATAGAAGAGTGCTGGAGGAGGGTTGGGAGCTGGTGATAACGACAGACAGGATCACCAAGGACAAAAGCGCTCTCAGCAACAGCCAAAGCGCACTGCCGACGGATTCTTATGCTTCAAATGTAGAAAATACGGCCACCTAGAGAAAGACTGCCCGGATCCCCCGAAGAACAACGCTACCAAAGGGCAGCCGAATCCGCATCGCCAGAACAACAACCAGTCTCAGCAGCAGCCAGAGCGCACTGCCGACGGCAAGCTAAAACACGACGAGTCAAAAAGAAACTTATTATGCTTCAACTGTAGCAGATACGGTCACCTGGCGAAAGACTGCTCTAATCTCTTATGCTTCAGCTGTAGCAAATACGGCCACGCTGCGAAAGACTGCCCGGATTACTTGTGCTTCCACTGTAACAAACTCGGTCACACAGCGAAATTCTGCCCGGATCCCAAAAGAGGCGTATTATGCTTCAGCTGTAACAAACGCGGCCACACAGCGGAAGACTGCCCGGATCTGGCATTACCCTAATGGAAGTGAGACGACGATATGGAAAAGGACGAACGTCACCACAGATGGAAATGATTGGATTTTCGAGAAGCACGGTGACCCTCGAATGTTGTCGGATACGAAGAATGCGACGACCAAGTGGCACGCGAAGAACTATGCGAAAATAGTGCTCGCAGCTGCGACTCCATGAATGTCCAACCGAACGGACCGAACTGCAGGTTTCCGGGGTTTGGCGAAAGGCGGCTCAACTTTCGAGAGCTGCATAGAGGCGACTGGCTGTACGAAAAGTGCACTTTGCAGGACGAGGCGTTTCTCAGGGAAGCATCTGGCGTTCGGGCTATGGCGTTCGGTTGTACATTGGGTTTCATGGGGAATACCACACACACACAGCAGTTAATGAAATATAGCACTTGCTTCAGTCAGAACCAGGCCTCGACCTCGGAGATGAATAAAGGCATAGAACGCATCTTTCTCTCTCATTCAGAGACTTGCTATCCTTCGTGGCTCTTCGTGTGGAAATATCCATCTCTGTAGTACATGGTAGTCCTAAGCAGGCCGCCTAACCACCCGCCTTCGTCATCCCAGACTCCTCCAATGCTCCTCTGGCTACCCAGGCCAGCCAGCCTTTCCTTTTTCTCACTTCGGTCCATCCCGTCTATTCCATTCAAAACACTCGCTCGCCCGCCGTCAAAGTGCAATAGAGAAGAAAATGAAAAAGAGGTGGGTGGCTCCAGGCCGACCCGTTCATACATCCTTCCTAATCCAGTAGGAGGGGATGTATAGAAATGGTGGTGTGTGTTGGTGTCATAGCTCATGTGCGTCGTGAGAAGGCAACATTGGTCGTTACGGTATTGTGTTGCAAGGTTTGTATCGTAGATAGGACACGTTTTTGAAAGGTAACTCAGTTGGTTCTGGCCGTAGTTGGGACATGATCGTCTAAAGCACAAGGCAAGTGAGTACGCCCGCCTGCTCAGACGAAGATATCCTGGCGCTGCGGCTCTGAAGAATGGTTGTGGTCGTAGTGGGCGTCTTCCTCTGCCGCAGGGGATTGTGATTGTATCTTCGAGCTCGTCTGGTAGGATGGCCCCTTGTAGCTATTGCGCTTTATGACCTCGCCGACCCCGTCCCGAACCTCGCGGGGTCCGCTGATCTTGCCGCGGAGCGCATCCGTCCGCTTCTGCCGGCGATGCTCGCTCAGCCGACGCTGCAGGTTCTGCGGTCGGTATTGCCCGAGCTTCTCCTGCCAGCCGGGGAACAGGCGCCGGCCCCGGTCGTCGACGCGTTTCTCGAGGCCCCATACGCGGCGGTTCCGGCGTTCCGGCGCGCTGGATGGCCGTTCGTCCTGGGAGTACCGAGTGCTCCATCGCATGCTGCTGCTGCTGCTATGGCTGTCGCGGTACCGCATCACACGCAGGCTGCCGCTGGGCGTCCGCTTGATGGTGCGACGTTCGGGGCTGCGGTGGCTGACTTCGGTGTAGTGGTCGTCGTGATCGACTGGGAGGATGGCGAACGTGCGCTTCATCCGCTCGCTCAGGCTCCTGCTTCTTCGGGGAGGGGACGGGCGATTGTCCACGGGCGGATAGCGGTAGGTCTCTCCGCCTTCATCGTCCACGTCGTACACGAAATCGTCGTCATCCATGTCGTACTGAGAAGCGGGCCTCCAGAAAGGATGCAGTTTCGACTCTTCAGGCGGCGGGTCGTCGGCTGTCGGGTACTGGTGCAATATGACGTTCTTGTTCTTCTCCAAAGCCGGGTTCTCGGCCGTCTCCCTTCGAATCCCCCTAGAGAGCGACAGGGTTCGGGCGAGGAAGCCGGGGCCGCGAGGAGCTGCATTATCGGGGTTCTTGCGGAGGCTGAAGGCCCGGCGAACCAGTGAAGGCCGTTTCTCGGGCTCCCCGAAATAGTTGCCAAGCATATTCGCCTTCTCTGCGGCGGGAGTGAGGCCAGATGGGGTAGCTGGGATGAACTTGATCGCAGGCGGTTCAGGAGGAGAGCGCGGGTTTCTAAGAGGAGAATCCACGTCGTCCATGGAAAACGGACGCTGGTGCTGGGGAGGTGTCACGGGAAGTCCATCAGGACTGCTAGTTCTGATTTTGGGTTTGTTGTCTGAGATCCTCTCCGTTTCCGCGGAATCATCCGTCTGCGTAGACCCTTCCCTCTGCAGCAAGTCGTTTGCAGGCTCGACGGGTTTCGACAGGTGATGGACCATCAAAACGGATTTGTTTTGGTGGGGGTATATGTTCACCGCCATTGCTTCCGCAATATCGGCTGCCGAATGCGTCCCGTTTGTCTCGACGGACGCTATGGAGAACGGGGTGTTGTGCGCCGTTAGGCGTTTGCCAAAGAACGGGTCTCCGTTGTGGTCGACGAGCGACTTGTGGTTAGAGTGCTCGTCTCTGTGCGACTCCAGGGATGCGGCCAGTTGAAGCTGTTTCTGATCTGAGTGACTGCTCATGTCCTCGACGGGAGGCGCACATTCCACAGTGACCTTGGGAGGTTGCGGTTTGATTTCTTGCTCCAGCAGGGTGTTGTGCGCCTTCAGGCTCTCCGCTGTCAGCGATGCGGCTCGTGAGCCAGCCCGAGACGTATTTCGGCTGGTGGGGGCAGAAAGTGAAGAGGTCCGTATGGGTACGACAGGAGGGTAGTCTATGGTTCGCTGATCGCCTGGAAGCGATCCGTCAGATTCTGACATGGACCTTCCTCTGCGTGACGGCCTGTCGAAATAAGATGACGGGTCTTTCGCCCTGCTGTGACTCGAAGGTGGTACCGACCCGAGGCTGTTGGTGCGCCTCGATCGGTGGCTGCTCATTGACCGTAGCGAAGGCGGAGCTGTAGATTTCATGGAAGCTTTCCGGTCAGGAATGACCACGACAGGGATGCCACCGTTCTTCCACACCTCGCGGCGCGCCTTGCGGCTGGCAATGGAGTTTGCTGTACCGGTAGAAGCAAGACTGTCCGACCGCGCACTTTCAAATCTTCCTGGCACTCTTGGACGCCTGGACCTCTCGGTCAGGCGAACAGAAGTCGCCGCAGAGCTCGAGGGCGAGGGCGATATTTCAGAGCTAGAGTCTCTGAGGGCTGTTTGCTTTCTGACGTGGCGCAGCGTTTTCTGTCTTTGTCGAGGGACATCAAGGACATCAACAAGAATGGTCTCTACCACAGTGGAAACGGTAGACTTGGATGACACTCGGGAAGAGCGCCTGAGATCGGTACTCATGGATGAGTTGGAGGCGGACGGCGCAGTCCAACGCGGCTTGCCCTTGCTTGTAGATTCCAGAGGTACAGGTGATGGTTCGTGCAGGGGCATGGCTCGCAAAGCCTTTGTTGCGTTGGTTGGCGTGACTGTCACATCCTCGACGACCTCTTCTTTCCGCCCACGCCCGCCTGGTTTGGGTGGGCCTCGCCACTTCCGCACAATCACATTCCTGTTGAGATTATCATCCCATTCTTGTTCAACCTCGCCCGGTGACGCCCAGTCCCCATCGAACGTGAAAAACTCCTGTCTCGTCCTCGGAGTCAGGTTATCCTCTGACTCAGGTCCCAGCCCCAGCCCCGACCCCGACCCCGACCCCGCGTCCTGCGCTTTCCTCTGCCTCGAATCTATCAGTCGTCTCAGCGTGCTCTGCGATGTTCTAGACGACGATAATAACGGTCTCGGCGTTGTCTTCACTTCTTCGTCCGAGGAGTCGAGGTTTTCCCGCGCCGTCGTGAATGATTCGGTACGGGAGTCTGTCGCCGCTTTGGACGGGATGCGATCTGCAAGAAGCGGACGAAAGGCCTTGGGTCGACGCTCAGGCTGCGGAGGGGTCACGTCTGGCGTCGGCGGGCTTCGCTGGTGGGGTGGAGTGCCCGGAACCGATCTCACAGAAACGGTGGTGACGCTGTGCACCGGGCTCGCGACGTGAGTGGGAGTCGAAGGCAGGGCGGATTGGCTGCTGGACGAAGTTGTTCGAGAATGGGCCGGCGGCGTTGGTGGGAAATCAGGACCGATGCTCCTGATGCTCCTGATGCTCCGATTCCCCTTCCTGAGTCGCGGCGGAGTTGATGGCCTCGTATCCAGGTTCGAAACCGGATAGTTATCGAGCGAGAGGGAGTGGGATGAAGGTCGACCATCACTCGCCGAGATGGACTCAGGTCGATCGTTTCTCGGGTGCGGGAGGACCTTATGCTTCTTGAACGAGCGTTGACTGGGCTTACTAATTGGAGCACGATCACACAGAGGATCGAAGTAGAGAGTCATGGTCGCGGTCGGCGCGACAGTCTCGGCAGAAGCGAGCATCTTGTCGTGGAAATGCTACTGCTACCTCGTTGCGGGCACCTTATTAGCTACTTGTCTCGGTCGTACCACAGCAGCTGACGGTTCGCATCGTGGACACGGTCACGGCGGGATGCTGGAAGGGGATCTTTGACAGGTGTTGAAGGTACACCTGTGCAATGCAGATTACTCTCGTCGGCCGCGTCGGCCTCTTTCTGCCTTGGTCAGGAGGGACAGATGACGGCGCACCAGTCAGGCTGCAGGACTAATACAGAGACCACGTCGAGGGCGGATTGTGCAGATTGTTCAGGTACTCGCAACGCATGGCGCACAAGGCATATTATGCCAGTAATCGCAGGTGAATATAACAAACAAAGGGGGTCACGTAGGAACGAACAACGCCAACATAACCGACGACGTAGCAGAGAACGTGAAGCAGCGCTTCCGACGGCGTTCACGCTTGATAGGATAGAGTCGTAGTCAAGGATTGGCAGGATTGGTGTGGGTGTGGGCATGGACATGGACATGGGCTGCTCTATTTTTTTACGCTCCAAGCCTGGCAGTCCGGCAGTCTGCAGTAGCAAAGGGCGGGCTGGAGGCTGTAGGCTGGGATTGACTTCCCGCCCCTGCAAGTCCCAAGAAGTGGGGAGGCTTCACATAGGAAACTCAAGAGGCGCCGAGTGAGGGTCGCTCGACGGCGTGAGTGGTTGGGAGTCGGGCCATGATGCAGCCGGCTTGGGGGCTCCTCTCTGCCTCTGCAGTAGGCTCACTGCATAGGCAGATAGGTAGACTACCTACTTACCAACCAATGTATGAAGTCAGGACTCAGAAGCAATGGCCGACTGCAGGCCAGAGGGGTAACGCGCTATGTATCGACGAGACCTCGGATCGCTTCCGACCATGAGTCCGCCGTGTGTAGTACGGCCGTACGGCAACTATCTACCGGTAGTCTCATAGTAGACACCCTCGCGCTTCGTTTTCGTCATGAACACCTATGATAGGAGACAGCTCTGGACAGATGGCTGGGAAAAGGCAGAGGTGGTAGATTCAAGATGAGGTGGGAGGAGTCGGCAGACTATTGCTCACATGGGATGACCTACTCACTGTGGGTGCATACGCACGCTTGGGGGTAACGGGGGGCAGACATAAAACTTGTCTAAGTATCTCGCAGGTTCATCCATACAAGGACCACTTGCCTTCGGACTCCGCTTGCGAATCGGTGCAAAGCCTGGCTTCCTGCATTGGACAGGACAGATCAAACGATCCACGGCAGGGCGAGACGGAGAGACAGAGAAGTGGAGAGGCCGAGAGGGAGCGAGGGAGCGAGGGAGCGAGGACCGAGGCGCTACGCTACGCTACGTTGTATCGATCGAGGTGCTGCAGTGGTGCTGCAGAAGAGTAATGCTTTTTGACCGGAGCTGCAGCCAGTCCAGTCAGCAGGACAAATGAGCTGCTTGAACTGCACAAGGCTGGTCCCTCTTGTTATAGCCTGCAGGCCGCACGAGGCGAATCAGAGCCCATATCCCAATGTGCGACTATACGCGGCCGGCTGTTCTTGGACCCGTGGTGGTCACTACTGAAGGTGGCGGCAAGAGGAGTGGCATCTTGACGGAAAGTTTGAGGTATGTATCGTCATCTGGCATCTGGCGTTTAAGTTAGCAAGCCGAGGTGTTTTGATGCTGGTCAAGTAGGCAAGACGATGCTCCAATCAGATTCTGGCTGGTCTATAAAGTGGGTACCAGTATTCCTGAATCCCGGTGGGATTCCATCTCCCCACAGCCTGTCCATGTCACCGGCTTCACCACATCCCCCTACATGCACAGACATGACTCGGCTCTTCAAGACAGTGATGAGACCCTCCCCCGACGCATCTTCTGCTCCATACGCCGAATGAGGACTCTGAATCATTTAAGAATCATTCAAGCGAGCCGGTCATCACTATCGGACAGAGCCGAGTCTTCGCTGCGATATAGATGACATTATCTCGAAGCGCATCATGTCTCGCATACCGTACTGTTTAGGTGATAAGAAGGTGATAAAACTAATATATGGCTTTCTTTGGATGCCACATGGTTATACCATCTGATACACTCTTCTCAGTATGCGAAACTCGTCCGCATATGCACTCAACAATCAACATCTTCGGATGAGCCCCTATCACGCAGCCCGTGACCGGCGCGCCGGATTCGACTTCGGCTTCGACCGTGCCTTCGGTCCATGCCCATCATCATTCGCCAATTGGTCTTAAGAGTATAATTCAGTGACTGGACAATAGCAAAGCGAGGAATCACCAGGCAGTCGACCTACGAGCAGTCAGAGTCTGGGGAGCTTGGTTGGCCTTCGGATGGAAGCTTTATCTACTGCCCCGCATCCCAAGCACGATGTCATCACGGCCGACTGCATTCTCAGACGACTCCCTCGCGTTTGTCTCAGACGACTTCGTCCCTTTACCTAACGAGATCGAGCTCAATGACATATCCACTATGCAAGTCGAGCTGCAAACCTCCAGTCAAGATGGGCCTCCCGTCGCGACATCTGCTTTCTAGTGGATGAGCTGTCAGCGATAAGCTCGACTCACCCGCGGCCCATGTCCACGTCTGCAGAATCGATGTCGTCGTCTCACCAATCAACCTCGGCGACGGAGGACTGACACTCCAGCGAGATGTCTGAATCATGGAGGGGAATAAATGTCGCGAGTAGTCCAGTGTCTTATAGGTAATATAAGAACAGTTCTCTTGTATGTTCATTTGTGTGAATTAACGTAGAGACCATCATCCTTTCCACGATGTTGACAGCACTTCTCACCGTCGGGTACGCCGTCCTCGCTGCTGCTCATGATGTCCACCATGATCAAGAGCCATTGTCGGGGCCGCACCAGTCTCTCTGGTATAACAACCTCCCTGGAGATGGTGGGAAACAGGCTAGACTCCCCATCAAGTCCGCTATGCTGTACCGAACCAGCCTTCTGATTCTTCATCTAGGCCGACTCTGTGTTCTCCGGCATCTCGACATTCGGGCGACTGCCGTATCAGCCGTGTCTAGGCTCAAATGACATATCATATGACCTTGCCTTCATCGGTATGCTCCCGCCGCTCAAGTACTGCTGAGTACCCATATTGACAAAACTGCAGGCGCCCCCTTTGACACTGGCACGTCTTATAGACCAGGTGCCCGTTTCGGTCCCTCGGGCATTCGTCAAGGATCTCGACGTCTGAATCTCTAGTACGGCCTTGTTCCTGCTGTCTGATTGTGCAGTGTAGATGATATGATATCGAGACTACTGACATAGACCTAGTGGTGGATATAACGTCCCGCTCGAAACGAACCCCTTTAATGGCTGGGCGACTATTCTCGACTGTGGAGATATTCCGGTGACATCGTAAGTCACCCTATGTTACGCCTCTTACGTCCCCACTGGCAAACCTCAGAGTAACTGGATGCAGATATGACAACTCTTGGGCTCTCAAGCAGATAGAGGAAGGCCACTATGACATCCTGTCTCGACCCCCCAAGACAGACGCCAGCAAGCCCGGTCCCTCAAAGAAGGGCAAGACTCTACCGCGAGTCATCACACTGGGAGGCGACCACACCATCACGCTTCCGCTGCTGCGCTCCATCAACCGCGCCTACGGGCCTGTGTCTGTCATCCACTTTGACAGCCATCTCGACACCTGCAAGCCTCCGCCCTCCCAACTGACCCTTCACGTGCCGCTCTAACACAGCCAACCCAGGGCGCCCCAAAGTCTTCGGTGGCTCGCCCTCCGAAGTAGCCTCCATCAACCACGGGACCTACTTCTACCACGCCGCGCGCGAGGGCCTGCTCGCCAACGACACCAACATCCACGCCGGCATCCGCACGACGCTCAGCGGGCCCAGCGACTACGAGAACGACGGCTACTGCGGCTTCGAGATCGTCGAGGCGCGCGAGATCGACACCATCGGCATGGACGGCATCATCCGGAAGATCGTGGACCGCGTCGGCACTGTCAACCCCGTCTACCTGTCGCTCGACATCGATACCCTGGACCCGGCGTTTGCGCCCGCCACTGGCACGCCCGAGACGGGCGGGTGGACTACGCGCGAGCTGAGGACTATTTTGCGCGGGCTGGAGGATGTCAATCTGATTGGGGCTGATATCGTTGAGGTTGCTGTGAGTGAATCCATGGCCCTAACACCCTTAATTCATGGAGTAAGGGCAGGACTTGAAACTATGGATGGCTGACCAGGACTCGAACAGCCCGCCTACGATACCAATGCCGAGCACACGACCATGGCTGCAGCTGACGCACTCTACGAGATTATGAGTATCATGCTCAAGAAGGGGCCTCTGAGCAAGATGGTCGCTGGTAATGATGAGGGTGAGCTGTGAGATGATCTTATCTCATCTAGTTTCGCAGCCTTACCGGCAGTCTGTCGGACATGAATGGAGCTTCGGAGGATTTGTGTGGTCTGCGATGGTGTTAGGTGGTACTGATGAGCGGATGGGGTGGAAGAGCTAGCCATTCTTGGACTTGAAGAATGGGTAGCCTGAGAAAATACGTGCGCGGAAGGGCACAGGAAGAAAACGAGCATTGATACTTGCTTCCATTCATTAAGTCTTTCGCCCTCTTTGGTTATTGTAGGAATTCCCGTTGGTACGTGGACACCAATGCCAATGATGGACGTGCCGGTAATTGTCCGAAGGCCACACTCACCAGCACCAGACTTCATCGTTGCAGCATTCAAGATCTGCGAGGCTAATAATACGACCGCCCGTGGGACCACACAACGATATTACCCTGCTAGACCATGGAGTTAGCCGTTTTTACGCTGCCGCAATGGGTTCCCACAGTGAATTGGAAATACTCAGTCTTAACCCCTTTAATTCCACGCTCATTACTACTGCTGTCGTACTATAAGGAAGGCAACCCTATCTACTTGAGCTTGTAACCTACGAGCTCAGCTCCCAACAGTCCATTCCTCCAATCCAGACCTGATGCCAAAGTAAACACATCAAGCCAGGCAGACTCCAAAAGACATACAGTCTCCCCCCAAAATCCACCACCATGTCAACCACCATGACCCTCCCCATCTCCCTGCCCTCCCTAACCCCCTGCGAAGCCCTCGCCGACGTCGTCCACCGCGCCGTGACCGGCATCGACACGCCCAACAAACCGCTCTTCGTCTCGGCCTTCACGCCAGACGCCGTCTTCGACGTCGCCGGCACCGTCGTCGAGGGCCGCGACGCCGTGACCGCCTATGTGTACGACCGCATCGCGCAGCTCGACACGACGCACCTGTTCACGAATTTGCGCGTGAGTTTAGAAAATGGCGCGGCGACGGGTACGGTCACGGCGATGGCCCTGGGGCAGCATTTTCGTGTGGGCGAGGGGAATGCGGGTGGGAGTGCGCGGCAGTTTATGACGGGGGTGCTTTATTATGTTGATTGTGTGAGGGGATGAGAAGTCGTCAGAAGCAGTTGCGACCCGCTAGAATAGGGTTGATGTGCTGGGTAGCCGTCAAGTGAACTCTTTGGTTTTTCTATTTCTTGCAAGATATTTAGTAGGAACCAACAGCACAGCAGATCTCGTGAGTGTTTCTTTATCATCTTTCGTCTTGTTCTCTGTACCTGTGGGGGGTCACCTTCTCCTGTCCATCTCGCAGGCGTATATCCGTTTCCTACGATCTCAACTCATTTGTTTCCAACAAGCATCCGGCATTTGTTTCTTCTGTTATGCTGTCCCCCACTCTCACTCCAGCTGCGAAACGACGAACGGGGTGTAAGCTCCCGTGACACTCAGGTCCTTCTGGGGATCGTATCTCTCCAGACTGTCTAGAGGACCATACTTCTCGCAAAGGTACAGCATGTCGTTGTAGGCTCTGTACTTCTGTTAGCTTCTCCTCACGATCTGCGTATCGGACACGCACATTTGCCTCGATGCGCTGCCTGGATGTCCCGCCCAATCATTGAGGTACGGGTGGACGTTGTATAGCCGGTTACGGTCGTCCCATTCGTCGACCGGCTCTGAAAACTTTATGTGATGTTGATACGCTTGGATACACGCTGGGGGAGGTAAAATAGGAAGCCCAGGAACATCTCCAGGTTCCGAACTCCATCTCGTTATGGGCGTATGTACTCCCGGGGTCGACCACCACGGTTTCACATGTTCCCTTGTCGATCCCTATATTGTTCTCCCATAAATCGCCATGGATCAGCGCGGGCGTTATCTCGCGCCCCTCTGACTGTAACGCTCCCAGTGATCTTGGTATGACCACATCGATGAGCTGCTTGCAGAGAGCATCGTATTCAGGCCAAGGATCATTCGCTTCGTTGTCGTATTTGATAACGTCCTTGAGTTGGTGAGTGAATGAGGCGGCCCAAGACTTTTCCCATTTCACGGTTCGTTCCATCCTACCACACACCGTTGGGACTGGGTACCCAAACATGCCATTGGGCGAGGTTCCCTTTTCGTGGAGTTCAGCCAGCTGGGCCCCGAACTGGGCGGGATCTGGTGCGGTAGAGAAATCCATATCGTGGTAATCTCCGATGAAGAAGTACACCTCCGTCCCGCCATCCCGATACTTTCCCCATCCAGCTGGCTTGGAAACGAAACCAGATACAACGGAACTGATAGCAGCTGCAGAGTGGTATTCGCCTTCAATGAGGGCACGAGCACTCCGGCCTGTGGCGCACTGCGTGGTAGGAAATGACATTGTACCAGATCTGGCACACCAGGGCTTGCGTGGGCTTACCTTCAAGAAAAATCGCTTGTTACTCCCATCGGGTAGGGTCACAGAGATCTTCGCAGTCTTTGCCCACCGTGGAGATACCACAGGTCTCAGCAGCAGTAATCCTGGTTACAATGGGCATGGCTGTAGCACTGTAAGTCGACTGGGTGATCACGGATGCGTGGGCGTATCAGTCAAAGAAGTATACCTTCGAGAACGGCCTGGTTTATGGGGAAACTGCCTTCAATGTTGACTTCCCACATAGAGGAGTCTGCCATCTCTGCTGTTCATACACGTCTGGGGTCAAGAAAAGAGAGAAAAGAAAGGATATAATGCGAGTCACAAAATTTTCGCCCCTGGAAGCAAGCCACGCGGTTGGGTCGTCCCACCTCGAGAGCGACCCGAGGGATTGGGTGGCAGCGGTTCGAGAAGCGATATGACTGGCCTACATTGGATGATCGATACCAACCGCTCCGCATGGGCTCTACATATAAAAAAACAATTGCAACGGGTTTTACGGTTTGAGGCAACTTATATTAAAACAGCTAAAACACCTCAGGTAAAGAAATGAACGATGGCTCTATGTATGAGATTATTAAGTGTTTTATATTAAAAGGAAAAAGAAAAGGTCTTCTAAGCTAAGGGTAAAGCCCTTTTTAAATAGCTAAGCATTTAATATTTTTAGCATTTAAAGTTATTTAAAACCTTGTTTAAGCCTGTTATAATCTTATTAATATTATAATATTTAACACGTCTTCTTAAAGTAAAGATATTATGATTAGTTAGTTACTTATAACTTTATAATGTTATAATACGTTTTTATTAAAATACTATAACACGTTTAAGATTTAAAACCGATTTTTAAAACAAAACGACTTAGTATTTTATAACAAAGTATTATAACATATTAAAAGTGTCAAAAAGGCAATGATTGTTAGATCCATGCGATTCCACATTCAAACCATCCATACTGAACCCACATATATGATTAGATAAGAGAATAGATACCAGATTGTGAGGTCACTTAGCCAGACCTGCGAGTCCAGCTAGATCTCCCAATCCAACCATCAGCAATATCATGATCTTGACCCAATACTCGAGTATAATGATTGATCGTTCAAGCCTGTTCCAACAATGATAAAGTATAATTATTGTGACGGCCTGCACAGACCTTCCCACATGACAAGCGGATACTTCCCAATAGGGGAAGGATCTGACCAGAGGATCCCCTTAAAGGGGCAACCTCCCACTGTACCTATCTCTCTCTCTCTCTTTCTTTCCTCTCTAGTCTTGATATTCTCGTCAATAGAGTAATAGCTGCTTGCTGCAGGCCATGTCCCAGCTCCTCAGTACGCTTGCCGTGACAACAATTATAATATAACGCTTTTAGTAAAAGTGAATAAGTAAATAAAAGTTAATTTAACGCCTTTTTAACGTTATTAACGTAATTATTAACATTCAGACTTCGGTGGTTCAGGTCATCATGTTGCTTGCGTTCAGGGTACAGATCTATCCATAGGCTCTGGGACCTGTTCTGGTACTAAATACACATACAAACGATAAAGCAAGGCTTATCCTTTGATCTCGAGGGTAAAGATCCCTTGTCCCAGATACACTAAGCCACAAAGCCCCCTTCCAGGCTGTTCCTTCCTTTCTGTGCTGCTGTCAGCCTTGTCAGCCTTGTCAGCCGGCCTTGCAGGCAGCCTTGCCAGGCCTGACACCCCTGACACCCCTGTAAGCGTGTTACAGCACACCTGTGAGCCACCTGACTGCTCACAGTAATTAACATTTTGATATTTTGATAAGAAAAAGAATAAGCGTGAGATTCTAGAAGGGTCACAAGCCTTTGGGGTGTGAGCTGTGACGGCCTGCACAGACCTTCCCACATGACAAGTGGATACTTCCCAATAGGGGAAGGATCTGACCAGAGGATCCCCTTAAAGGGGCAACCTCCCACTGTACCTATCTCTCTCTCTCTTCCTTTCCTCTCTAGTCTTGATATTCTCGTCAATAGAGTAATAGCTGCTTGCTGCAGGCCATGTCCCAGCTCCTCAGTATGCTCGCCGTGACATGAGCGGTCGCTGCAAATGTTGTTATCATTCTCAAGTATGCTCGGCAGGGCTAATCTACAGCTAAATACCATACTGCACCATGCCAGGGTGGATCCACTGTTCCCTTGACAGCCCCCTAGTGGGTACAGCACCTAAGGGCACCATATCTGGGATCCAACATCTGACAGATTATTAAGTATTTTATATCAAGAAAATCTTTTAAAATAAAAGTAAAGCCCCTTTTAAATAGCTAAATAATCATAATAAACACATATTATTTAAACCAATCAGAAGCCAAGGTTTATAGTGCTATAAGGGTGTTATAAATGCCTTAGAGCTAGCGCTCTAATGCGTTCAGCCCTTAAAGCCACGTGGAACCTTGTCTAAGCCTGTTATGATCCTACCAGTATTATAATATCTAACACCATGTCCGATCGTAACTCCCCTAGTCAAAGTCAGCATCACCAGGGAATATTTTAACTCACCCAGACGGAACCTCTGCCCTCGATCGTACGGTTTCCCAGCAGAACACTCGAAGAACTCCTCCGCCTCGCTCGCCGCGGAAACCGGCTCAGAAGTTGTACTTCCGGAGGAGCCTGTCTTTGCCTTCCTTTGTCAACCACGCGTCTCTAATACGCACAGGCCCTGCCCTCTCGACATGTGGCTGGCGGTGTGCACTGCCAGGTCCATTATCATGCGAGCTTCGTCGCCGCGACTTCTTGGAGCTTCCGCTCCGCAAAGACACCTCGGAATCCCCCTGATATTCTACCATGGACCTCTTGCGCTTTTCCCGCGTCGTCAGATGACGATCGCCCTTAATAGCTTCGCGCCTCCTGCAGTCCGTGCAAACGTGGTGGCCTTCGGCCGGACTCAAAAGTCCGTGCTTGCACTCCCGACAGGCCAAGAAGCATCCCTTCTCTCGGCATTCCCAGATGGATGAGTACTGGACGTCCTTAGGGCACGCGGGGAACACCCAGGCCGTGACGCGAGCCGGACCGGTCTCATTCTGCACGGGTAGGTTCACACGAGGCTCATCAGTCATGAAGCCAAGATAAGCGTCGATTCTGTCGAGGCGGGCGTTGGTCTTTTGCAGAGCCCACAGGACATCAGCGACGGACGGCTCCCCGCGAGTCTCTAACGCGCCTGCCTTATGCCCTGCCCCGTTTCGCCTAAGGCTGGGATATTGCCCGCTCTGTGCCGCTGTCGCCAAGGTCTGCGCCTTCTGGTAGTACTTATATAGGGTCCTCGCGGTGTTGATTCCGGACTTGACTTTCTGAATGGTGTCCCATTGCCCCTTGAGGAATGGCTGGCCGACTTCATCGAAGTACCGTTGAGCATCGTGGAGCTTGCCAGATATGCGGTCTTTATCTCCGCGTGGCTCGGCGTCGTGAGTTCGTGATTTACCTGTCGCTTTCTTGACTCCTGAGGACTTGCTTGAGGCTGAACGGGTTCTACTACTGCGACGCCGCTTTCCACTGATGGAACCTGAGCTGCTCACATCCCTTGATGAACCCATTGTGAATGATTGTTGATTCGAGTCGTGAGAAGGAAGGTGATATCAGTCTGGTTTGTGGGAACGAGCAACAGTGCACATCAGCAGCGGTGCAAATGGGGATAAGTCCTGGGTCGCAAGGCGTTTAAGTCCCAAAATAGTTGTAACAGTTCTCATTGACCATTGGGAACATGCTTCTTTGGCCCACCACTAGATAGCTCTCCTGTGACTGTACTCTTACTTTGAGGCTCGGGGAACAATGAGGCTGATCATACGAGTCACGGCCCAGAGTACCGCAGCAACCCCTTTGTACTTCTCGTAACAAAGGTATGTGCCAACGAAGACTGTGCCAGTCGGGCATTGATGCAAGCCTGGTGGCTTGTAGGTTAGTCTCTGCTTGGCCTGCTACTGTAAGTCCGCTGACTGGGGTTTGGAGACACAACAGGAACTGACACGCATGGCCCATTCCTACTCGAAATTCAGAATTCAACTTAGATTTTATAAATTGTAACGATACACCCGGCCACCCGTCCTTCCAGGAGCTCCAGGGTCGCATTCAGCCCCGAGCCCGCGTCGGGAGGCGGAGAGACCTCCTCTGCACACCTGCCGGCCGAGCCTGTCTTGCACTGCCAGCGCGCGGCTTGGAAATGGCCGCCCGGATACTCTCACGCTCCTCGCCGGTGAGTGGCACCTCGGCCGCTATCTCGGCCCTGGCTTCCTGTAAGGCCTCCTGTCGTAGCAATTCTAGGTGCTCCGACTTCAGTGTCTCTTTGAGTTCAGCCCTGGCCTCACCCAACAGCTCGTCGCGATGTTTCTCGAGGAGCCCTTGCTTGACCTCCTCACGGATATGCCCTATGTCTGCTCTGTGGCCCGAGTGGCCTCGGGCCTCGGCGGCCAGATCCAACCTGCCATCTTTGAGGAGCATTTCGACCAGCTTCTCTCTTGATGGACCGTGGCCTAGCACAAGGTGCGTGGTTCGCTCGAACCAGTTGTGGGTCCAGAGTAGCTCTTGTAGCAATGTTTCCCGACACTCTCTAGTCTGGAGAAATCGTTCACGGCACTCTTCCTTCTTGTTTTCGTTATCAAACAGCAAATCCATCAATTCTCCTCGCAATTCACCTTTGAGGAGGTATTTCCGATATCTTTCTCGGTCGTCCTCGTCGTGGAACAGCTCCTTCTGTAATGTGGTCGTCCTTTCGTCTCCGGCTTCTAGGAAATGCCGCCGGCTTCTTTCTTGGACATCCTTGTCCTTGAACAGGTCATGCAGCAATTTATCGGTCCATTCGTCTCCATCTTCGATGAAGCGCTCCCGAGCTGCTGCCCGATCATGCTCGTCCTTGAACAGGTCCTGCAGCAACTTATCGGTCCATTCGTCTCCATCGTCGATGAAGCGCTCCCGAGCTTCTTCCCGAACCTGCTCGTCCTTGAACAGGTCCTGCATCAGCTTTCCCGTGAATTCATTTCCATCGTCGATGAAGCGCGCCCGAGCTTCTTCCCGATCATGCTCGTCCTGAAACAGGTCCAGCATCAGCCCATCTTTATATCCAGGCTCCGGAAACCGTTCCCGCGCAATTCTCAGTTTGTAGCTCTCCTCGTGCCCCCAATCGTCGCAGTTGTACCAGCGCCGGCCGTCCTCCAGTACACCAAAGGTCCAGCCATCCTCCACCTCCTCTTCTACTAGATCGTCGTACATCTTCTCGAGCGCGTCGTTAGCGTCCGCGATGGCCGTAAACGATCCCCCGCGATCGGCAACGCTGCCGGGCCTGAAGGACGCCCACGACTTCGTGCAGACGGCGGTGTAGTTGTGAGTAGTCATGGCGTCTGTTGGTAGGGGAAGAAGAAGAACTATGTCAGGTCCTAGAACTTGCGCTCGAGACTTCTCGAGTCGTCGTCCAGCTATCATGTGCACGGACGAGCAGAATAAACAAGCGCGTGTTCGAAGCGGGCCATAGGAATGTTATCGGCGTCGCACCAAAACCTAGACCCCCTTTTCTCACAAGCGTAAGAACTAGTAGTTGACGGCTCTTGAGATCATCACAAAGGCCATCACGCACATTCATCCGTCTTTCTATGGAGGCTTAAATCTTTCCTTAGCTCTGGATTCCGACCACGGCACGGCTTCTTACGCTCCGTTAAGTTGAATCCGATGTGTTCGCCTCCCATTCGTCGTCGGCCAGCCAGCCCGATCAAGAGCATGTGTGGCTGCCAGCAGCCAAGTCTCAATGCACATTCCGTATGATTGTATTCAGCTAAGTACTCCCAATGATGAGATGTGGAGGGCTTTGGGCAGCTGCTCTCCTGGCTCTAAACTACAAATTGCTTTGGCGAGCCCGCTTGACCTGCCGGCTCTAATGGAAGACGCTCGATGATACTGTCGAAAACAGGTGAAAATGCTGCATACTACGGCAGTAATCGTGAATGAGAGGTCATGGTCTTGTGGGGCAGTTTCTGTATAGTTCTATTATCTATAGCCTAGTCCTGCTTACATTCTACCACCCAGGTCTCAAGCAACAAATGGTTCCCCCTTCAATTTAGGGGTAGGTAGAATAGCTCTGTTGCTCCTCAAAGGCTGCAACCGCCGTGGAAATCTTGGTGTGCTCATCGTCACTCTCGAAGGCCCACGCATAAGCATCATGGAAATCAGACGTGATTTCGATGCGATTTCCCGTCCACGAAACATAGATCGACCTGCGCCTGTACCGCCGAAGTATTTTATCATGTTCCATCCTCTCACCTAAGGGATCATGAACCATGGTCTCACCAAGTAATGCACTGTATCTCTGCCGATATAATTCCATCGCAAGGGCACGCACGCCCAGCCGACGTAAGTATCGAGGATCTGCTTCGAACATGCCGATGAACGGAATGTCAACACGTCTCATCGGAAAGCCAAATTTCGGGTCCCAGGAGATGCGGCGGCACATAGTTTTATCCTTTTTTATGCATCTGATTTGACGAAATATCGTTAAAGCGCGCTAAATACTATACTAGGTTCTACGTTATAGCTTAAAAATAAGTCGCCAGCCTTTAAAAGGGGTTTAAAGGTCTATTTTTTCTCTCGAAAAATAAAAAAGAAGAGTAAAACCTTTATAAAAGCCTAGTCTATTAAAGGTTCGTATCTAGACTGTTTCGTAGCAGTCTAAAGCTAATTAAGTAGGCTATTTTCATATCGATTGTTATAACGACGAGTTAGCCGTAGGACAATAGTATATTTTACCTCTTGGTCATCTATTCGATGCGTCAAATCTACTACTGTCTTACAAGTAAGCTTCATAGGTCGCCCCAAGGATTATTGATATGTGACCAGATATCAGTATAACCATGGAGTCTGTAATAGCATCGACCATACTAGACAAAGAAACAGCGGTCAGAGATACACCATGTTGGCACGTCAAGGGATGCAATGACAGTGGCTGGTCTGGGTTCTGTTAAGTGGCCTATCCTCACCATGACCAATCTTTAGGTATCAAGAAGCCGACTCAGAACTGCAAGCGTGGAGCCAGCCCATGTGCTGAGCCCAGCGCTTGGCATGTATTATCATGTCAGATACTCCACTCTGTATCTGTATCTAGATATTCAAAGAGCTGTGTCATAGTGGCGACCATGGAAAGACTTTCACCGCCTCGTGAGGTCATAAGTGATGTGTCAGCTAGCATAGCGGGACAGATGTCCAGCTTTCATTCAAAAAAGGGCCAGCAGGGGATGGGTGATGCTCGTTATCGGCCTTGTGATACGGCTCACGTATATGTCATGGTTCAGAAGTCCATGTACTGTTCGAACCTTGCTCATGGGCAGTTTTGATCGGTTCGATACATAGCCATGGGTCAACACTTCCACATCCGTCTTCGTGTAGAGAAGTTGGAGCCATGTTGTTGAACACACGAACTTGGTCTAATGTACATACTTAAGTAAGGGGTCAACCTGTCAATGAAGCACCATGCCTGCGGATGATTGTTAAAGAAAGCCGCGAGACGGCCTGCATGGATATCTATGCCCACAGCGTGTGTTGAAATCGAATATTGTTTGATTTCAAAGGAGTACTGCATGCCTTGTGCAACCTTAAGAGCCGTTGAGCAACTCTGGTTGACGTTCTTCACGACCTACTTGCGTGTTGTATTCGGCGAAACCTCGATTGCGAGCCTAAAAGTAACCTTCTACTTGGATAATGCCTATGGGACGACCAGTTCTAACATTACCTACCTATCTGACTCTCTCAGCCATCGGTTCTCGCCATGCTGCACTCCATGACTACCTATGTTTCGAGTTGTGTAATTAGTCTGGGTGTGTCAGGGGTCATACGGCGATAAGGGGCTATAGCCGATGCGGGGTAACTGCATATAAGGGGCTCTCGCATATCGCTCCCTTGAGGTCTAGAAGGCCAGGTTTTAGCTGTATATAATGGTCTCGTTTGGAATGGATGCCCTGTCACGCTGCCACGCCCTTATGTTGACAGGGCGGGTATGCCAGATATGCACTTGATATTGCTGCTCTCGGCTGCTGTGCCGTCTTGCTGCCTGCGGAAGGACATGGCGAGCTGAAGTGGACACTGGATGGTAGGCAGTTTACGCATGTCCCTTTCTCGGAGGTCCTTGCTCCAAGGCTCCTCCCTCCTCCCTTAAACACTTTCACTCTACCCGCCTAGACTCAAGCTATCATTGAAACGTCAGCGACATTCATAAAACATACCTGTTCACGAGGTCGACGAGACGCTTGCACCAGCTATACGAACACCTCAAGATGGCGCAGAGCATACAAAGTGAAGCAGATGCCTTCATCAAGCGCTACGCCGCGCTCTTCTCATCCCCGTGTTGCTCTTCGCCAGACGAGGCGGGACAGCTCGCAGACGAAGTCGGCAAGCACTATCGGCCTGGCGTGACGTTCTTTACCAATGGCGAGATATCACGCTTCGAAGTTGGTCTCCCTTCACCTTCCGGCCAAAAGCCCACTGACAGCCGATGCAGAGCCAATCCGAATCAGCGCGTTTCGTAGAGGGCGAGATGCGCAAGAACATCGAGTCTGGGGTGGGCACGCGGCTGGATCTACTTGCCATCCACAAGACAGAAGTCTACAGCCCGACGTCCGCTCTCTGCTGGTTGGAATGGGAGTTCGTACCGAAGGCCGGGAGTGAGTACGGTGGCAAAAGCTGGAAGTTCACCAACATCTACGGCTACCGAGCCGCGACTAAAGAGAGTGCCGCTGGCTGGGAGTTCGTGGTGCGAGATGACGAAGTCAACGCCTTCGTACAGGCTACGGGTAAAACGTTCGAAGCTTAGCTTACGCCATTGCGAGTACAAGCACGCGTTCCAATGTGCAGCAACCCAATCTTAATCCCTAGCATTTCGCCATGTGATTTCGCCCGCCAGCCGTCCCTCGCGCGGCAGCTGTGGAATGGCTAGGAAGGAAGGGGGGTTATCAACTGGGTGGTAGCTTTTGTGATTCTTTTTAGGGTTGTGGCTGTCTCATCAGACCTGGCTTCGGGGCCTTGAGACGGCACAGTCATGTCTGAGATGGTCAAGTCATGCTGGCCCAATACAAGCGTGTTCTTCCATCTCGCTCTCCGTCTCCCGTGTCACTGCTGTGAACTTATATAGGCCTCCCCGGGCCTTTCTAGTCATACAGTCAAAACAGAGAAACGGCTCATTTCCGACGTCTCAAACTAATCGAAACGTCTCGCAACGGCACGTCTTGAGCAGTCCTAATAATGTGCTTGATGATCGACAAGATTCGAGGTAATGCTTCGTTCAAGTAGCGAGAGATCCACTGATTCTGGTCGCGTGCAAACAACGATCCAGTTGGGTCGACGTATCTTCTGGTGCTACCGCGTTTGCAACAACGCTGGAGGTTGGCTGCAGCGAGTATTCGCAGAGACGGCATCGCATCCTGGGCTCATATCCTTGAAGCAGGGTTGTGATGTCGAAGCGGTTGAACTCAGTGCTCTCATCGCCTTGGTAGAGCGGAGCTTCGTAGCAGCAGGTTGGTGCAAGCGCGCCGTGCAGCTTGACTAGACCTTGCAGCACCAGGCCAATCGGTACGCCTTCCGCTGCCATCTCATTCACCAGGGTGAGAGCGCCGCCTGCGCTGGGCTTCGCGTGTTGGGTCGTTCCTTGTTCAAGGCGAGCAATAATCTCCTGATAGCAAGGGTAGAGCGGATGGTCTTCGTTCCAGCGCCGAGGAGGGTGCTTCAGCTAGACGTGGGCTTCATCCAGACTCTTGATGATGAATTCGCCAGTTACCGATGGAATGAAAGATTCATGCAGGGCGGTGGCGAATGAGTTCAGGCCGTACTTGGTCCTGTGAGAGTCAGCATCAAGCTTCAACCCTCAGCTACCCGGTGCCGCTTACTGAGCCTTGTGCACATCCACCAGCATCGCATGCGCGACGTCGTACGAAAGCTTCGGAGCGGTCAACGTCTTCCGAACACTTCACACCACCTTGCCCATCTCATCTCGGGAGTGCGGCGAAATCTGACCGTCACGAAATTTCCTCAAGTTTGCAAGGTCCCCCAGGTTGGTGCCTTTGTACCCTTAGGTATCTTCGACCGACATTTTCTTGGCCTAGTTCAGAAGCTTTCTTCCACTATCGAGCTCCTTGGTCGGAGGACCATCCTCGTCGTCCTGGTAGGGCGGCTTCCGCTTCGGCTTGGTGGGTGTCTTCGGGACGCTTTATTTCGCCGGCCAATCGCGGACGTCACTACCTCAGTAGTCTCCAGCAGCAATGCCTACCTTCTCCGGTCAGAAAGCTAGGTGGGCCAAGCGGTACCCGACGGATACAACCGTTGCTGTTGGGAAATCCAGAGCAACTACTGACATCGAGAGGCAAACGGCTGCCAACTCAGCACTCGAGGACGAAGTTGCAGAGAGAGAAACAAGACCAAGGAAGAACTTGCCGCAGCCGTAGAAGAAACCCATCCCGCCAACATCCCACGACCAATCCGCAAGCTCGCAGATGGCCTCCCACCAGTAATTTACCTCTTCTCCTCACGCGGCGTGCTCCGTGCTCCCTAGGCCTGCCTGATTCAGGTACGTATACTGATGGGTAGCACCCCTGGGGCCCGTCGTCAGCGCAAATCGCTTGCTCCAGCAGTACGACTCAAGACCTTCCTCCAATCCAGCGCCATATCCCGGCCTCCAATCCGTGGGCCGGGATAGCATTCGGGGTAAGGCTCGCCACACGACCGTCGTTGACTTGCTATCGTCAGGGCCGCACCGTGAAATTGGTATGGCGGGCGTAAAGTTATTGAGTATTCAAATGGTGGGCCTGGGGCTACATTTGCATTGCCCAAGCGCGGGTGAAAGAGACATGATCAGTCTGATAGAAGGTCGTTGCTATGAGCAAGAGTCTCGCCCGATTGACTCTGGTATACTGCCATATCCATTGATAGATGCTGTGCTTGATATGAGTGAGCGACGGACATTGGAAGGCTGGCCGGCTGGGTTAGAGATTGGCGTTGTGAAGGACCTGGACTGATGCCCGCAGGCCCGATGCTTCACGGTTCAATGTTGCCTTGCGGGGCAAACTTAACGGCTCAGCCACAAGCGCTATTCTTAGACTTGAGCGCCACCGACCGATCCACTGGGACATGCCTTTAGTGGGGGCGGGGCTGCGGCTGGGGAACCCCGGCACGTCAAGTTTCGCCGTTTTAAGGTGCCCATCGAGACTTCGAGTTTCGCTCATGCGCAACTCACTGATCAGTCAAGATTTCAGACCTGACTGCTGAACAACAGACATTGAGATGATGACGACTGCCCGCGCGATACTGAGAAGGTCAAGCTTCCGCTAGTACGAGAACCACCAGTTGACGTGCTTGCCAGGTAAGTACTCTCGGACCAGGGCTAAGATTATGCCTGAGTTGCCACGCAATCTATCATCACGCAATGAACAGCCCAAAACCATACCGAGACATGGATCACGAAGCCAGTACGCTGGTGAGTTGACGTGTGTGTTACCTGTCATTGTGTGAAGCACCGGACTGTGGATGATGAGAACTGACCTCGTCCTTGTTGCATAGAGCACAAATCGGACCCGGGCGTTGGGGGTCAAAACATGAACTCATAATGGACTCAATGCGAGCCTGGAATCGATCTAGAGTGACACGAGAACGAGATAGCCCACATGATGTCAGGAAAAGCTGGATATATCTGTTCCAATGGAGCGTCATCCTCCGCTGCAGCGGCCTCTCGGGTTTCCTCAACGCTGAGTTGTCCATGTCTTGACTTGCCCAGCGCATTCATGTTGTCGGGTGCTCAGACCTCCAGTTACCAAGCCACAGCCACTCTATTTGCGAAGACAGGCTGACTTCACAACCGCGCCGCGTCTCCATTTGGCATTCATTATCGAATTCGAGCTAGCCTGCTCAGCCGCATTGACGAAGTCAGAACTGTTATTCTGCCGACTTCGAAGGAGGCTGACGTCAACTCCGACCTCCATCAAAGACCCAACCTACAAGCTTGCCCCCTATACGCGTCCCAGCTGGATGGGTCATGGAGACGCCCGGGAGGGCCGTCAAGTCACAGTATGCCAGACACGCATACTGCAGGTGAGTGGCTGCGTACACGTAAGTCTACATCGAGTTAAGGTTCGTGTACGGTAGAGGTTGCCCCCCGTCTGTCACATCCGCTGCATCGTCTATCCGTGATTCACTCTCTCTATATAAGTCACCCCGTTAATCCAGCTCCGAGTCATTGTGTACTACATACGGCCACAGACTCATCGAATCCCACGATATCTCTACTGCTACCTACCTACTATAAGGCTTGCTATTCCTCGATCCGTTCACAGTCAACCAACCCAGTCTCCAACAGCACCTGTTCACTACCTACCTATCATATCTACCCTATCTACCTCACTTACCTCACTTCATCTTCATCACCATCAGCACAGCTTCAATATCCAAGATGAGGGTCGCTATCGCCGTTCCATTCGTCGCCGCCACGGTTGCCATGGCTCAGAGTGGCAACACTTATACCGGAACTTATGGCAGCTTCTCCGGCACCGCGACCTACACTCTCTCAGGCACCGTCCACACCGTTGGCGGCACAAACGTCAATCCTTACACCTACGGCTCCAGCACCTACACAGTCGGCGGCAAGAGCAGCACAGCTTCCGCCGCCGAGGCCACCGACGCAGTCTCAGCCGCAGCCGACGGCGACGGGGAAGAGGAAGAATCCAGCAGCGCCGTCGCCAGCGGATCCAGATCGTACTCCTACTCCGCGACCTACTCCGGGACGTACTCCTATACCGGCGCGCCGACGACCATGACGTACGGCTCCAACACCGTCGTTCTGGGCACCGCTGCATCGTCGTCCTCGGCGGAGGCGGAGGCGGCCGCGGCGGCTACTACCGAAGCCGCGAGTGCCGGTGGTGGGAGCGCCGGCGGTGCTGCCTCGACCGGCTTTAGCGCTTCCCAGAACGGCACGTTCACGACTAAAGGTGCCGGCGGTAGCGCTACTGCTACCCCCTCGGGCCCGTCATCCACCTCTTCCATCCCCGCTGGTGGTGCCGCTGGTATCCAGGCCGCGACTGGCATGCTGGCTCTTGTCGGTGCTGCTGCCGCTTACCTGCTGTAGGGTGTCTGCTGGGTCGGTCACCTTGGGATCTGATTCATTTCATCCGGCAGGCTGGTCCTCGGCTCGGCTGCGACATGGACTTTTTGCGTATCATGCTTTAATCGCTCCATCATTCAGTCACTTCATACAACCTCACTCGGTACACTTGGCTACGGATGGAGCATCTGGAGGGCGTTGCGGCTACGGCGGCCATTACTGTTTTCAACTGGGGCATTGGATCTGGATCTGTCCAACACAAGATCTTTCATACGGCGAATACGGCGATACTGTACTATACCGGGACATCTGGGGGGAACGCGAATTGTGAAGGTGGTTACTACGAGATTGGGATTAAACCACGCGATTGGAATTAATTCATTAGACTTGGCTCACTTACCCAATTTCTAGCTTGCATTGTAATAGAGTTGTTACTTTGGACTCGTTCGTAACTTTGTTGTGACTGGACTCGTAATTTCTTTTCTAATGTCGCCGGACTTTTGTGACTATCTACCGTGACCACCAAGACGATCCGTACCTAGGTGTTTAACTACGGCATGCCAGTTAGACTTTCAGCATAACACGTCACGGGCTGTTTCATGGCGGAGGTCCGGAAACGGGATCTGGTCGGCACTTCCACACACAGACAATGCCCATCCATGGCTTGCAACTATCGCCATGACCTCGAAACTCTGAGATGGGGCCGTGCCATGTCATGTGTGAACCCAATCGAATAGAAGTCGGTTTCATCATGTATGCTACCATGCACGTGTGTCTTTGGTTGTATGCTAATATGTACGTGTGTACCTATCTATGTAATAACGTGAATGCACATGCTTGCTAACGCCGTTCTATGCTGATAATGACAATGATGCCGGTCTGATAAAGCTGATGTAGATGATGCTCCCCCGAGCCCCAAAACGGGCCTCCCTGTGCTCGCTCCCCTCCCCTATTTGCACCATGTAGGCAAACCCAAAGCAAACCCAAATGCGTAAGCAAGTAAGAGACCAGACACGCCACGGAAGCTCGCTGGTTGGCCGACGCTTCTACGCGTCCTCCTCGCCATGCCTCATACCACGAGGCGTCTCACATATCCCTCCTTTCCCTCCTGCCATCGTCGTCCGCACAGACCGCCCAATCAAAGCATCCACAGCACAACCACCCACCCCACACCCAACCAAACCAAGCCTCCTATTCTCATCCCGCCCCTACCCACACCCCCACTAGGCAACTCCTTCTGCACCGTCGCCATCGCCGTCGCCGCGCTCAGCGTACAACTCGCCGTCCCACACGCATACCCCGACGGACAGCAGCCCGCCACAGGCCCCGCGGCGCTCCCGCACAGATACCAGCCCGAGCCACACGGCGACGTCGAAGTCCCTGCCGCCGCGGCGTCGGTGACGGGCACGACGACGGTCGCGCCGTCCGTGGTGATCGTGGTCGAGGCGATGGGCGGACAGGACGTCGTGGCGCAGTCGCGGCCTGTGCGGCAGCAGCCGGAGCCGGCGGTCGCGAGGCAGGCGTAGAAACCTGTGGGGCAGTAGTCGGCTGTGTTTGTGCTTGTGGAGGAGGAGGCGGTGGTTGGGGATGGGGAGGTGGTGTCGGAGCTCGTGGGGCGGACTGGGGGGATGCCGCCTGTGTTTGTGGATGTAGATGTAGATGTAGATGTAGATGTAGATGTAGATGTAGATGTAGATGTAGACGTGGAGGTGGCTTCGGTGGTCGTCGAGGTGACTGTGCTCGTCGCGTCGGAGGCGGAGGGCGTGATGATGATTATGACAGTTACGATCGAGGTCGTTGGCGTGGGCGAGGTCAGCACAGTTGATGAGGTTGTCGTTTGCGTTATCACGGAGACGGTGCTCGCGACGCCTGTTCATGTAGCATTTCGTCAGTATAGCTTCTTCTCGACACCAGCTACCGACCCCAGGCTCGTCGCCAAACAGATCCATAGCAGAAAGCATATAGAATAGATGGAATGCAACTTACATCCAACCTGCGCACATACAAACCCGGGTATACAGCACCCGCCCCCCACCTCGGCCGCGCACGCGGTGTTCCCAGCCGCACACGCCCCAACACCACCGCTGCACGTCTGCCCGTCGGGGCAGCACCCGACGTTCCCCGCGTCGGGCGCGTTCTCGACCACGAAGCACGTCGTCCCCGTCGTGCAGCAGTAGTTCGGCTGGTCGATGTTGTCGCACACCGCCGTGCCGTCCGGGCACGAGAACTGCCGGCCCTGCAGGCGCGACAGCGCATCCCTCGCGCGGCGGAACACGGCTCCCGAGTGTGTATCGGTCGCTGGCCGGGGCTTCCCGTAGTCGTAGTGCCGCGGAAATGGCGGATGGAACGAGACCGCGGCGGAGTTGTTGCGCGCCAGTAGCTCTTCCTCCTTCGGGTTCAGCAGGTCGTCGCGCGCGCGAAGCGACCATTGCGCATCGGCGAGGGAGTCCTGCGGCGCGAAGGCGTAATAGTGCGGATTGAACTTCTCGCCTTCGTCCAGGGACATCTTCCTGATGGCTGTGGGCTGCAGCTGTTCTACTGACTCGGCGTGGAGCTGCGTCGCGAGGAGGAGGAGGAGCGCTGGCGGGAGGCCGAGCAGGGCGTCCGGGAGGCGCATGGCGGACGGATGAATTGGGTTGGATGTTTCTGTTGCGCCGGGGATTGGGGTCGAGGAAGGTGGGATAGAAGTATAAATAAAGTGTTCTATTACACTGGTAAGAAGTTAGGTAGTCGTGTAAGCTGAGGGCAACCGCACAGGTCCTCGTTCGGAAGCTTGAGAGGATTGCTTAATAACAATGCCTTGTTATATCCTGGCAGCGTAGCAATTGGCTCTGGACATTACGACAAGTCGCTATTTGAAGACAAGACACCGAGAACAATGATTGCAAATCGCAGGTTGTATAAGAAAAAAAGAATGATCACTTTTGAAGTAACACAGTGATCGACTTCGACCTCAACCTCGCGATTTTCGGGTGCCCATGCGCGTCACCGGCATAATCGACGTGGCTGGTCGACTAGCATTCGCAGGCGCCCAACTCAATAAAGTCGATGGATGGGTCCATCCATGTGCAAAAAGTAGCAATGGTCATCCATCTGCATAATGTGAGGTCCTATCTGTCAAAACATAGGACAGAGGAGCAAAATTTGCGGCTTGTGTGGATTGAACACACGACCTTCAGATAATCTTGAGTGAAGTTGTGGCTTCAGTCTGACGCTCTCCCAACTGAGCTAAACCCGCATTTATGATTTGTTGAAGAGTTTGCCTTTGTCTTTCTCTATACTCTCGTCATCTACTGGGTCACCCATCGAGGGTTGTTCGACGTAGCTCGAGAACAGCGGTTGGGCAGACAGTTGCAGACTCCTTTATCATTATTCCAGCTATCAAAAAGAGGCCTAGTAGAGATAGAGGAAGACACCAGCATTGTCGGAGGATCCTATAGTTCAGATAGTCGTGCTGGCAGCGTCTGCTGTGATCGGTCCCAGGTGGTAGGACTCGGGAGTGGTTGGCCCTGTGCAGTGGGACGCGATCGAAATGACCCTCATTCTGACTTGAACATGACCGTAGACAAGGCCGTTGGACAGGCAGCCAGACCTACATTTCGCATGCAGCATCTGCCGTGCAACATGTACATACAAAGGGCACATACACAGATGCATCCCACCGACAATTCCACTCGAGATCTGGTCGCTCGCTGCATGGGGTGAGCGTTCAATTTCAACGCACTCGACACGGGACTCTATCATGACTGTCACACAGCATACCGGTGCAAATTGTGCATGGCACCTGAGAATGTTTGGTGCGTCAATGTTCGTGCGCGCTGGGATTAATGTTATACAGGGTGGCTTCTATGCTAGTTACATGGTATCATATTATAGGTACAAGATCATGTTACACGTGTTGATACACATCATATCATTACCAGAGCTGAGATTCGTTGCCCTCTTTGTCCTCGGTAGGATCCTCGATCTCGACAATGCCGGATGACTGCTTCTTGAGGAAAGCAGAGCAGAGGACGCCCGTGGCCACGCTGACGTTCAGACTGTCCACCGCACTCAGGAACCCGGAACGGCTGGGGATCGACACCTCCAAGTCCGCCTCCCGTCTAACTGGCTTCGCGAGTCCTTCACCCTCACTGCCGACAACTAGGATTGTTGGCTGTATTGATAGTGGATCGTACGACTCTACTCGGTCCAGCGTGACGTGTGAATTGCCTCTAGAACGTTTCGTTCCGGGGACTGCGGCGTAGACCATCCATCCGGATTCTTTCGAACGCGTAAGGAAGTCAATGGTGGAATTGACTGAGAACAATGTCAAGACCTCGGATGCTCCCGCCGATGCCTTGAGTGCCACGGCCGTCATGGTCGCAGAACTGTGCTTTGTGATCGCAACGGCGTTGACACCCATGAAAGCTGCCGTCCGCAAGATGGCACCCAGGTTTCCTGGGTCAAGGATGCCATCAAGCAACAACACGAATGGCTTCCGCTCCGCCGGCAGATTGTAGCTGACGAAGTCTGCAGTTCCATTCACTTTGGCTTCCTCTTCAGACTGATGAAGCAACTCGACGCTGAATCCAGGCCTCGCAGGGTCCTCCGATACTGACCCCAAGGCTTTGAGCGGCAGTTGCGGTAGCGGAGATGCTTCAAGCACACATCCATTGTGTGGTCGACCACCGCTCATCTTATCCATCATGGGAAGGCCATCCCTCTTAACCTTTTCGATCGGAACGTCCTTTCGCTCGGCCAGCTTCTCAAGGGCGATGTCTTGGGAGACATTGTGGCGATCCTCCCCACCGTATACATATAGTCTGTATAGCTGTCTGCGTGAGTCCTTCAGCGCAGCTTCAACCACCGACCGGCCGTACAAAAATTGGGATACGGCTGTGGTATGGTGGAGGCGAACGGGCTCGTCCCTCCATGCGCCTCTGCGATCCTCTGTCTCCCCATTTCTGTCACCGAATCGACGCCTGGGAGGTTCTCGCTCTGCTAGTACATTCCTGTTCTGACCAGGTGGAGGCCGGTAGGATTCTCCCACACTGCTTCTATCAGACGAGTGCTGGTCTCTGGGGGATCGGAAGTCCTCATGTGTTCCGCTACGCCCTCCCTGCAAATCTTTACTGCTACCAAGTCGCGGGCGATCGGGTCGACTAGGTCGCTCAGTATTGTTTGTGTAAGCAGGCCGGCGGTCCCTGAAGGACCCAGAGTCATCGCGCATGCCGGGCTTGTCTCGGACACTTCGGTTGCCATCAAATCGAGATCGGTCGGGTCGGCTGGATCGGTCGAAACGGTCGGAACGGTCAGGTCGATGAGGTCTCTCGCCATCGTCCGAGAAAGATGAGCGGCGGTCTCTGAAAGATCGCAAGTCGTTGGAGGATGTCCCACGGTCTTTGCTGAAACTACTTGGAGCGAATGAAGACCGCGGTCTTGTGTCCCTCTCACCCCTTTCTTTTCCACGGCTTGCACGCAATGGCGTCCGCCCTCCCCGGCTGCCTCTGTCTGTCTGCGATGACCTTCCCGGACTGGAGTCGAAATCTTGCATGAACTGGGACTGTGAGAGTCGGCCTGGACCTCCTCTTTCACCCGACTGTATTGCGCGTGTTGGAATGCCTCGATCGTTTCTGGGCGGTCTATCGTTGCCCAGCTCGGCCATCTTTCCTCTCAGGTCGCCATGTTTCATCTGATATACGGTACTTTTCTTGCCAAAGCTCTCTGTCGGATCGTTGAACCGAGCGCGCCTTGACTTGGGTTTAGGACCTTGGTCGGTGACATCCTTTTTGCCCCTTTTGATTTTGAAGGATGGTGGTGTCCAGTCGGGGTCCTGCCTGCTTCGCGAAGTTGGTGCTCTTCTGGCAGGCCGGCTGGCGCTGGTGGCTAGCGATGTTGGCTTGAATCCCTGGGGCCTGGCCTTCTCCGAGTCGCGGAGTCCACGGTGTATGGCTGAGAGGGAGGAAGCTCGAGATGGAATATTGACGACTCGGTATGTATTCCAGGTTCTAGCTAGTACACTGTGTCTATACAATAAACACGAAGAACTGAAAAGCCTCATCTCATGTTTCAGGGGGGCAAATACTGCACAAGCTGCTTGGATGACTGACTGGCTTGAAGGGAAACAGCTTGGAAGGACGGAAATCAGTGCTTTATGTCTAGAAAATTTCAAGCTCCAGATTGAGAAAACGCGACCAGTGCTTATCTTATCGCCCGCGATACTCTGCGACTTGAATGTCTCTCAGGGTCCCCTGTGGGTCTTAGTAGTGATCATCTGCTTGGTCAATGGTGGACAACTGCAGTCTGCAGGCAGGTACCCCTATCCCCCTGTAGACCCGACCTGCCGACCTGCCGACCCGCCCGCGTGCTTGGCTCGGGCACTTTAAGCTCAACGCGTGTAAAGCCAAATTTCCATCAAATGTGGCGCGTCTCTCTCTTGACGACCCGAGCCAGACACAACCACTGCCTCGATTTCTTGTCATCGTGCCGTCGCAACCACGCTCACTCCTACAATTTCTCGCGATTTCAATCCTCCTCTTCTTGCCCAACGCTTCCCTCCAATCCTTTTCTGAGGTATTCACCCAGTCCTATGCGCCGTCGCATTCCGCCTCTGTACTGACCATGTTCCAGATACCCCTCCAGTTTTTGCGCCGTATTCCCTTTCATCGACTTGAGACCATGCCCTCGTACCTTGCTGTATCTGTATAAGTGGAGGACGAATTGGCAATATGGAAGACCTTGTCGATGCCATGGACGTCTCGCAGGACGCGGCAGTCTCAGTCGAGAACCCAGACCTCGGTGGTGATGTCAACATGAATGTTGGCGACGATATCGACACCGCAATGGAGGCAGCCCCGGTACCCTCCTCCGACACAGCCATACAAGACAGCCAGGATCCCTCCGATCAGGATTCTGCAACAGCACAAGAGGATGGTGATCAGTATCAATTGGTGGCGGCTCGAGAATCTCTGGACATTGATTTACCGAACAAGCCTCGGTTGCATGTCATTGAGGTTGAGCTCAGCCCCCCGGCCGATCCCGATTCTTACGAACAAATCCCCCTGAGTTGGACTGTCCAGCAGGTACATGATGAGATTGACGCTGGCGACGACACCTATTACAGCGTTGAGTTTGATGATGGCCGCATAGAACAAGTAAGTGACTATCTACAACTCCTTTGCTGCTGTGCTGCTTGCAGCCAGTGCGTGTGCGCATGTGTGCTTGGTTGTTGTGTGGATGGTTACCTCAAATTCCACACTCCTGCTATCCTGTTATTCCCCTTGCATCTTCACAATTCTCATCCACCAACATCAACCAGCATTTTCAGCACCTGCCTTGCCAAGGACCCCCATCACCATCACAACAACTTCCTCTTCAGGTATCACTTTTCACCAGTATTCTCCTCGCCTTCTATAAGCCTGCAGGCAGTTTACTTGTCACTCCTTCCAGCTGGGCCAGCTTCAAAGATCAACATTTCAACACCTCGATTTCACACTCTCTACCTGCCACTCCAGCTGCACCATTCCCACCTGGACCACCTTTATTTCACCACAAAGTCTGCGTGCACCCTTCCTCCTCGGCCTTTCTCCACACTTCTTTTCTCTCAACACCAAGTCCTGATATTCGCGATCTCAATCTGAGGCAACGATGCAACCTTTCTCTTCCCTTACCTGAAGCTGCTCAGACAAGATGGTATGTTGCCCATGGTCCTTGTGCAGCAACATTGACATCTGAGTTGCCTGCCCACCTCCACTGACCTTGTTTTATCCCTTGTCCATGGTGCTTCATTCTCCAGGTGGTGCACATCACAGAGTCTTCACTGCAGCCCCTCACGCAGCTGTTCAGAACCCTCAATCAGTCTTCCCTCTTTCCTCTACTAGAAGATCTACGGACCAGGTCGACCTTCTATGGCCCGAGCATCCTCTAGTCCCTCTAGTTTGATAGGCTGTACCTTTCTGGGTCAGACTTCTTCTTCACATAACTAATTCTCATTCTAACAGGTTGCCTACGACGAACTCCAGGAGATGAAGAACGGGCGACGCTCTATGAAGCGATACCAGGAGCAGAGATTCTCTCTCAACTCGACCATCATGGTCAACACCAAGCGTCCCCGTCCTGAGGATGATTATGCTGAATCAGGTTCTGACTACGAAGATTTCGCAAAGCCCCTCAAACGGGTGAAGCGCCTTGCTCATCATGGCAGCCGTCGAAGTGCACGTCAGGCATCTAGACAGGCATCTGCTGACACTGATTTGGAGGATCATGACATAGTCAACAGCTACATTGACCCGGACTCTGATGAAGACAATTCTATTGACAATGAGAGACCAACCCCACGCAATCGACGCAGCTCTGAGGCCTCCTCTAACACAGGCCGGAAGACCAGATCCCAGAACACTACATCTACACGGTCTTTGCGGAAGTACGCCGTCACTGCCAAAGAATCTGACGATGAATTGGCACAACCTTCTGGATCAGATGGCGACGATGACCATATCCCATACATTTCCTCCGACGTGAGAGGTGTTGGCAGAACCTCAAGACGCAAGCCCAAGAAGACGCAGAGAAGCAGCTTGCCTATGAAAGGAAACTATGGCAGTGACTCAGACATAGAGTTTGAGGTCACCCGACGTTCCGGCAGATCCAACAGAAATGTGAAGAGCATGCGAGATCCTGAACTCGAGGATGACTATGAAGCGGTCGACGAGAGAGTGACAAACGCCCCCAAGCATATCGCTGTCAAAGAGAACTTCCAGACGCTGCCTCCCGACTCTCAATTTTCGAACGTGCACTCCGAAGTGTGTGAAACATGTCGAAACGAGTCAGGCCACAGCAACGCCACACTCATTCACTGCCAGGGCTGTTCGTACTCCTACCACAAGGCATGCATTGGCCAGCGGGCCTCACGCGAGCATCGAGCTAGCAAGATCGGCGACGACAGCTTCGTGCTCCAATGCAAGTTCTGTATCGGGATCTACAAGAAGAAGGACAAACGCGCTCCAGATCACTCCATGTGCCAGACCTGTAAGCTGCGTGGTGCCTCATGTGCTGAATTCTCCCCCAAGAAGACCACCAAGCAAGAAGAGAAGGCACGCTCGGAGAATGACGGGCAAGATCCAGTCGCTAAGGTTGATTCCAAGCTAATCAACAACGCCGAGAATGTCTTGTTCCGGTGTTCTATCTGCAGATGCGGCTATCATTTTGAGCATCTGCCACCAACCACCAGTGCGGTCATTGATCCTGATAACATCAGAGATGACCGCATTGAGGAGTACCGCATGCAAGAATGGACCTGCAAGGACTGCGTCATCGTTGAACACAAGGTCGATGGTCTGGTTGCCTGGAGACCCGTTGATCAAGAGGCATATCTAGATGGACAGGTATCCACCGACTTCGACGAGGATGCTATTGAGTACCTGGTCAAATGGGACGGCCGCTCGCACTTCCACGATGTTTGGATGCCAGGAGCATGGGTTCATGGCGCGACTTCAGGTACCATGCGCGTAGCATTTCTCAAACGTGAAGCAGCCCAGTTCCCGAAGATGGATTCCAAGTCTGCCATCGAGGAGGAATGGCTACTAGCCGATGTCTTCCTCGGCATCAAGTACAGGACTAGAAGCGTTTCTACTTCAAAGGCAGAAGATATGCAACGTATCGATGAAATCGCCTCCGTTTTCGTCAAGTTCCAAGGCCTGAATTATGAGGACGTAGTCTGGGACGAGCCGCCTCCGCGCGACTCTGGAGCTCCTTGGGATGCTTTCGAGGCTGCCTACGATGAGTACCTCAACGGTAAATACTTCACCAATATTCCCAACGATAAGATGCGAGAACGAATAGCCGATTACCGGACCCTCGACTTCGAAAAGGAGTGTGAACTCAAGAGCCAGCCACCTCGTCTCCAGCGTGGGAAGTTGATGGAGTACCAGATCAACGGTGTCAATTTTCTTCTGTTCAACTTCCACCAGCAGCAGAACGTTATCCTGGCCGACGAGATGGGGCTCGGCAAGACCGTCCAGGTCATCGCATTTATCTCATCTCTGACCCAAGATCAACCAAAATGTTGGCCATTCTTGATCGTCGTCCCCAACTCTACTTGCCCCAACTGGCGGCGCGAACTGAAGCAGTGGGCGCCCGAACTCCGAGTCGTCACATATCATGGTGGCAAAGCCGCGCAGGATCTGTCTTACAGACACGAGCTTTTCCCTGACGGTTCAAGATCCGGTATGAAGGCCCACGTCGTCATCACGTCCTATGAAGCCGCCCAAAACGTCAAGTCCCTCTTCTCAGCTGTCAAGTGGGTTGGATTGATCGTGGATGAAGGCCAGCGGCTGAAGAACGAGGATACTCTGCTTTACAAGTCGCTGCAGGAGATGAAAATTCCCTGCAGGATTCTGCTGACAGGTAAGTCACCAGGTTATACGAGTCGTTGCCCTCAAGCCATTGCTAACATAGCCAACAGGAACCCCCCTGCAGAACAACAAGCGGGAACTGTTTACCCTCCTACAGTTCATTGATCCGAAAAACAACGCTGAAGCGCTTGATGCCAAATATGCGGAGCTGACCCAGGACAATCTACCAGAGCTACACAAACTCATTAAACCCTACTTTCTACGTCGTACTAAAGCTCAAGTGCTGAAGTTTCTCCCACCCATGGGACAGATCATTCTTCCTGTCACAATGACAGTTCTGCAAGAGAAGCTTTCAAAGTCTATCATGGCTCGGAACACCGATCTGATCAAGGCTATCGTATCCAAGCAGAAGATCAAGGCAGGGGAGCGGAAGTCCTTGAACAACATCTTCATGGATCTTCGCCAGTGTCTATGCCACCCATTCTGCTTCAACTCCGGGGTTGAGGACAAGACGGTGGACAGCGAACAAATGCATCGAAACCTTGTTGAAGCTGCGCCGAAGCTTCTGCTGTTGAACATCATGCTGCCGAAGCTGAAGGAAAAGGGTCACCGGGTCCTAATCTTCAGCCAGTTCCTCCACTCCCTGACCATCATCGAGGATTTCTTGACTGGCCTAGGTCTAGCACATGCACGGATCGATGGCAGCTTGTCTGCTCTCGAGAAGCAAAAACGCATTGACGCATACAATGCGCCTAACTCTTCTCTGTTCGCCATGCTCCTCTCGACTCGTGCCGGTGGCGTCGGCATCAACCTTGCCACAGCTGATACCGTCATCATATACGATCCCGACTTCAATCCTCACCAGGATATCCAAGCTCTCTCCCGCGCTCATCGGATTGGCCAGAAACGAAAGGTTCTTTGCTTCCAGCTGATGACGAAGAACACCGTCGAGGAAAAGATAATGCAGATGGGAAGGAAGAAGATGGCCCTTGATCATGCGCTTATTGAGACCTTGGACGCTGAAGAAGACGCGGTTGAAGATGTGGAGTCAATCTTGAAGCATGGAGCGGCAGCTTTATTCAGTGACGATGCCAAGGACAAAATCACGTACGACTCAGCATCAGTCGACAAATTACTAGACCGTAGTGCGCTCGAAAACACTAACACTGGAAAAGACGAGTCTGCCGAGAATCAGTTCTCCTTTGCCCGTGTCTGGGCTAACGATCAAGGCGCACTGACCTCGAACATGGACGATGCCGTCGACGAAGAATCACCTCAAGAAAACACGAGTATCTGGGAGAACATCCTCAAAGTGCGTGAGGAGGAGCACAAGCGTCAGGTCGAATCTCAGCAACGGGAGTATGGCCGTGGCGCCAGACGACGTGGTGCTCAGGGCATTGATTACAATAACACCCGAGTAGGTTTCTTGATCGAAGGCCTCGATGGTGACGAGGGATTGACACCAGAACAGCGTCCCGAGCCGGAGAGCGGTGCCTCCGATGTCGATGAAGACGAACTGTACATCGACAACGACATCGAGGAGGATGACGAGTACGAAAGCGATGGCTACGGCGCGGGCCAGGCCAAGGGAACCAAAGGTACGAAACGGAAATCCCCTACCACAACGGAGTCCTCAAACAAGAGAACCAAGACAAGTACATGTGTTAACAATGCATCAAGCGACGGTCAACCCGCAGCCCGGCACGCTACTACAGGGGCCGAGCCCACAGGCCAGTCAGCCGAACAACGCACCGAATCTGGCGCAAAAGATGCCACACAATCTAACGAGCAACCCGCCCCGGCCGACTATGCCCCGGCCGACGGTGCCCCAGTCGCGAACGACGCAGCACCCGATGCAGACACAGAATCTGGTCAACAACCCGGCGAACAGGACTCCTCAGCCGGCATCCCGGCCGCAGCCGCGGATCCTGCCGACGCAAACCCCAGGACCAGTCCTACCGTCCCAGCGGAACTCCATGCAACAGAGTCCTAACTTTGTAGTGTCGATACCACGCCGCTCGTATGCTTCACTTGCTGGCCAAACTGGTTCAACCCGTTCCCCTTCCCGTAGAGTCGCTCCTGTCCCTGCTCCCGTACGGCTACCAAATGGCCATACTGTACCTGACGGCTGGGTTGGTGGGGGTTCCCCTTGTGGGCTCTGCAATCGCAACCACTCTACTCACAGTCCTTGCGTCGACCTGCACTCGGAGCTCTCGTTGCGAGTGGCCATTGACCTTTTGAGGGCTCGTGGAGACAACCAAGCCGCCCGCTCCGCGCGAGAGTTTCTGACACAGAGACTACGGGCTATTACTGGTGGCCGCAGTGCAGCTAAGAGCTGATTTGCGAGCTACTGCTACACATCGCGACTGCTTTCAGAGTGAGAAATCTGGCACTGTTTTCAGACTCTAGATAGTTGCTTGTTTGGTCTCATATGGGCTTGATTTGGCAAAGTTGCCCATCAGATAGGTGGTCCATAGGGAAATGCACCTGCTGCAACGAATGACGGCCCATGCTTGCATTTTGTGACCAAGACATGTTCTTTGTGCTGTCCAACTAACTGTTTATAGGCCGTTTGTCACGTGGGAAACACAAGACAAGAACTGCAGGTAACCGTTGTGGATGCATCTAACCTTATTTGAGGTTTCTCAGCAAACGGTCGTGATGGCAACTGGGCCTTGCTTGTCGGATTGCTCGACGGAGTCGGCTGAGGGCTCTTTTCTTTTTTGGGGGCTATAATATCCCTTCGCAATGTCGAGACCTGCCTGTCCTTCATCTCATCTTGAACACCAGATCCTGCAGCATCATCCCAAGCCGTCTCTGATCTCGTACTCTTGCGATTCTGCAGCCAGCGGTGCTGATCCGGGTCCACGGCGGTATAGATAGCGCGCGTGCCCATCGGTGCCCGTTTGCTTCGTTTATTTCTCTAATATTTCATTGACTGATTGACGTCCTCGCCGGGCAGCTGGTGCTCGTTCACCATGGACCATCCTCTGCCCAGCGCCCCCGGCCCGACCGTCAACTCCCCATCCGACCTGTCCTACTCCTCGGGGCCCTCTCGCACTTCCACGCGAAACACCTCTCCTGACTCTATTGCCGCCGTCTCCCGTCACTCTTCTCCCCTCCTAGATCTGAACCTGAAGGCCCCTATAGAGCACACGCCCAACACCTTGCTCGAGCCCCAAACGAACATGGACCGAAACCCCTTCCAGTCTGTCAACGAGCGCCGAAGCAAGCTCGTCACGGATCGGGGCACCACGACGCCGTTCCAGCAGCAAGAGCAACAGCCGTTGCAGCCTCAGGCTATACGCTCCGGCGTACAGCCGCTTGGTCCTACTCGCAGCCTCACTTCTTCCAACTGGAGAGCTCACCCAATGGATGATATGTTGCCCCAATCTCGCAACATGTACAGCCCCTTCGACTCGCCCAGCGCCCATCACCACATGCAGCAGCAGCAGGAGCATGGCGCTTTTCGGTCTACATCGTACCCCAGCCCTCGACCTGACCATCTCCAGCACCACCATACTTCCAACATCATGCCCTACAGTCCGAGCCTGGACACCTTCTCGGACGCCCAGCTCGACGCCAGCTATGCCTACTGTTACGATCGGGGCAACGGCGTCTACACTCGACTGGTCCCTGCTGACATGCTGCCTCCGCTGCGAGATTTGCCGATGACCCAGCAGGGCTGTTCTGGCATGATCGTGCTTCCGCTGCCTCGTGCCATGCCTCCAAACGGACGGTCAAGCAACAGCGAGCCGGCCGTCACGAGAGTAAGTACCTGTTTCTTTCGCAGTCTATATTCTTCCTCCTCTCCTTTCCGGGACTGTCTATACTAAGGGGTTGAGCAGAGCCCTCCTACGACTCCCACTTCGCCTACGGATACCATACAGGTAAGTTTGGTTCGGTGAGCTCTGTTCAACTCAAGCTTTGGATATACAAGTACATAATGCACGATATCGGGACTATCAAAGCCATGTTCCTTCCTTGGCAGACTCGCTGGGGCTTGCTGTGCTGGTAGAGCTGCCGTAGCAGGAATACCTCGCAGTTGAAGCCAGTACAAACGCAGCTCTGGGAAGCTATCTCCATATGTTGAAGCCAGACATCCCCTGAACCATCTGCAATAACTCTCGGCGCTGTTACCCCTATTCCACGAGCAAAGACTAACACGCTTCATCTTCACAGTCCCGAATCGACAACATCGTCGGCTCGACCCCACCGACGCCGACGCACCACCAGCTGACCTCGCCCTCCGGCACCACCACCCCGGGCGGCACGGGACCCGGATCCGCCTCGGGCTCGCAGTTCTACTCCCATTCGCACGGTCACTCTCACTCGCACTCCCTCTCGCACTCACACCCGGGCGGAGGTGGCGGTGGTATCGGAGGTCCCGGCCAGCGGCGCCCCAAGATCTACTGCGACAAGTGGGTGCACGAGGGCGTGTGCGCCTTCACGCAGCAGGGCTGCAAGTACAAGCACGAGATGCCGTTCGACAAGGTCACGCAGCACCAGCTGGGCCTATTCCACGGGTTCCCCGCCTGGTGGAAGAAGCACCAGGCCGACCTGGCGCGGCAGCGCGAGGTGCCGCTTGTGGAGAGCGGTCCTGCTTCGGGAGGTGCGAGTGGTGGTGGTGCTGGTGGTAGTGGTGGAGGCTCGGGGGGCTTGGGAATAGGTGATGAGTCGAGAATGGGCGGGGAGCGGTATCTGGGACGCAGTGGCGGCGGCGGTGGTGGTGGTCTTGGTCCTGGCCCTAACTCAGGCGCTAGTATGGGTGGTGGTGGCGGTGGTGTTCCATCAGGAGGAGGAGGCGGCGGTGGTACTGACAGCAACAACATCGGCGGAAGTGCTGGAGGACAAGGAAGCGACATGAGCACCCGAGGCGTGAACATGGGCTCCGAGCCCGGCAACCAGCTCCTATGGCGTCGCAGCGGCGAGTACACCAACACCAGCGATCCGCAGATCTCCCTGGGTCCGCCCCCGTCCGTCGGTCGAAGCACCGGCCTGTCGCGCCCCGGAGGCGTGGGCCCCGGCGTCAGAAACCCAATAGGTATGTACCACCACCGCAGCAGCAACAGCACGCCCGTCTCCCGGTTGTCCCACCATCCTAACCCTGTTCTCGTTCCTCCCCTTCCGCCTCCTCTTCCAGCGCAACTGCATCCCTCCCTTCGACTACCTGTCTCCGTCGCTCCCTTCTCTCAACCGCAGGCAGCACCAAGCCCGCAGTACCAGCAGCGAGACCATCTGATGACGAATAATCTTGCCCCCCTCCAGTATCCTACGGCTCGCCCTTCGGCCCCATCGCCCCTCCGCCTCGCTCTGCTCCGACGGCAGCACCGGCACCGCATCCTGCGGGAGCTCCGACCTCAGATGCCGCTGCATCCTTCCAGCAGGTCGGCGGCGGCGGCGGAGGAGGAAAGGGACCTTCCCAGCATCAACAGCAGCACCAGCAGAGTCCGGCTCTGCAGGCTCTACAGGCTGGCATCAGCGGCATCGGCCATACCCACAACCACGGCAACAACAGCGGCAACGGCAACATCCCCACCGCGAACCCCTATTCTTCGCTCGAGGCCCTGGATGAGGACGGCGGCGCCGGCGGCAACATCAACAATGCCGCGGACGATGCCGGAGGTGATGGACATGGCGATGGACATGGAGCGGGAGGCAGCGGCGCGCGGCTGAGCTAGGTTGGCATTGCGAAGATCGAAGGGGGACGGATGAGTGAGTGAGGAACGGACGAAAGGAGAAAAACATGTTGCCTCATGCGAGGACGGAATGGGGAGGTAGTCTCCGGCAGGGGTGCTGCAGAAGGCAGTGGTGAGGACCTCTGGACACTTGCCCCGATTGGAAAAGCATATAAGGGGCTAGGATCTCGAAACGAGAGAAAATCGGGAGGTTGCATGTGTGCAGGATCGTCGTTGTCGTTGTCATTTTCGGTGCGCTTGGGTTAGACTTGCTGGTTTTTACCCCTATTCCCCTTCCCATTCCCCTTCCACTTCCATTCCTACACCCCTATCAATCTTGCCTGCTGATCTATTACCTCTATTACACATTCCCCTATCTGCCTTCGTGTCCTTCCCAACATTTCCCCTTCTCAACTACATACAATCACTCACTCAGGCGTTTCGGTTCGAGTCTTTCGATCGCGGCTGCTCAGCGCGCCCGACAGACATCCCTTCTTCACACCCTTCGACCTCTGGTTAAGACCAAATCATCTGCGACGATAGCGCTTGCTTTTCTACGGGCGTTTTGCGGACGAGTGGCAACCAGTGCAAAGAAAAAGCCAAAAACATACTTGGCCGGCAGGGGCGGAATGAATGAATGAATGAATGATTGTATTATAGACAAGCAGCACCCACAGGTGCAGATCGCATGGGCTACTTACCAGTAATGGGGGTCATGACATGACATAGCATGATAATGAATAACGAAGACATGGTCGTTTTCTCTTTGCACTTTCCTCTCACTGAGCGAGTACATTGCACTGCCGGGATTTGTGCCCATCTTGTCGTACCTGGACTACTTACTTCCACTCGACGCTCCACGTCGTCTTGCCCCTTCTGAATGGCACGACTTCCAAGCCGTCGCCCTTGACCGAGTCAATAATCACCTCCTCGCCCTTGCGAAGTGTGATCCTCTCGTTCTTGGGGTTTGAGACGCCGTAGAACTTCCGGCCGTAGTCTGAGAGGAAACCTTGGAGCAGTTCGGGTGTCACGTCTGAGGACTTGATGTCTCCTCGCTCGACGGCTTCCTCGAGGGCTGTCAGGACTAGCTGGCATGCGCTGTGTTCTCTGTGTAAGTAAAGTTGTCATGTAGCAGGGACCCCGCCAAAACCCTGTCTCTTTGGCAGAGAGGTTATATTGACTTACTAGGGCTGAGTGAAGACACCAGCAGCGGTATTACCCGCACCCTTCTTCGCGCTCGACAGATCATGAGGCGCCGAATCCGTCCCCAGGAAGAACTTACCCTTGCTCTGGAGCAGGGCCCGTAGCAAGGCCAGGCGGTCGTGGGGTAGCTAGACAGTCACACAAGACGGTTAGACTCGATTCAGCTCGAATCCCCACGCCATTCCTCGTGCAACACCGGACGCAAGTCGCAAAAAATCTCCGACGTTCGATCAGACACAGTGACAGATGACATCCCAGTCAGGTAGGGGTTTCAGTGGTGGTAGGTGATGGGGAACGCGGGTCACGGGTCACGGCGTGACGCAGGGTAGCATAGCGTAACGTACCTTGGCAACGGGCTTGCAGTAGCAGAAGACGTCGCCTGCCCAGTCGTCCACTGTCAGGAAGAGGTGGTGCGCTGTGATGGTGCCTACGACGGTGTCGCCGCAGCTGCGTACGGCTTGGACGGCTTCGGCGGTTGTGCAATCTGCTGTGTGTCAATGTGCTACTCTTTGTGTCGAGGAAATTGTCGAGTATCTTTGGTAGACAATGATGGAGCCCAGAGACGAAGGATATGATGGAGATAGAAGACATGGGAAATCGAACATACTAGAAAACTATCAGCCCCTATTCTACATATTATGCCTTGACCAGAAACACGAACGCCGCGAGGTCGAAAAAGGGGTAGTCTTGGCAATGCTTACCGCTCCAATACAATCTTTAGCTTGGGAAACTTCTGGTGGATGCTAATGAGCGTCGGGAGGAACTTGGACTCTGCATTGAGGATCGTAGTTCCCTGTTTGTGATCCGAGGGGCACTCCCCGTGGAGGTTGAGAACAAGGCCTGCCTCCTGCATGGCCTCGAAGAGTAGGTAGAACGGCTCATACGACAGCACGCCAGACGCGCTGTTCGTAGTGACTCCCGCGGGGTAGCTCTTGACGCCCACGATCCCAGCCTCCTTCGCCTCGCGTATGATGTCCTTTTCTCCTCCGCGCTCGAGGAAGGTCTCGTGCAGGTACAGGGTCATGAGGTAGTCGACGCTGGAGTCAAGCTTCTGCAGCGCGGCCTTGTACTCCAGGGCCCGGGCCACCGTGGTCACGGGCGGCACCAGGTTCGGCATGACGTAGACCTGGTTCACGCCGCCCTGCCGGATGGTGGGCACGATGGTGTCCTTCATGGCGCCATCGCGCAGGTGCACATGGAAGTCTGCGCCTGCGGGGATGTCCAGGGATGCGAAGCGGAGGGGCATGATGAAGGGGTGTCTGATGTTTAATCTGACATCAACTTGGATGAAGCTGTACGTTTAGATTTGAGGGAAGTTGGATCTAAAGGAAAGAGAGGCTCCTTTCTCCAATGAAATATGTCAACGACGATAATTTTGGGGTCCGTTTTGATGAGGTGAGGAGGCTCCTTCCTTGGCTGCAGGTACCAATTTGGGACGGTACGAAGAACGTGGTTGGTGGGGCTGATCTTGGTTTGGTAACAACAGGTCATTGGCTGCTACCACCAACGACTCATCTAATGAACGCCTCATGTCACCCTTGTTTCATAGGCAAAAAGACACCAGGTGGCAGGAAAGCTATTTGCGGGAGCCGGAGAAGAACACGCAGAGCCAGGCAGAAGAATGGCAAAATGGTAATTTTGCGTTGGCGGGGATTCGAACCCCGGTCTCAAGCTTACACCACAGATGGAAGGCTAGAATGATAACCCCTACACTACCAACGCTTGTACTCAGGCTGTATTAGTAACCCGGATTGTTGAAAGCACCGGAAAAACGCAATACTATATACACCAACCGCATTTAGTGGGTCGCTCCTTCCTCTTTGCATTTTTGGGCACGCCTGGGCCCTGGCGCCTTCTCAAGTGGGTAGGTGCCTGCCAGCGAGAGCCATCGATAGCCGGTGCTCTGAGGAAAGAGCGGCTTTTCGATCTCACCTTACAGCAGCCACCTGAGTCCCTAGCCTGCCCGAAAGAGCAGCTCCTTTTGCCTTCTCTCCAATCGCTGTTAACCTTATTGCCTGTAAAGTGCCCCTCACCACGGCCTCACCAATGCCCCGCACCGGCACCCTTCTCACACGACTCCTACCTGGTCAACACTGTCGCCCAGCAATAACCTGTCTGACCAAGCCCGCTTTCTATAAGACGTTGACAGCATCTGTTCTCCCCTCTACTAGTCCCTCCTCTACCTCGAATCTCCGTGTCGGTCCATTCCCATACGCAGCCCGCAGAACCTACCTCACACCCGCCATCCAAACCCACCAAGCCCGCAAGATGGCTCCCCAGCTCGACGGCTTCTTCGCCGAGGTCGACAAGCAGTCGACATACTTCATCGACCGTCTCGCCAAGGCCGTTGCCATCCCCTCCGTATCTGCCGAGCCTGCGCGCCGTCCCGATGTCGTGCGCATGGGCGAGTTCCTGGCCTCCGAGCTGAAGAACCTCGGCGCCAGCGTAGAGATGCGCCCCTTGGGCAAACAGCCTGACCACCCCGAACTCGATCTGCCGCCCGTCGTGCTCGCGCGCTACGGTAGCGACAAGAATAAGCGAACCATCCTCGTCTACGGCCACTACGACGTGCAACCTGCCGAGAAGAGCGATGGCTGGGCCACCGAGCCCTTTACCTTGACGGTGGGCGACGACGGCCGCATGTTTGGACGGGGCAGCACTGATGACAAGGGCCCTGTCCTAGGCTGGCTAAATGCCATCGAGGCCCACCAGAAGGCTGGTGTGGACTTCCCTGTCAACCTTCTGATGTGTTTCGAGGGCATGGAGGAGTACGGATCCGAAGGCTTGGACGAGCTAATCGAAAAGGAGGGCAAAGGCTACTTTGCCGATGCCGAGGCTGTCTGCATCAGTGACAACTACTGGCTCGGTACCGAGAAGCCTTGCCTGACCTACGGTCTCAGGGGGGTCAACTACTACAGCGTCGAGGTCTCCGGGCCAGGAGCCGATCTGCACAGCGGAGTGTTCGGTGGCACCGCCCAGGAACCCATGACGGACCTGGTGCGCATTCTCGGCAGCTTGGTAGACACAGATGGCAAAATCCAGATCCCGGGTATTGCCGAGCAGGTAGCGCCGGTGACCAAGGAGGAAGAGGCCCTATACGACGGCATTTCGTTCACGATGGAGAACCTGCACGAGTCGCTCGGCTCCAAGACCACTATCTTTGAGGACAAGAAGCCCACGCTCATGGCGCGGTGGCGATACCCGTCGCTCTCCATCCACGGCGTTGAGGGTGCTTTCTCGGCACCGGGCGCGAAGACCGTCATCCCGGCCAAGGTCATTGGCAAGTTCTCGATCCGTACTGTACCCGACATGGAGATCGAGAAGACCAACGAGTGTGTATACAAGTACGTCAACGATGTGTTTGCGAAGCTTGGCAGCAAGAACTCCATGAAGGTCTATGCGCAGCACACCGGCAAGTGGTGGGTTGCGAGCCCGAACCACTGGAACTTCCGCGCTGCTGGAAAGGCAGTTGAACGCGTTTGGGGCACTAAGCCCGACTTCACGCGCGAAGGTGGAAGGTGAGTCTCTCGGGTTGAGTCCCTTGTTGAGGATAGACAGCGACTGACCGTTATTCACAGCATTCCTGTCACTCTCACGTTCGAGCAAGCAACTGGCAAGAACGTCCTCTTGTTGCCAATGGGCAGCTCAACAGATGGCGCACACAGCATAAACGAAAAGCTTGACAAGCGAAACTACATCGAGGGCATTAAACTTCTGGGCGCATACCTGCACTACATCGCTGAGGAAGTCCAGGAATAAATCGACCACGACATTCATGCTGATGTTGTACGGGAGAACTCTGAGGAAGATCACAGAGTTTTGCGACCACAGCAGTGTCTCCCGGTTTTGATGTTGACACAGTTGGCCGGGACAACGCAATGCGTGGTAGAGAGTCATAGTTGGAAAGGCAGTGGTTTGGAGCTGCGAATATTGGCGGATATCGTAGTGCCTGATGGTACCGCACCTTTCGAGAGGAGAAGATCAGGTGGGGAGACTAGTCCTGCATCTCGCTTTTGCATAACCCCAACCGCCATCCCACCATCTACCTAACTCAGCTAATATACCCCTGAAGAGACCTCCAAAAGCGGCTACTGCTTATTACAAGTCTAATGTGACTGGAAACTGTATTATGTTGCTTTAATTGGGCGTTCCCAACGAAACCGGGTTCCTAGCGAACTGATGGATTCGATTCTCGGACACCGTATCCATGCAGTTTTGGCATCTAGGCTCGAGTTCGAGACCTCGCATCTCCTTTCAGATCTACTCGCATTGTTTCACCAGCATCAATGACAATATCTCGGAACGATCTGTAAGGGTGCAGCTTTAAGGTGTACCCCGAACACGTCCCTGCGAGGCCTTCAACAAGTCCCCCGCCGAGACGCCGAAATTAGCCTGCTCTCAGCATTCAGCAATTTCGGCATTACGGTCAGAGCCACACTCTGATATATGACCCTTGCGCCGGCTTAGTAAGATTTTGCTTCTCCTGGTGGTGATACGAGGGCGCGGGAAGTGTCTTGGGTCTGTTCGATAGGTGGGGTGGAGATGCTGAAGAGAAAGGGGTCCGCTGCCCATTCTACTTCGGCCTTTCCCACCATGTTACCCAAATGCCGCAATCAGTACTTGATAATCAGCATACCGCATTTTCCGTGCAACCTCGCTAGCTTCCACACGGACCACCCGTTCGCCAAGCCAAGGTTTCTACACCAAAATCCTTATCCTTTGATAAGGTGACGTGCAGAAGACCGGTTTCCCAGGACTTCAGAACCAATAAGACTGGAAAAAGCGTCGGTAGCGTGCGCCTTACTGCAAGGTGGTCCGTGTGGAAGCTAGCGAGGTTGCACGGAAAATGCGGTATCTGCGTGTTCACAGTCGTGCCACCTTAATGTACACCTCGTGCTGCTGGTGGTGTCCCCTACTCTCTGCTGTATATTGGCCGTGTACGTTGTCTCCTCGGAGGGTACCCAGAAGACCACACCATTGGCCTTTCGACGGCCAGAGGTGGTGAGACGGGCATCTAATGCCGGCTGTCTGCATGACCCCTCCTTTTGTGCGACGTTCTGTCGCGTATCTCTTACAGCGGAATTCACAGCTGGAGAGGGAGTCTCTACTGACTCTCGTTCATTAACCACCCAACGTCACTCGAACCTGGTTTCACTTGTAACCTTCTATGATTTTCTCTCCTCGAGGCTCGACCAAGCAACATTTGATTTGATTTTACAGAGTTCAAAAGACCACTCTCACCATGTCGACATCGCACAGCACTGCAACTAACGCTTCAATCAGCACTTCAATGAGCACATCACTCGGTACTTCTGCCCGAATATCCAACGTGGGGAGAGCCAGTAAGGTACTTTCCAAGGTCAACACTGGACACAAAGTCAGTACCGACGAAATCGTTCGCGCTACTGGCGAACTTCCCAACATCGCTCCGGGGAGCCTCAAGCCCGGCGTACATCTAGGGCAAGGCACCAGCTTCCAAGTATCGAGAGACGAGTACCATAAGCACGGCGGCACCCCTTATTATGTGGCAGTAAAACGCTTCGTGGACTCTAGTGCGTATGACAATGACAAGGTTCCCGGCCACTATGCGTCTTTTCTGCGAGAGGTTGCAGTTCTACTGCACCCACCGATACGTACGCATGGTTGTTTCATCCGGACCATAGCATGCGGATGGGACGACAGGCCGAGTCAGGAATTCCAGCCGTACCTGGTCATGGATTACTCAATTCACGGCACCTTACCCCAGTACCTTCGCCGGTGCAGAATCCCACCAAGCGAGCGACAGGAGTTAGCACTCGACGTCACCTCAGGGCTGAAATTCCTCCACGAATGCCACATCATCCATGGAGATATCAAACCGAACAACATTCTCATCTATGATAATACAGAAGTCGGCGGCGATGGCATCCTAAGACCTCAGGTAGCAAAGCTCTCTGATTTCAGCAGTGCGCGATTCAGCCAAGATTTTCAGGATGGGTCCAATGTCCAGTACGACGGCACTCCGAAATACAATGCGCCAGAGATAGAACACACTGGCCAGAACCTATTTACAAAGGAGCCAGGAAGTCTTTCGTTATTTGCCAAGGCTGACATTTACTCACTTGGACTTCTTATCTGGGAGACGATGAATAACGGAGGATCATACATCAACAAGTCACACTTGCTGCTTCAAGAGGGAGAACAACAGTACCTGAGAAGGATACTCGCGAATGATGTTGACGCCGTTCGCAACCTCGCTCTTGACTATTTCCAGTCGACGAAGATGTTTTCAACTAGCTCAGTACTAGGCAATGCTGTCAAAGAGGCGACAATCATGTGTCTATTCGGAAACCCTTTTCAACGCGAAGATTTGAGCAAAGTCCTGACAACACTGGCAGGGGGCACGAAGGAGGAGCGGCCCCGACAATCGACGGCGATGGACAGATACAACCCTCTTGGCACAAACATGGATGGCTTGGACTTTGGTGGTACGAAAAACCGCGCAACAAGTCAACAACGTAACACCACGTACACTTTGATGCCCGCAACTTCGGACGATTTCATTGTTCGTACGCCGACCGATGACTCTCTTGCTGTAGTGTCTACCGCTGCGCCCGTGCCATCTATGGAGGTTGGTAGAGTGTCTTTGTTCGAGCGGAGTGAGTTTGACGTGTTCAAGGTACGCCATGTTGAGAATACTTGAATGATTTACGTACTGATGAACCAACGATCAGGTCACACAACTGGTGTCAATGCCCAGGGGTGCACAAAAAGACATGGTTCACGAGGCCTGCACACAACCATGGATCAGGCGCATCAACACGCAGTCGGGTCTCAGGCTGACCAGCCAAGCGAGACAGCCCAGCAGTCACTCCAAAACATCCAGAAGTCGCTGATGGCTGTAGGTTAGAGCATCGAGACGCCAATACTCCAAGATCTCGACGACCTCGGCCAGGACGCTGCAAAATCGGATCCTTTCGTGGAGAACACTGAAGCCTCGAATTTCATCGATCTTCGCAAAGCTGTGCTCCGTGAATCCGCTCAGGGCGGTACCGAGATCAGTCACGCCGTAGTCAAGTTCAAGCGAGGTCAAACCGCACGCCACGTGGGTACAATTGGAGATGAACATGTGGTCCTCGAAACCTTCTCTTACACAGCCAACCCTGATGATGGTGCACCGTACCCGGCGACCGCAAAACAGGTAAAACATATTTCGGGACTACTTGCTGCTGTAAAGCAGCAGCAGAACTTCCGTATACTCCCATTCCGAGGGTTTTTCCACAACAAGGTTCGCCATGAGTTCGGTCTCGTTTTCGACAGACCACCTTCATCCGATGCAGGAAATAGCTTCTGTTCCCTAAGAGACCTATACAAGAAGCACGAAATTGTCCCGCTCGGTCATCGAGTTTACCTCATTCACGCACTCTGTGTGGCCATGCAGTATTTCCACCGCGTCAAGTGGGTCCACAAAGGCATCAGAAGCGCCAATATCGCCTTCAACAGCATCGTCGGCGACGAGGGCAGCATTAGCCGACCAGCCCAGGGACCGAAAACAGTAGAAGATCTTGTGAAGCAAGAAGGACCAGGCACCACGGCCGGGGTTGGATGCTTTGACCTCGCGCAACCCTATCTCTTCGGTTTCGAGTACGCGCGAGCCGACGACCAGGGAACCAACCGGGAGGAAGACTATACCCCGCAGAACAACATGTACCGACACCCGGACCGCTGGGGCCGCCCCAGGGTGGATTACACGAAGACGCACGATGTCTACGCACTAGGCGTCGTGATGCTGGAGGTTGCGCTGTGGAGAGACATCGAAAGCATTTGCAAAACGAGGGACCAGAAGCCGGGCAACATGAGTGCCTCCTACGTGTACGAGAGGGCGAAGAAGAAGTGCCAGGGGGAGGTCGGGCACCGCGTCGGGGACGTGTTGGCACAAGCTATTGTCACATGCCTGGACTTCGCGGATTTGACGAAGGACATGAGCGAGTACGACTCGCACCTCTGTTTTCAGCACAGAGTCGAAAGTCGAGTTGGACAGATAGTAGGGAAAGTATGAAAAACGTAGGCCGCTAGTTTTTGAAACCGACATGGATCTCTAGATTTCGATGTCTTCGCAGAGTACAGAGGCTGTGCTACGACACTTGCATCACTGGTGGCACTTTCCATGTCAAGTATATCGCTTACCGGCCTCTTGAGCATGAACAGTTTCCGTTGGGTAGCGAGGAAGCAACGAGCAGGCAACATATTACTTCACGGTACTGTTTGGTGTGACACGGATGGCCACGCAGCGATAGGTACTCCCTTCGCTGCAAGGCGACAACTTGTATCACGCCTACGCTTTAATACCATCAAATTAATGTCACCTATGCCAGATCCGGATCAGGGTTGCCCCCATGAACCTCGACGCGGAAGGACCTAGTCATGCATTCCCTCATGGCAAAACGATTGGCTCGCTGGGTGGCCGCATTTGAGTGGCACACCCAGAGTCACACCCAGAGTATGATTGCGCCTCTCACCCATAGTCTTCACCCCCTCAGCCTTCATAGCGGTCCCGCTGTTTAGCTCGAGGTCTTTTGGTGTGTCTGTTGACACCATACCCACGGCCGACGATATAGAAGCGACAGTCACCGACTACTCAACCCCTGCGGAAACTATCGTCGATTCAAGCATCAGTTAACCGTTACCATGGATCCTGTTGCGACATTGGCCCTTTTCTGCAATGTCCTTGACCTCTCCGAGCGGGCTGTCAAGACCGTGCAGAAGGCAAAAGAAGTCTATGACTCGACCACTGGTCTCTCGAAGGAACAGGAGAGGTTGTCGGAGTTCACGACTGAAATGACCTCCATCTATGAGGAGATCAGTAGCAGTCATAAGAAGCTTGAAAGCCTAGACATGGTGTTGTCTAACTCAGAGGCTCGAATCCAGAACGCGGCTGCGAGTTGTCACAACATCTCCGTCAAAGTGAAGTCTGTATTGGACAGGTGCATGCCCAAGAGACCCAAGTCCACCAGGGAATCTGTGAAAGCAACAATGCGGTCTCTATGGACGAACCAGGACCTGGAAGATCTCCAACGACAGCTCGATGGCAGTCAAGAGGTACTAAGAACGGCCCTTGCGGTATCAACATAGTAAGCTCCTCCCCTATGAGCCATGGACATCGACGCACTTCTCAGACGAGTTCCGTAAGGGTAACATGATGCCTTTAGGTCCACACTCGGCCATGTCAACGCGAGCAGTGTAGCGATGAAAAAGGACATGGAATGTATTCGGTCATAGCTTCGATTGCTTGGTGATGTGCCGAAGTGCATGCAACGAGCATTCGAGCTGTCTCGGCTGCCGCAGGAGGAAGCAAAGCTCGCTTCCATTTTTCAAAGACTAGGTGCGAAAGGTACCTGGCACCAATTGAACCCAGGGTTCGATGACATTCACGAGGCGGCTGAAAAAACGTTCAAGTGGATATTCGACCAGTCAGATAAGCTCTTAGACATAGAGCCGGGTCTCCAGATCACCTTCGTCGACTGGCTTCGCGAAGGTCGAGGAATCTTTCACGTGGCAGGAAAGCCTGGGGCGGGAAAATCATCGCTCATGAAGTTCATCTGCCAGCACCAGATGACCAGAACACTACTGACTGAATGGGCGGACGGCTCAAAATTGATCTCTCTGACCTACTTCTTCTGGAAGGCTGATAGGGGGCAAAGCAGACTCCAAGGGCTCAAGCGATGTCTGGTATCGGACGAGATCCGCCAAGCCCCAGAGATTGGCAGATCTCTCTTTCCGCAAGTCTATGATGAAACAAATTCAGAGTTGGCCACCGCCTTCAGCGACAAAGAAGTATCCCAAGCTCTACAGACCCTCATTGGCAGTGCGCAGGTCCTCGAAAACCACCGTATCTTCATGGTCATTGATGGCTTAGATGAGTTTGATGAGCTCAAGAACGCAGAGGATCATGACGACTTTGGCTCAGATGATTCGAGGCTGGGTTGAGAAGTCGGCGGGAAGATTCAAGATATGCGCCTCCAGCAGAGAGCTTGACGCATTCAAGGACTTCCCCGATGAGCAGAAGATACGGCTGCAGAACCTCACCAAGCAAGACATCCGAGCCGTGATTCTCGAGTGAATTCAGTCCCACCCTCGACTAAGCCAGGTTGACCGAAAGTGCGGTTCTTGCCTCGCAGTCGGAGAAGTGTGTGGCAACATCGGATGTCGACATGAGTTTGAATCTGACTGTCTTGTGGAATATCTCTTAAAGTCAGCTCAGGGAGCTTTCCTTTGGACACGACTGATCCTGCGCGACCTGAGGAGCTGTTTGAACAGTGGCTACACTATCATGCAGTTGAAGAGGCGGATCGATAGCACACCTCAGGATCTGGAAGATTGCATATTGCACATGATGGATCAAATATATCCGCGGCACCAGCGGGAAGCCTACACTTTGCTTGCCCTTGTTCTCGCCTATACCAAAGTGGGTTCAGCTGGACATGGTAACCCTCTGTGCATTACAGCTTCAGGAGCCTCGTCCTTCATTAACTGCTTCCATGAACTAGAGCGGGACCGAGTCAAAGGAATTGACACCCAGCTAGCCACTGGATGTTTCGATATTCCTACCACAGACACATACGTCCCAAGGGCGGAGCAGCTGAATGGCCGATACAACGGATTACTTGAATTGCAGACCAGGTCGTTTGATTTGTACGGGAATTCGGGAGGGGAATTCATCGTCGAGTTGGGAACTGTCGGGGTGACGCACCGATCGATTGTTGAGACATTGCAGAAGTACCTACGAGCACGACTATGCAGGCAAGACACCACTGCTCTGGATATTAGCCGTTGGGCCTGTCACATTGCTCACTACGAGTTTGTCAAAGTTCTCCCCGGCAAGTATGAACAACTTCGAAAGGACTTCACCAGGAACAGAATAACATCTCTCCTACATGTCTTAGTCCACATCGGCTGCATGAAGCATCCATATGTCTTGGAACACCTACACCATATAGAGACAGTTCGCTTCACGTTCTGGGGAGGTTCGAGAGTTCCATATTCCGAACCTGTGACCGTCGTCGCCCGGAATATACTCCTCATAGGTTGGACCCCTTCAATCCTGGTATTTGCCGCCTTGCGCGGGCCTCCAGAGTCGCTGGAGTATGTCATTTACGCGACACGGGGTAAGGCTGTGACGAGCAACAGAACGCTTGTATCACAACTCTTGCTGTCGCTACACCACTGGCAACTGGTGGACACTTCAGCTGCAGTGAACTCACTTCTACAGGAAAGTTTTTCTTCCCTCGACGACGCTACTCACGAGCTGGGACGTAAGGTCATCAGAGACGCACTCCGCAATTGGACAGGAGTGATATATAACGGACCGAAAGAACCCGACATGGTAAACATGCCATGGAGTTTGGTTGAAGTCTGGCTGAGCCACGGTGTGAACAGTCAATCAAAGGTCGCGAAACAGGGCGCATGGATCCATATATACGAGCCGGAGCGATTTGAATGGCGCACGAAAGACAGCGACGAGATATGGTCTGATGATCCGCTACAAGCGGTTCTCAACGAAGAAGTGGTCACTATGACACTCCGAGATGTCGTAGCGTACGAGCGACCTTACAACATGGAACGACTTCTCGAACTGATTGATCGAAACATGCTGCGAATCGAAGCTGAAGAGGCAGCCGAGAACGTAACCATGTTCGGCGAGATGCCCTCCCCAGAAGTCCTCGAGGCAGAGGACTAGGTCCCAAGGGAGCATGAGCCACACCACATCCTGAGATGGTACCATTGGCTTACACAGTACATGCCGAATCTCCTGCTGGACACCTGTTTTGGTAAGTTGATCTCATAGACCCAGACGGCTTTGCTGACGAGGATAGGGGTTGTGTTGCTACTAGCTATACTCGTCCCGCTGATATCGTATCTCATCCGCGCGGAGTTGGTCCACCCTCGCCTACTGGCTGGCGATGAGGAACAAGGTTCTGGATGAAGACCGTGTCAAGGACCCGGTTGTGGGGGACTGTATTGTTCATCTTTGGTTCTCAATCAGTGGCACTGCGTCCAAGTTTCTCGTTCATCTCACAGCAACATCGAGCTCGGTATCTTACATCTCTGATCAAACTCTTCCAACTATTTCATCTGGACTGTCGCAAAAGCAGTGACAACAGCTTTTTTGGTACTCCAAGACACCGAGGTATTTCACTTTGACTAGTCGTAGCAGGACGGTCAACCACGGTGTGCACACGCCAGGCGGAGAACAGAACAGGTACAATGCTTATGCCAGGTGCTTGTGCGAATCGTTCTGTACCTAATACGCATGGTACACTGAACCCCATAAGTCTCCGTATACCACCCATCCACAAACAAAGGCAAACCCATCGCATTTAGATAAGCACACTGGGATAGGTAAGCATCAACCGTTCGGGTCTGTACGGTAGGTCTCGCCTTGAGTGGGGTCGGATTCGATGGCATTGCCGGCCAGTACCTAGCGCTTCTCTGATCTGTCGTCTTTCGTCGCATGGCCTATCTTCATACGGACACCCTTTGACATGTGGCCGGAGTTGGCACAGTTGTAGCGTTTCCTGTACGACGCGTTCCAGGCCCCGTTCTGTCGGTTGTCAGATTGTTGGATATTCGACCCACGCGAGTTGCTCCTGTCTCGTCCGGCAGTAAACATCACGCCATCTCGTCTCCGTTGTGGTTGAGTGACGTTGTGAGATTGGACGAGCCAGTCTGATAAAACCAGAATTGCTTATTCCAGTATTCCAACATTTCCTACGGGTGATCTGGAATATTATCAAAGTATGGGTATGCAAACCTACAAGGGCTGAGTGTACCGTTCAGGGGCAAGCTTTGCAAGTGGGGAGAATAGGTACCTACATAACAAACATAACCACAGTTCCTCACAGTGAAATGTGATAGTAATGAAACAATTAAAGATCACGGGAGACTTCATCAAGTATACGAAGACTAAGTAGCGAGGTCTGCCTATCGTCCCTTCATCCCTCATCCATCAAGACATTTTCCCCAGTCTAAGCCAAGCCAGAACACCACCAGCACCACACCCCGTTTTATATGTGTGTATAATATGCATGCGAGACGTGGCTTCCTCAGCGCCCAGGAAGGGGTATCGATACAAACAGCAACAAAAGTACGCCCCCAACGCCTCATCTCGTCTCGCATATATCATGATAGTGCCGTGCTTGAGTTCGTGAAAATGAGGAACGAAGACAAGAGATATCTATCCAGCACCGGCCCCTGGCCAGATATCGTTTCCCGGAGTGAAGATGATACGACAAGATAACGAGCAAAGTGAGATGGGAAAGCAGAAGCAATGGTATATAGCGCCTAAACACCACAGAAACGCCATCGCCTGCCTGCGCATCCAACGTCCAAGGAGTCATCATCACCCCAACTCGTGTATCCAAATCGAGGTCTTCACATCGTGCATCATCATATACCGCGCCCAGCGCCCAACCCCAAGAGGAAAAGCGAATGCAAACAAGCACACGTAAGATGCAAGAACCGAAGTCTAGCCATCACTTCCGCCCAATACCACTCCCATTCCCAGCAGCGCCGCCTGCCGCATCCTCAAACACCCTGAACCCGTCATCCCCTGGGCCAGATGTCCACGCGCGCTGCGTGCTGGGATACTCGCTGGGGGCGCTGGACCTCTGACTCGCGTTTTCGGTCTCGTCACCGTTGTCATCCCCGTTCGCGTTCTCGGAGTCGAAGCCGTCGCTCATTGCGTCATCGTCGACGTGGATGTCGATACTGTCATGTCCCAGGTCCAGATCTGCATCGAGACTAAGGCCCCCGGGGTCGCGATTCTCGGCATCCTCGATGCCGGGCCACGGCTCGTCCTCGGGCCCGCCGCGCAGCTGGCCGTCCTGCCAGGACCCTTCTATATCTGGAGATTGGGATTGGAACTGTGCGGAGTCGTAGTGGTGGTGCAGATCCCCAGAGAGGTCGGCCATGGGACTATCATCTTCGTATCGCTCCTCATCCCCATCATCCTCTTCATCATCGTATGGGTCTGTTGCCTCGTTATCAAGATAAGGATAGCCATGAACTTCGACGACACCATCCTCCTCGACGACACCATCCTCCTCGACGATCATAACGCGATCACCCCGGTTCGGCCGCGTATCCACGAATGGCGCATTGCTGTATGGCGTCGCATAGAACGGCGTCGTGCCACGAGGTCCGAGCACCTCGGGCATGGGGCTCGGCGAGGCGGTGCTCCAGCGCGGTGTGTGTCTGTTGCATGGTTGTAGCGGACGGACGGAGGGCGACCGCGTTGCGCGGCGCTTGTGCGCCGTCAGCGTCAAGATGTTGATGTGGGCGGTAGGGGAAGACGTCGCAACGCGTGAAATTTGGGGTGAGGCGCGCCGCTCGTACGGATGGTTGTACGACGTCATGCGACGCTTAGCGTTCGTTGCAGGTGACATGAGGTCTGGCAGAGTCGGCGGCATTGAAGACGTACGTACTTGAGGCGGGCGGGAGGCCCTACCCTCCCTAAGAATTGCGGGGGATTGTGCACGGGGTCCGGAGCGGTGGGTTGCGATGGAGGGCGAGGCACTCATGACGCCAGTGAGAAGCGCCTGCGATGGCGAATTAGACATGGGCCGCCAGGTGCGCTGCGCCGCTTGCTGTATACTGGGACGTTGTGACGTGCTGGTACTTGCTGGGTGGTCGTCGAGGTGGTTAGTCCACGTCCAGCAGTCCTCTTTGGCATCTCCTTCGAGAACTTCCTGGCTGCTTTGCGAATCAGCGTATACCCGGCTGAGTTCGCGGAGACGCTGCCAGTTCCATCCGTTGTCGTAGGCATTCTGGTCTTGGAGATAGGCTTCAGGATGGGTGATGAAGAGACGCTGAATATCGTTTGATTTCATCACTACGCTCGAGCTCAGAAATTGGACATCCCATGAGACCGGCGTGACCATCTCGGCAGGAGAGAGGAAACGAAGCTTCGAATCCTTGTGAATCTTGCGCAGTGGTACCCACGGTGATTGCAGACCATGATACTGTATGACTCGCTGATGCATAGTCGAGCCGTGGTGGACATTGGCTTGCATGCGTGAGAATGTGCGGAACAAGGTTCCGAAGGCTTCAGACATGGCTTGATGAACGCTTCGAGCGTCTGGTCCGCGGACAGTGACGTTCTTCACCAGGCCACGACTCCTAAGCCGCTTCCCTATCGTCTGGTCGGGAGCACAGGCTCGAGCGAGTAGCCAGTCGGACTCGACTTCTGGGCCCGCCCAGTCATTGAAGCCGGGAGATTGAGGGTCCATGGCGGATGAACTGCAGGGCAGCTGCGTCCATTGATCAGCCTCCATATTGCCACCACCGGAGAGGCGCTGGCTGCCAAAGTCACGGGACTCCAGCCAGATGTTCTTCAGAGGGAACGGAAGAAATATGACCTCAACCTCCCACGGGCGTGCAGGTGTTGGAAAGGATGAAAGGCCCTGAAGCTGACTGAGCTGGGCCCTGAGCGCTTGGAGTTGACTGTACAATTCGGCGCGATCCATGTGGCTGCTTGTACTAGTTGAGACTGACACGACACTGCTCGTAGAATCATCGGCACCTGGACGACGAGAGCGATGATAGCCTGAGGTGGTGTTGCTGCTGTCGTTCAGCAACTTCTCCACCTCTTCTACGCGCGACTCGAGCTCAGTCACTCTGAGATCAGTGTGGTCGTGCTTGTCATAGCAACTGTCATGACCCGCGGCCGAGAAGGACACATTCTCGAGACCATCTAATCGCTGCTCATGCCCTTGGACAGTGTCAGACAACAGTTGGAAAGAATCTCGGCTCACCCCAGATGTTGGCGGTTGGCTCTGTCTTTCAAACACGTCTGAATGCCTAGAAGATCTTGGGGTGTTGGTGACAGTCTGGCCGTCATCATCAGGATCGGGATCCAGGACGTCCTCGTCTCCTAGTAGAGCGGTCTCATCCTTCTCCAGGACTGGCTCACACGACTTGGACTTGACACCACTTAGTGTCTGAAGTCCCTTTCCTGAGAATGGCCGCAGATATCCCACCCGGGTGGATGAAGTTGTCGAGCTTGGTTGTGATGGCATTGCACACTGACTTGGAATGGGAGGCAGCATAGCTGTTTGATCCGGCTCAGATTGGATGAGATTAGTCCAGCTCAAGGTATCGGGTATTGATGGTTCCCGCGCGGGCGCAGCGACCACTCCTGGTTGTACATTGGCTTCCTCCGGTATATAATGGTAAGCCGCAGGATTATCAAACGTATGAAAGTCCAAGGGCTGCTCCATCGTGGGTGGCATCTTGAAAGACAAATCCGGCATCACGGGTGTGAGAGGCTCGCGGTTGGCCCTCGGTCGCTCATTCTCCTGGCCGTTGGTATTAGTAGTCGCGATGGCTGCGCCCGGGGTTGGAATTGGAGTTTGGCCATCGCGAACTTCATCATGAAAACAAGCATGATGGGAACACATGCACCAATGTGTCTGATCCTCCAGACCGGAAGCATTGCCATAAGGAAATCCATTGGCAAATCCAGGTGGTAATCCGATCGGGCTTCCTCTATCTGTATTCCCCAATGCGCCGCGACTCCAGAAACGACGGCATCCGCATTTTGGTCCATTGGCGCCATGGGTCAAGTCCACAAAGTTGCAAGGTCCGCCAGGAATATTGGGCGGTCCCAAGGATACTTGGCCATCGGCGTAGATGTTGAAGAAAGAGCTGTTCGGAAGCTGGAAGTCGGGGGCGAGTCCTGCCATTGAGCTGGGTGCTCTTCGGATGGGGGCATTGGAGGTTTAGAAAGACGAAGATTCGGCGGGGAGTTCGACGGGGATCAGTTCGTATTTGTTCGCTGGTGGTGATGGGGTTATCGGCAGTCCTGAGCGACCCTCCCAGACGCAGCTGGTCGCGATCAACAAACCATCTAGTACATGGCTCTGCTTGATGTTAGTCCAGGCTCGAGGAAGCTGTCGTGGTCCGCCCGGCACAATATCATCAGGCAAGACACTGACCACGGTATGCGTATAAGAACAAGCACATTCAAAGCGGTTTGTGATGGGGATATGGTAATTTATGTACAAGAGGCAGCAGTCGAAGGACGCGTCAAGGCAAAGAGCAATGCGAATGACGAAGATGAGGAAGCGAAGTCGAGGTTGCAAAGTGAGGCGCCCAGATAGGATTGGCTAGAGGTGGTGGGGTTGGGCCTGGGTGACGGGGGGTAGGGTGTAGCACGAAAGCAGGCGGAGCGGATCGCTGAGATAGTCACAATAGCGACAACTGGGGTGTGGAGAACAATGATGAAAATGAGATGCAGTAAAACGTGATCAGATGGATGAGTCGACGCTGGTCCAAGGTGACAGCAGGGGGGGGTGGTCACTGGTCAGACATGGCCGCCCAGTTCTGGGATTCGGGAATCAGAATACGGAAATCAGAATACTCGCAGGCTGCCAGGCAGCTTTGCGTCCCGTCGTGGGAGGTGGGATGGATGCTGGCTGATACATTTTCCCACTCAACGCGTCGTCTAAGAGGAGCGGGCGGCCAAGCCAGGGGAGCAGGGGGGTTCGCGCGTGCTGGTCGAAGGCGGCAGCAACCCCATTGGCCGGGAGGCTCTCGAGATCCCTGCCTGGACAAACGCACGCCCGAGAGGTCTCGACGCGAGCTGCACCTCCAAGTCACCCACCAAACATGGCTGCTTATTGCAGAGGTCCGTCACAGATAGTGACTTTCACCTGGTTAGCCCGAGACGTGACCGCCTCACTACCAATCTCATCACCGTCGGTCGGCCGGATTCCATGACAAGGAGTACAGCCAAGGTAAGGCGATCAGCGTTCGCCCCATCCAAAATGCAGATTCACCCAACCTGCCAACGCTGAGAGACGCTCGGGTGGTTTTATCTCGGAGGGACTGCAGTAGTCGGACCTATCGAGACGGTCAGTCCTGCTCTAGCCTCACACTCAATGGCCAATGGAAGAAACGCCGTCATCCTGGCACGTTGAGTTCGGTCTTTCTTCATGAGAAGAATGCTTGAGATTTGGTATTTGAGGTGCGTATTATGGCAGTAGTAGGCAAGCATTGTGAGGACGGCAGTATTATCAGCCCGAACCAGCCCAGATCCACTTGGCCGGTTATCAACGTAAGTCATCAATATAGTACAGCGAGCCGATGCTCCATGCTCAACAGAACAGGGCTGTAGCGACCAGAGCTCGTCATCATCATCGTCGTTAAACCTCACCCCAGCTCCCCATTGGACCCGTCGTAGCAATCATTGAGCCAGTTCCGACAGAACCACCGATATCCCAATAGTGACGAGACGAGGAGCAACTGCTTCTCCTGACTGATCTGCGCGTGCTCTGGCTCGCGCAGCTGGAAGCATGCCGGACTAACACCGGGCTGGAAGCCGTAGTCCCCTTGGACTTGCGACTCTCCACAGGTCGCGGTCTGGACACCAGCGGGTGGTGTTGCCGCACCCTTGCAACCTTTGCAGCTACATCCTGCGTACTAAACGTCGCAAGGTGCGAGTTTCCAGATACCCCAGTACTGCTGGGCCGTGACAGAAATCGCGATCGAAGATACCGGAATATCAGTCTAACGTCAAGATCTTGCTCCCATTCATCTTGTGTGAACGTGGCTGCCGTGTTCTCCGCTGGAACCTGTGACTTGCTCGGGGCCGAGCCGGACGGATGTCGCGCTTGAGGTACATCTATCGGCCGCGTTTGAGTAGCAATCGTCGGTTTGAACTCAGGTATTATTGCAGGCGCTTCCTTCATCGCGCTACGTGCCGGGTCGTTTGCGCTTTCGGGAATCGGCGATAGACCAGCATACGGCAGGGGCATCTGCTGCACCCGACTGAAAGTCGAGAAGGCACCTGGATGCTCAGAAAGTTGGTGAACCAGAAGACCAAGCTCCTTCGCTACCCGCTCGAGCATCTTGAGCTGCCAGCCGGAATCTGACGTGTTCTCTGCAGGGACGTTATGGAGAGGTGACCGAGACAAGACTGATGCTTTTGGCGTTGAGGATAGATCCTCTTCGTCCGGAAGTGCTTCACCAAATAGGATGGAAAGCAGTTTATCGTCTATGCCCAAGAGGTCACGAACCACCTTTCGGGTAATCCGCCCCCATACACTTTCGTGGTCACCTCTTGACTCGTTTTCGTTGTGATCGTGCCAGTCTTCTCCTTGGTCCTCAGTGTCACCCACTGCACCGCCTACCGCGCTCAATGTTGCTACGTCTTCGGCTCTCTTTTCTGCTTGGGGGGCAATCGATGTGCTAGCCGCTGAGCGACGTCGTCTGCGAGTCTCCCTCTGAACTTCCTCCAATAGGTACCGACTCTGCTCCAGGCGCCAAGATTCTATCCATCGCGTCTTGTCTATTTCCTGGTACCCCTCGTTTTCGAGCTCAGCCTGGGCCAAGTCGAGGCTTTCGCGCCGCCGCTTCACCCGTCGGGGGTTATACTGCTCAAACGCATATAGCCTGTTCTGCACGTCGGCCCCCATACCCTCCTGTTCAAGCCGAAACGATCCAAGGCCATCGTGGGCAGGTACGACAGGTGTCGCATGAGGAACGGCTTGCGAGGAGTTGTAGAAATCGGGTGTCGAGCGGAACTCTGGCAGGTGACTATCAAGGCTGTCAAGCTCTGCGTCGTCCTCGTCGTCTTCGTCTAGGGCATCGATGAAGCTCGTCGAACGTCGGGGCTCAGCGCTTGCTTCTGATCTTGCAAGGCTATGGAGGCTCCCAAGGTCACTTAACCGGGAGCGGCCTGGAGTTGTGTTGGTCTTGTGAGTGGAGGTCAGGTACGAAGTAGTTGTGCCGGCATCGGTCGCGGGAGAGAACAGCACCCAGGTCTGTGAATCTTCCACAGCTTGAGAGGCCGGCTGTGGAGTATGGTGTGATTCGTCGTCTTGGGGCGAAGGTCGAAAGACTCGTTGCGCAGCCTGTCGGGTTGGTTGATGGAACGCCATTGTGCGATCAAGGGTATACTGGTGTTGGTATCGATGCGGATGGACGTTGTATGACGAGTGTGGCCCAACTGGGGATCTCCCAGCGGGAAGCTTTCAGATGACTCGCCAGGTAAAGGACGTAGTCTAATTGTAGGTCGTGTTTCCTGCGACGGCACGGTTCGTTGGATGATAGGAGATGTTGGCGCACGGCAACAAAGAGCGAGGCGACTCGCCGAAAAAGGTGATTTCAGGCTATCACTCTCGCTGTTTCTTGAAGCTGGTGCTGACTGTATTCCAGAGGCGGCAAGATATACTAAGTTGGGATATGATGTTGGATGATGTGATACTATCAGCTTCGACGCAAGGAGACTCGAGAACAAGTCATCATCAGCAGCCGTGAGCTGAGGGAGTTGGTGAGGTGCTCCTGATGATCAGGACCGGTGCAGGGTGCGGGTGTGATACATGTACACCGCATATTAAGAGCAAAGGGCGGGAGAAAATCAAGGCGGGACGGAGGTGTCACTGGACCTGTCCGATTAGGGGACCTGGCGATGATCCCACGTCGCGTGGACGGTGGTACAGACGCAGAGACGTGGTCGATTCAGGTCGAGGCGGTTCGGCGGTTGGCACCCCGCCGTCGAGCTGTTAGGTCGATATGATGCGATAAGACACCAGTCTAACGTCCGTGACGGCCTGTCTCTTTCAGATGTACCACAGTACTCTCATAAGAGGAACGAACCGGGCTGAATTCCACTTATACCATCACGTAATACCAGAGCAGGCAGCGTGGGAATATTGAAAAAAGAGTCGTCATGGAGGTATCATGGCATGTCTACATGTTTGGTTCTTTGTTTGGAGCGTCATTGCTTGTTGGCTGTCATCATGCATCCTTCAAGTGTGATGGAACACAGCGGTGGGTCAATGGCTGAGGTGTCCAGGACCCCAGGTCTTATCAACCCCCCACCTTATCACCCCCCATCTTCACCCGTCTGCTAGAGGACGTCCCGGAATATCCCATAACTCCATGCCAAACTCTGTCTATAATAACACACTGTGGCGGCTGTCATTGTACCGCTGTATCTGTGAGACGGAATGTGAACAGTCGAGCATAACTAGTCGAAGCGTTCCTACAACATTCAAGTATGCCTTACATAAGGTAGGTATACATAAGGGGGCATGTGTATGCGTCAGTCGAGTACTTTCTCAACTACGTAAATGGTCGTGATATCATAGTGCACCCTATTGTCAATAGGGAGTATGTCTGAACGGTGGCCTTCCCCTGCCAACGACATGGTTTCTTCGTCTCGATAGGACGAGGTTGACCTACTGACTAGATGAGACCGTGCCACTAGCGAGACATGCGGCACGCTGGAGGGACAGTTCACGTAAGACATTCAGACATCGATCGACTCAATGCTTCATCAAACGGTGTTGTGGTAGTGCAAATGCAAGATCCGTATTGACTGCCTTAAACAGTGCTATGGTACCCGAATAGACGCCTGTCCCTCAACCCAGATTTGCTTCTCATACGACGTCCTCCAACTCTAAGCCTCGAACGCGGTGGGGAAGCGCTTGACGTTCTCCGCGAGCTTACCCTTGTTGGAGAGGAACTGAACGTAGGCACCGTCGACCTTGACACGGCCAGCAGCCTTCTTCTCCAGGTATTCCTCCCGGCGGAGAGGGGTGAAGCCCCAGTTCTTGGAGATGATGATCTTCTGACGGCCAGGGAACTTGTACTGGGATCGTCGCAGAGCCTCGAGAGCGTTGGCACGGTCTGGAGAGGACACGGTTAGCACTGCGCCCTCCTTGCAATGTAAAGGGTCTTCGATTTCACTTACTGGAATCACGAGTGCGGACACTCAGGAGAATCTGGCCGATGTTGACACGGGCAACGGTTCCGTTGGGCTTGCCCCAGGCACCACGCATACCAGTCTGCAGTCTATCGGCACCGGCGCACGACAGCATCTTGTTGATGCGGACGACGTGGTACGGGTGGGCTCGGATGCGCAGGTGGAAGCTGTCCTTTCCGGAAGACTTGACGAGGTACTTGTTGGCGCAGATACGGGCGGCCTCGAGGGCTTCGGAGCTCAGCTGCTCGTACTCGTTGGAGACCATGTGGATGCACAGAGGGAAGTCATCGACGTTCGCACGCTTTCGGCCAAGATCGAAGATTCGGATCTTAGGGTCGGGCACACCACGGTTGAACCGGGACTTGGGGTACGGCTGTTGTCATCCCACCATTAGTATCAGATACTCAAGATAACTGTCATTCCTCTAGTCGCATGCAGTTCCCGCCGTAGCACAACCAGAGTTGTCGGCTGTCGACTCCAGTGCCGACTCGGACCCTTCGGACGTCATCGTGGGCTGCCGAGCGCGGGAATCGCACAGAATGGACATCCAACGCAACTGTCTCGGGTGTTGCTCACCTTGTTCTTGCAGTACCGGTAGCATCTTGCGGGACGACGCGCCATCTTGAATGATTTCTCGATGAGTTGTCGTACGTGTGGTGGTGGTTGTTAGTATGTGGAGGGGATGATGTCGACGACGAAAGAGGGAGACTCGGATCCTCTTTGAAGGCCTGGGGATGGCAAAATTGCTGGCTTGATTTCAAAGCAGGCGAGTCACGCGGCGAGTTGTGTGGCTTGTGCATTGATTGGCTGTGAGTCATCTAGATAAGTGGGGTTAGGGCTAGCCCAGCCCGAATGGAACAGCTTCTTGCCCCACTAGCCAGCATCACCCAAAATTGTTTTTTTTCTCACAGCCCAAGAGAGAGAGTGAAGACTGCCCCTCCAACTGGAATCTACAACACGACAATCAACTCCAGCATCTGATACTAACGACAGAACTCCGGTTCCGAGGTATCAATCAACAATCACAAGACAAGATGGCCCCCAAGAAGAACAAGAAGGATGCCAACAGCATCAACTCGCGCCTTGCGCTTGTGATGAAGTCTGGAAAGGGTGAGGAGCTTCACCCATTCAAAAGCTGAAGATCGACCAAGGCAGAGGTACAACTGCTAACTATGTTCAATTAAGTGACCCTCGGCTACAAGAGCACCCTGAAGAGCCTGCGAACCGGAAAGGCCAAGCTCGTCATCATCGCCGGCAACACTCCTCCTCTCCGCAAGTCCGAGCTGGAGTACTACTCTATGCTGTCCAAGGTCGCCGTTCACCACTTCAGCGGAAGCAACGTATGTCGCAAACCTTCCAGCTCTTTTACTGTATAGGATGGACACGCTCTCAGCCATTCCTCCGCTCGGGTTTTACCGAGTGGTAGACCCCTTTCCTTCTATCTGTACCCAGAGAAAAAGCCCTGACAAGGCTTTGGAGGGTATTTCAGTTAGCTAACCTCTATCCCTACGAAACAGATTGAACTCGGTACCAGCTGCGGAAAGCTGTTCTCCTGCTCTACCATGGCTGTTCTGGATGCTGGTGACTCCGATATCCTCAGCGACCAGCAGGCTTAGGCTCAACATTGCATCCATGTACGGCGTTGGGGTTCCGGACTCGGAAAATGGGCGACAGTCGGATGGTGGGACATGTCAGGATATCCTGCACACCGCAAGGCTCACAGATCGAGCTTCGTCTACGGAGTCGTCAAGCAGTTACACTTTAGATGAATACTAGGTGTCGCTTGGAGAGGGCTGCCGTCCAGGGAACGACTAAGAGATACCCAATAGACGTGCCAGCCGCCACGAACTGAGCGACCTTTGTCGTGAGACTCCTATTGCTTGTCGGCCGTACCTCTCGACGATAATGAGAATAGCCCTGTAAATGACTCATTGTGACTTGGCATCGACGTCTAATAAACGCTGCCACTGAACGCATATGGCCGATAGACCACCTGCAAGACGAACAATACCGCAACTGGGAAGCTAGCCGGGGGTCAAGGTCATGGACAGGTGCACTCACATAGTCGCATCTTCGGGCGATCTCGTACTTCACATCGATGGCAATCCAATGAAGCTCCGACAGGATCCCTGAGCAGCATTATAGAAACTCTTAAGGAGTTCGACCAAGTGTGATGATCAAAAGTTACTTGCAATACCGCCTTGGTAGTTGTCGGGCTGTCTTCAAAAGTACTGACTAATCTCGATGGCTTAAGATAGGGAGAGCCACCCGGTCATCATCGTCGTTTGCTCGTGCCCGACTCTCCTTAGTACTTAGGTACCTACTTGATACATTATCCACTATTCAGGACTCCTCTATGACCGTTATAAGAAGCTAGGCTGGCAGAAGTAGTTGGTTGTTGGGAAGTAATGAATGCCGACAACGTTCTGGCAATGAGTGAGGACGTCGACTGCTGTGCAATACAATGGGAGTACCCCTTTATGGGAAGCGGGCATCAGCACTCCGCAGCCGGACTGGCCACGGTTTTTGAGAGTTGAATGACTGTTGACAATTCAAAGTCTGTAAACAAAGTCCGAGTCAGCAAGGGCCATTCTCCTCCATACGGGGACGCGTTTGCATGAACGTAGAAATTAGGTGTGGTACGGGAAGCCTGTCATGCTAAGTAGTAGTGTCGGAACAAGGAGATCACATGTGACCAACCTGAAAGGTCCTGTGGTCTAGCCTGACTCGAATACATTATGTGTTGACACAGGACACGACATGAAGGGAAAACGGGGTTCGATTGCAGGTCTTCGACGCCGCAATGCTGCAGTGCTGGTTATTCCATTGCGATGGAAGCGTCTCATTGTCCTCAGCCCTGACAATTACGTAGCTGGTGGCATTGATTGATTGACTGACGGACAGGGGTGCTCTCCCAAAGGAAAAGGATGGTTCTTGGCAGGATGACTGTGACTGGTCTCTGCTTGGATAGGTATGGCTATTGCAACGCCTATTTCTGGTGTCAAAAGCGAAGACTACAAGGATTGCGGATTCAAGGAGGAGAGGACAGCAGAGCATAAATTAATCAAACTAGATGCCCGCCCAAACATTGAAAAGAGTTGCGTTTCTTGACCTTCACTGGATCTGCAGTAATCTTGATTCCCATCAACGGTATCGCCCGTATCGCAATCGCATTGTCTGACCATTTACCTACCTACCTTAGAACGCGAGTCGTGTTCGGTACATTCACATCCATCCTACGTGGCGGTGTGTTATAATTACCTGCTGCAGGGCACGGTGATCCAATCAATTCAATTGGAACGTCAACTTGGCAGCTGCTTGACTAAGTACATGTACACCCTCCACGGACGCCACCACATGCTCCCCGAAGCTTGGAAGGGTCCGGGTCAAAAATAGCACTGGAGTACAGGCTACAACAGCACGGCAACAGTTGATTACGGTTACGGCAACAACAACGTCCAAATCGATACATGCCACTGCCGTCGCACACAACAACCACCTGCACATCGCATTTTATCGCTCTTAGAAACACACCGACCCTACATTGTTAGTAGCACATATACACACCCGTTTGCTTCCTTTGAAGCACCACAGCCATGTCCGCTGCGGCCAAAAAGCCCGTTCCCTCGGCCTCAGCACGAGCGTCCCCGACAGACAGTACCAACACCGCCTCCCCGTCGAGACCTCCGAACCGGACATCCACGCCGACGTCGACCGCTAATGGGACCACCAACGGAACTCCCGCGAGGACGCGGTCTATCCGAGCCGGTACACCCGTGTCGGCGCGAGCCGCTGCCTCCCACAGGGCGTCCTCGTCCCTGAGCATTTCCCAGCACGCCGATGCCGACGCACGCGCCGAAGCTGTTGCACTGATTGACGACCTGAAAGAACGGCTACAAAAGGCGGATACCACGTCAGAGCAATACAGAAAACAGGCGGATGTCTTACAATCGAGGCTAGACGAGGCGCTGAAAGAACAAGCGAAAATGGAAGAAAGAGTACATGAAAGCGAAGAGCAGATTGAGACACTCCGGAATGAGAAGAGGGAGGCCGCGAGGCAAATGCGCGAGATGGAGGCCATCTACGAGGCCGAGAGGAGCTCGATGATGAAGGAGAAGGAAGATATGTCCAATCGAGAGGAGGAAATGCAGGCTGTCATTAACCGTCTTAAGGACAGTTTGAATCAGCGCAACGCAGAGGACGAATACCGGCCGACAAGGCAATGTGCGTTTCCAGCGCCTATCAAGTCCTCTTTGAAATATACTGACTCTTTGTTTCAATAGCGAACAACTCGTCTCCAAACGTCGACAGTGGCAACTTCGCCCCGCCGTCTTCGGTACAACGAAGCGACTCCAGAAACAACTCGAAATTGTTGCTTGGCAAGGACAAGCTCATCGAGTCCCTGCGTCTTGAGCTGGCTGAGGCGCAAATCAAGCTTGTCGAGTCCGAGAACCAAGGCGGAGGACGCCTACACGAAGTTGAACGTCTCCTCATGGAAGCCCGCATGGCTAACGCACGGTTGATGGAAGATAACGAATCGTATCAACTGCTCCTTCAGGAGAAGACGCTTCATGGGGACTTTGGCAAGGGCGACTTCAGTTACATGGGCGCTTCCGCAAACGAGGATGCTCTCAACGCACTAGAAGGCCGGGACAAGACCCGGGACAGCACCGGTGGCGACCCACCCACCCCTGGAGCGAGCTTGGCCGACGAGTTGGGCGCTGTCGGTGGCGACGACTCTACCGAGTCTGGGGACGACCTGACGCGCCGCTTGGAGGGCGAAGTCCGGGCTATGAAGGACCAGAACAAGGCGTTGACCCTATACATCAACAAGATCATCGAACGCCTCCTACAGCACCAAGACTTCGAGCACATACTCGACCAATCCGCCGACTTCAAGCCCAGTGCCAACCTGCAGAAGGATCTGCCGCCGCCGCCGTCAGACGCGCCAAATGTCGGGGCCTCGCTACTCCAGCGCGCCAAGTCGATCGCCATCGGCAACAACGGCGGCGCCCGGCCCAAGCAGCGACCCCTGACGATGATGCCGCCGCCGCTGGAGTCGCAGCCCTCGGCGCACAGCAACCCGGAGACGGCGCCGAGCATCCCAATCGGGCACGGACGGTCGCAGAGCGCGAGGCGCGGCGCTCGACCCTTGAGCGAGCAGTACACAAACGGCAGCGCGGCCGGCATCGTCAACGCCATGTACAAGGGGCCCGACGGCCCTCTCTCGCCCGCGCTCAGCAACCCGCGCAACTCGCAAGGCTTCTTCCGCACGCCGTCGGGCGCTGGCGCCCCTAGCGCGGGCAACTTCCCGGGCATGCGCAGCGAGACCAGCAGCGTGAGCGGCGACTCGGCGTCAGTGGGCGACGGCACATCGACCAGCCAGAGCCCGCCCCGCGCTGGCAGCGGCCACGGCGGCGAGAAGAGCACCAAGTTCGAGGGTAACAAGCCACGTCCGCTACGCCTCGTGCAGGAGAACAGCGACAAGACCGAGAACAAGCGCGCCAGCTGGATCGGCTGGGCGTCGCAGGCGTGGACCAAGAAGGAGGACGGGAGCGCGAACGAACCCATCCGGGAATAGTCGGAGGTTGTGACCCGACAGCTAAAGGGAAGAGTGTGGTGGATGAGTCTGGAAGAGGCATGGCTTGCGATGATGACTGGCTGACTGGACATGAATATCGACTTGGATCCCATATCACGTAAAGGAGCATATCTTGGGCGGCGATGGGGAAATGCAATAGGATACCAAACCACATCTTTGTAAAATTGGGCATAGAAAGATCGGGTACATGGCGGCGTGTGGATGTTTTGAATCATCTTTGTTGGCTGTACTCTTGGACCGAGGCGTTGCGTGTCCACGTCGCTTCCACCAGATCGTGCCAGGTTATAGGGGGCCCTTCAGGCGGAATGCAACAAACTATCTTGAGACGAATGCTGGGACGTTGAATATGACGAAATGGAAAGACGTCTCTTGTTGGGTCTCTGGGATGAATACCCTGGTTGGGCTCGGCTGTTGTGGATTTATCTGCTTCTTGGGCTGGACTGGCGCTGGATATATATGTAGACTGCTCTTGGGTGTTGGTTTCGAGATGCGTACTTATATATAACTTCTTTAAATATGTACACACATACATACGTACACTCACTCATATCTGCTGGAGCGTCTGTCAAGTATATGTCCTGTACACGTAAATGAATCTTATCTCGGTAACCTAACCTTGCTATGGTGATACACTCAGCCCTCAAAATTCTGGGTACCTACACGTACCATTTTGGGAGGAATCTAGATCACACGTGAAAATTTGGAAATACTGAATAAAGTATAAAGGAATAAGCAGCTCTGGTTTGATACGCCGCGAGTACTTATTCCAGTATGCTTATTCCAATTCGATAAATATACCATTGTTTTGCTGGACGGTTGGTGTACGGAGACTTATGAAGGTTCAGTGTACTTGTTGTTCTGACCCCGTGCTATTATTTCACGACCTTACACTCCCTTCGCGCATCCTGTGCTCGCAGCAGTACCCGCTATACCCGGAGACTTGTGGGCCTTGGTGCTTCATATACATGAGGCTTTCCATGACTTCCCGCCGGGCCACGCAAGAGTCAACCTCTCGCATAACCTGTCCGGGCGCTATAAAGGGCCGAAACTGCGGTCGCAAACTCTCCCAGCCGCCCGAGATCTACAGTCTCGCCTCGAGCCAGCTTCTTCAGCCCTTTCTTTACAGCCCTGGACCTGGGACTCACATACATACTGAAAGTACTTAGGTGATAGATATTCATATTGTCGTAGTCAAGAAGTTCCGTGTAGCGATTGATAATTTTGCGCGCGATATTGGTGTCCAGTCTGCTGGCGGAAGCTAAGAGCCGGGTTGTTTCCTACGAAGGCTGCAGGTGATTGTTTCTTTTCATCATTAGTTGGGCCACCCATTCGATCAAAGGGGATGTCTTCGCTTCGGATGCCAGGTCTCCTGTGGGGCCTATCAGCCTGTCCATCAGCACGGGGAAATCGACATCTGCCCCCTTGTCCAGCAGGCATTGGATCATGGGCCCGTAGTCCTGGTTGTTCTGTCCCGGCGTTCTCTTGAGGTCGAACATCACGACGTCCATGAGAAGAGGCCAAGGCCTGTAGTCAATTGCACGGTCTTTTCCCTTAAAGCCGGCTGGTGCTTGTACTAGGCAAGTTGGATCTGCCTTGGCTTGAACGTATTCGACGACGTTATAGCAGGTGGCGAGTGACAGAAAGGTACCCCCGTAAGCCTTCGCCTGTACGGAATATCCGTGCGAGGGCCACGTGGCATCCCAGTGCGAGTCATAGGGCCTATCTCGCTTCATGGTCGCTGAACCGAACCCGTCCAGCCCGTCAAGTAAGGGAGACCATAATCGGTATGTTGGTAGGCAGGACATGGCGAGCCCATTCTAGACATTCGGAGCAGCAACGGCCCCAGTCGCCCCTGTATCCTTTGATATAGGCAAGCCGACCAGCCAATAGCTTCAGATAGGGGTCAAACCCGGACACAGTCGCGGAGCGCAGGAGCGTCCGGGTATCTTCTCTCTGGATGTAATCCTTGACGGTTCGATGCAGATACTGCACTGTGCAGCTTTCGATTTGGTCTTCGGTATATGCAGTGCCTGATCGAACCGGATGTTGGCCTGGACTTCTAGTAAGCCCCTAGTCCGGCTGTTAATGCGACGTCGCATGGTATCCATGCGATATTTTATCTCGCTGTCTTCTATGTGACGGAGTGACCGTTGCAAAGCAAACGAAGGGGCGTCTTCGTCAACAAACGATACCAGAAGCAGGTTGATCGGCTCTGGGCTCGAATCCACGAGGCGGAAGAGTTGCGCGGCGTGACCCAGGTAGGACGGATCAAGGCTTGTGAGTATTTTCTCGTATAGAAGAGAGAGGTCCGGTGGTAGTAAATCCAGCCGCGCCTTGAGGTCTGAAATTTTATCACCGGACTCCATACCCGCGATCAGAGACGTGACGACAATGTGCACCCACAGGAATACGCCAGCAGCCTTTTCCACGATTGACTCGATGAGCTGATCTGCAAAGTCCTGCTCTGCCATGCGGAGCTCGACAAAGGCCGGCTCTGCATAGAACTTGGAGGTAACGAAGTCTTTCATGTCGTTGTGAGTCAAGGGCTCCATCGTCAGAGAAGGCTCCTGTCGAAACGCCTTTTGGAATTCGAGCCAAGGTCGACTTGCAGCCCACAGCTTCACGTCCGGACTTCGTAGGATATCTCTACAGAGAGATATGATCTGTTCAGGGTGCCCCTCGAACTCGTCAAGCCCGTCGATGAACACGGCTAGCCTTACCCCAATGGAACTAAGATGCTCGATGGCACAACTCAGTGCGCGGTTCAATTCGCCGTCTTTCAAAGAGCGTGGATCGAGGCCAAACAGACATAAAGTTTCCCATCGATCGGCTGGGCATATGTACGGTGCGAGTTCTGGCACTGGTCAAGGACCTGGTGCAGTAGGGTTGTCCGTAGTCCCGTCAGAGACGCCTGTATTTCAGCACCGGAATTCCAAAAGTGGAAAGAGATAATGACCAGTCTCTTATCACCACTCCACTTCGTCAAGAAGCCAGAGCATTGCGAGAAGCCCTGCGTACTGTTCTCCGACTCGCCAGGATGAGAAAGCCACTTCATCAATGTGGACTTGCCCGATCCCGCCTTTCCTGTTTTCCAGTACACTACACGATGTGGTGTCAGTCAGTGGTTCTGCGGCAACTGGCGTATGCCGATCTTCGTGACTGGATTGGTTCCAGCAGACGAAAGATGAAGGGCAAAATGCTGGAACTCGCTCACTTTTGTTGTCTGATTGGAGCCAATCTGTAAAGCTATTCCACCTATGGTCGGGTCTGCCCCGAAATAGCCACTGAAATGTCGCTTGATGAGGTTCTGGTATTCATTGTTTCCTGTCATCCATTGATTTGTAAAACAGGCTTCTCAGCAAAATCCTGCTAGAGTGCATCTTTGTCTCTTCACGGACATGCTCTGCGTTGAACCTGGTCGTGTAAGGCTTGTTTGAGCCTTGACGTATTGTGTGGATGATACTGTCCCGCAAGGCGCGGCTCTCAACTTCTTTCGATGTCTTATCGAGTGGTGATATGACATATCCTATCACTGACGTCCCAATTCTTCCAGGACGGGTTGTCTCGTCGGCCTCCCTATGCGTGCCACTGTTCGTCTGGGCCTTGATGATTTGGAGCTGCTCGATGATCGAATCCTGCTGCTCCCGGGTTTGACTCGATACCTCTCTTATTTCAACAAGCAGTTAGCGTTCAAGATCTGCTATGGTCTTTGGTGGAATATAGCTTATCTCAGGGAGATCAGCAGGCTCACGGTCAATTGTGACCTGAACTCGGCTACGCGTCTCTCGATGGCGCGGATCTCGTCCTCGTTCCACTTCCACTTGAAAGCCAAGCGAGCCGCACCAGTGGTGCGAGATGAATCAATGCCGGCCAACTTGTTCAACTTGAGAAGAAGCTCCTCAATGAGCCCCTTGCAGCCCTCTGCTAGGCGCTTGATTCCTTCGTCGGTTCTGGCCTCGGATTCTAAAACCCTCGCAAGCTCGCCGTGGATGGTTTCCATTTGGTTGATATCTTGAATGGGTGTGTCTTACTGGCCACGGCGAAGCTTGACAGCAGTCGATGCGACTTTGGCGCCAAAGTCGATGACTTGCAGACATGACGAAGCCAGACTCAGTGTCGCAATTGCCTCGGCCATCGCAGCGCCGAACCAAATTGAACTGCGACCACGATGAATCAATAGTGCTATCCCGCCTTAATGACGCGTCCCAGCCAGAAGATGTGGTTCCCTGATACTGTGAGGAAGGAGGAAGTAGACGTGAAAGATGGCATGAGGAGCTGGCCAGCCGTAAACCCTACTTTGGAAGTCGTATCGCGAGATCAGCCCCGCGCAGCCCCAAGGCAGACCGGGTGTGGCTCATCCAGCACTGTAAAACACAGCCCAAGGCGATTTTCCGTCCACACGCAGTGTCCGTGGCCGAGTTGCTGATGCAGTGCTTGCACATCATCAAGAATGCCATGAGACGGACTCCTCCTACTCTAGAGTCATTAAGCTGAGCCCCCATTCACCCTTCGATGTAGCCAGCTTTCGGGTTCAAGGCAGCATCTCTGCGAGACCACTTCCGTTCCCGTTTCGATACATTGTAACACCCAAAAAGTCAGAAGACTACCGTCCAAGTGCCGCGACGCAGATTTCAGCCCTTGTAGGTGTCCATCCCTTCACCCGATTGCCCAGGTACATACGGAGTAGGTAGGTAGGTGAAGTTGGATGTCAACCTCCGTAAGCTACTCACCACTCCCGCTGCTTTCCAGAAGGTACGCATATACAGATCAGCTAGTTTCACTGGCATGCCGAGGCCAAGCGAGGAAGCGAGTAACGAGAACACCTGCGTATCGCAGAGCCGCACTATGTATCGACGAGAAGTTTGCCACACGATGACACCCCGTGGTGGCACATCTCACACCGAGTCAGCGGTAGCATCAGATGGAGAAGATGTGTCCGTGGCATGTGAGCAATGACAATCGATCCAGGTTGTGTCACCACTCTAGGCTGCCTTCTGAGAATCAGGTAAATGGGAGACAGGCGCTGACCGGTGGAAGCAAGAGGGTGGGATTGCAGCATGCGTGCCTGTTCCAGTGAGAAGGGAGACCCCACACACGCGCGCCGCGCTCACCCATCAGGCATTGGGCATTGGGCAAACAGCCGAGCCTATGGAAACGGCCGGTTCCTGCGCAGATGACCACTCAATCTGCCAACGAACTTCCCAAGTGATCGATGACATGGCAGCTTGGCAAGATAAGAAATGGCTGATGCCAAAGGTTGGGCCCATCCGTCTGGACGGGCCGCAGATTATGTGAGACGCATCGTGGCTGAACAGGGACGCTAGCTTGGCGTATTGTGATTTTCACGAAGCAACCTTTGTTGTAATATCCCGCTTGCTTCGTCGAGTGTCATACTGACTGATGAGCCATTATTCACTCAGGTGAAACCGATCATGGAAGACAGCTCAAAGTTCTGCGCGATATTCGCTACCTTGGATTTGTCAGCGTAAGCCCCGTGATGTGCGAAGTCAAAAGTCGTGAGTCCTTCATGGCCTGAATCCTCCCGAGAGTGCCTCGGTTCATGAGTATTCATAAGCACACAACGAAGCCTCGGCGCCCTGGGGACACGGACTTGTGTCCAAAATCGTCCCCTGATGATACTGTTCGTTCGAGAAGATTCAAGGTTCAAGTCCGTTTAATAATAAGGGGGACCGAAGACAGGTGTCCACGTGCGTGGCATGTCGGCCACATGTCGATCTCTGACAGGTCGGAGATCTGCCGGGTCCTGCGATTGATGGATATTGACATATTGTAATGGGCTGATGCAAGGCTGAGCAGCCCGACAAGGCCTCGCCTCTTGTTCCCAATTCGGGCTGACGAGGGATGGCTGCCGGAATGCTTATGGAGACGGACGACCTGGCTGTCATGACATATGTCCATGTTTGCCGAGTATATTGAGGTCAGGCAAGGAGATGTGAGCGTCCATCCCATCCCAACTCATCCCAACTCATTCCGTCTCGCCCGCCCCCATGGGACCGTCGGGTCTGCCCGCTTATTACACACATGCTTGGTGTGCCAATGGGAATAGGGGCAGGTTGACAGACCGACTTTACATTGTTCAAATGCATGCATCATCTTTCGCGGATCAAATCAGATAGAGGCTGATAAGGACAACAAGTCGCTTGACAGGAGGCAGGTCATCGCGATGACTGGCGGTAAGGTAGTGCAGGTGATGGAACATTCGGAAACAAAGACGGCGCTCGGGGATCCAGGGAAGTGGGTACATGTTAAGGCAATCAACCAGGCCTGGGAAAACGTTGTGGAGCAAAATGTCCGCGCCAGCAACTTGCGGTCAAGCAGAGGGTACCTGACTAGTACCTCTGGGAGTAGCCGGGTGGATATCAAAACGCCCGTAGTTTGAGTATCTGCCAATGAATTCCAAGTATCCGCGACTGTCGCCCCCATCTCAGGAGGTACCGGTCGGCTCATCATCACTTTCAAATGATGGCAGACAACATTGAAGTACCTCCAGCAAACGGATCATTTACGGTTGGCTGTGTGTGACCACTGTGATGGAGCTTCACCGTTAATTCTCAGTTCCTTCTGATTTCAAAGTTCGACGGTCCCGCAACCCGTACCTCACCGGTTGATTGACTCACTGACCACCTCCTTGGAAGACACCCGACATCTTGAGATCAATCTTATTCTGAACTTGCAGTGCGCAGGGGATATCAGGATACAGTCGCCAGTTCTCTTGCAAGTTGGAACGAGCAATGTTGAGGCTACATCACCCTCGCCCCTCGCCCCTCGGCGTTCGCGATGCCTGCGCCTGGTCTATTGTCAGCCTGCCGTCTGCAGTCGGGTATTGCCAGGACCCATGACGATGGACCCGGAATTGCTGGCACTTTCCATTGTGCGGAGACGCAGGTGGATCGTAAGGCGTAAAGTCCACTCTCTCTGGCTCTGGGCGCGTTCTAGTCCCTTTAGCTTCAGGGACAGTCCTTGGGGCCCGGAGACTTGGGGCAACCGGTCAAGTTTTCACGATCGATGCTAATAACGAATAACGAATAACGAATATCGATGAAATCATCGAGCCCGCGTGGAAGGCTGAAGGGCTTCGAAAGACTGTGTTCAGATTTTGAGCTAAATTGGATCTGTTAAACTTCTCATAGAGCCCCGGCTACTCACAGGCATGATATGCGTATGTGTATATCTTGTGTGAATGATGATCAAATTGGTAGCAATTATCACCTGCCTGCGGTACATTACAGGAGCGTCCGCAAACGTGAAGGGGTTCAAAATGGTCCACTCCCGTCGAGCCCCCGGCACCTCTCAGCCACTCCTCTGTCACCCACACGTCAAACCTGAACGGACAGATGGGCAAGACATCCTTGACAGCACTCATACCTACACACGGAAATGACGGAGTCGAGCGTGGTCATTCTTCTGCAACGTCACGAGGCAGGGTGGTGGTAATAGAATAATTATCATATGGAACAGGTTAGCGACATCAAGGCTTGAAAGGGTAACTGCTGCTTATTATTCCGCTGCAAATCATTTGATCAGCCTGATGAAAGGTACATTGATCTGTAAAAGTTACGGGGTACCTACTGTAAAAGTTACGGAGTACCTACCGTAACGGTCCATGTCCGCAGAGTGCAGGTGGCTGAAGAGCCGACAAAGCCCGCCAATGATGTCCGTCCAGTATCCATCACCCATCCCGCTCTGCCACACTTCTCAACGTCTGCCCATCGCGCATCAAGCTGTGTCTGCACTTGGTGCCTCTGCCGTTCTTGAGAAATACGTACAAGTTATTACAACACCCATCGACCCCATTTGTACATTCGTAGGCCCCAAAAAGGCATCTTGGTAGCCTGCCTGTCCCCTGTCGACATGACCTAGTTTTAGCCATTCCTCCCACCCCGTATTCATCCCAGGCCCAGGGCAACCGACTTTCCGGGTTGGACGGTGGACTTTCGGCTGGCCCTTCCTCTTGCTCAGTGCTCACCACCGGCCTCACCTTGTTAGTACATGTATTTTACACAGTATAGCCCATAATCAGTACTGAGCTGCATGTGGTCATCGGTATTCGTTCCAACTTCCCCAGCCCCAGCCCAGGCGACCGGCTCTCCAAAACACCATCTCCCCAAACTCCAAACTGGAACTCTCCACATTATTGTACGCCACGAGTCCACGACTTTCAATTCCATCTTCGCGCCCAATCAGCCAGTCCCGCGTCTGCGCACTTCTACTGCATCTCAACCAACCCTTAGTCAGAGAGCAACAGGCCGCATCCGAAGTGGACAGTGGACGAGAGGCAGGAACCTCCGTGGCTATTGGTGGCCCACGCTGCTCGACAACTCACCAAGCCGTCCTTACCCAGTCCATGGTCGAGTCGCATGCAAGCCTCACTGCAGCATCACGATGAACATTATCTGCGAGAACACGGCTGTCAATCTACCGAACTAAACCCAATCCTGGAATTTGTGGCATGAGCTTCAGGGACGTGGTTCCATTCCTTGCGCCAATCGCCTTCACTACCCCCAGCAGCATCACCAGCACCGGCAGCCAACGAAACACCGCTACAGCTCAGGCACTATGGCAAACGACAACACTACTGGCTTGGATGCCAGTCTCTCGAGTCTGAACTCTATCCGGAACGACACCTCAGACCCCTCCAGCGCAAACATCGACAGCCAGCAATCCAAGTGGACATCCGCCTCGACGTCACTGACAGCTTCGCCTGTACCATCGAGAGATCCCTCCCCAACACGACCTCCTGCAAAGTCGGGGAGAACGAGCCGTGCATCCACGCACTCGACCAGATCGCGCAAGAACAGCCTCCAGGACCCAAGTCCTTCAAGGTCCAGATCTTACCAGCCGACACACTCTGCGATACCGCGACAGCAACTATCCATTGCTACGACACCGACATTGCCTCCCCCGTCGAAGACCGATTCTCCCGTGCGGGCAACTGTTCCGCAAAAGCCCTCCACCTCAGCCGAGCACTCGAAAGATGCACCCCGGTGGCCTATCTCTCCGCGACTCAAATCCCCTCCGCCTAGCCTCGGCAGGCCACACTTGACCCTTTCGACGCGCATGAACGACCAAGAACCTCCCGCCATAAATGTTCAACACTCGAGTCCCTTGCCACATGCGGAACCAGCTTCGCAGTCTACGTCGGACAGCGAGGCTGAAGATCCCCTTTTGTCTTCTGGCATGAGGACACCGGCTCGTGGACCGAGCAGCGGATCGTCCACTCTGGAAACGGTACAGGAGATTAGTCAACCCAATACACCAGGACTGGGAGACGATACTACGACCGACAAGCTCGCTGAGACTACTACGGATAGTTCTGCCAAACCCAGCCAGAATGCGACAAACAGCGGGAGCGGGAGCGACAGTGGAAGTGTCAAGGCCAATACGAGACGGCCTAATGCTGCCGCGCCGCCGCCTGCACTCCACAACAGGCAATCCAGTTCGGCGCTCAAATTTGGCGGCAGGGGGCAAACATCCGGCGAGAGCTCGTCAAGGAATATGACTGTTGAGGAAGAGGCAGTCAGAAGCATTCCGCAGACGTCATTAGTTCCCAACGTGGGCGGCCAGGGAGTTAACGGTAGCTTGAGAACAAGACCGAGCACAGAGACCATAAAACCAAGGAAGGAAAAGAAGAAGCATAACAGAAAACCAACATCTGTTGCGTCGGGCAATGGTGAGCCATCTTATCTCATTCCGACAAACAAGCTTCGCCATAGTGTCTCGGCAAGATCAATCTCTCCCACATCTTGCCGTTCGCCAACAAACCCACACGGTCAAGGATCGTGGGTTGAAGAAGCCATGTTCAGTCCCCGGCAGCAGAACAAGCAGCCGGCGACTCGAACGCCAAGTATCACAGCACACATGACCAGCTTGCTAACAGGAGGACCTCGTCCAGCATCCTCAAAAGCAGATATCTTCGAGGCTAAAGTAGCCAGCGCGGTAGAGGAGGCCAATTCTTCTGACTCGGATGAGACATTTGTCTACGACTCAAACCCGCCCGAAGTAGGCGACCGCCCCCGTCGTTACCATTCGCGCACGCCCAGTGCCACGTCTATGGTCAGCCAAGTCGACCGCAATAACCTGCGAAGTATCCACGGTGTGCTAGAGGGCAACGCGCACAATCTCCCAGTCAAGAAGAATATGAAATTTGTGAACACTTACAATAGTAACGGAAACGACAGCGTTCATGGTGAAGATGACGGCAGAGGGACAGCCCGGAGCAATGCTGGTTCTGCCCGAGGAACGGCACGTCACCACCACCATCATCCCCGTTGGGGTCGTAACAATGGCAACAATCATACGTCAATATTCGACAACGAGTCGCCCTTTCCCAACGCAGCAAGATCCAAGTTCAGCGGCAATACCTCTAGGCAGTCATCCAACCCTTCCAGTCCTCGATTCAACAACTCCGGTCGGGCCTGGATGTCCAGCAGTAAAAGACAGATGACGTCGGTCGGCGGTTACGACTTGGACGACACGACGACGACTGGGGCCGACGATGAGAGGACTCCCCTTCTTCCAACCGGTGTGGCTCGATCTATTCGGTCCAACCGAAGCAGGCGTGCTCCACTCTCGCGAAATTTGGAGGCCCAGACATACCGGCGCACCCCGTCGTTCCTCAACCGCTTTGCCAGCTGCCTGGTCCTCACAGTGATGCTACTTCTTGTCATCTCAGGGGCTATCGGGTTCATGTTTGCGACATCCCAGCCGCTCACCGACATCAAGCTCGTGAAGATCGGCAATGTCCTTGCTAGCGAGCAAGAACTGATGATGGACCTCACCGTCAGAGCGCATAATCCCAACGTGGTCGTTGTCATGATCGACTCGGCGGACCTTGAGGTATTTGCCAAATCTCCACACGCAGGCACCGACTCAGAATGGTGGCGCCACCCTCATAGAGACGACTTTGGGATTTCAGACGATCCGCAGGATGACCCACCGGACTTGGGTGACCCTTCCGACGACGATAAAGCACCCAACATGCGGCTTGGCAACATACTCTCGTTTGATAGTCCGTTGACATACGAGGGCTCATTCTTTCAGTCCGGCATATCTACTTCCACCGGCGAATTGCGTCTAGCCCATCCCGGCAATGGTACTGACAGCGGGACCGAGCGATGGGAACGCATAATCTCCGACGACTTCATTCTCATCGTCAAAGGTGTGATAAAGTACACACTCCCTCTCAGTCAGAGGGTCAGAAGTGTCGCGATTTCGGGCAAAGCTACCGTCAAGCCCAACTCGGCGAATGATCCATCCCTTCAACCTAACAGGACAGAAGTGGGAATTTACTGATGACAAGACATTTGGGCGAACCAGCCCTTTCTTCTCCTTCCATTTGTGCCTTTCCCTGATTCTGTATATTGAGCGAGCATGGCAGGGCATTGCAGGAGCTTTTGGCGTTGGATTCACCCCTACCACCAGGTGCAACAAGAGAGCGCAATCTTGGGTTACGGGTCGCAGGCCTTCGGAATTTCCATCTGTTATTCATCATTTCTTCGCATTTCATTTTCCCCAGTTGGCATGAATGGGTGCTTATGCTTCAACAAAGTGGTAGAGTCAGTGGGTAAATATTGACTACGCACAATTGCATGGATGGAGACATAAAATAGCATCCCTCGAGAGGGAGGACTTTGGCAGCCCCCTGTTTCTCCTCATCAAGCGGACGGCATCTGGCATTCGGAAGAAAGCGTTTATGCGCATATTGACTTTAGATGGAGTGTGGCAACTACTACGATTACTGTCTTGAACAGATACCCAAAGAGGCGGGTTTGCATTTGTACTTGTAACGGCTTACGAACGACCCCCTGCAACCAGAGAGACATTACCATGCTGGGTTGTTACTGCCCGAGCGCTTTGCATCGGCAGGGACGAGGTCAGCTGGCTATTTAGCTAAAGAAGAGACTGTCGATAAATATGTATGTGTGACTGATATTGACAGTGCATGACCGAACTGCGTTCCAATACGTCGCGAATCATGTGTGGCGTGATCTGGCGAGCTATTACTTATCAATCGTTTGATTTCTTCGGCGTCACGATCACTCAGTGCCTGCCCAGCATCTAAACGTCTAGAGAGGTTGTCATTTTGGCTTTAGGGGCAAGCAGTCTTCGGCTAGTCCCTGGCCTATGAGACAGCACTCTTTTGCTTGAGTGCTCAGATATGCGCGATGAGATGATCTGAGCAGTCCTATGCCTACTAGGTACTTACTCAGCAGAAACCGGTGGGCTTTGACGGCCGAGTGCTCTTTCTGCCTTTGACTTTCTCGGTATCTTCGCGGAGCGTGCATACATTTGGTGGCATATTTGGATTGGAGGCGAACCGCGTGCGGTGGTCCTACGCGTAGGAAAAGGGGTTGTCGGCAGAGCATACATAGACGGATGGCACACACTCGAGAACCCCATGTCGCCGACTCCGTTGCCCGGCGTCCTCGGTCTGTGCTGCTGCTGCGTTGATCTGGTCGGCCTTCACTGCTTCTGCGTGTCTTACCGGTCCGAGCCCCCATAATTCGAGGGGTTTTCTCTCTCTCCAGGCTTGATCATCCCTGCGTTGTTTGTGGCTTGATGAGATTCTAGTTATACAATGGTGACGGTTTCTCGGGGACCGGTTGGGTATGTGTCGGCGTGCTGGCTGGGGTCACACGTTCTACCTGTACTCTTCTTGGCACCTCAGCATGGAGGGCACATCCGTGGGATTTCCAGTTGCATTCCAAATACATTCCAAAACATTGAGCGTAAGCTCTCAAGCTAAGCATGATATATGCATGTACAGGTCCCCCTCATTATACAATGTGCTGTCCACCCAGGTCTGCCCACACTTGCTGAAGAAGTGTCGCTCCGGAATTATGCGGATCTTGGGTCGTGTTCATCCGAGAATCTTCGACACTCGATCGGTAGTAAGAGGCCCCTGTGGTACTGCGATTCTAGGAGCAGGCAACGTATAGGTTGAGCGCCGAGTCGGCACCAATATATATGCTGTGGGAACATCGTGGCGCTGTCTCCATGTGGTCGTCCTGATTATGATATCTTTCCGTCATATAAGCATCAAGACCGAACCTTCGGGGTATCTTCAAGCTAGGGCATGAGCGTTACACCATTTAAGATCCACGGAATACCGAAGCGCGCGCATCAGCTCTGTCCTGATAACAACCTGGACAACCGTCGAAGAGCTTCGGCGGCCTCTCATCTGTCTGGATGAGTTCGTCACGGAGACCGTGGTCCTCCTGCCCACCCCGTTTGATCATATCCACCATATCATACTTTCAGTCCGCCCATTGCTTCTGGGGCTCGCGGCCCTCGATCAGATTCCGCAGATTCAACCGCGTGCTGTACAATATATTCTCCGTAGTCCCGACCTCCCGCACCTCCTCCGGGTCAAACTCGAGTATGTCCGAGTCGTGGCTCACCCTGCCCCTCGGCCGGTGGTGCATGAACAGTCCCGGTACGAGGCTGATGCAGCGGATGCCCAGTGGCTTGTCGCGACACAGGTCGCTCATGTGGAAGTCGAAGACGGTGGGCTGGTCCTCGACGCCCAGGTACAGCAGCGCCTTGCGGGCGCCCTCGCGGCTCAGCGCGTATGCGAATGAGCAGATGGTGTCGTGGTCCGGCACGTAGACGATGCGCGAATGCTCCGGATACTCGTCCCACGCGAAGGTGTCGTTCTGCCCCAGCCGGTGGCGCGGCGCCACCGTAGGATCGTTGCGCAGCAGCACCTTGGGCTCGCTCTGCTCGCGGTTGAACCGCGTGAGGCACGCGCCGATCCACAGCAGGTCCCAGTCCTGTCCGTACGGGCTGGGGTCCGGGTGCAGCGTGGACTTGGGAAAGTCGGCCTGCAGCGTTTTGGCGGCCTCGGCGAACTGCGAGAGCTGCGGCTTGAGGGATACGTCCCAGTCGACGTCGTCCTCTAGGATCAGCGCGGATGAGAGGTCGTCTTCTACTATGCTTCGGATGGCGTTGATGTGGCCTCGCCAGGATCCGAGATTGGCTTCGGGCCATTGTGTCCGGTCCCAGCCCTAGAGGTGTCGTGAGCTGCTTGAACGGGAGAGGGATATGGTACGTGGCTTACAAACGGGACGGCCTTGTCCGGGACCGCCGGGCCCAGCACGCCGTCCACCCAGCTGATCTTGAATCCAGTGAGCGCAGACATCAAGCTCAGGTTGTCGCGTTTGTCAGCCCGGTCAGGCAGGTTGAGCCCTATGACTTTTTCGAACTATGGACCATATCGAAATCAACAGTCAGCCGTCGTCATGTCTTGAAGAAGGCGCCCAGCCAGCCGTATGTGAAGCTAGGCCAGCGGGACTCAAGGGTTTATATCCGACTTACACCCAGGGTCGAGTTGAAGACATCCGAGGTATTCGTGCTCTCGCGCACCGAACTCGCTTCTGGCGCTTTGTGTGCAATATCTGATGAACGATTCGCCTCAAAAGCCGCGGGCTTCAGCACCCTGCTGCTGAATGAATCGCTGAATGGACCGCCGACATAGTAAGCCCAGTGCAGTAGACTGAAAAAGATGCCAACGAGTAGTATCGACCTCCAGACCGGAGGACTGTGATTCATTACGCCCATGTTCGTCGCTAGTCGTGAGAAGATGATGGGATACGCGTCAATCTAGTTAGAGTACCATATGCTGATATGCCTTTCTGGTCACTTTCAAGCCATGATAAAGTCGGTTCCGGATAGTAGACTTGCGAAGATATCGTGCTTTCCCTAAGCGAAAAGGGAGAAGCAGAAGCGGTTCCTCAGCATGGGTCGGGAGTCTTCCATATTAATACATGGCGAGAACAGCCGTGCCCTGCCGTACGACTACAGGTAATTGTCTTGTTTGCGACACGCTAGGAATAGGAGGAATCCTATCATGTCTATTATGGGGATCTAAACATGGGATTATGTGGTTTGTTGCTGCTGCTAGGGGATGGTAACCTATCAATGCCCATACCGCCTTTCCGAAGCAAGTTTGCTCCATCCCCCGACAAACTTCTGCGGACATCAATGCTTGTTGTTTAGATTTCTTAGAAGTAGGGAATGCAATCATACCGGAGGTCGACTGTGAGGTTCGACTGCAGGTGTGGTACACGCCGTAGCAGAGTTGCTCGAAGAAGCGATATGTGGCTGGGTGGTGGTGTTTTGGAGCCATGACCATGCATAATCCTCGCATGCTAATAATAAATGGAAGCGGCAGGGGGGTGAGTGAATCCCTTCAGATGCAGACAAGGCTTCTATATCCACAGCTAAGAGGAGGCACAGTGTGAGTTCTCTGTTCCTTGGGTACGATCAGCTAATATGTATTGCATTCACTGTAACCCTCTGATAGAGAGTACTGGCTTCTATTTATACCGAACCTTGAGTATCGAGCCAAACCAGCTGTCATGGGAAGTGGAAATGGAAGTGGAATGGGACTGGAGCCGGTACTGCCGTACTGGACCGGCACTCGAAGTGGAACTTTAACATCCCAATGCCGGAATGTCACGTCGACTGAGAAGTCGTGACGGCCTCGCTCCCGGGACCTTCAGTAATAAGGCCTCCAGCTGGGAATCGATCGTGCCTTATCACCTAAGCAAGAGGCCTCAATAAGTTCCATCTCGTCAATTGGGGGCCAAATTCCACTTCCGCTTTCTGCCTTGTCGGAGCGCTAAGTCGAAACACGCATGATGCAGGGTCTCCCTCCTGCGACACGACGTTGCCCGGCTTCGCCTCGTCGTCAGTGGTCAGAATATGTACAACTATACTCGAGGCTCTGGGGTCGGTGTGCTTTGCTGGTCAGCATATCCACACCCGCCCTCTCATGAGCATTCAGAAAGATAATATTGTCACACATATAAATACTAGACGAAGCGCCTCATAAGTTACACCAAGTTTGGAAAAAAACAGTGCAGCAGTCGATTTCCCATGAACCCAGCTCCCGACGATGGACACCTCGAACCTAGTAGCCGCCTGGCTATCCTTCGCCGCGACGGCGGTCGGTCTCGGCGGCCTGATCACGCAGGCGAGCGCCATCAACGACAGGCTGGACCCGTTCCACGCCAACCGCACCGCCGAATACCTCGGCGTCTGGTTCCGGCGGCAGCAGAGGTTCCCCTGGTGGCGCATCGCGAGGCCGCCGCCGCTGGGCCCGGTCATCACCGCGAAGCTGTCCGACGGCTTCTGTGGTGTTAATCACATCCACATCACGCGTATCCCGCTGGCGGCGGCGGGGAAGGCGGGCTGGTCGCTGATCCTGGCCATGTTCAACTCAGAGGCTCCCGTGCGTCCCGGACCGGCGGACGGGGATCAGGCGGAGAAGGCGGTGGTGCTGGAGACGAGCTCGGGGAGTGGTGATGTTGATGGTGGCAGGGAAAGCAGGGCTAGTAATAGCAGTGACAGCAGTGGCAGCAGTGTCCCCGTGTGCGCGATGTGGGATTTTCTGCCCCGGAAGGCACTCACGCGCCATAATAGGAGCGCGTGTGTAATGATTTCGCGGACGACGCTCATCACGATGCTGGTCATGACGAATGCGCGGCCCGTCTTCCAGTACAGTGATGCGACGGGGGTCCGGGCGGGCTATGCGTCGTATTGCGGGCAATGGTGTGAGTGCACTCAGTCGCTCAGACACTGACTGTCATAATTTGAAGAAATGGAGTTAACAGGATACTGACAAATCTCACAGACATCACGTGGCCCATCGGCGAGGAAGCCATCATCAAATTCGCCGCCCACGACTCCATCGGCACCAGCGAGGTCCTGCCCCGCAGCTTCGTGCAGCGCGTCGACCGCTGCGGCCAGATGATATCCGGCATGATATGTGCCCCGGCCTCGGACCTCAAAGTCGCCTTCTGCGGCCGCAAGCCCCCGGGTGTCTACAGGCTGGAACATCTCGTCAAGGGGTTCCAGGGCGCCCACGGCAGCCGCCACCTATACAACATGATGGGCGGCAAGGCGTATGACGTGGACTTCATGTTCGCGCGGCCATCGTCCTCGGAGGCCATCTCGGACCACGAAGACGGGGTTGTCGTGCTCGAACTGCTAAGTAGCACGGACATGAAGAAAAGCATGGCCGGATCTATGAAGATGGTTGTCCCCGCGCCCGAGCAGGCCGTCCTCAGACACGCGCTTGACTGTCTGCCCTGGACCTCGCTGTCCTGGAGCATGCACCGTGGCATGCGCGATGTTTTGCTCGCATACGCAAAGCCCGTCATGGACGCCCACAGATCGCAGCTAGCGGCGCAGCTGCGCCGGACGGTCGCCGAGAGGGCGGACGCCCTGCGCGCGTGGGGCTGGGATGCGCAGTTCGTGCGTGACAACATGGCGCACATGGCCGCGTCGGCCGTGCTGGCTGGCAGTGGGAACTCGGGCGATTCGGTCAGGGTGGTCACGGATATCGTGGCCGTTATGATCGGGGACTGGGATTTCGCGCAGCTAGACGAGGTGTGCTTCTGGAGGCGGTCCGCGGCGGAGGAAGGAGAAGGAGGAACGGAAGCGCAGCAGGGCGAGCTAGATGCGCAGGCGGTGGTTGCGCTGACGAAGGTGTTTGTGCTGGAATGGAGCCAGGAGTTTGATTACCAGATGTATCATGGCCTGCCTATATCGATGTACTTCGGATAGACAGTTGAGAAAGGGGGAGGGTTTTTGACATCTTGTTGAACGAGATACCTCAAAGCGTAGTCGCTTCGCGTAATGGAGTGCCTTAGACTTCAAGGGTGCTGACAGATGAGGAGAAGCTACTTCACTTGAAAAGGGGATAATATATACCTTCACCTATCTGCTAGTGAATATCATAGTGCCCCGTCCCGAGTCCATGAAGCAGGTGGGCAACGTCACATCAGTATCAATACACTCGAATCCCGAATCCAGTTTGGCACATAATACAAGTGATCCATTCCATTTAGCCAACATGTTGGCTCCGGGCTAACGCAACTCAGCAGTTACCAGCTTCAGTATCTCCTCCGTCCCTTTCCCAGCGTTCTTGGGATCCTTGGCGATAGACTGCCAGACCTCGCCATGCCTTGGCTCCACACTTACACACTTGCTGATGACTTCCTCCCTCTTCTCCACGGTTCCGTGTTCCAGCAGGAACTTGTAGTACCACGCCCAGCTGTCTCCCAGATCCAAATCCCGCACCAGGGCCTTCTCGAACCAGTTTTGTGCTTTCTCGAGTCTACGCTCGCCCCAGAAGATACGTCCGACAGCAACGAGCAGCGCGGGGTCGTTGTCGACCTCCTTAATGGCTTCTAGCGCACGAGGCTTCCGCTGGGGCCTAGCCGTCAGATGCCAGATCTTTTCGCTCCATAGAACACCCTGTTCAGGCTTTGGGACATCACGAAGAGCACGCTCCATGAGGGACTCGGCCTGCTTGGTGTTTTGCGCGCGGCGTTCGAGGCGGATCGACTCGCACCATAATTCGGCGGACTTGGGCACGGCAAAGCGCGCACGGTCGAGGACTGAACGAGCTTTGGGCAGCTGACCGAGCTTCTCCTCCAAGCGAGAATAGAGAAGCCAAAGCGGTACTGAGCCTGGCACTGCCTTTACACCGGTGGCGTATGCTTCACGCGCCTGCAGCAACTTGCCCATGTCTTCGTAAATCTGGCCCTTCATCATCCAGAGCTTCGCGTTGGCCGGGAAGAGATTCAGGGCTTGTTGAGCAAGGTCAAGCGCCGCATCGAGGTCATTTAGCTGACGCTCGAAAGCAACACTCTTCATCCACACTCGATCAGTTGGTGCTTCCTGACGGGCTGTCTTCAATAGCCCACGCGCTTGCTCGGTTTGACCGTTCTCAGCCTCGAGCTTGACAGCAGCAAGCCAAATATCTTCGTTATTGGGGTTTTGCTGGAATGCTCTGGCGAGTACCCGACGCGCGTTGTCGACTTCTCCAGCCTGCCACTTCTCCTTTGCGAGCATCATCCATAGCACTTCGCTGCGGGGAACAGCATTGACTGCCTTCTCAAGTACTTGCCACAGATCCTCCTTCGAACCATGACTCCTCTCGAGATCTGCAGCTGCCAACCATACCGTTTTGCTCGTTGGGAAGACTCGAAGTGTATATGCGTAGATAGCCCGGGCTGTCTCGTACATACCCCGGTTGATACTCCCACGAGCATCCTCTAACCAGGTGTCCTTTCGATCGTCGTCTTCGTCCAGGCCATAGCCAAGGGTTTCCCGAATGATTGCACCACAGGTGATGATGGCACCCCCTTGTTCGCACTTCTCTGCTTCCGCTATCCATTCGTCCCGTTTCGGCATGGCCGCCTCTTTTACCAAGACCTGTGCGGCACGCTTCATGACATTGACCTTTTCGCCCTGACCCAGCTGCTCCTGCAATCTCGCAGCCGCTATCCAGATTTCATAAGATGTTGGACAGTGCTTGCGAGCTTTATTCAACACCTTTTGCGCGTTCTCTGGGTTCTCCAAGTGAGCTAATGCCAGCCAGAGATCGACGGATAGTGGGATGAGCTCGGTAGCCTTCGCGAGGAGCAGTCTCGCATCATCGGGGTCTTCTTCCAGATTGACAGCTTCTTTCCAGAGAGCCTCCGATTCGGGGATGTGGTCCAGTGCGTGTCGGATCACGCGCTTCTTAGACCGCACATCGTCCTCAAGCTTCATCGCCTCAACCCACAAGCGCACCGAACGGTTGTTCTTCTGGATGGCCTTGGCAGCGATGATCTTGGCGTTACGCTGGTCGTTCATCCGGATGTTCTCAAGCCACACGTCTTCACTCTTGGGGCAATGCTCACACCCACGAGCTATGATGTTCCGTGCAGCCACTATCTTTCCGGCGAACTCTTCCAGACGAGCCGCAGCGACCCAGCCAGGGCCTGTGGTGGGGTTGGTCTTCGTGACCGAGTCGAGAAGCTCCCGTACTCTGTTGATGTCACCGACCTGGGCAGCACTGTTGGGCAGTTGCGACTTTGCGAGACTGGTCAGGTAGCCTTTGGGATCGACACTGCTCGCACTCCCCGAGGTCGTATTGGTTCCGTTCTGAGAGGCCTGGTCAAGCCTGACCTGGAGCACCTTGTCTCTGGCTTGTCCGATCTTGGCAAAGTTGGTCATGGTCCCGTCCTGGGTGCTCGAGGCACCATTCGAGGCACCATTTGAAGCGCCACCGTCATCTGCAACAGTGGTCCCCAGCTCGCCTGCGCTTCCAGCAGCGGCTAGTACGCTGTCGGGCACGGCGTAGAATCGCTGTCGTCTCGCTTCCTTGCTCCGCCGGTTCTTCCCTGTAAGGTCCCCAACCTCGGGCAGGGCAGCCCATTCTTCCTCGGTGATGCTTTCCAGGCCACGCTTCAAGTCGGCGAATTGCTGTTGAATCTTTGGGTTCTTGCGTTCGTATTCCTCTTGTTCGGCTTGTTCGCGGGCTTCCCTATCCGTATAAAACTCGTCGGTAATCTGGTCTACTACTTTTTGGGATGAACTGTGAACTGGCTGGGGCAGTGATAGGACAAGGAGGGGGTACTAACCTTCTGGCTCTGCGACGTTTATCCATCTTCTCGTCTATCTCCCGATAGATGCGATCGGCCTCGTCATCATCCTTGTCGTAGACTCCTCCGGCAAACAGTCCGACCTCGTTATCGGGATCTTGGTAACGGGCGTCGTCGTTGTCGTTCTCGTCGTCCTTCTTTTTAACTCCAGCAGCGTCGCCGAAGCCTAGCTGGGCAGCTCTCTTGGCCAGAGCCTCCTTGATCTGGTCTTCGGAGGGCCCTTCTCTCGCGGGACCTAAGTCGGAACGGGTCGTGAAACCTGTCGCGCCGCGTCCCAAGCCAGCCACATAGTTCTCTGGCGCCGGTTGCGACAGGAAATCGCGTCGGCCGGTCATGGTGAAGTCGTAGGCAGGTGTCGTCTAATCGAGGAGGGAGCTTTGACAGATTTGAGCACGAACGAGAGCACATGCGACAGGCTGCACCTGAGAAAGATGTGTCTGACTGATGTCGGTGTCCCGTATGTGTTGGCCGAGGTCGGAAAGCCGCGAAGGTAAGGTGTGAAAGTTATGAAAGTTGATAAAATGCAATAGAAAACAGTACGCAGCTGCGACATACGGGTACCCGCCAGCCTGCAGCCTGCGCTCTAAACTTTAAAAGCAGCTGGTACTGATAAGATAAGACATTGCAACTGCACTTGCACTTGCTGCCATCGTGCCCCTCCAAAATTTGTCCTCGCCGCCTTACACCACGCCATCTTGATCTGCAACTTCAAGGCCGAGCAATAATCATGGGTAAAGCCAAGTCGTCAAAGCAGGGCGGCGCGAAGGGCCCCTATGACCGCCCGAGCAAAAGTCCCGCCGCCAACAATGTTTTCAAGTTCAGCAAGGATTTTGGGCAAGTACCGCATCCGCTTCTACTAGAAGGACTTCCACTAATATAGTATTACAGCCAACATATCCGTGAGCAAAATCTAGCCTTTCTGGCCCCTCTCCACCAAGTGTGGTGCTGACCTGGCTACAGTCAAGAACCCCGGTATTGCAGAGGCCATAGTGCAAAAGGCGTATCTTAAACCTCAGGATGTAGTCCTCGAGGTATGACAACGCCTTTTCATGAGTTCCATGCCGGCCGAACTTCTTGAGCTGACACGCAGTAGGTTGGGCCCGGTACTGGAAACTTGACTGTCAAGATCCTAGGTCAGTCATTTCGTAGATCTCGGGTCAGGCCAGGAACTGACATCTCACAGAGCAAGCCCGAAAGGTTATCGTGAGTTCACCTATTTAAGATCTCGCGGAAGCACCTTGTCGACGCATGCGCTCACAGAATTCTGTCCCAAGGCCGTGGAGATGGATCCGCGTATGGCGGCTGAGACTACCAAGAGAGGTGAGTAGAATACTGGCATCTTCAGAGACGCGAAACTGATTCAGGAGTAGTCCAGGGGAAGCCTGAAGCGAAACGCCTCGAAGTCATCCTTGGAGACGTCATCAAACAAGATCCCCTGCCGCGTGAGTACCTTCTAAGATTATTGTGAAATGCTGGAGAAGGAGTACTGATATTCATCCTAGAGTTCGACGTTTGTATCAGCAATACGCCTTACCAGGCAAGTAATCCCTTCGTCTATCATCTTGAAGGTGGCCTCAATGCATAGTCCAACCCGGACACCGCCTTCGCCTTGCCACCGCCCATAGCTAACACTCACCTACAGATCTCCTCGCCTTTGGTCTTCAAACTCCTCAGCCTTCCGTAAGTCACACTAGAAGTCATCAGTTCCTCTCTTTGTTACGCCCGAGGCTGCTTCCACCTAGACATTGCTCGCTCATTTTCAACTTTTGGTTTATTTATGGCTCTGCCCGATTCTCACAAAGGAGCCAAGACTAACTCAAGAGGTCGTAGGAACCCGCCACGAACTTGCGTACTGAGTACGCAGCACTATCTACCCCTATTTTATCTGCTTCTGAGCTCGACCCTCCTCGGCAATCCTGGTTGTTAGCCAGTGCTTTTACGCGAGGTCTTTTTTTATGCTTGGTGCAGGAGATGGATGGCTGACTCTTAACTTATCAGTGTTTCAACGTGAATTTGCCTTACGATTGGTGAGCCCCCCTCCGCGTCTTCAACGTGCGGAACCCACTACAATGTTCTGTGAGAATGCTGACAGTTCCTATAGTAAGTGAAGTCATAGTCGATATTCTAGCAGACGCAGCATCTTAACTTGTGATAGGACTGCTCGCCCTGGAGATGCCTTGTACTGCCGCCTGTCAGTAAATGCCCAGTTCTGGGCCCGTAAGTTACCTCAATCTTGAACCATGGATCGGGCGTCCACGCTGACCCAGACTCCAGGAATCACGCATGTTCTTGTACGTCAGATCTCGAATTACGCTGGTATCACTCAGTGCCACTATAGGCTTCATCAACCAGCAGTCACTAACCCTATTTGTTACAGAAAGTAGGCAGAGCCAACTTCCGTCCTCCTCCGCAGGTCGACTCTAGTGTTGTGAGAATCGAGCCAAAGACTGGAAGCGAGAGACCGAACATCAGCTTTGAAGAGTGGGATGGCATGGTGAGTAAATTTATGTTCTCTCCAACCTTCCCCTCTATATGTATGTTCTGGCCTGGTTCATAGTACCAGTAGAACCCCTTGAACCCCTTGAACCCAGCCTCTTCAATAATGTAGCAGTAACGACTGACTCTGAGACAGCTGCGCATCTGCTTTGGACGCAAGAACCGGACTCTCAGAGCTTCTTGGCTCGGCAAAGAAGTTCTGTCTATGCTGGAGCGAAACTACCGCCTGTACTGCGCACAACACGACATAGTGCTGGACGACAGCATCATTGATGACCAGGAGGATGACGGAGATGATATGGAGGTCGATGACAACGTGGCACCAGGTGCCGGAGACGAAGCAGAGGAATGGGGCGGCTTCATGGACGTCGATGGCGCCGCGAACGACACGCCCTCCTTCTTCTCCGAGCTGAAGAAAGCGGGCAGCGAGGTCCCAAAGACCAAGAGCAAACGGAGCAAGACCCGAGTCGCCCTTCTCATCAAGACAAAGGTTCTCAAGGTGCTCGAGGATCTCGACCTCGCGGACAAGAGAAGTGGGAAGTGCGATGAGAACGACTTCCTTCGACTACTGTGAGTTCGGTTCGGATGCTTCGAATAGATATTGGCAGAACGCAACTGACATAAACAAGGGCGGCATTCAACGCGGAGTCATTGCACTTCTCTTAGGTGCCAGAACTAGAGAAGCAGTCATGGATTAGGGAAGATCGGTGCTCGAGGTTTACACTTATGACTTCTGATGAGCAGATTTTTGCTGGGGTTCAAGGCTCAGAGGACGATGGAGTTCTGGCGTTGTTAGGAAGGCTACACAAAAGAAGCGGTGATATACCCAGCTGTAGATACTGTAGAGAAAATTGATGAGAGTCCATAACTCAGTATCTGCCTACAAGCAAGGTTTTAGATGTAACGATGAGAATGCGCGACGACACACAGCACAGTACACATGGGGCCCGGACGTGCAAAACCACACGATTGCGAAACAAGTCAAGCTCTCGGAAACCGTCAAGTGGGTAGTATTGGGAGAGTGTGGCAGATATAGACATTAATCGTACAGGATAACTCGTTCAGCCATGCAGAACACCCTTCTTTTAAGAACCCCAGCCGGACTCTTGTTATTAATTGTCGTCCAGACACATCGGTTCGCATTACTTCCCGCCAAACCAGCTCGAGACACCGCTCTTCGCCTTGGCCGCCTCAGCCTCGACCTTGTTGTCGAATTGGTCGATCTTCTTCAACGTAGAGGCCTTGGCGTCCTTTGCGTACGCCTCGGCTTCGATCTTGGCCTTTTGCAGCTCAGCCTGCGTCTTGCCGACCTGTTGGAGGGGAGGAATCAATTAGTTCTCTATTTGAAGTACGGTGCACTTCCGAAGAGGAGGGCTGGAGGGAGAGCGAGGGCGCGTGAGCAGGAGTCGGGTAACTTACAGCGCTGTCCACCTTGGCACCTGCCTGTGCGGCGTATTTCTCGGCGTCCTTCTCATACTCCTTGCTGCGTCCCGGGATCTCGCCCTTGAACTTGGCGGAGAGCTTGTGTGCGTCGGCTGTGGTTGGTTCGTCGTCAGTATACTGAGGGTGGCCTACGGCTGCTGCGATTGGGATGGGAGGGGTGGGATGGGAAAGACATACCCTCGGCCTGCTTCTGGGCGACCTTGGTGTTGCCTCCGGCGCTGTAGAGGTAGTAGCCAATACCGGTGACGGCGGTGGCGCCGAGGATGACGGGTACTCTGGATCGCGACATGGTTGTGATGGATGTGCGTGTGTGTTGTATGTAGAGGTGGTTGGAGGAGTGGTAAGCTTGGAGTGTCACGAGAATAGGTTGAAGTTGAGAGGTATAATTCACTCAGGAACAAGGAAAGCACTTTCGCGAGGAGGGAGGGGGTTTCATTAAATGTGATGGCATTCTTGTTGGCCAACTTCCCTGCAACGGTGTGAACCCCAGCTGGCAGCAGCAGGAGCTCCTGCTCCTCACCTCGTGATTCGCCTGCAGCGCCTGAGCGCCTGCATCATTGCAGCACGCGACGGGAGGTTGGCTACCTACAGGCCTATGATACATGACGTAACGTGCGCCAAATGCGGGGGAGTAAGGTATCGGCGCACGGCCCAGGACAACCTAGCTCTGCTAAACATCAGAGGGACCTCGCAGGAAAGGGTGAAGGAGTGAAACCTGCTGCTCTGAAGCTGTCCATCTCATGTACACTCGAAGTACAGCAGCCTTAAAGTGATTCTACCACCGGGTCCAAGCTTGGATCATTGATGAGAGAAAGGCCCGCGCCATTACCTTAGAAATCATTTCATGATTTCAGCCTGCTGGAATCCCTGCTTCAGATCAGCTCTCTGGCAGTTCCTCGGATTCTCGAATTACATCATTCGAGCAGGTTGGAAGCATCGCGACCTTTCGAACCAGAGGGCATTCATGCCAGGAACGAATACCTTCCAGTTCTGTCGACCGTACAGCCGTAAGGCAGGTTCATAACCGGCAACAGTCACCATGATACAGCTTATGTAACATTTCAAGGTTGCTGAGTTGCTCTGCATTGGTGGAAGTGTCGTTCCAAGTTAAGGTACCTCTTCAGTTGGGTTGTACCTAGTAGGTAGCGTCCTCCGTCATCATCGATGCTTAGCTCTCCCGCCTGCCATCCTAACTTCCAATTTTCAGGGTTTCTGGGCCACGACGGCCCAGTCCACTGGCTATAGCCGCCGACCTCGTTTCCCCTATTCTCTCTTCACCAGAGTCACTACGCTGTAAAGCTGCAAAGCTGCAGTTCGGACATAATATAATCCATAACAGTTCGAACTCACTACTATCCCGGCACTTGCTCGCAGCCTCACAAATCCATGGCCGCCGACCAAGTTGGGTGACATCTACCTATAGGTTTGTGGCAGTAGCTTCCCATTATGCCGACTTCGACGAGCTTCAGCCATGCCCAATTTCCGCAGCTCCCGTCGCGCGCCTCAGCTGAAAGACAACGAGATCGACCACGCCATAGACCTCGTTGACCATGATAACTCGATACCCGTCGATGACGCTCGATCCTTGAGTGTCGTCACAGCCAACACTGCCGACCTGTCTGCTTCGGGGCAGCCCCTTATATCCCCCGACTCGAGAGCACCCCTCATCCAAACCTCTGAAGGAGATCCTGTACACGTATCGGACGATGCGGGAACCGACGCCGGCCCTTCTGACGGACAGGACATAGCCCAGCCCGCTACAAACGAAGCCGAGTCATCGAGCGCAAGGAAAGAAACAATATCGGCTCAGAGGCCTCTGTCCAAGGCTTTCAGTAGCAGAAGCAAGCGGGTTTCCCAACATCACCCCCACACGTCGAAAGAGCACGAAACTGCAATCGATATCCTGTTCGAAAACGAGCGCGGGGCCTTCCTCTGTGGCCGGCCTCTCTTCTCTTCCGCTGCGCTGGGGAACCTGGATCCCCCACCATGGACCAACTTTGCCCACAAGCCCAGCCCTACCGACATACACAACGCCCAAGTCCCTGACCCGAGTTGGGAATGGGTCTGGCCCGAATGGCGCATCAATCGAGACGAAATGATCGAGTTGGATGACGACGGTTGGGAATACTCCTTCATGTTTTCGAAGTGGTTCTCATGGCATGGACCCAAGTGGTACAGTTCATACGTGCGAAGGAGGGCTTGGACCAGGAGACGAGTCAAAAAGGGCTTCGGCTATCAGGCGATCGACGAGCATTTCATGAATACCGATTACTTCACAGTCACTTCCCCGCGGCAGAAGCATCGCAGTACTGTTGCGATCGCTGCCCAAGTCGAGCAGGCAAATGTTGGCCAGCAATCCCGGGCGTCGCAAGAGCTGGGCCTGACTATCCAAAAGATGCTCCAGGAGGATGACGACAAAGCTTATGCCAAGGTGGTCGTGAAGACTGCCGATGATCTTGTGCCGGTTCTCAGGCTGTCACGCATCGACCGAGAGAAGCTCGAGGCGGTCGAAAACTACATTGAGAACACGGCAGATGAATTGCTGAAATTGCAAGACTACATGCATGAGATCATGTCCATCTTCGTGTTCCAGTCCTCTCGAAAGTTGTTGCTCACCCGACTCATACAGCTCCACGATGAAGTGGTAGAGAAGCAAAGGAAAGGGGAATCACGCGAGACGCAGAAGATGGCCGAGAACCTTTCTGGTGCTATTCGGCACGCTGACGAGGAAGTACGACGTCTAGAATACTGGAGCGATATCAAAGGGATGGCAGAGAATGGCGAGTCCGGGGGTGCCGTGGATCGCGTCAAGGGATGGGATCATGGTTGGGAAGGTCTCGACAACAGTGGTGCCAAGGGCGTCCCAGGAGGAGAAGCGACCTTACCATGAGTGGTTCATGAGGGCGGCTACGTTTATAATTACGCATGGGATACGGAGTAGCATGTTCTTCTGGGATACCCTTCAACCGCGGCTAATAAGTGGGCAGATGATATATTGACCGCAGCCATTATTCAATATGCACAAGCTTCTAGAACCTTGACATCACCCGGTCCTCTGAAGGTTCCCCCCACGCAGTATTGAATCTGCGCGATGTCGGAACCGGTGGTCATGAATGGCTAGGCCGGAACGCCAAATAATAACATGTGCCAACGAGCACGATTCTGCTGCCCAGGTGATCCGGCCGTGTTACTTCCCACAGCTACATATTACACCCTTGTTTATCCCATGTCATTGCCTGCTCGATTCGGGTGGGCAGTTCGCGCGCTTTGGACGACAGAAAGCTGTCACCCCCGGCTACCTACTCATTGGGCTACCCGATGTGACCCTACCCATCTTCGGATACGACGCCAGTTACATACATATCGACTGATACTGCAGCCTTTTCAATAGTACGTCTATTCGGTCAGATAAAGTTGATGATCGCCAGCTACGATCGATTGCCCGCCTGCTCGAGACCAATGGTGGCCCTGCGTAGACAGGGCACAGGCAGGGGCTGAGTGTGCCAGCAGGGCACTAGACCACACGATACATAGTCGCGAAAAAGGAACCGCCCACCGAAGCAACACCACAAATCCGTACTATCCGGGCCCGAAGCCCGCCGGTCTATGGCTTTCTGACCATTCCTTCTTAAGAGAGTATTGCGTCGCTGTCAAGAACTGAAATGAAGCCTCCCACCTGTGTTCCTTCTGTACTAGATTGGCCAGGGAAACTCGACGGCAAGATGGCAGCTACCATGTCATCCTCCTTGGGGGCAAGGCTCGGATGGCCTTCGGCGGAGGCTTCATCCTCGCAAGTTCCGTCGGCGAGCAACTCTGACAAGGGCAACGGCAATAGCATGGCAGCGCCTAAGCCGTGGGCAGACGAGCCGTGGCCGCTCATCGAGACTCCTTCCAATACTCAAGTCGTATGTCTCCTCATGGGCCCAGTCCCCTCCCATCCCCTCCCATCCCATCCCATCCCATCCCCTTTCACTGTAATTATGGGCCAGCTTTCGCCTCATCCCTGACGATACTGACCTGAAGTTACCAGATCACACACCAGGCTATCCACATCGCCAGCGAGGTAGCCAACCTCCACAACACCATGATCCGCGCCCTCAATGCCATCTACCTACAGGCACCGCACGTGTGCCTCCCAGCCGACGTCGCGGACCTGCTCTTCCTGACGCAGAGTTGGAGCCGGTGGGTGTTGGACCATCACAAACTCAAGGAGACGACGATGCTGCCGGGCTTCGAGAGCGCCCTGTCGCTCCCTCCGGGTGCGCTGCGGTCAGGGCGCCGCGACAGCGGAAAGGCCACCGGACAAGGGGACCAGGATGCAGAGGCCTCCGAGGCCGAGCTGGAAGAACTTCTCCAGCACGTGCACGTCTACGCCGTCGAGACGCACGCCGACCCGGCCTCGTACTCGTCGAACGTCCTGCAGAACCGGCTCTCGGTCCTGGCGCGGGTCTTGGTGCCGCACCTGACGCGGCAGGTGCGTCTGATGGCGAGCATGCGCGAACTCTGCGCCAGCGCCGTCGTCACGCGCACGCGCCCGCCGTCTTTCCTCCCGCCCTTCGAAGGCTCCTCATCGACGGCGTATCCGCGCTCCTCGACCTCCTCGGCCCCCTCACCGCTCACCTTGCCGACGCCCGGGTTGTCGGCGCCGGCCTCGTCGGCATCCTCGGTCCGCACGGGCCGCGTGTCGCAGCAGTTCAGGCCCAAGAAGCCGCCCTACGACCCGGCCCTGGCCCTCGCGTGCCCGGCCACGGCCGAGGCCCGCGCCGCGCGCCTGATGTCGGTGTTCGGCTCGGCTGACTGGCAGGCCAGCAACACCATGGACCGCTTCGTCGTGCCGCCCATGGTCGTGCGTCTGCGAGACGCGACGTTCGAGGGCGGCGGGCGCGGCCTCTTCAGTACCGTCGACTACTACCGCGGGAGCGAGAGCCGGAACCAGAGCAGCGTGAATGTGAATGTGAGCGATGCTGGTGCTAGTGCTGCCCTTGATTTGGGGATGGCACCTGGCGGGGCTGGCTTCGGCTTCAGAAGCAGTGATGTTTGGCCCCGCATGTCAGTGCTGACCGTCCATGCGATCGCTGATAAGCTGTCGCCGCGACATGCCGGCGCGTGGCGGTTCTTGCCGTGCGATGTCTGGGGGAAGCCGCGGGAGCTGGCTTTCCTGGAGTAGAAAGGGGGTGGTGATACGAACTTGTTTTGGGGGGTCTGATTGGTGTTGCTGTAACTGCGAGGGGTCGTGTGTGGGATGGTAATGACGACGATGCGAGTTGGTGAGATGCATGGGTTTGTATGCTATCAGAGAGGCTCACCATGGGGTAGACTGCGGCGGCTGTAATGTCGTAGGTGTCCAGATTCGTGGGTACGGGACGTGGTAAAGGGGACACGGCGTTGGTTACGGTATCCTGTTGCATGGCTTGGGGGGACAGGCGGCTTCGGAACACGGAACTGATAGACAATTGCATACCTACCTACCTAACTTATAGATATAATTATACAGCCCGCGCAATAAATTGTATTCCATAATGAGTCGGGTGTTTGTCCGTATAGTCGGGCGTAGACACATCCAGAATGATATATATTGAGGACGTTACATGCCAGGTGTTGTCGACACGAATTGGTCTTTTCCTTCTTTCGTCGGCTGTGGTCGGGTTTTCTTGCTCACCGGAATATAATCATGAAATAGGGGCTTCACAGGAGGCTTACGAGCTGCCTTTTACACGAGTTGCCTTGAATTCGGAGCCCTCAAGGCCTCAATGTGTCGTGGCCGGTTATTTCATGCAGATGGGTTGAACATCTTTTCTAATGCTGCCCATTTTGCGCAGTAACATGTGGTGAATGGGGCAGTCTTGACTCGGTATTCTGACGTGCTTGGATGGAGCTCTGTCTTTGTATTTATCGTTGAAAGCTTGGTCTATGTGGACTTGCTGCACTGGATGCTTAGAAGTCTCCGTCCCAGAACCCCCATGTCAACATGAGGCTGGGGCATTTTGGAATAAGCACGCTGGGATAGGTATCAAGAGCAACGTGGTAATTTAGAATCACTAAGTTCCAGGTTCCTGCTTCCACCAGTTGAACTTTGGAATTTACAGAGAGGCCTTTGAGGGACCGCTGTATATATTCATCCCTTGGCTCGGAGTCAGCTTAAGGATAAGCCATCCCCGACCCCTACAGCCCCTTAAGGTGTTCCGCTTTTTAGACTCAGGGCCTAGTTCATCAGCTTACCTGGATGTAAATCATGAATAATGCACAGTTCAAGGGTATCTACTCCTGTCATCCTATGTTGTAGTCCGCTGACGTGGTCAAGACTACCTGACATGGCTGGCATGCAGCCCCATGCTGTGATGCAATGAGTCAAGGAATACAATAGCAAATTCAAGAGCCCATTCCATACTCTTCATCACGTCCCATCCACCATCTGTCGACACAAATTACTGCCTTTCCCACCCATGGTTTACACGGGCCATCAAAGCATATAGTCGCCGATTTGAGTTCGATGCTTCGTCGTCGTGGTCCACGTTTATGGGTCGGTGAATTAATTCCTTGATTAATGGATCAGATCACGGACCCTAGAAACACCATGACAATATTTATATTATAGGTTCCTTGTTTGCATCGCGGCTGTGTACGAAACGGCGTGTATTTCTTTTGTCTTTTCTCCCTTGGGCCACCCTGGCTCCCCCCGGCCCGCCCCTTTCTGGACAGACACCCTTCTGGCTTATCCCTCCTGCATTCGACCTCCCGTCACTCTGGCTAAGGTTGGTCTTTTCCTTTCGCCTAAGGCTCAATAGAAGTCTAACGTATTTCAACATCAGCTTTCCGCTTTCCATCGGAACATAGACGAACATGAGTGCTGAACATGCTTGCAAGCCCCCTTTCCCGCAGCATTCCCAACTATCCAAGCACCCTCGAGGTTCCAACGGCAGAACGCCATCAATGTAAAAGGCTAACCAGTGCAGCACCATCTCTGGCAAACCCCCGCAAGCCAGGCTAAACTGATAAATAACCACTTCTAGCAAAATTAAGTCAGATTTGTTTAAGCAAAGAGCAAGCTTCACCTTGCCTCCTGATCCCACCCCCTCCACCCCCCAAAAATGAATGGCCGGCCTTACGGAGCGCATGCTAGAACGATACTCACCTCGAACCCTCCTGCCTGCAAGAACACATACGTAGCCAGCTAGAATAACGTCAAGCTCGATGTGGCGGTCAACTGCCGACACTCGACCCTCGTCCGCCGTGATAGCAATACGGGGCACAAAATCCGATGAATCATTCCACGGACATGTACCACACTCATTTAACCGCCGGGCTAACGAACAGTTCATATGATAAGCTAACCCGTAACTCATGTTCTATAATCCTACAAGTGGTGATACAGTACATGACTCGCATGGTTGATCGCCGCAGCATGGTGCGCCAAAATGCCTGTCGGGACGTGTATATATACATCAAGAAGTTTGTACATGGGTCATGAAATGTGCTCGAGACACTGTTCCGATAACTTTTCATGACCTGTTCTTCTGCCGGCCAGACGTATCTTACACACGACCTTATATACAACAGGTACACAAATATGTACAGACTCAAGTTCTCCCCTTGGATCCGAGACTGCCAACCCAACTTCTGGACGAAGCTACTTTTCTTGGAGAGCATCTATGAAAACCAAGGGAAAGTCGCGATCTGCAGGCGGCTCATCGAGACTTGGGGGTCCATTATCATCCCGGGCGTCAGTGGGAGCCCAAGGTCCACCAGGGAGTAACCTTACAGTCTTGGATGAAGAATCAATACGCCTTACATTGTGGGATAAAGAGGCAACACGCCTTACAGTCTTGGATGAAGAGGCAACACGTTTGACGGCAAGAGGTATGTCTACCGAAAGACTCTCCCTCATGGAACTGGTCATGACCGTCCCGTCCTTGATGTGTCTGTGGATTCTCTTATCCATGAAATAAGCCTCGTTGAGTTTGATGGCAAGGTCGACACTAGGCATCATTGTTCCGGCCTCGTCCAGGTATCTCGACATCATCTGTGTGGCGCTAATGCGGTCGGGATCGGAGAGGCGTAGGGCGGCCAATTCCGCACGTCCAAAGATGACGTCTTCCCAAGCCTTCAATAAAGCACGTTTGGCACTCAAGTCCCTTTCTTGTCGAAGAAGCGTCGTGAGTGCGTATCGCATCTTGGAGGTGGTCGACTTGGCGAGGACAGCGTATCGCCAGATGACTCTGAGCATGTTAGGCAAACGTTGGTGCCAAGCGACTCGGAATAGTTGGTGATACGTGACGGAATCTGGTTCCAGACGCGGCCACCGTGACAGTATCGTGTGCACCGCTGCGATTTTCTGCGGTATGGGCATCGAATGGGTGATCATCGTGTTGAGCGTGCAGGCATCGAGTCGCACGCGGCCGCTCTCATAGACAAAATCCAAGAGGGCATTGCTGACTCCCAGTTTGCCGTGGCTGCCAAATGCATGAATCATTTTGTTTAGGGTGACCGTGTCTAGCCACAGAGGACCGTACTTCTCATCCTGTTGCTGGATATAGCGTCGGACGTCGAAATCCGCAGGTATGGAATGTTCGAGGTCCACAACCGACTCCTGTCTGGCCATTGCACTACGGATGGATGGAAAACGGCCCAGTCCTTTCGCCCGCATCATTTGCATGACATGGTGCTTGATCTCGGGGTCGTGTATCATTCCCAAGAACGCAAGCCAGGCATGACCCTGTGGGGAGAAGTGCCTGCGAACCATCAATCTCAGCACACTGTTGAAACCGTCCAGATCTCCAAATCTCGATGCACCAACAAGGAATATGGCGAACACTTCGGCGTCCAATGGCAGTTTTAGCAGCTCAGCCTGCTGAAAGATATCGCGGGCGGCAGATCGAAAGGCCGGTCCCCTTGCCTGGATGAACCTGGAAGCTATTTTCAGTGCAGACACCGACATTGACGACCGAGAGTGCTCCGAAGTAAAGACGTCGACGAGCAAAGAAACGACCGTTGTCTGGTGATCTGGGGCCGTTGGGTAGAGTGGCTGGGCCAAGTGTGTGGGCAGCTGACCATACACGAGAGCGGCCACATACTTCTCGAACGATCTCTTGGTCCATTGAGCTGGGGGTGTTATGTCGTCGGCACGACGAGTCAATTCGTAAGGTCTGTATCGTGAAGGTTGGACAAGGCGTACGGGCCGTTCGACAGAGTCTTTGTGTACCGTCATGGTCATGTCATCAACAGCGTCTTCGCCATCGCCATCGCCAAGCAGATTGACAGGGCCTTGACTGTCTCCAGAGCCTTTCAAGATATCCGATAGTGACAGCCTCAGTTTTTGGTCAAGGACTCTGACAGCGGTGAGTTTGCCTACAGCCCTAACAATGTCGAGTAGCGACGTGCGCACCGAAAGCTCAGGGCCCGACAGACTGAAGATTAGAGAGCCGTCGTGCAGATCAGCTTCCTCCAAGCGGATCACGCAGTGGTTCTTCTGTTGTATCTGCCAGACGTTGGTGTCTAACCCCCAAAGGGCCTCGCGAGCTTTTGCCGCAGCGCCTCTGCCAATGACCACTTTAAAATCAAGTATCTCGCCGGATTTGGGGGTGTGTCGCAACATGAATTGTAGGGTGGTCTGCCAGTCGTTCGGAGGTCTCGAGTTCGCTTCGTGAGCTTGGTCATGCAGATGTTGCCTTGTCGCACTGCGCCTGTGCTTGCGCTGGCTTTGGATCGACGCGCGCCTGCTGGGATATCGGACGGGCTGCTTGATGATGGCAGACTCGATGGGGCCGAGCTCGGATCTCTGGCGGATGACTCGTCTAAGCATCGTTCTCCTCAATGACGAGGGTGAGGTGCTCGTCACGAGCCTGCCGTCCATGACTGCAGCTTCGTCCCCTTTGATGAGCGCAAACTTTTCCAGAGGCGGACGACTGGGTCCTCCCGCGGGGACTTTGGTGACGGAGAGCCATCGTCTGGTATAGGGCTGCCCGAAAGGTAGCAAGTGGCGAGACTCCCTGGAAATCAGGGAGAGCTCTTTGACACGAGGCGTGTAGAGGTGAGCTCTCCATAGCGACTTGATTCCCAGGGACATGGGCTATAAGCTGGGCATCCTATGATGTCTGCGATGTTGCTAGATACCTTAACCAAGAACTCGGTACTCGTATATACGACGAGAACCAAAAATTCTGGGAGCTTACCTAATCGATCGACCTAAGCTGGGCCAGCTGGGCCCGGGCGCAACCTCCTCCAGGGGAACGGTCGATTATAGGTAATCGATAATGGATAATCGGCAGCTCGGCGATTCTCATCCGACCAGAACCTCACCTTGAGGTCCGGGCCATCCCGCATATCGGGCCGTGGACCTTATCATGCGGTTCCCGAGGTCCCGGCTTGGGAGGAAGTGCGGATGATCACACATCTATCTACTCAATCACGGGCAAAAAAGAGTCAGGGTGCACACAGGTCGCACTAATGCATTCCATCAGCATCTACCAGACCGCTGCGGCCCTAGGAAATCGTAGAATCGACCAGGCGTCTCTCGCGAGAACTCGTCAGCAAAGAAGACACTCCATACTGTCAGCTATCACCCGAGCGACTGTGCAACTCCCCGAGGGAAAGCCCCCGGAACGCATCATGACATCCTCTTAAGAGCCTGATAGCGGAAGTAGTCGATGTCTTGAGCCGGGGAGACCCTGCCTCATCCGAGCGCTGCCCACCACTATCTCTCTAGTAATCCCACATGTTCCAAACAAACAAGACCTCTTCATTTGCCGTGTCGTAATCGTCTCTACCTGTCACTCGGGGGCTGTGCGGATTTGTCGGTCCATCCCAAAGCCAATGGTGAAATGTTCCAAGGACCCCATTTTGACACACCCCCGGGACACTCAATCCTCAGCGCCAATCAATCTTTGGATGTAGCTGCCGTCTCATGCTTCGTCTCGCTCTTCTCTTCACCCTTGAACGCCTCCGTCATCACTTCAGCTGGGGTATCTTTCTTGTTCGAATCACCGGTCTTTTCCTTGGACTCTTCTTCCTTCTTCGTTCCTCGAGGGGGTGGCGATGGGGCCCTGGGCGGCGCGCTCTTCTCGTCATTGGCCGGGGCGTTCTTCTCGACTTGGCTCGCCAAGTCCTTGTCTTCTTCGGAGTTGTCGAACATCTCGGTATCGTCCGAGTCGGTAAGAACCTCAGTACCATCTCCAAGGAATATAATGCGGCCTTTGTACCCACCGATGCCAAAGGTCTTGGAGGACTTGTTCTCCATATCGACATCATAGCCACTGTCGCTGTCATCGAAGTTGTGATGAACGCCAGGTCCCCGGAACTCAGCTGAGGCACCAAAAGTCAGTTTCCTCCAGGAGACCCCGGCTCTAAGAACGCGTACCGTATTCGGGAGGGGCACAGGGACCATCGCCCTTGGCAACGCGGCTTGCAACCTCGTTGTACCATTCCTCCTTGGATTTGCCTCTGAGGAAGCCTATAACAATCATGGTCATGTTGTCGCAGCCAACACCGCCAGTCTCCGAGTTAGAAGCTAGACAGTTGTCCATCATGTTCTCGCAAATCTTGTCGAGGTCCTGTTTCGCAGCGATTCCTCTTCTAACGAACTCGACGACCGCTTGCGAGGATTGACAATCCCAGATACCTGCAACGCTAATCAATGCTGTCCGTCTTGGCAGGCTACTGCCACATGAGGGGAAAAGGTCTTACCGTCACATGCGATGACCAAGAACTCATCGTCGTCGCTCAGCTCGTGCACGACAACATCGGGGTAGGCAGTGACTATTTGTTGTTCGGGTGCAAGCTCGGCACTCTTCTTGAACTCGAAGTCACCAATGGCTCGGGATAAAGCCAAGTTTCCATTGACCCGGCCAAAGTCTACAAACCCGCCGGCGGCGGTGATTCGAGCCTTTTCGCCTATACCATAGAAATCTGACATTAGCCTAGCTATAACATGGAGTTTTGCTGCGGTGCGGACTAACCTTCGTTCTGAGGCTTGTGGTCGAACGAGAGAGGCTTGGCTCGGCCCTTCACTCCCAAGACACTGCGCGAGTCTCCCGCGTTCGCCTGCACGTCGGTTAAGTAAGTCATCTATTACAGGAGATACGTTGTGGCAACATACAATGAATATCTTGCCGGCGTTGATCAAGCCGCAACAGGCAGTGCAACCCGATACTTCCTCCTCGTACTGGGGGTCTGGATGCAGGTCAGTCTCTGCTTGTAAGTCCAAGCTTCACGGATGCGCTGTTCCATTCCATACCGCTAAGTATTGCTCGGTCGGTCGCCAGGAAGGTGTCCTTGAGCGCCTGCTCATAGTTACCAGCCTTGAAGGTGTCCTGCTTCGTGAGAATGTCGGTCATGTGCTTTCCGGCAAATTGTGCCACCTTGTCTCCGCCGTGGCCGTCGTAGACACCGAAGAAAGAGAGTCGTGAAGGGTGTGCCTTCTCTTCGTCGCCCTTGGGGGTTAAGAGATCGAGGATGGTGGTGTGCGCGTCCTCCATGCTGATGCGCCATCCCTGCATAGCCGACACGCCATAGAGAAGTCGGTCATCTTGGGCCTGTTCGGACGTCTAGTAGATAGTGCATGTCAGCTATACCAGTTGTCTTGTGGACAGTGCAGGGCTGAAAATGTGCAATACGGGCTGGAGGATAGTGGGAAGGCTGGATGAGGTCATCAGGCACGCACTGGGCGACAGTGGAAGAAGGGATGGCCCAGAACGGCGCAACACAGTTGGAAGGAGAGAAGGAGGGAGTAAAGCAGGAAAAGGCGACCATACCTTGTCGATGACAGGCTCTGAAAGGGTTTGACCCATGGCGGAGCTGTCTGATAGTGAGCGGTGGGAGGGGTGGTGGTGTCGAGATGGGTATGTAGGAGGACAAGAGGGGCAGCAGTCTGGTCTGGTCTGGGTGCTGGATGCTGGATTGCCAATCGTGGAAATTTTTTAGTCGCCGCGGTGGGAGATGGCAGATGGGAGACAGCAGAGGGCAGAGGGAGTCAGAGTAGGTGTGTGTAGTGCTACCAATGGCAGCGCGGACAGAGGAACGAGCGGCGATTTGCTCACAGCAGTGCAAAGGGCTTGCTTGCAGTGTCGCGCAGGTCTGGGAGAGTCTGGAGTCAGTAGAGTCAGTGAGGGTACTGTGAAGGCGACAAGGTACAGGCTGTGACGATACACGAAATACACGTGCGGTGGGATAAGGGTTGCAGGCTGGAGTAATAGATAGTGGCAGACAGGCAGGATATCCTGGACACTGGCAGCACTGGACAGGCGGCGGGAGGCGGAGGGGAGGGCGGGAGGCGGGGTTCAATTGTGTCGAGCACCTGCACCTGCACAGCAGAAAACCCGCTGACATACCTTACCTTACGTAGGTGTCTTGAAGGTAGGGCAACTGGCAGACTGGTGCGCGATGCACTAATGCCGAATGGGATCAGGTACGTACCTTGGGCGCGTGTCTAGTCCTGCTATCAGATACCAGGTATGGTGGGTATATGATGTATTCGCTCAGAGGTACCGTAGGAATGGAGGGTTGGAGTGGTGGCGGGATGGATGCGAGAATCAGAAACCCCTCATCAGCTGTCGCGTGCGTGTTGGAGTGCCGTCGATGCTGCTGATATTGCGGAGAGGGCGCAGGGAACACCAGCAAATGCGGAGGCGGATGGAAGCACAACGATGCAGGACTCCAGGCCTGGCAGGCAGGAAAGGACAGAGCTGTGCAGAGCTGTCTAGCAAATCTGACAATCTCAAAGACCCGGGCGAAACAATCCCACGTGATGCGAATCTTACGGTATTATCAACGAGACAGGCGAGAGCCGGGAGGCGAGACAGGTACCCGAGATGTCGCTGTGGGAACCTGAACTTGGAAGTGGAAATCCGATGCGGACAATGGGGAAACTGTCGCGCCTGTGCAGCGAATCAGCTGTCCCGACTGTTCCAAACAGACAGATGCGGGGCACGGGGTTAAGCAATAAACCAAGAAACAATAAGTTGCAGCTGGATATGTACGTACATGCAGGTATGTACATAAGCAGTGGCCAACTCGGTGGCGGCTGTCCAATTCTGCACCAGTGTGTGCAAGAATTCCATTTCCCAATTCCCAAATTGAACATAGGCAGATGCAAAAGGCACATGCAGAAGAAACAAGACCTGCTTCCCTTTGGGCCCTACCACTCTCCCCAGCGCTGCCAGGTTATCATGCCGCCATGAACGCTTCTACACAAGCCGATCCTCAAGGCAGCACTCATGGACTGGTCGAGACCTGTGATACGACACGCGGTTTGCCGCAAAGAGCTAAACCCGCCATGGCAGAGTGGGAAGCATACGTCCGAGATATTCCAAACACCCCGCGAGCCCCGTGGCTGAGTCGACCTCTAGATTGCTCTCTTGTGGCTCTTCGCTCTTCGCTCTTCTCTCGTCTCTTTCTCACACACGCAGCCTGTCGGTGCCTGTCTCGACCCTCCTGTCCTGGAGATCCACAGTGCACCGCTGAACCACCGCCTGACAGGAGGCACTCCTGCAAGGACGCTCCAACAGCCTGGAAGCGGTGAAGGCCAAGAACTAGCAGACTAGCCTCGGCCTGCTCCGATCCTGCAATTCGACCTGGTGCAGTACGCTCCAACAACAGCGGCCTTGCTTGCCATGAGGACTGGGGGCCAAAGGCCTGCTCGTCTCTGGGGAAACCAATGTTGTGAAGCAGCTCTCTCGTGTGTAACGGCCTCACTTATTATTAAGCTGATCGATGCTGTATCACGACAGGGCCTTCAAAGCTTGTAGCTCGATATTATAGTGTGAGTATTGCAAATGCTACGAAGGCTGCCGAAATCCCAACTCCAGCCGAGATGCTCAATAAAGTTAAAACATTACAGAGATACGGTAGGTAGGTGTCTTTGCGCCAGCTCCAAGCTATCTAGATATAGGCCAAAAAGCTTCCCTCACTTTGCTCCTCGTCCCAGCCACCAACCGTCGACTCAGGTGGTCGTATATCTTCCCACGCGTCGTCGTCGTCCTCGTTGTCGTCCGCCCATACACTCGGTACGCTTTTGGCACTGCGCATTGTTCTTTGGCTCCGCTTGGAGACTGCGCTTCTCCCCCCTAGCATTCTGTCTCCCGGTCTGGCGTTCGACGCGTTCAGACGATGGGTCAGTGGCGCTCTGCTCGGTCGTGTCGGCGTCTCGGGCAAGGGCCTCATGGCCGCCGGCAGAGCCCACTCGTTGCTTGATGAGGGCGTATGTGAAATCGTGGCACGAAGCTCGTCGGTAGCTCGCTTCTCTCGAATTCGGCTAATGCGCAAACTTCCCTGGCGCGAAGACCTGCGCTTGGTTCTCGAAGATGTTGACGGCGTCTGTGACTTGAGAGAGTCGGACCCGGACCCACGAGAAGCACGACGAGTCTGGGTCGCTCTGCCTTTGCCTTTGCCCCTGGGTGTAGCTGGTTCGCCTGTCGTCGTGACCCTCTTCAAGGGCGCAGTCTGAGGCGGCTCGCTTCTATTCCGGGTCGCTTCAGGAGGGATTCCTATGCCGGTAAAATTGTCAGGTATTGGCCATTGGTCAGGCGACATGAGCTGGTGCGTGGTATGGTGGGTTCGCCAATTATCACTCTGCGAGAGGCCGGCCAACGGATCTCGCTCCCTGAGTAATGCTCTTCTCTCTGCCGGGCCTGCCCGGACAAGGTCCTTGTATGCGATGCCCAAGGAGTTCCTTGCGAGCCGATTCCACGCCGTATCGCTATCGCAGGATGCGACAGTGGATTCCTTAAAGGCCGGTGGCGGTAGCGGCAGCTCATCATTGACGGACGCTGACGACGTGGAAGCCGACAACCTCAGATTTCGTGGCGACTTGATGACCGAGCCGCCACCAAACAACGGTGTCGTGCCGTGCGTCCTCCGGCTGACTCGCCGTGCCTCGCCGGGTTTGCTGGGGATATGGACTACGGTCGGTTTTGTAATCACATTGGCAGTTGTCTTGGTGGCCTCCTCAGCAACGCACGACGTGAGGATACTTGTGCGCGTTGTCAAGGCTGTAGAGGTGCTGTGGGTACTGTGACGCTTTATGTCGTTTAGGAGCTTGGATGCATTCCCCTGTATCCAGGCTTTGGAGAGCCGGTGACCAACACCGCGCAGCCCGAGCCCCTTCTCCTGTTGCTGTCCTGACTTCGGCCGTGTGGCGTATCCGACAGCTGGAAGGACATCCTCGTCGGAGCTATACTCGTACCCCCTTCCCGCCGTGTACGCAACTTCGGGCGTATGCTGTATACTGAAGGGCTCCCCGATCATTGGAACCTCTAGCCAGTTACTCCTGACCTGATCTCCAGGGTAACGACCCGCACTGGACGATGAAGCTTGCGTGACATGATCGTCGCCTTCCCCGAGACTCGTATCCGACAGCAGGCTCACCTGGTCCGTGTCTCCGTTCTTCTCTGCGAATTGTCCTGTGTGGCCTGCGAGCCACGAGTCTCTGGATTCTAGGAGAATGTTACTGTGCCTGGTCGGCCTAACCGCGCCCGAATGCATCGTGAAGGCGTGCGGGCCCGTGGCCTCTCCGCGGTGCACTCTCGGATCCGACGTCGCATAAGAGGACCGCAAGTTCGACGAATTAGCAGCTGCGAGTCTCTCTGTCTGATGCACCGACGTGCTGCCCTCTGCATGCGGTGGCCCAAGGTCCAGCATCTTCTGCATGTCATGCAGAGATCCGGCCGACCCGTTCGCTACGAAAGTGCCAGGTATGGGCGCGGATACATCTCCAACATTGAAGTTATTCGGTCGCTGCCGCCGCCTGCGCATATAGAACAGTAACAGGATTATCGCTAGTATGAGAAGCACGGGTATTATGATGAGCCAGAGCAGGCTTTTGTCGGAGCCGCTGGACTCGGAAGTCGGTTTAGGGGCAAGTGTTGCGGTAGGTTTCGTGGGACCTGACGTGGTGGGCGGTGCGACGTGGATGTTCATATACTTGATCTCTACAGCCGCGGTCCTCCTAGAGGTGGCGTTAAAGGTGACGCGGACTTCATTCGCGAATCCGGCAGACAGTGGTTCTGGAACCGTTCCCGAGAGCGTCAACGACGAGTCGTCAAAATGGACCCAGGGCCCGTCCGGCTCGCTCTCGACCGTAACCTCCGTGTCCATGGGGTCGAATAAGAATCGCTTCAAGCCAAACGAGAAGTCATCGCCGACCGTCACGTTCAGGTCCGGTAAGTCAGACACGAAGAGCGCGTCTTCAAACTCAATCGCCAGCGTTACGTTGAGGCTATCCGTGAAATGGTCCACGACCGCGATCGTGACGTTTGTCGGTTTGGCCTTGGAATCTGGCGTTCCGGTTAAAGCCCATGTCTCCCCGTCGAAGGCGAACCAGGGTGGCAGGTTGACAGCCGTGATGGAAGCCACGTCTTCCATTTGCAGTGGGCGATCGTCTATCTTCAGCACTTGCGGCAGATCCGTATATTCGAGGAGCATGCCGCGTGTCGTGTTGAGCTTGATTACCGGCACATCTGATGTGAGCTCGTGGACCCCGACCACGATCGAGAACGGGATTGCTGCTGACGAGAAGCCCACCACGTCCGAGGCCACAAGCTGGAACCCAAAAGTCTGCGGCGGTTGGACCAGAGACTCGAAAGGAGGTGTGGTACCCGAGAAGGCTAGGGTGCCCGAATCAAACGTGACCCAGGACGGTAGTGGCGCGTTGTCTTCGGATACTGCGTAGTAACTGAGTTGCGACTGGTTGCCGTTGGTCTGGAAGGTGTCTTCTGCGAATTCAAACGAGAAGTCTCGTTTCGGGGGTAGCAACAGTGACAACGGCGCCGAATATGCGCCGAACTTGAAAATCTGCTCGGCCAGGGGCAAGGCAACTGCGGGTGCTGTGTCGCGTGACACCACGAGCGTCGCGTTCGACGTTGCGCTGCCCGTTGCGTCCGTCGCCACCAGTGAGATGGGTACGCCGACCACCGCTGCTTCTCCAGCCCCCGCCGCTCCTGAGGTCCGCGGCACATCCTCGTCCCCCGGCGTCCCGGACAGTGTGCGGGTGTCGCTATCGAGCGAGAGCCAGGCCGGCGCATCGGCCGACAGGCTGTACGTGATGTCGAGCGACGAGGAGAAGGTCTGCGGCAAAAGGGTGAAAGTGAAGGGCTCGGAAACGCGCGCTACGGGCGGTAACTGGGAGTTCAGTGGAAAGTAATCGATCGGGATGGCAGCAACGCTCGCGACGATACTGAGGGCTATCGTGAGTATGGGAGCAGATGTCGACGCCGATCTGCTGCCTATCCTTCTTCTTCCTGCCTTCATCGTGTTATACGTGAGGTGTTACTAACATGAGAGGGACAACTGCGCTGTGAAGCGCGATGCTCTCGTTGTGAAAAGGATCGTGTGAGGTGATGTTGCTAGCTGAGGCCTCGCATAGCATGTGCGTACCGAAAGCGAACGGAACCAAAAGCAAAGAAAGATCGTGATGTTCAGAATGAGTGACTGGATGGCCGGAAAGACGAGACCAGCACTCGGCACCCACAAAGTCTGGAGGTGGTTCTTCAGCGACATGCCCATCCATCCGTCTGGCCGCGTTGGGCAGCCCCTCCTTCCCTTGGGCCTGCCACCACTGAGCAGATGACGAGCGCGTGTAAATCGATAGTGAGGGGCTCATCGTCCCACGCGCTGAGGCGCGTTACTCGGTCGCGACGTTTCGGAATTCCAATGTCTCAAGCCACACGCTGTCATCGATCGACCTCCCTATGCCCGGGCTGGGTTATCGCATTCCATGACGCTCCCGTTTTCTGCCACCCTGACCCGGAAACGGTGGGTTGAAAAGGGAGATTGGAGAGGAGGGAGTTGCGGAGGTATTTGATGCAGTTTAATGGTGAGTCGCTCCCCTGAACGCGGGCGCGTGGTATGGACTCTCCTACTATCGACGGCGAGATGGGCCAGGGCGAAGGAAGGGGGGTTACGCCCGCAAGCTCTGGCTGTCGTGGACTACTTTTTCTGGAAGAATATATCGTCGTCTTGTGTGGCTTCCTGATTCATAGTTCGCGTCTTTTGCTACCATTTGAGAGTAAATTGTGAAGAGGCTTGATATTGTATCGTGTGCGCCGCATGCGTCGGCACGTTAGCGATGCCTCCATTCGTGAGCCGAGTCCGTCCAGTCCCAGCCTTCACATACTGCATTTACTCACCTAGGCTCCGGTACCATAATAACGCGCGGTGTTCAAGATGAGTATTCATGGAATCTGAATGGGGTGGGATGTTGGCTGATCGGATATTGCAACGCGGTTGGTTGCAAACAACGCTGGCTGTTTGTCGTATGCTTACAATACCCTCGCCCATACGCATAGTACACGAAAGTAGCGAATGTGCCATTCAGCTTCGTACTCACTCGCCTCGTCGCCGGTGTGACGGGTTGGGGACGCGACGCTCACGACCTCATGAGAGATTTTTAGTCAGAGACGAACGGTGGCGTAAGAACCATGGGATAGTACCATTTGTAAAAGGCTGATGACGAGCTTGACACCGTTAAGACGTAGCCGAACTTGACGATGCTCAGCCCCGGCTTCTCACTTCTGTCCTCTTTTGGCGGCGCGCTGAACTACATTCCGAACGTGAACCCCAGAGAGCAGGTTTGGAATAGAGACAAGGAAATACCTCACGCACTCCTCCTGGGACACGACGACACTGTCCAGGAGTTGGATCTGTCATGTCCGGCTCCCAGTCCGAGAAGTAGGCTTCTACGGACGTATGCAAGCTCAGGAGCCGAGACTTTGAGCGAAACGGCCAGGTGGCCCGGTCTGAGGTGATCGAAATCCCTTGCGTCCCTAGCTGACGGATTGAAGAGGCTCACGTACAACGTTGCTGTTAAAGATGGTCTTCTGAACCATCAAAAGTCCCATACCCCTTGGAGCATTGATCAAGTCGCATCACGATGCACCGACGGAGACTTGTGAGTGATGACTGTAGTCTGTCTACAGAGCGCGCAACTCCCAAGGGCGGCGACGTTGTGTTAACCCTATCGTTTGCGAGGACTGACCCGAAACCAAGTCATAGACGTCGATTTGGGGCAATTCGACGGCGCCAGATCTCTTTTATGACATGGTAGAAAGAAGCGAGGTAATAAGGGATGTATTGGTACACCGAGGCCACCACTCAGCCCACTGTACACCGCTATATCATCGGCGTTGTGGATGTATCTGTGCAGGTGGACATGAAGTCGGCGATAGAAGATAACGAACAAGCAAACGTGGCGTTTGGGCCCTTTTATCAATGTTGGGTGGCCTAGATTCGCGTGCGATTCACGGGAAGGCACCATGCAAACGATGATCGCATTGGAAGTCGCGCAAAAGCAAGAGCAAAAGCAGTCGGCTACCTACAAGTGGCCCTTCATCTTCCACACCTCGACTGCCTTTCTGCCTTTCTCACATCATCAAGTCAAGTCCCCATCCACTCCAGTTCGCATCCACCTTCAACTTGGCAACATGTCAGCAGAGAAAGCGCCCACCATCTCGGTCGATGCGGTACCGGAGGCTTCACCGTCTCCGGAGCTCTCGCCGTGTGCTTTCGGCGTCGACTTCACGCCTCTGCCGGCGTACAAGGCAGCAGGAACAACCGAAACCGACCTCGCAGGCCTCCTCGTCAAACCGCTTCGGCTGCACGAAGACCTGAGCCCAGGATGTGGCGGCCAGCTTTGGCCCGCGGGAATGATGCTGGCACAACACATGCTGCGTCACCACCGAGAAGACCTGCGCGAGTCACGGATGTGGGTTCTGGCCCTTTCCATGATGCGCTGCAATGCTCGCGCAATTTGCCAATTTGCCAATTCTAGACCGGCAATACTTTAGTAGAGGACGGGACTTGCACTGACAATGGCTGGCGGTGCTAGTCTCGAAATCGGCGCCGGCGGAGGTCTGGTGGGTTTGGCCGTGGCAACCGGCTGCGCCATTGGGAACCCCCTCTTCATCACGGATCAGGAAGATATGTATCCGTTGATACAGCAGAACATCGGCCTGAACGATCTGGGCGGCAAGGTCAAGCCTGCAGTGCTGAACTGGTGAGTGAAGCCGACGGTGAAACCTCCTCTTGCTCTCTGCGCTGTCCTTTTCAGCTGCCAATGCAGACATCCATCTCCGCGCAAAGGTGCAGACGCTCTAACAATACGCCGTGGCATCTTGTAGGGGCGAACCATTGGCGCCAGACATTGTGGCTTTCAAGCCTGACGTTGTCCTTGCGGCCGATTGCGTCTACTTTGAGCCCGCGTTCCCCTTGCTGCTGACCACGTTGACGTACCTCCTGACGCTGTGTCCGTCGGCCACAATCTACTTCAGTTTCAAGAAGAGGAGACGGGCCGACATGCAGTTCTTCAAGAAGGCGCGCAAAGCCTTTAACATAACGGAGGCTGAGGACGAGAACCGAACGATATTCAATCGCCAGGGCTTGTTCCTTTACACCATCACGAACAAGGCCAATTCGAATACGAAGCGCCAGTGAGGGCGTCCTTGTGGCTGATTTTTTACGTGGGATTCATTTGAAACGAGCAAGGCGTTGAGGCTGTGATAAAAAATAGAGCAAGGGTACCGGCAGCCAACTTGGAAGGAGCAATAAGGGCTGCAGCAGTGCCTCTCATTATTATCATCCACGAAAGTAGAATCATCTCACTTGGGCAACATTGTTCGCTTTGTTACGCAACACCAGCCAACGAGACTCATTCATTTCAGCAAGTACTAGATGGGAGTATGATCAACAAGTCCTCGATCGCCCTCTGGACAAGCGTCCACACAGGGCCCAACAGCCTGAAAACATACGGGCAGCGGCAGCGACAGCGCGGAGAACCAACGCTGTGACTGCATTCCTTGCCTGAATCCTTCAAACATCCTTCCACCGAGTCCATCAAGGGTCGCCACGAAGTCAAGTGCCGATCTTATCCATCTGGGGGATATCATTATCTTCGTGCAGGACGCAACATGCAACCTGGAGTGCACATCGAAACTCGAGGATATTCCATACGATGGCGTGCTTATTACGCTTCTATCATTTTTATTACGTAGTGTTATGCCCCGTTCTCCGTCCAAGGCAAAAGCCACTTGATGAGCGCCGGAAAGATTCTTGCAAGGCCTCGCCAAGTGGATCGTGAGAAATGGGCACTCTTCAGGATCTTCACATGCACTCTTGGGTGGGAACAGGGTGGCTGGTGGCTGGCTGGCTGGTTGGGAACATGGGTATCGTGCACGCCTCGCGATCTCACTGGTCAGCGCAGAGGTTGCGCAGCAAGGATCGTCAGGAACGGAGCAACTGCCAACCCCTGACGAGCCCTGGCTAATAAAGAACTTTCCGAGCTTATTATTATTGCCAGGGCAGGACTCAGGAGCCGAGAACACGCCGCCCGGCTTGATCCCCGTTGGCAGAGCACGATAGACAAAAAAGTTAATAACAACCGCGGAAAACAAGCTGTAGGGCGGGAAAGGAGACGAGTACTAGTACGGCCCAGCTGCGCTTTGTTTCAGCCCTAGTTCGTCCAATCACCGGGCATCCGTGAGAGGGCGGTAAACGACATGGGGACCGATGTTGGGCTAGCGACTTGGTTCCCCCTCTTTTTCTTTGTTCCTGTCCCACAGCCAGGCACGCCGGGGCCCAGTGGCTTGCTCCCACGTTGGTAATTAAAGCCCCGTACATGAAGCCGTGGGCTGGGGGCTGTGGGCTGTGGCCCTGACCTATCCATGGGCCCTCCTCCTGCTTTTCACAGGCAATAAAGATCCCCTGACCATCCTTTGTCGTCCCGCCGTGATCTGTCTTACCTCCTCCTTGCCACCCTCCCACGCAAACCGTACATTCTTTTGACTGAGCAGTGCTCACTCTATCCATTCATTTTTCCATTTGCTGCTCATCACGCTCGATTGCGAACCACGGAGAAGAAACTCGGCCACTCCAAAGACACCGCACATACCCATTGTTGAACAACACCCTCCTTTTTGAGTCGACCCCCAGAGCAGTCCTTTTTGACCGTTTGTCACTTTGGAGATATCCCCCTTGGCTGGACCCTGAATTGCTCATACTTGACCACCATCACCATCAATATGAAGTCCGCATCTTTCGCTGCTGCCTTGCTGGCCTCGGTTGCCGTTGCTCAACCCCACGGCCACAACCGCCACCACCATGCGAAGCGTGACCTAGTCACTGAATGGGACACTGTCTGGGAGACGGCGACCGTCATCGTTGATGGGACCGAGACCGAGACCATCCCGGCTGCCAAGCCCACCACTTCTGACTCCCCTGGCCAGTTCCTCGAGACCTCCAGCAGCGCACCGGCAGCTGAACCTACGGTCCAGTCTGTCGTTGACACTCCCACCTATGTGGCCGCACCCTCGTCGTCGTCATCCACCACTTCCACTTCCACCAGCACACCAGTGGTTGAGCCCACCACCCCGACTGCTGCGGCTCCCACTACACCCACCACCACTGAGACTCCCACTACCCAGGCTGCTCCCACCACCACTGAGACTCCTACCCAGGCTGCTCCCATCACCACTGAGACTCCCACTACCCAGGCTGCTCCCACCACTGAGGCTGCTCCCACCACCTACCCCACGGTAGAGGCTCCCTCATCCACCACCACAGCCGCTGGATCCACCTCCACCCTTGCCGGCGCTGATAAAATTCAATATGATGTGAAGACCCCTTCTGAAATCACATACTACACGGTTGGACCTGGTGCTTGCGGTTATGATGACTCGGGCAAGGACAGCTCGGAGAATATCGTGGCCATCCCCCACGCCTTCTGGGACAGCATCAGCATGGCGACGAGTCTTGGTGTTGATGAGCCTGCGCACCCGCTCTGTAACAAGGTCATTTCCATCCAGTCCAAAACGGGGACTACTACAGGCACCATCCGTGACCGGTGCGGCGGCTGTGAGAACATGGCCATCGACGTTACCTCCCATGCTTTCATAGACCTCTTTGGCTCTACGACATCTGGTCGCAATGATGTCACCTGGTGGATCAACGAGTAGTCGTAAGACCACAAAGCAAACCTTTGCGCCCGTGGCCTCGACATCCCTAGAGCTTCATCACCTGGCAACATGGTTGACGCCGTAACGAATCTCCTTTCCCCATCCCAGGCAACAGCCTCCACAGCATCTTGGTATCAAAAGCGAAAAATCATAGGCGTCCCACAAAGGCGCGGACTTGGGTATCTCATAGGCATGGGCGCACTTGGCAGGGGACGGATTCTGGTCTACCGGCAACTGCAAGATCATATGGCATCAATATAAGGTTCAATGGTCACACAAGACTGGCAAGGGACGCATCGGTACGAGTTCATGAACCAGCGTAGCGAAGCGTGGTGTTGCACACCGGGAATTTCTAAAAGCAAACTGCGTCACCACTGGGCTTGCGGCACACATAGACTCTAGTTCTTGTATATATATTTACAATCACCTCCACAGAGAGGATTTCCCACCAGGCATCCTTCTTACCAATGTTCTTCTCAGCTCTCTGTGATGTCGGACTACCTGCGACGTTGGGATGTCAGCCAGTCTTGTTGCCTGGCCATAAGCACCGCAAAGCTGTGAGGTCCAGCCTTATACTAGGCATTGCTGGGTTGAACCTGGTTGAAGCTAGGGTTCTATGCCTTAGATTCTCCCAGCCCTCTGGATAGCTGACTCAAGCTCCAAAGTCTAATCTCGAATCCATTCCCCAATGGGGACAGTGGCCTGGTACAAAGTGAGTAATACGATGCTCTGGCAATGGCGACCTCAAGTGCCGGCCATATAACCGACTGCGTGTCGGATCCGGTATGTGAGCTCCTGTCCAGGTCTATTTCACCAAGGGGGACTCTTCACTCTCCTGTACGGATCTAGCGCGAAGCATAGTTTTATTTTCGAGTTGTACATCTATGCACCCGCACTCGACCGGTGGTACACTAGACCTCCAGAAGTCTGCGTACACCCCTCGTTCAGCAAGCGAAGGGTATATCTTGCGCGAATGGAATAAGCACTCTGAAACGAGCATTCAAAGTGACTTTTCAGATCAAAGCTGCTTATTCGGGGGTAGATAGTCTGCTAATATGGATATGTCATTTGTATCCAAGACTCGATTGAGGCATGCCGGACGAAGACTTATTTGGGGGTGACTGTATGGACATCAAGGGAAAAAGGTCCTGACACTCGCAGCCTCCCGAGCGACGGAGCTCATGTACTTCATAAAGAATGGTCTTGATACCGCTGCCTGGACTATGAAGAACCGTTATACCATAAAAGAGGCCCGAAGAGCCACGAAGACTAAAGATAACGCTGGACCCGAACCCTGTTGACGTTCACCACCATGTTCTGGGCTTGCTAGAATCCATCCGCTGGTGCTTCTTCGAGGCATCCATTTCCTTCTCGTGCCGCTCTAGCCTTTCGAGAAATTTTCTCACTTCTGAGAGGTCTGCTTGAATATATGCGACGTCTGCTTGAATGTGTGTGAGGTCTGACCGGGTTCGTTCCGTGTTTCGTTGAAGCTCTGGTATGGTTGTTGTGGTTTAGATCGCCAGTCGCTTCTTTTCACGCCTAGATTGAACAAACTGTTAAAGATTGTCAAGTATATTTCTAAACATGATGAAAACATACCTATGCGATGCCCATGCGATCCCTAGGTTCGCCCATCGTGCAACTCCCACCGTCACCACACTACAAGCTATGTTAGGGCCGCAGTGACGCGCGAAGAATGCCATGATGCTTTGCTTAAGTATTTCGCAATGTAGCGAAACTAATGATGGTGATGCGGTAGAGATTCGGGCAGGATCCGTAGTTGTCGAGGTTGTACCGTATGATATATCTGATGGTGTAGTTATAGAATGCAGGAGTCAGTCCTTCAGGTCATGGATCTTGCTCGACATTTAAAGAGGATGGAATGGCATCTCCGCAAAGGGTACCTTTCACATGTATGCGGAAGAGTCATAGCTGCCCAGAGAAGTTTACACTTTTGCAGTGGCGGCTTAATAAACAGCTCAGTACCCGCAAGTGGCGTCAATCACGCGTGGGAAATTTCGAAACACTGGAATACGCATACAGGAATAAACAGCCCTGGTTTAATACGCCACCCCGAAAGCTATTCCATTGTACTTATCCCGATTTGATCGATATACCGTTGTTTGCTGGACGGGTGGACTCGCCTGGGACAATTCGAATTAATCGATCAATCAGTGTACGTAATCGAAGGGTCTGGGTCAATTAGGGGATCTGTGGGACGGAAGGGTGTCGTTGAATTTGGAGTCGGAATGTCGTGATAATTTTTGGTGTTGTGGATGAGGTGAGGGGTAATTGCGACCGGAAGCGCGTGTCTGGTGGGATTGCTCGGTCTCGACGCTCTGTCGACGAAAATTTCGTCTGCAGCGAACAAGGCCGATGCCGGAATGGTATTGGATTGGTCTCTCTTGTCGTAGAAGAGATGTTACCAGTTGGTAGACTCGATCGTTGGGTTGTAGTACGGAGACTTATGAGGGTTCAGTGTACGATACGCGAAAAGGGGTCAAGGGGGCCTGCGTCAAGAATGGGAGATGTAGGAATCCCATGGCTGCTGTATTCTTGACTCTCCTGGTCTTCGACCACTACTGCGATTCCTCACTACCCCCTTATGTCTTGTTGAACTTGGCGCTTAGTCTGTTCCGCGCGAGTGATGATGCCGCCCCCTGCTGCTGGTACGGCGGACGTGTCATGCCACCATGTCGTGGATGTATGTCTTTGCCCCCGGTACCTGCCGCTGGACGCACCAATTTCCACCATGTCGTGGCATGCCCTGTCCGCCACATGATGAGATGGTGTTTGGGGGAGGTTGAGACTTCGACGACCTTAATGCAAGTTGACGAAGACTTATGAAGGCTGCGTATACCTCCTTTCCTCGCATGCACTCGTATATTAAGGTGTACAAGTTAGCCTTGCCGAGAAAATAGATGACCATCAGTACTCGAGCGGCTCAGGCCAGAGGGTGGGTTGGCTGGAGTTCAGCTGTCCTGTTGCTGGTAAAGCTACCGGTGGACAGATAAACAGAAGAGGGAGGAACTGAACATTCGACGCATACCCTTACTGAGTGTTCGAAAGATCTAGTACCTCATCCAGACTCCACCTACCTCTTCCCATTCCCTCCTGTCTTCTCATCATACTCGAATCATATATCCACAACTCCAGCCTTCGAAAGGAGACAGCCTGTGCGACTCCGCGACCACATCACTCCAGCTCATTAGCCTGCGCTGACTCATGGGGCCACCCAGATGTGGCGAAGAACCCGCAAGTGATCTCGGAAGCGTGTGGCCTTAATGGGGTCGGCGTAGGCACAAGACATGAAATAGGGCGTCCATGTTAGTACTCACGAGGATGGTTTGAAGCGGTAGATTGAGAAGTCGGGTAGCGTAATATGAGAGAAACGATGTAGCACATGATTCAGCAGTTGCTGATACCTATGAGCTGCGGCTGTCTATTGACCTCTCCAGGCATTCAAAGGCAGCTTACACCACCAAGGGGTATCGAGTGTACCGAAAAAGCACCATCAAAAGAAGCTGCTCTTACTGCGTCTACTGGTATTGTATGAGAAACGACTGGGGATGTCTGCGAATAGATTTCAGACACGGTCAATAGAACCAAAGAACACCGGTAAAAGATTGCCACAAGTGATGAATCAGTGCATATCCTATTGATCAAAAGCCTATACAACCAGAACTGGGTCAAGAAGCCCATAGCAGCATTCCCCTGACAGTGTAATACCAATAAGACCTCAACTCTCCGGGTCACAACGAAAGTAAGTGTGCCCATCCCAAGTCTTCCCCTGACAGTGTAATACCAATAAAGACCTCAACTCTCCACGCCACAACGAAAGTAAGTGTGCTCACCCCATGTCCAACGCTTGATAAACCTTCATTCCACATTTCCACCATTCATCGGGAGACGGGACATACGAAGAAGGAATGCGCTCGTCACATGCCGCAGAACAGCCGCAGTAGCGCTCGTTCCTGGTCCCTCTTACGCTCGTCACCGGCCAACCCCCCGCTCTTGCTGTCGTCACCGGCCGTCTTCTCGCTCTTGCTGTCGCTCGTCGCCTCCCAGTCCGAATCACCAGCCGACTGCAGAGCCTCCTCCTGCGTCTGGGCCGCGGCCATACGCCGGAGCGTGATCTGGCTGGGCCTCTCGTCCCGCCAGCCGTGCGACGTCGTGACCTTGACCTTCGCCGCCTTCTTGCGGAATTCTCTCGCGCGGGATTTCGACACGTGGACCGGTATGCGGCGTGTTCGGTGACCGGAAGATTTGGCCGCAGGTGGTGTTCGACGACAGGAAGATTTGGCTGTCGGTGGTGTTCGATGACCGGAAGATTCGGCTGCAGATGGCGTTTGGCGACCGGAAGGTTGCTTGGCTTCAGGTTTCTCGACGAAAGGGCCAACGACGCGAGGGTCAAGCGGACCGGGCAGCTTTCCATAGGGATTGAATGCAGGCCCGGGCCGGGACGGGTCGGGGGTGTAGTAGAGCTGCATACGGATCCCCAGGCGCGAAATCTCTCGTCCGTCGAGAGCATAGCGCCGTTCGAAGGCCTGGGCCTTCTTGATGATGACGGTCGTGCCACTTCTTTTTTTATATGTGAGGGCTGGAATAGACCAACGATCGTCATGGTAAGCCTTGAAAGCCTCCATGAGATCGGTGTCGACCTCGGGATTAATGAACTTGGGGGGCTCTGGTTGTGCGAAGGGAGCACGACGCATTCCCTGTCTAGGCACATCATCTTGCTTCCAGTTCAGCCAGCACCTCTGTGGAGGGTTTCGAGGTTGTATTTGCTGGAGAGTCAATGATAGCACCGGCTTTTCGACATCCTCCTTGCGTTTGGGTGACTTGCTGGATGACTTGCCGGATGACATGCTGGACGTGGACAACGCGCGGGATAACTTTCTGCGGAGAGCAGCATGCCCGTCGCCGCGGCCTCCTGACATTGACTGGGTTGACATATTGTAAGGCGGCGGTGGGGGAATGAGGACAGTCCAAGTCGATACTCCAGGTATGATATCGACAGCGGTGGGCAGACGACGATGGCCAAGCTCCGGGAACGGGATCAATGCAAGTAAAGTCGAGAGGATTAGCAGTACTGCGTAATCTGGTAGTACGAAGATGCTGATGTTGTTTGTTGGTGTTGTTGAGTAAATGTGATGGTGGTCAAGACAAGTTTGCATACATGTAGGTAGAGAGGAAGGACACTGCCCATCCCTTATTGTTGGGAAGTGACGGTTCTCGCAGTTGCTGTCTAACAACACGTCTGTTCCTGTGGCAGTTGTGTGTAGGGGGACATTCTCAGTCTTATAGGAAGGGCCAGCTCAACAGATCAACCACATGCCAATAACTTCATGTTCAGGCTCTGCCGCAACTTTGAGCTAATTAACGGTTGTTTTGATTTCTTTTTTGGTGGCTCATGGCTGAACTTTGTTCATCTTCTCCCTCGACCTCAACGCCAATATGGCTCCAGCGAAACCTTCGCACACCCACATGCCAATGAAAATATTGGCTCGGACCGTTCACGGAGCGTTTGCTCGTGATTGGACCCTCGCCGTGTTATGTTAAGCCACGCCACCCACGTAGGCGCATCATGAGGGCACCACGCCCTCCCTACCAATGTAATCCACGCGGGTATTATCAATAGCTCCGTGATGATTGCCGTCTACCTATAGAGAGTAGCATGATCACATTACAAAACCAAGGTCAAACTCCCTCCCCATGAACCAATGCCCAGGTCGTCTCTCATTACTGGTAAGAGTGGATTCATCAAGCCAAGCGCACATGTCACCGGCTCAGACTTAGTAGACCCTCGATATACTTGTACGTGTCCACACCCATACCCTGAGCAAGACGACTCGCCCCGTCTGCCCAACCTCCACTGCCCTCCGCATATGAGCTGCTGACTGCCCTGAGGCCAGTATGCTCGCCTGCACGACGGATGAGAAAGATCTCCTTGGTGACCCTGGGCTTTGGACGTGCATTGGTCTTCCCGGGGCCACGAGATTCAATGCTTTCATCCGACATAGCCGTCGGTAGTCCAGGGCGGGTGGCGGCTTCCGAATCCTCGGAGCCTTGCGAGCCACTCTTGCCCTGGCGTATGGGGAACGGGCTAGCCCTTTCCATGATGCGCGTCCAAACAACCCACCAGCCACGATTTGTCTTACAGGTTCGTTCAAGCTCGGAGTAGTCAGAGAGTGTTGCAATGTAGGTGTTTAGAATCTGATTGTGAGTGTTGATTGCCTCGGCTCGGGACCAAAGCGGTGGTGTATTGGTCTGAAGCATATGTGCTGTTGTGGGTATGCTTGGGATGGTAGATTGAACGGTCATGGCCTTCGGGTCCCAGATGAGGTCGAAGATGTGTGACGCCGTGGCACCAATATCTGGCTTTCCGGGTCGGAATGCGGTGGATGCTGTCAGTGGTTCTCGGAGGGGCGCGAGCTGATGATGCAGGGACTTGTAGAGGCTGTCCCATGCCAATGAATCGGTCCTATTCTCGAAGAGAAATGTGTAAACGAACGGCCGGTTGACGTAGACCACGACTCGCACTTTCTGGGTCTTGTTACGGTCCTGACTGTCAAATTGCGAGTTGGGGTCCATCGAGTCTTTGAGGCCAGACTTCATCGTTGTTAACTCGGTATTCTGACTTCCAAGATCCTGTACCGTCTCTTCCTCGGTACGATGATGATTATCGAGCTCTACCGTCAAGGTCCGGACCCGAACCCTTGAGTTGTATTCAGCATCGTGGGAGGTACCGTCGGACTCTGTTCTGCTCTCGTCGAGACGACTAGCCTCGGCCTCCTTGTCCTCTATGTCTCCCAGAAGCCCAACGAAATAGTGACCCGAGGCGTCGCCGGGTGCTTTGGAAGTATCACCAGGTGATGCACTCGAAAGGGCATCATCTTTCTGCGAGACTTGTGTCGTTGCTGCCCCGTCCTGCGTCTTGCCCTCGGTGCCAGCAGAGCCGCCCAAGGTCCAGTGACTACCATACCCCATCTTAAGGTAACCCATCAATTTGTTCACCCCGCCTTCGTCCGTGGTCTCGTCGGATTGCTGTACCGATGCTGTGTCCGGTAGTTTGGATCCTGCGGGTTGAGTTTGACTGCCAGCGTGCTTTGAGTTGGCAGGGTTTCTTCTCCCGGAGACTCCTCTAGAGTGACCGCTCGTATCCTTACTACCTGCAGCCGACTGTCGCGGTCTCCGAGCTTGTCGCATGGACGTAGGGCTGTCCTTAACCCCATACGCATTTTCGCCCCAAGTGTAGAGGTCTTCCATCCAGTACGTGACGTCACGCAGGGACTTTCTTGACAGGGCGCCAACACCTAGGAATATGGCACCGTCTTCGGCACCGGGTTCGTTCCCGTGGCCGAACCACGTTGGCGGGGTTTCGCTGTCTGGTCTGCTGTTCTTGGCAGGCTCAGTATCTGGGTCGGGCTCTGAAGGGCCAAACCTGGAGACAATCAAGTCCACGAGACCCTCGACCCTATCGACAAAGCCCTCGAGAACCTCTCTCTCGCCGCTTCCACGCTCCTCCTCGCCCACACCCACACCGAGCTCACCACAAGCTGCGATCCTAATGCCTCCGAAGACGCTGGTGGCAGGGTTGTCGTGCAGCATAACGTCCCATGTCGACAGGTAGAGGTCCCAGTACCGTCCTAGTATTGAGACAAACTTTGTTCGCTTCGATTTCACGAAAAGCGCACTCAATGACGCCGCATGGTGTAACAGAAATATGGAATGGGCTCGGAGAAGGTCGCGCAGGAGCAGCACCGCTGGTTTGAGCTCTCGTGAAGTATACTCGACGTTCTCAGACCGATCGTTCTCCTTGCTCGCGGCGGGTGCTCCAAGCCTCGGTGGAAGCGGGATTTTGGTGAGGTCGATTGACTAGACGAAAGCGATATTAGTGACCTGCTGGGTGCTGGGAGAGACGGTCAGTCGACCTACCGCCAGAATCCACCAGCCAGGTTCCAGCTCGTGCAGCACAACACGGCTCTTCTCCGTCTCTATGGTGTCAACCGGTTTGCCGTTGGAGAAGCCGCGGCTGAACTCGGCCATGCCTTGCGCAAGGCCAATCTGTCTCAGGCGCTCGTTCCGCTCTTCTTGCGATATGTCGTCGGTAGGCTTGCCACTACCACGCGAGCGATGGCGGCGCTTCGGGGACAGCTGGGTGTTGACCGAGGCATAATACACGACCTTGTCGTCGATAGTCTCGTCGGTGCTTCCCAAGGAGGGGTTGAATATTGCCAGGAAGCCCAGCTGCGCCGGTGTGACGGCCGCTGGAGCGGGAGAGGATGGCGCGGCCATTGCGAGAAGAGAGAAGGGCTATGACATGAGGAGGAAAGGCATTGGATGAAGTCGGAAGGATTCAGAGACTGCAATAGGACAAGAAGATGTGAACCTAGGGGAAATATAGTCGGTCTGTCGGTTCACAAGTATTGGACCTTTCAGCAATGCGCGACGAGTGACGTGTAGGTACTACCGCAAATGCAAATGCAAAGCGCAAACGACGACGAATCGACGACAGCGAAGACGGGACTCTGCCACACCGACACGAGTCGAGCTCAGCTTGAAAGCCTCAACTTGGGACTTGGGTGCGACAGGTGAGAGGTGAGAGGTGAGTGAATAACACAAGGTACATCCAATAGGACGTAGGTAATAAGCGAGGTCCAGGTGTACCACTTAGGTACCTAAGACTGCAGGTGCAGTAAATGGTGGGGTTTATGATCGGGATCGGTGTTTTTACCATCGCTTTCCCAAAAGCCATGCCAGATTCACCATCTGCCCCCTATGAAAGTATGCTCACGTCAGATCTGCCCGGTTGATGGAAATGCCAGATACCATCTAATGCCCAGTGACTTTGCTTTCCTACTCGTTACCGTTGCTGGCGGCCTCACTGAAGGTCCACACCGTGTAAGCCTTATTTGTTGCCCCTTGGTCATGCTAGTGCAGCACCCGACGCGCGACGAGTAAGTCTATTCTGCCATACCAAAAAAGCTATTCTGCCATGCTTTAGCCCCATTCGGATAGCGTCGTGCATTGCAGCCCTCAGCCCACTGTACTTACAGCGCCTAGTCCACTTTAATTACAACGCGCAGCTCAACACCACAACGCATCACCACCATCACCACCACCACCACCACCGTCACGGCGCACACAAGGACACATTCACAGATAGGGGGCTCGCACCGCCCCCCAAACCCCCGGCTGACCCTAACCGCTAACCCCAGCCCTAACCGTACGTCGCTGCGAGATTTTCTCTGCATTGAACGATAAGATCATGAATGGTACCTCTGGTTTGTTGAAGAGCGCACCCAAATGGATGTATTCACGATGCCGAGAGAGATGGTGGGAGAATGAGAGTGCAGCGGCCAATTGGAGGTGGGACGCTATCCAAATGGGGCTAAAGCATGGCAGAGTAGCTTTTTTGGTATGGCAGAATAGACTTACTCGCGCGCGACCTGTGCATTCTTTTAATAAGAGGCAATGGACCATCAACAAACCCTTAAAGGCAGGACACAACCCAAGTCCTTCCACCATGTTAAACTTGACCGCCTGCGATGGCTCCTAACTGGCATCTCATGTGCATGGCGCGTTCACGAACTTGATATAATCAATTAAATATTGATCTTCCTATTGCCAAAAGACGGCAATCGCTGTAAAACTACAACCATCATGAATCCAACCAGCAGGCTCCGACCGGTGCGCCGATCTCTGGGTTGCGGCGCCAACTGCTGCCGTCTAGTTATGCCGCATCAAAACTGATACACCGCGGCTTGCTGATAATGTGCGAACACTCCTATCGGACGCCATCTGATGCTATTGGCGTGCTGAGACGCCTATGCCTCGAATGGGTCAGGGCATGTTCTTCTTGGAAGAGAACTGGTCGTGCGATAGGAATGCGTCGTTATTTACGCGAATAAGGTGCCGAGTACCCAACAGGCCCTTCTGTCGGAAGCCAAAATCCCATAATGAACACCTTCCACGCGATAGATGCCGTCGAAAACAAGATCAACTCCGGTCCCGTTTGTCATGATTTCGTCCCGGTATCGACAGACACCAGGACAAAGCCCAGTTACAAAAATCCTCGAGCTTCGGGCGGCTTGACCCATGCCTAGTGGTCATAGCCTGCACCTCGTTGCCAGGGGCTAGTCAAATGTTAGTACGGATACAGTATCATAGCGAGTCCGGGAAAACTCACCTTGCATTGTTCTGTGCTCTAAACCCGCTGGGAGTCGAGTTGTTTTGCGCCCGGAATGAGCCTGGCGAGTCGCTATATGGACTCGGGGCTCGCTGTGGTCCTCCGCTCGCCGGGAATAGTGGCACCGACGGGTCCACAGGCGAGCGAGGAGGGTTTGAGTTGTTTCGGCCGCGAGAGCTGTTCGGGTCTGCCATTGGTAGCTCCAGGTTCGACGTATCTGTGCGGCGCCGCAGAGACGCCGACGAAATGGACTCGTTGTCGTCGTCAAGGTCCAAGCCATGCTTGCTGTATCCGGCCTTGTCACCACGGGCAGTGGCCGCGAGCGCATCCAGCTCGGTCGTACCGGTCAGTTGGGATTGCGACTTCATGAACGAGGCTCGGTCGTCAGCCATGAACTGGTAGCGGGTATCCGGGTTCTTGCGGTAGAAGACAAGCGTCGTTGAGATGATGACCATGATTAGGAGGACAGTGGCGAAGATGGCGTTGAGGAAAAACAGGATGAGGCCGATGACACCATTGACTATCGCAGGCTGGTTAAAGACGTCGGAGAAAATCAGAAGGAAAATGGCGTTGATGAAGTTGACGGCGCAGATGGCGATGTTGAACGAGTTGGTGCTCTTGTCCATCCAGGGGCGGAGTACACTGGCCGCGATGAGGGCACCAGCTTCGATAATGAGGAATCCGATGGCCTGGGCAGTACCGCTGCCTTGGGCGAAAGCGATGAACAGCGACTTGACCAGCGTGTAACCAAGGACAGGAATGACGAAGTAGTAAGCCGAGGCCCGGAACTGGACATACAGGAAGCCCCATTTGTTCAGTGCTTGAGGGTCTGAGAACAAGATGTAAGCCGGGTTCCGGTGCATGGCGACAGACCGACGCGCAATGCGAATAACCTTGCTGGCAGCCCAGCCAAGAGTGACGGTCATTCCAACGAGGAAGAAGACAGCCAAAACGACTTCGGCGGGGGAGTCGACCTGGGTGAACTCCCAGAGACAGAGAATGGACATCTGGGGGTAGCCAATTAACGTCAGGCGGAAGAGGATTCCCTTGAGGACAGTGAGCCAGCCGTTACGGAACTCCAGGAAAGTGTCGCTTTTAATCCACTTCTGCTTTGCTGCCAGTTCACAGTAGCCCTTGAAAGCAGCAACACCTGCAATGGTGAACACGACAAACAGGCAGAAGAAGACCAAACCCGTCATGAACAAGTTGGTCGTCTCGATCCCAGCCTTGAAAGCGACACGCTGAATTCCGTACACTAGGAAACTTCCCGAGCCCGTCGTGACGTTGCCTCGCTTGAGAAGCGCGCCAGCGGCTCGCGGAAGCATGGAAGCTGATCGCCGGTACAGGTCCACAGCAGCGTCGGGTAGCAGCGAGAGACCACGCTTTTCAACCTGTACCGAGACAGTGGACAGAGAGTCGAATATGGTTGAAGGGGTTCCGCCGGTGGCTCGCTGATACCAGGTGAAGATATCCTGCATGAAATTGACGTTGATGATACCCATCGACCACTGGAAATCCTGGGTCCAAGACTGAACAACCGGGGGCAGGTGGATGCCGGTAAGACCGAGCATAGCCTGGGCCTGGAAGAAGCCGAAGAGCGAAAGAGCACCGGAGGCGATGTGAGCAGCGGCGTTGGAGTGGCCCAGACCGTTGATAACAGCCGAGGAGCAGAAAACCAGACCAGCAATAATAGCAAGAATCCACTTGACAGCGATCAAATCAACTGTCTTTCCGTTGGAGATATCGGCTTCGACGCAGGCGACGCTCTCCCCGGTATCCGTCATATTCAAGGTAACTTTGACGGTGGCATCGAGATCGGGGAAAGTGTAGGCGATTCCGGGGATCTGCGAGGCGGCGTCTTTGCCGACCGGCAAGACAAAGTCCAAGGGGATCTTACCGGCGGTCATGGGGCACATACCAGCCAGCCCCGTCTTGCAGGGGTCGATGGTCGTCCGGATGATTTCGTATCCATAGGCGGAGATGGCGATGTCAAAAACGACACTTCCTTCGACAGAGGACGTCGCGACGATGCTGAGGGAAGCCGAGCTGTTGCTGGGGGTGTAGACAACTTTGAACAGACTCGCGGTGAACATGGAGTTCTCCTGGCAGGTGTTCAATGAGTTGGACGTCAGCATAGCCTCTGCAGAGACGCCGGGCAGGAGAGCCACGGCAGCCAATGCGGTGAGGCATAAGGGTCGTAAGGCCGAAAACCACATGGTGGTTGTTTCTGGGGTGGTTTCGCGGATGAAATTATTAGAGTATGTTGTCAGTTCCTCTCGCAGAGAAGATGTTGTTTGTCACGCCTTTCCCAAGAGCCTCCCCTTGTTGTTCCAATCTATTGAAAGAGGCCGAACAATCAATTACATGTGTGACCAAATGCCGGGCTGTTGTCGACAAAGAAAGCGACCGGTGAGTGGCTCGCGGATGCGAGTACTTCTCGACGTCGAAGATGGGCGGATCCCAATGTTGGCGGCGGACTGAACAGCGAGCGAGGGAGTGTATGCCAGCTTGTGGCAGTCGAGATGGTGGTCTTGGTCGGTCGTGCGATTTCCAATTCCGTCCTATCCTCCGTAACGAGTGCGGGTGGTGAATTAAAAGCCTCGTCTCTTTCCTTAGGTCGAAGGCGTTGCTGGATGGTGGAACGAAAGCAATACCCGTTCGCGGAATGGGAATGTGCTCTGGACTTCGTCGGTCGGCCGGTGATGGAAGGAGAGTCGGGTAGAGGGAAATAGTGGAGGGTCGTCCAAGAGGAACTGGAAAGGTGGAAAGAGGGTTTCAAGTGAGTGACTTGGGGTAAGTTCAGGTTTGTTGATGGGAGGCAAGGAGGGCACGCACGCAAGCAGGCACGGGAGGAGGCGAGGAGGAAGGAGACTGGTGGACGTGCTAGAGTTTCGGACGTATGAAGGCCAGCACTGAGCTGAGCAGGTGGCAGGTCGGGAAGGTGAACAGAAGTTGCAGCTGCAGTTGCGTGGCAGCGTTTGGCAGTGGAAACTGGAAAGGAGAGACGGGAGGCCAGACTGGGACGCTCAGAACACGGGGAGCAGGGGGGCAGGGAGCCAGTAGTGCAGGTGGGCAGTGCGATGAATGGAGGGTATGGAGCGTCCAGAGTGGCCGGGGGACAGCTGGAGGCGGCGAGTGGCCTAGAAATCCGTACAGAGCCCCCAAAACTCGCTGTGCAGCAGACCCGGATCAGGGGGAATTGCCTTCACTGTTCAGGTACCCACCTGCACCTATTCAACATTGAAATTACCTGTACGCGCATGATGGGGCCGGATACCTCTGCAGGCCCACACATAATGTACCACCCTTATTTCGTTTCGCTGCTATTGTTACTCAGCCATCTGCCGCACTGCCATGTCACCTCACATCAATGTTAGTTCCGCATTCTGAAAGGGGTCCTCCGCCGCCCTGAATACACTAGACTCCCCTGCAGCTGAAGTCTCGACGCTGGCAGCCAAGCTGGCCCAAGCACTCGATGCCTTGGCCCATTGGTGTCGGGATTCGTTGACCAAAGCGCCAGTGAAGAATTCCTGGAAGTGAAGGATTAGCGATGAGCAACATTGGAGTGGACGATTGCATCATAGGACATCCATCCGACACCCATTCTGCCATTCAGATATGTATCGCAGACCTGTCTGTCAGTGCCGTCTCTTCCATTCATCAATCCAACATCCAATGGACACGCCACGGCTGAACGAAACACGACGTCGATGACCATGACATGAAAGACATGTCCCCGACTCCCCGGCGGCAGAGCGGGGATCGGCATTCTTCGCCCTGCGACACTTCGTGTTTTGGTGCGCGCCAGCCGGTCACCATTGGGTTGGCGACTCTGCACTGCCACCCTCGGCGAGCCGCGAGCCGGCAACCCCAATCTCCCTCTCTCCCTTGATGAAACCATTTGTGTTTTTCCCACGAACTGCAGTTGGCCGAGCATACGACTGGGCATTAAAGGTCGCGCTTGGCTTGCTTGCCACCGCCGGATCCGAACATGTCGATGCCCAGCTTCATTAGTATTTGTGCTTTCGTGGGTTAGTACTCGACACTGCCACTTCCATCATCGCCCACGACCGATTCGAACGTCCAAGTAGACGAAGCGCCGAATCTTGCCCAGTGGCAGCTGTTATGCAACAGCGAAAGGGTCACTAGACATTAGTTCCATCAATGCATGGCAGACTACCAGTGGCTGCCATCCCTTTATACGGGGACCACAATTATTCTATTTGGAAGCGTCTGCCTCTGTTCTCCAAACATGCTTATTATACGGCTACAGAAATACCGGATGGGCTTCGGTACGTGCCACAAGCGCTGGTGAACCATGGGATGTGCGTTCGTTCCCTCAAAGCCTGAAGGGCCGAAGCGGCATCAGTCTAATAACCCGGATGGCACGGAGGAACGATGGGACGGATCCTCTCGGCAGGCAGTTATGCAGCATCCCGCTGCAGGTACCAATCCTACCGCATATTCTTGGGATTAGAAGCCGCATGTGAAATGTAGCCGCACGGCGAAGTCAGAACGCACAAGCTTTCTCCGCTAACCGCCAGACTGGAGACTCGAAGACGAACAACAGTTGAGACAACCAGCTTTGCTCGTGGGCAGGCATATTCCCGTATCGAGTTGTGCTGTTTTCGACCACGGGCGTACAGTTATACTCGGACTACAAGTGCCCACAGCACGACTTGAATCCCTAGGTACAATCACCCCCCATAAGTCTCCGTCTGGCATGTCTCTAGCCATTCTTGGATATCATGCTTTATTCCATTTACAATAAACATACCTCTTGCTTGCTGAACGAGAGGTGTACATAGATTTTTGGAGGTTCATTGTACACAGCAAGTGGTTCTACGTATAATAATGGCATCAACACATACTATAATCGAGGTTTTTTACAATCCTCTACGTGGACGACTTCACGTTTAAACTGCTCTTGATGCTTAGCTCACGTGTACTTTCATGTGTTCGAACATTCAGTACGACTTAGTGGTATCTAGGTAGGTATCTACAAACTCCAATAACAACACGAACACCAGATGCAGCCCCTCGCTGACCCGACATCGAAAAGCAGCCGCAGCGATATGCAAGTGACAGCATATCCGCCTTTCCAGAAAATGCAAGTTCCCTCAACGCCATGCACTTACACCCAGCAATTGTATGATTCCATCAGTTGCTGCCTTGTCCATAAACGGACGCTCAAAAGAGCTGCCACTCCGTAAGCCACGGCTTGTTCCCCTGCGCCGCATCGATGCCGTGCTTGTAGTTCCCCGACAGCTCCTCCTCGTCGACGCCGCAGTGCGTCTGGCCGTCGCGGCCGTCGAACCAGCCCAGCCCGTACGTCTTGCCGATGTCGTCGAGGCGCCGCATCATCTGCGCGTTGGTGAACTTGGCCGTGCCGACAAAGTCGTACAGCATCTTGCTCTGGTGCATGAAGGCCAGCACGCTGGCGATGGTGTTGGGCTGCCGCGGCAGGAAGGGGTGGCGGCGGCGCACAAACACCACGCCCGCCACGACGGCGAGGTAGATGAGGATGAAGACGGTCAGCGCGAGCGTCACGACGAACGAGCGCACCGTCTCCGAGCCCGAGCCCAGCCCCTTGTCGAGGGAGTGCTCGCCCTCCGAGACGCGCGACAGGAAGTCCCTGCCCTCGATCGCCGCCAGGCTCGTCGCGAAGATGGTCAGGCCCTCCACCATGACGGTGCCCCAGCCGACCAGGACCACGACCCAGTGCCGGTTGTAGAGCGCGCGCAGGGCCACCGCCGCGAACGGCATGGCCGTGTAGTCGAGCGTCAGCGTCTTGGCCGGCGCGTGCCGCTTCGACAGGATGTAGTACGGCTCCATCATGCGGATCGCCGTCTCTAGGGATCCCCAGCCCAGCTTGATGCACACGGCGAGCGCCGTCACCACCCACGGTGCGTGCTCTGTCAGCGCGCTCGCCGGGGTGAAGAGGAACACCGGTATGAAGCCCAGGAACAGTAGGATCCCCGCAATGAACGGAATACAGCCTCTTGCCCGCAGCATCAGCGGGTGTGGGTTCTCCGAGAGGTGCGTTTCGTTGTAGCTGTCGATCTCGCGCCGGCTGACCGGTGTCTTCGAGTCGTCCTCGGGCGCCAGCGACGAATTACGCAGCACATACCGGTGGTTCTTAAGCCTGCGATGGATGTCCTTGGGCTTCACTGTGTCCATGTCCTTGAAGTCCATCATGATGTGGGAGACGACGGCCATCGACGCCAGCCCGGCGATCCCCTTGACGTCAGACAGCAGACCCGACCGTCGGGTGTTGAGCTGGTAGTAGAGCACGCATCCCAGCATAGCGATGACGAAGAATGTGATGGTCAGGAGCCGAGATAGCGTGGAGCTGACTGTAATAGTCTTCTCCAGACTCGGGTCGGATAGCCGCATGGCCCGGCTTGGGTTCAGAACCAGAGCGGCGGAGCCCAGGGTCGGAACCAGGGAGACGGCAAGTAGCGTAGCCACAGACGATACAGCCACCGCATAATGCTTCCGTTGCAATGCGAAGAGCGGTCGGGCGAAGTTGAACATGGTAATATAATCGACATTGATCGACTCGGCCGCCAGCGCCCCTCCCTCCTTGGACATCTGGTAGTACGCCTCCAATCGACTGACCTCGAAGTCGGTACACTGCCATAGCACGCCATATGTAACCGTGATAATGGTCGGCACGTACTTGAACACGAAGTAAAATCCCGGGTCGATGTCCTCAGCCTTGGTGAAACTGATCAGTGGTTTTCGCGTTGCCTGCTGGTACAAAACCTCTTGGCAGATAGCGAGCGCGATGGACAGCACGATCATGAAGAGGAGATAAGGCCACCGCAGCCAGAACGGCTTCCAGTTGGGCTGTGGGTAGAAGACGCGCTTCTGCGACGTCTGTGCCGGCAACGTTATCGAATGCCGTGCGCGATCCGGATCCATGCCCATCGGACTCGGGCCCACCATAGAACTCAAATCCACATCGGCGGACTCCTCTTCTATAATGACCTCGATGACCTCTCCCCTTTTATTCGCCTCTTCCTGCCCGAGATCCTCCCATCCCCCCGAGCGCGAGCCCGCGCTCGGCGTCCGCGTCCGCCGCATCGACAATGACTGCGTCAGGGTTCGCCGCAGAGACGGCATAGGCGACAGCAGCTGGTCGCCCTTGATGACGGTATTCGGGCTCTGCTCGCCCTGGCCCAGCCCGCCCGTCAGCTGGCCACTGGCCTCCTGCACCTGTAACGTCTTGAGAAACTCATCGTCGTGCGTGCCCATCGGCCCCGCGAACGACGTCAGGTCAAATGCCGGCTCGGTCGCTGACACTGGAGCGTAAGATGAAGGCGACTGGCCCGGCGGTGCTGCCGAGCGCAGGAGCGACATGTCGATGCTCTCGTCCTCGTGGATGGTGGTCTCCGGCTGCGCAACCCGTGCGCGGAAGCTCTTGAAGCGCCCGCCGAGGCCGGACGCAGACGTGGATGGGGACACGGGCTGGAATCGTCCTCCTGCGCCGCCCAAAGATGGCAGTGGTACCGACCATGACGCTCGACTGTAGTCATTCTCCTCCGATACGTTGCCTAGCGGCGGTGACTCGTGGTACGACTGCAGCGACACGAGGGATTCGCGGCCCCGCAGTCCCGAGCTGCTATCTGCGTCGGAAAGGCCGGATATCTTGTGGTTGAGGCCATGACTGGACCGTCTGTCTGGCTGGGTGTTGGGATGGTAGCTATTGTAGGCCATGGTTGCTATCGGCGCATGATGCCGCGGGGTTGGGGAGGGGTCGTGATCAGGGCTTTTGGCGGTTTGGAAATGAGAGGTGACGCCCTGCACTGTGTAGGTCCTACTTTCAGCTTCCCTCAAATCAGCTGGTCCTGCGAGTGACAGTTGCCGTCGCTTCTGGTGCGCTCTAAGAGGACTTATGCGCTGCAAGATTATTCGCCTTGGCTGGGGTCAACACCCTCAGTCACACACTGCCCATTAACAATTATACCATCATGAGCTCTACAATCGTGCAGTTATATGTTCGAACGAAAGCAGCGGGAGCGCAGGTGGTCGAGGAGATCAGTAGAAGCAGTTGTGACCGGTCGGTTCGTCTGATCTGCCCAGGGTAGGTAGATGATTATGATCGGGCTCGAACGCGTTGAACTGTAGCCAGGCTGAAACTATTGCGAACAGGCAGGTGAGGGGCGCAGAGGCGGTCTGGGTCGAGAGATGAGTTGTGGATTATGATTTATCATTACCGATTAAGATGGTGTCTTCAAAGAATATGGAAGGAAGAGGACGGGAGCGACATGGGAACAGGCAGCGCTATCGCAAGCAAACATTTCAGGTCCTCTCCTCGAGATCGGAACTCGCGGTTCATGGTCTGGCGGGATTGCTGGCGCAGTCGCTGAGGCTGCGTGTGCTACAGTAAATGTAGGACTTGCGCATTTCAGCCCCCAATATTAACACAAACATTCAGCTTGTTGGTTCTGGGGAGATTGATACCAATCGACAGACTCCAGAGGAGACAATCACAAGAGAAGAGGGGTCCCGCGAACTGCATGGTTTCTGTGCAGGATTCCCCATGGTCCTCGTACCTGACCGCTGCTCGGGACTGGGCTGGCCGTCAATGGACTTCCGGCTGGGCTTGCCCTGGCTGATTGCAGCATGTTCATCACCCCGAAGATCTGGTTCTCTTCCTCTTGACCATGATAAACCAACCGAAGCCTGTCGTCACACGTGACGGCGTCAAATGAGAAGAAGCCTTCACACCCAGTCCATTCACCTATCGACCCACCCGGCCACGCCCTGGCGAGCTGTTCGTCCGATGGTTCATGAAGGACAGGTCCATACGGGCAGACGGTGACTCCATCCTCACAGAACCAAGCGTCACTACATGTACTTCACCAGACATGACAAGTCATCACGAAAACGGAGAGCCCCCCTTTCCCTTATATCGTACGACAGCAAACCACTTCGTGACACCACCAGCAGCGCTACGGAAACGGTTCCTCACGAAATGAGAACTGCCGTACACCGCCAATCTGCCCATCGTCAACAAGGCAGCGGCCATCACATGAGCGCACCGCCAGGACGCACACGTCGTCGGCGGCATAGCATTCACAGCGCGGTGATTTGCCCCCGGGTCGATCTCTGACTTGTCGTCGCTGCCGTTGCTCAGGGAGATGTTTCCCGCAGCCCGTCGCACGCGAGAAGAGCGAACTAGGGACTCTGTGGTGATCTGTGGTATTCGGGCAGAATCCAGCCGCCTATCGCAGCTCGTCCCAGCGTCCCACGGTCACGCCTTGTTCCGATTCCCGTCGTCGTGTCATGCGATGCTGCTGCTGATGCCGTTGCCTATTCACCTAGCGTCGCCAGCGACCGGCAGCCCGTCCCGGTGGTGTCATATAGGTAGGTCAGTATCGTACCGAGGCCATTGCCAGTCAGTATCTACCAGCCATGTGTCCAGACCACACCGCCGTTCTTGCCTTTCCCTCGCAAGTCATGGGCGCTGCCTCCGACTGACCAGTCACCAACACCACACACCTCTCCTTTGACTTGATCGTCTCTTGCTCTCGTTGTTGTCCGGTGCTATCCACATGTCTGTCGTCATGGTGGGCTCCATCATCTGGACCGACGAGGAGACTCGTTACTTCCAGGCCCTGCTCGCCTGGGAACCCACTAAGGCCGAAGACGGCACCACCAGGAAGTCCGCCCTTCCAGAAAGACCCCCCGCTGGTGAATTCAGGGTCCTTGTTCTAGGGGCTAAGGGTTGTGGCAAGACATCCATACTCACGAGGGTAGGCCCATCTCATCGCCCATCCTGCCTTCCGTGCGTGCCTATCTAAATCACAAGATGCAGTTCTGTCAGGGCGCTTCCACCGGTAAGAGCAACCCGTCTCCCAACCCGGACTACGAGCGGGGATGCCGCCGTAGAGTCCGCATCGAGGAAGAGACGTACGTGGTCGACGCCCTCGAGCTGCCCTCGCAGCACCTGCTGAACGAGCACTACGTCCAGCAAGCGGCCAACATAACGGAAGCGGCAGCCCTGGTGTACGACGTCGGGTCCCGGGACTCGTTCGAAGTCCTGCAGGGCATATTCGACACCATCCGCGAGACGGTAGGGAAGCGGGAATATGGGCTTATCCGTATGTGAACCATCGACTCATTTTGCATCCCCCTACTGACCATCCACCGCCCCTATCACAGTCATAGGCAACAAATCCGACAGCGACGCCGACGACGACGCGCGCCAGGTCCCCTGGGCCGAGGGCTACAAGCTAGCCCAGAGCCAGATTAAGCTGCGCTGCATGTTCCTCGAGACGTCGGCGCGCACGGGCGAGAACGTCGATAAGCTCTTCCCGCAGCTGGGCAAGGAGGTGCTCCGGCTCAGACGGCTCGTGCAGCAGCGGAGAGTGCAGCAGCAGCAGCACCAGCAGCTACTGGCCGAGCAGGGGGACACGGAAGGTATGGAGGCTGATCTTATACAGGGGAAGCGGTCGCTGCCGAAGTGGAAGGCCTGGACGCGGCCCTGGCTTCGGCGCAAGTCGGAGGCGAGGAAGGCTGCTGCTGTTGCTTGACTTCGACTTGTGTATCTCGGTTTTATGTGGCAGGTACAAGTTGCGCTGTTTGATACATATGTATCTGCGTGGGAGGCCCCGGCTACCAATATCACTCTTCTTTGCCGCGATGAGCGCTCCAAAACATAGTGGACATGTATCAACGAACAATGTGCACGCAACTATACCCATACAATGTGCCCTGCCTTCCTTCCCTCGCCGCACTCGCTGACTCACTTCCCACAACGCTCAATCGAATCAATGAAACTGATCCTCAGTAACCCCCTTCCCCATAGCCGCCGTGCTGCTCACGCCACCCGTGACCATCTTCAGCATCTCGTCGGCGTAGGTAGCGCCGCTCCACTTCTGGTGCTTGACAACATCAATACCACCCTCCATCTCGGGCTCCTGGACGAGCTCGCCGTAGGCGCGCATGCCGACCTTGGCGTAGGATCTGGCGAACTGGTCGCTGATCAGCGCCGTCGTGTGCAGGCCCGCCAGCGTGATGAACTGCCAGCAGTAGCCCAGCTGCGCGAGCCGCCGGATGTAGGTCTCCTGCTCGGCGCGCGGCATCGCCGTCTTCCAGTTGAACGAGGGGGAGAGGTTGTAGGCTAGTCTGTGGGTTGCGGGACGGTGTTGGTTAGTCTTTTGGTCTGTCTGCCTGTTCTTTCGCTTCTGGGACTTATAGGGTGGGAATAATGGAGGGAGAAGGTGATGCACGAGAGCAGGAGTGGGATTACGCAGAAAAGGGGGGGAAAGGGGGGGGGGGGGGGGGGGGGGGGGGGGGGGGGGGAGAACTCACTTCTGCTCCGGCCAGACAGCATGTATGCCCTCGGCAAACTCCTGCGCCTGCTTGAAATCCGGCAGCTTGCTCTCCATCCAGATAGCATCGCAGTACGGCGCATACGCCACGGCGCGGTTGATCGCACAGTCACACCCGCCCTTCATCCGGTAGTAGCCCTCGCGCGTCCGCGCCGCCTCCCAGTCAAAGAAGATGTCGACCTTCAAGATGCCGTGCGCGAGGGCGCGCGCCTCGGTGTGGCTCTTGCCCCGCGACTGCGCCATGTACTGCGCGACGAGGTCCTTCTTGTTGGGCAGGGACCCGGCGTTGATGGCTTCGACTACGGCGTCGTCGAAGCGCTTGAGGCCCGCCTGCCGCGTCCACTCGTCCTCGATGGCCTGCAGCTCGTCGCCGTTCTTGCCGGCCCGCTCCGCGGCAACCATCAGGTCGTTGAGCGGCTGCAGGTTCGGGTTCGTCGACCCCATGATGAAGGCGTGGTCGCGCGGGTCGATGGTCGTCGTGATGAGCGTCGCCGCCTCGGCGTCGGTGCGCGCCACGGCTAGCAGGTCCGTCCCCATAATGTCGGCCTGCGCGCGGATGGCGACGAGGCGGTTGATGTGCTCGCTGATGGGCACCAGCACCTTGCCCGCCATGTGGCCACACTTCTTGGTGCCCGGCGCCTGGTCCTCAATGTGGATGCCCGCGGCGCCCTGCTCGATGAAGAGCTTAGTGAGCTTCATCACCGCTGTCAGCCCACCATGGCCTGTGTCTGCATCCGCGATGATCGGCCGTAGGTAGTCGATGTTGGCCATCTTCGCTCGGGCAGCTTTCGGGGCGCTGAGGCGTTCTTGTCTCTGCTTCCGGTCGTGGAATAGCTGGGCCATGAAGAGGTGTTTCACCTTGTTCGGGACGGTGGTCTTTTCGTCGTCAGTCTAAAAATCTAGAGGCTACTATAGCTAGCAAGCGGTTTACTCACGTATGGGTAGTCTGCCAGATCCGGCCCGGGCTCATCGGAAGAAGACGCAGTCGACGATGATTGCCAGCCTGATACATAGACCGTATCCAGGTACTTGGCCATCTGCGTGACCATGGTCGGTTCTAAGCAGCCATAGGTGTAGCTGGCATCACGGTTCTAGTCTGTTTTCAGCATGTAGACAACCACCGTTTCACTCGTACGTGTCAACTCACCTTGAAGCGGCCCTCCAGGATGGTCCACAACTTTTTCGACTGCGCATTGCTGGGGTACTGCATTGGCAGATGACCTCGCTTCGAGACGATCTGCTCGGCAGTGAAGGGCCGCTTGGTGTACCTCCATCTTGGATCACTCCACCACTTCTTGACGGCCTCAACCTCCTTTGCGAACAGCTCATCCTCAACGTTAGGATCCACGGCCGTGTTGATCATGTTATTAGACGCCATGGTGAGGGACACAAGGCAGCAATATTTCACTTGAGACGATATACGTAAGGGCTCAGGCTTCGGCGAGGGGTGGCCGGGGCTTCAGGAGTGAGGAGGTCTCGCTAGAAAGAAAGTTCGAGTCGATGGAATGTAGGTTGTACTACCACTCAGGCCAGGGACGTGAGGAAGCTAAGAGCCGTTTAGACGGGTAAAAAAGAGATATGGATAGATCGAGAAACCCAGCATATTGAGTTCTAGTCCTCAGGATAGTCAAGAGGAGTAGGAGAGAAACACAGAATCATCTACAACCTCCAGCCTAGGCTACTTACATACCTATGTACAGGAGCAGACCGAGCTGATCTGCTACATACTTCGGGAAATAGGTCGGTCAAGCGGCTGTGTCTGTCACAGACCAGGATTGACTCCTCGGCCATGGCCCAAGGTCCTGGTAGACAGCCCACTAACGTGGATCTTGGCTTCTGGCTGACACCACGATGAGGTAGGTACCGCGGGAGGAGAGCGAGATGGTCCCTCGGAACCTTCACAACGCTTCTGACGTCCCTCTCGGCTCAAAGGGAGTACGTGTAGCCAGGTGCGGTTCAGAGCCTGCGTTACGCATTCCGTAGTTGGCCGAGGTGCCGAGCTAGACAAAGCTAGAAACGGTGCCGTTCGTCCTGGTCCACGGGTCGAGCTGGGCTCCCCCGCATATCTGGGGTCTGGGGTGAGACCAAGGCCGGGGATATGGATATTGGCGTTGGCAACATTGGTAACGTGGGTGGCGTTGGCATTTGACAATGACGTTTAGATTGTAACGGTATGGCATACGTTCTTCCGAGCGTCTGGCAAATCCGACGGCAACAGTACAGTAGGCAACCTACATCAAACCAAGTGCTACCGTGTCTATCTGCATGTGATCATGAACATCTCTACTCTCATGTATTGGCCTGATTCAAACCAACTTGACGAGTGTGCCTACCAAAGTATCTATAGATAGAAAAGTCAATCGGTGTCATCATCTCATGTCTTTCATCTCACCCCACCCACATCAAACCTCACTGGCATGCTTGACGCGTGAAGATGCTCTTGCTGCTCAACCATGGTACCCAAGGTGCCAAGTATCTGCCCTCCACATCAATCAAGATGTGTACCTATCTATCAATGCGGCGAACGACTGCTCGATTATGTGTGTGTGACCCCTGCTTCCAAGGATGAGAACAGGTCGGAACAGAGGGACAGTGGGAGGCACATCAGACCTCGGCTCCCAAGCCAAGATCAGCTCGCAGGCAGATAAACCCGCGTTTTCACATGAACGTGACAATGAGTCGATCGACCCACCACACCAGCTACATGTACCAGCCAAGTGATATGGTACCTTAAGCTGGCTTGACTACCTATTTGGATACTGCATGTCGAGTCATGCAAGCGGATCCCAGGTCATGATGGGTAGAGACATGACCCGGTCATGCGGCCTCTCCGTCGTCTGTCAGCAACCAATTCTTAAACTTTCAATGCCATCAATTTTCGTTCGTCGCGTGGCACAATGAGAAAACACACTTCCTATTAGGAATACTGTTCAGCATTACGGGATAAGATGCAGCCTTTTCCTGTCTAACCCAGATGCAACCAGACCCGTAACCGTTCATGGCGTCGTAATGTAGGTAATCAGGCGAAAGTATATAAGACACACGCGGAAACCAGAGTCAATCATAGGTATCTTAAACAGCCAGAATCACCCCAAGTCGTTGAGGAACTTCGCCTCCCTTGCCTGCTGAGCCTTCTCGTACGTCTCATAGGGAGTGAGCGTCCCCAGTGCTCTCTTCATCTCCGTGTTGATGAACTGGAGGCCGTAGACGTAGCTGGCATTGACCCAGCCAAACCTGGGGAACAACGGTTAATGCATATTCTCCTCAATATGGATGGAAATACTCACCCTTCCTTGGCAACGCCCTTGAAGTCAAGTCCCTGGTTACCGTACTCGGCGTCGACACGATGAGGGTCGACGGGACGGGTCACATCGTACTTCTCCACAACAACGCCATTGAAGTCAAAGAAGGCTTTCGTGATCATGAACAGCCACTTGTATGCAAACTTCTGCGCCAGATCTGCGTAGCCATAACGGTAGAGACCAGTCCAGGCCAGCATCTGCTGTGGTGCCCATCCATAAGGATAGTCCCACTGTCGGTTCGGTCGCTCCAGGGTGACTTCGCCGCGAGACCGCTCCGTTCCGGATACGAGGCCGCCATACGCCTCAAATTTGGGTATGGCATTTCTGACCACCTTGGCTGCTTTGTCCGGGTCCGGCACACCAGCCCAGAGTGGCCAGAAAGTGGTGCACGTTTCATACGTGCAACGCTCCTGTTTGACTGTGTCGTAGTCAAAGTACATTCCCTCCTCCTCATTCCAGCAGTACCTATGGATTGCAGCCCGGCGTCGTTTCCAGCGGCGATCCCAGATGGCTGAAGTCTCAACCTGACCTGGCGTCATGGACCCGCTACACCACTCTGCGGGCATCTGGAACTTGTCGCCAAAGACGTTGCGGATGGTGCGGGCAATGTCCATCTCGTACTTGTAGATTAGCGAGTTCAGGTCGATGGTGGCGAGGTTCGCGCAGACCCTTTCGAGTCGGTACGACGTATCATGTCCCGACTCACGCACGGCCCGGTCATGCAGGAAGTACTCGTCCAGGTCAGGCTCCTGTACTTGGCCATGATTGTAGGCCTTGACGAACTCCTCGAAGGTCATGTTGTGCTTCTGCGCGTAAGGCTCGAGGATATGCACAAAGTGGGATGCCTCTGTCTCTGGCGGTACACCAAGCCCGTCTGGTCGGTATCTGGAGAGCCCCGTCTTGGGGTCCAGACGGGGTTCGCACATCCAAACCGTGTAGTACTCCTTGATTGCAGCGTACATGGCTTCTCGAAGGAAATCCTTGGCGCCCGGCTCGTGTTGAATCTTTTCGTATACTCGTAGTGCCATGTCGGTCAGAAAGGGCGGCTGTGATCTAGTAAGGTAGTATGATCTAGTCGCGTTGAGGATCTTGCCATAATGACGGATGCTGAAACAGAAGTTCTGGACCATGGACTTGGCTAGGTGTGTTTTGTCGTTAACTAAAAGCCCTAGCGACTCCATGTAGCTATCCCAGCCGTACAACTCGTTGAACCGACCTCCAGGAACCACGAAAGGCAGTCCTCGAAGCGTCTTTTCTCCCGTCTTGGGGTCGACATAATCTTCCATAGCAACGGCCAGGAGGCCAGGTCCAGGGTTGTCGTTCAGGTCTCTAACCACTTCAGCGGTGATGGTCTCAGGCAAAAGCTGGACGTCCAGTCGTAATTGCGGATGTTCGAGGGCTACCTTCTGGTAGTATTCGTACTGTTCAGGGGCTCCCCTTGGTACGTAGATACGAGGTCGCGGATCAGCTGTCCAGTCCTTGGAATCTTTTGCTGCAACCTCGATACTGGAGCCGTCGATTCGACGGGTCAGGCCGTCCCAAAATTGGTCCCTGATAAGCCGAGACAATCTGCTGACAGGATTCTCGTTGAGGCGACCAATGTCGAGAATGATTCGCTTCCGGCCAAATTCCTTGGCCATGGATAGCTCTTGTAGGAGGTTTGAAAGCATGTATGTCCCTCTGATGTCGAATCGATTGTGGCCGCCCGATGCCGCTGTTCGTAGGGACAGTACCTAGAGATATGTTTAGTCCCTACTCCGATCCTTCACAGCCAACATGCATTGCATACCTTTGGACCAACGTCTTCGATGGTGATCTGCATGTTGCCATCGGTATCCTCTTGCGCAGCCAGACTCTCGATGGTGTGGTCTACATCGATGAGAAACTGGCGCGAGTGCGGTCTGCTAGACTCGTCTATCATGTCGAACGTCAGCCGGTACCCTGTCGGGGGTCAAGGGAGTGTAACCGTACCATGGCTTCCACGTCGATGTTGGTTGTGCAATCCCAGGCGCTCCATCTCATGAACGGCACCACCCTGTGTTTTGTCTCAGTATAGCGTGAAGATTGGTATCTGGATGGACGGCGACGTACGGTGGAAAACGTTCTATGTCTCTTGTGGAATCGATCAGAGGTTTTATTGTCGGCGTAGTAGGTTGCGGCATCCTCGTAGACGCCAAAGTCATCGCTGGAGCCAATGCTGCCCTCCCGTTGGAGGGGTTTGGACGCACCCGGAACCAGCGTGTTGGCCATGCTGACGACGAAGGTAGGAGGGTCGAACGATTGGTGAGGTATCAGCGAGGTCGCGTTATAATCGGCGTACGGTGGAAGATGGATGGGTGATAAGTCAAGGTGTATAAGAGGACAAAGCGATGTGGTCAGGTGAGTCGTCGCAGTTGCTACAGTTGTGCTTTGTTGGCTGTTGGTGTAGTCCACACACACACGCACAAGCAATGCAAACCCGTTTGCTGCTCGCTCGCAGTAAGTAAGACGCGGGGCAGAGGGATCGTCAGACAGAGAAGCCCGATGGCGACGAGGGACGGACGAGGGACGGACGAGGGGCACGTCTCGTGGCGCTGATGAGCAGCAGTAATAAAACAGATGACGGGGAAATTAATCCTTGCGCAGCAGGATCAGGCCAGGATCAGGCGGGGGCTAGCAATCCTTGATGGGTGAGACTGGGGTTTCTATTGACACATAGCTCGCTGAGTAATTGCAGAGTGATGCAGTAAGGATGCTGAAGATTGGGAGGTGTGGTGGGAGGGAGACGGATCGTGAGAAAAGACAGAACATAGGCAAATAGGTAGGTGGTAGAGAGCTGGGAGGAGCTGGAGTGTTCGTCGTCCACCGTGGACCTCAATGTTAGACGAAGAAGATGATGTCACAGTTGAAAGCCCACAGTGAGCCCACAGCAGGCACCCGACGGCAGGTCGAACTTGCAGAATAAGACGCATGTGGAACATTGCAGGTGTGTACAGGTGAGCGTCCGACGATCCCTGCTGCCAGACACAATAAAGCACAATTTCTTTCAACCTTGGGGCTTGGAAGGCTCTCTCTGGCGAGTCAAGGAAGCATTCTCCCGATCGTGACTACCTACTACCTACCCTACATAATAGACTTGGTACTAGCAATGCTTATCTGTTGTACAGCGTACCTACCGGGAGTTACAAGCAACAGCAACATTGGAAACTACGGTCCGTCATACGATCATTCTCTTTCTTACAACCCGACATCACCAGTCTCCCCCATTGGACAATTCCAAGATCCAAGATCCAGGGTCGTTGGGTTGTCGGCAGCCTCCCAACAGCCACTGCACACTAATGACGGTAAACCCCCACCCCAGTGCAACCCACCTTGATGCACCCGATGGAAAGTCCCATCTTCCGATTCGACATCCGCCGCCTTCCAAGCTCCGTTGTGACTAGCAATATCAGTAGGGCGACTTGTGCAACATGACCGTGTCTAAGAACGGGCGACGGGCCTACAGTAGGTAGGCGCAGTGGGTGTCGGTGTCGTTCGCCAGGTACTTCATACCACATGCTCTACAAAGCTACTGACACACGTCACCAGGGGGGCCCACTGTAAGTGGGTGCCCTGGCCAATCAGAGTGCGGCTAGATAGATAAGATAAGGGAGCGGCCACCATATAATGGGTGCAGTCCTCCCACTTAGCTAGATAGCCAACCTACGCACAACAACATATTTGACCCCATACTCGCTCGCTTCAGCTACTTACCCAGGGGGACCCCGTTTTTAAACAGTCAGGTAGCAGTCTTGCAGCGCCCTTTTAAAGTGTGAACATAGTAGATGCGGGCCGCTCTTATAAACCTATTTTTAATTAAATATTACAAGTAAATAACATTATAACTAGCGCTTCTATTGATATTAATATAGTTGTTATATTAAAATAAATATTTTATTAACGTTAAATAGCTGTTTAGCATAGGTCACTTTATTACGTATAAATAATTTTATTAAAATAAGCTATTTTCAACAAATAAATAAATACAGATTTAATAATATTAACCCGTGCTCTTAATTAAGACTAAGGCTTTATAAGGATTATGTTAGATGTAGTGGCTCAGGATATGTTGAAGGTGGTCTGTGCGTAAGAATCAAGGTGGTCCAAATGCCATAGAAACGGTCAACTGGCGACCGTTGCCCTACTGCTCAGCCGCTACGCGAGTGAGACGCGCTGGGTGTGTATTTATATATAAAACCGTCCGTCTCAGGTAGTAGCAGAACACTTAGATAATCCACAAACAAACGAACAGTATTCTGCACAACAAAGTTTGACAAATTATATATATAAAAGCTTTCGTTTTAATTTGCGAATATATAACTAGTTTTTTAATAAAAAGTTATATTACAACGATTTAAACGTGAAATTTTTAAAAACCGGAATTCATTACTATTAACTAAGCTATAAAATATATTATTCAAGGAATATTTTTAATATTTACATACTGTCAGATGTTGGATCCCAGATATGGTGCCCTTAGGTCCAGTACACGCTAGGGGGCTGCAAGGGGACCAGTGGATCCACCTTGGCATGGTGCAGTATAGTATTTAGCTGTAGATTAGCCCTGCCGAGTATACTTGAGAATGACAACAACGTTTGCAGCGACCGCTCACACCCCCAAGGCTTGTGACCATTCTAGAATCTCACATATACCTTTTAATTTAGTATTACGATATTTAAACTTAATAAAATAATAATATTATTATTAAAGTATTAAAACTAATAAAGTAGTAGGTTATAATAAAGTAATAAGTTAGTAATAAGATTACTAGCTTTAATAAAGCTAATAATTATAATAAAGTAATAATTACGTATAACCATATGTATAATTACTATTATATAATATTACTACTGTAAAATAATTCTAAAACCGGTTATACGCGATCGTTATTTTATACTAGCTATTATCAGGGGTTAAGATAACAATAAATAGTCCAATCATCTAATTAAAGCGTTATTCACATCAAAATTATCACGAAATCAGACTAGCAAGCTATACAGCAACATGTTTTGACCTGATCGTACTGTTATAAAAGGCCATTCGGCTGACAGTCTGTCTAAAAACGGGGTCCCCCCCAGAAGGTAAGCAATCCGCGCCCTTGTATTGGGAGGTGTTGAATACACGGATGTTGATTACTAAAGAAATAACAAGGTGGGAGAAAAGGAACAGGTGTGCATACAGCCGAGGCTGCAGCACATATGGTCCTGGTCTTCTTATCTAATCTATACGTGACCTGATGACTCAGCATCCAACCAGGTGGATACAGCTGGCGAGCAATGACCCCGCCATCCTTAACCCTTATCAGTGACTCGGTGGGATGTCACGTGGGGGGAATTGTCCGTCTCGACGAAGTCCCTCAATTAACCTTCATGGTCGTCTACGCAAGCTACTTAGTAGGTATCCTTCGTTGCATCGGCATTCTTTGTGAGATATAAGCTGTCAGGATGAGCGTGACTGTTCAATGGACGGCAATTCCAACGACTGGGCTCAAACTCAAGCGATACCGAAGGCTGCCGAGTTGATTTGAATTTGGACCTGCACACTGCTTGAGGCTGAACATCTCAGGTATCTCTCTTGACCGCCAGCACCTGCCCGATTCTGGCCCTCGATGTATTCGATATTGCGCCGCCTACCCGTTCAGCCCAACCTATTATCGAAGACGGCGCATATGCATTCGATACTACGATGCTTTCGCAAACATGGCACGTGTGGCGTCCCACCCGGCTACTAGTCTGAGGCGGCATTCCCGGGTCCCTTGCACAAGCGGCTCGGCTTGAGCCAGTCTTCAGAAAGGGGGCAGCCCGACTAGGTACTACTCGTGCCCCGCACCATGTTCCACCTCGCTAGGGCTCACCACGTAAAGTGGTGCTCACCACAGTAGCACACCAACCACAATAACACACCAGTCTTCCAAAATAACCACCCTCCAGCCAAAACCACACCAAAGTCATTATCTCTTTGGACAGACGACTTTTTCGCGATAGAATCCCATATTTACGAAGCCGTAGAATATGCCGACAAGCATCCGGATGCCTCCGAACGCGGTATCTGCCGCCAATTTAGGGTTCCAAGAGAGCGCTTCCGCAACCGCTTGCAGGGCATCCCTTCCAAAAAAGGACCACGAGAACCACCTACCAAGCTGAATGCGATACAAGAAAAAGCCGTCTGTGCTTATATCGACCGCCTAGATGCCATTAATCTCTCCGTAAGGCCAGAATTCATCACAGAGGCTGCCAACTTGCTGCTCCAGGAGTCGGCGAGTACCGCGGTCACAGAACTACCTACAGTTGGCAAGAATTGGGCCTCCCGCTTCATCAAGCGCCACGGATACTTCAAGCAGCCTCAGAAGGTCCTTTCACAAGATCGGCAAGCTGCTGAAGACTCGAAACACACTGAAGAGTACTTCCAGAAGCTGGGGAGGGTCATCAGGGAGGAGGGCATCCTCCCTGACGACCTGTAGAACATGGACGAGACTGGCTTTTGATTAGGGGTTGGAAAGGACCAGATGGTTGTTACCAAGCGAAAAAGAGCCCATTATTTCGGAATACCAGAAAATAGGGAGTCTGCTACTGGCATAGAAGCTATCTCTGCCACCGGCGAGGTTATCCCAGGCTTCCTTATCCTCTCTGGCACCCTCCATATGTCTCCATGGTACAAGGTACCCAAATTAGACCCCAGGATAACGATTGCAACCGCGGAGAGTGGTTATTCGAACGACGAGATCAGCTTAGAGTGGATTAAGCACTTCAATAAGCACTCTAAGACCTCTCAAGTTGGTATAAAGAGGCTCCTAATCATCGACGGTCACGGTAGCCACCACACGATACAATTCATTAGATATTGTGACGACAACGGCATTATCCCTTTTGGTCTCCCTCTAAAGATGACGCATTTACTGCAGCCGCTCGATGTGGTGGTTTTCCAGCCCTTGAAGCACTACCATGTTAAAGCCCTGGATATTATGGTGCGTGATGGTCTCACGCACATCGGGAAGATCGAGTTCCTATCGTGTATTAAAGGGGTTCGCCAGCAAGCTTTTAAGAAGACCACTATCCTCTCTGCCTTTAAGAAAACGGGCATCTATCCTTTCAAACCGTCCGTTGTAATTAATCAGTTGAAGGAACGCGAAGCTCGCGCAAGGACCCCGTCACCCCCCCCTAACCAGCCTGGTTCCTCTCCAGTTACCACCCCAGCTACAATGCGGCAGATTCACAAGGTCGCATATCAAGTAGACGAGGCCTTGAACAACCTGGACGATGGCGAGGATCTTACTCCTGAAGATATTGAGAGGATCAGGCTCCTATCCAAGGGGGCGCGCTTCCACGCCTCCCAGCTAGTCCAGACCAAAAGGGACCTTGGAAGGACCGAATTAGCCTCTCGAGTTAACAAACAGCACAAGTCTGCAAAGAACACTCCTCTCCAATCAGGAGGAGTCCTCACAGTTGAAATTGGGCGTCAAATAGCGAGGAAAAAGGAGCAGGAGACCGCGGCAGGCCTCCAGAAGAAGGCGGATGCCCTGGCGAAGAAGGAGCTCCAACCACAAAAAACCCTCGCTAAGGAGGCAGCAAAGTTGGCCAGGCATTAGAGGATTACTAAGAGACTACCTGCTGCTGATATCTACGAATCTGGCAAGAAGATGCGGTCGCTACGTAAATTTTAATGCTAAATAACCTCATATTGGTGTGTTATTGTGGTTGGTGTGCTACTGTGGTGAGCACCACTTTACGTGGTGAGCCCTAGCGAGGTGGAAAGTGGTGCGGGGCACGAGTAGACGATGAGATGCGCCGGTCCGAGTATGCCTGTCTTATCGTATTGTATTATATTGGTACCCACAGATGGACAATGAATATCTGGTACGCGGGTAATCCTACACTTCAATATACGATAGAATGCGTTCTCCTTCTCGCCGTGTTTTCTCTCTGAGCCCTTGTCTTCCATAACCAGTCTCCCGTCGAATCTACGATAGAATGCGTTCTCCTTCTCGCCGTGTTTTCTCTCTGAGCCCTTGTCTTCCATAACCAGTCTCTCGTCGAATCTTGGCGTCGCCCCGTGACGTTAAACCCATGATCGTCGCGATCGTCGTACGGCGCAGGACCCGAATAACCCCCTATCGCTGTGGGTGAAGTGCCATCTCCAACGTGGATGTCAGTGCTATCACTGTGCGGGAAGACTCGCTCTTGGAAGGGTACGGCCAAGCCTCGACCCCTAGGCGATGTGGTTCTCCCTGCTCTTCGGTGGAAGATCGAGCGAGAATGAGAGCGGCTATGCACGAATCGCAGCAATGCGTAAGTCGAGAATCCAGACGCCAGTGGGATCAGAAGTAGAATCGCCGGATATAGCGATGACGCAGCTTGGTGGCCACATGGGCCGTTTGGACCGTTGCACCTCAAGCTGTACTTATACAAGACCCAACGTCTCCAGCCATGCCTGCCAAAGTTGGGAGGCGGCTCTAGTTGGATGTCCTTCGCTGCCTCGCAGGACGTCAAGTCATGCTTGAGTATACCCTGGTTAGTCGAACGACCCAGATAGTGCGAGGCGAAAGAAACATCGGTGAGATCTTACAGTTTCACAGAACTCGATGAAGTCTTTGTGAGCCTCCCATTCAGCCATCAATCTCGCCTCCCGGCCGTCATAAGCAGCAGCAATGGTCGGCCACAATGTAACGACAGCGATGAAGAAAGCTAGCACAGCAATGACTCGTATGATAAGCTCAGCTCTCTCCTTGCCGAACTTGCGAGCGGCCTGGTACACCGCACTGAATGCTGTTTCTGCATTGATTGGTGGCTGTGTAGGCGGATCATCTGGTGGAGAGATCGAAGCTTCTGCGACAGGTTGGGCCTGGTTGACTTCTTCCTCAACTGGAGGTAACGCAGTGGAAAGTTCCTGGGCCGACGAGCTTTGTGGGCAGCCCGAGATATGGGCGAGCTCGTAGCTATTGCCCTCAACACCACCGTCACCCTCGTCTCCAACTCCCTGTGACTGCGGGATTGCAGCTCGAGTGCTCATGGCTAGCAATCCGTAAAGGGATGACGAGGGCGCTTTGCTTTTACGAAAGGCAGTTGTTCAACTCGGCCGTAAACGTGACCGTAGATATCAGCGAAGAAGCCGTGGGAAGTTAACTGGGAGGGCGAGGCTGGCAATTGCGGTTGACGGTCGCTGGTTGTGTTGCCCAAAATGCAACGTTATTGGCCCCATTGCCGATATGCAGGCCAGACTGTCTGCGCCACGGAGCCCGATCTGTAAGGCATTCTTGATCTTCACCATGGTCGAGTGTTCTGCCTCACCAGGACTGTATACTACTAACAAGTGGAGGAGGTGTGAGCACTGCCCTCATATGCTGGATGCTTATAGCCGGAGGGTAACCTTGGCTTACCATTGTCCCGTGTGAGAATGCATTATCATGGGTTTGATGTCCATGCCAAGAAGGGTTCACCCCCATCTGATCGATATTTTTTTGGAAGTTATCACATCTGAAGCTGCCTATATGGCTACAGCTGAATACACACACCCACACAGTCATATACCTATGGAAAACAATCATCAGCGGTTGCGTGAACATCTGCAGCTCCCGTCCGTTTTTAGCTGCTGTACATACATGTGCGTGCATGATGAGAATCTCGGAAGCAAGTGCATAAAGAATGTTGCCAATCCAAATCAGAAAGAATATTACCGATCCAAAGTTTATGAACCATCACCACATCCCCCCCACCCAAGGAGCACAAGCGTCCAACCCCTTGCGCGAGATATGATGATCTGATAATCCGTGTTCAACCTTTCTCATGCCCAATCGTGTCACTTTGCTCACTTTGATAAGACCTCCACACCTCTCCATCCCTTTCGAGTCTGTTCACAAACGAATTTCCTGCGTCTTCTTGTTCGCCTGTAGCTTGTCTTGCGAACTGACCCCATCATCAGGAAAGTTCCAGCCACCCTCTCCACGCTGTGCAGCCTTCCCACTCCCATCATCGTGAGCGTTCCCCTGACCCCATCCAGAGTGACATTCCCCCTGACCCTGTCCAGAGAGACGTTCAAGCTTCTCCTGACCCTGTCCAGAGAGATGTTTCAGCTTCTCCTGACCCTGTCTAGAGAGACGTTCGAGCTTCCCCTGACCCTGTCCAGAGAGACGTTCAAGCTTCTCGGCAGGGTGATTGACGAAGTCTGATCGGGCGATTGGACCCAAGTACTGCTTCAACCCCCGGTAGATACCGTAAAGGGCGATCGCAGCTCCTAGTACCATCGCCGTTGATGTACTGACGTCGTACAGGGCCTGTTCAGTTCGTTCGAGCTGCTCCTGGTGCGCGAGCGCTGCGTCCCGCTGTTGTTGCATCTTGTTGATGTCAAAGCCATGCATCGCGCCATGCATTGCGCTGCCAAGACTGTGATAGAGCTTTGGGAGACCCCAGAGCAGCGTCCCGAGCCCCATCGGAACTGCGAGCGCGAGCTTCGTCGTGCCCGAGAGACCCGAGAACTCCTCGGCTGCCTGCGATCCGCGCCTCATTGCCTCCTTCTCGACCGCCTCGGCTTTCTTGTAGAAGTTGCCGAGAGCGTCCTCGGCCGTTGCTCTGAGGTCACCTCGTTCCTGTGATGAGCCAAAAGCTTTCGTGATACCACCGAGCCCCTGGCTGTTGGAACCATGAGCTTTCGTGTTATCACCGGGCCCCTGGCCGTTGGAACCATGGGCAGTTGACTGTGATTGACCAGAACCAGCGGGATTCTGCTGCCCACCCGTTATTGACGGTTGATCGCGACCTTGGTCGTACTCGCCACCCCGGAGGCCGCCGGTGCTAGACTTCTCATCGTTGGAAGGGTTCGTCCTGAAAGGGTTCGTCCTGGAAGCAGCACCGGGGTCACTGAGCAAGTGACCGGTTGCTCTGCCTGGCCCTTGCGAGGCATTTTCTTCTGAGGGCTCCCTTCGATAATCGTCAAGCCATTCCCCAGGATTGGTTGCCCCGATGTGGTCAGCCCGGGGATTATCGGATTTGGACCGAGCGGTCTTCGTGTCACTCGGCGTGCGGATGAAGTCACTGCCGAGGTTGTCAACTGTCTGACGTAGGAAGTTGGAGTCCATGCTGAATCAGACTGGAGATGTTATGATAGTGGAAAGGTTGACGCATGGGGAGACATCTAGAGGTAGAGGCGGCGGGCCACGATGTATATAATCGAGAATCAAGCCTCCCATCTGTATTGGATCACGGTGACATCTTCCAGAGAAACCAGATTTCATCTCGCCAACTTCCCGGTTTTTTGTTTATCGAATCGCCATCATCGTCTGGCAAAATCATGGTTAAGTCATAATCACCACGAAGGTGACACGAAGTGACACCAAGTCCCCGCGTATTAGGGCCGTCGAGACCTGCTCGAATGCCGCTTTACGGGCGGGATGACGACCTTCCTGCAGCGATAAAAACTTACTTTGGGTGTATCAGCGCGGATCACGATGTAGCGCAAACTCTGACTCTGACAGCTCCCAACGTTCAAGCTGCCTTAAGCAGGATTGACGCCCAGTCCAGGAGTCATCGATTTCAAATTGCTGTACAGACATACACGGAACCCTCAAGAACCTCCGTACGCCGCTTGTCGAGCAGTGAAACTGTGTCTTTTATGACCGGAATAAGCACTCTGGAACGAGTATCAGAAGTGCGTTATTGGATCAATGCTGATTACGCCAGGACGTTCATTCCAGCATTCTGAACATATCAGCAATATCCAATAATCCATTGAGGTATGGCGGACGGAGACTTATGGGTGACGACAGTAGCACATTAGGAAGATTGTAAGAGTGCATCACTGCCAATGTCCACCTTGTGTTAAAGTGCATGCAAGACAGAGGGTCAAGCTAGACCTGGCCAACATGGTACTCGACAAAAGGCAGCCTGTAGACCAGGCTGTTGCTCCTGGGTGCCCTTATTCCCAGAACCCTAGCTCGGCCACGGATGACCAAGGAAGCAGGACGAGGGATGAAAATATATCACATGCACGCCGTTGTTCCTGCTTGGGACCTGAGACTTGGTAGTGGAACGGGCACCTGCGAAGCTCGACATATAGGTCACATTTATCGTCACACGGGTACCAGGTTATCTGTTATTACCTGCCTATGGGTTATTAGGTAGACTGTAAATAGAGTACATGATGAAATGATGATGAGTACCTATGTATGTTACGTTGGAGATGGCGTGCCGCAGTGAGGGAGGGGATCTTGGAGGGAACGGAGTCATGTAGTGAGGGGACAGGCCAGCGGAAGATTGTCTGACCTTGTTTTCCATGTGCCTTCCCGAGACAATGCGTTACTATTGTCTCCAGCTGATACTCGGTCATCGTTTCCGGATCTCTATCGACTCGGCTGCATCTGCCAAGGCGAGTCTGGGCTGTGGCAGGCCTGCATATTCGAGCGTCTGGCAGTCTGGCTCTTCTCGACCAGAGTCAGCTTCACAGACGACTCACGACTCACCACCGTCGGAGCGAGCGTCAACTTTTTTCATCCTGCGAGGAAGCAAAACCTTGGCAAGTCGGGTCTATTGATGGCCCCCCGTCGCCGGTCCGCGTTCCATCCTTGCAACGAGCATCCAAGATCCGGTTAGCAATCAGGGCGACAGGGTTTTCTCTTCTCGATCGCCAGGCCTAGGCTGGTAGTGGCTTGGCAGATGTGTGTGGGCCTGGATTAAATTCATTACCGAGCCACTATCTCGTATTCCCTCGGCCGGCTCGTCGAGACTTGACCACTCGACCACCACGACAACGAGGGGGTAATATAGTTCAGCAGACTGGACTAGTGGTGGTGCTACTATGTCAGAAGCAAAAAAGCAAAAAGCAATGGCTGGCTGACGGGTGGCATTTGGGCCGGATGTTATCGCGTTCCAAACAATGCCAATGCCAACAACCTCATTCACATTGTAATCAATGATCGACATGAATTGGATGCTATCTTCGGAGGGCGGGCGCTACCGAAAGCGGGTATCTATTTGAAATCTCCCGCCCGAGCGGCGAGTCCACCGTCCGAGTCCACCGTCCACCGTCCACCAGGAGTGCATGTACTTTCACTAGGTCTTCTAGACTTACCTCACCGTTCACGAGTCACCAGTACTGTTCGACCTCGGCTGTGTGATGGTGCAGCTGAACAAGGCAATTGTTGGGCTTCAGCTGCCGCCACCACATGGAGACAATGGACGACACATGGAGACGTGGACCGAGTGGTGCGCGCCTGTGTGGCGGCAACATTGAAGATACGGTAACCGCAATATGTGCATTCCAATCATCTGCTGTGAGGGGCTCTTGATAACACTGCAGTGAACAGGCCACAACAGACATCTTCTCAGCTCACTGCATTGTCCATATGCCCGGAAGCAGCCCACACATCCAAAGTACGGCTCGATGCACTGAAGAGTCAAGAGTCAAGACCACGAACCTCAAAGGATCGCGAACTGTTTCGCTGTCTTCATGTTTCGCGTCGGGCTTGAGTCAACAAGTGTGATCTTGGGTCAATTTTCGAGACTGCGCCGGACAGCTGATCGGATCACCGGGTATTCCCTGTCCAGCCATGCCAGTCCCATGCAGGTTGGCCTCGTAATAATTTGCACACTCTTCCAATATTGGCATCGCGTGGCTGATCAGACTGGGCATCCCCGTTCTGCCCCTCTCCCAGGCGTGGGATGGATATCGCTAGATACCACCAGCAGTAGACACATGCAGTGCAACCTCTGCCGTCGCAGTCAGCAGTCAGCGCAAGAAGACAAGACAGCCAGTGTTCCTACAGTAGCCCGAGTGCTAGATAGTAGTCGTGTGGCTAACTGCTCTCGTGCACCGGCACGGGCTGGTTTCCCCCTGCTTTATGGCACAATAGGTACAAGGGACTACTCAATGTTAGTGTTGGGTGCATGTGGCTCCCAACCATCTACAGACTACACCATCACCCGTGGCGTTCACAAGCTATTCTTTATCCGCGTCTAGAGCTCATCATCGCCCGACTTAGACACCGGCATATGATGGCCTAGTACCATTGCAACAGGTAGAACTAACTACCTGAAGCAGTGCTTATTGCTTGCCGTGCCGCCTGCTCGCTCCTTCGAGATTCCTCCCCTCTCTCACACGTTCCCAACATTCGCTTCGGACCCAGCACCTGGGATCTGGTCTCTTCCACTCTCCATCTCCCGAGGGAAGACGTCTCTCGCTTTTTCACTTCTTTCACCTCCCACCCTGGGAGCACATCTTAGACAAAACTCGGTAGTCATTCGTTCTGATCCGCCTTGCTTGCCGAGATGGGTTTCCTCACGTCGTATTTCGCCCCGGGCCGCGCCAGTGACGGGGGCGACAAGGGGCACGACAAGACGACGCCCGAAGTTGTCAGCGACATGAGCCTGAATAATCTCAGTCCCAAAGCTCCCGCACGGCCTCCTCCTCTTCTTTCTACACCCGACTCGGGCGCAGCAACACCATTGAGCTTCTCAGCCGGGTCACGGCCGTCCTCGCTATACCCCAACTCACTCTACCCCTCGGGCGATTTTCGAAATGCACGCCAAAGCTTGCTGGACGTCAAGGCCGATGTCATGGCCAACTGGCTTTACCAACAGCAGCTGGAAAGGCAGTATGCCACCGGCATATTGCCCGGCGAGGGCGTGGTTGTGAAGAAGGGGAAAAACAGTTACACGTGTTGCCCGCCGCAGCTTCGAGATGTGCCCTACAGCCTGTATGAGATGGCAATGGAGCTAAACGTTCGGGTACGTGCCTGCCCTCCCCCCTTCCTTTGATTCCAGCCTCTTCCGGCCTCAGAATGGACAGGGCTCTGATCTTTTGATATAGTGCGCCCTGACCGTCAACACGAGAGTAATCAACGTTGTCCTCGCGTCGAGACGAACGACGCGCGACTACATCCCCCTCGCGAATGGTCTACGCTTGCAGGTCTTGCCGAGCATGCGCGAACTGCCCACATGTCAGAAGCACCACTTCGCCGCATTCATCCAGGACCTTCAGATCATGGTTGTCTGGGACGATGAACCAAAGGCCGCCCTGGCGAGGGCCGACATTATAGAACAGATGCTGATGAAGACCATCTGGGGGACCGGAGACGGTGACGAGGACGATGAGGAGCAGGCCGAAAAGGGTGAGAAGAGCCAGGGCGTCGAGGTCGGCGTCTCACCCGTCGACCTGGAAGCCGCACTCCAAGCCGAAGAGAGAAGGGTGAAGCTGACTAGTCCCATCACGGTGAGCCTCACTTTCGCGCTTGCCATCTCGTGCTTGGGTCTGGGATTCAGGGCGCTCGCCTACGAAGTCGCCACCGACCAACAGTACGCCCGCATAGCACTGGCAGCATTCAGTCCAATCCAACTGTGGGTGGGCTTCTTCTTCTTCCAGACCATCATCTGCAATCTGTTCGAAATTTTGGGCCCCATCTCCTGTGTCCGCAAGAACAGCAAGAACTACTCCGGGAAGGCTCCGAGGCGACTGCAGCGCGAGTACCACACGCTGCCCCATGTGACCATCCAGATGCCTGTTTACAAGGAAGGTCTGAGAGCAGTCATCATCCCGACTGTCCAGTCGCTCAAGCAGTGTATCTCGACCTACGAGATGCAGGGCGGTTCGGCCAACATCTTCGTCAACGATGACGGTATGCAACTGATATCCGAAGAGGAGGCCGAGACCCGTCGCGAATACTACGACGAAAACAACATCGGCTGGGTTTCTCGACCCGGACACAACCCGAAACCCGAGAATGGGGAAGCCCCCTTTCTACGACGCGGCAAGTTCAAGAAGGCGTCCAACATGAATTATGCCCTGATGGTCAGCAATCGGGTCGAGGATAAGCTTGCCAATGTCTCGAGGACACTCAACTGGACGCAGGCAGACGAGAAGGCTGCCTACCAGCATTGTCTCGCCGAGGTCATAGAAGAAGACGAGGGTCGCACCAAGGCCGATGGCAACATCCGCATCGGTGATTACATCTTGCTCATCGACTCGGACACCCGTGTGCCGGAAGATTGCCTTTTGGATGCCGTTAGTGAGATGGAGCAGTCTCCTCAGGTGGCCATCTTGCAATACACGTCGGGCGTCATGCAAGTCAGCGAGTCTTTCTTCGAAGCTGGGTAAGTCGGCATCATACTTATGGCACGTCAGACCCGATGACTGATAATTTTTGATAGCGTCACGTGGTTCACCAACCTCATCTATACCGCCATCACCTTTGCCGTCTCCATTGGTGACTCTTGCCCCTTTGTCGGCCACAACGCCATCCTACGCTGGTCCGCTGTCCAGGATGCCGCCTCCTATCACGACGAGGATGGGTATGAGAAGTTTTGGTCCGAATCTCACGTCTCGGAAGACTTCGACATGTCCTTGCGACTCCAGTGTGCCGGGTACGATCTTCGATTCGCCTCATACTCGGGTGCAGGGTTCAAGGAGGGTGTGTCGCTGACGGTCTATGACGAGTTGGCGCGTTGGGAGAAATACGCATACGGTTGCAATGAGCTGATGTTCCATCCCCTCCGGTATTGGTTTACCCGAGGGCCCATCACGCCTCTCTTTCGGAAATTCCTCGGCTCGAGCATCGACCTGCCCAAGAAGGTGACCATCTGCAGCTACATCGGCACGTACTATGCCATCGGTGCCTCCTGGATTCTTACTCTCATGAACTATTTCCTGACGGGCTGGTACTACGGTCTGTACGACAAGTACTACCTCGACTCGTTCGCCATCTTCATCTCGGTCGTCGTCGTCTTTACGGGGTACGGCAACGTCGCCCTCACTATCCTGCGCTATCGTCTCAACGAACGATCTCTCTTCTCTGCTTGTAAGTGGCCTTGATTCCCGATCGCAAGTGACAACATGGGCAGTAACTAACCGTGTTTCCACAGTCTGGGAGAACATCAAGTGGATCCCGCTCATGTTCATATTCCTCGGTGGCATCTCGCTCCACGTGTCCCAGGCACTCCTCTGCCACTTCTTCAGCATTGATATGACATGGGGCGCCACGGCCAAGGAGGTTGAAAACGTCAACTTCTTGGAGGAGCTCCCACGTCTCCTGCGCCGGTTCAAGGGCACCTTTGCCTTTACGGTGCTGATGACCGGCCTCATGGTCAGTGCTGTTTACGCGTTCCCGCACGACTGGACCATCACGTACTTTGCCTCCATCTTCCCGCTTGGCATTATCACGGCTTGCCACTTCTTGCTGCCGGTCGCGCTGAACCCGGCCCTGATGGTGTTTGCCTGGTAATCCGTCTATCGACACCACGTACTTGAACAATGGTTGGGTGTTTCGGAAGGGTTTAGATGGAGTGTATACCTAATGAATGGTACCCATACTACAAGCATACCACAGGTTTGGGCTGGAGTCGGGTTGGCATAAACGGGGATCTGATAGAGAACACTAGAATCGGTCGGATCAACAACGAGCCCTTAGGGGAATGTCGCTCCTTTATCTTCCTTATATATAATACATTAATGAACTGCGGCTCGTCTCTTGGCCTCCAGTATGCTTTCGTCCAGTCTTTCCTTCAGTTGTGCTTGCATGCGCAACAGCAATGTGCCGTGTCGCGGGTATCAAACCTAAAAGCTTCCTTGGCATCTAATAATCAAACGAAACACGGAAGTATGGTCTGTTCGTCGGTGGAACTTGCCGGACAATTCAAAGGGAGGGCAGACATGTCACATCGATGCATCATATTCCCGTATAGCGCCTCATAGCGTCGACAATAACCAGAGTCTGTCACGACTCACCCACCCTTCATTACCTGCGATTTCTCGAATTCTTTGTGTTTTTTTTATAGAACGAACCACATGCAGTGCACGGCCAAAAAGGCAGGTCCTTGGCAGGAAGGATGTAACGATGGGGATCCGGAGGAAGCTGGGGAAGCTGCGATTTGGAGCCCGTTCAGCCGTTGGGTCCCGCCACGAGAATTGCCCTTACGTATTCCTCCGTCCTTTGAGCCATTCCGAGCAGCTCCTGTCGTCATACTTTGTTGTCATTTCTCGTTTTCTGTTTCAAATGTCTTGCTAACATTCATTCCGTTCCTTCGCTGTCCCAGCCCACTCATTACCGGACCCGGTATCGGAATCGTAAGCTCCATACGTCCAACTCTCGCGGCCACAGTGCTCCGAGCTCTCGAGCCCTCGTAAACCTGACCTCAGCCGTTTCGTGAACGAACCGCGCACTGAATACGGAGCGATGGTGTTCTTTGTAGACCTCGATGAGGAAGGCGAACCGCCGCAGACCTCGCATCACTATGGCCGCGACGCCGATTGGAATGTGGACAGGGCGAAGGAGCAGCAACGACAAGAGCAACTGGCCCTCGCGAACGGCGCCACCGCAGCCCCGGACGGCAATGACCTGGGGGGACAACAGCAGGCCGCCGACGAACATGACCGCGAGCGCGAGAATCCGAATCTGAATGGAATGACGGAGGCTCTCGGACGCTATCCGTAGGCATGACCGCAACCTACCTACCTACCTCACCTTGCACATTCGTCTCTCGTACTTTCGGCCCTTGGCCTGTCTACTTGCCTGCTATTATGTGTCTATCTGCACTGCAGCGGATGTAGTCCGGATGGCAGGGGTAGTAGTCACAACAGCACAAGGGCCGCAAAGAAGAAGAAGAAGCTGACACGGGCTCATCGCCCACCTGCAGGATCGTCATGGCGATCGCCTCGTCGCTCGACCTCAACACCCTCGACAACCTATCGCGGACCTGCCGCCAGGTGCGGGAGAGCTTGTTGCAGCATCGCTCGCCTCTCGTCACCCATACCCTGCACTGCGCCAACGAGGACGTCCCCATCGACCCGGGCGACACCTTCCGCTACCGCGCCCGCGCGGGCAATTGGTTCTACATGGAGGATGGCCGCACGGGGGACTATAGCGGAAAGAGCGGGAGCTGCGCGCGCGATATGGTGGCCGAGTGCCGTCGGTGCGCGAGAGTCGTGTGTCGGGTAAGCTAGCTCCAGTCCCAGGAAGCAGGTCGTGCTCGAAGGAAATGTGGCTTGTCCGTGACTGACGCTGGGTTTGCTACACACAGAATTGCGCCATCAAGCCGCCGGCCCCGGCCGTATTCCGCGACCGACACCGCCGGTTATGCATCCCGTGCACAAAAGCGCTGCTTGGAACCCTCGCCAAACCACCCCTGCGGCCCGATACGCACGTCGATGCCGCGGTGATGCGGCGTGCGGTGTGTACTTGCGCTAGCGAGGGCGTATGGCTCTGTCAGCCGTGCGGGAGAAGTATGAGGGGTGCGGACCAGGACTACAAATCGTGCGCTCTCCCCTTTCCCTTCTCCGCCTTTCCCTTCTCTGCCTTTCCCTTCTCTGCCTTTCCCTTCTCTGCCTTTCCCTTCTCTGCCTTTCCCTTCTCTGCCTTTCCCTTCTCTGCCTTTCCCTTCTCTGCCTTTCCCTTCTCTGCCTTTCCGCTCTCGACATCGTGCATCACGGTAAAACAAAGCTAAACGGTGACGACTATACACAGGATTTGGAAGTGGCGCAACCAATACGGCGAGGTCCTCGGCGGTCTGGGCACAGGCATCGGCGAGGGCGACCGCGGCGTCATCTGTGGGCGCGAAGAGGCATGCTGCGGCGCCAAAGGCCGCGAGCAGGAAACCGACTGCGACGCGGCGGATGCACGGAACAACACGTCGACGACGACGTCCTCACCGTGGTCCAGCCCGCCCCTGTCGCTCGCCGGGTCGCCGCCGCAGGCAGCGCACCATTCCTCCTCCCATTCGTCCCTGGTGGCGGCAGAGCGGCGGACGCCGAGCCCCCAACTGCGGCCGGGATACGCGCGCCACGAGATCGAGGGGATAGGCGGGGTGGTCAAAACCAAACTGGTGCGCATGATGCGCGTGGGCGCGTGCGTGCCTGAGTGGGAGGACGAAAAGAATAAGGGGGAGATCCTGGGACGGGAGGTCTCGGGCCGGAGTCGCAGTTGGTGTGGGTGGTGCTGGCGAGTGATTCCGGGGATGAATGACTTGGAAGCAAAGGGGAAGACTTCTAGTTGAGTAAGCTGGGCTGGGTATATCAGGCATCTTGGCAGGAGATGGAAGCATTCATGATGACGGCGTTTGAGAGTGTTGGTTTTGAGTTGGTTGTTTTTATACAAAATAATTATGTATGGCCATGTTTTCCATCGTCTAGCATATGTGATGGTAGCAACAAATTTGATATACAGGAATCATATGGGGTGGGAGATTCATCTGATGGTGGATAGTTGTCCTTCCCCCTCAGCGCCGTATCGGTTTATGCTAGATGTGTCCAACTCCTTCGAAATGCTTGAGGCATGCCCGTGATGTACAGTTGATTCGTTCTCTTACACTTCCGTCCCTACACGTCTTTAGTCTCTCCTATCTTCCCCCTTAACGATCGACCCTCCTGACCAGACGCTCCATTCGCACCATCACCCCATCAACCATCCGTAGCCGCCTTATATAGCGCCCTTGAACAGCAACGCCTTCCGCTTCTTCCTCTCCTCCCGCGCCCCCGACCGTATGGGACCCCACCGCGCCTTGATGGCCTCGAGCCGCTCCCTCTCCTGGGCCTTGTGCTCTGGGCCGGCCTTGCAGCACATCATGATGAACAGATGCGAGCACTTGTACCTCTCGGCCAGCTTCTGCACGCTCCACTTGGCCGGGTCCTCGGCGCGCAGCGTGCGCATCTCGTCGACCTGCTCGCGCGTCACGTTGTACATCTTGGGCGCGCCCTCCCTCTTGGTCGACGGCGGCGGGAGGTTGTTGGCGTTGGCGGAGGGCCCAGAGAGGTCGGCGGACGAGCGGATGAGTTGCGTCAGGTTCGCCTGCCGGCGCGGGTCCGTCTTGGGCAGGAACTTGAAGGGCGTGTGGTAGACCGACGGCGCGGCCGAGGGCGGGTTGTAGATTATGTGGCTCTCGCCCTCGCGCGGCGTCAGGAAGTCCGGGTGCGGCGGGATCTTGAGCATCTTCTTGGTGCGCGAGGTTGTGGACTGGTGCCGGCGGCCTGTCGCTGCTGCTACTATCGATCGCGTGAAGGGGGACGTGGAAGAAGACATGGCGGATGCGGTTGCGGTGGTGGTGGTTGAGCTTGAGAGGCTGCTCAGCGGCCGCAGGAGGTGCCGCGTCTCCATGTTGGTGGGCGGCAGCTCGAGGGCGATTTGAGAATTGGAGATAGGACTTGTAGGAGAGGTATATTAAGTCGGAAAGGGCGGTTTGGCTTGATTGGATTTGGAGCTCAGGGACTTGGTGTTGAAACGGTCGGCGATCCATGATAGCTTCAACTGAACGGGACTGCAAATTTCCACGCTAATCGCGGAGGTACAGAAGACCCGACTCCCGACGCTCAGGAGATGGCCCGAGTGGGGCCGCTGGGGTGCACCTGCACTGTGCAGCCCGAGCCCGGATGTCTCCATGTAAGTTCGTGGGTCACGTGCGACTCCAGCTCATCAGGCCCCGGACCTGCACTTTCCTGCAGTAGCGTCCGTCGGGTTGGACCCCTAAAATGCCGATGTCCTCAAGTCTCGAGAGCACCAGTTTTGGCTGTCGGATTGACAGGATTTCTCCAGCGACGAGATATGATTGGGAAGAAGCGGTTCTGTCTGAACGGAAGGACACTTCGAGACACCTAGGAACCGAACTCCAAATGGCATGTCCGACGTGCCGTGCCGCACACCTCCAGCTTGCACTCCGTCCCAATCGAATCGAGACGACTACCCCTCAATGTGACGTAACGTCCGGACGAGCTGGAGGTTTCATGTGGCACATGGCGTTCATGTCGTGATAGTGCTGATCAACATTGAACCTCCCGTCAAGCCCATGAGCTGTCATTTCTGCCGGGTTGCCTTCTGGCTGGCTCCTCTAATCCCATCTTGTTTCAACACACATATTCCTCCTTGCGTCCAGGCCACCTACACCCATTGGCTGTATTGCCCGCCGAAGATGACATCAAGTGGTGCGTCGGGACGGGATGGGATGGGATGGGCATTCTCAGAGTTTCTGATAGCTGGTCAGCGCGTGTCTTCATGGATTTGAACTGTCAGCGTTCGTCACTGTCAGCGGCTGATGCTGAGACCCCAGGCGGGCAGGCGGGCAGGCGGCCTGGCTGTGGAAGAAGCAGAGCTGTTGAATGCCTCTATTTTCAGCATCGTTAGAGACATCTGCTATTGCATCGCATTGATTCATGCGCTGCTGTCGGGGCTTGAGTAAAGATGCTTGTCAGTTGTCAGTGTCGCACTACCACACCACGCCCGGTTGCTGAACTTCCATGTTTCCATTCTACCGGTAGCAACATCATTCCCGTCCAGCCGTCCTGCCGTCCCACCCTCAAACAGGGAAGAATGGTCGATCTTCAGGTGTCATCTCCAGGAATCGGGCTGTAGGCTGCCGCCCGTCAGAACTGGACACTTGTCGAGCCCGATCCTTCATTAATGGCATGTGCTATCATGGCACTTACAAGCCCCGTCCTCACTGAATAACCTGTCCGCACTTCACCTTCACTCATCGCAACAACACTGAACAATTCCCTACCTGGCTTGGCCTAACAATAAGCCGTGGCTTACGGTGTTTCCGTCGAATAGTCGCATGCACAAGCGTCTTTTAATATTTGAAGGTAGTGCTTGACCGAGCAAGATAACCCACCCAGCAGATTAAGGGTCGTTCGGCTTGCACTTACTACGCCTATTCGACTTATTACTAATTATTCACTACCCCATCTCAGTCCATCTACGGCGACTATTGGCGTACGTCAGTTGTATGCGCCTCGGGCTTTATTTACGACCCGAGGAGTCTGGCTGGACAGCGAAGGAGAACTCCATCCCTCGTCACCTTGTCTCACGGGCTTTCTAGGTCAAATTGCATCGCGGACTACCTACCCTGACAATCGACGCCGCCGTCATCTCTGTCTCCTGCTATTTATGCAAACCCACTTCCCGTCCAAAGTGGTCGACAGCCTAATCGCACCCGCCTCCTGCTGTCGTCGTACGCGCGTTGCACCAATCGATCGTCAGCAGTGTTGAAAGAAAAGATTCAGGGTCTAGCTGCGGCCTGCGCACGTGCGTCAGCTCGCATTTCAGCTCTTAAGACTTGCGGTGGCAGCCTGGACAAATAGCAGCAGCAAGAGGTGCAGTACCTTCTGCTGCAGCTCGTCAATTCTCCAATCCGAGTCGAGTGCCTTCCGAGTCGCTTAGGTCGACGAGGGTAAGTGCCTCTCTACATTGACTGGCAGACTGCGGCCGGATCTCTTTTCGTCACGAGCCTTGTCTGTTTTGCCAGATTTTGCTCCCAACACCACCTTACGATCGTCTCATGCCGATGGTGGGCAGCTGATAATCGTGTTGCCTCGGTGTCTACGGACCTGTTTTTTTGGACCCTTGCTGATCGGCCACCTGCATCTCCAGACATCCATCATCAGTCAGCTTTGCCTACGCACCGCTCCAGTCCATCCTCGTCCCATACGCGATCATGAGCCTTGCAACAGCAGCTGCTATAAAGAGCAGTCAGCCTTCCACAGGTGAATCAACGCCTACCACAACAGAACCCAACGAGATGGAGGCCGGAACCGATTCGGGCAAGGGCGATACCAAGCCGAAGAAACGGAGTCTGTTCGGTTTCGGGAAGAAGAAGACGGACGAGAAAGCCGCTGCCAAAACCCCATCCAAGACAAAATCTGGACTCCCGAGTCCACCGAATACCCAAGACATAACACAGACTTCTGCGAAGCGATCGGCTACCACGTCGCCGGTACCTGTCGGTAGTCCCAATATGATACCATCCTCACCCCGAGGCCTCTACTCCTCGTCCCCCAGAATAAACTCGCCCGCTGGATCCCAAATCTTCGAGCGAAACGTTCAAGAAAGCGCCGTCATGCCCAATTCACCGGCGATCCCATCCCACATTCAAACGGAGGACCACATCCCTTCGGTCCTTGACGCCTCTTCTGAAGCCATTACGAACGGCCATCTCAACCCCGACACAGTTGAGATTGTCACTCACAACTCGCACCAGCCAGCCTCTGTGACCGTAACCGGCGCCTCCCCATACGAAAGCGTTCCCGGCTCGGAGGATCTGGGAGCCTATTCAGACAGGGACGAAGCTGCTTCCAACTACGGATCTCTTGACTCGGCCGACGTACGACGCCTTAGCTTCATCTCATTTGCCGATGTCGTCCAGGCCGAGCATGGCCCTGGCATTGCCACGGGCAGTCGGGATTCGATGCACCTGGCCGGGTTGACGTCTCTCGCCTCCATGAGCGCCAATCGCTCGCCTTCGCCGATAAGGTCGCCCGTATCGTCGCAAGGACTAGAGTCATCCCCGCCACGCAGCAAGTCGGGATCCATCAAGGGGTTGAACGGGTTGAACATGTCGCCCGTGCGGAGACCGCTGGGCAGCCCTGCATCTACTGAGCACAACCTCACCTCCAGTGGTGAACTGAACATTGAGACCATGTCCCAAGCACTGAGACGTACAGCTAGCACCGACTTCAGTGCGGCACGGAGTCTCCCCGTCAGCCCGATAGAAGGACCCTCTCGTTGATCTGGGCCAGGACGACAGGAACCCCTGTCACGAACATGTCGGGTGTCCAAGGCAAGAAATGATGCTGTTTTCAGATATCGGAACTTTGCGTGCGTTATACTCCTGATTATTTCTTGGAACTGCGAAACCCATGGATACCGTTTGACACTTATTGTTTGACTTTTGGGAGAGAGGATTCGGACCGAGCGGAGGGCCAAGGTCTTGGGCACACGGAGTTGGGAAAGATCATGTGGATCAACAAGCTGGGCTCTCCTTTTACGTTTCCCACTGACGAAACACGAGCTGGCGGCGGAGACGCATCGGCTTTTCTATTCTTGACGACTTTTTCCACTGGCTAAGCTGTGCTGTCACCCGGTGTTTCGAGGACGAGCGTTATTATGGGCTAGCCATATTTACGTCGCGGGCGCGATTATGAGTAAGCTCTTGTTATATCCTCCAGTACTCGATTCCCCCATTGAGCTTCATGGTTTCACATTGGATCAAACATAGTCACGGCTTTCCCCCATGCAATTCTTCTTGATTACGGACATCCCGTTATCTCGTGATCCGCCTCGAGGACCTATCTAGGTGCCGCGCATACATCAGACTCATCTCAAGCTGGAGTGATACAATATGTGCCCTGCCCTCATGCCTTGTCATAAATACACACCGTGGATAGCCTGTATATTACCACAGATCGGCGGCACCAATAGTCGTGGATGTAAGCAACCGCAAGAGCCTCTCCGTGTACATATACAGGGGCTTCCACGCCAGATCAGTACCGCATCTCCCTGCTGAACAAGGTTCGTGTTTACGTGCGACAACAGCAAATGAGCGAGTTTGATCTGCGCCGTTGACCTGACCTGATGACCAGGATAGGCCAGATGGTGAGGGGTCTCTGTGGCCTTGTACGTGTCTATGGACATGGCGATTGTATGTTTACGAATGCTAGCCACGGAAAGTTGATAGGCGTCGTCGGCTACGCCGGTACATGGATGAGGGTTCAAGCAACCAGAGATGGACGAATCATTCGGGTCCTTTCCACCTCTGCACATATCCATAATAAGCTTCCAGGTTTACATTGCTTAGGATCACGCTACGTTACTGGCTTCCGGCATGCGGGTTGGCCGGCTGTCTCTAGCATGTCTGCGCACGGTAGATGGCTTCTGACACCTGACGTTGAGTAGCAGCAATGCCAGCACTGGAAGCTAGCAAAGCTGACGTGAGACTTGGCTCAACTAGAGCCCCCATCAGTGTCTATGGGGTAGAGGCAAGGCGGATTTAGTGTTGAGTCAGGTAACCTGACCGTCTGTCTGGCAACAACCTGACTCAAGGTACGCGACAGTGCAAACAACTGTCGCGAGTGGCGAATTGGCGTCGGAAACAGGCAGTCATCGAGACACCAGACGGTTCCGTGATAGGCCGTTGCTGAGTTATTGGGATGTAAGAGACAGAGACATGCGTAAGCCCTAGCGACTAATCCCGAGGCGCGGATATGAAGTGGTTGCGTCGCATGCTTCTAGAACGGCATGTAAGCTGGCTGGCATGCGTCGACCTACCTGTCTTATGTACCTGGTTGGTTGCAGTCGAATGGGATGAAATTGCCCGAAAGGATGAACCAAGACTCAGATGACGTTTCAATATTTCGATACCGTACCATGTGGATGGGCCAATGGGCACGGCTCGTCGATTTTCCCAGAGCGGCAGCCGATGAGGCTATGAGATGAGAACTGTCAGTTCCAGTCATCTTGACGCGTGGTCTTTGGAGATGGAGGCCTGCTGTCCTGTGTGAGGAAATACGAGAAGATGACGGATCAGGCTTGAAGAGGGAGTATCCCGTCTTATTGGACGTACAAGTTAGGACAGAAACAAAGACGGCCATGTCGGCGAACGGTTTACCCAAATAGTCGAAACGAGATTGACCTCGAATCCTTTGTGGGTGCGGCAAATGAGAGCCCTGCTGACCTGTCTGTGCTGATGTCTAATACGGGATTCCACGTGTGACCCCTTCCCTCATCGACTTCACACTGAAGTCTGACAGTCACAGCCCTTATTGTGACCGTTGTTAGCCCTTTTTCGAGGCCTCAGCTGATGTTCCAGGGCAGGCGAGTCTTCTCATCTGGGCAGCTAGGATGAGCTGGATGGATGAGTATTGTTCGACGTTGCTGCCACATGAGGCTGGCATGGGGCTGGCATGGAACCATCGGACGGTACCTGGGCTAGAGTGGGCTGTTGCACCAGCTCACAGGTACCGAACGAGCATTGCTGGACCCCAGTCATGAGCTCCCCCAAATCTCCGCCCCATCAAAGCGATTGACTTACACCCCCTGTACTGGACGTAAATATTTGCATGCGGACATGTTGTGGGGAGTACAAACGACACCGCAAAACATCACCTCTGGCCTGGCATGGACACTGGAAGCCCAGGGCCCCCGGCGGTGCAGGTGGGTTTGATGACTTCCAATCATTGCACGTGGCCGTGATTGACTCTATCCCCCAATCTTCTTTTACACTTCTCGAACATTTCATCTGTTGGAACTTGTAATTTGTTGCTGCCCTTGCAATCGCCGACCCTTGGACTTGCTGCTTTGGTTCTTGTCTCCGCCTCTGCTTTCACCACTGGCATGTAGGCTCTTTATCCCACACAATCCAGCCATACTCCCCCCCGGCCGCGATCGATGCCACCAACAGCGAATTGTTCGACCAGCCAACGGCCTGCTGCGGCGTCCCTCATTCGTCGTCTTGCTTCTCGTCGAATCCATGCTACCCGGTAGCTTTGCGCCCCAGACCAGCCCGAACCAGAGACGAACATCCAATCCGAGCCCCTCAGTGCCTGCAGACACCACAAAGAACACTCCGACACTCGCTGCACAAACCCAGTTGCCTGCATAGTCGCCGACGAGTCAAAACAACCACATAATACCCTACCTCAGCCCGCCTGACCGCCCCCCAATGCGCACAAGGCGAACTCTTGATCTTCTCTTCCCACGTGTCGTACAGTAGGCCGGAGCGAGCGAGTGCGCGGCCGGAGTGATAGTATCTGCCCTGGGACATAACCTGTTCAGCCTAGAGCCGTTCACGCGAGGCGAGACTTCTCAAGCTGCTGTCGGTTCTCTGCGCCAGCCTCATCGGTAGCCTGCGTAGTGTGGTTTCCGCCGACAAAGGCCGAGTCTCACCCCAAGGTCACCTATGCACCTAGAATGCTCTCCCTCCGATGGCCGCTGCTGAACGACATGATCCTTGCTGCTTGCCGTTTATGACAGACAAACTTTCCAGAGTTCTAGCTCTCGGTATCTCGCTGGGACAAGACGCGCATGGTTACCCCCCATACGCATACACACACATCACAAACACCCACGACAGAAAGCGCCCTTGTTCCTAGCTGCGCGAAGCCGCCCAGCACTCAATGCCCATCCCTTCCGGGACACCACGCAGTCGAAACCAAGGCTGAGTGGTACCGGTCCGCCCGAGATGGAGGGAAAGACGAAGGGTGACCCGGACACCAGTCCGACGGATTGGCCACAGCTCGCATTCGGGGATACGCTGTCACGAACCACGGCGAGGTTAGCCAGTAACATGCGCGCCAACTACAGGCCCAGTGCCAGCCTGCAGCACAAGAAGAACAGCATTCGCACCGTTACACCTGAACCAGCCGAGAATGGACACGCCCTGGTCGACACAAACGTTCCACAAGGGACCCGAGGCTACGGCACCACCTCGCCCCAGCAGACCTCGCCGCGGTCCATACCTGGCGGTGAAAGGCGGCGTCAGGGAATGGTATTCAATGATGCCTATGGCGAGTCGTTCGACAGCACCTCCTCGAGCCCGCCGCAACAAAGGACGGCGCTCAACAGGCAGCGCACGCATACCATGGATGGTGCCTTAGCTCCGCGACAACAGCCGGCTGCTTCGACAACCGACAGCAGGCATAGGGTAGGATCTTTCTCCTCGTCGGGTTCTCAGCCGTTCACAGACATTGACATTCGACCCCCGCCACTCGAATCCGTTGGGTATCCGTCAGCATCTTCGAGGCAGTCAGATTTGAGGGTCGCCGTCTCGTCCAACAAAGAGAAAAGGTCGAGCAATCGGCGCTTAGTCAAGCGCGCGACTTCCCGTCCCACATCGCCTCTGATATCGCCCCCTCCATCCGTGGACTCGCTACCATTGCCGATACCGACAGACGATGCAAACAAGATCCTGCTCCTGATGAAGACCTTGTGCGGCCGGATGAGAGGGGAGGTCGAATATCAAAGCGACCCAAACGGCCCCTGGTATAGCGGAGTCTGCTACATCGACGAGGATAGGGGTAGTCTCTTGTTCGATCCCGGCCAGAATGGCCCATTCCATATTCCCATTGTTGGGGACCTTCGCGGCTGCAGGGTCCTCCCTGTTGGTAGCCGCGATACTGGGACCAAGTACTTGGAGCTTCTTGGTCAGAAAATGAACACCGAACTTCGACTACGGCCTCTGATAACGGATGAGCTCGACTTATGGCTGGCCAGCTTGCTCTGCTGGCAACAACTTCGGCCCGGCGGCGTAAGACTGTCCAATAATAGGGGAGGAAACGCTCCTGGTAATGTCAGACCCGAGGCAAGGAAAAGGGGTTCTTCGGCAGCCGCGTCTACGTCCAGGGACGCCGCCATCATAAAAGTTGGGAAGGTCATGTTGTGGGACAAAGGCGTAGCGACGTCGCCTCGCGCCATCGTGAAGCGACCGTCCACAAGAGATCTCCGCTCCGGGTCGACCTCCTGGAGAAGGGTTTCCTGCATATTGCAAGACAACGGAGAGTTTAAGCTCATGACGGAAAACGACGTAGCCGTCCTGTCCGTCATTGAGCTGCCTCAGCTGTCGCGCTGTGCGGTACAACAATTGGATAAGTCGGTCCTAGATGAAGAATATTGCATTGCCATCTTCCCCATCTATTCGTCTACATCTAGGCAGCTTTCTATATTCCGGCCCGTGTATATTGCCCTCGACTCCAGGGTACTGTTTGAGGTCTGGTTTGTCCTCCTGCGGGCATTTGCCATTCCCGACCTATATGGGCTTGAGGCATCCACGCATGAAGTCACCGAGGTCCGGGACTTTGATTCCCCCTTCAAAGGGCAGATGTTTCGTATGGAAAAGACCATCCAAGTCAGGGTGACGGAAGCCAAGATACGGAAACCGACGCAGCTGCCCGAACACCATGGAGGTCATACCAAGGAACGAGATGCCCTGATGGGCAATTATCTGGCCGAGGTCATACTCGATGGCGAAGTCCGAACCCGGACAACGACTCAAGCCGATACGAAGAATCCCTTCTGGCGCGAGAACGCTCATTTTACCGAGTTGCCTGCCGCGCTGCCATACCTTTCCGTCATACTGAAAAGAGTAGAGGGTAACCTGGAGAGCTTCAGTCATCAGCTGCAAGCCTCTCTAGGCCTGCCAAAGACAGGTAACCTCACCGAGGTCACATGCGGATCTGTCGACATACCGTTGGACAAGCTGGAGCGCGCGAAGGACCACGAGCAATGGTTCCAAGTATACGATGAGCGGCAGGAGTCCGTTGCGAGCATGTTTGTCAAGGTGAACCATGACGAGCTCGTCGTCCTCACGAAACGGGACTACGAGCCTCTGACTGTGCTCCTTCACAAGTTCAGTATAGGCATGACCGGTCAGATCGCCCATGCTGTCCCTGGTCAAATGCGGAGACTCTCGGAAACCTTCCTCAACATCTTTCAGGTGTCGGGTTCTGCCAGCGAATGGTTGATGGCTCTTGTCGAAGAGGAGATTGACGGTATAGGGAGCCAGAACAGTATGAAAAGGTTGCGCTTCAGCCGTCGGATGAAGTCGAACGATTCCTCCACCTCGGCGAACGACAGAGAGCTACTCGTCCGCGACATGGGCAAATCGTTGGCTGGAGAGGCCAATCTATTGTTTCGGGGCAACACCTTGCTTACACAATCATTGGAGTTCCACATGCGACGTCTTGGCAAGGAATATCTCGAAGAGATCTTGACTGAAAAGATCTTTGAGATAAACGAGATCAATCCGGACTGCGAGGTTGACCCGAGCAGGATTGAAAAGCCTGACGACCTACAGCAGCATTGGAGCCAACTGGTGCAGCTCACGACCGAACTATGGGAGTGTATAGCTGCGTCTGCAACAAGACTACCCGCCGAGCTTCGACAGATTCTGAAGTACGTACGGGCGGTTGCTGAGGATCGATATGGTGACTTTCTCCGTACCGTCAACTACACGAGTGTCTCGGGCTTTCTGTTCCTTCGATTCATCTGCCCGGCTATTCTCAATCCGAAACTGTTCGGGCTCTTGCGAGACAATCCACGCCCTCGAGCTCAGCGTACCCTTACGCTCATAGCCAAAGGGCTCCAAGCCCTGGCAAACCTGTCCAGTTTCGGAAAGAAAGAGGGCTGGATGGAGCCCATGAATAAGTTTCTGAGTCTCCAACGGCAGTCTTTCAAGGGCTACGTCGACCAGTTGTGTTCGATACCTACCGAGCGTAGTGGCAGCACTCCCTCGGCGTCATATTCCACGCCCAACGCCATCCTCAGCCGACTATCCCCAACGTCCCGAGAAGGCTTCCCGTCTCTGCCGTATCTCATCGACCAGGAGAGAAATCTAGCGGCTTTAGTCAAGCTCTGGTTGGAATCAAACCATGCCAGTGCTGCCGAATCGCACTCGTTTGAGGGAGAGCTCGCCGAGTTCCACGTCGCATGCATAGACATTCAGCAGCGGTCTGACGGGTGCCTAGCCAAGATAGAGTCGCTCCGTGCCTCGGAGGATGAATCCGTAATGACCGACGACCTGACGGAAAGTCTGGAGAAGGCTTCCTTGATGGATGCTGCCAACCTTGGCTCTGGGACACCAGCTTGGATGGAAAACGACCAGTACGGACCGCCCGGCTCCTCTGGGAGCGAGCAGGACGGTGGAGACAGAACAACACTGCGCAACATTGGTCGCCAAGGCTCCTCCCTTCGGCAGGTTTCGGATAGCTCCGACGTATCAAACCCCGCCGCAACGATACGCGGCAAGAGCAGGAGCGCCAGAGACCCCCGAAGCTTCCTCCACGGGCTGATCAGCGGCAAGAAGCACAGAGACCACCACCACTCGAACTCCTCGCCTTCGACGGTTCGAGAGAAGAGCAGAGATAAGGAGGAAAGGGGCAGCCGAGGCATATTGGGGACTTTCTCGGAGGCGTGGCAGCAGAATGACAGCAGCTCGCGGCACTAGTTATGCCCTCGACTGTCTTTCATAGCAAACCCAAAATCACCACGAGCAGCACCACCGCCGCAACATCAACAACAACACCAAGAACAGAGGCTTGATCTGGAGCTAGACCTAGACCTAGAACAGCTTCCGCACGGACCAGGTGGACGGAGAAGTGGCCGGGCACGGCTGAGGAAACAGCAGCCCACACATAACAAATCAAGAGGGCCCCTGCTGGCTTTTGGATAGACAAAAATCAAAGATTATGGGTGGGCACATGAGAAGAGGCTCGTCCTGGCCCATGATAGTGCATCACGAGGCAAACGTACAGGACATGGCGGAGCGAAAAGGCGTTCAAGGAGAGACTTTCTGAGCCAGGCTTGATGAGGGAATACCAGATACCTGGACACTGCATTTACACATGCCAGCTCGTGCACCATGTAACTACATCGCAAGCGAAAGCAGACGCGTGTATGTACGCATACCCAGCAGTGAATCTGGGGTGAAGCATTGAGATTCGAGACATCACTTGGTAGTCTGATAGACAGACAGGCGGCTGAAATCAGAGTCGCATAGTAATTAGTTTGGTCTGGTTGCTTTTCCCAAGGGTGACATATTGGGATGATTACCGACTCGTCGTTTGTCTCAGTGCGGATTTATATTCCGACCGCTTGTCTGGAGAAGTATCTTCAGATGTTTTCTACACGTACTTCACCTATGTGGATGGATGTCGGACCGAGTCTCTTCCCATGACAGGCTCTTCCCATGCCAGATATATACGACGAGTATCATGAGAGTACGTCGAACAAGATCACTGATCAAAAGGCAGGTGAAGCTGTTCAGTATTGTGCATTGTATGTTTGTCTTGGTATTCTCTAGAGACTCAGCTAGAGGTAGCCAGCTATTTGACTACCTTAGCCAAGCTATCACACCAACCCATGTCTCTGCTCAAGCGGGATTATGATATCCCAAGTATATGATTCACCTATCGAGCAATCCTCTCGGAGTCCTGGTAGAAGAAAACTCAGTGCAGACTTGTTGTGTTTTCATCGTCTCATCTCTATCGTGATCGTCATCTGTTATGGCGATTTCTTACCCCTTGCCGTGTTCTCTACTCCTTTGCAAGGACTTTGGTTCTAAAGTCTTCTTCCCCACATCTGAACTTGCGATTCCTCTCTAATCATCTCTGTGATTCGAATCCAGAAATCCGACCTCTAGATCAGTCGAAGAACTTCTTGTAGGCAGCCTTCTCCTTGGCTAGGCGGGCGGCGGCCTGCTTCTTGACGGTGTCGAGCTCCTTGACGATGGCGCCGTCACCGGGGACCAGCTTCTTGGCCTCCTCGAGAGCCGCGACGGCCGCCTCTTCGTCCTTCATGCGCACGAGGGCGACGCCGCGTCGGTACAGCGCCTTGCCCTTCTCGGCATCCGAGATGTCCTTGACGGCGAGGGCGGCGGCGGCGCTACGCTCGGCGTCCTCCCAGTTCTCGAGCTTGATGTTCAGCAGTGCCGCGTTGCAGTTGAGCGTGAAGCGCAGGGCGTCGAGCTTCTGGGGGACGCCGTCGGCCGCCTCCTTGGTGTCGGGGTCCTCGTTCAGGTACCGCAGCCCCTTCTCGTACTTCTCCAGGCCCAGCAGCACGTCGCCGCTCTTGAAGGCCTTGTTGCCGTACTCCTTGCAGTCGCTGGCTATCTGCAGGACCTTGGCGGCGTCGAGGTCGCCGCTCGCCGTCTCGTCCTCCGGGAAGTCCTCGTACTTGTCGCCCAGGGCGTCGGGCGCCTTGGTACCCCCCGAGGCGGCGTCCAGGGCCGCGCCCGTCAGCTCGCCGCAGTCGGTGATGGTGGCGTCGTGCACCGGCTTGTCGCTGCCTTGGGTGCGTAGGTTCTCGATCTGGCGCACGATCGACTTGCCCGACTTGACCTCGCCAAAGACGACGTGCTTGCCGTCCAGGTGCGGGGTCTCGGTGGTGGTGACGAAGAATTGCGAGCCGTTGGTGTCTGCGCGTCGGAGTCATTCATCAGCCAACCTGGACAAGCGGATGAGTTTGGTAGAGCTACTTACCAGGTCCAGCATTGGCCATGCTCAGCAGGAAGGGCTTCTCGTGCTTGAGTTCAAAGTTCTCGTCCTCAAACTTGGCGCCGTAGATGCTCTCGCCGCCGGTGCCGTCGCCGGCGGTGAAGTCGCCGCCCTGGATCATGAACTGCTTGATGACGCGGTGGAAGCTGCTGCCCTTGTAGGTGAGGGGCTTGCCGGCTTTGCCCAGACCCTTCTCGCCGGTGCAGAGGCATCGGAAGTTCTCGGCCGTCTTGGGCACGACGTCGTCGTAGAGCTCGAAGTTGATGCGGCCGGCGGGCTTCTTGCCGATGGTGAGGTCGAAGTAGACGCGGCTGCGCTTCTTGGTCTCTTGAGTCATGGTTGCGGTGGTTTACTGTTCGAGTTGCGAGGTGCGAGGTGCGGTGGCCTGGGGCGACAAGGCTGCGCAGTGTCAGGTCAGGTAAGCAGATGTGCTTCGAGAAGCGGCAGAGGCGGGGTTTTAGACGAAGGAGAAGAGATCTTGGGTAAGGTAGGCAGCAGTGGGAATCCGAATAACAGACTGTACCTACTGTGTGTTTGTTGTTTTCGCAGGACGACAAGGAAGATAATGTTTGCAGGACTGGAATGCGCCAGAGAGGCTCGGCTTGCAAAGTGAAGCTCCAGAAGATTCTTGGCAGAAGCTTCTAGGGGTCCAACGAGGGGGAGCCTGCGCTGCCTAGGGAGGGGCATTGACCAATCAGCTTACACCTTTTCAACCACTACAGCCTCTCCATCCGCCATCTCAGGGGTTTGTCCAACTTCATCTCATGTTCTTCTTAACCTATGCCTATATATATACATGGAGGTATATGCATATGAAGCTATGGTTTGTATTACACCCCCAAGACATTACACACGCGAGCGAAGGGGGACGGTAGGGTCACCCAATCTTGTCGCACTGCCAGCAACAAGCGGCTCTCCCCCTGCTGCTGAAGTGACACCATTCTCTCAAGTACTCTTGAAAAGCCCCGAATAGTTTATTTCAATCCCAAATCAGCTTTTCTTCCATCCAGCTCCCCATCTGATGTTGTCCGAGACAAGCTAACAAGGTCATAGGTATGTGATCAGGACCGCTCTTGCTCTTGTGTACTCTGTTGCAAAGGCTTACCCACCTGATCAGCACCTGACAAGGCGTTTAAGGATGGGTGGTGTGACGACGCTCTGGATCTTATGACTACGGAGACGAGAGTCTCCCTCTTGCTATCCCATCAAGCAAGAGCCCACCTTTCGGACCCGGGGACTACACCACAGCGGGAGCCCATCGTGGTTTCTAGACCAACTGTTACGGTTATAGTACGACCCCGTATCAACGATATCTGAGGGCAAGGTGTCAGAGGGACCAGACGTGACGACCGATGATCTTGCATTCGTCGTAATGGGGTTTCCAGTTAACAGCCTCCCAGCTTCTCTAACCATCCATCCCACGTGCTTAGGGAGATGTGAACCTCTCACCCTCGATGACAGGCTTTAAAGGGCTCGACACAGGGCTCGACACAGGGCGTATGGCCTAGTTCATAGATGGTTATTCGTGCATCTGCATAGTTGTTATGATCCGAGATGACACCGCAGAGCCGAAGTGGGATAGTTCCTCCTTGGAATCCATTCTGAGCCTCAATGGCCTTGTAACCAGTCATTAGTAGTCGTTTGGGTCGCGGCAGAGGCGAAGGGACTTTGAGGCCGTCATCCTCCCCTCTTACTGTAGCGTGCACACCGACTGCCCCTCTCACGATGACCAACATCATCGGGGTTTGTACGACTCACAGAGATTATAACGGCCCCCCGTATCGGACCGTGGCCTCGTCGTACCAACGTTTCGTTGCCGAGGCTGTCCCGAGGTTGTATTGTGATGGAACTAGGCCACAGAGAAGCCTAGCCACCCCCTTTTACTCTCACCTTCAACCGCAACCCCAGCCCTGTGGTTGCGATGGCATTGACGAGAAGAACAGGTCGAGGTGAGAAAGAGAGGTGATCATCCATCATAAATAGCACAGCCTGGTCAATGTAGTGTTTCTCTCGCTCATGCTTCTTAGGGGGGTGGTATTCAATTGATCAGGTGGGATTTATGCAGGACCATCTAGGTGTCCTGTCATCTGGGTTCAAACATGAAGGGCTCATCACGAGATTCAGGACACAGGAGGTAATTACTACTTCTTATGTTATTATCAGCCCGCCATGTCCAGGTTCCCTCCGAGCTCTGGGGTCAAGGTGATCACGCCTCGGTGAACGGGACAATCCGAATGTTGGCTGGGGGGATTGGAGAAAGTATGGTCCCACCTCCGCATTGCAACGACGCGCACGCATACCAACCCCGGATTTCCCGCCGCATCACGAGACCCTTGGCTGCCTGCCATTGGAGCGCATGTGGCAGTCCCCCATGTCTCCCCCATGCCATCGCCGCAACATCAGAAACCCTCCACTCAGGGAGCAGCTCGTTCCGTCTCCAGGATTCTGGGGCAGCCTCCCCCTGTCTGCGTCACCACATCGGGTATGTTCTCCGCAGGGCAACACACTTCCCCAACCTGGGGACCATGTAGAGAATGTATAAGAGAGTATTGTCGTCCCTTCTCTCGCTTCGTCTGTCGTGTGCCGATGCTAGGTAGCTGCTGTCACCCTCGCCGTGGCACTCTCTTAGAAACCATTTTGAGATTTCCCGGGCTCAGTTCAGCAACATGAAGCCTCACACTTACCAGGTACGTCTACTCGAACAGCCGCAGACGCAAAGATAGAAAGAATCATGCTATCGCCCGTCTTCAGGCACTGGCATAGACTGACGCGCCCTCACAGTTCCTCGTCGGTGTGTTCGCCTCGGTGGGCTCCATCTTGTACGGATACGATCTTGGTGTCATTGCCGGCGTCGTCGGGAGTTCTAACTACGGCGAGCTCTTCCACGCCAACACAGCACAGAAGTAAGCGCACCTTCGCCAGTGCAGTGTCTCGCAAAGGTGACTGACCATTACTGTACAGTGGAGCCGTCGTTTCGCTGTTTACTGGGGGCGCCTTCTTCGGAGCTGGTTTCGCGGGACCGGTCGGTGATTACTTGGGTCGACGGTTGACCATCATGCTTGGTGCTATCTTCTTCCTTATAGGTGGCGCTATCCAGACCGGAGCCCAATCACTTTCTTTCCTATACGGAGGAAGGGCTGTTGCGGGATTCGGTGTTGGAATATTGACTATGATCATCCGGTACGCAGCCCCTTATTGACTTACGACTTACAAGAAAGACACTGACCATCCCCCTAGTAAGCATGTGAATTTCCCGAGTCGTCGACGAGCGAATGGCTACTGACTAGAGCTCTACCGCAGCTGTGTACCAGAGTGAGATCGCTCACCCGTCGATTCGAGGACGAGTCACCGGTCTACAACAGTTCATGCTGGGGATCGGTGCCTTGGTAGCTGGTTGGGTATCGTGGGGATGCTACGTGAACCTGTCGAACTCAGGCCAGTGGCGCATACCCTTGGGCATCCAGAATATCCCAGCTGTCATACTCGCCACTCTCATCTTGCTGTTCCCCGAAAGTCCACGGTGGCTTATAGACCACGGCCGAAGCGACGAGGGGCTCGCGACACTGGCCAAGCTGCATTCGAATGGAGATACTTCAGACCCGTGGGTGCAGGCCGAGTTTGCTCAGATCCAGGAATCGATTACGTTCGAACATGAGCATGAGGCCAAGAGCTACAAGGAGCTCTTCACCAACAAGTGAGCTTCACGTTCCAGGAAGCCTGTCTCCTGAGACGTTGAGCTAACATACGCCAGGTCCGCCTTCCGTCGCCTCTTCCTCGCCTGCGCTATTCAGGCTTCCGTCCAGATGACCGGTGTCTCGGCTATCCAGTACTTTTCAGTCCCTATCTTTGCGAAAATCGGGATCTCGGCCGACAATGCCCTCAAGTACCAGGCAATCAACGCTATCCTGGCTCTCATCGCACAGGCGTGTTGTATGCTCTTCATTGACAAATTTGGGCGACGGCCGACCTTGATTACCGGCAACCTGGTGAACTGCCTCATGTTTATCATCGCAACCATTCTTCTTTGTAGGTGACGCCGCTTCGTGCACCGAGTTCTGTCGCTGACGTTTTTTTAGCTCTGTTCCCACCCGAGTCCAACTCAGGGGGCACTGCTGGATGGGGATTCATCATTATGTAAGTGAAGCAGACGCCCGGGACATAAGACGAATGCAATACTGATAGGCAACCTAGCACCTGGCTCTACAACATCTCGTTCTCGTTCGCCTGCGGTCCATTATCTTGGTAAGTCACCGTTCAGTGTCCCTTATCCCATTAATCACCGCCATCCCGGGAGTAACCGTCAAACTGACCAGGCAACGCGAACAGGATCATTCCCGCCGAGATCTTCGACACTCACACTCGCAGCAAGGGCGTGTCAATAGCGACTATGACCAGCTATGCCTTCAACACGATGATTGGGCAGGTCACCGACATCGCCATCGAGGCTGTCGGGTGGAAATACTTCTTGCTGTTCGTCGTTTGCAACTTCACAAACGCTATCTTTTTCTACCTGGTCTTGCCCGAGACGAAGAAACTGCCGCTCGAGGAGATGAACTACCTCTTCACCCATGCTCCATGGCTCGTTCCCGGCTCCGACAAGTCAACGTACAGAGCCGACATGGCGGCCGATATCGAAAGGCGCGCTGCAGACATGCGGGAGAAGAGAGAGGCATAGGAAAGACCGGGCCTAAGGAAGAGGCATACGTCTGGTCCGTGGAAAGGGGACTCTTGGTATCACTTGAGCCAGTCAGTTGGATAGCATAAATATATTGCACGTCAATAGTCTTATGAATACTTGATCAGTCGCTCTTCGTTGCTGCACGGGCTAGCAATATAGATCGGCACACACTCGATCAGCCGACTTCATGGAGCGAGCTGCAACTAATAAATGCAGGGTCGCAGCCACCACCTGCAGGCACATGCCACAGGTCGGGTCCATGCAGGTTTGACGTGTGGTGTTATTTGTTAGATACTAGCACGAATGTGTTGAATGGGAGCCGGAGATAGACACCGGAAGATCTCCAGTGGGGGCAGAGACGCACAGGGCATCTGACCCACCAAGAAGACAGATGATCAATCTCTGCACGCAGAGCAGAACAATCAATAGAATCAATCAACATCCGTGTACTCAACATTATTCTCACAGGTACCCCAGCCTCTTTCGCCCCTTTCCCTCGCAACCAGCGACTCGCCAATGCAAACGTGTCATGAGAGGATGCCACAGGCCGAAAATAAATTACTCACACAGATACCAACGGACCGCAAAGGGTGCTGGTACGATGCTGCATAACAGCGGGGGCCCCCGAATGGGACAACCCCCCCAATGGGACAGTTCCCACACCAGATATCACCATGTTCACTTATACATATCTCCATGAGTAATGAAGCTGTAAATATTGTAAATATTACGCTAGACTCCCCTTTCCTTGGTGTTTTCGTGATATGTAGGCCACTAAGTACCGCTTTCGTATTGATTAAATAGCGGTACTATGAACTTACAGCATGCCTTGCTCCCACTAAAAGGTCTGGAAAACCAGCCTTGCCGCAGCCTTGCCGCTAAAATTAGTAAGGGTAAAACTTCATTTTATTATAACTTTTGTTATGTACATAAGTTACTATGAGCAGCTATGCTTTACAGATTTTGGAAGAAAAAAAGACGAATATTCTCGTTTAAACGGGTATATCGTGCGATTATTCTCGGCTAAGTTATAAGGGTTGCAATATTGCGATTTTGGTGGGGGAACTGTCCCATTGGGGGGGCTGTCCCATTCGGGGGGCCTCCGCCGTTATGGGATGAGTTGACACTGGGATGGAAATATCGATGAGAGAATAGAGATGGAATCTGGTGTTTTATATTAGGTCTACTTCAGCATCATGCCCCCGATCGAGCCAACATTGCTCACTTTCGATACTTTCGCTGCAAGGTGGAAGAGTGGAAGAAACGGTTATAGGAACAGGGGGCTGCAATTATGAGCAGGACTTGCACGGGGTTCATAGTTACACAGGGACCTAGTTTCTCTTTCTCTGCCGATTGTGGTTTCACAACTTCTGAGACCCTGTTACTAAGCAAGTAAAGACATCACACCACAGGTTTTCACCTTGACGTAGCACATATGACCATTTCATGTTCTCTCTTGAACACCTGAGCTTCTATGCTGGACCTGCCACGCCTTACTCACGGTAATCGTGTTAAGCTGGCACGCCGCTTGGTCGCCCCTTGTGTCCCCAGCATCAACATCAGCATCATAGTGGAATAGGTCTGGGCGCAGTCGCTCGATTGAGGAATATGGGCCGGACTTAACGCCGATTCGCCCACTGCGAGGCGTGCCGCGGAGCGTGGTCGAGCCGGCCTTGGCGGTGCCACGGGGCGAGTAGCGACGGCCGAGAAGGGGCCGAAGGACGGGCACGCAGGCAAGCGTTATGGCCAGACACGGCTCCATCGCGCTGAAAAGCACGGCGCGCGGAATAGTGTAAGTCACATCCGTGAAGTCGACGCTGACCAGCGTAATAACGCGAACGGTGCTGATCACGCAGGTGCTGACAGATGTAATTCCAGTGGTCAGTGATAATGAAGAGGGCTGGAATCCGGTGGGACGATGCATCTCTTACAATAAACCAACGCCAAAGGTAGCCATGAGAATCAGTTTCTTGAACATCTCCAATTCCAGGGCCCAGAGATACGGCATGGGAAGGATAAGGACAATCAAGTCGGTGATAATATTCAGGATCCCCGTGATGAGCCATGAGGTGACTGAGTCGCCACAGTGGCCACCTGGAATGAACGAGTCCCAGTTGTAGGCGAGAGGCTGACAGATGAAGAAGCAGCTCAGGATGGTCGCTAAAGCCCTGGCACCTGGAGTTAGCAACACGACCACTTCGGACCTGACATCGATACAGCACTTACCACAGGCAGATGAAGACAGATGTAATCCGGGCGACCAGGATATAACCGTTTACAACAAAAACCCGTGAACAGAGTAAGAGGATGGATATCTTGGAGAGACTCAGGCTCAATGCCCACAGGTTCTGAATCGCGAGTAAATGCTGGAGGTATCATCAATAGACAGTACTTGCTGCGTCGGCGCCGGACTTTTCCAACGGGCCTACCTTGATGAAAATTTCGGAACCAGTCATGACCCCAAACCTATCCACGATTTCGACAACATGGAAACCAAGACCACCGGTCAGGACGGCTATGGCCATCGCTGTGAGTCGTACTGATCTGGGACCTAGAGGCACCTCGGCTCTCCCATGACGGTGAACTTATATGACATTACCACCCCCTGGTAGACTACCACAACGGTCTGACATTTTTTTTAGCACTGGGGTCTCATGTGAGGATGTGGGCAGAAAGTGAAAGCTCACGCAAGCGGCAACAATAACCCAATCACTCAAGTCAAGCTGTCTGTTCGCGATTCGACGACAGCAAACCCGCAGCGATACCGCTACCACTGGCAAAATGTCGAAGACCACACAGCATACGACGATCGAGCTCTGTGCAGATCGCTCGACGGGAAAAACGAAAGTCATGGTGGCCGAATCGACTGCTTGCCATTCGTTCAAAAAGTGTACGTAAGAGAGAATGTGAAATCCACGAGCAAGTTGAAAGACCATGACTACGGGAGAATCGTTGTTCAAGCGTGTAGTGCTTGGACGTTGTCAAGGTATATATGTCTTACACAGGTGACGGGGCGACATATGAGTGTGAGCCGGAAGCACGTCAGGAAGTAACGAAGGTTTCCCGCTTGCTTAAACCGCAAAGAGAGGAATGGGTATGTAGCCAACTCACGTCGATATCACGTTTCCAATGTCCTGTTACCGGTCTCCTGGGTTGCTCTTCAAGGGGTCCATTGGTCGACCGTACCCCCTTGGGTCGTAAGGACCTGCGAGTGTTTCACTCGATCGGTTCGACCATGCAGCAGCATCGTGGTCAACCGGGGACACATTTTGATTTACACGACGTTCTTCTCCCGCTGGCGGGCCGAAGTGGCGCGATCGAGGCAGTGGTATGGTCCATATAAGCTACGGTTCGCGTGTTGGGCCGTGTGGGTGAATACTGTCTAGAGCAAGGTATGCTCTAGACACAACTCACTGTGGAGGCTGCAGCTGCCAACGGAGAGCGCATCAGCCGATGATCGTCCCGATGACGTTCACCGTCGCTACCATTCACCGCCAGGGTTCGTAGATGAGCAACGCTCAATCACATTATCACACTCGTGCCGAGCCGGCTGCCTCTTTCGGCCTCCCTGGACCGGGGTCACCGAATATCCGGGTCAATCCAATCTCGGCCCGGTATACGCTGCAGAGACCGTTGTCCAATAATCAATGCTGCCGGTGCTCGACAAGGGAGTCTATACCCCTCTATACTGTGCCAGCGTTCCGTGGAAAGTGGGACGACGAGCAGCATGCTGCACCAAGCATGACCCTCCCTTGAGCCCACGGTTACATTTCGTTCTCTCTCGAGACCCCGCTGCTCTCTTGCCTCTACCTGCATCTTTAATCTTTATTCTCTCCTCGCTCTTCACTCTCAACACCCCTTCATGCTCGAAACCACTGAATCGAATACACCTCTGTGTCGTACGTATCAGACGCCATGGAAATCCCTACCCACATGACCGGTATCCTAGGATCACTGGGCACGGATTCTCTCAAGCAGATTGGCAGCCAAGTATTCACAATCCGTGCCATATTCATCGGCCTTGCTGTTCTGTTGCTTGTACTGGTGCGGCGTCGCTACTCGTCGATCTATCGGATACCTGGGCCTTTCGGAGCCTCCCTCTCGCGCTTATGGCACGTTCGCCAGATCATCAGGGTTGACCAGAATCTGAGGCTCGTAGAGCAGCACGATAAACACGGTAAGCGCACCTTGTTGATTTTGGAAGCCCGCTTGTGCTGAACATGGCCTAATACTAACGGGAACAATTCAAAGGACACTTTGTCCGACTTTCCCACAAGAAGTGAGCGTCAGTCATCCGGATGGCATCAAGAAACTCCTGTTGGCGCCAGTACCAAAGGTAGGCCAGTATCCTCACCAGCCTGACTAGTAACTGACCCAAGCGCAAGGGCGACTGGTACAAGGTCTTCTGTTTCCCCGACTATCGCTACATAGCTCCTATCGCGGGCACGTATAAGATGATTTCCTCTCTGTGACCCAAGGCTCCCTTTATCCTACGCTCAGAGCTCATTCTAACATGTCGATAGCAAGTAAATATCGTGGGCGCTGCCCATCTATCACAAAACCACAGTCTACGAGAACTAACTAGAGATTTTACCTGGTGCTAGTTGACCGACCCTGCGCAGAAAATCGAAAGGTCCAAGTTTCTGGCATCGGGATTCCTCCTACACAACGTGCTGCAGGGCGAAAATTGCATGAACCAGAACATCGAGAAGTTCCTCAATTGAATGGACCAGTAAGGCCACTCGTTCAGCGCCCTTGGACATCTCCGCTGATGAACACCGGCATACAGGTACGCCGAGAGTCATGAAGGAATGGAGCTGGACAAGTTTTTCACCTACGTTGCTTTCGACATCACGGGCGAGATGCTGTTCTCGAAGCCCTTTGGGTTCCTGGATAAGGGCGAAGACGTCTGTGGTGCCATCGCCATGAACGTCGGTCTTGAAGTCTATCTTGCCATCTTCGGCTTCTACCGTTGGGTCCACTGGCTTGTCGCCAACCCGCTCGTAACCTGGACCCAACTCGTGCCGTGAGTAAAGAACACCTTCCAAGCTCGAGTACGCTTCATCGAGACTGATGTGTAGTTTGAAACCACTGCAGCATGGGCCACCTGTTCCACACGGCGAACAGCGCCCTGAGCGAGCGGCAGAAGAACCCTGACGCTCGGTTTGATGTAGCTGCCCATTGGTTCAGAGGCCTGGCCAGAGCAGAAAAGGAGAACTCGCCGCATTTCAACCTCCGGGCCCTTCAGGCCGCCGCCAGCTCCAATGTCGGCGCCGGCTCGGACACGGTGTCTTGCGGCCTGCAGAGTTTCGTGTACCACATGATACGTCACCCAGGGGAGTGGCAGAGGGTCCGGGACGAGATCGATGCGGCTCATAAGCTGGGACGTTGTGGCCAGCGCGTCGTGCTTTACGAGGATGCGTCACAGCTGCCGTACTTGCAAGCTTGCATCAAGGTAGGCTTTGCTAACAATCTGGTGCCAGTGTTATGCTGATATTTGCGAAAGGAAGCACTAAGGATCTTCTGCCCTGTTCCCAGTAAGTCTTGTAGAAGCCGAACCAGCAGCGGGGTGCTCACATGGTTGCTATGGTCGGCTTACCGTCTTTTCTCTCACTTAGTGGGACTTCCACGACTGGCACCAAAGGGAGGCATCACGATTGGCGACCAGTTCTTCTCTGAAGGTGTCACTCTGACCATCAGCCCCTTCGTATACCACTCCTCGAAGTAACTCTGGGGCCCCGACGCCCGCGAGTTCAGGCCGGACCGATGGCTTGAACCAGATGCCGCGAATAGGGACAAGTATTTCATTCCAGCAAGTCCCCCCTCCCCCCCCTCCCATCCAAACTATCAGTGTGTTTGACCGTCGTCTGACACGCCTGTCGTAGTGGGGCATGGGATATGCTTCCTGCCCTGGTCAACATATAGCTCGTGTTCAGCTTACCAAGATCACCGCGACGGTTGTGCGGGACTACGATATCAGGCAGGTGGATCCGAAACAGGAGTGGACGTGGTCTGCTTATTTCACCGTCGTCCCGCACGACTGGCCTGTCTACATCAGTAAGCGTTGAAGGCGTAAGTGTATTTGACTGCGCTGCGTGGAGAGTCCGAGGGTAAGACAGGTTGGGGAAGCTTCCGATAAAGATTTGAAGAAATCTGGAAGGTATATGCTCACTGGAGGTTCTTGGATGATCCAGCAGGAAGATAGATTGAGTAGAGGGAGGGAATGGTGTAACCTAAAGTGTAGCATGATATTAATACGGGCGCGATGATTTAACAACTCAATAATGTGCAGTCCGGACACTGCCTACCACGAACACCGTCGAGATTCTTGAGAAATTGTCCAATGGGCTGGTGTGGTCGACACTTGCTTTCTCCCTGGTGTCGACACTTCGCCCTTGCAGCATACATGGTAATCTTCGGCCTGCATGGAGCCGCTTTGAATATTGTCACTTTGAGCATAGCAAGTTCTGCTGCGCCGGAATTTATGTGCATTACGTCGTCGACATTGTGAACGGCTACAGAACGCCAGGCTCTTGCCTCTCGTCAACCTTGCGCGCCAACGGCTCGACCTCCATCGCCTTCATCTCAAAGCTAGGATCCAGCAACTCGCGCTTAAGAATGCATAACTGGAAGGCAAACTCTCCCCAGCTCTCGATCAAGTCCTTCCCACCCAGGTCTCGAATACTTTCCCACCTGCTGTAGCCACGCCTAGCATCTTGACTCGGATTCGACAGCGTCGCCTCCCCTCCGCCAAAGAGCATGATACTCTGCTCATGCCCAAAAGCAGGCCAAGGGCTGTCACCAGAGGCAAAACGGAGCCAAAGAGCGGCCATCCTCGCGGCTTGCTTTTGCTGTGCTGGAGGTAGGGTGTGCCGTAGGACGTTCCAGATGTAGATGTTCTCGAGCGAATGATGTGCGAGACCGCCCCATTCGTTATCGTATCTCGACGGCTCGTCAAAATGGTATGCGTAGCAGTGGGGGTTTGCTCGCATGAAATCGTAGTTCGGGGCCAAGCTGATGATGTGCGTGAGCAGGAGGCCGAGAAAGGCAGTTCTTGGCGATACTTACTACATGGCGTCCGTGGTCATCTTCTCTATTTTGTCGAAGACCTCCGCTTTGGGAGTCTCGGAAGAGATTGAGTACAAATCCAGTATCTTCTTGGCTTGGTCAGGAGCGAAGAAAGAAGCGGCAAGTTTGGTGACAGAAGCGCCATCGTGATGCCGGAAAGCCTTGTTCCAGATGATGCATTCGTTCGCCGCATCGCCGACCATGACCCTGGGACACCAAGATGGTGCTTTTACCGAATTGAAATCTGACCATGATGGCATCTTACCCGGTATGAGCACGCCGTCATCGCACAAGGCCATGGTTATCACAGGCGCGATGAACACCGGGACCATTGCGGCAATCAAGTCTTCCTCTGAAACGTTGAGAAGATATGTTAGACGGTCTTGGGGCGACAATTCCATTGGACAGCCCAGAGTCTGCAACATCTTTTCGTAAAGGACTTGATACTCAGACTCGGACATTATACCACAGAGAGGCAGGAGTCCGGACTGTAGGATGGCGCCGGAAAACAAGGGCTCGTCGCGAAGGATGTGGGCGTTGACGGAGACTGTAGAGGTTAGTGTGTGCGACGGGGTAGAAAACGCAACGGTCTGGGAGGGAGGATGTCATACCACCTCCAGCACTTTGTCCAAATGCAGTGATACGATCTGGATCACCGCCAAAGGCCGAGATGTGCTGCTTTACCCAACGAAGTGCTTCCACCTGATCCCAAATGCCATAGTTCCCCACGCCCTCCTCGCCAAACGAAGCGTTGTACTCCCGGATCTCCTTACTGGCAAGAAAGCCCAGCACTCCCAGGCGGTAGTTCAGTGATATGATAATGGCCGGACTGCCGGCTTCATCCCGTGAAACATCAGCGAGCACGCGGCCGTCGTAGATGGCGGCAGACCCGGCGGCATAAGCGAAAGCGCCGCCATGGAAGAAAACCATGACCGGAAGGCCCTTTAAGCGCGGATCCTGGGGCGGGAAAGGAACACTGATGTTGAGATTCAGACATTCTGTCGATGAAGTCGACGGCGCGGCGGCTGCCCATGGCCGCTGGGGCGGAACTGGTATCGGGTAGAAGTCGCGCGGAGGCTGTGGGCAGTACGGTCTTCAAATTCACAAGCTGATCAGTCACCGTCACTACTTACTTAGTAGTCGAGACATACCCAAGAGTGGTAGCATCCAGGACGTGGTCCGGCCAAGGCGTGGGAGCAGAGCGCGGCCTCCTGAACCTCCCAGGGATGGTCGCAAACGGGATGCCGAGATATTGGCATGTGTTTCCGTCGTAGCAGAGTCCCTTTGCGCGGCCCAGAGTTGGCACAGCCAGTTCCACGCTACTCACCGCGATGGCTTCGAGATCCTGGGTGACGGGCGACATGATCGGATCGTTGGGATTTTGAATTCTTCGTGCCCAATGCCGCCAGCGCGGCAAAGAGACGCTTGCATCATCTATATACACAACTCAAGAGCGCTCTCCGAGTCTCTGTGGCCACTGGCATGGCACTCCTGGCAAACAAAAGCGGATCGGAATCTATTAGTTGATAGCCTCAGCTAAATCAAAAGGATGTCCCAACAACTGGACGCTACGATAGGGACCTCGGGAATGATCGGGAAACAGTCCCCGGGCCCGGGTGTTGGCGGCGTTTCGGGTTTCGGGTCATCTTATCGCTCACCTTATCTTTCCCGACCTGGAGCTTATCTTGCCCTCTGGTATCCCATATCCCGTATCCTCAGGCGAACCGTGGGACCCCTTTTCCGATTTCGCATCTCGCATCTCCCTCGCTCACAAACCGCACACCACGTACCTCGCATCTCACGGCTTTCACTCTTCGCCGTCGTCTTCTCTGCGCCGCCGTCACTGGTGCATGCCTGCCTCTCGTCATGCGCACGGCCATAGCGTGTCAATACTGTCGCAGGTCCAAGATCAAGTGTCACCATGATGGCGTCGCTCCATGTCGCGCGTGCACCAGTGCCCCCCGAACGGATTGCCTTCTCAGTGGGCCCATCATCAAGAACAGGCTCCGCCAGGTCAACTCGGAGGAGGCCGACGGCGGCCCAGCTGGAGGCACGCCAGGAACACACGATGCCTCCCCGGCCCGACCACCTGCACATGCACCCCGACCCGCAAAGCGACCCAGGCTGGAGGGGCCTGGGAGCCCTGTGAGCCCTGTGCAGGACGGGTCGCTAGTCGTTTCCGCCATCGCGTTGCCAAATCTGCCTGCGCCTGCGTTGCTGCTCCAGGCTTCCAATCTACTGCAGAGCCTCTTTCCTGAGTTTGGATTCTTGCATCGCCCGTCGTTTACTGACGAGCTTCTGGAAGGCCGCGTGGAGCCCATGAGGCTGCATGCAATCCTTTCCGTGACCGCTCGATTCGTGCCCACACTGGTCTCTCAGCATGGAGGGCCTGAAGCCGCAGGTGGCTTCTATGCCGCGAGGGCTGAGACTGCCGTCATGCTTCGCGTCCTCGACAGTCCAGATGTTGGAACTATTCAATCATTGTTATTGGTTGCTCTCCATCATTGGGGTGCTTGCAATGGCTCTCGCGCGTGGATGCTGGCTGGTATAGCCGTCAGAATGACGCAAGCCATGATGCCCAAATTAGATGAGCCCAACAAACTCAGGGACGCGTCTCCTGGTGGTGCTGGAAGCAATGCCGCGCACCGTACCTCGCAAGAGTGCATCCGCCGCACCATATGGGCTGCCTCTGTCGTCGATTGCCTCTTGAGCGGTGGCAAGCATCGACCGCAGAGTTTTCAGGCCGCCAGGCTCGATCTATCCATGCCGGTTGGCGAAGACGATTTTGCCTTCCAGACCGAGCCTGACAAGCCTCCGCCGCACCTGCTGCGTTTGGCGCTGAGCACATCTGAGGAGATGACAGTGGCTCGGAAACGTGACGACTGTGATAATAGCCTACTTCTCATCATCAAGGGTATGGATATCTGGTCGACGCTCTCTTCTTGGATATGCGCCGGCGGCCGCCAACTGGAGCCAGTTGACGCTCAAAGCTCACCATGGAATGAAGGGAGCTTCTGGAGTAGAATGAAGAAGGCATTGGATCGCTGGTATTCATCCATGTCTGACAAGCTCCACTACTCTCCAAGTGGCAACAACCTACAAGCCCATATTGCCCACGGCCAGGGACAGCAATTCGTCTTCGTCAACCTCATTTTCCATCTCAACCAACTATTCCTCCACCGCGAGTACATTCCTTTCTTGCCGCACAGGTGCGCATCCCCGGTAGGGCCGATCGATCCTCCTCTACTCGTTGATCAGCCCCCTGACGGTTGGTGGGTTGCGAATTCCAACATACTCTTCCAGTCGGCCACATGCATCGTCGATCTTCTAAGAGCGGCATCCAAACGCGGCGTTGAACTCAGGACCGTATTCGTTGCATTCTGCATGTATTCTGCCGCTTCCACACTTCTCTATGCGCAGGCTTGGCCATACATGGCACCGAATACAGAAATGCGGCAAGAGGATCTGCGCTGGGCTATGGATTGGTTAGAAGATACAGGTACACTTTGGAAGATCGTCCAAGGATGGAAGCAAACGCTGTCCACGGTTTCGGCCATCTACGAAAGTGTCAAGGCCGATGCATCGCGGTTCCCGCACCTCGGTAGGCACGGGCTAGAAGATCTGGAGGATCGCATAAACCGATTTGCTGAGATACCGCCTTCCGGGACCGACGCAGATAGCACTACGCCAGGAGGTGAACACGCGGCGGCAACACTGTTGGACCTTTCTCGGCACAGTCGACCACTGGACGCCGTGGACGGGAGGGCGCTACGCCGTACCGGAGGTGAACTTAACGGACGGCAATGGCCTGGCTCAGAAGGTCAACATCACGAATATGGCTTCGATGACTATGACACAAACGCTTCCCTTGACCCTGACCTGCTCGCTTCGATCATGGACGGGTCAATGGCTGACATGTTGCAAATACCCTTGGGTGATTACTGACCTAGTACAAATCTAATGTCACAAGATACTGAACTCAATACCAGTATTGGAGACGTCTCAGCCAACGACACCATGCCAAGTCATGAATTGTGCACAATGTTTACATTTAAGTTATTGGGGTCTGGATACGACCCTTCTATATGCCTCCAAGACTGTACGGGTGATCGCCTCAATCTCTGCTTCTGTGACGGTGAAAGGAGGGGCGATCAGTACGTGGTCGCCCTTGACACCATCGAGGGTACCAGCTCCTGGGTATATGTTGACACCGAGCTCGAGCGCTTCCCGCTGCACCGAAGGGCCAATCTTCAGTGCTGGATCGAACGGTGTCCTGGTAGACTTGTCTTGGACGAACTCAATCCCCCAGAAGAGACCGCGACCACGAATCTCGCCGACATGAGGCTCATCCGCCAGTCTCTGTTTCAAGCCCATCTCGAGCCGCTTGCCCATTTCCGCGCACCTTTGCACCAGACCTTCGCGTCTGACGATGCTTTGAACGGCAAGGGCAGCAGCGCACGACATGGGATGGGCTTGGTATGTGTGGCCATGGTTGAAGCATCCGGTGCCCTGGTCTAGCTGGTCGATGATGTCTTGGTGGACCAAGATGCCGGCGATTGGCGCATAGCCTCCTCCCAGGCCCTTACCGATTGTCATGATGTCCGGCGATGCATCGCCGTCCTCCTGTTCCCACGCCATCGTGGTACCGGTCCGGCCCATACCGCACATGACTTCGTCCAATACGAACAGCGCACCATGCTTCCTGCACACGGCTTTCATTGCGGAGAAGTAGCCCGGCGGAGCTGTTATACATCCACTGGTCGCACCGCCCACAGTTTCGGCAACGAAGGCTATGACGCGCTGCGGGCCAACCCGGGTGAATTCATCGTCCAGCTCTGCAGCGAGGCGTCGAACATACTGCGCGTCCGATTCGCCGCTCCGTTGGTATTGGTAGGGATAGCAAGGGCTCACGTGGCTGACATTGGGCATCAAAATGTCCTTGTAGGGAACCAGACGCGAGACGTTGTTGGACAGACTCATTGGGCCCCAAGTGTTGCCGTGATATGCCTGCCTCCGGGCGATAAAGTGCGTCCTCTGGGGATCGTTACGCTCGAAGAAGAACTGGCGAGCGATCTTCATGGCACCATCGTTTGCTTCGCTACCACTGCCGAGGAAGAAGGCTTTGCTGAGGCCTCCCGGTTTGTGGCCAACTAGGAGTTTGGCGAGATCCTCGGCTGCCTGTGTTGTGTACGACAGAGTGTGGACGTATGCGACAGTGGCAGCTTGCTCTGTCATTGCCGCGACCACCTCCTTATTTCCGTGTCCGAGGATGGCGACGGCAGCTCCACCGCAGGCGTCGAGGATTCTTGTGCCATCGTGAAGAGTAAGGTAGTTTTGCGATGCACTCGCCACTACAACCGGCTGCTCATGGAACGACCGATGTAGCAAAGACGGCCTGGGCTGTGTTGACCAGTAGGCTTTGTTACGCTCGACTATCGAGGTTCCGGTGCAAGGGGCGGCCTTTTGCGGTTGACCGGATGCTTCATAGGGCTCATCCAGCAGCGTCGGTATGAGAAGTGCGGGTGCCATTGTCGAATCGACGTCGATGCTGGTGAAGTTGAAAGAACGTCAATGGGGAAATGCCAATGAGAGCCAGGGAGTGAGCAATAGTAGTAGGTCTTGCAGTGTACATGTATTCATGTTGGCAAGATGGAGGGTTTGGTGAGTCGGGTTTCGCGTATGCGAAAGCCGAGCAGGTCCATTGAGACCCGAAAGATCGGGACTGATACGACTCATACCCGAGAGACTGATGTGACTGATACCGGGAATATCCATCGAAATGCAATCCTTCTTGCTCTTCCATAATCTAATTCACTGATACCCGGCACACTAGCTCCCTTCCTTATCTCGCCAACATTGAAGTCGGGCAGAACATGTGCAAAGTATATCTCTATGTAAAGAGAGCAAGACGCGGCCGTGAGGATGAGGATGAGATGCAGACCCCCCTTTCTCGGTGCAACACCTGCATCCGCACTTATTCTCGAACAACCTCTGCCAACTGTTTAGCTCCCCTACATTGTGCTCGACCAACATGGCGATCGAAGACAAGGTCATGATGCACGACGTGCAGCCGGGTTCTCCCGCTGACTCTGAGCTGGGAGAGACGAAGGGTGTTGTCGTCGACGAGAAAGCAGATGTCGGCTTGAAGTTCCTTGCGCAGACCGGACCGGTGGAGTATACCAATGAAGAAGTCAAGCAAGTGCGCTGGAAGATCGATTTGTTCTTCCTTCCAATCGTGAAGTTTCTCGAGACTGCCAACCATATGGATAGTTGCACTGACCCAACTCTAGCTCTGTATCACTTTCGGGCTCCAGTACCTGGACAAGGTGACTGTCAGCTACGCCGCCATCTGGGGACTCAAAACCGATCTCGGCCTTGTCGGCCAAGAGTACTCCTGGACTGCCTCGATCTTCTACTTTGGCTACTTGGTAGCCGAGGCTCCTGCGTCGTATTTGCTGGCACGCTTCTCTACTCGGAAGTTTGCCGGCATCAGCGTGTTTATCTGGGGCGTCATGGTCATCTGCTGTGCGGCAGCCCAGGTCAGTTGTCCTGTCCCACACATATTTAACTTCATTGCGCAGGCCAACTGACAATACCCAGAACTTTGCTAGCATAATGGTTTTACGCTTCTTGATGGGTATTTTCGAAGCTGGCATTGGACCATGCTGGATCGCTTTGACTGGGTCGTTCTACCATAAAGATGAGCAAGGAGCACGTATGACGTGAGTTGAGTGATGTCTCGTCTTCGGATGCCTTGCTAACTTTGCGTCTCAGGGCGTGGTACTCATTTGTTGGCCTCGCAGCCATCGTCGGTGGTCTGCTGTCATACGGTGTTGGGCACATCGACAGCCATCTATCGCAGTGGCGCTACGTCTTCATCATATGCGGCTCCCTCACGCTCGCGTGGTCGCTCGTTATCTACTTCTTCCTGCCCTCAGATCCCACCGAGGCTCGGTTCCTCACGCCACGGCAGCGCGTGATTGCTGTCGAGCGGCTCCGTGCTAACCGCACTGGCTTACGCTCCTCGCAGTTCAAATGGAGTCAAGCTCTCCAAGCACTCACGGATCCACAATGCTGGATGATCGCGCTCTGGAGCGGAATCAGCCAAATCACAAATATCGCAGGCTCGTTCTTGCCGCTGATCATCAAGGACATGGGGTACACGGGACTGACCACCACCCTGCTCACGCTGCCTGTCGGTGGCATCGAGATAGTGGCCATGCTGGTAGCCGGCGTGCTGTCGAGTAACGTCAAGAACGGACGCACGGTCATCATGTTCTTCGTCGCTGCTCCAACCCTCGCCGGCATTGTGATGTTGGATCAACTTTCACAGGACTCCAAGTGGGCGCGTACGGCGGCCGTGTGGCTTGTCCTATGCGTTCCGGCCAGTTACGCGGTTCTGTTCAGCTTGATCACAAGTAACGTCGCCGGATATTCGAAGAAGCTGACCTGCTCTGCCATGTCCTTTATCCTGTGGTGCGTTGGCAACATTGTCAGCCCGCAGCTGTTCAAGGCTGGCGAGGCACCCCGCTATCAGACCGGCACTCGCGGTATGCTGGTTGCCATCGTCCTGGTCGAGGCCATCACGATCGGCCTGGGTGTCTACTACTATCTTGTCAACAAAGCTCGCGACAGGGCCGCGGCTGCACTTGTTCAGGATGATCGGGTGGCGGATGTCGAGAATGAGGAGTTCTTGGATCGCACAGACAAAGAGGACTGGGTCAAGTTTCGTTATAGTTGGTAGACGCGAAGGACGCAGCTGTGTTCCTGTGTTATTAGTGTTAGTGTGATATCTACTATGCGGCCGCAATTGGTTATTTGATAAATCAATTCGTTGTGAGCAGTATCCATCTGTATATGTAAGCGGTATGTGGGGATCAGCCATGTTGTCGGGTCGTACAGGGACCCACAGGGCATCTAAGTGTATTCTACCACCAACAAACAGTCCATAGACCTTTTCCTGAATACAACAACGCTGTCACGCTCATACTGCACTTATCGTTTCACGGATAATGCTCTCATTCGTGTATCAAACCTCGAAAAATCCAGTCTATCTCCAAAGTCCGAAGCGAAGCTTAACTACAGCTACTCGTCATAGACGTCCCTGACGTTAAGGGAGGAACGACCGTAAATATGGCGGGGGTCAATGAGGAAACATGTATGTCCCCTTTTGGACTATGAGTATCAACACGATCAACCAGCTGCAAAGATGGCGTCGCAGACAAGAGTGGCCGCCGTCACAGGCGCGAACAAGGGTATTGGATTGGCTATTGGTAAGATCATGTCGATGCCTATGTGGATGCCTCTCTGCACGAAATCTAGCTAACACGCCCCAGTCCGCAACCTTGCACTCCAATATCCAGCGTCGCCCCTTAAAGGCGGCCCGTTCCTAATCTACCTCACTGCTCGATCAGCCGAACGAGGTGCCGAAGCTGTCAACACGCTCAACAACGATCCTCAGCTCAAGCAAGCCAAGGTCCTCGTCCAGGATGGCGGCGATACGACTATCAAATTCCGAGAGCTGGACATCAGTAAGACGACCAGCATCCAGGAGTTCGCCAAGTCCCTGAAGCAAGACCATCCGGATGGCCTTGATATTGTCATCAATAATGCACCGGCATGTACGCTATCTTGGAGCACGAACAAGCCGACGCATTGCAGGTCGTGGGCCTCAAATCGGTCGTACTACTAGGGTCGGGGCCGGGACTGCTCTTAGCCATACCCGAGTGACGATTTGCGGCTAATATAACCCGACCAGGCATCGCTCTGCAAGGCTTCGATGCCAACGTCGTGAAAGAGACACTTCATACGAACTACTACGGCACGTTGGAAGTAACACAAGATCTACTACCGCTGTTGCGGAAAGGAGGCCGCATGGTCAACGTATCAAGCATATCTGGCAAGCTGAACAAGTACTCTGATGAGATTCGGAACGCCTTTCTACAAGCTGCGAAGACCGATGTACCGGCCGTTACGGCGCTTATGGAGAAGTTGAAGCAAGCGGTGGCGGACGGCAGGGAGAAATAAGCAGGCTTTCCATCCGCAGCATATGCGGTCAGTAAAGCTGGCGAAACTGCATTCACCAAGGCTATTGCTATGGAGGAGGCGAAGCGGGACCGAGGTGTCCTTGTCAATGCTTGCTGCCCTGGCTGGGTGAAGACAGACATGACCAGAGGCGGTGGAGCTAAAACGCCAGATCAGGGCGCTCAAACGTAAGTAGGCTCATATGATGCTGACCTCAGGAGACATTACTGATCGTTGTTGTGACGCAGGCCCGTCATGTTGGCCCTCCACGATATCGGCGGCAAGACTGGTGGCTTCTGGCAGAATGAAAAGGAGATTGAGTGGTGATCATGATTTCATTCTCAGGTTTTGACAAGGGGACGGCCTGGTAGCCTTTGTTAGGAGGGCGTCGACGCGAGCAGCATGAGCAGCATGAGCAGCATAAGCAGAAGCCCTGTCGCCTTGTATGAATGTTGTATGTGGGTAGATGAGCAAAATTGATAGTCAAAAACTTATTCCCGTCGCGATGGTTGAAGATGGATCAGACTCTCCTCTTGCCTACCCTGGCTTCACCCCCATTCTTTCGAGGTGTAGTCGATAGCGAGTGCAGACCAATCATGCCTTTATCGACATTGGTCTAAATGATGATGCCAGGCAATAGCAGAAGGATTCACTTACAGCTTGGAGCACGACAGAGTCTATTGTGCTCTTCTGCTGGAAGGCCCTGCTAGTGACCGAGGTAGTCACACAGCAGCGGTGCGTGCCTCTGCCGTTGCTGTGGTGGAACGTCAGCGAGGTGTGCCATTGGCGTTGGCCAATGGTCGTGAGACCAGGATAGTCCGTCAGTTGGTGCGGTACGAGGCAGAGGTCTGGTGGGTCCACGGGCAACTCGCAGCCAAGAAGAGGTGGATGGCTTTGATGATATGTCGTCGTGATGGTGCTCTGGTGCATGTGCTCAATGCTGCTTGACACTGATGACTCACGAGCGTAACCCCGAATCCCGAACCACAACAAAGAATCAAGGCAATTGAGATTTGCAGATGGTACCCCTAGCAACAGGGTAGTGACAAATACGAATCGTAACCGTACTTAGTATCATATCGTATCGTATCGTATCGTAAGCATGGGATTTTAATACGATATAGTATATTATATAGTATTATAATTTTTTATAACTTTTATGATTTCCTATATAACCTTAGTTAAAAGATTGTTTTAAATCAATTTTTATTTTTATTTTAAAAATTTTATTATGAACTAATGTTTAAATTATAATATATTATTAATATATATATATATATATATACATATATATATATATAGTAGATATTATATACATGTTAATAATTCTTAAGTATATTATAATATTAAGTATAAAGAATATATATTAAAACTTTCATATTTTTTTAATAATAATAAATTAAATAGAAATAATACTGAAAATGAGCAAAATATGTCTTTAACTATTAAAACAAAAAGTTATATTAAAAAGTCCTACTTTTATACCTTTATTCTATACTTGTTGGAACAGGCTTGAACGATCAATCATAATACTCGAGTATGGGGTCAAGGTCATGATGTTGCTGATGGTTGGATTGAGAGGAATCTAGCTGGACTCGAAGGTCTGGCCAAGTGCCCTCTTAATCCACTATCTTATCTTATCTAATCTACACATGACCTGATGACTAAGCATCCATCCATCCAGGTGGATACGGCTGTACACCGTCACACTGCCACCATCAACGTTAGGCTCACGGGCTCACTGATAATCAGGCCCAAAACCCCCACTGTTAGGTAATCAAGGTCACTGGACTCCCCCATCGCATCAAAGGGGACCGCACCTGCCAATCGACTGGGCTGGGCTTTGATTGGTTTGAGGATAGACCCTGCCTGCCTGCTCAGTGCTGGCTGTAGCTGCCCGCCCTCGGTGCGTCACACCACTATACCAACCCCTAGACAACCATCCGCCATCCCACCTAGGTATTATTCTGCCCCCCTCCAAACACCAGACACCGCACACCAACCCATTGGCGAACGACAACCTCACTCTTTACCACACCTGGTGATCGCGACAATCCAGACCCCAGACCCCAGAACCGGCCCAGCTAGAGCATCCTCGGCGAAGTGAACGAAGACCAACGACTTCTGCATTTGCAACACCCGCCAACATGAATCCTCACCAGAAGAACAAGGTCGACGTCTCGGTCAGTTCCCCAGCACTCCATTTCCGCCCTGCCTCCCTCCCTCGCGCGCTCGCTCCATGTATCACAACGTCACATACAGCCTTCACATTCATATCTACTTTGCTCTATCCTCGCGTGTCTACGTCTTTGTCATCACCCTTGCTGCCAGACCCCGACCTCTCCCAGCTCTGTCTAGCCAGCGCAAGCCCAAGCCGAGGCCCAAGCACCAGAGCCATCGCAGACGCAGTGGCAAGCGCAATGATAAGACAACCGTGCTAACAAGCCATGCCCCAAGCACAGTCCCTCTCCCCCGAAGAGCAGCGCCTGTTCCGTCTGTACGGAAAGCTGCCCTCCAAGTCGGACCACTTCGCCAAGCACCTGAAGGACCGCAAGTACTTCGACAGCGGCGACTACGCCATGTCCAAGGCCGGCAAGGGCGACAGCGTCGACACGGGCAGCGTCGGCAGCCAGCACCCCGTCCCCGAGAACATCCCCCACCTGTCGAGCCCCTCCCATAGCACCGGCGCTGGCGGCCTGAACGGCGGGCCCGGTCACCAGCACCACCACAGCATGAGTGCCCAGGGCGGCGCCGCCGCTCAGCCCGGCATCCAAGCTCTCCAGGGTGCTGTAGCTGCCGGCGCCGGCGCTGCTGCTGGTAGTCCCGTGAAGGAGAGCAGCTTCCTTCACCGCGAGGAAAGTGCCGTATCTGATGGAAGTGCGGTAGAGAAGGAGAGTCTCGATACCCCACAGCAGGGCATTCCCATTCGGAGATAAGGCGTAGACCGAATGGGGGGTATGATGAGAGTAGACCTAGGGATACAAACGGTTACGGAAGAGGGCCTGTTGCTCAAGGCCGGGGTCCGTCACACCACCCCAAGCTCAGTCGCTACCCGATTCGAGTTCCTGCTGCTGTTGTGTTCGGTCTGCGTCTAGAAGCCAATGGGCTTTCGATGTTAAGCTGCGGGTGTGCAGATTTGGTTGGGTTGAGAGAGGCCGACCTTGCCTTACGATGGTTATGAGGACGCTCTACACTTTGGTCTTCGGCGGCGTTACTGGGTGTGATCAATGGTTACCCTACTACTGGTACATGGGGGTTTGCAGTTGTCGAATGCTTTGTTAGGAGCGACTTGATCGATGGATGATCTCTTGAAATCCTCTTTTTTTTCGCTCCCACCGTATGCACTGTCGCTAAGCGAGCGTCTGTCTTCGTCGTACGTTTCAATTGCTGGGTGTTTCTCGCATAATGTGAGGCCTATGCTGGGTTGGTTGTGATCCTGTTGCTCATTTGCAACTTGAATGATTTGTATCCAACGCAAGTTCATGGCCAAGGTACGTAGTCATGGATGGATGAAAGCTGTGTCTCATATTATGTGTCTCAACTGGTTCTCTTAACATCATCGTCCCACATGACCTTGAGAACGCACGGGGCTTTAGCCTACTTCTGCTTTCTCTACAACGGTATGGTTCGTGACTGGGAAGCAATGGACTCGATTGGCTTGCATGCCCTGCTGTTGGTAAGATGACATGGTACAATTCCTAATTTCTACTGACCTAGGTATGTATGATCATGTCCCCAAATAAGATGAGATTCACCATGCAATGATATCAAATCCCAATAGGGAACGGATGTTAGAGTCGCTCACCATGCTACGTACTGATCTATATAGCAACTATGTGCTCCAAGAAACCTTCTAGGGGTAGCTTGCGAGGTCATCTGGTTCGATACATATCCTAGATATACAATGCAGTACTAAGCCCGTGTAGCGAGCGAGCTTCAACACACACATGCAGTAAGCTGCTTCACGTATACTGTATATACACCAAGACGAACTTTCAGTCGGATGCTTGCCCTCAGATTCACATTCGTTGGTGTCGGGCACACAAGATACGTACTGGATATCTTCACTACCCTCATATCGTAAGACGATGCTCGCTTTTTGTCTATCCTGTATGTAGGCCCAACATGGGTATTCCTGTCGCCCTCGCTGGTGGTTTAGAATGCACACGCCTTGGCAGCCATCTCCTTGGCACCATCAAATGTCTTGTTCCCACCAATGAAGCCAGACGCATGTATGAAGACGCCGCCGGGCACACCGCTGACCTCGTCCAGCTGTGCGTCTCGGGCGCCCCTCCACGGCTCGGGCAGGGCCTTGCGGCTCTGGAAGGAGTCCTTGGTAACGGGCACGGCCTGTATGCGCCACTTCGCATCCGGCACGGGCTTCTCCGGGTACAGCACATACAACACCTTCTTCCCGTCTTTCGCCCCTTCCTGCTCCTCCAGCGTGTATAGGTGATCCTTCCACGGCACGGCCTGGCCCTCCAACACCATGATGCGGCCCTCCGGGTCGTACTGCGTGCGCTTGGCCCAGGCGTCCTGTACGATGGTGCGCGCCGGCAGCCAGGCCTTGGCGTAGTACTCGAGGTCGCGCGCGAACTCCTCGCCGATGCGTGCGCTGGCGAGCAGGAACTTGCTGTCCTCGGCGGCCTGCGCCTCGACCGGGTCAGAGGGGGTAGGGTCGTTCCAGTTGGGATTCAGCCGGCCGACCATGGCACCCAGGGTGAAGCCGCCGTCGCTGAAGCGCTTCTCCAGACCGGCGGATGATATGCCGGCCGGGTCGTAGGCCGAGATGCCGTTGTCGTGGGCGTCCAGCGCCTCGATGAAGGACTCGTACAGCTTGTTCCACAGTACACCGACCTCGTCACTGTCCTCGGGTTGCGATATGTGCTGAGCGATGATGCTCTTGCCGAAGTGCATGAACACCAGGCCGGCGCTCGAGAGCTTGGTCGGGCGGCCCGGGAAGGTGGTGGTGAAGGTGCGCTGATGGTGGTCGTAGCGGTTCGCCGAGGCGTCGTACTCGCCGCCCACGTCGACGACGGTGTGGCAGGTCTGCAGCAGGGCCGGGTCGCGTGTGCGGACGAGGGAGGAGCCGGCGTATGTGGGTAGGAGCCGTAGCATGTAGACGGCCAGGGCCTCGTCGGCGTGGAAGTGACCGTTGTGGGTGCCGATCTTGACGCCGCCGCCCTCCATCTTCATTCTCTTTGCCGCGTTTTCCGTCATCTTGGCTAGCTGGCGGAGCATGCGATAGTCGGTGGTGTAGAGAATGGGATTGCTCGACAACTCAAGGTATTGGAGGGTTGGTTGGTGGTATGCCTTTGGAGGTTCGACAATACTTCAATGGTGCAGGTTAGCATTCTCTGAATTCAACCGTGGTGGGTTTCCAATTGACGAAGTCCCCTAAGGTACCTAAATACCTTAAAAAGGTAGGGCGTGGAGCAGGTGCTGTGGGTGTCGGATTAGCGCCCTGTCGGAAGAACGTCAGACCTGTAGTCGACGTTTTAGGCCTGGCTAGCCTGGCAAGGGCGGCGCTGGAGTCCGACGCGTGCAGCGGGTGCTTCCAAGGTTGTGGTGAAGGATTCAAGAGCGCGGACGATTTGGAGCAGGTTATTCACTGCGGCGATAATAAAACAACGACGTCGGGAATTCGTGGAATCATCGCAGCCCCCAAACACTCCCGTTGGCCATTGTGTCTTTCTCCCATCTTTCCCAGGGGCTAGCAGCCCTCAGCACCCAGATCTGTTTGCCATCCACCTGCATCCAGCCTGGTCCTCCCGCACCTTGTTAAATCCATCTGTGGATCAACTCTTTCGCATCGCCACGTTTCTCGTCTTTCTCTTCCCTATCTGACAAGCTACGGCCCCATCTCAGCATGGAATCAAGCGTGATCAAGACTGAACCCGGCCTGAGGGACCGCGCCCACGACGACCTGCACATGGCAGACACGCGACCGTCGTACAAGTCGTGGAAGAAGAAGTACCGGAAGATGCGCATCAAGTTCGACCAGCGGATGCAGGAGAGTGAGGACCTGCACAAGCTCGAGCAGAAGGCCATGCGCACCGCAAAGCGTCTCGCTGTCGAGAACGAGTACGTAACATCCATCAACATCCATCGCCCCTTCTTCACCTCTAGATGGACGCTGACCCGACCTGCTCCCTGTAGCCGTCTGATGGACCTAATGATGGACATCAACGACTCGCCGCAGATCCCCTTCGAGCGACGCCTGGACCTGAACATGGAGGACGACGAAGACGACGAGACGGACAATTCGGATGCTACCCAAAAGCCAACCAAGTCCCTCAAGAAGCTCATCCAAGAAGTACCGCATCTGTCGTACGCCGCCACTGTCGAGCAGTTCCCCGAAGTACTGGAGGACCTCGAGTCTAAGGACCCCAAGGTTCATCCCACCTCCTTCCTGACCGCTGATGACATCGATGAGTATCTACACGAGCTTGACATGCGGCTTGGCCTGAAACCAAAGCCCACTCTCGCGCCGACCGTCGTCGGCACCCAAGGCGCGAACCCGGCCGCCAACTTCGCCCTGCGAAACCCAACTAGTGTTTACAACTGGCTCCGGAGAAACGCCCCCAAGACGTTCCTGCAGGACCTCGAGAAGGACAAGGAGAAAGACAAGGAGAAGGAGAAGGAGAAGGACAAGGACGACCGTGACAAGCCTGAGGACGGCCGGAAGCGCAAGGGCCCCAATGCCCGCATGACCAAGAGGCAGTCTGCCGCCAGCCGGAAGGAGAAGGAGAAGGAGAAGGAGAGGGAGAAGGAGAGGGAGAGGGATAGGGACGCTGCCGGATCCATGGATTGGGACGAGGGTGGCGGCCACAATGCGCCTGCGGCGGCTGCCGGCGCCAAGGGCAAGAGGAAGAGAGATGAGGATCCCGGCTATCGACCCAAGGGCGGAGCAAGTCGACCTACCAAGAAGCGGAAGAGTAAAGGGGAGGCATCAGCGCCTTCGAGGTCGTCTGCAAAGTCGCGGCGGTCGATACCCTGATATCATTTGCTACTTCACATCTCTTCTACTCCATTGCAGGAAAGTGGACTAAGCCCAGCTTGGATCGGACTCAAGATCATGGTCGGCGGGATTCAGGGAGAACGGTCTTCTCATCGCCGACTTTGAGTGTAGGGAATGAGCGGTGACCTGGACGAAGCAACGGCACCTGCTCCCAAGGGAACAACTGAATTGGTGCTGCTATCGCTTTCGACCAATGTATTGAGTTTACAGCCGATTTTCGCAACCTAAGAGGCCAGGTATAGGCAGTATTCCTGTTGCAGTTGCTCAACAGGGCGGCTAATGTAGGAGCTAAGACGCATCCAGACATGCCAGAGTGCATCCGGAGTCGCTCACAGCTGGGACCTTATTAATTCAGTATTGAATGGTCTTTACAACCAGATTGCCTTCCCATTCCAAGTCTTGTCTGACCTCATCTCTGACTTTAGTATGTGAATGAACTAGGAGGTATTATGGTAGCATCAAGCTTCAAGCTTCAAGCGTTATATAGGGAGTAGGGGGCACAAGGGGGTATAAGGGGCGACTAAGAACCAGCAGCAACCAATCGATCCACAGATTCCGTTTTGGTGGGTTTTCAACGGCTCCCACACAAAACTCATACATAAGGCTTCACTTACATCACTGCAAGTCATCTCGCACCGGCCAATCTTGAGAGTTGGAAATTGTTTACTCATTTCAAAAAATACCGACAAGGCCCTCACCATTGACTTCGGGACCAACACTTTCGGCACACCTACCCAGCCCAGCTCCACATCGGACACGGAACAGAGAAGGGCAGCCAGCCAGCTGGAAGGAGAAGATACATATACCTAAAACAAAATGTCCACCCACAAGACGTACATAGTCGAGCACCTCGACCCGGAGCTGGGCCCATGGTCCGAACTCGAGTACCTCACCATTGCCCGGGAAACCCACCGCGCCGGCGGCGTCTTCTGCCTGTCGTCGCTGCCGCCCGACTTCAAGGTCCCGGACCGCCTGGCTGCCGAGCCGGCCTTCGAGGCGGAGACCCGCGGCGTCGAGGAGATGTACCCCACGGCTGGCGGGGAGGGTGCGGGCGCGGGCGCGAAGGGGGAGAAGGGCCGTGTGTGTTTGCTTGATCCACAGGCGGAGAAGGATTTGAGTCCTGAGGACAGGGGGGAGTTTGATGTCTTCCTTTTTGGAGGCATCCTCGGTGAGTGCAACTCTCTTTTGGTTGTAGTTAGGGAGTGGGTATGGGTAGGTCGGGCGGACATGGACATGGACATTACGGTGTTGTTCAAGCCCTGGAGGGTGTGTCGAAAAGGGCTAGAGCACATGGAACGAGCTTGAACGGAGAGTATGGCTAACTGCGTTGACGATTTCTAGGTGACGATCCGCCACGGGGTACGTAACACCCAATACTCTTGAAGCTCTTCTCTTTTTTCATGTTCTGGAGTCTTGAAGCAGGCGAAGATGACTAACCGTGAGAAGATCGCACGGGCGAGCTCCGCAAGAAGGGCTTCGCAGGCCGCCGGCTGGGCCCCGTACAGATGACGACTGACACGGCAGTTCGCGTTACACGGATGGTCGTTGAGGAACAGTGTGAGTATCCCCCTTTACTCTCTATCATGTACCAATACCTCAATATCTTCCACTCTCTGCCCCAGCCCCGTTCCCTTATGCCGCAAGGACCCAAGAAATCAGGACAACGACCTGAAATTGGGCGTCGGACTGCGGATTCGCTTTCTACTCTGCTGAGTGGAAAATTACGCCGACTGCTAACAACCTATACACAGTCACGCTGGATACAGTGCCGTACCTGGACTTCCCGGAGCTCAAGTTCAACGAGCACGAGAGCTCGCAGATGCCGTTTCGGTACGTGAAGAGCCCTGATGAACAGCCGGTCATGCCCGAGGTAAGTCCCTTTTCCTCTGATCAACTTTCCCTAGAGCCCCGTCCTTTTCGTCTCTGGTCCCCATTGCTGCTGGAATTGGCGGTGGCTTACTCGTGATGGGCAGGGTATGGTGAACTTGATCAAGAAGGACGCCGATAAAAGCATTGACGATCTCTTCTGAGCCGGGTCTACATCCTGGACTTGGGGACTATAGGGTAGAGGAATGGAGCTGCCACCAAGAAGTCTCAACAAAAGATGTGGCAGCTTCTGTCAGCCTTCTCCGCATGATTTTACTCGTTGCTCTACATTGCATCCCTCCGCTTTGACAGGGCAGAGAGGCTATATTCATCCGAGCTCAAGTTGCTCGAGCAAGTATTTTACGAGTGAAGGTCCTGTGAGCAGAGTATGTGTCTTCGTAACAGTTTCATTGCAATGTCTTCATGTGCCATTGCACCAAGGACTACCTGTAGTTCATTTCCAGGCGTGATCGCTTCACGGGATGCCTTCCGATGTTAGTCCTCATCTATATCCATCTCCGCAATATCCTCGCGATCTTCTCCTTGATCATCCTCGGACATGTGATCTTCGGATCCAGATCCTAGGACGTCTTCATCTTCCACCCCGTCCTCATCCTCTTCCATCAAATCGTGTAGCGGCCTTGGTGCATTGTTCTCTTCATCGTCATCAGCAAGCTCGCTCCATTGCGAGGGAGTTGGCGTTGAGACGGACTCGCTTGCCACCTGTGAAGGCGCACCCGACGAGGCAGCTGATTCGGCACCCAGCGAAGCTTCTCGCAACAGATGAAGGGGAGCTCCTCGCGTTCTGCCACGACCAGCTACCCTCGGGCGGCCTCTGCGTCCCCGACGGCCACCAGTTCGCCGGTAGCTTCCCACTTTGGTACGAGCAGTGCGCTTGTCCGCATGCTTAGCAAGCAACGTAACCTCGTCTGTCTCGCCTTTGCGTTTCTTCAGTGCCATCAAGTTGGCGAGGAAAACGCCCTGACCGAGTCGTTCTTTGTTAGCTCCCTTGTCAGGTACTGGTACGATGTCTCTCGAAGGAATGTTATCGTCATCGAAGCCTCCTTGGTGGCCACGCAAGTCGTCCTTGGGCTTTAGTTGCTGTTCCCTGACGGTAACGCGCGCGCAGCTTGCGGCAAGTAGGTCGACATCGTTATCCAGGTGTCGAAGCACTGGAAAGGGTTCGTTGTCGTCATGTCGGGTCATGAGGAGTTCAGTGGTCACGTTCTCGCTCCATTGACCGGCATACACCCGACCCTTGTAGGAGACGATGGGGTTGGTGGTATGAAGATCCAGAATTTGGACTTTGTGCGCATCCTCGCCCTTCTCTGCCGAAACCTCGGGTCCTGAAGATTGCGTTCCCTTGCCAAGTCGGGCTTCTCCTTGCTGCTCGTCGTCATCGTCTTGCTCGGCATCAGAGTTGACAGCACTACTGGCAGCGCTGTTGCTAGCACTCTGATCGGCGCTCTTCCGCTTGTTTAAGAAGGGCTCAGCGTTTTTGGCACCTTCCCATTCACCACGGCCACAATGGATCTTGCTAGTATCCGGAGCTTTGAAGTCTGATTTGGAAAGGTCCAAGGTCACGTAGAAGGTCTGGCGAACAGTTAGTCGACCCAGCCACTTCACTTGCCCATGAGATAACATACCTCTGTCTCGGTGGTGGAGTACTCATACTCCCAGTCTGATTCATCGTCGTCGGCGGGTTTAGCTACCAGTGGGTGTGAGGTCGCGGTCGCAGGAAGAAGGGTGTGATTAGTTGTCTGAGGGCCAGCCTCCACCATGCCAATACTAGCCATCTGGACGAAAGGAGATGAGCTTCATGCAGACTGTTTCGGAGCAGCTCATTGACAAGTTGATCGCCGACTGTGAATAATGCAGTGAAGCCCTAGATGCGCCGTGCACTCTGGCTCTAGAGTCGTTGTCGGTACCTAGGTGAAAGAGCAAGCACATGCACATGCGTCACAAATATTGGAGCATCAATTCAAGGTGATTACCTCTTTCGGCACAACAGAGGGCGGTCAACCGCGGCATTGCACGCTACCTGTAATTTCTTGGTCCTTGGAGGGGCACTGCAGTGCTCAGTGTCAGTGCTCAGTGTCAGTGCTCAGTGCTCACTGCCCCTCGTCAGTCATCACCGAAAAAACCCTGGCAGCCTGGGACCCCGCCACGAGCACCTTGCCTTGGAAGTTGGTAGGTACCTCCTACCCACTGCGGTTGACTCACTCAAGTCTGCATCCAATTCGAGCTCACTTCGCGATTACTACGAGCCCCCGATCCTCGAACTGCTCCTTTCCCCGACGGCGTACCTCGCCACGATTTCTCCATAATACGCTAGACGACTGATCCCCTGTGTTGCTACTATGCCGAAAGTCCACCTCCTCGACTATGTCGCCGGCAACGTGCGGTCCCTCGTCAACGCGATAGAGAAATCAGGGTATACCGTAGAATGGGTCAGAACACCAGACGAGGTCGCCAACGCAGAGAAGCTTATCCTGCCGGGCGTGGGGCACTTCGGTCACTGCATGAGCCAACTGGCCTCCGCGGGCTACCTACCAGCCGTAAGAGCGCATATTGATGCCGGTAAGCCTTTCATGGCGATATGTGTTGGCATACAGGCCCTGTTCGAGGGCTCTTCAGAGGATCCGGGTGTGCCCGGACTGGGGCTTATAAAAGGGGAACTGGACCGGTTCAACGATGCAAAGAAGTCGGTTCCGCACATTGGCTGGAACAACGCCAATGCCTCGAGCAAGAGCTTGTATGACCTGCGGCCCGAAAGCAAATACTACTACGTACACTCCTACAAATACCCGTACGTCGAGGGAGAGCTGGAGAGCCAGGGGTGGACCGTGGCGACGGGCACATACGGTGACGAAGTCTTCGTCGGCGCTGTGGCGAAGGACAACATACTGGCCACGCAATTCCATCCCGAGAAGAGCGGCGTGGCGGGCCTGAGGCTTTTAAGATCCTTCCTCACCGGCGACGGCAGGACCACATTAGGACAACAGACACGCGGGCCTGCGCCCACGGGTAATCTCACGAGGCGAGTCATCGCTTGTCTCGACGTGCGGACGAACGACCAGGGCGACTTGGTCGTAACCAAGGGCGACCAATACGATGTGCGGGAGAAGGGCAGCGACCGCGAAGTGCGGAACCTGGGCAAGCCGGTCGAGATGGCCAAGAAGTACTACGAGCAGGGCGCCGACGAGGTGACTTTCCTCAACATCACCAGCTTCCGCGACTGTCCCCTGGCGGACCTACCGATGCTGGAAATCCTGCGGAGGACGTCGGAGACGGTCTTCGTGCCGCTGACGATCGGGGGCGGCATCCGCAACACGGTCGACACGGACGGAACCAAGGTGGGCGCGCTCGAGATCGCCACCATGTACTTCAAGAGCGGCGCCGACAAGGTGTCGATCGGGTCCGATGCCGTGCTGGCCGCCGAGGAGTACTACGGCGCGGGGCGCAAGCTCTTCGGCAACACGGCCATCGAACAGATCTCGCGCGCCTACGGGAACCAGGCCGTCGTCGTCAGCGTCGACCCCAAGCGCGTGTACGTGCCCAAGGCCGCCGCGACACGCCACAACACGATACCGACCTCCTTCCCCGGGCCCAAGGGGGAGGAGTATTGCTGGTACGCGTGCACCATCAAGGGCGGGCGCGAGACGCGTGACATGGACGTCGTGGAGCTGGCGCAGGCGGTCGAGGCTATGGGCGCCGGCGAGATCCTGCTCAACTGCATCGACCGCGACGGCACCAGCAGCGGCTTCGACCTCGAGCTCGTGCGCCAGGTCAAGGCCGCCGTGCGCATACCCGTCATCGCGTCCAGCGGCGCCGGCAACCCGGCACACTTCGAGGATGTCTTCCGCAAGACCACGACGGATGCCGCGCTCGGGGCCGGCATCTTCCACCGGGGCGAGTACACTGTACAACAGGTCAAGGACCACCTAGCCGAGAAAGGATTGGAGGTGCGCAAGTACGAGGGGCATCTATGAACGATGAGGTGAACGACGAACAAGTAAATAGGTAGGGCATTGATGTCTCGTACATCTTAGCTATACCGCATGGTCGGTCATTTTCGGTGGTGAGCACAGGTTTAGATTCAATCCTTTCAAGGTAGAGAGAGGCCTTAAGGCGGTAGACAATGATACCATAGAAATCAAACGTGTTGTAATGACAGGGGAATATTTCATTTTCACTGCTTTGGCAGCTTCCTATGGACCGACCTATGTAGTAAGCACGTGATGTCAAGAGAGAGACTCAAACCCATCCAGATCTGCGAATTGCGATGCCATGCAGCCCAACGCGGAAGAAACGAGCCACCGTGCAATGCAATGTAGTGCGCTGGGACCGAAAGTAAAGCAAACATGGCCATGCGCCTTATAACTCCGAAATGCAGGAAGCCCAACAGTGAATATAATGGGTAGGGTCCTGCTACCATGCAAGCTCGAAACTGGTGTCGAGAATGTTGCGAAGACTCTGGAGAAAAGGCGTAGATTAGACCTCCATGCTCATGAAGAGCCACTTGTCACTGGTGACGTCGACGTCTTTGGCCCAGTGATCCAGAGTCGTGAGCTCGAAACCAACCCATTGTAGACTCCTCATCAATGCCTTCGCGTAATCGTCAGGCATCAAGCGGTCCATGCAGATGACAACGTGAGAGCATCCCAACGGAACATCAGTCAGCTCGATCAGGGCAATGAGTCTGTGGTAGGTCAGCGTGGCACAAGGGAAAGAAGGTCAGAGGAGGGCAGCAACATACGCTTGCTTCAAGTCGCGGCCGACGAGTCCACCATCGAAGAATGCAAATAGGGACTTCTCGTCGCCGTCCTCGGCCACGAAAGCCCGGAAGCTTGCACCCCCCGCGTAATCCCAGAACTCCATCCATCCCTTGATACGTCCAGTACAGCCGAGATCAAGACTGCTGGTGGAGGAATACGACGACGGAGGCGTGGGATAGTCGTCGGGCGACGTGAGCGCACAGTTAACACCAGTCAGGAAGGAGGCATTACCGGCCATGTTCCGCTCACCCTGGAACACGGCTTTCATAGTCTCGCAGAAGAATCTCTCACATTCTTCCCTGATCTGAAATGTTGCCCCCCCTCGGCGGCTGCTGCGGCTCATTATGGCATTGCTGCTGGTCGTCGTCGAGCTGCGCTTCTTGGGCTTGGGCTGCAGAGCGAGCTCGTTGGACGAGGTGAAGGCCGCGAGAGGGGGACTTGACGGAGGGGATGGTAGGCCTGAGATAGGGACCTCAGGAATACCACTCGGCCCCTGCGCTCGGATTAGTGTCGTGACACTGAAGGGGGAAGGTGGAATGTCTGAGACTTGACTTACCTGCAGCCCGGGTAGTGCAGTAGTGGAGACCCTTCAACGAGGCCGAAGGGCTGACGATGTAGCAACTGGCGAGGACATTGACCTGAGGGGCCATCGCCTCGCCGTAATTACTACTACTCGAATTGGTATTGTTTTTCATTGGCGCCATTTCTGCTGGTGGGATCCAGGGCTGTCTCTAGAGAGGGGAGTCGAGAGAGATGGTCGGTTGGAGGCCGGACAGAGTTGTCGTCGTGAAGCGGGCGGATAATGGATGGCTGGTGTTGGGATTGGCGGATGTGGTTGGTAGCGTCGCTCGAGTGGGTGGTGAATATGGTGATCTTTTGCTGTGTCTGCGGTGCGGGATGTAGATAGTATGTTGGTTGTTTCTTTGTGAGACGGGGGCGGAGGCGAAGAAGTGTCGAGCTCGCGGTCAAATACCTGTGGAAAAGAAGAACGGGGGCTCGGATTATTAAAGTTATTATGGAAACGGCCAGTCCCCAAAAATGAAATTGGAAGGCTGCATTAAGTACTGAGGCCAATCAGAGTGCTTCGTTGCACCATTCTACCCCGCACGTTCATCACGTGCGTTCTCATTCGCAGAAAGTCAGAGACAATCGGGTCCAATTGGAACCAATCCCACCAAAGGAGCAAAAGGCGGTGGGTCTAGTTGGGTCTTGATTGTAGGCATTTGATTCCCGGCCGTCCTTGGCTTCCTTTCTTTCATCCTTAATGCCTTCAAGTGTTGCCCACGCTGACGACAAGGTGCCACTGTCACTGAAAGTCTGCTGGCTGACTTGGCCCACCTATGATTACGTGTACTCTCGGTTCGTTGTCGTGTGTTGAATTGAAGGTCGAGAAGACCTGCTATCAACATGAATGTAAGGAAGATTACCAAGTGTACGACCCGTCGCAGTCTAATAACGTCAATTTCCTCACGGTTAGTCTTTGCCTAGGAAATACCAGATTCGACCGAATCAGCGAACGCAATCTGGCATACGTGGAGTTAGCGTCAGCTTATCAGCATCAAACTGACTGTTGTCTAGCAATCCGTCTTTCTCACCACATACTTCCAGGCCCCCAAGTGTGTTTTTGGAGCAAGCTTGATGTAACCTTTACAGCATGATCTCTTTACTCATCAACCAACCCTCAGAGCAATAATTTGCAATGACTCGCCAACCATCCGACGCTCCCCGGAAAGCTCGGGTTGGATTTGGATTGGGCCTTTGGTGTCCATCGTGGCCGATATGCCCACCATCCTTTCTTCATCCTGACAGCGACAGTCTGCCCCTCCATCCGTGGCAGCCGTGGCCCGTGGATAATGCATGTGCCAAGTCCTGCAGGTCTGACCCGGGGGCCTAGGATGGTGATAGCGATAAAGCTTGCCCCCGGGTTTGGGCACTGGGGCCCGTTGTCTACAAAGTAGCGTCTAGCGATAAGAGCTGCGGATAGTGCGCCTTTCGACAGCATGATGCGATGGCGGGTGTGCGGGTGATGTACTGCAGGGTGCCGGGAACACCTCCGAATAGGTAGAACTGATGAACCTTACCTTGCCAGGTCAGATCACCCGCTGGGCCCCGGGGTATAACCACGTGTTTCCTGTATGATGTTTACAAAAGACCGGCATCGTAGAGCTTCTTCTTGAAACACCTGACAACGACAGCAGCTCTCTGAAAAGACCATCTTCCTCTACTTTCCCTTTCCCTTTCCCTTACGAACACCCCTCCTCAATTTGGGCATTCAGGCTGAGACGCAGGGCTGCTGCGTATACTCACACCGCTGCTCCATGACGATGACATAGTCACCATTTGAGTTATAGCTACCTTACCAACCACGTCGGTTGTCTTGATAAATCAAGAACAGAAAGCACCAGCACCCTCCGTGAAGATACTCAACACCGTCAAGGCGCCGTCATGTTGTCCATGATTCTGAACGATATGCCTCCTCCACCGCCGCCTCCTGCTACGGCAAACGTAGGGCCCAAGTTCCCTGTCTATCTGCTTCCGAGCTTCAGTGTGCCATTTCGCAGACGCCGCCAAAGCTCGCTTTCAAGTCACGCAGGCGCAACAGTCAATGACATTCCGTCCTTGAGCAACTCGCCAACAGACTCGGTGCTTTCAAGTCCGGTAGAGAGCCCGCCGACACCGTCGTTCTTCCCACCCAGATTCTCCCTGTCCAAGGATATCTTCCGCCGCTCCTCTGCAGGAGCCCCCAATGTTTCGAAGCTCACCAGAACACAACCCGACACCATACGATGCTCCACATGCGGGACCGACTTTGCCTTCTGCTCGCAGATCGTGAGCAAGGGCTTCACGGGTCGCTACGGTCGAGCGTATTTAGTATCGGCACCAGACAACTCGCCCAAGAAGGCGGGCTCGGGTCTGATCAATATCAAGGTCGGCAAGTCCGAAACTCGCGTGCTCGTGACTGGTTCGCACGTTGTCGCCGACATCATTTGTGCCGTGTGCCATACAAAGGTTGGCTGGAAATATGTGGACGCGAAGGAGGAGTCACAGAAGTACAAGGTCGGCAAGTTCATCCTCGAGACCCAGCGAGTCGTCGACTACAGGAGCTGGGAAGACGTCATAGTTGACGAGATGCCCGAGCTCGAGATGGAACAGAAGGATCTGTCGGCAGTGGACCACGCTGGGCCTGTCGTGTTCGATTCAGATGACGAGGATGAATGCGAGGATCTATTCTCGGGGACATGGGATCCTGAAATTGTCGCCAAGCGACGCAACCGCAAGGTGAACCGGAGACCGAAGCTCATCGGTACTTGAATTCATAGCCACAATCTTCAGCAAGGCTGGCAAGGAGCATCGGGAGGGATGCTGCTGGAATGTGAATGGTGTAAACGGCTGGGTTGCGCAGGACTTGGACATCACAGATACCCTTCCACATGGTTCAGGACTGGAGTTTTTAATTATTTGTTTTAGGTTGGATACGGAGTTCTACTCTGTTTTAGTCACGCTTCACGAGCACTGTGGTCAGGTCAGGCTCCATCGATACCCTCTCCATATCAAACCAAGTCTTTCGTTACACTTCCAATCTGTCACTCACTACCGGTGTAAAGGGGTCCGCATCCCTCCCTCCTCTAGATGGGAATGCCAATCTAAACTAGCAAGCTGTCATTGCTTTTCTAAATGCACTTGTGAGGCTGGTGCCTTGACAGGCTTCTCCTTCTTCTCAGCTTTCTGGCTGGTTGACAGTTCTAACGTGACCTAGGGAATGGTCAGCCTTGGTTCATGCTGGATAATTTAGAGGATACTGACGGGACCATCGTTGACCAAGGCTACCTCCATCATGGCCTGGAACACGCCGTTTTTTACCCTTTCGGCAGTGTAGCCTTGCTGTACCTTCTCAAAGAAGTATTGGTACAGGCGCTTTGCCTCGTCTCCGCCCGCAGCCCCATGGAAATCAGGCTTGTTGCCTTTTTTAGTAGAAGCCAAAAGAGTGAATTGGGAGACTGGGGCCACGATCAGTCAGGTATTAGGCGAGGGAAAGTGGTTGCCCAGAGTCAGGACCTACCACAGAGAACCTCTCCGCCGATTTCTTGCACGCTCTTCTTCCACTAAAAGGCAGTTTCGTTAGAGATGCCCAAGGACCATACCAAGCCATGATTTCCACGAGACCGAGGGAAAGTGCAACCGTACTCTCGCTCCGGCATCGTCATCCCACAGCTTCATCTTCAGCACCTTGGCTGCAAGCGAGTCTGCCTCCTTCTCGGTGTCTCCCGGGGCGACGGCGGCAAAGACGAGCACACCCCTGCCGATGGATGAGACCATCTCCTTCTCTACTGTCACGGAAGCAGACAGCACCCGCTGCAGTATGGCTGCAAGAGACGGAAATATGAACAAAGAGAACCTCTGCGGCAGGAGATATCGGAGAGCACCAACCTTTCATGTTGAGGGAACAAGTGTAGCAAACTCTCCTAGGTAGGCCACAGAGTGGTGTCAGGTGGCCCTTTTCGCTGCTGGAATGAAAGAACGAGGGGGCTATTCCGGCGAAAGTATCTGATTCTTCTTGCTTTGCAATGAGTTGCGAAATGTACAGGCTCTGGCAATCTACCTAAAGGAAGAGGACTTGGGAGCACACAGTACATACTATATAGCTTAGGGCCGTGATGTGTGTACTGTGGCGGATGCCTTGCCGTGCCTCAGCTCGCGTTTGAGTGCGAAAGTACCGTGGCATGGCGCGAGATAGATCACAACATTGTAACTTAGAGTTTGTAAGCCGCAATGGTGCATTTGACATATATAAATCTGCCAGGGCATGAACTACAGATTCAAAAAGATGGTTATTTCCATTTTCTTCAACACTCACTTTCCAAACCAAGCAGAAAGCGCATCGTGACAATGTCAGTATATCTCGACCCGATAGAGATACATGTACCTAGGTACCCACCCAACCACCCTTGTCACCCGGTCAGGCCACTGACTACCTACCTAGGAATATATTTTGCAGGCGCGTAATCAGCATTAGTTCCAGGCAATAATGCAAATCATTCTGGTACCCGCTTGTCCTCCACCCCCCGGTCGTGCATCAGGCTAGTCAAGTGGAAGTTACCCTGCCAGGTGCAACTCTCGGATTCCCATCTCGATTCAGATTCAGCCTTCCGCAGCAGCGGGCTGATGCACCAAAACTGCAACTGCAATTGCAATCACCTAACCTTAGACCTTCACCTATCCTTAGGAACTCCGACACCGACACCAACACCAACGCCGCCAACGCCACCACTCACATCAACAGCAACAGCAACAGCAACAGCAACAGCATCCCTCCGTACTTCTCTCAGCCGAGCGACGACAACAGTCTTTTCGAGCATCATCAGTTTAACCCAGCGCACCCCGACCCTCCGCGACCACCCTCGTTACATACCTCGGGTCCTTCCCGGGCCGACGACACAATGGCTGCCCGGAAACTGCAGCAGGAGATAGAAAAATGCTTCAAAAAGGTAGCCGAAGGATCAGCCGAATTCGACAGCATCTACGAAAAGATTGAGCAGTCCAACAACCCCGCCCAGAAGGAGAAGCTCGAGGACAACCTTAAGCGCGAGATCAAGAAGCTACAGCGATTGCGCGACCAGATCAAGACGTGGGCTGCCAGCAATGACATCAAAGACAAGACTCCCCTGGTCGAGCACCGGAAGCTCATTGAGACGGTTCGTCATGTCCTCGTTGTCCCTATCCAGAACTGACACTCTAGGCCTAGCAAATGGAGCGCTTCAAGGCTGTCGAGAAGGCCATGAAGACCAAGGCCTATTCCAAGGAGGGCCTATCAGCAGCTGCGAAGCTTGACCCCAAGGAGCAGGCCAAGTTGGAAGCCGCCGACTTCCTCAGCGGTAAGGTCGACGAACTGGAGCAGCAGATCGAGATCCTCGAGGCCGAAAACGAGTCGATACAAGTCACCATGAAGAAGGGCAAGAACCAGAGCGCCAAGACGGATCGTATCGCAGCCATCGAGCACATAATCGAGCGCCATAAATGGCATCAGGGGAAACTCGAGCTGATAAGGCGCTCCTTGGAAAACGGCGGCCTCGAGACCGAACAGGTCACCGCGCTTGAGGAGGATATTATCTATTACGTCGGCGAGGGTATGAACGATGATTTCATGGAGGACGAGGGACTTTACGACGAACTCGAACTCCAGGAGGAAGAAGATGTCTACGGCATGAACCAGGACAACGACCGCCTGTCATCACAGGACGCACAGTCGATACAGGAGGATGTTGTGGAACCCGAACCGCGACCGAGCAGCTTGCCTGGCAAGTCACGGAGTGCCGCCGATGCCGCCGGTTCTTCAGGTGGCCGGAGGCCTTCTGCCCAGCTCAAGTCGCCGCTTCCGACCCTGGCAACATTACACAATCCGCTGGCCAATATATCAAATGGTAGCACCATCGGGTCTGGCATGAAGCCTGCGTCGATGCCGCAAAGACCAGCCGGGGAGGGACTCAAGTATGCTTCGGCAGCAGCCGCCGCCGCCGACAAGAACAACGTTGGCATCGCGCCACTTCCACCGCCGCCCGGTTCGCAACCAGTGACCGCGTCGACGGCTGCCTCGCCCTTCCCGACTGCTGCGGCGGCCAAGACGAGCGCGGCCAGCTCACCCATCACAGCACCCATGCAACCCGTATCCTCAGAACCAAAACCTACTGTTATCGAGCCCAAGCTGTCAGACCAGATTGCAAGCGGACCGAGTACGTCCAAGAAGGCAGAGAAGACATCTTCCAAGTCATCCAGCAAACCAGAACCAACGGAGCCGTCGAGAGGCATGTCCACCTACACCGGCGCTCACCTATCCCTTGTGCTAACACTTGCATGTAGCATCGCAATCCAATGGTACCACAAATGGTATCAGACCGATCGAGGAACAGGAAGAAGAGTGTATATATCATCTTCCTGCTGATCTGCATGATCTGGTCGACTCCTACGAGGGGACCAAGAAGCGCGCAGCGCCGGTAAATACAGCACCCCATATGCGCATGATGGCGGCTTCGCAGCGCAACGTGAACATGATGGATACGTATGACGCCGAGCCACCCAAAACATACCGACCCGAGGTTAGGTACCCTTCGGCGTCGGGCTACCCTCAGGAGCCGTTACCGATATTCGACGACCCTCGGCTGTACACCCGCATCGAACCAGATACGCTTTTCTACGTCTTCTATTACAAGCAAGGTACATACCAGCAGTATCTGGCCGCCAAGGCTCTCAAGGATCAGAGCTGGCGGTTCCACAAGCAGTACCAGACGTGGTTCCAGCGACACGAGGAGCCCAAGAACATCACCGACGAGTTCGAGCAAGGGACCTACCGTTTTTTCGACTATGAGTCTACCTGGTACGTCACGAACTGCCCTGCTAACCATCCATTTCGGTTGGGTGACCTATCGTTGTTTCCCCCCTGCAAACTGTAACTACTTCTTCAGGTGTGCAGATGAACTGACAAAAGTGTAGGATGAACCGGAGGAAGGCCGACTTCAAATTCGCTTACCGGTACCTCGAGGACGATGTATGAGATGTCACGGTCCACACTTGCAGTAGGTAATGATCTGGGGCGTTGTTGGAGGTACACTGGGCGCTTGCGATGGCTTTTGCTGGCCCGGGGTCTGATTCGCGGGTCACTTGTCATAATATTGTATGAGAATACGATTCAGCCCTGCTCTTTTATTGATGACACATGCCCGAGGATTGCTCGTGACATGCAACGATGTGCCTTCCACCGGGTGGCCCCGTAAATGCGCCTTCGTCCCAGGTGCTTACCTGGTGTGCAGAGTATGCCTTTCGATCCCTTGCCCCGTGCGTTGCCCTACCTTCAACGTTTCCGACGCATCAACTGACCATCCGGTGGTTAAGCGAAGCCTCACTCTGTCTGTCACTGTCGCGCTCGGCCGGCCCCTATTTCTCCCGATGATGACATTGTGAATCGGAACATCAACTCTCCTGCATGGTTGTCTGACGCTTGAGAGGGCCGTGTTTGCCGCCGATGCATTTGATACCGGCCTGACTACCTACCCCAAGAGGGACCATCGCCCATCCAAGTTCGTGTGACAAGTGTCTCTCGCGTCCCACCTGCGGCACTGGGGCAGCCTATCGGACGCCTTTCCAGCTCGCGTCGCCTTGCCAAGTTGCCAAGTTGTGCAGCCGCCCCCATGTCTGCCGTCCAGTAAGTCGCCGCAGGTAACCCGATATGTCCTAGGTATTCTCCCTCGCCGCGGTCTCGGAGTGCGGACGTTGTTGTCTTGGTCTTGTGTTTTGGGTTGAGACTTTGCAGGGTTCTCGACGCAATTGGCTTTGGACCTTTCCTGCCATTGTGAGATGAGCACGTGTTGCTAATTCGTGAGGTGGCACAAATCGATGAGCCCTGCGTGGTAAAGGTAGGCGTCTCTCCCCTCTATCTCTTCGTGACGTTGATCTCTTGCATAGAGATCAGCCATGTTGACGCCGTCTACCCCGGTTAAGATGGTATGAGGGCTTCCACTCGGGGGTGTTCGGTGATGATGCTAGCAGTCTAGTCAGACTTTGTACTATAGATCGGGGCCACTTTACACCTTACTACCCCAGACACCCATTATCTTCCATGGCTGATCAGGCACAGTTGTCCGCAACAGGCTGTTGCTAGCGCACGCGACTGGATCCTCACTGCAGTTGGAGATGGTCTAGTGATCGCCGGCAGGGGTTCCTCTCGGCGACGGCGGCCCATTGGAGCTGTGGAGTTGACTGACGATGGCATTTTGCGGGCTTCCACCGATGAGGGGGGAGAGCGCAGTACGCTGGAGTGATGACTCCGGCATTGACGATCGAGTGGCTCCTTTGTCGGAGTAATAAGCATTCGGTTTCGCGGGCCCTATAAGACCAAAAGTGTATCTTTCGGTTCAACCTGCTTGTGTCTACTCACGTCTCTAGGCCCTCGATTAGCCCCTGGCGCCTCATTCTTCCACCTGTTTTCGTCCAGAACAATATAGAAGAGAGAGACAGATATATATATTGCAGAACTGGAAGAACAAGGCACAAGGACACTGACACCATGGCACACCCCCAGACCCTCTTTCCCCAGACCAGCTTCCACGGGCCCTCGATGCTGGCCTCACGGCGCGCCACCATCATCCGCGTGACGGTCAAGGCACAGCTCAAGAGGCTCAAGGAAACGGGCCAGTTTGCCTGCTTCGACCTCAAGTGGCAGCCCATCTACGGCGACAAGTCGCGCTGGCCCGCGCCACCCACGCTGTACTGGGACAGCGACGTCGCCAAGTGGATCGAAGGCGCCTGCTACATGCTGACGGCCGAGTACGACGCCGAGGTCGACGCTGCGGTGCGCGAGCTCGTCGACAAGATCCGGCACGCGCAGCGCGAGGATGGATACCTCAACGTGTATTTCACGGTTATCGAGCCCGAGCGGAGGTGGTCGAATATCAGGGACCAGCATGAATTGTGAGCCTTACCTGCACTGTTGCCGCTGTGGGTGTCTGTCCATGGATTCATCGCCTTTCCCGTGTCGAGTGGGGGTTTTCCTGCTGCCTCGTTGATATGAGTCGGAGTGGCGGAGAGTTACTGCATTGACGGAGGGCTTTGGGGTGTCCTCGAAGGTACACCGCACACTCAAAAGTCTCCGTACACCCCGAAATCAAGCTCTTGAACACACAGCGATATTAATCATGTGTGGAATAATAAGCACTCTGGAATAAGAGTTTAACACGGCTCGTAAGCACGTAACTGCTTATTCCAGGGTACTTATTACACTGTCGGTATCATGTCAGGGAAAAAGTCTCTCGAGTCCGAGGACGGAGACTTCTAGAGGTTCAGTGTACCACGTAATCCTGGCTGACTTGGATGGGTAGGTATAATGCTGGACACCTCATCGAAGCCGCTTTGGCTCACAGCAACTATTACAAGAACGATCTTCTCATCGATCCACTGGAGAAGTACGTGAAACTCATACGGTCGGTCTTCGGTCCAGGCAAGGACCAGCGACATGGCTATCCGGGACAGTAAGTGGCACCCCAAGCCGTTCTCTTTCTGGCTTATTCTGCAGGAAAGTTCCTAAGCCAGGGTGCTGCACTTCAGTTTTTCCATCTGCCGTCGTGTGTCTTGAGGAAGCAACTGACCCTGAGCTGTAGTCCTGAAATCGAGCTTGCTCTCCTTCGCCTTTACACGGCCACCAGGAACCAGGATGCATATGAGCTGGCACAGTACTTCCTCGAGGAGCGAGGGAATCCGACTGGACAAGATGGCAGTATGTGGTATCCAAGCTATTACCCTTGCCCCTTTTCCCTTGCGCGGTGCCTGAACTTGCCGTGTTGAGCTCATGTATCTGCCGTGAGCTCGTGATACATGACCAAGATCATCCAGCTTGGATCATTCCGGACCTGCTGACCCTCCCGTTGCAGTGAGATATTATGGATGGGAGCGAGTCCAGCGAGGCGATAGTCCTTGGAAACGTCCCAATTGCTACCCCATGTCCGCGGATCACTGGTACAACCAAGCACATAAGCCGATCCTAGAGCAGAAGTCTGTCGAAGGCCATGCGGTCAGGGCGATGTACCTCTATACAGGGGTGGCGGATCTACTGTGCCTCGACGAGTTGGGGTTGAAGCCGTACGGTGCCAAGTCAAAGTATTTCGAGACCCTTTGTGGTTTGTGGAACAACATGGTCGATAAGAAGATGTATCTGACCGGGGGGGTCGGCTCCATGTGGCAATGGGAGGGCTTCGGCATCGACTACTTTTTACCTCAGGGGTCAGCCGAAGGCGGTTGCTACAGCGAGACGTGCGCTTCCATTGGCGTCATGATGCTTGCAGAGCGCATGCTGCATCTCGACTTGAACTCCAAGTATGCCGACATTATGGAACTGTGTCTTTACAACACAGTCATGACCGCTAGTAAGTTGACACAGAAACCCTAGGCATGGCTAAGGAGCTTGAGAGCTGACTCGGAGTGTGCTAGTGAGCCTCGAGGTCAGTATCCCCAGTCCCCAACCTTTCATTCAAGCTGTATAGAGAGTGTTGACCTGCAGAGACGTGGCGCTAAGCCTGCGAACCCTGCTTCTTGTACCAACGACACTCTCGATGTCCCCAATGTATTGCCACTGCTTGTTCCAACGTCTGACTCAATGGGACCCAGGGGAGCGCTTTCACCTATGTAAACCAACTAGCGAGCTCCGAGTCTGATAAGAGTGCTCGCGAGACGTGGTTTGACACGTCCTGCTGCCCGCCGAACCTCACGCGGCTGTTTGGAAGCATTGGTGGGTATCTATGGGATTATGGTGGTGATGAGACAGGAAACCTGTTCGTCAACGTACACCTGTATACCACAGCCAAGGTCACATTCGAGGTCGATGGGAAGACTGTTGTCTTGGAGCAAAGATCTGATTGGCCGTGGGACGGTAAGGTATTCTTGCAGCTGCAGGCGCCGTCGTCTGCAGCCACCACAATCCGGCTGCGGCTTCCTGCCTGGGCTGAGAAGCGGTTTACGGTATGTCAACCCACGTATGAGTCAGGGGGGTGGCGTTGACAGCCTGCCTGACAGCTCACTCCGACCCTGGAGTCACCCACGATCCAAAACGGCTATGTCATACTACGACCATCGTATACATCCGCGAACAAGGCCTTCACGATCGACATCCACGGCTTCAAACCGCGGTATATATCTCCACACCCATACACGAATCAGCAAACCCTGACGCTGGCCCGCGGACCCTTGATCTACTGCGTAGAGGACGCCGACAATGCATGGGAGCAGGACCATTTCCGAAACGTCGGTATAACGTCCGGGTCTGGGGTCACGGAGCATCAAGGCGTCCTTGACAAGCCAGGGGAGCGCTTCATTGCCCTCCGCACGGTTGGCTGGGTCCGCAAGCTGGACGACGAATGGGCACGAGCCGGTCCCGGTCTGCAGCCTGGGTCGCACACGACCGGGTCTATCGAAACGGAGGCTAGAGACATTACATTCATCCCTTATTATCTTCGTGCCAACCGCGGGGGCAATGGACATATGAGGGTTGGGCTACTCAGGCAATGAGAGCTGAGGTCACCAGGCACGGCGGTGAGACCTTGGAATGCATTGGTCTAGTTGGTGGAAGAGTTATGGACGTCAGGACACTTACACCGCATGGAAATTTTGCTTCTTATTGCGCAGAGCAAAGCCGTGGGCACCAGGTTAAAGTTCTGGCTGCTGGGCCCTTCTCGCTTCGGGCGGCTGCAGAGGTGCAGAGTAATACTGCCCGCTGCGAGGGGTGCGCTCGCTACCAGCATGCGACCAGTTATGTAAAAGCTAATCGGAATACCACCCTCTTCCTCGATCTGGGGTAATGCCCAACCATGAGGATGTACTATTTATTATACAGGGGGTGGTGACCAGAGGGTGTGGCCGGACACCGCCAAGGCTGGCAGGTATGCTCCGAGCCGTTTATAGCTACCTCGTATCGGCAAGGGACAACATGAGGGGATGGCGACATGCCACGCTCTGGTCTGCTGATCTGGGGTACAGCGGAATGGGGCTCGTCGTGCCCTCATGTGACACCAAGTGGCGGTCTCTTTCTGCATCGTGCGAGCATCATGTACGCTCTGCCTGTGCGCAGTTAACACATGCCAATACACCTTGATATCTCGACTGCTTGTGCTTTTGAGGCAGTGGAGATCCCCTACTGCTGTGCTATACAACACCCCTGGGCTATAATGATAAAAAATGAATCTGTCCGAGACATGCATGTTTGTGGAAGCATGCTGATAGGGTGTCGACACTGGAGATATCTCACAACCGCCTTGGAAGTCATATCGGAGATCGGCTGAGAACGATCGATCCGCAAAGACCATATCTCGCCATGGGGAACTTGAGATCATTTATCTGACGCCTTGTGTCTCCTCTATCAACACCAATTATACCTTGTGCAGTCCTGTCGATTTCGACTCGGTCGATGGCGCGGCAGTTCTCGGTACTCCCCTGTTTCAAGCGCACCAGTGGGGACCCTCGAAGCCTTCAATGTTCCATGGGTGGCCCAACGGGGTTGGAACGTTTCTCGAATACCTCGTGACAAGGCCGTCCAGGTTGAATCGCGGCAGGTGCCCCTTTCTATGCAAGTCACGCATATATACGGGCTTGCTAAGCCCCCTGTTATGCTGACCTACCTAGGTTGTCTGGAGTTTGCTGAGTTCAAGATTACTGCTTCTTGTAAAGATATCGCGATACTTGCGGCTATCTGTTGCCATGAATCATCAACCCACCGACCCTCGAAGGCAAGACACCGCGTCAAGTCGGCACAATGCCCAGGGAAAGTATCAATGCTCCCAGTGCCCCCGGAGTTTCAAACAACCTGAACACCTGAAGAGACATCAACGCGGTCACGATGGGCATCGACGGTTCACATGCCCTACCTGTGCCAAGCGATTTGCAAGAAGGTATTAGAGAACGTCCCCATACTATGGTGTTAGGGCTGACATAGAAAGCGACATTCTTAGCCGGCATGAGGCGATGCACATGGCGCTGGAAAGGAGTAATAGTATATCCGGAAAGAAAAGGGCGTGTGTCGAATGTGCGAAAGCGCGAGAACGGTGTTCACGAGAGGAGCCCTGCCTGAGATGCTCGTCAAAGTCACTGGACTGCCAATATCCGAACGAGCCGTCACCGAAATCACATACAACCGCTTCTCCATCGAACGACACTGCCGAACCGGTGGATCAAGGCCTCTGCGAGCTGCGGCAGGCTGTCCCGAATCCGTCAACCAGGTCTCTAGCAGTCAGGAAGGACATAGATGCAGACATTGCCGCAATAAGAGGTGGAGTTGCGCCCAACGGCGCCGAGTATTACTTCACCCTGCAGTCTGAAAGACCAAGAATATCACCTACTCCTTCTGGAGCCAGTCTTGACTGTCGAACGGACGTTTCCGAGCCCGATTCGAACTTGCTGGCACATGTAAACACACGCCGCGATCCACGGAAGCAGCGACTACCGCTAGACCCTTCATTATACACTGCTATGGGCGACTTGAAGACTGCAACCGAGAATCTCGTCAGGGAGAGGTATTTGCGTCTTGGACGACTATCCGAAGCGCCTCCTCATGGTGTAACTTATCATTATTATGGGATATCTACCGTACCTACCCTTGGCGAGGGGCTCGGGAATTTCGGCCTCCATGTTCATACGATGGCGGACACATCTTCAAGTATCTGCTCCGGCGTGACAAGCATGCTTGACCCGAGTTTGGCAACGTCGGCACTCGCAACCCGGCTGCCTCGAGACCGGCTTCGGGGATTGCACCCATCAGATACTCGCAGGCGCCGTCCTTCAGCACCGAAACCTGCCGAGGCACTGACGTCCACGACGAACCTGAATGGCCCTCTGCAGGGATCCAGTGTTGGTCCTGCTGCTGCACCTCATTTGGTCTTTAATGAGTTGTTCGCTGGAGAAATTGGCAATTCAAGGGACTTTGATGGCTTTCATCCCGAGAGTCTGTCGACCCCCCTGAACGATCTCACTGTTCCCGGATCCCTGGTTCCCGCCACTGGTACCTCGATAGACGACCACGACCACCTTGAACTCGACACATCCGCTCTCGGTCAGATGCTGTCGGATGGATCACTGGATAGCCTGAACCCCCGACCAATCAACCTCAAGGCCTACGAGGTCATCGCCGGTCACTTCAAGGAACTGAGGCGGAAAAATGACAGTGCCTCCCCGTCGTTCGATATATCTGAAAATCAAAGAACTATCCAACACGACCTTTTGATGCAACTTTACTTCGAACACTCCAGGAAGCAACTGCCAGGCCCTCCTCATAAGGAGCCGGCGTGTTTTCGTGGAAACTGACAGGGCCTTTTGCTACCGGATTAATCCATTCCTGCTGCAGTACGCTCGCCGAGAGAGGTGCGATTCTTCAACAGTGCAATCTCTGCCTCGATGAGTCTGCCATATATGCATAAGACTTCGGACTGGCGAGAGAGATATTGATCACCAAGCCGCCAATCAACGGATGGGCAGACCACTTGCCTCCGCGAGATTCGACCGCCACTTCCTGCATAACACTGCTGGAAGTGAGCCATGCCACCTCGGCTGCATCGCAGATCAAGTGCGTGGCCATCAAGACCCTATATCCCAGGGACGGTCAACATTTGCGACTAAACAGCACCTGTCCAGTGGTGTCCAACATGCTTGTCTCGGGAAGAGACAAGCACAATGTCGCGGCAAGTCAAGGTCGGGATCGCCACACGCAGCTTACCTTGACCGCATTGATGCTTGGAGTCGATATACGCTCAAATCCGTCCAAAGCTTTTCGAGGGAGCAGCCCGCGTTTCGTTCGGGGGGTCGTTGCTGAGTGGAACCCTGTGTGTAGCATCAAGTCGGTTCGTCGAGTCAGACAAGGCCGTTTCAACAGTATCTTGATTCCAAGAGCAATTCTATGAGCTGCAAGAATATGTATCAGATTTAGTTCCGGTCCGAGGTCGGTGAAGCTGTTGTCTGCGATATGGCGGGTAGTGAGATTAGACGTACCAAGGCAGGCAGACTGGTAAGTGGTAGGGCAATAAAGCCACCACCTCGATGTGAGAAGAGTTGGACTTTAAATCGTCTACTAGTCACCAGAGACGGATGAATCATACCTGCATCCTGATGGAATTCTGGTCCACTTATGAATCAGCGATCTGGAAGCCCAACCTTGCCTGGTGCTTACTTCGACACAATGACTGCCCCTGAATGGTCTATCAACTCGAGGCGAGTGATTCCAAACGTTTAGATGCAAGGATCGCACTGTCATGGCGTGTTTTCTCTCGTACAGTGCCCTTACCAAGAGTCAATAACGGTCATGCGCCGGCGCAGGCAACAGGCAATATAACCTTAGATGAAGCCCCGGTCTACAGGCGTAGGATGGGACCGGTGTGTGTCCGTACTCTCTCTCAGCGGTGGATGCTTTCGTCTAAAGGAGTTCCCTTAAAGTTATTGTGCCTTCTGTGCTCCGCATGATGTGCGTATTATGTGCATCGCCTTGCGGTATCCTACAGCTGATGCTGTGTTAGACCAACCAGCTGTTCTCGCGGCCTTTTGGCACCTGCGTGTCGAGGACTGACTAATGATGGCTGTGCTTTCCATGGATAGGAACATCTCGTGGTATTGCTCACTCAATAATGGGGCCCATCGGAATCTCATGATTGTCCAAGAGATAGACCCGATACGTATTTGTGTTACTCTAGAGCCTGCTTTCTCGTTTCGTCAGTTGGTGACCCGCTACGTCCGTGGCTCATTGTGACTGCATATGCGGTCATGGCAGCTGTGCATACGTATGCTGTAAGCATGCAACTACTGGCGTATGACGAATGACATTTGAGACCTCGGCTGTATCAAGCATGTCCAAATCCTGTAGATAGCCTCAGTATGGGCGTCAAGTCAGCAATATAGATATAGACAACTTCACAACTAAATTACTCGACTTGATACCGACGTTGAGCAATGATGACGCTGAAGGCGTCTGAACGTACGTAATCAGACGACATAATATGATCCAGTATCCGGAGCATCCTCGTACTTGGACTATCGTCACTATAGCTGCTGACACCGCTATTCCGAACCGAAGCGGAGGGAGCTGCTCAGCCACCTATTCCCTTGGTATCTACCAGGACAGCAGCTGACGGGGGCTATGATGCTGAAGCCGCACTGGGGCTGAGTATATCCTTGTTGATGAACGGTATCGTAACGTGCGTTACGTGCTTGGATGCCTTGGTCAAAGTGTGTGCTCACTTGAGCCAACTAGCAGAAGGCATTACCTGACCTCACGAGCTGGACGAAGGGACACCTCATGTATGACTGCAGCCATCCGCTGTGGAGATAGGTATTTAACCAATCAGCCCGGGTTGAATATCTAAGGGTACCAGTATATCACCTGTGACATGTCATACATGTCATAATATACTACTGCCAAATTGTCTCCTATAGCGGCCTTCTTGACGTCCACCGGTCGCCTATAGCCCTCGAGTGACGTGGCACTAAGTTACTGTTGTGCTGTCCGTCACCACCCAAGAGACACTGGAGGCGAACGCTGCATGGCTGCCCAACGCTGCTCCGATGTAGCAAACCTCAGGCCAGAAGCAACTATATGTATGCGCGAGGTTGCCTGCTGCCTGTTGCATGTTGCCATTTCCACAACTGAGCTTCGATGTGGCGATGCCATGCGCACACCCACACACCGAATGGCCATCTTGCGCGTCCCAGAGCGGTGAGATAGCGAGGTCTCGGTCCCTGCATCGCAGCATCTGACACCCATCCACCTACTGGTACCCACGTTCGCGCTGGCTTCCTTCAAGGTGGGGAGGGAGGGTTGCAGTCGTTCACTTGACGCTGCTGCCAGCCAGGCGCAGAGGCGTCGACGGTAGACGAGACGAACCCAAAGCCCGAGACAAGCGAGAGTCTGAGTCAAACATGCGGCTTTTCCTACCCTTCCGGGCCGTCGGTGAACTTCGCAACCGGGCTTTCCATTTTGGGGTTTCGGTGAGATGGAAATGCGCATTGACTTAGTAGAGAGAGGTTGCTCAGTCAGGGATCGGCGGCAGCGCCCGTGACGCTTTCTCGCTCTAATTCAACGGCAGCCTCACTTCTCTCTCCGTCTCCAAACTTGTGCCTGTACACGTCTTCAGGTCAGCTCCAGCTCCAGCTCCAGCTCTACCCCCCCGCCTCAGCCCTGCAAATCTCCTACCTTGGTAGCAAACCGAGCTTCCGCATGGGAGACGACTGGGCCATGAACACATGCGTCATGGCGCATGATGGCCTCTCGGTGCCGCATCTGACGGACGAGGGCCTTATCAGGCGCCGAGCAGGCAAACACTGGACGGGACTTCTGCGCTGGCAAGGCGACTTGCTGGGCGAACCAGACGCATGCCGGAACCCGGAGCCCTGCGGAATGCCAAAGAGTGCCCAATTGCTACAAGTCTCGCTCTTATTCGACGGCGCATCTCGAATCGAGGCTGGACCACCACGCGTGGAGGCTGTGCCGTACGTGTGCGCTCCAAACGAGGACTCAACCTATCAGCAACTGCATGTTTCCCCATCGCATCGCGTCACATCGCGTCGCCATGTCGAGAGTTGTATTCCAGGCACAATTCCAACTGCTTGCACTGGCACTGGCAAGGGTACTGCCATCATGGATTCAGTGTCATGACCGTTCACTGAGGCGGCTGAGGCTTGTTCTTTACCGACCCCCACTGGGCCCTTCGGAGGCGTGCCCGTTCCAGAGAGGTTCAAGGTTTCGTCAGCAGACTCCTAAGCTACGTCTTGCCAATAGCAAACCGCCTCCTCCCACCAAGCCGATCCAAAGCTTGGGGTTTGCGCATGTTTCGATGCCCTATCGAGCCTGTCAGCCCTGCCCGAAGCCTTGATATCAACACGCATGCGGCATGGGGACCTTTCGGCTGAGTCTACCCAGGAACCACCACACACAGTCACACCTGATAGTCGGTACTAAGTGGTGGTACATCGCGGTACCACGGCTAGGAATTCCAGCCTCGCTCCTATCAGGACCTACCTGCCTGCCCACCTACCTTGTCTCCGATCCGGCTCACCGAAATCCTGGACCGAGCCACGTGAGACATCTCGCAGAATTATTTGGGTGAACCGTCTAGCGTGGACCACCAGAGAAGCTCTCGATGTTCCTTTCTTGCCCGCATCGCGGTTGTCCAATGGCTGCGACCTCGGCGTGGCTTCGCCAACCTGCTATATACCCAAGAGCACATGAAGCCGGGCATCATCCACGAGTGGGCGGGTATCGAAGCCGGCAGGGGGGGCGATGATTTCTGTTACCCACAGAGCCGTGCTTACGCTCAGCGTGTATACTTGGCTTTTGCATCTTAATCCTTCTCCCTGGAGCTGTCAACCCGGCCGAGCAAACTGTCCTCCGTCTTATCTTTTGTGAAGCTACGAAGCCCTATTCACCACATCTGTCCGCCTCATCCTATTGGAAACTTGCAGTTTGAGCCTCGATGCCCCACCGACTCATGTTCTAGGGTGTTCAAACAGAAAGGCCGTTGCCATGTATCCGTCGGCCTTGTCCTCCTCGTTTCTGATACAAGAGCGTACGTCGAGGCCCTGGTGACTTGTCGACAAACATCGCAACATATTCCTCGTATTACCACGCTATCATACTATCGACTTCCAAACAATCACGTTCCGCCATCCGCATCACACGTCCATCTCAAACTAAACCAGAGTTTGCTGTCTGCTGCTCGATCTGTGTTCCCCTGAGCGGATACGAATAGACGTTTGCCAGATGATCCTCGGAAAACGGCGTATACTGGTGCCTAGACAAACTGTATATCTGTGCTTGTCTCTCGCCCACGGTCACGAAGCTCGGAAAGCAGACCATAAATTTCTACCACGAAACACCAAACTCGCCTGACCATACCTTGCCCTACGCCGCCCATCAACCGTATTATGGCACAAGAGTACTATTCGGGAGCCAACTCCCGCTACATAGTTCCATCGGCGTGGCCTGCCAGCACGGCTATGACCCGGAACTCATCTCACGGTAGCGGAAGCAGTGAATACAGCAACTATTCGGCATCAACGACCAACTCAATTGACGCTCAGTACGACGAAGCCCAGTACGACGAAGCCCAGTACGACGAAGCCCAGTACGACGAAGCCCTCTCGCCGTATGTCGAGACAGGCCACGGCTTCACCTCAGACGAGACTACTGCATGCAACTATGTAATGGACAGCCGAGGCCACGGCGGTGATGACCAGCAAGACGAAGATTGGTACCGATACTACGACTTCGTCACGACGGATAACGTGGGCCAAGGACCATTCTGGCGACTGAAGCATGGCTTCGTAGCCACAGCACAGTTCCCAGCGACGAGAGCTGCAGTTCAGAGTTTCATGTACGTAACACACGCACTTGCATTACCCGTGGTTCGTCTTTGTTCCTGACCTGCGACGCCGTAGTCCACGATCCACCAGCGAGCAGGTGGGCTCGAACGTCTGCCTCCAGCCTCGCTGCACGGCACTCCCCTTCAAGCGCAAGGCAGATCTTGAGCGTCACTACAGGCACAGGCACCAGAGCGTCGAGAAGAAGGACCCCTACCCCTGTGACTGGCGCAGGTGCCAGAGACACAAGGAGCCCTTCTTCCGTCTGGACCACTGCAGGGACCACTACCGAGATTACCACAACGAGGACCTGACGCGGCGCGGGTCGAGCAAGGAGAACCGCGACTGGTGGAAGAGCCGCAACGTCGACGCGAAGTGGTGGCGGTGCACCAAGTGCCTCCGCCGCATCTCCATCGAGAATAAGGGCTTCGAGTGTGCGAGGTGCAAGACTACGTGCGAGGCCGAGAGACGCAACGTCCGGGGCTACAAGTAATCGAGTCAGTTCCGATCGGGACAGCTCCTGACGGTTCACTGCCAGCTATCATCGACCACCATCTGCTCGACAGCACCGTCTGCTATACCTGGATCCCGATCCGGTCTCTGGCACATGTATTCTTCCTCCATGGCGGCTTAACGAAACCACACTGCTTCTCTCTCTCACCTTCTGTGTTGATTGTATTAATCTTGAACTGCCAAATTATTTCCACTTTACCTGGTGTTGGTGCCTCTTGATCTTTTTACATATTGTCAGGTGTCGGAACGGTGACTGGCGCAGAGGCTGAGGATGCAGGGGCATTGCGCCACGGGATGTCTTCATTGGCCATGTAAAATGCATGAGATGATTTGGGTGGTGCGGGTTGGCTTGCACTCTTTTGGCATCTGCTGACATGTTTTCTTTCTGGGGAAGAAGGCTGTGCTCCTGGCACTCCTGTCACGGTCCCCCTTTGGTTTGGCGCGGGCGGGCGTTTGCCGTGTCATCGTTGTCATCATCACAATTTGGTCACTGCAGAAGGAAAGATCGTGGCGCAAGCCTAGACAGCCGGTCGGCATATCTGATTTCATCGTCTTCTGTTGCCTGTCTTGTTGGCTCCTGGTCGGACGGGGGGGCATTAGGCATCACTCGGCTGTGTGTTCGAAGTGGAAAAACCCTACGCGCTAGAAGGGAAGGGCTGGGTGTGATGCAATGGCGTCGTCCTTTTTGGCTGTTTCTCGGTTAGCTCTTTGGGACTTCGGAGTTATTATTTGGTTGAGTTTGGTTGGGTTTGTGGAGGTTACGTTATGCATGACAGATGGGTGGTTTGTCAGGCTGACTTCGGGCAGCGAAGCCCAGCGGCTGCCACGCGCTGCCAACAACCTTATCTGGACTCCAGACCAGAGAGGCTCTGCGGAAGGCTCGGACGACGTTCTTGGACTTCGGTCCATGGCGATGTCGTGCCGTGCTCTGTGGGACGGACGTGTTCGACTGATAGGGGGTTGCGAGGCCTCCTGGGCGCTCACTTATGCTAAATAAAAAGCTCACCCGCGCATAGGAGGTTCTCTGTAGAGGTCTTACTCGGCTCGGAGCTACCATTCGTATGAATAAAGTCCAGATACTTCAATAGCAATGTTGTCTTTTCAAAGCCTCTTAAATGAAGCCTTGAGCTGTCAGGTACTCTCAGCCCTCATAAGTCTCCATGCCCTCATGTTGGTAAAATCCTAGCTCATCCGTGTGGGTTTTTTTTGGATGTGTTTATTCCAATTTAATAAATATATCGCTGTCTGCTGGACGGGTGGTGTCCGGAGACTTATGAGAGCTCAGTGTAGCTGAGGTAAAGACTGACTGCGTTGGGCTATAGAGCACTTGATTACTGTCGTATACACCAGATGCAACCATCGCCTACCTAACCTTAGATCTTCTCACGGTAAGGCATGACCAGAACAGAGTAACAAGACCGAATATGGTCATATGTCCATATTCGGTGTAACACCAAAGGGAGGGATTCGGCAGCCCGCGTGTCGGCGTCTTCTCCCGTTCTCCCGTTCTCCCGTCCTCCGCTTGAATGTTCCAAGAACGAACAAGAATGCGGGGAAATGGGACCCTTACCTCAGACCTGCAGCGAATCCCCTCATGATCTCTACCTTTCTTTTGCCGTCGTCGCATCTACATTCGACGGCCTGCATCTCAGTGACACCCGTGACACCCGTGATTCCCCGTGTGCCTCCAAGTCGACTCCTCGACTTTCCACAACATTAGCAGTGTACTTTCGGGGCTATATGGCGAGGGAAGGACACTTGATAATGATAGGATCCCGTCCGCTAGTAACCGCCCACTATTATACTATTAAGCAGAGCTAGCCTCTCCGCCGTCGGCGACTTCTGCACATTTTCTGTCTCGGTCATGTAAACTCTGCAATCCTCTCTCCTCTCCACCAACTACGCCGCATATTGCTCGGCTATACATTTGCACGTGGCTATAGGTGCCTCTTACTGAGTCGGGTGTAGGCCGACTCGAACCTCGGCTTCTATTGACCTTGGAAGGTCTTTGGCGTATAATTGACGCGCACCGGCGACGCCTCCCACCTGCCACCATGAACGCTACCACTTGCTCAAACGCCGCCCGCTGCATAAGGCCATCGGCTTTCTCTAGATCAGCGCGCCCGTTATTCAGGTCAGCACCAACCGCAGTCGCCAGACCGGCCGTGCCTGTAGCATTCTTCCACCAGACAAGACGCAACATGGCCCAGAAGATCAGGGTCAAGAACCCCGTCGTCGAGCTCGACGGCGACGAGATGACGAGGGTCATCTGGAAGGACATCAAGGACAAGTTCATCTTTCCCTACCTCGACATCGACCTGAAGTACTACGATCTCGGCCTCGAGTACCGCGACGAGACGAGCGACAAGGTCACCACCGACGCCGCCGACGCCATCAAGAAGTACTCGGTCGGTGTCAAGTGCGCCACCATCACCCCCGACGAAGCACGTGTCAAGGAGTTCAACCTCAAGCAGAGTAAGCTGACACCACTCCCCGGTCCCACGTGGCTAACATGGTCTCCCCTCTCAGTGTGGCTCTCCCCCAACGGGACAATCCGAAATGCGCTTGGCGGCACCGTCTTCCGCGAACCCATCGTCATCCCCCGCATCCCGCGACTGGTGCCCGGCTGGAAGAAGCCCATCATCATCGGACGCCATGCCTTTGGCGATCAATACCGAGCGAAGGACCTCGTCGCCCCGGGTCCCGGCAAGCTGAGCATGGTGTACACCCCCGAGGGTGGCGAGCCCCAGGAGATTGAGGTCTTCCAGTTCAAGGAGGGCGGCGGTGTCGCCCAGACCCAGTACAACACGACCGACAGCATCACGGGCTTCGCGCACGCCAGCTTCAAGCTTGCCCTCGACAAGGAGATCCCCCTGTACATGAGCACCAAGAACACCATCTTGAAGAAGTACGACGGCAGGTTCAAGGACATCTTCCAGGACCTGTATGACACCCAATACAAGAAGGAATTCGAGGCCAAGAACATCTGGTACGAGCACCGCCTGATCGACGACATGGTCGCCCAGATGATGAAGAGCTCTGGTGGATATATCATGGCCCTGAAGAGTGAGTTCCCCTGAAGTCCAGTGCCCGCCTACTTATATTGGTTGCTGCCGAGTCAAATCCAGACTGACTGGCGGACCAGACTACGACGGTGACGTGCAATCCGACATCGTGGCCCAGGGCTTCGGTTCCTTGGGTCTCATGACCTCGGTTCTCATCACCCCCGACGGAAAGACCTTCGAGTCGGAAGCCGCCCACGGCACCGTGACGCGCCACTACCGCGAGCACCAGAAGGGCCGTGAGACCTCGACCAACCCCATCGCGAGCATCTTCGCTTGGACGCGGGGGCTGATCCAGCGTGGCAAGCTCGACGATACCCCGGAGCTGATTGCCTTCGCCGAGAGCCTCGAGAAGGCCTGTGTGGACACGGTCGACGTGGATGGAATCATGACCAAGGACCTGGCCCTGGCCTGCGGCAAGACGGCCCGCGAGGACTACGTCACGACGACGGAATACCTCAACGCCGTAGAGAAACGGATGAAGAAATTCCTCAAGGAGAAGCTATGAGGAAGGGACTAGCTCGACCAAGCCGGCTGATTTAGGCACCAATACTACTGGGGGCTCCTATAGGTAGGGAGTCACCGTTGCAGATGCCCCTCGTGCCCACTGAAAGGCAGGAGGCTGCCGTTTATTTTGCTTTACTGTTCTGCATGGTGCTGCCCATTTCTTGCGCTTCAGGTTCACGACCTGGCCGCTGTAGATAAATTGCGAGTACATACATACCTGACGATGAAGCGCATCTTATCCATGGCATAAATCCAAAGAGTTGTCTGCGCATTGCTTCCCAGTCTGAATAGATTCCGAGATCGCATGTACTTCCCCAGCCGCATGGCCGTGGCCGGGAAAAGAAATCGTTACCAGTAGTAATGTACCCTGACAGCTCTTCATGGTGTGCTCAAATATGATCTACGAGGTTCCTGGATCCATATACACTGCCCATGGAAGTCAAGCCAGGAGCAATAGTCCTGAAATTGTCTAGATATCATAGAAAAGTCCAAGTGGAACGTATACGGTTGGTTTTTGTCTATACACAAAGCACTTTGTCTACGCATTTGGTCTCAGGACGCAGAGTATTTGTTGCTCATACGACATCAGACCAAAAGCTTACTTCCTCTTTCTCCTCGAACCGGGGGTATCATCCATCACACGTCGAGTCATTAATAGGGAATGCCGTGTCTCCGGGCACGTCCCATGTTTTATCCTACTAACCGGATCCCAATTATATGCAAGCAATAAGATATAATGTCCTTGGGCTTAAGTGAACCGTGACCAGGCAACCCAGTGGCCCATCCAGGTCTATAGCAACTCGAAGACTGCCAAGGCGAGCTCTCCGAGAGGTGAAGCATCAATGTAAGCCGGATTTCTCAGGCGGCACTACAACAGCTTGTGTTAGTACTTGATTCTGAGTGGAAGATAGGAGGAGACGAGAGAGATTTCGGGAGCATGCAAACTATCCAAACAAGAATACAACCGAATCGTTGCTTGTGCCACTGTTAAACTTTAATATCCACCGCTTGATGGTCTGCAACAAGAATTTCTCGCTCTTGGGTGTCCAAACAGGGGCATAAAACCACTCGACAAGTTGCTTACTGGTACTGGGTGCATTCTCGGCGGTGACACCGCTATAAGCCGGCCTCTCCTGCGGCCCGCCCACGCTGTCCGCTATAGCCTCATCGTAGCTCGGCGGAGCATCGTCGTACGCCGGGACGTTGTTGGGACCCAGCTGCGGCGGGTACAGCGGATCGCTCGGCCTCGGCTGCGGGACTAATGGCGTCGACTGGGTCGCGCTTTGTCGGGGTGGCGGGCGCGGTGGTCGGTTCGCCTGGGCCTGCACAAGCTGGGCCGGTGGCTTGACGCCCGAATAGACCTCGACATTCGACAGTTTCAGGGGCAGGCTAATGACCTCCGGGTACGCCGTACTCTTGCCCTTCCCCGAGCCCGAGGGGAGACCCCAACTCAGACTCAGCTTCATCTGGATCTCGTAACGACGCGCCAGGTTGCAGGTGCGAAACGAGGGAGCGACTGTATTGGGCAACCGCAGCATCGACCACAGCGAGTTGGACACCTCGAACTCGGTATCGACGGCGTCGGCGGGCGTGCCCAGGGCCATCGAGAGGTTGGGGGCCGAGAGCACCACCCAAGTTGAGCGCTCCACGTTCTCGAGACTCTGTACCCGTACTGCCGTGTACCCCACGAGGACGATCTCGAAGGCCGTCAGGTATACTTGCTCGGGTGTGGGCGCGAGCTTTTTGGCGAACAGGCGCAGGGGCAGTGGCTCATTGCACGTCAAGATGGTGGGAAACGGTATGCGCGCAGACATCTCGATCGAGGGTGGGCTCGTCCCGCCTGTGTCGGCGTTCGGGGTCGCGGTCGGCTTGCTACTACCAAATAGAGATTTCTTCGAAAACGCGGGCGCGGGGGCGCGTGGCCTAAAGTTGAAAGGGCGGCGCGCGAAGGCTTCCTGGGTCGTTTTGACAGGGCGTGGAGGCTCGATGGGCGAGAACTTGAAGCCCAGCTGGTAGCGCCAATTCTCCTTGAAGATGCCCGGGCGCTGGATGGTGACCTTGATGTAGTAGCGTATCTCGGCCTCCTGCGGGAAGCCCGTCAGCGAGGGCGGCAAGGTCGACTTGACGTGCTGCAGCATGAGCTGTCGGGTGCCATCCATAGTACGGAAGCCGCCCATGCCGAGGAGCCCGGACGAATTGGCGGCGCCGCCGATGCCCATCAGGGCGCCCATAGCCTTCGGGTCGTGGCAGATGTTGTTGAGGGGCACCTTGAAGTTGAACTTGAACTCGTGCTGGCCCGGCTGGAAGGGGAGATGCGCGCCGTCGTCGGGGTAGACACGAAAAAGTCGGTACAGGATCTTGTGGGTTTCGGATACGACGCTACCGGCTCCAGCTTGGGTGTAGTCGTCGCGATCGGCCATGGGCACGGTGAGGGCGGTCCGCGACTCGCCTTCGAGCTTGACGATGACATTGCCGATATTCTCGGGCCTGTGGAGGGACAGTAACACACGGCCACTAATGAAGTCGAGGTTGGTGTAGAACTCTGGCTGCTTGTCGAGGACGATTCGGATCGACATGGCGGCTGGTTTGTGTAATAAGAAGTGTGGCCGTCGGGAGGGCACTGTCGAAGCCCAAGCGGGTAGACGGTAGACGGTAGACGGTAGACGGCGGGTCAGACGGGCAGACGGGCAGACGGGCTCCAGGTCACAAGCGATAGTAGAAGAAGCGGTAATGGCGGCCCCTGCTGTTCGCCATTCAATAATCTTCAATCACCGCATGTCAGAGACAGCGGCATCCTTCTCGAATGCTGCACGTCGTCGCAACCCACCTTGTCTGTCTGCTGCTGGTGTCTGTCTGCGTAAGTACTAAGGAGGTAGGAAATAGAAAGGGGCAGCCTGTCCAGTTGGCATCAGCCAGTCCAGTGGGATTCAGGCGGCTGACAGGGGCCACAGGGCTGAGCGACGCTGTCCCACTCGTCATGGGCCGTCGCTGCTACCGGTGCTAAGTGCTTATCGCCGCAGATACTTATCCCCGGCCGTTACCGATTATCGTGTCAGTCACACTGCAGTGACTGCACTTCTTCCAGCGCTGAGCCCCTATTACTACATGTATTTAGTAACTCCCGGCGTGTCGTCTGGGTCTGGTAGCCCATGCGCTGCTTCATGAATGCGACCATGTCATCCACGCCCTCGGGCTCATTGATCCAATGTCCAACATCCTCGTACTCCTTCCAGTGAACTTGGAGACCTCGGCCGATGAGGGAATCTCTCAAGCCTCTGCCATTCTTGATCGGGACCACGTCATCGTCCTTTGAATGGCCGAGGAAGATGGGAGTCTTGTGCGAGAGTGTGGTATTTTGAGTATTTTGCGTAATGGGCAGCCAGCTGCACAGCCCGATCAGCCCGGCGAACTCGCCATGTTCGTTATGTTCGTTGGCCAGGTAAGTGGCGATTGCCGTCGCAAAGCCCTGGCTGATGCCAGCAAGGAATATCTTGTTTTTGGGTAAGATGTTTTCCTCGGCTGCGACTACACTGATGATTCGGGCCATGCTTTTCTGCAAGCCGGGTTATTGTATCTCTGGCCGCTCTTCCGGGTTCTCAACGGACCACATGTCAAACCATTGAGACATATCGGTATCGAAGCGCTGCGACTTGATGGTTGGGGCGCCTGGGAATACCCATTTGATAGATGGGAAGATGTCTGGGAGTGTACGTCCACCATTTGGCCCGCACTCGGACTCGGAGGCTTCACTTTCAAACAGCTCACTAGCGAACTCGTTGCAATCGCTGTCGCGACCGTGGAGAAATATGACCGTGTGGGTGTGGGTGTGGCCGGCCTTGGGCTTGACTGTGTAGATTGTTCCGGCCATTGTGAGTAGTCAGTGGGCAGTGGGCAGTGGGCAGTGGGCAGTGGGCAGTGGGAATAATAGATGATGCATTCGGTGGGTTTGGATTTGCGATTCTGTGTGGTCCGTGGAGAAAATCATCGCGAGATTCCTGGGCGAGGATTCATCTTCATATAGGGCTCTCGTGACTCATCGGAGAAAGATGAAGGTTTCGCTGGAGCCATAACTTATCAAGCAGTGGCGTTGAAGTTGAGGGAGAAGACGAACAGAGTTCAGCCATGTGCCTGTCTTCCAGTCAAAACCAGCACCAGCCAACGCTCTCGTAGCTTGCCTGAAATGCTGAGCCGGCCAAGTTGTGCGTGTCGTTGAATTTACATGCTCACTACCGGATCGTTCCTGACCTAATGTGTCTGGGGCATTGCGCTCAAGCCGTTGCCGAATCGGAGTATCTTACCTACCTAGGTAGGAGGTATGCAAGTACCTAAGTCATCACCGGTCAGGTTGGAGAGCGAACCCGCAACGGCATCGTCAACCGTCTGCAAATGCCGTCATCGTCAATCCCGTACTGTTCCCGGCCCATCTCAAACCGACATTGAGCGAAGCCAGCGTGCGACACATCAGCAGAAGGCCTTTCCAGCTTTCCTCACAATATCCTCCGACTAACACTAAAACTGCCTTGCACCTAGCCAAATTGTCCGATATGTCAACTACCGAGACTGTACCAGTACCAGCCCCAGCTGTTGCTTCCGTCGGGGACGCCTTGAACGGCCCGGCGAAAGCTCAAGACCCTCCCCAAGTCCAGGTCGCGGGAACGACCAAGAGTGGAAGAAAGTTGAACATCAGAAGCTACCCCAAGTTCGACAAGTTGGAAGATGAGAGACTGTACCGCAAGCAGCACCTCGCTGCCGCTTTTCGGGTCTTTGCCGATCGCGGCTTCGACGAGGGCGTTGCCGGCCACATTTCCGTTCGCGACCCCATCCTGACCGACCACTTCTGTACGTCATCGCAACTCGGGAGATTGGCGACGACGCTGACTGCTACAAGGGCTGAACCCACTGTCGATGCATTTCTCACTCATCAAGGTTTCGGATCTCATCCTGTGCGATGAGGATGGTAATGTTGTCGAGGGAAACGAGCCCGTCAACGGGGCCGCCTTCGCCATCCATTCACAGATCCACAAGGCCAGGCCAGATGTCACTGCAGCCTGCCATGCCCACAGCGTGCACGGAAAGGCCTTCGCTGCCTTTGGGCGCGAGCTCGAGATGATCACCCAGGATGCTTGCCGCTTCTACAAGTCGCACGGCGTGTACCAAGACTTGAAGGGGGTTGTGGTCGACAGCGAGGAGGGAAAGCGAATCGCGAAGGCCCTGGGAAACGGGAAGGCCGCCATCCTTCAGAACCATGGTATCCTGACCGTCGGCTGTAGTGTCGACGAGGCCGCCTTCTGGTTCATCAGCCTCGAAAAGACGTGTCAGGCACAGCTGCTGGCCGATGCTGCCTCGGCGGGCGGGTACAAGAAGATCTTGATTGACGATGAAGAAGCTGCTTACACGGCGGCTCAAGTCGGTGGCCCGGAGAAGGGCTGGCTGGCTTTCCAACCATGTAAGACTCGCATTCCCCCTATCCCCGCCACGACAGTACCTTGTAGTATATCGGAGCTTCGATCGGGGTTTTCACTGACAGATCTGCAGACTACGATGAGCAGGTCGCCAAGACGAAGGGGGATTTTCTTGGCTGATGTGTGTATTGTCATGGTACCAAGATGTCGTGAGCGACCACAACGCGATCTTCCGTGGTGTATAAACGCACCAAGTGTACAAACGAGTTTATCTATATCCAAAGCCTGTGCTGTTGCTGAACTACCGATATTCAGAATGCCGCTCTCGCACGAGCGCCGTAAACTAAGTACACTCCGATAGTTTCTGCGATCGACCCATTCTAGGAGGATGCTCCATAGTTATCACAGCCCTGGGGAGGACATCATTCTGCACTGGCACCAGAACAGTCTTTTTGCCAATTCGGCTGATCTGGGTTACTCGCAGCAACGAGTACGGCCGAGGTGATAAATGCAAAAGTTCTCTCCACCCCGGAGCCGGGGCTGGAACCCGTCTTCACCAGCATTGGTATCTGCTTTGTGATAGCTTCCTATGTCAACATAGGGGCCGAGCGGGACATCCTCCCAGCTCATACGCGGCTCGGATTGCGGCTGTTGATCAATATGGCGGTCCATGGTGGCTCTTTGTTCCGTTAGTGGGTGGAGGTCCATTTCGTGGACAGTTATGGGGAGATAATAATAAGGTAAATGACAGTTCAGGTGTTCCTTGGTTTTGCCTTGTTGCCGCGGACGGTCAGTACAGTATGTTTGGAATAGGTCGAGAAGTACGCCTTGGTAGTAGGTTGTTTTGGAATTTATAGGCAGCCTGTAGACTCTCATGAGTCTATATTATGGAATAATAATGATGTATAAGACCAGCCTCGGGTAAAGAGTCAGGAGCAGTCACCGATGAGTCGACTAGCACGCTGAATACTATTCAGGGTGTGGCGAGTAGCAAGGCTTGCCCACTACCGTCACGGTCAGAGACACAGCGTAGTACAACCGGCTCAAACCTGGCTAAGGACCCAGCGCTGAAACGACGTGGCAGAGCCACTCCACGCGTGACACCGATCCTATAAAGGCATGGCTCATAGAATTTAACCCAAAGAAAAATCGCACACGTTTCAATAGGTTCTGCTCAGTTCGGAACGAGAACATCAGTGTACATATTCCACGGAGAAGCGTTGTGCCTGAAATAAGCAACTTGGCTGTCGCGGCCTTGTCTAATGCGAAGTCTGCACATTGATGCTTACCCCTGAGTGACGTAGAGGTGCCAGCTTGTAAGGCCAATGTATACCTGCTGTCAGACACACTTGAGGGCAACACGAGCTGCAAGAGGCATCATGTACTATCCTGTTGGCATTGTAGCATATCGCGATTGGCTTGTGCTGATGAGGTAACATATACCGCGAGGCAGCAAGGAATGCAGTAATTGGGTGGAGGGTAATTACGCATAAGACACATAGCTCATATGATATCGATGTTGTCTTCTGCACAGCTTCTGGTCACTCCTTATGGGTATCATTCAACCACTGGCAATGCCTAATCAGTCATCATCATCTGCCCATCCAGCCACTATGTATCTCCTAAGGTCCATAGTGCTTGTCCTAATTCCAACCTCTCAACCCTCCTCTAAGCTGATGGCTCGTCGATCTGCTTGTTGGTGTCGGCCACGTTGACTTGTTGGTTCTCAGTCACTGGGACTTCATGAGAGTGTTCAAGCTCCGAGAGAACGATCCAGGTGGGGAAGATGCACAATATGGTAATGCCGAAGTTGAGGCCAATGCTGACAAAGTGGTTGGCGTTGCCCTCTGATTGCATACTGGTAAACGTTAGCGACCTCGGTCGTTCAGAAGTTGGATGCCGCCTCGGTGTATACTCACGCCCAGGCCACCGTCTGTCCAAGAGCTTCAAACCCTCTCAATATGCCAGTGTGGTGAGACAGGGACGATAAGTCCGTCGTGTACTGCCCAACGAGCCAATACAGAAACTGCTGGAACGCCTGTCCCGCGAAGGTCCAGAAGAAGACAAGGGCATACGATTTGCCAAAACCGCTCTTGAACCAGTCAAATACGGGCGACTCGGGTGCGTCGTAGAACTGCTTTTGCAGTATTGTCGCCCATATCCAGGTGCCGATGAGCAAGAACACGACGACCGAGAACGCGATTCTCCCTCGCGTCTTGATGTGAATGGACTGCCGGTCCAGGAGGGACGCGATGATGAACGAGCTGAATATACCGGCAAAGTTGGTGAAAAACGACGAAAATGCCCTCGCTCGAACGGTAAAAGACGTAGTCAACCATGTCGACAGAAAGCCGTTGTAGAAGTAGCTGATAAAGAAGGCCGGCAGGAGCAGCAGTATCCTCCGCGAGATAAGCAGGTTTGCCACGGCCTTGAACTCAGCGGTCCAGGTGGGTGCCTTGTGGACGACGGCCTTGGTCCCGTCTTTCCGCCAGACTTTTTCTGCAGGGCTCAGACAGAGCGCTATCGGCAGGCCGAGACACATGATGACGATGAAGACGATGTAAGTCGCGGAGCTAACGGACCCTGCCGAAGACTTCTGCGCGTTGAGGCCGAGGTTTATCGCACCGCCCACGATGGGGCCTGCTGCCTTGGCCGTCTGCCAGATGGCTAGGTAGAAGGCGCGGTCTTTGGGGCTCGGGTACCCGATGATGATGGCCGCATCGGCAGCCCAGAAGAAGCCGGCGGAGATCCCGCAGAGTGCGCTGCCGAAGAGCATGAACCAGGTCGTGGCGCTGACGTTGTTGGTGTAGAGTCCAGCTCCGTACAGGGGGTAGCCGACCGCTCCGATGGCCAGGCCGTATCTCAGACCGATGCGGTTGTTGATGGCGCCGGCTGCGACGCACTGCAGGATTCTGGTCAGTGGTAACCCTCTTAGGATACTTCGGTGAATATTCAGGGCCTCTCGGTCATGGCAGGAGCACATAAGCCCCGACTGGAGCGATAGATTTGCAGCACACAACTAAAGGGTAAGAACCCAATCGAGAAGCTACTTACAACTATGGCGAATAGTCCATCTTTTTAAGTCAACGGTCAGTAATCCCTCTATATACATAACTTAAGGAACAATAGGGAGTTATCCAGTGGGAATACAAGACCCCTGAATCCACGTACATACTAGTGCGTTGGCAGCCGAGACAGCATATGGTTCAGCGGCTCCTCCAGCTCCCAGACCGCCGAGGGCATCCCACATTCCGGGTGCGGTGAAAGACACACCGCAAGCAATGGCGATCTGGAAGGGAACAGACCGAAAGACGGAATGCTTGGTGCTAGGGACCTCGGAGCCGATATCCTCGGAGCCTTCGGCATAGTCCGGAAGAGAGGATGCCATGGCAGCGGTGCTATCTCGGCAACGGCAGACAGAGCCAACAGACAGTGGTGGCAGAGCTAGAAGTCCGGAAGAAAGAGTGGTTAACGGAGAACTGCGGCATCATCACATCATGGTGTAGCCTCTCTTCATAATCGGCATGATATGAGATTCGAAGCTCGAGTTTTCCTGTGGAGCCAATGGCGCAATTGTGTTGCTCTATTGTGAAGCGGACTAGCCGGTTGGCCATGACCAACCGTATCCACTGTCTGTCTGTCTGGTCAAAGATTTCGACCACGTCGCCCAGCAGTCTTGCAGTAGGAAGGCACAATTAAGATGGACACCAGTCAAAATGCCAAGGGTGGCACATGGGGGTGGAGAAATCATACAATGTCGACACGGCGTGCAATAGGGGTAAAGGGCAGCAATGGCAACTCAAAGAACACACATGAGCATCAAACGAGTGAGTATATTTATCCAGCGAAGTACGTGTCCCTTGCCACACCATGTTTTCATATCCTTGAACGCCTGTCGAGGCCATGTCCAGCATGCCCTCCATCTAATCCTTTTCCGTTTTCACCACCGATCGTGGAGGCTCTTTCGTGAGTATGCCTTGAAGCATGATTGGTATAGCCATCCAAAACCCCCAAATAACCCCTGAGTGTCTCCTTACGATATCGTCCATGTAACCTTGACTCGTCCCTCGGACAAGTCGGCCAGCGACTCGAAGACGGTGGACGAGACGTCGATGGAGCCCGCGGCGCAGCCCATGCACTTGTCTGCGACCAGGGCCGAGGCCGTCTTGCCATCCTTGTTGATCTGGATGGTCTTGCCGCAGTTTCCGTCGTAGTCGGCGACCGAGAGGGCGACGACATGCTCGCTATCCGAGTTGGTCTCGCCGCAGGCTCCGAGCCCGGGCTGGTAGTAGGTGAGGTCTCCCGAGTGGCTCGAAGCCGAGGTGGACTGAGGAGTAGGCGCAGCGAGGGTGTATCCGATGGTGCAGGATAGGGCAACGAAGATCTGAGCGAGGGAGAACATCTTGAATGTTGACGTTGTTGGCTGTGGACTTGTTGTAACGAATGAGTTCACTCTTCGGAACTGCGTATGACTTGATCGTAACGAGTGTCTGGCTACTGAACGTGCAAGTGATCGAAGTGTATGCAAAGAATGTGGTCGTCGCGTAGACGGACTGTCTGCGATGGTTGCAGTTGAGCGATTGTAGTTGTTCGGAAGAGTGTGAACTTGGAGTATCAATCCGACTGTCCTGGGAGGTTCGAAGCTGGGTATTTATCCCAATTCTGCCCGCGTATTTCCAGCGCACAGGAGTCGAATGGGGTTCTCGATGCCCGACGGCGTCTGCTAGGTTGGAGTGAGTAACCTTGACTGAGTCGTTCCATCTCCACGACGTCTGATTATGCCTCACACACTGCCGACCTCAGTCCGGCCTCAGTCGGTAAAGCCTGCCTCCCCACACCAGCGACCATGACCGTCTTCAACGAGCGACGTGGCGTGTTGGGGACCGGTTTGATAGGAGCGTTGCCTTGTTCAAGTTGTCGGTCATCGGGAGTCGACTTTGAGAGTCATGTAGTGAGTGGGATGTGGCCATACCGTAGTGCGAGTCAGGTAGGCTAGAGGTGAACGGCTCAAGTAACTGAGTAATGTATCCATCCCATAGGCATACGAAAACTCGCACCTTGCCGGACCATGTGATTTTCCACCTGCAAAAGCAGTTCCGGGCTTCAAGGCGACTCATTCCTCCGGGGCTTGTGTTTCATCTTTTTGGTTCGTCACCACACGTGGCAGGTTTCCGGGTCTAGACAATTCGGATATGTCAGACGTTGTCGTCAGCTGGCTTACTTTCTTTGAAGCACTATATCGCTTATTTCCGGTCGGAAGGTAGCGATGCATGACTTCGCAGTGTATGTACCAGGAAATGAACCACACAGCCCCAGTATGCGATGGCGGTTGATCAAACTGAGGCGACAGACTCATCGGCAGAGCTCCTCCCCTTCAGTGAGTGGCAGGCCGGCACCTGTACATGAACATCGAAGTGGATCCCACCAGCTGACTGACAGAAACTGGGCAAGGGACTATATGCTGGAATGTTAGTTCATCTCATGCTGGTGCCCGGAAGGTTGGATGCAGGCCCGGGACGGGGCAACGACTCGCCATGAAATGAGCAGCGACTCGAGAGGACTGCAGGGCGTAGAGTCAATTGGCATGGTTATCCCGTCCGCATATTACCCCGGGTAGGACAGAGTTGATCACGGAGAGAATGGAACAAAGCAGATACAGGAAGGCGTATGCAACACAAGATCCAATTGCAATGTTGATGCTGTCGTGAGTGCCATAGAACACCTAATAGTCCCACCTGAACGCCCTTGCCGATGAATGGTCCCTCGGGGGCAAATCTATTGGTGAGTTTCCCACGGTCTACCGACTCTTCCTTGGTACCATTCTACCCATTGCGCCTGTTTTAAGTCCCTCATCTCGATAGTCATAGTCGCTTATAGTCGGTCCCTTTCCAGGGGCCGTCTGGCTGGGCTGCTGTGCCCTAATGGTGCTGCGGCTCCGAGCAGATTGACGTCCGAGAACTCGTCAATTTCACCACGCGTCTGGGCACGACCGGTCGACGTTTCCGACGACGTGCGACGGAGCGGACTGGGCCGGAAGTAGCCCGCTGGATACGTGGCGCCCTCATATTCCGGAGTGGCGGTGCCGTCCGCGTCGTACGGGCGGCCATTGAACGAAGCAGGCGAGCCGACGCGCGAGGGTCGTATGGTACTGGGCGTGCCAGGGCGTGACTGGTCCGACGGTCTACCATATAACTCGCCATCGCCGCCGAACTGCTCGCGGAATTCGGCATGGTCGCGGAAGTGTTCGAAGTTCATATCCGCCACGTTGACGATTTCGAAGGGTGCTGGGGTGGCATTGGTGTTAGGTTGACCTGGGTTCTGTGCGGACATTCTCTGCATCCTATACGTGTCGCTGTAGCCGCTGGCTCCGTCCAAGCCGGTGTCCACATGGCCGTGGCAAACGTCCTTGAGAAGATGCTGCGACCTGGCATGGACCATGGGGACCATCAACTTCTTGTACAAGGCTGGGTGCCCAAAGCGGACGCCGACACGGTCGCGCTTTGCGCTCTTTGGTAGCATATCCTCCCTGCCCTTTGTGCTCCTCGTGCTGTAAAAGTGCTGGTCGTCGTCAAATGTGCGCCGGCAATACCATTTGAACCCAGCCAACAATACCAGCAGCGGTATCATGACGAATATCTGTGCAAGTGACTCCTTCCTGGCCACAATGAAGAGCGTTGTGACGACGTTGGCGAGCAATGTAGCGAACAGTATCCTATTGAACAACAACCGCCAGAACGAGCCGCCAGACTCGTGCTTTGTGATAAAGACGTAGCTATTATTGGTGGTCAGTAACGTTAGCCGGGGCTAACATGTGAGAGGGGGGCTTCCTAAGTCACTCACAGCAGTAGATACTTCTTCAGATAGCTGTCCACAGTGAAATACAGGGCAGTAACGGGCAGCACGAGAGGCTGGAATGGCGCAAAGATCAGAGCAATGGTACTGTAGTACAGGAAATTGTTATAATAGGCGGCGTAGTCGAACGGCGGAGGTGCAGTGAGTTCGATGAGCTCGCGGGGGGTCGGGTTGAGCAGCTTGCGCGTCACGTACCCCTGGGCCAACTTGACAAGCTGGGATATGTCCAGCGCGGCGCCGAAATTCCGCTGAAGAAGGTAGTTGAGCCAGAACGGCGAGACGTCGCAGAAGGCTGTCATGAGGTTGCCGAAGGGATCAGTCCCCACTATGGCGGACCACAGATCCGTCTTCTGCTGGGCGTTCGCGACGGCCGTGCCGTACTTCCAGGCCGTTGAAAACAGCGAGAAGACGATCAGGTTGTTGAAGATGAAGAAGGCGTAAAGCTTGTGCGTGACATGTCGCTCGCGAGCGGTTCTCGAATGGTCTCCGGCGTAGATGGAAAGGCGTCGGAAGATGACGGGCAACAATAGATAGAACAAGGTGGTGACCAGAGGTGCTAAAATACCCTGGATGGCACCCCACGTCCTGGGGTCTCGCTCAAGCTCTGTTTGGAAGGCCGGCCACAGGGATCCGAGATTACTCAGGTTGGCGAGGAACACGGCGATGAGGCCGTTAGGAACGGTCCATACAATGGTGAGAAGGGTGACCCAAAGATTGTTCATAAAGGTCCTCCACCGGCGGCTCTTGCGGTCGAGAGGGAGGTTTTCCCAGATCAGGTCACTGGGCTTCGGGGCAAGCTTGATGGTGGTGCCTTGAGGGTGCTTCTTCTTTGCCGTGTACGCCACTTCGTGAGCCTGCTCAATGCTTTGGTAGCTGGCGAAGCCGTAGGGTAGTGCATTTTTGTTGTCGACAGACTTCCTTTGCTGACCGATATCCTTCTTGAGTCGCTCAATCCTGGATGTCAGATAGTCGATGGCGTCGACCTTGGTCCCCGGCTTGTAGGCCGGGTCTCCCTTTTGGGACTTGCATTTTGGCCGCTTCGCTGGTAGTTTGTCTGGATTCTTCAGATACTTGGCTAGTATCCCTTCCAGATCACGAACGGCTTCTTCGTGCTCCTCCAGCAACTCTGGGAGACCTTTAACGTTGCGGGCAATGATGCCAGACGGGTCTCTAACGGCATCTACCTCGTCTACGATGCGAGATACACCATCATCGGTGCGATAAGCCTTTGGAATGTCGGTGATCTGCGTCACGTGTTAGCACCCTTACCGAGCACTTGAAGCTCTACGCTGGGAGGACAGGGGCACAGGGCCGCAGGCCACAGGGGCTTGCTCGATGTTCTTCAATAACTAGGACAAGAAGGCCACCCACCATGAGCGTTCGCGAATGCAGGCTTTCCTGATACTCGGGACTGTTAAAGTAGTCCCGACGCAAACGCGTAACTGCGCGGTAGTTTGACCACAGAAAGAAGCATATGACGCCGTCAAAAGCGTACGAGACGACGACATGGGCCCAGCAGGCGGCGCCCCATACGCCCAGCGGGGTCAGAGTCATGAAGAAATTGGTATCGTCGAAGGCTTTGTTGCTCTTGTTCTCGATAATGTTGAGAGGGATGTAGACGCCACAGCCCACGATGGACAGGAGGAGCAGGATGTTTCGACACATCTTGGTGAAGCGCATGAAGAGCGCGGCGTCGAGCCCGACCTTGTCGACGAGAACCTGCTCGCGGGTTTTGATGACAGGCTGGATCCACCCGAAGACGCCATTCTTCATGGGCGGCGGCTTGTGCTTCTCGTCGGCATGCTTCACGCGTGGAGCATAGACGGTCCCATTGTAGGGCCTTAGCAGGCAGAACAACAGGCCACACAGCACGGCGGCGCCCAGAGAGTAGCCCAGAGACGACCAGAAGGCCTTTTCGCTCAACTGTTGCGGCAGGGTTAGCAGCTGCTGCAAGTACGGCGACAGGTCAGGTGACATACCTCGGTGTTGAAAGGATTTTGGATGAGGTTGAGGAACTGGTCAGCGCCATCATTGCGTGGCGACAGCACCATCCGAGGAGACTCTAGTAGTTCGGCCTGCGACGGCGCCATGGCAGACAAAGGAAATAGCGCGCGATCTCGAGTGTGATGCGGTGACACTTGACCTGGAGAGGCTCGACGATGGTGGTGATCCCATAGAAAGAACCGAGTGTCAAAAAGCTTCGATCAAGGCTTGGAACAGCACCGACGTGCGTGCGGACGCCGTAGGGTGGAATCAGGATGGACAATGAGCGACAGACAGGAAGACAGACAAAGACGGCGAACAACTACGGCAGAGCTCAAAGGATGAGGATGCTAACCTGGATGATTGTCTCGGACTGTGTACAGTGTGCCAAGCAGAAAGTTCGGAACCTCTGAAGGGTTTAAGGTGACGACAGAGCTACCACTGACCACTGACCACTGACCACTGAGTCCTGACCAGAGCACCTGCCACCTGCCACCTGGGAGGCCACATTGAGAATGATCCATGATTGCACATGAAAATGTGAAATGTAAGGGGACAGACTAGCAGGCCGTCACGCCGTGACGCCACCGCCGACCATACGGCCATGGTGGGTTCAATGTTTGGTGTTATTTTAGCTGATACGAGGTCGACTCCATCCGCCATGGACTATTCTAGGATCGTTGGATGATGGATCGTTGAATGATGGATCGTTGGATCGTTGGATCGGGCTAGAATCGGAGACCTGATTGCGCGTTTCACCTCGCCGCGGATGCAGCGGCGCTTCTTCCTCTAGGCTGTCGTCCATTGTTGTTCTCTGCCAGAGTCTAGACTCCCAGAATCCAGAATCCCAGGCGGCAACCCTAAGCCAGGGCTGCAGATCCAGGGACCAGTTGCACAGCCTGGGGGACCACGTATCCCGTATCCACTGAATGAATCCTGGCTGGCCGCTGGCGGTTCTCTTTCCATGTCACATGTGTGATGATTGATGTGGGCCGCTACCATGGCAGCATGGGTCGCATGAACACACGGGCCAGCGTGGCTGGTGAGAGCAGGTGAGACACGACAAATATTTCAACAGAATCAATCACCTTCTATCCTTGACTTTGATATAAGTGACACTCATCAGAGGGCATTTCATTCAATACCCGCTGGAGAGACGATGTCTACAGCTGCACCTTCGTGATGCCTCTCTTCCTCTATCGCAGCATGATCCACACCTTGCATCGTCTAGCAAGCAGCGACGGTCCCGAGCCTGTGGCCACAATGTCTACTAGATCGCACTAACTTCAACGCTACGCATGTGAATACCTGCGAGGCAGCGAGGCAACGAGGTTAGGACACCTGCGCAAAGCACGCCTGCCCAACGGTCAGGAGCTCAAAGCAGAACATCTCACGACATGTCTCGCGCCCTTAACTACAAGCCTACGACCTCCACCGTAATGTAAGTCATCGGCAGTGGCCATGATCTCACCTTGAGCCGGGAAGAGGCTGCTTCCTCGACGGCACTCATTACTCGTGTCGTGCCGAGCAGGGCGTCGATCTGGTTCCATCCGTCGACCGCACGGCCTCCTGATCAGAATTCTGTGACCGTGGCAGAAGTCGGGACAAGAGCGGGAACAGAAGTGCCGGCGCCAGCCCGGCCGTCGAGCTGGGCTTCCCGCACGCAAACGAGAATGCAGTAGTTGGCGTGTCAGCCCGCCGCTAGCAGTGAGTGATAACGGTATTTGCATCGATGGCCCCATCGTTCCTTCGTCGTCCCAGGTCCGTCGTGCCGACTGGAAATCTCCCTCTGGTTGCTCAAGCGCCAGGCTCCTGGCAATGTCGCAACGGGCCTGGCCGCATGGACCGCCACGTACGGACCCATGGTCCGCGTCTCACCTACATATGTCGTTGTCAGTGATCCGGACGAGCTGCGGCGCACCCAGCGGGTTCGCTCGCCGAGGTTTCGGGCTAGGTGCCGTGGCACAGGAGTAGGTAGTAGGTTGTACCGAGGTTTTCGGATCGACCCGTCCAAGGACAACATGCTGACGCTGCGGGATAACCAGGAGCATGACGACCCGCGCGCGAAGCTGTTCAATGTTTACATAGACAACGACTTTGGTCGCCTGGACCCGCTCGTCGATGCGAGTTGCGCAATGTCCTGCGCTTGGTGAGGAACAAACACGTCTCGGGGTCACGGCGAGTACAGGGAGATGGATCTGGCCGAGAGGACGCAGTTCCTGTCCACTGGATCTCATATCCACCATGGCGTTTAGCGAGATAATCGACTTCCCGGACATGGACAAAGACAACTTCGGGTATATCGCCGTCACCCGCGCCTCGCTGCCGCTCACGTTCCCCGACCCTGTCAATACGTTCCACCACCCCGTATCTACGAGTATCAGACGATCTGCCCACCAGCGATTACCTTGATCGAGGAAACGTATCAAGATGTCAATGCTGCTTAGATGAAAGACACGAAAGCCGCCGCGCCCTCTCAATCTCATGGAACAATGGTTTCTACCAGTGATTGAATACCCCACCCATCTTCTTTGTCGCTCTTGGATGATTGATGCATAGCCGTCGATCTTGGTTGTTTTATTTCCATCTTTTGCCTGCGCATGACGATCAATCGCCCGTATATTACCTGACACTTTCACTCCCCCAGCCCACGATCAACTGACCACTCAAGACACACAAGACTATTACAGAAGATTGAAGTGAGATGAAGTATAAATGGACGAAACTTTGCGCGAGAAGTTGCGGCTGGCATATCTTGATGGACAAGACCCAAACACACTGCCTGGCATGCGAGAGAGAGCTTGAAGGAGCCCAAGACGCTATTCTCGATGAAATCGTTGTAGCATCTACCCTGTTACCATTAGAGAAAGCTTAGGAAATATACTGCTGTGGTTGTGGCGAGATGGTTTTGACATTACCAAGGTCGACGGCTGCCGCGAGTCTCCTCAGTGTCATCGAAGGCGAGCCCCATAGCAGAGCAATGCATGATTCATATTAGTTTACCTCTGCTATTTCTAAACCTCCAATCAATTCATTGACGAGAACACTACTCGCCGACCGCGTCGGAGCCTGGATACCATGTCGTGGACTCTACATCATTGATCGAAGTCGCCAGCGAATAAAATATTCTTAGGCCCGCCATTCATCGTCTCCCAGACAGTCCGAGGATCCAACTCGTAATCTCTCTCCGTCAACGAGGTGCCGTTGGTCGCCGCCAGTTCTCCCGTGATCTCTTCTCGGGCCAGTTGTACTACTTTATGTCAGTACATGCAATCCTTTTTTGTGCGCGGTATGGGCTGTGAATCAGGGGGCAACTCACCGTGGAGGTAGACAGCAGTTCGTTTGCCAGTGTAAAGCGCGTGAGAACTGTAACAATTCGTGTCAGTCCCTGCCTCTCGAAGAGGAAACTTAAGAGTTTCAGGGAAACACCCATGAAACAAAAAGGGGCAACCTTCGCTCCGAAGGTTTTGAAGAGGTGTGAAACATTTCGAAACCTTGCTTACACGTTGGTGACATTATCCGCGTTAGCATCGCCGACGGCGTAGACGCCGGGGATGTTGGTGACGAGTCCCTTGCTGCCATCAGCCGCCAGGCGACCACCGTACAGTTGCACGCCCATCGCCTCGCCAACGTCCGATTTCTGCTCATCGGGCCAGCTGACGAAGAAGGCGGCGCGCTCAACCGGGTCGCCCTCGGTAAAGTCGAGGCGGAATAGGTCGTACTCGGGCGCCGTCGGCAGGCTCGGATCGGAGGGGCTCGCGGCACCATTGGCGAGGCGCGTGAGGGCGCTGATGGTCCGGTTGTCGACGGTCACGTTGTGCAGCGCCAGGTACTTCTCCCACTGCGGGAAGCTCTCCTCGGTCGCGGCGCGCGCCTCGGCTGTGTCGGTGCCGTTCACGAAGGCGATGACGTCCGAGTTCAGCGTCGTGACCTCGCGAACGAGATCTGGCGCATCCCCGAGGTCGGAGAACAGCCCCAATGCTTGGTCGGCGTGCTCGTTCCCGTCGCACCATGGACACCAGTAGATCCCCTTACCCCAGTTCTCTTCTATGCCTGGCGTTCCCGGCAGGATGTCCCGCAGGCCGGTCGCCAGCACGATCTTGCGGGCGCATACCGTGGACTCTTCACCAGACGGATGGGTAGCCAGCACGGTGAAGGTATTGTCTTGTTCGACGTCGACCTTGGTCACCGTCCCGTTGATGGCAGACACTGTCTCGTAGTGCGACAACTGCTCGCGGGCGGCCCAACGATAGTACGCCGGTGTGACTCCTTTCTTCCGTCAGTGTAAGTTTCACATGATGCCTCCGATACTGTCTGACCGTCGTAGCCCAGCACGTCGTGCATGTGCCGTGTGGGGTTGTTTCTGTATTCGCCCGAGTCGATAAGGAGTACGTTTCGACGAACACGAGCAAGCCCACTGAGAGCGCTAAGGCCAGCCGGACCGCCGCCCACGATGACGGCATCGTAGATGGTCGAACTCTGCGATAGCTGCGGTTCGAGTGGCGCTGCCTGGTCACTGGGGAGGGCCGCCGTGCCGGCCAGGAGTAGAAGCGGTAAAGCTACAGCAGCTTTGAGGAAGCCCATGATGACAATCGACGGTTGGTCCACGGAGTAATACTTGCGTGGTTGGACCTAGGCATAACCTGCCCAGCAAGCAAGGCGACGGCCTCTGGTCTTATAGTTAGTTAGATGACAGCCGAATATGTCAGGCTCTACGGTACTTGTCTTGGTCCATCGCCACCGGCCAAATAACCGGCCACGGAGACACCAACTTCAAGACACAATTACTTGGCAAAGCACGGCATGCTCCATCCGCCTCCGTCAGCTTCCGGGCCGGGTCTCGGTGTTGCGAGACGGATCGTGTTTTCGGTGTCGAAATCAACATTCGACCCCTTTGCTGTGGAATCCTACCTTGCCTCCCATAATAAGCATAGCCAGTCACCCCAGCCTGTCCAGGGCGATGAGCTTGGTGGTCTTCTTGGGGATGAAGATCAAGGTTGTAGCTCTCACCGCCTCCACCGGCGGATTGTCACCCTGCGTATCTGGTTGGCCTGCAGGGCTGGTCAACGGACTTACCCCATCCGGACCCCTGCTGCGTGATTACCGAAGCCCTCGGTTTGGAAGGCCAGCAGACTACCTCCTTGCCTCGGGATCTGAGACACACACAAAGAGCATGAGGCGTTTATAGCATGTCTCTCGTGACTCGCTGCGGTATTGTGTGGCACCGCGCCGAGCGGGACTCCAGCACGAGATGCTATTCTGGGATGAGCCAGTCTGCCACCCCGAGCCAGGTGTCTCGAGACGATAGGAGGCCCGGATCTCTGCCGTCTGACGTGCGCAGAGGGGCTATTTGCATCACGTCTAGTTCTTTTTTGGGCAGCTAGAGACTGCAGTGGGAACTCCCCCCTTTACCCCGTCTCACAAGTTACAACATATTCGCACGGGGCGATGAGATCGAGGCCAACCAATTGAACATGGGTGGCTCTCTGCATGGCTTGAGCGCATCTAACCGAGGAACCTAGCACTGGCACATGTTCACAGCTTGCCGTTTCATACAGACACCACATCTTGCCGTGTCGGCTTACACGCGGTAGTGTCCGCAATCACCGCAGTCGTATTCGAGCTCGTGTGTAATGTTCGGTCCAGCGTCCTTCACGGCGACAACAAGCCAAGGCTGGCAGGGCCGGGTCAGCAAACTGGAAGAGACGTGGCCTGTGATGGGGCATGCTCACGGTCGTGATCTTCGCACATCTTGATCAATAGGATATCCCACTTTCGAGCCGAGATCTGGTCAATCTGGTAGAAACCGCCGGTATTTGGAGTGCACTCGCGCACGATCATGGCGTCCCACGGGTGGAGGGAGCAGGTCTCCTTGGACCTTTGAAGATGCGCGGCTTCGTGGGTCGGGAGGACAGGAAGCCCCAGTCGCAACCGAGTTTGGCATCGGGATGAACTGAGATGTTGACGTTGAGTCGAGAACGATTAGCGAGTGTCAAGACAACACATGTCAGCCTCCATGAGGTTATGACTACCTGCACTTACTGGTCATGGAGCGCCAGTCAACGTGTGCATTCGAGCCGCGAGGAAAGCCGACGAGGGTACCGCCTGCTTGCGCGACCATCTACTTGCATTACTGATCGGTTTCGACGATCCAGTCGGTCTGATGGCATTTAGCGGGCGTGTGAACATTCAGTACATTGGGCATTGTACGTACAGTACCGAAATTCTCTCCCTCATGCTGCTTCAAGTGGTACTGTGCACGCCATGTTAGAAGGGCTGACTCTGCGGCAAAGTGGATGAAACCAGGGCAGTACCAACCATCTTGCGCAGGTAGGAACTCTTTCCGTAATCGACCGAAGGAACGGGCACGGCGTCAAGGAGAGCACGGTCTCGGGCGTCGATGGCGACATGGCGGAACCAGCCTTGGGGCCAGACTCGCATGAGACGTAGGGCAAGCGCGGGCTTGGGGGCGTCGAGGGAGAAGTTCATGGTGACAGTCAGTGGTCAACGGTGGTAGGGGAGGTTGTGTGTGGAAGCGTGGAAGTGTGGAAGCGTGAAAGTGTGGAAGCGTGAAAGTGTGGAAGCGTGGAAGTGTGGAAGCGTGGACCGCGAGCCTTGAAGAGGAGGTGGCAATGGGACGGATGGAGATGAAGCCCAATGGAACGTTGAAGGTCGAGCAGGCGACTTTAAGGTACAGGTAGGTATGGGTTGACTGTGAGTTAGGTACCTTAGACAGGTGCATCCACGCTACAAACGGACGTGCCTTCTCTCAGTGCAAACACCTGCCTGTGTACATGTATGAGGCAGGCGACTGCCATTTACTCAAGCTCTGTGTGAGATATGTATGTAATACAAAGATCTACACGAAGTACATACATACATGTGATGCACATAACGTAAACATATGTACCGGACCTTGTGTCCCGTCCTATGTTTGATCCTCTGCTGCCTTACACGCGGTCTTGGGCGTTCTGCTGTTCCACCTCCGCATCAATGTACATACTGTACTTCCATCCCTCGAGCGTCACTTAGGCATAAGACCGAAGAGTTGGTCCCTGGACATGACAGTCACTCACGGTTAAATCTGCCAGCCCGTATAGAGCAGCACAATCCGATAACTTACAATGTATCATGTAACCATTCATATGTATGTCAGTGTACCAGATGGCCAGCGTACAAAGGCCCCTCGGTGGAGCCAAAAGTGACGGGTGCTGACGCTACACACAATACTTGAGCCGGCCAACGCTCCGGTCTAGGCTCCGGTCAGTAGCGCATGCCGGTCACGGCGGCACCGAGACCCTGTCCCGGGCCCGGGTGTCCCGAAGCTGGATATACTCGGTGTTGTTCGTTCGCGGTACTTGTCGACTGGCGCTGGTCCTGCTCGCGAACATGGCTGGTGGCAGGGTTGTCTATCCCTAGTCCAAACGTCCAACACCAATAGGCCATCTCAGATCTGACCTCTTGTATTGACAGCCTGTCGCGACACCCCCATGCTTCCCACCTTATCCTCCTCCGAAGCCCCTGTCTCTGCCGCCCGCCTCCGCCTCCCCTCGCCCATGCTGATGCAACCCCATTGCGGGGGAACTCCATACCACCGCCCGCATCAAGTACGCTCGCGTCTGCCTCTGCCCCTCTCGGTTGCCCTCGTCTTGCATTGGGGGTCCGCTATCGATGGCCCAACGGCGTCTATGGCCCAATGGCGGAGCGGTTACAGCGATGAAAAGGGCTGCATCATAGCACGTCACAGGGAGGAAGCTCAACGCGCCCGGTCACGACGCCGGGCGCCACGGCCGTCCATCCTTCGTCTAACGCCCCTTCCTGCTCGGCCATTTTCGCTGCTGTGTACGGGTCTATGACGTCCTGGGCTACGCTCCCCCTTCCAGCCGTTGAGTCTCCTGCGCCCATGCACCCATCTATTTGCATTGCCGTGCCTTGGGGATTACAAATTGTTTCTTGACACTCCAAGTTCCGTCACACCCGACAAGACCGTCGCCACCTACTGAGGGCCTCATCGCTGACCTTTCTGGCCTATCTCGTATTCCGACTTCTCTATCCTCTATTCTGCAGGCTACAGGCCTCATCGCTCTCGAGCTTACAATGGTGGTCTCTTCGCGCTTTCAAGCCCTTATACCCAACTGCTCTCTGCAGCAATGGGTGTTTGGTTCCTCATTCGATGCCCTTTCCGATGACCCTCAGTTCATTGACCCAGACCGGCCTGAAACCCATGTTCTTACGAGGGCAGACTACCGTCTCTGGTCGAAACGGATTGCTTTGGGGCTGCAGAAGGCTGGCTTGAAGCCTGGCGGTCGGGTGCTACTCTTCTCCGGCAACACCCTGTTTACCCCGATTGTCTTCATGGGTGTTCTCATGGCAGGTGGCATCTTCACGGGAGCGAACCCGAGTTTCGTCGCCCGCGAGCTTGCCTACCAGCTGAAAGATAGCGGCGCAGATTTCCTCATAGCGACTGACGCGAGCATTGAGGTCGCTGTGGAAGCTGCCGGCGAGGCCGGGCTACCAAGGCATCGAGTGTACAGCTTCGATGCCACGGGTCTTGATGCGGAGCCTGGCAACGCCCGCTTGGGCACCAGACACTGGACGTCCTTGCTTGCCCCCAAACAAGAGGCCGCTGAGTTTGATTGGGTCGAGCCGGCCGACACACGTGCGACGACGTGCTGCTTGAATTATTCGTCGGGCACGACCGGCGTCCCCAAAGGTGTCGAGATCACGCACTACTCCTACGTTGCGAATGGCGTCGGTGTCATCACGGTCGAGCAACTCGACCCCGAACACGCCGAGAAAGCCAAGAGGGCCCGGCAGCTGTGTTTCTTGCCCATGTATCATGTGTTTGGCCAGACCTACTTCGCCTGCAACTACCCAAAGTTGGGCATGCCGGTCTACATCATGTCATCGTTTGACTTTGAGAAGATGCTGCAGCATATCGAAAGATTCCGCATCACATCCCTTACGGCGGTGCCGCCTATCGTGTGAGTAGCACGCCCAGTCGTATCCTGCCTGCTTTGATCATTTCCGAGGAATTGTTTCTTTCAACTGCTCCCCAAGTCATGCCCTGGAGCTCCAGCACACTGGCCAACGTACCCTGGGAAAGGCCACTGCTGACCCCAGATGTGCCACAGTGTAGCCCTCGGGAAGCACCCGGCGGTGCGCAACCACGACTTGAGCAGCGTTGAAACCATTGGGAGTGGTGCTGCCCCGCTCGGCTTGGAAATATGCGACGAGGTCGCCAAGTTGTGGCCTCCGGGGACTCTGACCGTGCGCCAGGGGTGGGGGATGACCGAGTTGACGTGCACTGCCACCAACTGGCATCCTAAGGTGTTCTTGAGGACATCGGCTGTTGGCGAGATAGCACCCAACTGTAGCGCGCGGATCATGAAAGTTGACGGGTCTGGAGAGGTCACCGAGGCCAACGAGCGCGGTGAGATATGGGTTACGGGTCCTACTCTTTTCAAGGTAACCGGTTTCCGTCTTTCCGTGACACACTGGCTAGGGGATCTAACCAGGCATTCTTCAGGGTTATTGGAAGAAGCCTCAGGCCACCGCCGATACCGTCCACGTCGATGCTGATGGAACGCGATGGCTCAAGACGGGCGATGTCGCCTACATCGAGAAATACGAACCCGGCGGGCTGTGGCACATTGTGGACCGGATCAAGGAGCTCATCAAGGTCAAAGGTAACCAGGTGGCTCCGGCCGAGCTGGAGGCTGTGCTGCTCGACAACAGCGGTGTCAGTGACGTAGCGGTCGTTGGCGTCACCATCAACGGCGAAGAGTTGCCCCGCGCCTATGTCGTTCCCAATCCCGCGGCCAAGCAGACCGAGCGGGAGATTGCCAAGTGGATCGAAGAGAGAGTTACGAGGTACAAATGGCTCAAGGGCGGTGTCAAATTCATCGACGCCATCCCGAAGAACCCCGTAAGCTGGGCGCCCTCTCAACCTACTCGGTGAAGACACTAATGAGTCATGTGTAGTCGGGCAAGATACTCCGAAAGAAACTCAGAGAGCTGGCAGCCAAGGAAGTCGGCGATAGAAAACCTCCCATGGCCAAGTTGGCCTGAGGCTCAGTGGGATAGTCAGGAAGGGGAATGTAGTGGTAACAACTTGGTGAACTCCTTGCAGGGACTGCGTATAGTTTTCAGCAGGCCTCTGCCGCAAGTGGCGCAACCCTCTATTAGCCGCAATGCCCAGACCAGAGAAGGATGCCATCAAACGCGCTATGGCATTCTTCAACGCGTCTCCCGGTCATAACACCAGTTTGGTTCGTGGGTACTTGTAATCTCAACGAAGAGAGAGGGCAGTAGGAGGGTGGCATGTTCTCTGGGTGCATTGGCCCAATCTCGCTGTTTGCCTGCACGTCCATATAATCTGAATCAGGCCCCGAAACATACTCAAAGGATGTTTCATCGACGCTGTCTGATCGATTGAGATATCTGTAGCGCACCGGGCACCCCTTTTGTTTCACACGGTCCACAGCTCACAGTTCGGGCCGGATATCTGGAAGGCAACGAGATGTGCTGTCGTAAATGTTCTATTTCTTCAGCAGAGTCACATTCGTGGGTTTGGCGCATGTGCAGTTCATGCTGCAGCTCTGCTGACTTATCGAATACCGATCGGCTACCTGAGCGCACGCTGTGTTAGTAAGGTTGACTCCGGTGGCTGCTCTTCTCCTGTTTCGACTGGATGATGCCCATACCAAAAGACTCCCGTCCAATAGCTCCCCGAGTCGAGCACCTGACATTCATGGGGACAATACGTAAGCTACGCAGTATTTCCTTCCATCTCGATGCCTCGACCTCCCACCAGGAAAGGCGCATGGTCCCGAGGGTCTGTCTCAAGTGCCTTCAGGCCGCTCAGCTGGGTTGGGCAACGACGCAGTACGCCAAGAGACATTTCAACCCTGCTCAGGATGTGCATGTGAGCAAAGGTAAAGGCATGCTGACTTCCAGTCACGGTGACTGGGAGCTGCGCAGATCCGCGCCGTCACCGGGCAGCCATGCCGCTACACCGCATTTGCACGACTTGTTGCTGGACAACGATCACTGTTTGCTGCATGCACTGTTCGAACTATGGTCCATGATGCAAATTTTCGCGCGGCTAAAATCCTAGTTGCCAATAGGTCGTGGTGGTTTTGTGGGTGGAACCGATAGGGTCGACTGGTGGGGACCGGCCAGCACATCTTTGCCTACATACCCAGGTATAAGAGTTTTTTTCTGCCCTCCAAACAACCCATCGCCTTTGTTTTGATGTCTTGTCTTGCTCTGTTGCTTTGATTTTCGAGATACCCCTACTTGCTACACCATTTATTCACACTCATTCAAGATGGCTACCGAAGAAGTCATTTCGCCCCAGACGGTCAAGGAGTTGCACCTCTTTGAGGCTGCCATCTCAGACGTCGAGACAGAGATCACGGCGAAGCACTACCTGATGACCAAGGACATCTTCGCTCAACGTCAGAAGACAATCGCCAAGATCCCCAGCTTCTGGGCTGTCGCGTTTGATAATGCCTCCAACGAGCTCGAGGCCGCCGTGACGCCCAAGGACCAGGACATCTTCATGCAGGCTCTCTCGGGCCTCGAGGTGACACGGCCGGAGATCCCCGCAGGGGCCAAGGTCAACGACTCGGGCCTCGACAAGTTCGGCGAACCGCGCTCTCTGAACATCAGCTTCCACTTCAAGAAGAATGAGTGGTTCACCGACAGCGTGCTTGAGAAGAAATTCCAGTTCCGCTACGGCAAGGATGGGTCAGCGGGCCTGGTCTCGGAGCCCATCAAGATCAACTGGAAGGCCGGCAAGGACCTGACCGAGGGTCTCACCGACGCAGCCTACGCCTTTTGGACGGCACAGAAGAACAACCCCAGCCAGAAGCTGGACGGCGTGCTTGACAACGACGCGCGCCACGCGCGGGATGCGGCGGCCAAGGCGATGCCCGAATACAAGAACCTGGCCAAGATGCTCGAAGAGAAGGTCAACGGCGCCATCAGCTTCTTCAACTTCTTCTCGTACCGCGGACGATGGATCAGCGCCGCCGAACACGCTGAAGAGAAGGCCGACCTCGCAGCCAAGCGACAAGCGGCGGCTTCTGGGCAGGATGCGAAGGAGAAGGATGACGATGACGACGAGGACGACGAGGACGAAGACTTTACGGAGGAGGAAGTCGAGACTTTCCCTGCCGGCCACGAGGTGGCGGTCACGATTGCCGAGGACATCTGGCCAAACGCTATAGATTACTTCATGGCCGACTCGATTGACAGCGATATCGACATTGACGATGACGACGAGGACGAAGACGAGGAGATGGAGGGCTAGAGGCGGCACTACTGTCAGAAAGGTATCATCTGGGGAGATAGGATGGTCGGGACGGATCTAAAAAGGTCCGGGTATGGGGCGTGGCCAAGTGATGGCTTCCTCCCGACGACGTAATGACGATGGCCACGCAGTTGCTGTGACGGAGGCAAGTGTGGACAGAGAGATACCAGCTTCGTCAGCTGACTTCGTAGGTAGGTAGGTAGTTGACAGATTCATGAAGTACTCAAGCCAAGCCTCCCGTAGACGATATATCAGCGAGGCCTTCAAACGTAGTATGAGTTTGATGGCACATTGCACAGCCCGTGTTGGAGAGGTCGTCAGCTGCTGAACATGCCTTAACTTTCATTCGCTTGAGGCTGTTGTCCGTGGATGGACTTGTTACTGATACTTATCTGCGAAGGAGCCGGGAGGGCGTCTTCTGATCCATGAGAACGAGCCATGCCCGTGAGATTCTTGATTCTCGAGGCTGCCACAGGTGTCTCGCCGAGTGAGGGAAGGAGAAGGGTGTGAGTGACTGCTACCGTTGAGTCGAGTGCAAAACACGTGGCAGAGCGGGTAAGGGAGATGTGGCGGTGCATCGCGTGGCAGGTGTAGTACTGTGGCTTGGCCAAACGCCAAAGCGCGTCTCCCCAGCCATCCACCTGTCATCTCATACTTCACATGTACCTGAGGTAGGCACCATTGTTGACACACCATGTAGATAGACATATCAGATACAGCACACGCACACGCACAGCACACACGCCCGAGCCTCGGTTATCAAGGGACACCCGCGCCCGACCATGTTCCGCGGCCGATGTCCATCCAGAAACGCGAAGACAGTGCTCCGCATCGCCAGAAGCCATTATGCAACTCCACGGCGTACCTTCACTACGCAGCCGCCGTACTACCAGGGACTGCCCCCGGTTCGGCTTCTCGGCCCTACCATCTGGTGTCTTGCTACCGCCGGCGCCATCTACCTGGGCTGTGCGGCCTCTGATGTCTATCAAGATGTCGCCCGCGCCAAGGGGGAGGGCACGCGCTGGGCCTCCAAACGACCGCCCGAGACCTTCGAGGAGCTAGAACGCTTCAGAGGCACCAGCTACGCCGGCACCCGTTCCGCCCGGTCGTGGAGTCCCTTCTCCGAACTATCTGGTCTGTCGGAACTAGCCGAGTTCTCCGAGCCCGAAAAGCTGATCGTCAGTGCCATCGCCCTGAACACGGGCCTCCACGCATCATGCCGTGGGTCGCCTGCTTTTTGGGGGCACCTGGCCCACGTCCCCGTCTCGACCAGGAACTACACACTTCTCACTTCGGTCTTTGGGCACGCAGGCCTACTCCACCTCGGCTTCAACATGTACGGCCTGTTCATGGTCGGTCCGCCCGTCGCCCAAACCCGTACCTTTAACGACAACGGCCATCACCTGGCAGCCTTCTACCTGGCCACCGGTATCCTGACCAGTCTGGCACAGCATATCAGCTCTATCGGGCCTCATCGGATGAACCGCTTCCAGCCCTCGTTGGGTGCCAGCGGCGCAATCATGGCTATCCTGGGCGCGTTCGGCATGTCGTATCCGGACACCCACATCGGCATCCTCTTCTTGCCCGGATCTTTGCCTGCGTCACAATTCCTGGCTGGTGTGGCGCTCTTCGATGCCATCGGTATCTTCGTCCGCTACCCATGGATCAACTGGGCGCACGCGGCACATCTTGCCGGCCTGTCACTTGGAGCGTCCTATGTCTACTTTGGCGGGGACAAACGGGTGTGGCGGCCAACACGCAGGCTTGCCTTCAATACAATGCGATTGTTGAACGTGATTTGAGGTCTCACAAGCGCCTTTTGCTTCTTCTGCTTTGCGTGTCAGGGTGTCGGGAGTCAACTGCATTTATGTACACTACTGATAAAGAGCGAGCGGCCAGGCAGGCTCTACCTTGAGCTTTGGAGCCAGTGATCTTCGTCCAGATCCGCGAGCCTCTGACTAGCCAGGCTGCCGACTGCGTTGAAGGTCGTCTGCCTTCGGTCGACGGAAATACTTTGTCCTTGCGACGAATTCGTCATTACATCACTACTAGCAGGCCAATTGAAGGGTCCATGTTCCTTTTTACTTGTTTGATTTGTTCCTCGGACATCGGCGCACCTGGGCGTAAGTAACGGTACACGAATGTCTAGCTAAGTACAAGGTGCCAGCGCTGGGCTGGTGCTAACTATAATGTAGTACAAGAGTTCACATGTCATCCTCGACGCTGTCAGACTCGCTGTCAACGCGACCCTCCTGCTTCAGCAGTCCCTTCCCTTTCTTGGCCCTCCCCTTGTTCCCCTTGCCCCGAAGACCCTCGGGGATTTCCTTGTGCACCACACCATCCTCGAACAACAGACCAATGTCCGGGCGCCTGGCCACAGCCTTCGTCCACAGGCTCTTGGGAACTTCATCGCCCGTAGCCACGACCCTTCCAGAGGTGGCGTACTGCCAACTCAACTCGGGTGCTTGTTCCAAGGCCGTCCGTAGATGCACCCAGATGCTGACGTCGGCTTTGCTGGCACGGGTCGGCGTCGTGGCAGACTTGGCCGGCAGGAAGGAGATATGTGATGCGCCATCGGCACGCTTGATGCCTCCGGAAGCGATGACGAGCGGGTAGTTCTGGTACGAGGTTTCGTAGATGACATACTCGGGCAGGTTCTCCGACTCGGCTGTCAGGGGTTCGCCCTCGAGGACGAGGGACACCCGCTTTGAGTCGTCCGGGCGCACTTGGTACGACTCGGCCTTGCTGGCGTCGGCACGTGGTGCCTGGCGCAGGGTGAAACGCGCCTTGGACGACTCAGCGGCCCGGCGCAAGTCGACGAGGCCGATTCCAAGATCGGTCATCCTGGGTTGTGCCAGCTAACGAGGACTGTATTAGTCGAGGCTCGATCCTGATAGGCGTACCGGGAAAGGGGAAATGGGCTCAGGCAACTTACCAAATGAGCAGCCGATACCCAACCGTCTGCGTCGCAGATAAGGTAGGCGCCCTCCTCGACATCGGAGTCGAGCTCGCTCTCGGTGACGCTCCGCTTCAGCACGAAGGTTACGGCCTTGGCGACGGTGGCGTCAGAATCCTCGACGACCTTGTAACCTCGGCCGCCAGCGCTCTTTCCATATTGGCTCAGGCCCCTGCTCCGGCCGTGGCGCGGAGACTGCTGCGAGAGGGCGCTCGGCGGCAGCACGCCTCCATTCTGGTTGATGACTGAAAGGGGGATGAGAACGGAAGCGGCGGCCATGGTGATGACTGTGGGACTACGACAAGATATGCGGGATGCAAAAAGCTTGGTATATAGCAGAGGTAGGTAGGCGTGTTGTGTGTTTGTGTCTGTGAGTGTGTGATGCAGTTGTCTTTGCGTACGAGCAGAGAAGCCAGCAGGCGAGCAAGGGGACTCGGACGGAGCGACTTATACATGAATGCGCAAGCAGGCCGACGACGGATTCGGCGCAAGGTCTCGACCCCTCAGCCCTTGGCTCTGCGTGCTGGCCTGACAAGCGGTCAAGCTTGCCAGTTGGCCATGCAGCGCCGATGGCCCAAGAGAAGGCCTGCTGTCCTGTCGAAGTTGTGGGCCACGGCGCCGACCCACACGGGATCTGCCCGTCGACCCTATTCTACCTATTTCTGGCCGCCTACCTCAGTCTGTCCGGTGTTGACATGTCGCATGTTGGGCCTCTCGCCCGAACACACATTGGGACTGCGCTGGCAGCCTGGCAACCTGGCACCAGACCCCTCGTTGGCGTTGTCCTTGTCCTGGGGATCGTCTGGTCTAGTCGTCCCTTGGACCCTGGTGACCGGTCCTGGCCGCCGAGCCACGACGCCAGAAGACACCCTCGGTTCCACGCAGTCTTCCGCGTGAGGGTCTCTGCGGCGCCACGAACGAGTGGTACAGATGCAGCGGCAAAGCCGGTCCAGGACGCAGGGTCCAACTCAAAGGAAGGGTTGGCGGGGTCGGGTCAGTCGTCCAAGAGATCTGCTTCCGAGTCCGGTCTACACTCTGTGGGTGGGACCTGTACTATGTGTTGATCTGATAAGCTAGGATCGCGCGATGCATTGCTGCCCCAGTATGGGTCCATGCAAGCGTCCCCGAGAAGTGGAGTGATCTGGACGACTCCGGATTTGGCGCGAGAGATCATGCTCGTGACGTTGGAGAGGAGCGCGTCACGCTACGGAAGGCACCACGGACAGACATCTGACCAGACAACGAGGTTCGGGAGGCAGCGTGGGCCAAGTCCAGACAAGGCGACACGCGGCAAACTGGGTCGCCCTGTATGCATCGATCTATGTTTCGTGACCGTCCACCAGACTCTGGGCTGCCTGTTGCGAGACGGGACGCAATGCAGTCAAACCAGCGCCTCACTTACACGATTACCTGTTCGAATTACTCGCTGTCAGCGGCACCTACGATGGTATCACGGCATGTCACTGCTTCAGGGCAGGCAGAACGATGCTGACGATGAGCTGGTCTCTTCACCTATGTACACACGAAGCACGGCGTCCCCTCCGTTAGTATGGTGATATATATTCCACCCACAGTTCATGCTATAGCTCATGCTCGGCCGCCCGGTTCCGCCGTTAATTGGTGGTCTTTGCGCACCTGGATCCCTTGTTCCAAGTCCGTTCCAGCCTCCGTCCGGAAGACGAAACTTGCTGCTGGATTGCTGATATCAGCCAAGGTAGTATCCTCAGCTTTTGAATCGCGGAACACACCACGGGCGAAGAGAGACACGTGGCGGCTGTGAAGTTGGGAGTCGGAGCCGCGATAGAATGCTACGAGGCCGATCAGTGGCAGCCCCGACACCACCAGGGTCTGCACCCAGGACCCAGCGTCGAACGGAAGTACTTTCGTGTTTCCAGGGCCTGCTGCAATGTCGAGACCGGCAAAGAGGCCTGCGAGCGCACTGTCAGTCTCGTGGTCTCCCGTTACGGGAGGGGCTTACCGACTTGGGGCGAGCATGAGTACGCCGTTGCCGATGGCCAGTATCTCTAGGGAGGTCAGCCCCTTCACAGGCCTCTGCAACACACTTCTGGTAAGAACCAGGTGAAGGGAGAGATGGGCGAAGAATATGCCGCAGAAGTAGAAGATTGATACCGCGCCGAGGATGACACTCGCCTCGCCGACGGAGTCAAGAGGCACGGGGAGGAGGTGGCCCACCACGGCTTTCGAATGATGGACGATCCAGATCGACTTGACTACGACGGTCGCGGCCGCCAAGGTGATGGACAATAATAGGGTAGGAAGCTGCCACAGCTGGGGCCAGGTGCGAATCAAGGTCCAGCTCTGCAGGATCAGGGCCACCTCGATCAAGGCAAATTGGGCCACGCTGAAGGCATTCGATGTCGTGTTCGTGTAGTAGTCGGAGCTCTTGAGAACGCTGGCATCCTGGGTCCAGGCAACGTAGTAGCCAGTCAGCGGTCCGGGGAAGTAGAGAACCAGGAGCACAAGCCGTACGACGGCGGCGACGAGCGCGGAAACCTGCACCATGTTGATTGCCTTCTTCAGCTTGTACGAGGGCAGAAGGAGAAGTGCGACGATCAGGGTCAGGATGCAGAGCCCCAGCTGCACTCCGTAGTTGATGGAGATGTTGGCCAGCCGCACTCGCTGGGCCTCGATGGTGGCCATGGAAATCTCGATGGTGGCGGCTCCATCGGGCGCGGCGATGAAGAAGGACTGGTTCCTCGGGTCGAATGTCGAATTCATCCTGCAAGCTCTTCCTCACCGTCGTCAGAGGGCTAGCTGGTGATTGTGGTCACTAAAGTCCTCTTGCTATCCTGATATCGCTACCACTCTCTGTGTCTCATGGTGGAGAATGTCGTCTCCACCCCGACAGTGACGACAAGGTGTCTGGACAGTTGATGAAAGTTGAAAAGACAATTGTTTTGGCATGCGCCCGAAATTTCTGATTTTTGCAAGCGTCGGAAAAAGAAATGTGTCAGCCGCAATTCCAATCCCCCGGGACAGACGATGCTGAAAGGAGGCGTAGCTGAATTCGGGTATGCAGCCCGAACCACTTGTCTCAGCTGTGTCCGTCTTGCGCATGAAGAAATGACATTGTTCCTGCGCCATTGCCGTCATTCTGAAACATGCCGTGTTGAGTTCATTCGAACCTCGGCATCCCGACATTGGCAGTAGGACAAGATCATCTTCTGAATGGCTGGCGGGCTGGCGGGCTGCTCACACCGAAGCCGACGGCGAATGAATGGGCCACGCCGTCCACCATGCAAATAACCACTACAGAACAGACGGTGTTATCACTGCGACGAATGAACCCATGACAGTGGCATACCTCCACCGGCGCCTCGTCTCGCCCTCTCGAGCCTGTGTGGCACTCGGTCTGCACACCAACTTAAGCTATGTAGTAGATTTGACGCTGCGTCTATGCACCGGGATCAATGATTCACATGAAGCCACTGCATAATTCCGAATCCTGCACTTATTAAATCAGTAATTGTTATACCTCGGTCTTGTCTCTTATTGAAAAATAATAGATTATATTATATTATTACAAATTGCAAAGTCCTCCTATTATAGAAGAGTTCAGGTTAATTAGCAAGTAAGTTAATAAATATTTTAGTTAAAGTTGAGAAGAGCAAGTTCTTTTCATCAATCTGCCCCCGATAGATAGCTGTTCTTGAAGGACCAGATGGATGACCCCAAGGTCATACAGCCGCAACAACGGGGATGGGCTCGTGAGCGGGACTGACTGTACTTATTATCTTGATACCTTCATAACCCTGCGATGCAGAGGCTCTGGGAGGCGTGGTTTGCACTACTGAGGAGCGATCCCCCACGTTAAATACAATCAATCAATCAATCAATCATGATAAACTTATCATTATTTCCTGGACGGGAGGTGTACAGAGACTTGATTGATTGATGATTGATTGATTTTATTTATCGTGGGTACAGTCCCTCAACAGGGCAAACCACGCCTCCCAGGGCCATTGCATTGCAAGGTTATAGAGGTGTCAGTCTAGATACATTCAGATCCGCGCACGAGCCTATCCTCGCTGTAGCGGTACCAACCTGGAGTGACCAGATGGTTTTAGTCAATACCTAAGCACAATTCTGTCAGAAAAACCTCCTGTCTAGTGACAAAGCGACACAGTGAACCTCAGTCCTCTGGTAAACACATCGTTCCAGTAGCCGTTTGATATATGTCGCATTGGTGGGTGAAATAGGTATTTGTTATCTGCTGGCGAGGAAAACCACAAGGGGAAAAACCTCGCAGGAGTGGGTGTTATAGAGACAAGCTGCTTGGCTATCGGGCTCTGCGATAAGGGGCCTCTCCACTGTCGTGTGCTGGTTGTCGACTCGCACAAGCCGGGTTAGAAGGAGGCCATAGCAGGATTCGAACCCACTTGTTCTCGTCGCCCACCGCACAAACGAGAACACAACCAGGCGCATTTGACCATTGCGCCATACGGCCTGATAGCCTTCAAAGAACACCATCAAAACGCTATAGAGGCGGTCACAAAGAAGCTCAAAGCTACCTATAATCTGACAGGAGGAGAGCCACTACAGTGGTTCTTAGGGATAGAGATCATTAGGGACCAAAAACAACGGCTCATCTGGCTGTCTCAAGCCTCATATATCGACAAGATTACAAGCCATATCGACCGCAACAAGAAGTGCCCGGAGATCCCCATGAAGCCTCAAGAACTTTCCCAAGCGACGAGCTTGCCTCGCCAGCCTCAATCAACAGATACCAAAAGAAGATCGGATCAATCCTGTACGTAGCAGTGATCACACGACTCGATATCTCTTTCGCTGCATTTCGGCTGTCACGTTTTAATACCAACCCAAACAATTTACATGCTGCTGCCGCAGAGCACCTATTAGAGTACCTAAAGGGTACCAGGTCTTTTGCTTTTCAGCTGGGGGGGTGAAGATCTGCTGGAAACATGGAGCGATGCATCGCTTGCCGACAACTGCCTTGACCGAAAGAGCCTAACCATCAACAACCACCGCCATTCCCCATTCCCCATTCCCAGTCCAGAGGTACCATCAACGACGGTACACCATGTCTGTTCATGAGGTATATATTGTGCATCTTGCTGTACCTCGCGATTTATTCAACTGATTTTGGACTTTCTGTTATTGGTTTACTCTTATAACCAATTTGCAAAATGGCCCAGGTTTGATTCCTTGTCGCATGATGGAGGCAATGTCACCTGGGCTTCCCTTCCCGCCTTTCCTGGTTGACCTCAGCTGCTGCCACGCGCCCAACGTTGTCGTCCCGGTAGTGTCTTCACGATGGCTGCCCCGGGCATCAAATTCCAATTTTTGCAACGTTAACTGTTTGGATACGATTGCTATGGCCTTCCCGCCTTCCTACCTTCAAGCTTATTCTCATTCCTGACACCACCACTGTAGCGATGACCTGGTCACCCAAACTTTCGTATCAATCCATAACCTGAACTGATAACAGATAAGTAATGATATCTGTTTCTGACCCTTGATCACCTTCCTTCTCGTATCCTGAGCCCAAGCCCGTCGCTCACAGACAGTACACATCTTCCAGAAGGCAACGTCTCGAGCCACATAGGTACCTCGAACCCCGACACCTCGGCCGTAAACACACATAGCATCCATCTGAACGATGGAGGATGATCCTTAGGATTGGGAAGTACGTACACAAAACACTGCGCCTGCCAATACAGCAAAAGATGGCATCCGAAGCTGCAATCCACGATCCACAATCATATCACCATGCGCGACAGGGCAGCCCTCGTTAAGCTCTAGGAATGCTTTGACACGAAGCCCCTAAGGTTCGCACTCCCCTTCGATGTTGCCCTCATTCATCCCACGCATGGTGCCATGCGATACGAGCTGACTCATTCGCAGGTCAACTGGGAGAAACTTGCTGCCAGAGCCGGTTTCAAGGACGCTGCCGCAGCCAGGGCCCACTACGAACCATTCCTCAAACCCAACGGCCCAACACCTCCCTTACCACCCAAGAGAATCTCCACGATCTCAAGGACCGTCTCGAGCGAACCGAGGCCCGTCATGACGTCAAAAAGGAAGAGAGTAGCTATACTGATAGCTGTTTTGCCAGCGACGTATACGATATGGAGGACGACGAGGTCTAATGCGTACTCGGGAAATGCTCGCACATCATACAGGCACGAATTCATAGTTCGATAGCCCAATTAGGAAGGGCATACGATCATTTGGATCTGAGACGGGGCAAGAGAATACGTTTGGGTTTCCCAGTGCGCTTATATCCACTACTTTCCCTATCTATTCGGTCGTTATTCTCTCTCAAAGAGATTGCCCACAGCAACCTCTCGCTCCCTACTTGAAATCGCCTGTAGCTGCTGCTATAGAAGGTCGATGCCTAATGACAGCAACAGACCGAATAAACCACCAGTCTAGTGTCCCGGACCAGGGGAATCGCACCCAGCGCTCTGACTGGCCCAGTGGTGGTAATAGTCCAGCATCCACAGCTACTATTACTACCCGTCTCTCGCTTTTGTACCGCACAGCAGCCATGTGCAGATACGTACTGCACACCCGAAGCGGGCTTCCCATCCAGTTCAGGCGGCATATGCCCAGGCAGGCTCGATTGCTATCTTCGTAACGTATTATCATTCCACCAATATAGCATCGGCTGTCTTTGCCCTGGCCATGTTCAATACAAGGTGTGATCTCGACAATGCCATCCAAGGCGCAGGATGAGTAGTGATGGTAGGGACTAAGAGACCTCTCCAAGACTGGAGCAGGGCATATGTCAAACCGAAGTTGCGGCTGATCCAAAGCGATGTCGAAAGATTTGCTGTGAGACTTGTGTAGGTCCGTGATGTAGATGATTGACGGAGTGTTCGGCAACTTGAGCCTGAAATTAGACTGGTCGCATAACCGCATGGTGCCGTAAGGTCCAAATGTGACCTTTCGCCCATGATTTGTAGCAAACTAACAACTGTATAAGTAAAGAAACTATAACGGTGGATATAATACCTACAGCCAAGGCAAAGGATACAATAGACGTGTATAGTGCAGTACCCGAGTATTGAGCCCTCGCAAAAATCGAGTCGATATGTTCCCCTTTGCTCATTAGAAAATGGACCCAAACGTTGGCGTCGGAAGGACAGCCATAACTGTTTATCTGTTGGTAGAAGTTCATCCTGGCACACGGCTTATACTCAAAAATCGAAATCACGTTGTTATCTATGCACTGTGCTGAATAGCCAAGGACATTAGCAGCATTGTATACAAAGCGTTGCAGGACGATACCGCTATAGTCTAATGGTCTTAGACTGAGATGGCCCAAGTGTATTGATTGAGTGAGCTCGATGCCCGGCTCAGGTCAAAGGATTGCAGCTGAGCTTGCAGCAAATGAATCAGTATCCAAGGGCAAGATCTGGCAGACTTTGAGGCCCTACACAACCAGTTGGCACATTGGAATGGAAGTTTCTATGTTGACAGCTCACATCGTGTTGAACCCGCACGTGTGTACAGGACAAAGGGATCCGGCACCACCACAGATCGCCCATATTAGCAAGAAGCGACGGATTATTGGGTTCGAAGTGTAAGACCCTGACGCCGAAATGGTTACCCCTGATGTTAAGCTTGTGCTGTTATGAGATACTTCGGTCTTGATTCGATAACAAGCCAAGTACTGGGGGATTGTACAGTTTCGAAATATACCGATTCCCCTCTATTATTCTGTACCCGATGCGGATATCTAATGAGAGGTTCATGATTGTCTCTGACATGGCGACCAGTATGGCAACAATCTGCCCTGCTTTGGATGCAGAGTATTCGCGCACGAGATAGCCAGAAATCATGCACCACACTTCGGGGGGAAGGGCCCTAGGCCAATCTTGTTGTTGAAGCCTGCAGGACAGCTCCTGGTCCAGGATATTCCATCTTGTATTCATCCATGGCACAGACAGGGTGAATAAATACCTCATCACAAGCCGGAAATTGTTGCTCAATTGAAAAGCAGCAACTTGGCGACACTTCTGATAGAAGCCAGGAGCGGTCTTGCAGTCCGGTAAATTTACAGAACCTGTCTCGACAATCAGGCTTCCTTCTTATATCGAGAGCTCGAATGTCCATCGTCAAGTCGGAAGTGTATCGTCGAGTTGTCCACTTCCACTGTGCATCATCATCAAAAACTTGATATGTGCAAACGGCTAAGAATTAGGTAGTAAGGTACCTGTGACAAAATCCCAGTCTTAAAGATAAAAGTGGCAAAGCCAGCATAGCTGCCCGTCGAAATACCGCCTGATGATAGGTTCCTCGTCTTTGTCTGAAGTTGACATTATGATCAAGATAGGTATAAGAAAGGTCAATCAAATTGGGTTGCTTGTGGTGAATGTGGAAATAATGGATGAATTGAGTTGCTGGTTGTGCTTTTACATACTGCAAGACTAGATCCCTCGGCGGTAGCTACCAGGACCTCCATGTTTGCTCCATCGGCTACCTGCCAACCCATGACGTGTTGGAAATACAGGACCAACCAATGAAATAAATATGGCCATAGCTGCCGCCTGGTGTTATCTTTCCTCGTCGTGAGACTCTTGCTTACGAGTAAAAGATAAGAATAAAAAGACAAGGATCAATAAAAGTCAGGGTTCTTGGCCACGTACACGTGCCTCTTAGCTGTTAGGTACCGAATATTATCCTTATTTTGCCACTTATCTCTGATCGAGGTCGTATACCGATTGTTGTGGTTAAGGTATGTGTACTCTGTAGCCCTCGACCTATGGGCTTCTCTCTTCACTGTGTAGTAGACGACGCGCCTGTTGTTCCACTCGAGACTGGCTGGTGGTTTCCCGCCAGTCCATCTGGGTGGGGCTGAATACCCCGCCTCCTGGCTCGCTGGCATGGGGTCCTCTTGGTAGCCTGCAGCAGCTGGAGGCAGTGCAGCCTGGGTCCCCACTCCATGTTCTTCTGCAGAACCCCCCGAGCCCTCTTCCCATGCGTCGGGGAAGGATGATGCCTGCCGGTTTAAGACGACATGGGGATCTGAAGTGCAGGTAGCGACAAAATTTTTGAAGATGGTACTGTCATGACCAGAATCGATCTCACAGTAGCGATTCAAGTCTGTTAATCTTCCAGGTCCATCGTCCATCGGCTCCTGTAGGTCCTTCTTCCGGTTGTTTGGATCTGGATACATCTTGAAGGTACGGAAGAGCGTACTATAGGCGGTGAGTAGATAGATCTTGTCGATGCCTTCCTGTTGCAAAGAGGTTGCGCCAGCCGACTCGATCTATGAATCGACTGCCTGGGTTTTCCTGCCGGGTCGTTTCAATTCCCAGTACGCGACGGAAACAATGCCCTTACTGGCGTTGTTGTCAAATTGTACATTGCGCCTCAGAGCCCAATTTACTCTTCTTAGATTCGTATCGTCTCCAGGAGGGGTCTCAGGAGTAGTGATATAGGTATCCGTGTCGGGGAAATATCGGCGCATCAATTGCCCCCAGAAAGCCGAAGTCACATATTCTTGTGTTGGGCCCCTAGCCTGAGTTTGCTGGTTTATCTTGTCGTGTAGCGTTCTCACAGCGCCAAATGAAGGGACTACCGATTCCTCCGTGTGCGGGTCCCAATCTCCAGCGAGTGGTGGGAGATTCCAGCCTCTATCCACCCGTGCACTTGAGAGTGGGGGCAGATTGTTTGTATTCATTACTGGGTCGATTGAAAGAGAACGATCGTCATGCGGAACCACGCAGGCAAATACGCAAAAGGACAAAATGGACAAACGGTCAAACAGGGCCCATTTTATAATCACAACGAGAATGTGTTTAGCTGGATTGTATAGTGAGTATACATTACTAGCAAGTCAACAACGTGCGAGCAGTTGATCTCATCAGACCCTTGGGGATTGACAGATTTACCGGTGTGCTTTCATCTACCTAGACAGGCGCCGGGGCTTCACCCTGCATGCCATAATCTCTGTTCAGCCAATTGACGCTGATTCTGGTAAAGGATAGTTCCTTCCCGCAGCTCCATCCTCGAGAATCCCTACCACTTCCTTCTTCAGTATGCGTTATGGCGATCTTCGTAGCCAATGCGGCCTGGCGCTTTGACCAAACTTGTCCAGCGTTCTTGCCGCAGATCGATCGCCCGGAAGACCTACATCGCGTTCTCAATATATATCCAGTCGATTTACCTACACCGTCCTTCTGGCGGCCTGCACTCTGTTATCTGCAATCTATATCGGCCTTGAAGTTCGGCATGACCTGAAGCATGGAAATAATCCTTCGAACTGCTATATCGAGGCCCTTTCCGTGCAAGCATTGTCGTAGTGGAAGGTGCATCTATCTCTATAACATGTAAAACGGACAACTTCGGTAACCATGCAGCTAATAAATTCAACCTTCTTTTGTCAAAGGTAACGAGATATTAGGAACCTGAGTTTAATTGAGGTCGGACAGCATGTGGGAATTGCAAGTCCTTGGAACTGTACGTCAAATACCTGTAGGCTGCCGATTCACCCATGAACTCGCACTGTTGCTGCGCAAGGCAGGGCTTTTCAATGACGAAGCAATTGGCCTCATATTCGACTTATTAGGAATTGTTGAAGATCAGGGTGGTGATGGGTGGATTAGTGGGGGATTGGCGGTGTACGCATAATATTGTCCACATAGTAAAGCTGTCCAAGCTAAAAAACAAGACCCTCATATTTCTGTTTGAAAGCTTGTTAAAACTTTTCACCTACCAATCTCTATACTGGCTCAAAGAATCACCGGCTGACCATCACGACGTGATAGCATGCCTAATTCTTTGAAACTTACGGTTTCCGAGAGAATGCCATTTGTTCCTTCATAATCGACTTGAATGCGGGAGCATTTCCGTCCCGGTACAGTTATGTTGAAGATATGGTGAATCAATTGTTGGCAGTGTGTGGGGCTGGACAGGTCAGAAAGAACTAGATGGTGAACTTCATCAAACGTACACCAAGCCCCCGGACGCGTTTTCATCGGAGGATAGACTACGAGAGGGTCTTAAACAAAGGTCCGGACGTGTATCGCGCGTGGTTTTGCCAAGTTGTGGCGGCAATCGCGAAACATGGTATCCAAGACACAGATATTTATAACTTTAATAAGACTGGGTTTATGATAAGCATTATTAGGTCTGGCATGGTCATTACAAGCGCCGAAAGACGTGGCAGGCCTAGACAAGCTCAGCAAGGCAACAGTGAATAGTTTACAGCAATTTCTGTTATTAATGCTGATAGTTGGGTGGTCCCGCCGTTCATCATTTTACAGGGCAAAACCCACCTCACGTCATGGTATTGCGACACAACATTACCACGCAATTAGAAGGTGGCCGTGTCCGGCAAAGGGTGGACTACGAATGATATTGGTTTGAAATGGGTTCAGCATTTTGACAAGTATACCAGACCGCATATGACTGCCGATAAACGCCTCCTCATCCTAGATGGTCACAAAAGCCACTATTCCCAGATCTTTGAGGATTATTGCCAGAATAATGGCATTATTACTCTTTATATGTCTGCCCACTTGTCACACAGACTCCAGCCATTAGATATCAGTTGTTTTGGCCCGCTCAAATGAGCTTACGGTCGTATGATTGAGGATCTTATCCGGCATCATATAACCCATGTTTTGAAGGAGGACTTCCTCGCAGCGTTTTGTGAAGCGCATAACGCTGCTATGACGCCAGGAAACATTCGAGCAGGTTTCAGTGCCACTGGGTTTGTTTCTTTCGACCCAGAAAATGTCATTTCAAAGCTAAATGCTGTCTCTGTCGTACGAACACCGTTGCCAGACCCCAATCTGCCATCCACTACTCGGACTTCAAAGACATCTATCACCATTAATGAAGCAGTAAACCAATCGGTTTATATCCAAAATCGAGTTAGAAACCACCAGAGAAGCTCACCTATATCAATAGTTGATGTATTGAGCTCGTTTTCAAAGGCTATATACGGTCTTATGCAAAAGGTTGCTTTGATTAATTCCCGGGTCCGCAAGCTAGAGGAAGCCAATTACTTACTAAGTAAACACCAGAAGACAAAAAATAAACGTCTAATAAAAAGAAGAGTATTTTCTATCAAAGATGCAGTAGGCCTTCAGGCTGTAAAGGATGGTAGTGAGCTGGCAAGATAGGAAATAGGTGAAAGTAGTCGTTGTCCGAGGAGGGCGGCAGTGCGTGAGCAACGTTGTGACGTTTGCAGCAACACTGGCCATAATGCGCAAACTTGTACAATAGAGATAGAAACGTCTGAAGAAGAAGAATCCAATTGATTAGATTGGATTAAATGCGTTGTGATTGAGTTATTTGACATATTGCTTGGAAGGTTCGTGAAAGTGTCCCACTTGCTTGTGTGTCCCTCTCGCTTGTGACCTATGTTAGTTCTTATGATGATTTAGGTTATATAATAATCTAAATAAGGTTTAACTATAAGAAAAAAAAGATATTAGTACTAGACTTCTTAAGATAGGTAAATTTTTTATATTAAGTAATTTAATAATACGGTTATAAAAAAACAGGTTCAGAGTAGCTTATAGGATTATAAGGTTAAACTTATAAAGCAATTGTTTTATTAGTAGGATTAATAGCGATATGATAATATTAAAAATTGCGTTATTAACTTAGTATATAGTTATATTATACATATAATATTTTCATTTCAAATTTTATATATATGAATAAGCTTCAAGTAAATAGTTAGTCCTACGTGATAATATATTTATATAAATATACGCACATATTTAATTAATATATAAACTATATGATTTGTAGACGCTAACCATACGGTTAGTTTATAAATAAGAAATATACGCTTGTTATAATTATAAACAATTCAAATATTTACGATAAATATTAATAGCGGGGGCAATAGTAACGACGGTTTAAACTTTTTAAATAGAATTCATTCTAGGTTTCTTTAACGTTAATAAATTAGGGTTTTTAGCCTAAAAATTTTAATAAAATTAGCAATGTCACGGCGAGCGTACTGAGGAGCTGGGACATGGCCGGCAGCAAGCAGCTATTACTCTATTGACGAGAATATCAAGACTAGAGAGGAAAGGAAGAGAGAGAGAGAGATAGGTACAGTGGGAGGTTACCCCTTTAAGGGGATCCTCTGGTCAGATCCTTCCCCTATTGGGAAGTATCGGCTTGTCATGTGGGAAGGTCCGTGCAGGCCGTCACAAGCTTCAAAGCCTTAGGTAGGTGGGTGTTTGGAGACACTACACCTGTTACTGCTAGAGGCAGAACTCCTTGCAGTGTTGATCTGAAGACAAAGCTTCTAATCTGGTATGGACTAGTCTTGATATTATGTCACGACGAGCGTACTGAGGAGCTGGGACATGGCCGGCAGCAAGCAGCTATTACTCTATTGACGAGAATATCAAGACTAGAGAGGAAGGAAGAGAGAGAGAGATAGGTACAGCGGGAGGTTGCCCCTTTAAGGGGATCCTCTGGTCAGATCCTTCCCTTATTGGGAAGTATCGGCTTGTCATATGGGAAGGTCTGTACAGGCCGTCACAGTATTGAAAAGATAAGAAAAGTAATTATGTTTTTAAGTAAGGTTTTTATAAGGCGTATTTTAAAACGTGTTAAAAGTTATTTTAGTTTATTATAGGGGAATTATGGTACATTCTTAATATTAAAAGGTTTATATACTCTATTTTATTATAAAACGTCGTTAATAATACAATACGTATAATTATGAAGGTTAATTTGATAGAAGCTTTTATTATAATCTATATCCGTGTATATTGTTTTGACATGTTTATATAAACGTAGAAAGGGTTTTTCTTTTTTTTCTTTTTTTTTCTATATGTTCTAATATGTTTATTTTAGTAAATTTAAATACGTTATTTTTAGGTACATAAAAGTATGGTATTGATTTTATATAATTTTAAGCTTTTTATAACTCAACTAGTAGATTTAATATATATTATCCAACGGTAGTACCTCTTGAACTAGATCAGTTATGCCCTCTTCACATCTTTCCACTTCACCAGCACACCAAAACGGCCAGGAAATGTCTAAAGAGCCAAAGAAGTGATGCTGTCTTGATATAAGAAGGTCGAGTCGGGGTAGGTGCACGTAGTCGGATCTTCGGAAGTAACACTGGACGTGTGCAATGTGCCCGGTGTTACTTTTTCCCAAAGCGTAGTACAGATATTTGCATGTGTTCCAGGGAGGCTAAGGGTTACTGCAGAACGAACAACCTCTCTCCTGGTAACCATTCCTTCCTTTAAAAGACGAAGTCTCCTTCCCTTTTTCTTACCCTCCATGATCCATCGGCCACTTCAATGCTGCAACCACCCAGACCCCAGACACAGCATCAACGTACCGAAGCCATTCCGTACCTAAACCACCCACAGAATCGCAAGAACGTTATCGCTATATATTCTATCATGTGCTTAAACTACGATTACCTCTATCAATGCCCTGACTGCGACCTCGGCCGCGCATGCGCAGAATCCACACTGGTAGAACCGGAACACCATCACTTGGGACCTGTGATGCGAAATAAAAAGCCTACCCTGGTGCGAACTCACGATGGGGAGGCTTGCAACGGCTGTATCCCCCGGGCCCACCTTCATAGGAGCTGGGTCCTTCGCAAGTCATGCCCGGTAGGCTACAGCACCAAAACGAAATATCCACTGGCGATGCGCTCACCACAAGCAACTCCACGAACAGCATCTCTACCAGCAGCAATCCCACGAACAGCCTATCCGCGAAGAGCCTATCCGCGAACTCGACGACGGCCTCGGCGACGTCCTTAATGGGAAGAATATAAACAACGGCGACGATTTCGGCAACGGCAACAATATAAATAACGGCTACGATATAAGCAACGGCCACGATGCAGGCAACAGCCACGATATAAACAACGGCCACGATACAGGCAACGCCAATAATATATACACGACGCAAAGTTACGACAATAATCTCCAAGGAAAACACCCGCAGTACCACATGTCGATAGCCCCAGCGGACTACTCTCCTCCGCTGTTCCCAAATTCTTCCTCAGTCATTGCCGCAGTCGCACGCGCCCGTGCTCGGCCTGTACTTGCATTGTTCGTTTACAGCAAGCTGTCGGTGGTCAGTAGTTGGTCCCCCGTCCCTGGTACTTAAGTAGGGTGTTCCTCTTGGAGGGGTATTCCATACATGTGATTGCTCGTCGCACTTGCAGCGCTGCCTGCATCGTCGGTTGCCAAGGGTCGCGACCCACTCGCAATGGTACACCCTGTCGACCATGATGACCAGCTGTAATCGATGACGTTGATTAGCGCGTGGTTTTGGGAAACGGAACGGAACGGCCGGCTGGACACCTCAGGGGGGGCTGGCTGGCTACTTACACCTCGGTTCTCTGCTGGGGCCTGGTTGACGGGTCGACCTGGGAGGCTGCGATGGAAGATACCGTGATTCTGTGCATCGTCGATTTCGGACTCGAGGTCTGATGCCTCGTCGTTACTGATGGCCACGCAGACGCCGTCGTCAATCGTGTCATCGTGTCGGGACACGAGGTCAAGCGCGGGTTCTCCGGTAGGCACGGCCACCGCGGAGACGGCCGTGGCGGAGGCAACTGCGATGGCGAAGAGAGCTCGGAAGTGCATGATGGGCGATGGGTGGTTGCTCGGTGAAGTGGAATGAGGTTTGTCTGGCTGAGTAAGAGTGTTGCTGTGTGTCTGTTGAGATGGTCGAGAGTGTGATGATGATGATGTTGTTGTAGCATTTCCAATCTCTTTCGATGCTGAGGGCGTCGAGGCTTATACAGGCGCCGGTGTGCCCTTTCCAGTTGCTCATTCTGGCTCATGGTAGACTTCTTTGCCTGAACATGGCACATTCCATCGCCAGTGGCAACGGGTACGATGAGACGTCATCGACGCAGTGGGTACAGTCTGTCATCTGATCTTGTCTGGTCTAGGTCACCTGTGATCAACCTCTCGGCGGGTCGGCGGTAATGGTCGACGTAGGGACCACTTACCTTGCTGCTCTGTTCATAGAGTGGTGATGAGTCATGAATGAGAGCTACAGTACAACTCAGCAGTTCTATTAACGTTTCATCCCCTTTTCATGTTCTCTACTTACCCATGACCACATGGGCGACGATGTCAAATGACAAACGCCGGGCAAAGGTACGTATTATTAGTTCTTGACCCACTCGGGAGTCGGGACATCAACAGCAATGCCCGAGGCAGGACAAAGGTACTGCCAGGTCTCGACTGGCTCGTGATATCAACAGCGATGGCAAAGCAGGGCAAAAGTGATATGATATATCAGGTATCGATTCACTCAGGATATAAATAGCAGAGTCCAGCTGGTCCGAGCAAAGAAAGCCAGGATGGGAACTGCTAGCGTCTTCACGGCCCCATTTCAGTACATGTATCATTGTATCCCCTTAACCTCGGAAAGAATACGGTTGGGCACGGGAGGCCGGGGATACCTAGGGCCGGGGTAGGGGGCCCCGAGCGCCGACGTGCCCTAACCATAAATATCTGGGGCTAACTGTTAGGTAGTCGATCGTTAAGGATGCAATACGATTAGCACGAACATGATTATATAGCCGAGTTATGAGGATGCGGATTCGGTGAGGATGCGGGATCTGCGCATCAATACGTCATAAATCATAAGATTCTAAAACTGATCTAATAATGCGAGGAATGATACATACAGCAGATACTGTCAAGATGTGTCAAGATTAAAGGAAGCTGATTAGCTCATTGTCGAAGGATAGTACACCGCCATACACCCGGGAGGTCGACACCACCGTGCCCACCGCCGAAACACCTCGGCCAGGACCAGCCTCTTATACGAGGCAAGCGAATCCAGCTCCAACTCCCACGCTGGACCTGCACGACGGCGCCAGCAACAAGTGACGCAGAGCCCGCGACAGCGACGCACGAAAGCGCGTGGCGCCGGGGAAATTCAGTGCTGGCGGTCCCGGCGGCGGTCGACGGCGACGGCGAACACCTTTCCTGTAAAAATCATCCATACGCTTACACTTGTTAGTGTATTTGCGTGCAGCACAGCAAAATCTTTAACACTTGGTATTGCGCCGTAATCTCAGACGTCAACACCAAGGCCAGAATCTCGAGATCTGCCTCGTTCCCTCGGTAGGGAACGAACTCAGTACTCGTTGATAGCGGCCCTCACAACCCCCCAGCGGCCTACCCAAGCCGCACCTGACGCCGCTCAGTTCATACGGGAACCTGAGCCCATCACCCCTTTGAATCAGACAGAAAAGGAAGCCTGCTAATGTCCAGGCTCCCCCGGCAATCGACCTTACTGGAAAGCCCGCTACCCGACACAATGACATTGCTGCCAGCGCATTCGCACCGCACCTAAAGGACCTTGAGCAACAAGCCCGTATCAAACGTACTGTCCTAGGGCAGCTCGCTGGCTGTCTGGACGACTTTATAGGCACTTACAACGGACCACAACAGTCCGAGTACAAGAGGGAGGCGCGCTTAGTGATTAAGATAATTTGTAACCACCTAAATATTGCTATCTTTTTTAACACTGGTGGCACTTTCTATACGCCTATTCGTGTCCAAAGCTTTGGACCTACTGACCATACCACCACCAACACTACCACCACCAACACTACCACAACGAACACGCCAGGGCAGGACCTAGGGGGGAAGTCCTCCAAGCAGGTCTCCTGGGCGGGTGTTGCCAAAGCAGGCCACGCATCGAACGCAGGGGGCAGCGCTACCACCCACGCTAGCGCTGGACCCTCCGCCCGTACGTCCCGCCACGGGGCCACAGCGTCCGCCCTAGGCTAGGCATTATTCCCAAATCGGTTCTACTAGAGCCGATTTGCGCACGGACCCGTACGTGCCACCATCGGGCGCGTGCACGACCGCCGGGGGGGTAGAGCCGATTTGGTTCCCGGGCGAAAATACGGTCGGCGTTGACGGGTATATGGAGAAGACGAGACGGCGAATCCGGCTGTACTGTCTGCATGTCGCTGCGACCGCTGGAAGGCCACTTTCTCTGCGAGTTGGGGTTAGGGGGAAGTTTGAGGTTAGGGTGGGAAGCGGGCGGGATGCCGGGCGGGCGGGGCCCGGGCTCGACAAGGGGTCAGACGCCAGGTAAATCATAGGGTTAGGGTTAGGGTTAGGGTTAGGGTTAGGGTTAGGGTTAGGGTTAGGGTTAGGGTTAGGGTTAGGGTTAGGGTTAGGGTTAGGGTTAGGGTTAGGGTTAGGGTTAGGGTTAGGGTTAGGGTTAGGGTTAGGGTTAGGGTTAGGGTTAGGGTTAGGGTTAGGGTTAGGGTTAGGGTTAGGGTTAGGGTTAGGGTTAGGGTTAGGGTTAGGGTTAGGGTTAGGGTTAGGGTTAGGGTTAGGGTTAGGGTTAGGGTTAGGGTTAGGGTTAG